AATATTATTACTATATTACTATTATATAGCTTTTTTACTATAATGGTACTATTTTTAAGGAGTATTATATTTATTACTTTTATAATATCCTTTAATGTTTTTTTTTAAGATTATTTATTTATTCCTTAACTTAAATAAGGATTTCCTTATTATACTTTAATAATATTACTTTATTAATATTATTATATTATATAGTAGCTATTACTTAAATTTATAACTTTAAAAGGTTTATTATTATATATATGGTTTATTATAAGGCTTTTTATAGGGTTTTTTTGAAGTCCCTTTAGGTAATTAGGGCATCATTTCTTTTTTCGGTATTTAATTTTAATTCTACTCATTTTATAGCTAGTTCGTAAATAGAATAAACTAGCTATATCCTTTTTATATCTTTCTATAAAGAAAATCCTTCTTTTATTTTCCCATTTATTATAAGTTATAATATTAATTTAAATATTTTATTTAATATTTCTTTAATTCCTTTTAAATTAATAATAACCTACTTCCTATTAAATAACTATTATATTATAATTACGTTATTAATAGGTCCATTTTGGTTTTTTATCGCATTGTTAACAAATGGGTTATCCATTATTATTTTTCCGTTTTTCTTTACGTTTACCATTTACGCTTAAAATATAAACCTCCTATTAAGTAAAAGTTAAACTTCCGGTTATAGCGGTTTAAATTATTTAATAATTAAGTTTGAATCTAAAAAGTTATTAAAGGTTTTTCCAATCCTTTTTCTTTAAATTATATTATTAATTAATTAAATTATTTAATTATACTTTAAATTAACCTTTTATTCTTAATATTATTTAATCTTTATATAATTATAACTTTAAATAACTTAAATAAAATTAATTTCCTTTTTAAATATATTAAATAAAGAATTATATAATATTAAAATAGCTTTTTTATATTTATTATTAAAAGGTTAAGTTAAATTATATATAATATAATTAATATTATATATTATTTTATATTATTAAAGGGGAAGGTTAAAAGCTTTTATAAAATAAATTATAAGCTTAATAAATATTATTATATAAAAAGAATTAAATTATAAAATAAAAGATCTTTTATTATTAAAGATATTAAGGATTAATTAAAGGTATAAGGTATTTTTAAAATAGAAAATTACATTATATATTAAAGTAATTATTATATAAAGAAAAAGGAGATTTATACTTAATATTATAAGGTTTATAATAAACCTAACTATAATATATAAACTTATAAAAATGTTATAAAAACGTTTAACAATTTAAATTTAAATTAGTTTAAGTTAATTATATAAATAGTTATTAAAATATTTTTAAATATATATATAAAGGTTAAAAATATAACTAGGTTAATTAGGTGGTTAGGTTAAATAAAAGATATATTAATCTTTTTAAACTTTATTTTAACCTCTTAATTTAAATATTAATAATAATTATTAAAAGTTAATTAATTAAAATTAACGCATCTTCCACTTAACCTAGCCACCCAATTAACCTAGCCACCCCCCTAGCCCATATAAATAATATCGGTACACTAATCACGTAATAATTTAATAACTCTACAAATATTAATTGTATAAAGTAATAAAATATACCATTAGATTCGTAATAAAAAGAGCTATTTAATGGTACCCTTTACTAACTTTTACGACTTATATTCGCGGAGTTATTAAGCTATACGCTAAAGTAAGCGCTAAATTAATCCTTGCTTAGCGCTCCTTTAGCGTATTGCTTAATATCTCGCTTAATAAATTTTGTAAAAAATAGTAAAAAATACCTCTGGATTCCCCTTTAAATAACGGATTCAAGGGTATTAATTATTAAATCGTACGACCAGTATTCGTAAAGTTATTATAGATTAAAATAATAGGATCTTGTATAGGTTAAGGGGGTGGCCAGCTTAATTGGGTGGCCAGGTCAAGTGGGAGATGCGTTATATAAAACATTTTTTATAATTTTAATTTTAATATTAATTAATAAAGTTAAAAGTATTATTTTTTCCTATTTAAAATTAACTTTTATTACTTTTACTACTTTAAAATAAATAATTTATTATTTAACGCATTTCCCACTTAACCTAGCCACCCAATTAAGCTGGCCACCCCCTTAACCTATATAAAATCCTATTATTTTAATCTATAATAACTTTACAAATATTAATTGTACGATTTAATAATTAGTACCTTTAAATCTATTAGTTAAAGCGGAATTTAGAGGTATTTTTTATTATTTTTTACAAAATTTATTAAGCAAGATATTAAGCAATACGCTAAAGGGGCGCTAAGTAAGGATTAATTTAATATTTATTTTAGCGTATTACTTAATAACTCCGCGAATATAGGTTGTAAGAGTTAATAAAGGGTACCGTTAAATAGCTCTTTTTATTATAAATCTAATGGTATATTTTATTATTTCATAGGACTAATATTCGTAGAGTTATTAAATTATTACGTGATTAGCGTACCGACGTTATTTATATGGGCTACGGGGGTGGCCAGGTCAATTGGGTAGCCAGGTCAAGTGGAAGATGCGTTAGCTTAAAATAATAAACTATTTTTTTAAATATAAATTTTTAAAAGCTTTTTTTAATTTTATTATTATTTATAAAGCTATAATAATATTATATTTATTTATTAACTTTATTTAATTATTTTTAATAAAATTTAATAGTTTTTTAAAAATAATAATATATTAACCTTTCTTTATTATAAATAATACTTTTAAAACTATATTATTAACTTTAATAAGTAATAATTAACCTATATTAAGCCTTTTTACTTAAAGCTATACTATTTAAATAAAAAGATTAATAAAGTTATATTAATTAAATTAAAGGTTAAATAAGTTAATTAAAGATTAATTGTTATAAAAGTAATTAAAAATAGCATTTTTAACGTTTTTTTAACATTGTTAAAAAATTAATTATAATATAATAAAAATAGTATTTTTTTAATACCATTAAAGAATTAACTATAATATAATAAAAATAAAGAAAATAAAGAAAATAGTAAAAATAGCAAAAATAATAGAAATAGCATTTTTAGTAATATTTTATAATTTTACCACTTATTAGCTTTTTTAAGACTTATAAAAGGGTGTAAAGCTTAATTAACATCTAATAGGAACAACTTTAGTAGCGTTCACTAATAAAGTTGCTTGCCTAATATGGATAACCTAGCGAGAGCATCCCCGCAGTGGCGTTATTAGCGTTGTTTGAGTTTTTCGAGTGTATGCGGTACTTGCCGAGGCGCTGTTAAAAAAACTAGTCCGGTCCTACATTATACAATATAGCTTTAGAAATGCTGGTAGCAAGGTAAAACACAACATAAAAAAAACACCTTTTACACCTTTAATTAAGCGTATAATACACCCATTACAAGCATTAAAAATCTGACAAGAATAGGTCAGAATAGGTTTGAATAACTTTAAAAACGGGTTAAAAAACGGCTGTTGAAGGTGTAGGTGGGTGGTGTTGGTGAACCGGACTAGTTTTTTTGACAGCGCCTCGCTTGCCCATGCTCTGAATGCCCGAGTGGCGCTGAATCCTACCCTGGAGATGGTAGGGGCTACTGTACGACATCTAAAGATCAGCTTCAACGGAGTCAGCGACCCATCTCGTCTAGTGCCAACGCCACAACCACGCAAAAACACAGTCCTTCAATATACAAGATGTCTTCCTGGGGTGTACCAAGCGATACCTTCCCATAGTTAGGACCAATGATGAAAGTTAGCTGTAACCACACAGGCAATTGATGGATACCAATTCTTGTCTGCCGCTCAGGATATGGACAACGTCCAACACCTAAGTAATCATCATTAACCCCCGACAGGGTTTGGCATAGGAAGATGGAGGGCGCCAAGCACTTTTCCCTAGTGCTAGGTCCAGACGGCAAAATTATCAGTGGCACTGGACTTGACTTGTTTATTTACTTACGGTAGCGGTTCTTAGATCCCATCAGCTAGACCAGCAACTACAAAATCCAGGCACATGTCACGCTCGCAATGGAGTAGGTAGGGTGGCGTTGGAGGGGTACATCCCAGCCACATGTGGCTAGGGACACTCATCAGATGGAGAGCAGTGAATTTGGGATTTGGGATGGCGTTAGACAAGTAAATTGTCTAATACCTAGTCTGAAGAGCTAGTGAAGCAGAAGAATATGTTGTGTAGCTGGCAAAGCCTTCTTATTCGATGTTCACCAACGCCACGTCTTTCTCTCTAGTCACGCTTCGACCATGTTGACCTGGGGAGGCAGGCAGATGAGAGAAACCTCTCTCTCTCTCTCGCTCTGCTCCGCCAACAACAGGCGCAAGGGACCGACGCAACCAAGTCCTGCGTACACTTTTGCGTAGTAAAGAAATGCATGTGATATTAAAAGCATGCTTCTGCATACCTTGGCGCAGCGGATGGCACCTTTCGAGTTTGGTTGGCTGGTCGACAGTGGCAGATAGGTGAGCGTTGACACTTAATAGCAGTTATTATTGCATTGGGTGGCGAACGCTTGCTCGGTTCTGCTCGGTGGTCTGACAAGGGTGGCACGATGTTCAACGCTACTGCCATCGGTTACCCGGACAAGTAAACATACCTGAAACTTGTTATCGCAACGACATGCAGATTCGCCAAATCTACTCCCCACCTCCCGCTTTGAACCCGTCCTGCCCGCCTACGAAGCATGGCCCGCACCGTATAAATAGTATCCAGGCACAGACAGGCAGTAGGCATCTGGCCAGACTCCGGGCAGTTTCCGGGATCAGGGTTCTATCTGATCACGGTGCTAGCTGCCGAGCTGAATGCACTGTTTCGGGCTGGTGTCATGCTTCATCTGGCCCGTCACACGCAGCCAATGGGGTCGCAGATGCCCGGCCAGCAAACTCTTGACGACTCTGGGGTCTTAATCCTTGCATCAATATTGACTGGGGCCACGTGTGTATGAATCGACGCAATGCGCTGCGGCGAACGTGAGTAGGTAGTCCGTGATACATGAGCTGTGTTTGAGCAAAATCGCTGTCTACGCTCCTTTCTTTCGCAAGCGATGCCTTTGGGTTGAGTTCTCCCACCTAGTTTTCTGAAGATACACATCCTGCGTCTTTGGAAAACGACGCTCAAGTTGGGCAAGATGTCCCATAGCGAGGATGAGGCTCCCCTCTCTGAGGCTCCCCTCTCTGAGGCGGGCGCGAAAGCTCTCGTGGAGCGCATAGCTGATGAGCATGGCTATGTGGGTGAAGATGTCTGTGAGTATTGATCGCAAGAAAGTTGCAGTCGTCATCGCCCTTGGTGGTATTTTCCACAGCCTTGGAATAGGACCGCGAGCTGAAAGGTCATGAGGGCAGTCACTGATTGAATTATGTAGTGCGAACGATGACGCCCGAAGCGAGGCGGGTCGTCGAGAGGGCATTCCATATGAAAGATGCGATGATCGGATCAAGCGTAATCACGTAGGGTATATCGCTTCTATTGCTCAGGCAAAAAGCTAACAGATTAAGCTTAGGCTATCTAAGAATCTATATACAAGCCCTGCGCGCTTCGTGTTCGAAATGCTCCAAAATGCGGACGATAACAGCTACTCTAGAGCTCGGGCTCGCAACGAGGAGCCTTATGTGACATTTAATGTTTCTCCTCAGTATATCACTGTCGAATGCAACGAGGACGGTTTCACTCGCAAGAATCTCAGTGCTATTTGTAGTATTGGCAAGAGCTCGAAAATGGGTGCCCAGGGATACATCGGAGAGAAAGGAATTGGGTTCAAGTCCGTATTCATGGCTGCCTATAAAGTACACATACAGTCCGAAAACTTCGTATGTAAAACTCGCTTGAGTTTTCTTCGTTCTATGATCTTGGGGATTTTGAAAGCAGGGTTTCCGGAACAACATACTAACCTGTGTATTCTAGTCATTCTCTTTCCTTCATAGGCGTGGCGACTCGGGGATTGGCATGATCTCTCCAGTCTGGGAAGAGTGGGAAAACCGTCCGCCCTCTGGAATCACGAGAATCAAGCTATTCCTCATTGACAATCTCGATGTTAAGACTGAGGTGGCTGAACACCCAATTATGCAACAGTTCCGAGAAATCCAAGAGACCTACCTACTATTCATGAAGAATCTTCGCTGCGTGAAGGTGAACTTCATTAATGACCACGAATCACATATTTCATCGGCCGTCTATTCCATCAAAGCCTCATCCAACGGAAACCGGGCATCATTGATAAGACAGAAAGACGGTGACACGCACCGAGTCAAGAACTATCACGTTACTAGGTCTCTCGCACGGAATCTTCCTCGAAATGAGAGCCGCGAGTACTCGGAAACGGAACTGGCCACAGAATCATGGTCCTCGTCAGAGGTTGTCCTCGCATTCCCTTTAGATGGTGATGGGTGTGCGCCGGAAGAAGTCGAGAGCCAGCAGGTTTTTGCGTTTTTGCCCATTAGAAACATGGGCTTCAAGGTAGGGCAGTAGACAACATCCTTTTCGGCCAATTTAGCTTACATTTACTAGTTTTTGATCCAGGCAGATTTCGTGACTCAAGCCAACCGCCAAGACATTGTCACCTCATCCAACAGAAATCAGGCTCTTCGTGATGGGATCGCGGACACATTTGCCGAGGCGATGGCACAATTATGCGCAGATGGCTTACTCAGATATACGTGGATAAGATATCTGCCAGTGAAATCAGATTATCCATGGGATGAGTACTGGAGCGGGCTCTATGAGCGTATCAGAAGCAAAGTAATAGCGACGCCTCTGATGCATTCTTTCACCGAGACCTTCCCGCACAGAATTGAAGAGGTGCGAAAGTCGAGACCTACCGATGCTGACGATAACGGTGATCCAATCTTCAAGAATATCGATCCAGAAAAGTACTTATCGAAGCGATACCTTAAGTCGGAACTGGACAAGATTCACTGCTACTATGGATTAAAAGAGATGGAGTATAGTGAGATTCTAATGCGGGCCTCGGAAGATCTCAAAACCCCCAATTCTCGGATGAAGTCACCGGAGACAGGAGATGAATGGCATGAAAAGGCTGCAAGACTGCTGTGCTACGCTTTTGCTGAAGATGAGCAACTCAAGCAGACTGTCGAAGAGCTCGACGTGATCCCGCTTCAGAACGGAGAATGGATAAGAGCGAGACATGCACATCATCAATTATCATTCCCAGATACTGATGGCGGCCTTCCTATCCCCCATGACCTTCCATTTAGCATAATTAGTTCATTAGCTTCGGAAGGTGACTACCGTAGTCAACTGTACGGACTTCTTGGAGCAGTGCGCCCGTCGAATCCCTTGGTACGGCAACTCATTTTCGACAAATACTCAGCCTTGATCAGCCGAAATGTAGTATTCGATGGCTGGGACCAACCAGATATCTCCATAGCCCACCTAGAGTTCCTTTACCAAACTGATGGCCCAAAGCCTGTAGACGTTGGTAAATATCAGCATGTCACCGTACTCACTGAGCGGAAAGACTTGGTCACACCATTATCTACAGATGTCTACATCTCCAACGATCACCGATACGGCGCGAAAAACCTTCTGAAGCCAATCGAAAACGCAACGTGTCCTGAATTCACCATTCCAGGATATCCTGTGCACTTCCTCCTGTCTGATTATATAATACCTCCTTCTGAACAGGTTAATGAAGGTGGTGAAGATGAGGCAAGCGCTATTAGGTCAACAGATGTCTGGTTGAACTGGCTTCAAGAGCGTAAGCAACTTGAGAATTGACTTCCCTCCCGTTGGGGTTTTCTGACTTGGAATGTTTTAGGCCTTGGGGTTCTTGTACAGTTAAGACTGTTCAACGGCGCCTCTGAATTTACGGATATGTTTTGCTGGATCATCAGTAACCGACCAGAAGAGATCCTTGGCCTCCTTCATCATCAGTGGCCTATCATTAAAGATCAGGTCTCTCATAGTTCGGAGATCAAAGAGAAGATCGCCAATATTGCGGTTCCATGTGCCGGAAGTCCCGATTTACATTCTCTGTCTAGGACATATCTTCCCACACCAGAACTGAAATCACGCTTCTCTCAATACGTGGAGGGTACGGATGAATTTGCATTTCTCAACTTTGATGATACCCTAGCTCCTAACGATCTGTCGTCGTGGTCCTTTCTTCACGATTATTTTGGCGTGGGAAAATCTGATACACTCCTGTTCTATCTCGATGTCCTTGCTGCTATGAACCGCAGTCAGGTCACTGAGCCCCGAAGAGTGTTCGAAATTTACCAGATCATATATGGAAAAGTGATCAGCTGGGAAGACATTGCAATTGGACGGGAGCTCGTCAGGTTTGTGATGCATTCCGAGTTTTCAATACAACTTAGCTGACCGTCTCCAAGATCCTTCTTCCAAGACCACGCCCTGGTAATGCTTCCTACAGAAAACGGTCTAAGATGGGAGCACAGTGATAGCTGTCGTTGGAACGCCCCCATGAACATGAAGTCCGTTTCGGGACTAGAGGGTTACTATTCTCCAATCTATGAGGATAATGCGGCTTTAAGGAGCACTCTAGGCCCCTTTATGCGCGAGATAGTCGGGGTGCGGGACCTGTCTTGGTCGGATATCGTCACTGAGCTAGAACGACAGAAGACAGACAGCGCAGGTTGGGACAAGGGAGTAATATGCCAAATGTATCAACTATTAGCTAATCTGAAGCCGGATCTTACCGAAGATGAGCTGGTTGAAGTCAAGTAAGTCGTCTGCCTGTTTGAATCTTCACAGAGAGCATGGGCCTCATGCCATATTCAGGTTCGAAACACATGGATAAAGGGCTATTAACACGATGCATAGGGATTTATTCAGCACTAAAGAGTTGGTACTCGCTTCTGGAGGCTGGCACACGACAGAGGCCTGTATATGGTCTAGCGCTACCAGTATACCTGGGAAAGTCGCCCTCAATACCGATTGGCCTTCCATGAAGATGTTCTTCGTTCATGTTCTGGGAGTATCGACATTAACGCTGAACATGGCCTACGAGGAATTGCAGAGGAAGGGAGTATCTGAAGGCGTAACCATATCCGAGGTGAAGCAAGAGCTCTGGCAGTTCAACTCTCTCCTTGCTACCGCCCAGGAGAAGCTAGATGCCGGCCCGATTCTTAAGGGTCGAATTTTTCCCGTGCGGTCGCCCGATGGTTCAGTGGCACTTCTTTCAGCGGCGGAGAACGACTTTGCGATAGTCGACAGAAAAGCTCTGGGACAGAAATTTGAGCAATCGGCAAGATTGCTTGATTTTGCCTTCGATGAAGTACATCGTCTCCGACATTTCCTGGAATGGGCTGGATTAGATGAGCGCCGTCTTTCTGTTAGAGTTACTGAAGTGACAGCACCGGCCAGCAGTGAAGGTGGTACGCTTGAAGAGTCCGAGCGACAGATCAAACCAAGAGCGTATGCGCTGTGTCGGTAAGTAAACCCACCATAGTCATGAAACCGCACTAACGTCAAGGCAGTATCGCGACACATGTGCGCAGTCCTAGGGCGCAAGACCCCGAAACATTCTACCAGCTGCTCAAAAACTCGACGATCATTGAAACGGACGCCATAAAATCCGAGTTGCATCTCCAAGAAGATGACCAGATTTTGAAAGTAGAGCAATTCCAAGCCGAGCTTCACATTGATGCTACGCAGGATACTTTACGCATATACGTTCCTAAAGACGCAGTCCGTCAGGACATATGTTTCCTCTTTAATCTCCCTTATGCCATCTACAAATGGATGATGGAAGATAGTGACGCTACCGTGGGCATACGGGAAAGCGAACAGGCTAAACGTATCATTCAAAGTGTCTTAACTGCCAACCCATCGTCACTCGAATTGCTTCTAGAAAAGGAAGGTATTGTGGAGCTGAGTTTTCCAGAAGTGGAAGAGGAGGAAGTAATGGAAGAGGTCGTGATTAATTCCACAGAGGAAGTTGACTACTACTCGGATATGACATTCCAGCAAACCTCCGACAGTTATTATGCAAGCGGCGAAGACGAAGCGCCGAATACGCCTATCCTCTCAGAAGGTGACAGCGCTACGTTAGTGAGCGAACTTGACAATACATTGGCACAGACTCCGACGACATCCTCTTGGCCTAGTCCTCTCGTCGAAAACAAGGAGGATCAAGATGAAGAATATCCTCTTTCTCCCAACACATCTCAGGAGAAACCCTTCGATTGGCCGACTGAGCCCAACACCGCTTCTCCCGAGACGGTGCGTGCTGCTCCTCCGTCGCCAGAGCCAGCCACGTTCTCGCAGCCATCCACACCTGTTCCTTCGCGGCCTGGCACTCCGACAGATCAGGGTGACCGGAAAGACCGAAGAAACAGGGATGACATTGATATGCGCGGATCCGCATACCTTACTCTTCTCAACAAGGTTATCAGCGTAGCCCGTGGAGCTTGTCTTCCGAACAAGGGGACCTTGGATTTGTCAGCGATGAAGGTCAAAATGAATGAAGTCGACACAAGTATCAATGAGGACTATTTCAAACTGCGCACTGCCCGTGCGATCGAGCGAGACAAGATGCTTGGAGCCGCCGGAGAGTTATATGTAAGCATTCCTCCCTTCCCCATGCCGGTTTGTATCTCTCGTGCTAATGTGGTCCCAGGTATATGAGTTGCTATCGAACGCCAACGTCGGGCTGTCCTTCCCCCGCACGCGGTGGCAGAGCATTATCCGTACATATGTGACTGTGCACTCAGATTACGCGGACATGGGACCTTGGACGGGAATCGAGACAGCTGATTTCGTGTACACCGACTTTGATAGTGTCCTAACTACTGCTTTGATCGATAATGGTTATCTCAATAAGGAGGTATGGAAAGGGCGGGAGCCGACATACTATATTGACGTGAAAACCACGACAGGCGTGTGCGAGACTCCATTCATGATGAGCAAGTCGCAGTGCAAGAGGGTAAGCCATCTCATTCGAAACTTCTGGCCTCGTCCAACGTTCTCCTTGCATCGTTGTTACTAACCGGTTATTGTTTCCAGATGAGGACGAAGAGCAATGGCCCCAGAGGCAAAGAAAGACAGGATAGCATATATGTTGTGTTCCGAGTCTTCAACCTCGGCAAGTCATCGATGGGCTGCGCGATTTATGTTGACCCGGATGCTATGAGGGTCCAAGCCGCTCTGAACTTTAGGGCAGAGACTTGGTCGGTCGTCCCCAGGGCATCTGCGTAACGATCAAGCTGGCTTCCGACAGGAAACAAAGGGAGAGGGTGTTGAGCGGTGAAGTAATCATGTACTGGTGAGGATACTGGTCGACGTCGCCCATCATGAGACGGTCATGAACACACGACGACACTTTTTCTACATGACTTGAATTTGATTTCATGTCATTGGCATCTGTACTCTGCATTAGCCATCGGACCGCACATATTGCAAAGGAGTTACCGGAAGTAAGGCATAAGGACAATGAGCGGCACAATACCTAAGCGATGGAGGATTGAATTTCGGGCGGACTCTCATATTTGACTTGGGTTGGAGTTTTTTTAATAAGAAAATTTTTATCACTCTTCTCTCTAAAGCGTTACGATCAGCCTGACATATATAAAATAAAAGGAATAAGAGTAGAGTGGTAAAATGGTGTTATATTTGATATCAGTTCCCTCTCTTATAGTAGGTACCTAGGTACCTAAGGTAGGTAGGTAGGTATTTACGCTACAGCATCTGAATTATAGGTGTTTAGTCCTCTAGACCCGGCTGGAGTTATAGAGGTACAACACCCAGATAGGTACCTAAGGTACTGTATGTATGCAGATTGCATGTGAAGCACTTCATGATTCTGTGGGCAGTTTGTGGCCAACATCTCGACATCACACAGTGGGAAACTTGTCCTCTATCCAAGACTCTATCCAAACGTAGATTGGCTCATTATTATCATTATTCTAATCTGTGGCAGACTGGGGCAGACTGGGGCTTTCAGCCGCAAGTGCCTTTGACACCGCCATTATCGTAGCATAACGGCATAGCATAAATCATAAAATACAATACACGCAAAACCGCCGTATTTATCCAACGTCAATTTGCCACGCCGGTCGGTCAGGATCCTGCAGCCTCATCAACTCGAGTAACAATCGGTACATGTAAATCACCACATCAATCTCGCGAAACGCGTCAGTGAACCACTGCCGGCCCTGTTCCGCTACCTCCCTCGCCCGCCTCCGTCCTGCCTCCGTCGATGTCAGGTAGAAGACCAACTCAGGAAGCTCCTCCATGCTCTGACTGACCGGTATATAGTGCACCCAAGGCAAGAGCCGCTCGTCATGCCACTCGTGGATGATCGTCTGCTTCAGCGGCAGTGACTTGGACGCCAGAAGTTTATAATACCGCCCACTGATCCCGTTCCCATCGAGATCGAACACCAGCCGCGAACGAAATGGCCGGTCCCCGCTTGCCCACGGCTTGCTGGCGAAGTATTGGCGTTGCTCTTTGCACGCTCTCGCATCGCACTGCAACACGTTGGCAAACGCGACGTCGTATAGTCTTCCGTTGAAGAAAGACGACGCTACTCGGCTGATCATGCCGTCTTTTTCTCGCAGGTACGAGAATGTCCGTCGCTTGAGGTTCTGCGCGAGCTCCACAAACCGCTGTCGGTGCAGGCTGTACCATTCCCCCGGGCGCGCGTGGCCACCCGTCGTAGACCCGGCCCAGTACACATTGTTCTGTTTCTCGTCCCAATCGACGTCGTTCTCGCTGTGGTAGGCAAATCGATCCTCCTCCACGTAAGCCGTGCTCGGATACAGAATATCACCCATTGTCGAGGGCGCGCCGTTGGACAGTACAGGCACCAATCCTTGTGTCAAGCGCAGAGACTCTGGGGCAGCAAAAAGGCCGTGTATTTCACTGTACTCGGCGTGCTGACACAAGTCCATGGCTGCCTTGCGGTCCGTAACAAACGGCAGGCCATAGGTTTCTACCGTGGGTGCGCGTGTGGGACTCGCCCTACCTCTCCTGGACGAGCAATATTCTGTCAAAACATCCCATGCACGCTGGCCTCCCCGATTTGTGATGACGGGCTTGGTAGAATGTGCTGACGTTGGAGGAATCATGACGGTCGGCTCATCAAGATGATTAAGCAGAAATTTCAAATTCAAAGCGGCAGGAATTTTCTCGGTGATTCGGTTGAAGAATTGAGCATTATTTCTATCATTCTCGCGTCCGTGGTGGCTGCACTCTGTTTTGGCTGGCTGACCAGACGTGGTGCAACTCCACAGTTCATGGTCCGGTTCGTTATAGGCTGCGGACATGATATCAAGAACCTCTTGTCCGCTAATCCTAAGGAAAGGTGCTATACCCTCCGATATCATGTCGAATTCATCGATGATAGGAGATCGGTGCGATCGTGTGAACTTATACCACTCTTCAAACCCATCTGGCGGGTCAAATCCATAGCGACGCTGATATTCGGCATAGGCAGCTGGGTAAGTACTGGATTGGTTCCTGAGGAGACCATCGAAATTCGCATTTGCCTCACGAATCAGCATCTCCACAGGATGTTTCACAGCATGTGTCAGCGCTGATGACTGTGCGAAGTGGATAGCTGCTAGGTTAGAAAAATAGGGAAGTAGAGGTATGGCAACTAGTGTTGAAAGCGTCAGTCTCGCTTTGGCTTGTTTTGGTAGTAGGTATAACACTTGGACGAGAGAAAGCAAGGACGCTCCCACGGTTATGAGGGCACGAGTGTCAGTCTGCTGCATGAATGGATTACGAGTCGCTAAGAGGCTGAAAGTGCCGGCTACAGCTGCGACAAGCCATGAGCAATTCCGGGCCTTAGAACATGTCAGTATCTCTCATGTCGCCGGCGGGAGCGCTACATACCAGCTGCGATGTGAAATACCACATGAGGGTTTTGGCCGAGCCCAAGACTAACGTCTCTAGAGCATCAATGCCAGGGAGGCCAGTTAGGTATGATTCTCCGCTGAGCACAATAGCTAGTAGGATCGCTACACGTAACGAAAGAGGCCAAGCCGCAGCCTCTATGTCGACGCTAACAAGCCAGCGGCCCCCAAACCACCGCGACTGTTGGCTAGTTGGAGGTGTAAGCAAAGTATAAGCGACGAAAAGAGCAACCACAGGAGCTGCCGATAACGCGTATGCGATCGGATCCCATTCTGACAAGGCGACGATAGCTAGTATAGCAGTCAAAATAGTGCCGAGAATAGGATGCCTCAATAAGGAGGAGAACGACATATGATATCCGGCAGGAGCATGAGCGCTAGGTCTCAAGTATCTGTGGCCGACGGCAAGAAGCGGTGCTAGTGCTGGCTTCTCAGCGTTAGAGTCGTTCGCGTGATAGTATCGTGAGTTGGGCACCTACAAACAAGACAATAATGCCTTTCTCAGCTCTGAAAACGCTGGAGATAGCAATGCATGCGGCTATTATCCATAGCGATATTGAGGAAGGTGTTTCATTTGCACTCGAATCTGTAAAGCTGCTGACCAATGGTAGGAGGGTTTCGACGGACCCGTCCACATTTCGACGTCGTTTCACGATCGCAAACACTCCTGGCAGCAAAACCCAACATAATAGCTCCGATGTTAATTCGGATCGCTTGGTTGCAAAATAGCATACTACCACACCAAAAATCAGAGCGGCGCCCGCCGACCAAGTGATGTTGTCAACGACACTCCGTGATGACGCGGTGCTCTGCAGCTCGCTGAGCTCTGAGGTCAACTTCTGAGACATGCCGAATGAAGACAAGATAGGATAGTCAGATGTCCCTCCTCCGGTCGCAAATTTCACATCTTCGAAAATGGGTTCACTTTGGAGGGGCGACTCGCTAATATTATATATATATATATATGGTGATGAGGGGAAAAGCAAAATAACAAGCTTTACAACTGATAAACTAGATTTCCAAGCAACCTGGGTATGCTGCGACACTAAAACCAAGTCTGCAAGCCTATTGCGGTAGCTAGGTAATTGGCTGAAACTCTGTGAATCCTGTTGCCTGATCCCTCATCTAGCGACGGCCAAGCCACACTAGGTCTGAGTCCACATACCTGTCCACGCGCACGCGCACCAGAAAGAAAGAAGGTTCATGCGATCGGTACGTTCGACATCCAGCAGCGACGGAAGTGAATAGATGCACGTTGACGATCTGTTGCCAGCCTTGATGTAGGAGTAGGCCCAAGACGTCGGAGATGGTAATTGAGAGGCAGAGGCTATGGTGTACAGAAGGTGCCTAGTCGACTTTGCTGACCTGTGGACTTCAGCGCTGTCGACAGCCAATCTGCTCAGCTTCCAAGCCACGGTAACGACTATTGATTCTTCTGCATCAATACTATAATGTGCGACATCACCTAATCTCAACACCCCCCATAACTCTGTTCCAATCATGTCGAGTGGCATCGCTTTTCATTTGCCGGGGACAGCTAAGATTGCGTTTGAAGGTTGCCACCTCGCGCTGGTCGAATTGAAGTTCCGCCCGGTTCACACGACAAAGAGCCAACTGCGATGTCGAGGCCTAACCTACACGTTCTTATAGCATCGATTTTAGGTTTTCCGAGGAGAAACTACACTGCAACTGTATAATGCAACTTTCTACACTATCCGCCCGTCCTGCGCCGTTACTGCTCAAGGTTAGCACTTGAGGGGACGAGTAACTAGATTATCACAGCGACTTGCTTGCTGAATAAACGCAGTGTGAAACATCACGTGCGCGCTGCATCGTGTATCTTTAATGTGGTTGACTACTAGCGCCAATGCAAGGCACCGAGGCAACGCAGCCAGCTGTGTATTATAGAGATGCTTGCACAAACGAGTCGTCAAAAGCGGATAATACAACAGAAGTCGGACCCAACTCATGACACCAGGTTGATGGATGTGGTTCTCTGTATTTTCAATGAAGTTATAGCGACCAAGCCTATCTCCGATGCGTTGCGGAGTTATAAAGCTTGACCTTAGAGGGGTCTTGATTCGTAAATATTCTGCGTCGATAGGGAATGCCAGGGTACCTTTACTATGTATCAAACATTTGCCTAGTTAAACTACTAGCAGCCGGAAGCTAACACTAGACACAGGGGCTGGCTTCCCATCTTCGGCATGGGTGTTCCTGTTGGGGTTGCATCATACTACCCAGATTCGACCGTGGTGATGGCATTTTGCCCCCAGTCGTGGGGCATCCGGAGCCGATGCTCGGCAGATTTTTGGCATATATGTATGTCCCCTAAACGCATTAGGAAGCAATGGCCGATTTCACGCGATTCATGGAGCGACAAAGAGTCCACAGGCATGTTTGAGTGCTTTTCAGCCAAGCTGTTTCGACTCGTCTACTGGTACGCTTATAAATCCATGGTCTAAACTAATGGCAGTCAAGAAAAACCTTTCACATCTCCCATGTATGATGTGATTGCCCACAATGCGCGAGTATATAAACGGTTGTGCCCATCCCTTGACTGTTTCAGCTCGTACAGCAAGTAGTCAGCGCGACCGAAACGATATTGAGGCAGTCCCGTCTCTCGCGCAAAACGCAATTCCGCATATACGAACATATACCCATCCGTAGGACAGCATGCCGACAGAAGTCATCGACAACGTCCCTGCGAAGGGTATCTCTTACTTCTCACCTTTACAAGATCCCCCGGCCGGTACCGGTCTAGCTTCCAACGTGGATGAACGCGCTATCCCCAAGCTCTTTACCCCCATCACCATCCGCGGCGTCACATTTCCAAACCGGCTTTTCCTATCGCCTCTGTGCCAATACTCGGCAAAGGATGGCTACGCGAACGACTGGCATCTGACACACTTGGGGGGCATTCTTCAACGCGGTCCCGGCTTGACTTTTGTTGAGGCGACTGGTGTCCAACCTCGTGGCCGAATTACCCCGCAAGATGTTGGTCTATGGGAGGACGGTCAGATCGCGCCATTGAAGCAAATTACCGAGTTTGCACGCTCGCAAAACCAGAAAACCGCAATCCAGCTCGCGCACGCAGGCCGCAAGGCAAGCACCGTTGCGCCGTGGTTGTCGTTCAACGCGACAGCCGTCAAAGAGGTTGGCGGTTGGCCGGATGATGTGTTCGCGCCTTCAGCAATCCCTTTCGTAGCTGACAGAAACCCAACGCCCAAGGCCATGACCATCGAGGACATCGAGCAGCTCAAGCGCGATTTCGTTTCGGCCACTAAGAGATCGGTCGAAGCTGGTTTCGACGTGATCGAAATACGTATGTTCCCTTTAAGGGTCATCAGCATGTCCCGGAGTGCCCTAAACCACCTCTATACACCTGAAAGAGTAATTGCTAACTCCAGCAAATTTAGATGCCGCGCACGGATACCTGTTTCACGAATTTCTGTCACCCATCACCAACCAGCGCACGGATCAATATGGCGGCTCGTTCGAGAACCGCGTTCGTATCCTGCTCGAAACTGTGGAGGAGGTCCGCAAGGCGATGCCCGAGAGCATGCCTTTATTTGCCCGCATTAGTGCTACCGACTGGTTCGAATTCGACGAGTCGTCGAAGGAAGAGTTCCCGGAGACGTGGACAGTCGAGCAGTCACAGCGCCTTGCACCGCTCCTAGCTGAGCGGGGTGTCGACTTGCTCGACGTCTCGTCAGGCGGTGTACACGCCAAGGGTGCGGCTGCAATCAAAGCCGGCCCTGCTTACCAAGCGCACTTCGCAGCGGCTATTAAAAAGGTCGTTGGCGATAAGATGTTAGTCTCAGCTGTCGGTGGCATCTCTAGCGGGAAAATCGCAGAAGAGGTGCTACAAGGCAGGAACGGTGACACACCGGTCGATACTGTTATGGCCGGCCGTTGGTTCCAGAAAAACCCGGGCCTGGTAATAAAGTTCGCTGATGAGCTCGAGGTCGAGGTGAAGATGGCCAATCAGATTGGATGGGGCTTTATTGGAAGGGCTGGGAAACCTAAGAAGACCCAGAAATTGTAGGTGCCCTTATTATGACGATAGACAAGTGGGCGATACCATTGATAGATTGGTGGTAATGAGGATATGCGTGATGCTATAATGATCAATACATACACGGGTGACCAAGTATCCCGTTCACACCACATGTCTCCTACTCAACAGTAGGCTGTACCACCCATGCCGATTGAAATACAGACGATAATACCAAGGTTACTGCTGGCATAACTTTAGGATGTGGTGATCTCACATGAAGGATGAATGGTATGATACCTTATGCGCAGAGCAACTATCAGCTTCATTTGGTTGTACACAAAAGTGCGCAACAGATCTTGTGTTATTCAATCACTGCATTCTATCAACCCAGCTTTGGATTTTATCCGTACCGACTACGAATGACCAGCACAGCTTGGCGAACTCGTCAAATTCTGTCGAAAGATACTGCGATATCACAGGCTGGGGTGTCAAAGAAGGAACCATCAAAGGAGATCGAGCGTCGCCACGACACAGATTGAACCATTTCACAGCAGAGTTGGCATCCCACAGTCCGCAACGCGCAGTGAAAAGGACGTATCCTTCACAATCGGCCCGACCTACTGTCATTATCTCGAAAGTGTTCAGCGTGATGTCTATTATGAGATATGTCCGTCGCACACTCTCTGTCAATATCCAGAGCTGCCAGATCTCCGTCGCCGTGTCGTAGTCGCTGTGGAATTCGCTCGATGTCCCCAAGAGTGGGCGATAGGCGTCCCGGATTGACGGGTAGTCATCCCAATTGTGCCGCTTCACAGTCTCCCACATCTGGCCTAACCATGACCGAAGGGTAGGAATTTGCTGTGCCGCGGATGCCCGCATGCGTACGGAGCCGTCAAAAAGACGGATGAACACGTACACAAAAAGGGAGTGGACACGAGCTAGATGAGCCCATATCTCCTGGATACCATTGACGGCCGGATTGACTGTGTGTTGTGTGAGGGTGGTGGCGCGGTCGTCTGCGATCTGCAGGATCGTCTCTTTTGTCGCTGGAGTCCGGTTCGCGTACGCGGCGAAAGTCGTGAAGGCGTCCTGCACACAGGTCGGCATGCCCTTGTCGTATAATCGCCGGTGTATGAAGTTGCTGGAACCATTTGTGACCCAAGACTGCAGCATTTTCTCTACTTCGCCGATGAAAGGCTCCATTTCCACGGTTGTCACACAATCGGGGTCATGTTGCTTGTGATGCATCCTGAAAGTGTCATCTTGTAGGAAGAAAGGGGTAGATGATTTCCGCAGGAAATTGTTGCTATCATGAATTGAGAGCGCCTGATCTGGGATGAGAATAGGAGTCGGAGCCGTTGATGTTATTTGGGGTGGAGTTATAGCCTCATCTAGGAAAGCCGCCTCGAGGTTATTTGCAGATATTAGATCCCAGTGTCCAAGATCGGGATGAACACCGCTTGTAGCATCGGAACCAGCAGTGCCACTGAAGCTAGTTTGTTCAGGCAAAACTAGACTCTCGGTGTGTCCTGAGGTTGGAATAGCTTGAGTTTCGTGCGCCGTACCCGGATCCCGACGCCGTTTCCTGGGCTGAGGGTAAGCACAGTCCAAGTCTTTCTCAATGCACCGGCGACACGCGGGAAGCTGTTTGTCACACCTCCGTTTGGATTCCGCACAGGGAATGCAAGCTTTCTGGCGGCGGGGAATTGCGGCCATTATGCGGAGGGTTTGGTAAACAGCAATCTTGGGTTTCAAATCAGGTTGACTAAGCTATGTAACTGAGAGTTGGAATATGATCTTCTGTATAAGGAGTGTAGTAGTATGTTTAAGTGCATACCTAAAGCCCTTCAACATGCGTTCCTGTCTCAATAGTGGCATTTATTATGTTATCCGGGCTTTACACTAACACAGGGGGGGGGGGAATGGTAATAATAGGAACAGAGCAAGCCTCTCATAAATGGCTTCATAGCGTTGCTGCGCTTAATAAAATGGAATTATGTTTTAATTGATTTTATTTCCTCTTGATATACTGGCAAAACTCATTCTTCATTCCTTCTAGAGTGACTAAAGTCGTGGGAGCAAGCGCTCTAAGCATGTGCGGAAAAGCTGCGGGGAGTTTGCGGAACTTGCTTCAGGCCTTCACTAAAGAACTGTTACAAGATTGAACAAAGCTAGGTCTGATCTGAGTCAAATCATGATTTCAAAGCAGCAACGAAATAAAGATGGCCGCGTGCCATTCTTTACATTATAAAATGACAAGCATGTGCTGTGAGTTCTGACTCTCTGCTATACCCAAGTTCATCCTAAAGAAACATAGCAGTCTAGAGCGCAAGATATCATTGGTACTTCTTTGGCATTATAAGAAAACTCCACCAACACGCCATGTCTCCTACAAAACCAGTCAAGATTGCCCTCGGCACACACACAGTTAGTATTCGCTCAAGATTAAGAGTTTCTTTGAGTTAAACAATCCTCAGGTTGGCGATAAAACCGTGGCGCCAGGTATCGTTCATTGGGACGAGCAAAAAGATGTCCAGGCTCTTCTCGACACATTTTACAACCGCGGCCACAGATATATCGATACTGGGAGCAACTATCCTCACTCTGAAGAACGCCTTGGTAAAGCTGGAGCTGCAAACCGTTTTACCATACTGACCAAAGTCCGAGACGGCATCCCGGGATCCCACACGTCTGCCAAGATCGAAGCAAGCATCAAACAGTCTCTTGAGGAGCTCAAGACGCCCTCCGTGGACACTATGATGCTGCATGTTCCCGATCGCGAAACACCTTTTGAAGTCGCCGCTAAAGCGATGAACGACGCTTTCCGAAAGGGACAGTTCAAGCACTTCGGACTCTCAAACTACGCCGCCACTGAAGTACAGAGGTTTCTCGACATATGCGAGGAAAACGGCTACGTCAAGCCCACCGTCTACGAGGGACATTACAATGCGATCTATAGAAGCGGCGAGAAGGAGCTCTTTCCCTTGTTGCGTAAACACAATATCACCTTCTACGGCTTTAGGTAGGTTAGCCCGATAGAAACACCTGGAACGAGCTGACTTGTGTAGTCCCGCGGCGGGTGGTCTCTTTTCAGGTCGCAATGCCTCAACTAACTCTAAGCGATGGGACAAGGATGTAAGTGTTGCGTCAGGAGGTGCCATTAAGTGATATTACTAACAAAGAAAAAGAACCAGATCGGGAAGAACTACACTGGATTTTATGGGCACCCATTGATCCAAGCCTGTGTAGCCCCGATTCTTGCTGCCGCTGAGAAACACGGCATCAGCGGTCATGCCGCTGCGCTACGGTGGACCGCTTTTCATAGTACTCTTGATGGAGTTTACGGAGATGGGATCATCTTCACGGCATCTAGCATAGAGCAGCTCAATCAGACTCTTGACGCAATTGACGCAGGCCCTCTTCCCGCTGATCTTGCGGATACTTTCTCAAAACTCTACTCATCTATCGAAGAGGCTGTCGTTTCATACCACTTGTAGGGTTTCTATTGCATATACTTGGGTATACGTCAAGAAAGGAATCGAAAATTGAGGCAGCGAATAGACGAGGTTGAGCAAGTTGCAACACAGAACTTAAGTTGGACACATAAGAAATGAAAAAGCATAACTATACATATTACATTACTGAATATCACCCTTTGCCAAGCGAGAATATTCAATAGCAGTACTGTACCAATTCTGACCGATCTACCAAGTCTACACGTCTGAAGCTAACCGTCATGTACCTACACATCTTCAATGTGAATAGTATTCCGGGCGTGGAAATTGATGAAGGAGTAGAGGTCTATGACCATGGCAATTGCAGTCTCTTTAATCGGTCTTATGCTACCGCTACGTCTCAATCCTAATTCTAATTTTTAACTCTGGTTATGTACCCTAGCTATACATCGATAACGCCATTGTAAGCCATATGTTGTTTATGCGGTAATTATACCTTGGTTGTAAGATGATATGGACTTTTAATTATTCTTGCTTATACACTGAGCCAACATTAAAGACCCCAAAATAGATGGACGAGATTATTCGCTCACAACATCCACCATGGTTATGATTTCGAGATTCTATTAATCGGTTCTTAAAAACTCGTCTATTTATGTATATAGTGCGCCTGGGTTTTCCTCCGATTTCATGCAATTGGCCCTATTCCTGGGTATGTTATGCTAATCATTCGTGACATAAGTCATGGCTGGTCATCTATCGTGCCAATCCAACAGAAGGTCGTCTTCCCATCATTGTTTCGAGTTGGAGGAGGTCGATTGCATATTCAGGCTCGCCTTCTAGCGTCTCCCGGATATAGTCCATTGCTGTGATTGTTACTGACTTCGACGACTGGTTGTCTTCGCCGGCGGTCGGCGTGTTAACTTGCAATTCAACATGGGGGTTGGCACCGTGGTGCAACAAAGACTTAATGGCCGCTACCCATCTCTCTCGGTTCAACATCAGCCTCTTGCTAGCATATGTTTCCATCAAGTGTGTCATGGTTGCGCTTCCCCTAGAGAAGTAATGACGTCCAGCTTTTAGCGCTTTCGGCCACGCTTGCTCATCCTCCCTCGGGTCTGCGCCAGCTTCATACAATACGTCTAGCAGCCTGCTATCGGGCATGTCATGGTGGAAGTCAAGATAGTCTCCACTCAAGCTCACACAGGCGCTGAAGCCATCGCCTTTAGGACTAACGACATAAACAAGAAGCTCCTGTGCCTTCTTTCGCCTGGCCTCCTTATCAAACCGGTTCAGTTTATACTGCACGTATCTGACGAGGTTGGCCTGTACCACCAGGGAAAGGAAATCTTTCCTCTTGGGTGACTTGCCTGCTTCCATCGGCTCAAAGCCAGCCCAGTGTTTTCGTAAAAGACCGGGAAGCTTTCGATCATACCAATCTGGGTCCTCGACTAGTGGTTTATGATTTCTCAAGGCCGCGAGCCAAGCCCGTTGGTTTGACGCGTCTAATTCGTCTAGTAGATCGACATACATTTCAACATTCTTTGTTTCTCCATCGATCCTCTCAGCATATCGCAACGAGTTTGCAATAATGAGCCAGGCATCTGGTCTAAAGCGGACATTTGGCCACGTAAGGACCGGAGGCTGAATAGTCTCAAAGGCCTTAAGATGTCTTACACACCCACTCAATAAAGCAAGATCAAGATCGACATCATCCACTTCGTGAACACTAGGAAGACGCTTCCAAATATCCTCACGGGCTACCCATTCTTTGGTAGTCTGATGATTAAATACCACACGACGGGCTGTTTCGAGAGTATCTGGTGCAGCTTTTGATTCTGCTTCCAGAAGACCAACACAGCACACCTTCAGACGGCGTTGCATTTGATCGGTTAACTGTTGGAGTGTAGCTTTGGTGAATGGCCGGGCAGTGTCTTGCACTACTTTAAGCTCGTTACGATAGGGATCTAGATATCCCTGCTCAGCGAGGGCAAGAGTGATAATACTAGGAGGCTGTTGGGCCCTTAAAACGAGACGGAATATGCGACAAGCGTCGTTTTGGTCTTCAGGCTTCAGGTTCTCAATCATCCTCATGTACAACCCGTCGGTTCCGCCGAGTCGAGTTGGTAGGGAATCCAAAGTAGACCGAAGTGTGCGAAGACTGCCGTCAATAACCATATCAAGAGCGAGGCGTGCCCATAATATGTCGCCCCGGCTCTTTTGCGCCAGCTCGGCACATAGATTGACTGTATCTGGGAGTCCCGGGGCTTCGTCCTCTAAACGGCCAGATATGTATTCAGCAATGGCATTTTCCGTGTGCTCCTGAAGCTTGATTCTGGGGAATCCATTGAGGGCTTCTTCGAAAACGGGAAGTTCGCGAGAACTAACAACGAACTTGATGACGTCTTTACTCGCCATGCTGTTCAAAAGCTTGGTGATTTCCGCGTGAGAATCTGTTCGCCATTTACTGTGGCCCCAAGACTCGTCGCCTTCCTCTATGTCATAGTGAACTTCAATATCTCCAGGCTCGTAGTGGTCCTTTCGTTCCATTATGCGGTATTCGTCGATAGCATCGATGAAGACTACTAGTCTCAGCTTCTCAGACATTTGTGCAAATAGAGAATAGAAACCTTGGTTGAGATTGGTTGTGCTGGTGAACTGAACTGGAGGCGGCCAAGGACAATCGTAAAAACTTGGGAAGGCAACTTTAATAAGATCGCGTCTTATCGACAGAATCTGATACAGCACGCTTCGCAGGAATCCTTCGTATGTTTTTTGGATCCGGTTGCCCCCTTCGAACATGTAGAACCTGGCCATAATCAACTCACCACCCTTAGCCCACCCTTGAAGAAGCTCCTTCCTCGTCTCTTGGGACTTCCAGGCGTATTTCATTAAGGTGGACTTCCCAGACCCTGCCTTGCCGCTAATCCACAGAATAGGCTCCTTAGAATATAAAAATGAGTTGAAGGGCGAGACTTTCGGTGAGAGTATCCATTCGCACGTTTGACCATATGCTGGGTCGATACGGGATTCTCTTTCCATCATGGTATCATAATGTAACGCGTTGAGGATATCTAAATTGAGCATATTGGTCAGTTTCATTAATCCGAAACGCTGGATAAGAACATACCTTGACTTCGTGGTTCCTGAGCGTCCACTTCTGCTTGCGAGGGTCCCGAAATAATCTTTTTGATGTGTGAAACGATTCGGATGTACCCGGCCTCATCCTTGCTTTTGAATCTACACAAATCCAGGTGACTCGCGGGTATCTCATCCTTTGTGACATTGAAGTTATCATAAACGACGGCATCTTTTGGTACCATAGTCTGCATTGTACCTTTTCCCAGCTCAACCCCGTTGGCATCTTGGATGATGTCGATTGATGCAGCGATTGTTGTTGGCAGCTTTTCTCTGATACAAACAACCTTGATATCTCGTGACACCAGGAGAAATGTGCTATGTTGATTCTCAAGAAGCAGATTGCTGTCGCGGAGAGCTCTCAGCAGGGATGGTGAGGGCATAGAAGGGGAAAGAACAGCTGTTGCAGCCACACAGTCACCTAATGTTCGCTTCCCACTCCTCGTGTGAGGAGTTGCTAGAAAGATGCATCCCACTGTGCGCGGGTACACATTACCCAGTTCGACGTGCGCACCATAGATTCTTGATAGAGCCGCGGTGACCAATGCTTCCTTAACTAAAAGACCTCCCAATCCATGGCCCACGAAGATGATAGGGCGCCTCGTCCCAGATCGAATACGTGAGATGTCATTCAGAAGACTTTCGGCTTGACCAGCAAATGTATCACTACTACTCAGCGCGCTGGTCCACCCCCAAGAGATGATTCGGGCGTTGGATATGTCTTGTCCCAAGAGGTCGCGAATCCAACACACACCGCCTTTCGTGTAACTCGTCAATCGGGATCCGAATAACCCATGTACAAACACAATATCGATACCCTCCTCACCCGGTTGAATGCCATCGTGGAGTATGCATGGTCCTCTCCCGTCCGCGCTATAGAGTATCCTTTCACGAGAGCTGCCAGCCGAGCTGCTCGTGCGCCCGACACGATCCAGGCGCGGCCCCTGGAGAGTATCGCGTGAATCACGGCCGCTGGCACGAGTAAGGCGAGCAAGCGTCTCCTTAATCCGCTGCATTGTTCATTGTTAGTAGCGTTTTCTATTCGAGTACACTGTCGAGAGACATGTAGGAATAATTGATTCTTGAACGACGTCGAATGAATATGAAGTTTGTCAGAATCGCCTAGTTGCATCAGCTGTGTCGAAAAATGTGCGTTTACCTATTTGTCGACTTCCCTGTCAGAAATCCCATTTGGACAGGGGCCGGAGTCGTAACCGTTGCAGCCGGGACATGGGATGGACGTATGGTCCCATATCATTAGAGTGCACCATAGGACTGAGCAGGGACTTGCAGGCTTAGCCATCCTTGGCCACACACAGCTCGCTCATTCGTCCAGTTTGCCCATCATATCTGCCTCTGATCAAGGACTCCATTCAGGAATTCGGGCTTTCATACCACCTCTGTACAGGAGTTGACGTAGAATATTTGCAAATGGAGTGGATCTGCAATCGCCGCTTTTACATACTTAGTAGGTCGCCATTACATGCATGTACATACAGCACCCTACGTTGCCTACCCTCCTCCATATAATGTCAGCTTTTACTCGTACTGTAAGTACGTCTACCAAACCTACAGTACCACTTCTCTGTCGCCATCAGGTGTCAAGTATTGCCACTACTCTGCACTACCGACTACACTATGGGGTGTACACTAGATAGACTAAGTAGACTAAGTAGGTGCTCCGTACATGTATTATCCCCCGTGCCGCTAGACTAAAGTCCTATCAAGTGGGTGTCATGAGGCTTCCTCCGTGGTACTAAGTACATTAGTATGATAGAGTCTTCATTGGAAGGATCGAACCATACTGTAGTATATACTTTATCTGGAAAGATTCCTACCTTAACTACGCCCTAGTGTTTAGTTTCATAGCCTAGCCACCTGTTTCAGCACTTTGCTACCTTATTTACACTACCGTGGCACATGGGAGCAGCATCATGTAGTATGTATGCACACATGCCAAACTAGTTTCATGGACAATGCCAAGGCGATGAACTTGGGCACGGCCTTTGTAGTGGAAATCGTAGAACAGGTTCGGGTAAATGAAGCCTCATAGTCTAATTCTTGACGCTCATGATCTTAACAGCACACCATACTACACTTCATCAAAGACTCACTACTTACGCTATGGGTTCAGAATAACTGAGGGATACGCTAGATCCAATCAGAAATATCCGTCAGAATACAGGTAAGTAGTGTATGAACAAGGAAGAGGTCATTAAAAAGGAGGGGCAAGTGGGAACGAATAAGCGGGCTGTGGGCTGTTTTAATTCGCCAAGTTGTCAACGATCCCTAAAGGGGCTCTTCTCCCTCCCAACTGGAATTCGAAATGAATTAAAATCAGGTATTGAGAATAACAACCCATTATGAAACTAACCTTCCTGGACCACCAAGACTCCCAACATGTTGAAATACCAGAGGTTTGGTGGTATTGAAATCCTTGTCTGGACCCTCCCTCTGCCCGTCTGTTATAAATTCAAGACAAGGCGAACTGAGTGCTAGAAGTTCATGTAAAGTTACTGTACACTAAAGAGAAATCTCCATATCCACACACGCAGATATCAACGAAAAACTCAACATGCCACTCTTGCTATTATAGATGACCCTCGATGACTACCATATCTTAACCGGAGTGGCGTGTGCCCGGGACCCCTGCTCGGGGACTTTCCGCTGCCTCCCGCCTCCTTAGCTACAGGACACTAGTTTGTACTTGGTAGTAACACTTCCGTGGATATATTAATATTCCCCTAATGCGGAGTAACTGATGTGCGTTGAATATCCACATCGCTGCGTAAGTATATTCATGCACCCAACCCATGACCAAGGTTTTTCTTAACTACTAATACCTACTCAGTAAGTATGTAGTGAGAAATTACCATCATGTACCGTATGTAGCCAAGAGTGTTCCAAAATGATCTGGAATGGTTCGTACATGGTAATAGCGAGCCTCGCAGTCGGGTCCGCCGTTGTATCTGACGCAACGCGACGCGGGCCGGATTGCAGTATCAGGTCATCCCGGCAATGTGTGGGTCTAGCTTACACGACATATACTACTGTAAATAATGTAATGTAGCAGCGGCACTGTGAGACGACAACGTCTAGCTTCCTCCGGGAAAGTCCTAATTGTAACTTGTTACATGTACTCAGTCGTCATCACGCCGTGGGATAATACGTACAAAATTCTTGCAGGGTATCAAAGAATTGGCCGTAGTGTGCCCGTTTCTCGGAGTCGAATGAGTTGCAGACCAGTATCGCAGTTGAGGACCAGGTTCGATGTTAGTTCGGAATGCGTGGAAATAGTTAGGTATACAGGTATTGTACATCTAGTGTATACAGTAAGTATCTTTCCTCGGCCAGACACAAAATTGTTGTCTAGAGTTGTCTGGGCTAAAGTGATCATGAAAACCCAGGAGCAAGGTGGGTGCATTCAACTCAAGAATCTAAGTGGACAGTTTATAATTACCTCTTACCTGTTGACAGGGCCACAATATACTAAAGTAGACAGTCTCTACCTAAGGAAAAATGTGACCAATCAGGGTATCCATAATTCTCGTTATAGTTAACAAGCATATACTATCCTCATTCGTTACGCCCTTAGGAAGGTTCCTGCTGGGGTCTTGTTTAATCCAAGCCGAAGCTGTAGTCATATACATCAAGTAGATAGGATCTAGACGTTTAATCTAGCTCTTCCAGGCTCCTTAACCTCTCGAGACAGGGCTTCCTCCACATCTGGTATTCCACGATCAGAATTCCATTCCTGCACATAACCTGGCCCTGCCCACGTGTTCCCGTGTCTTAGTCTGTGGTTACAAAAGGTGCCTCTGAGAAATCACTTACGAGCTTGTAGACAGGATATTGAAGAGGAGGAGTCCTTCATTTTTCCCAATCGGTTGGGCTCGTCTCCCTTTCCTCTATTCATAACATTAATCTCACATAGCACTATAAGCAGGACGTCATACATACAATATCTGGGGGCCCATCATATCCACAGCTCGCCGGGATTTTGCATCAACGCTTTGACTCGAGCCCTTCCAGCACTTTATACCGTTCTGCATGCAGCTTAGATAGCTACTAGCGGCCAGGATGAAGGCTACAATACTCCAGATTGCTCAGCTTATTCGCTCTACCTTAAAATACTCTTTCTTGCACCATGTTGAGCCTACGTCGGAACACTCAGAAAAGTCCACGTTATCCTCCGAGGCAACATGTGTATCCTCAAATCTTCATGGGAGTGCCTTGGCTATAGCCACCCAACTCAATGGAAAAGTGTTACATCTCTCTGACCTCACCAAGGTGTTTGCTTCGTGGCCGACGGCAACAAACAAGCATGTTCGTGAGTTAGAGACTCTGGTCGATTCTCTGCTTGAGCGAGTCGTCACGAATGAGCGGAAGTTGAAAGCGCTCAAGCAAGCAGACTTTGCTCGCCTCATGTCTTTGTGAGCTACTCTATTCAACGTCACTCATAGTGTCACTAACACTCGCAGATGGTATCCTGACGCCGAATGGCCAGAGCTACTGGTTGCCACAGCGTACTCTGTATGGATCTTTGTCTGGGATGACGAGATTGATGCAGGTGATACCGACGCTGCAAACCACGAGGAGCTGGCTCAAGCTTACTACAAGCAATCCCTCGCCTATATTCACAGCCAACTGGGCCTTGATAAAGACCAGAAGGATGACATTGAGGCGCCTCACCAGAATATGGCTTTATTTGCGGATGTAGGCCGCGGATTGCTAAAGGCGACCGATACTCAACAACGACAGCGATTCTTTGACGAGCTGGAGAATTTCATGCTACAGGTGGGCGTTGAGCACTCGCACCGTATGGCCGGAACAATGCCAACTACGGATGAATATATGGAAATACGATCAGGCTCTGTCGGATGTGCACCACAAATCGCTATCACCGAGTGAGTGTCTTTTTCGTGCCGTAATGCTATACAAAGCTAACGCTATACAGCTACATGCTAAAGATAAGGCTTCCTGAGACAATTATGGAGTGTGCAGTTATGCGGTCTCTCTGGAGAGAAACCGTCTATATTTGTCTTATACTGAATGATGTTTACTCAGTCCAAAAAGAAATAGTAAGTTGGTTGAAACCCAGGATTTCCTGAAAACACCTCTAACTCCAGTCTCAGCTCCAGGGATCGCTTCTAAACATTGTGCCTGTGATATTCCATAACATGAAGCGGGGTGAAATGGACGCCGTGTCAAGAGATCTGGATGTCACGCTTAAGGAGTCAATGGAGAGATTTGAGGCGGCCGCAGAGGAATTTAGGGCCATGGCACCTGAAGACTCCGAGTTGCATGGCAACATTCTCAACTACATCAAGTGGTGCCGCTATTTCATCACAGGAGTGCTCTACTGGAGTCTGGAGTCGCGCCGCTACGGAATGGCGAAATGCATCAATGCAGATGGTACATTGAGTATTAGATTATGAAGCGACCACGACCGGGTTGTAATTCTTCTGCAGTCCGGATGCAACGGGGTGTCGAGGTAGTCCCTGGTAGTTTCGACATCATTAAGTATAATGTCACTTCGTACTGTTACAGCCCAGTCCTGCAAGCCATTATGTGCGTCAACACCAACACGTGGGGAGGGCATCAACGCCCCCTGTGCCCCCCGCTCTTTTTCTTAACGAGGCCGTAATTAGGGTAATTAGCCTCATATTATTACTGTACAGCATATACTTCCATTTCTTTACCAGGATAGTGATAATGATGCTACGCTGCAGCGCAGCGCAGCGTCTCGGATCTTTTCATATATAGCAGGTGGCTATCGCGTTCGCAGTGGTCGTCGATCATTATGCATGTTAGATGTAGAAGGGGTAAGCATCAACTCACACCTTGTCGATTATTGCAAGTAAAGTAGGTACCGGTAACCTAGGATAGGATACTTACTGTAGATGTTCTGCCTGTAGAAGCCAACACTTCGCAGCCAACAGTTGCAACCTCAATATGCGGTCAGTAGATAGGAAGTGACCGATGGCGCCATCATATCCAGTAGCTTAGCCAAATGCTATTCATCGTAAGGAGTCCACCAGGGTTGTCTGAAACGCGAATACGGATTACGCTGCGGACGCCTTTCAAATCCCCTATGTGAAAGCCTTCATGCCTTGCATCTAACTAGCATCCCGTGTAGCCAGTTAGAGGGGTAATTTGCGAAGAGTTTTCTACTTGCTATGTACTCCATAGTGTGAGTACAATACATAATAAGCACCTTATCTTGACGGGAATTTACTTAGTACACGGAAATCTTGCCATAGTTGGGTCTATTAACACCATGGCCGACGGAGACTGACTTACGCGATGGATATCAAGAGTAAAGTAACCATCGGCCTCATGACCTTTTTGGTTGATCAATAGCACTGATATAAAGGTAAATGCCATTGTAATGAAATGTATGTGATTTCTTTTGTAACCTGCGCTCGTTCGCCGGGAATGCACTGAAAGCAGCATGAGGATTCCCCCACGTTATTGCATTGTGGCTCTACTATAATACCCGACCCACCACGGTATCCTGATCGCATCTACATTCCAGAATCAATCAGCCGATCCGCTGCGGTTCGTTCCGTATGCAATCGTATCCCGGTCCTCGATAGCTGCGATGTTGGCTCTCCAAGAGGAGTGGAGATCACACAACCATTAACTGTGCTCAGGTGAGTGTGGCCGAGCTTGGGGCGGAACCTATTGTCCAGGGGTTGATGCATTGGCCAGGTATGTCACAACAGACTAAGTATGAAAGCATGAGTACATACAACCCTCCATGTACCTTCACCGTCACACCACTAGTTCGATTCTGCTACCTGTTATGATGCAATACCGTTATTGTATATAGCAGCGTGCATATAACGTGCATACCTATAGTTGCCGCCTATGGTTGAAGGGTCACAGTGCAGCCTACTTCGTGGGCCCGGCATACGTACTATGTAGGTACTCTTTCTTTGTTATGTTCTCCCTCCGGATAAGACTACAATTTTCTTTCCGTTAGAACTTTTGGCAATTGGGTACATCCACTTATAGACGCAGTTTAAAGGCAAGGTGAGGTCTTCCGGATCAGGCCCAACAGTGGACAATATGCAATTTCATGCAACGCTTAAACTGGATATATAGCCGAAATGTTAAGGCTCTTCTCATGCCAATATCCTCATCATGTTTTGGCAGTTAATCTAGTGTATAGCATAGAAGGGGGATTAAGGCAAACTTTGCTCGGCTACAATCTCATACTATGATCTTTCCACCGTACTACTTTGAATCGTAGGCCTGTAATCAAACGTGATTACTTCATCTTTACACTGCTGCTTTTGCTTTGTAGAGGTGTTATTGTTTTCAAGGATTGCTTGAGATACACACCTGTCATGAGGAATTTTAGTTTTCAGCGCTTTCACTTATATGTACATTATATAGGAAGGCTAAGAACGGCTGAGAAATAAGACCAAGAAGATATCTATGCTACAGAGGTTGCAAATTACTCACATCCCATTGTGCGTTGCAAGTAGAATTAGAAAATACTTTATGTCTATAACAAGGGCAGATGACTGGGCTTGAAAATTGAAGTCATTCAGATTACAATGATCAACCAGAGCTGCATGAGTCCTTGACCAACCAACTCCTTCTCAGCTGTTGGTGGCTTAACTCGACTCTATATACAACTGATCTGCCAGCCCGGACCCCCTGGGTCCCTACTTAGGGTCTGTTTCAAGAAGCGACATCTGTATAACCTCACTTTCCAATATTGCCTACATGTCTCTGGATGATTATTAACAGCCTACAATGGCTTTTCGTACGACCGAAGTGCAAGGCGGACTGCATATTCAGCTAGTACAGCTAATACAGCTTGTGCAGCTTGTACACGTGTAACAATGTCACCTAATGATTTACACTGCAGTTCTACTTATGGTGACTTACAACCAAGACAAATATCAACGAATGTATGAGCAGAATTATTATTGTCCCTTCGGATATGAGATAGAGTGTATCTAACGAATTGGTGGAACTGGTTTCATTCACAGTCTTTCGCCCAAACTACTTGTTATTATGTACAATTCAGTGCCAAATCCTTGACCATTGGCGATCAGGTTCAGGACAGAGTGGTAATCAGTTAAAACCCCATCTCAGTGCATATATATAAACTAACCTACATGCATGCAGTGACTCCGGGCGAACCTATTGGGAACCACGCTTGCAGGGATCTAATTAAAGTTAGCCCCTTTATTTGTGAGCGATAATCATGGTACTAAGGCTACTTCGCTTGGTTACTAGCTAACTTGTGATCCTAATCGATGGTGTGGCTCGTAATGAAATGGATAAGGCCGCGTGAGAAAATATACAGCCACTTTAGATAACCTTGTTCACACCGTAGAGAGTAGCGTGGTTCGTTCACTTGAAGGCGCTAGCATAGAGGAGTTATCAATTCATATTCGTTAGGGTCTATAATGCACATGGTAGGTCATATTCCATATATGACTATTAGTTGAGAAGGCAGTTCTCGTCTGGATGACAAGCATTCAACTAAGGCTCAGGATTGGAGCCATTCACACGAAAATATACCATTATAGCTGTCTGGGTCAGTATGATCCATTCGGACTCCTTCTATCTTCTTGGTGACTAATTTTGGACCAACCTTGACAACCCCTAAGATGGAACTCTCCTGCATCGTTCTAAGTTGCAGCCATTCACAATATCCAAAGCCGCTTCTAAATGATCGAGATTGATCACCTTTCCATCTAAACCATCTCTCTTCATCAAGCGTGATTCTGTAACAGCCTTGATGCAACAAGGTCAGCCATCGCGTATCATCTAAGAAGACTCAGGGAGGTTCTACAAATAATAACGTGCGTTGTTACAGCTGTGACAAATATCAGCTTGACTAAGCTAGAGGGCCCTCAAACTGGTGTATATTGACGCAAGAGTTCATTACTAAACGAGGCCTGTTCAATATATATATATATATATATATATATATTAGAGCAAAAGTCGAAGCCACTATCTCTTGGGACATTAACGAGGTTTATTAAAGTTTAAGACTGTTTAACTTGTATAGGCTGATGCTATATCTAAGACTTGGGAGGCTCAAGACCACGTAGAGGCCAGGGATCGCCAGTAAGTTCATCAAAACCACTAATTAGCTCATGAGTTTACCAAGTGTGGGTAGAACGAATGACACCTAAGTCTTTTTAATAAGATTCCCTTTAGCTAATATTGAACTAACTACTGCGTGATATTACATTATTCATAACTTATACTTTTAACTTGAACTTCAAACTTAACGGGGAGGGCGACGAATTTTAGAAAACACCTTAACTAATTCTATCTAATTTAGCATGATAAAAACTGCAATCTTGCCTCGACAGTAATTCACATGTTCCATTCTCTGACAGGGGGACCAAATCATCACCCCAAGAGATTAGTACTATAACCAAGTTGTTAATTAACAAGACTCGCACTTGAAGCCATTTAGAATGCAATAATCTTCCAGGGCTACTATATTCTTTGGTCACCAGACTATTTCTTGGCCCGATTGCCTGAAATGGATACTCTATAAAACTATGCGTAGTACCGCATTTCCTACTTATTCTGTCAAACACTGAGAGACACTTTTCTAGCTGAATCTCTTTGATCAACATACCTGGACGGAGTTTTGCCTGTACATAAATTAAGAATAATATCCGTAAGACCCCTCTCGAAGTCTAAATGCTCACCGATTAGATCATAAGACTATCATTAATTAACGTAGAGCTCAAGCCTCTGACGTAGTACCAATAACAAATTCACTGGTATTCAGCTTGTGGTGACGTCTCTGGCAGAAAAGGGCTGAGGTAGTAATACTAGTCATTTCACACAGCTGAGTTCGTCTTTAACGCTGGCAGGACCTCGCTAGTTGTTGTCACGGCAATAACTGTAGGACGAGTCGTGTTCCGTATTGACGTTAGGTATTAAGATGCCAATATTAAGTAGGGCCCTCCCAACTGACTCATAGTAGCCTGTAAGAATTTGACTTGACACTATCGGTAAATATCCTTCGGCAAAGAAGCTTCGGGATCTCGGCACGGCAGCGGACCGTTCCGACGCACCACTTAACCTTGTGCTCTGCAGCCCGAAGTACAATATTTTGGCATTTTAAGATTTACGGGCGTATGCTATTTTTTATCTACTTAGCCATTCCGAAGTCAATGACGACTAATGTATTGGTAGATGGTACTGTCGATTCAATAAAGCATTCTGTTACAAGGCTGACCACAATGAACACCCTGCACTTGATTTACATGCAGATTTCTGTTGCACGCTCATAGTAGGTAAGACACGCGGGCGTACTTGAACTTGAGGTTATCTAGCCCTCATTTATATGGAACTCATTCTTAGACCATAGAGATTATAAAGTGTTACACGTGTAACCTCTGTACCGGTTGAAGCATGCAGTTCGCCTTGCACTACGGCCGTACGAAGGACCATTGCAGGCTGTTCATGACCTTCCAAGACATGCAGGCAATATTGGGCAATATTGGAAAGTGAGGTTATACAGACTTCGCTTCTTGAAACAGACCCTAGAGACTCAGGCGGTCTGGGCTGGCAGATCATTTGTATATAGAGTCTTCTCAAGCCGCCAACAGCCGAGAAGGAGTTGGTTAGTCAAGGACTAATGCAGCCCTAGTTGATCATTGTAATCAGAATCCTCAGTTCCAAGCCCAGTTCGTCTGCCCTTGTTATATAAAGTCTGGTCTAATTGTATATAGACCAGGAAGGAAACCTAATGGAGCACATGGACATTGGCCAGCCATTGCAACTTGTTACATATCGTTTGAGCCTCTGGCCCTGGTTTTAACCCTTGTACAAATATACTCCGAGTGTTTAATATGAAAGTAGGCACAGAGGTTACCAATGGATTGATCCTAGCATGTTTGGCTTGAGTTGTCGATTCCCATCCCGATATGCGTAAAGGAGGGGTCCCTTAAACCAATTATTCAATAGGAAAGAATAATGATTAAATGTCTCGATAGATAGAAGTCATGGGTGAGGTCGAGTCGTAGTCAATGTATAAAGAGCCGTAGCGTCTCTTGCCCAGCATTTGTGGGGCTTCGCAATGACGCAATAAAAACATCTCTCCACGTTTCAGTCATGAATCATAAAATATCTTTCCCGGAGGAAAGGTCCATAACTAGCGACTGCATATTGAATGTCCATCGTCATCCATTATACATGCCCGGTAGATATTGATGAGTATATAGTTAGTTGACCCATTGCTGAGCCCAACAAGATGTTCCCTCCACCGTCACCATCACCAAATACACAGCTTCGACGTCATGATTTCACCGCTCGTGCGCCGCGTTGCCAACCACCATAAGAAGACCATCATCTCGCGATGTGTTCTGGTTACTGCTAACTCTTCATTATCCTCTCCGCAACGAGCTTTTTCACTAACTCACACCCAACCTCGACTCTCACAACATCAAATATCAACGCCACTACAAGCACTCAGGATGGTTTCCAACTCCGCTAACAAAAGATTTTCGCGAGAGCATCTCTTCGACTGCAAGGGCCGTGTCGCCCTTGTCACAGGCGAGTGTACTCTAAGTTACTAGTTCTCCCTACCATGGCTAACCACTCGTTGTCGTTACAGGAGGTGGCTCGGGTATTGGTCTCATGATCACACAAGCTCTTATCGCGAACGGTGCCAAGGTTTACATCACAGGCCGAACCACTGAGAAGCTAGACCGCGTCGTACAGACCTACTCAGAAGGTCAAGACACCATCATCCCCATCCAGGCCGACATAACTTCGAAAGAGGACATCAAAAAGCTTGTTAACACGATCGAATCAAAGGAGTCTAAAGGATTGCACATCCTCGTCAACAACGCCGGCATAAGCGGCTCGACACTCGAGACGTCGGCATCCTCGGCCGAAGAGGCCAAGAAGAACCTCTTCGACGCCGAGGTGTCGACATTCGAGGACTGGACTTCAGTTTACCAGACGAATGTGTCCCAGCTTTTCTTCATGACGACGGCATTGCTACCCCTCTTGGCAAAGGCCAGCGAGAGCGAACGTGGATGGTCTAGCACCGTCCTAAACATCACCTCAATCTCAGGACTCGTCAAGTCCTCACAGCATCACTTCCAGTACAACGCCAGCAAGGCCGCCGCAAACCACCTCACGCGCATGCTAGCGACGGAGATTGCCTCCGAGAACGGCATCCGCGTGCGCATCAACGCCATTGCGCCTGGTGTCTTCCCCAGCGAGATGACGGCTGGCGAGAGCCGTGATGACCAGAAGAGCGAGCTCGACGTAGACAAGTTCAAGAACAAGGTCCCAGCTCGAAGACCGGGCAGGGACGAAGACATGGCGCAGGCTGCGTTGAATGCCGTATGCAATCAATATATTAATGGTGAGGTAATGGTCGTGGACGGAGGATATACCATTGCTGCGGGCAAATAGAGAGGAAAATTACACGAAAATTGATACTATAATACTGAGTATCGTTCTACGTCGAGTTTGGCCTGTAATGAGATTTTTGCTTGCTCGGGCGTTTCGACTGACTGATACTCATGTCACGACTGCTAACGCAGTCTCAGAGGGAGTATGTGCTGAAGGCATTCTTGCGTATGAATTCTTTATACTGTCCTGCGCCAAAGCTCCCGAGCTACAGTGTCATCTACCACGCATAGAATTGTGCTGTAATAGCACCACCGGTTGGTAGCTAGATGAGACACTCATATTCAGCGACGCGAAGCATGGTTTGATGTCTCAACTTCCTCGCAGCATAACCATCTTAAGCTGGCTGTGATCTCGGCATCAGAGCTCCAAAATCTAACACCAAGACTATCCTTCCGCTGATTTCGAAAAACCAAAATAGATGGCAGTATCAATGCTAGCTATCCTTAGCTTTGGTGCTGCATTCCTTCTCAATGACTCGGATCGGACCAGATGCTGGCGGAGATTGAAGCGACGGTTGTATTAACATCTAAGCGAAACTCAGCTATACTAGATAGCTCTAGATGAGTGAATGAGGAATGATAGGTATTCCGTTCCCACTAGGGGGCGAACGCTGTTGTGGAATGAATTGGCAAGCCGCAAGTCGCTATAAAATATAAATGTAGTTGCTTTGTATCATGATAATATTACTCTTCTCCTAATTCCATATCTTAAGTTAGGATGCTTTGTATTGCGGCCGTCTCTGTGGCCAGGTCTCGTCGATGACTAAAACTCGTAGCATTTTCGTAGATACCCGTAACATCACCTTTCTTTGGTTTTGAGTACAGGTAGTGCTCAGTAACACTCTGGTTATGATTGGTTCGTAAGTTGGATCAATATTGCAAGGAACCGGCAACGCGGCTTAAGTCTAGTGGAGATATGTTTCCGAAAAGATAGTAGGTATAGCTGACGGGTATAGCCGCTGTTCACCTTTCTGATTGGGAGTATTCCAGAATCTACCGTGGCAGTTTAATATCGATATTGTCAAAGTACGAGAAGGGTAATAATGGCCGACATATGTTGGCATTGGAGGAGGACTCAGTTGCCGGTCCCGTTGCGTATCCTGTATGCTGTAGCCCGACATATCATACTGCGAACGAGCACCATCTCATCTCGATTCCTGGTCGATCATTTATTAGTCTTACCGTATCAGTCAAATTGAAAAGTGGAGAAGCACTCTAGCTCAATTTCCAGACTGGACACTGGCTGGTTTATCATGCATGAATATGGCTAGCTGTGTACGGCTGTTGCACCAGAAGAGAATGGCTCGAGTGGTTGGGCTGAGCTGTGCCGAGAATATCTAATCCTATTAAGACAAGTAAATCTCTAGGTCGGCCGTAGACATTATGACAAGCTCGGGAAGGTTGGCTTCCAAGTGGGCAAAGGAGACTATGTACTGCACCGGTAAGTCATCTAATGCAAGAGGACGGCAGATCGTCTCTAGGATTGGTCCATAATGAGCATAGGTATGACATATCAGCTGTCCTCGATTGGACTCCCCACCTGCAGATATCCGTGATTTTCGTAGCTAGACCCGCGAAAAAGCAAAGTGATAGTAATGTGGCTACTTAGTTCTCAGGCAGTACTGCTCAGGGAGCTTGTTATGTGCTGCCTTCACACAGTAAGTATATTGCGGTGAGATGAGGGAGTGAGGGAGTGAGGGAGGGAGGGAGCTGTGCTCGCAGCCCAATGCTTTAAAACCCGAGCTACCGCACTGCCGGCCGTCTTTATCCAAATCCTTCTCACTAGCAAACTGGTGATTCTACACGTCAAGAAGTGATCATGTCTCAGCCAATTCCTCAGCCACCGGGTCTGCCTCTGCTAGGCAATATCAAAGATGTCGACCCAAACAACACATGGTGGTCCCTGAAGACTCTATCCGAAAAATACGGAGAGATCTTCCAGATCAAGGTGTTAGGCAAGACTCTCGTCTTCGTGGCAGGTGCAGCGTTGGCCGAAGAGCTGTGCGATGAAAAGCGATTCAGGAAGTTCGTGGGTGGTCCCATTGTCGAGATCCGATATACAGTACACGATGCGCTCTTTACAGCCTACGACAACGAAGCCTCCTGGGGTATTGCTCATCGCATCATAGCGCCTAAGCTAACGCCTACTGCGCTTACCGACAACTTCAACGAGATGCGAGACATAACGAGTGAATTTTTAGAGAAATGGAAGGGTTTAGGAGCCAACAACAAGATTGCTCCTCTCGGAGAGCTGAACCGACTTAACCTCGAGCTTACCACGGCCACTCTTTTCGGCAAACGACTCAACTGCCTCACGGGTCCCGAACATCCTGTCCTTAGAGCCATGGAAGACGCGACATCTGAGGCTATCAAGCGACCTACTCGACCGGGTATCCTAAACTGGCTGTTCTACGGTGGCAAGTTGAAATCGGCTACCAAGACACTGCGATCATGGGCGGCCGAATTGGTACAACACCGCAAAGACAACCCCACGGACAGGCAGGATGTACTCAATGCGATGCTCACGGCTAAAGACCCGGAGACAGGCAAGGGCTTGACGGACTCTGAGGTCGTTGATGAAATCGTCAGCATGCCCATCGGCAGTAGCACGGCACCTTGTCTCCTTAGCGCCAGCATCCTCTTCCTCTTGCAGAACCCCGAGGTTGTGACCAAGGCACGCCAGGAGTTGGACGCTGTCATTGGCGATGGCGATTTCCAGTATGAGCACTTGGAGCAGCTCAAGTACATCGAGGGCGTGATGCGTGAGTCGCTCCGTCTGTCGTTCGCGGCGCCCGGCTTCAACATTGAGCCGATCCCCAAGAAGGACGACAAGAGCCCCGTGCTCCTTGGAGGTGGAAAGTACCAGATCGCTCACAACCAGGCTGTCATCATCGTGCTCGCGGGCGTTAACCGCGACCCCGAGGTATTCGAGGAGCCGTTGGCGTTCAAGCCTGAGCGCATGATGGGCGAGTCATTCGAGAAGCTGCCGGCAGGGGTTAAGAAATGGTTCGGCAACGGCAAGAGACACTGCATCGGCATGCACTGGGCAGACCAGTTCAACATGGTCGTTTTGGCCAAGATGATCAAGGAGATTGACTTTGAGGCAGTGAATGCGGCATACAAGCTCGAACAAGATGGGTGGTTCAACGTCAGACCCATCGGCTTCGAGGCCAAGGTGAAGCCGAGAGCGGTTTGAAGGACTGGCCTTGCGGACATGTGCAAGCGTGGTAGTGACGGTTTGTGTTGGGATTGGGTTTGAAGCTTTCCGTCTGTCGTCTTGATACCCCAAATGACCTGATATGACCTTTAAGCGGAAGCGACATACAAGGAAGGGGCCAGCAAGGTCTCGATGAATGAATGTAACGTATTGTTGTTAGCCTACTTGGTAGCCTACTTGGTAGATATAATCCGTAATCGAACAGGCATGAAAAGCATGGGAGAGAATGAGGGTAAAAACAGATTGGAAATAATGACATGAACCATTAACTCCCTGGCTGGCATACTGATGTATTAGCCACTCTCTTTTAGCGATGTGATGGTAGAGAGTAGGTACATCGAGGTACATAGACATCTATTTCACCTAGGCAGGTGCCTACACATGTACTCAATCCAGTACATAGTAGGTACATAATAGGTACATAGTAGGTACATGGTAGGTACATACAGCAACCGAAGGCACCACTGGGCCGAGGCAAGTTTGGCACGACAAGCACTGACGCCAAGGCTACTGCACTCCCTGCGCTTCACTGAGTGTCCTCCCCCCATTCTGCCCCCATCATGCCATGACGCGAAATCTCCCACCACAACGGCTCGGATATGGTGTCTCTACAATCATCTCTGTCCTTTCTCTCATTTTTCCATTTCGATTCGTCTTCTAAGGTCTTTAATTAGTGTTCGCCTATGCCCTTTTAATAACAATTCCACCGTTTCCCCCACGTGCTGATTACCTACCCGATCGGCCGCCTCTTTTATGCCATCGCCGGCTGACTCCTTCCACAAGACGGCGGTGCCTCAACCGACCACAACTACAATCACGACAACCCCAACAACGGCGCCAACGACGTCGCGAAATCCCATCCCCAGTCTTGCATCCATGCCGCCAAAATGGCTGCACATGTACAGCGACTTCATCACTAAGAACGCCCACCAGGTCTCGCAGATCGAGAGCGCATTGCGATCCTTGACCTACATCATCCCTGGTCGCTTCCGTGACGCCGAGATCGCCTCCGAAACCGTCCACTCCGGCGTACAGCTACTCGCTCTGTACCACGACTCTGTGCTCCGTAATGCCGTCAACAAGATACCCTCTTTGTCAACCGCCAGGATACCTGGCCCCCATGCTCGGTACACCAGGTTTTGGGCCGCTAAGAGCGGCCTCTACCGCAGAATAGCCCTGCTGTTACAGATTATACAGTACACCGAGATGCTGTGGGAGATGGCAGCCAAGCGCCGGGGCGAGAAGATACGTTGGCGCGTAGTCATAGTGCTAGAAGCTCTCAAGGCCATCTGCCGCCTCCTCCTCATGCGAATAACGAGCTCGAGGCCACTCGTCACTCCTCCCCTGCCTGAGCGGGAGCCCATACCGACCGACGATGATCGTTCGGACGAGGATGCATTGAAAGAGCTCATGGGAGAAGAGCCTAGCCTAGCCGACGCCGACGGTTCGGCTAGAGCAGCCCATGAGAAGGAATGGTCCATGCCACGGACTAGGTCAAGCCTACCAAGCCTGCCCAACCCCGCGGATGTGAGTTCCTATCTTCAAAGCCGGGTCTTGACAGCCGACGATATCAAGCCCGCAGCAAAGCTCCTCAATACATTATCACGATCTGGCAAAGCTGCTGAAATATTGCACATATTATCGCCATTGGTTTACGCAGTGGCCATGTCGCAAAGCAAGGATAAGAAATCATGGGCGCCATGGGTCATTGGACTCAGTATAGAATACACGGCACGGCAATTGCGCGACCGAGGTCTACGCAGCACTTCTCTGGAACAAGAGGAGTGGGGCAAGAGATACTGGGCGGCCGGGTGGTGGACGATGAGAGGAGCCTTCTACGAAAATGTCACCAAGGGGCTCATAACCGGTGTGCGTCGGCGCATGCCGAGCCTCGTGTCCGGCATTCTCGAGGACTATGAGTATCTGTGGGAGAATTATTACTTTAGCACGAGCGCTTAATATCCCTGTACCAGTTTCCCCCCAAACCAACCCGCTATGTCCTTTAGTTGTCCTGAAGAATAGAACTTTGTAAGATAGAAAGCATAGTGGTCTCGCCGTGGATGAATTATGCCATTAAGGGATTTTATAAGAGTACCAACTTCATCTCACACCACTCAGAACAGTCTACTGTCAACGTCGAGTGGCCATAATTAGTCGCGACTCACATAGGTATTAGAACGGTTATTATTCAAAGATGCCCTAATCTAATCCGATGGTTTGAAACTCCAGATTAACTCTTGTCTTCAGAACTGATACCAAGAATGAGTACGTTGGAAACTCCAATACGACTTGTAATTCTGTGTCTTGCTTAGACCCGCGCACTCCAACGAAGGATTCGTGTGAAGTGCAGATGTTCCCTTGAGCATTTGCCTGAGCATGACAGTGTCCCGTTGTCAGCAGGACCCCCCTCTTCATCCCACTCATAATAGGGCACAACGTCTATCATATATCGTCCTTAATACTTACGTTTATTCTTTCAGAAGCCCCGTTTTTGTACACCAACTACATATCCTATAAAGGATGTCATCGAGAATGAGCGAGGCATTAAAGAATGCCATCGAACAGCCCGAATTACCGTGGCGGCAACGCGTGAGCTCCGTACCCTGGAAACCAGACTCTCCGCACCCGCAGCCCGTTTTCAGATTCGATGGCACGACGCAGGACTGGAGGAGATAGGGGCGCACCCATCACAACCACAATCCGAAATCATAAATAAATTTGTTCTCTTCAGCTGAAACATCGACTTCATGCTCCCCCACCCAAGCTCGCGCTTGAAAGCCACCCTGGCCGAGCTCCAAACGCGCATCGCAGCGTTACCGGCGAACGCGGCGGCCGTGATCGTCTTGCAGGAGTGTGTACCGCAGGGCCTGGACACGATCGGCTCGACGGCGTGGGTGCGGGCGGGGTTCCTCCGCACGGACGTAAATTCGCGCAACTGGGCGTCGAGGTCTTACGGCACCACGACGCTTGTGGACCGGAGGCTGAGCGTGGTAGGGTGTTTCCGTATCCATTACGCACTGACGGATATGGACCGCGATGCGCTGTTCGTTGATGTCGTTTTTGGTTTGAACTCCGGAGATGGGAAAGAAAGCGTGCCGGAAGGGTATAGTGCTGGATCAAGGGGCAAAACCATACGCTTCTGCAACACCCATCTTGAGTCTCTCGCTCATGAACCGGCTTTTCGTCCCTCACAAACTGCTCTCGCGGCGAAGTTCATGCATGAGGACTCTGTTCATGGAGCACTATGTAAGTACTTCATATTATCTTATCGATCCTACGCCGTTCATTTGCATTCTTATAGCTCTTCTTTCTCAATTTCTTTTGAGAATGCCCGAGTAGCTCCTGGGCTTAGATATTATATACACCGAGACCGGAGTACATATTCTGAAGAACACGCCTAAGTAGAATATAATGCAGCTCACACATGACGTCGCTCTGAACTGATGAAATAACCCAATCACAGTAGCAGGGAACTTGAATGCCATCCAGCCCTTCGACTGCACTTTACATAGCGACAACGGCCTGCGCGACGCATACCTAGAACTTGGAGGCCAAGGGGATAGTGAAGAGGGGTATACATGAGGCCAACAAGCGGCGCCCGAGCTCCGGAATATGTACGGCTGTTCGCGGATGGACATGATACTATACTGCGGTGGAGTTTCTATCCAGGGCTTCGGCCGGTTCGGTGCCGATGTCGAGGTCACCGAGGAGGGCGAGAAGGAACGCATCATCCGGTCTTGGGGTTTTGAGGAGGCCTGGATTACCGACCATTTAGGCATCTTTGCCGAAATAACTGTTTTTGATTGATGAGGTAGCGAGAAATCTAATAGCCATGGCAATAATAAGCTGGAGGGAGAGCGGATGGCACGCCAGCCTCATGAGGAAGTGGCATTCCTTCAAACTACCTAGGTAGTATGACCATGGATACTCATATGGCGCTTCATTAAGCTTGCAAAGTATCAAAGCAATCCGCATTTCTTCTTCTTCTTCTTCTTTTTTTTGGAGGTAGCTGGAACAGTAGCCGCGTTCACCGCCGTTGATTGATTGCTGAGATATAAGCATAAGACCAACACTTCCTAAACGTTCTCGTGCATATTATATATGCTGCATCATCCACAGCTTAAGACGATTTCCTTTTATAGCCGCAGTTGCATCATCTTTGAACTATTGATAGCCTAACAGCAGCTCACGATTCCAACTTGATAGGTAGAATCGTACGCGGCGGTCGATGTACACTGGCGCTACAACGCCGACGGTAATTCGAGTTTACTTGGATTCTAGATCTCATATACTCTAAGCTAAATCATGGGTCCTCCCCTTTCTCTCTCAGGGATGCGTATGTGTGTATGCGCGCGTACCTCGCCATGTGAAGAGGGGTAGTGACGAGAACGTGGTTGCCCTTACTGTCCAGCTTGTATAGTAAAGCCCGGATCTTTGATGAATATGTTATCAGTAAAAGCCCACTAAATAAGCAGTCATAAATCAGATTACAACAGCTTATATGACAAGTCACACGAGACTATAACGATTTCACCAGTTTCCCCTTCACTTTCCCTCTTGCCATTCACAGCCAACAGCATCGTCGCCTTTACGCCTCTCATTCGTGCTCAGCGGCACCACTACTTATGATTTACTCAACCTCTCATTAAGATGACAGATTTGCCCATAAGAACAATCGAAGGAGGTGACAATGTGGCGCGGGGCCCGATGAAGGGGAGTGTCGGATTAGCGATGCAACTTGGCCACAACCTTGCTTCAGAAATATCATAGGCTATCGTTTCCCACTTTGGACTATGCTGGCCATGGGTGTTTCTACATAATCACAGATGTAAGCTTCGTGAGTCCATTGTGGGGCCGAGGCGAAATCATCGGTGTACTCCCAGTGTCTACTAACTCATGTCAGCTCATGCTGCCTATTCCAGGGTTTTCAATGATAGTTTGACGCAAAAACCACAGTTTTAGCTGCCATGTTAGTATCGAGATTGGAATCAAGATATAATTATTGTATAACCATCGTTCAGCTAGGCTATAATGAAGGGTTTAACCACCACGTTACTCTTGTACAGGTGAACGCGGTGAGCATAGGGTATGGAACTTCTTGTTAGGCGTATCCATTTTGAGAGCTTGAAGAAGGAAGCGCTGCTTGCTGTATTGTACGTATAGACACACAACAAGGGAAATGTTGGTGATTCGCCATCTGCAGTCAGCCACCAGAAACCAAGGCGGCGGCCAGTCGGTCAGTTGGCCAAGAAAAATGATGAAGATAGCCTTCGCCACCCCCCTCCTCCCCACGGACCTAATGCACAAGATACAGTGGGCTACAGGCGAAGCAACTATGCGCTGTGTGGCGTCGCGATGGCTGGGGGTATATTAATCATTGTATTCCCAGGCTTTACTCAATAAGAATAAAAATCTATGGAAGAGTACTAGATAGGCGGGTAGGGCGGTAAGTGGTTTTACGAGAAAGTAATTTTTCTAGAGACCCCCCTTTTGCCGGTAGTCTATCCTACCCCTCTGTTGTCTCGTTTCACTCGTTAACTAATTAATCCATTCATTCAATCATCATTCAATCATCGAGCTGTCCATCTAGTCCATCAACGGACATCTCAGTGTCGTCATCATATTTATTATCATCACACGACCACGCCATTATCCGAGTGCTGTTCCATAAGCTCAACAGCACGTTTCAAGACGTCGCGGTCCTTCTGGAACGTGAGACGTTCAAGCGCACGATCTGGTCTCATGAACACCGCCTTGAACTGCTGCTCACCCTCCCCCGCGGTACCATCGAGCGTGGCAACGAACCACCAGACGAGCTTGACACCCTTTTCCTTGCCGAGGTCCCGAACGTCTAGCATAAAGGGCTCGACGAGGCCGTCATAGATACGCGGGACGTCGCCGACATCGCCGGGCTCGAGCTCTGACGGCGCGCGCGTAACGAGGCGGAGTGGCCGCAGCGCGATTCCGTATCCAGATTCCTCGCGCACCTCACGCTTCACAGTCGCCTGCCGTGTCTCGTTGCAGTTCCTCCGACCCTTGGGAAGAACCCACTCATCGCATTTCGCGTGGTATAGCAGGCATACTTTGTTCGGATGCGTTGAGGTGTCGAAGACTATGGCGCCGCAGGCCTCCACAAAGAGATCCGAGGGGTAGAGCGTGCTTTTCCACCAAAACTCTGCCATTCTTTCAGAATTGAACTGTGTCGCTAGTACTGAATGGTTCGCTAATTCTCTGTTTTCCTATTATTTTCTCTGACGTCCACCAAGCACATGGGTTGACGGTGAGATCGAAGTCGCTAGGTGGGATAAGTCTGGTGGCTTAATCAAGCCTCGCTCACAATTTATTAGGTCTAGCCAACGGCCTAGCAATGTCTATATGTGCCCTAAAGACTAACCAAGGCAGAGCTTTGTCCTCGTGTTAGGAAGGGAAGGGCGAGGACAGATGCAAAGTGTAATAAGAGAGAGAGAGAGAGAGAGTGAGAGAGAGAGAGAGGAGAAGATGTCAAGAGAAGATAAAGAAGGCCCACACACAAAGTAAAAAGGCACGGATCCGAGCTCGCTCATCAGGACCACCTAGCCATGACCTTTTTCATTACCTCTGTCTAATCGGAAACCATGTCTCGCTCGATTGATTAGATGCTGGGGAATCCAAGTGAGAAATTGGACTCGACAAGCTGGGCAGTAAGCAAAACCGGGCAGCCCGGGGACCTGTCAGATAGAATGTGCTCGACGACGAGTAAAAGGAATCGTGCGCGGGTAGGGTGTGTGTGACCCGACCCAGCAATCACCGGCGACTTGCTGCGCCAACCCACAGTGGCCAACAGAGAAGACACGGATATAAGTCGTCTTTTGTGACAATGGTGCATATTCTAGGAATCGTAAATGCACGATTGGGAAGCAAACTCTGGCTCGCGACGCTACTAGCAAGCAGTGCTGACGGGGCCGGGGAAGGTCTGGTGGTGCTTGCTGCATGGCCAGCCAGAGAAGGGGCCGCCCATCTGTGAGATGTCAGATTTCGGCATTCTGCAGTTCGACGGCACAACGGGCATACTCTACAGCGTTGCTAGCCACTCGGCGTCCGCTGCACGTCGAGCAGGGGTCTCGTCGTTCTCGTCCCATGCCAGCAACGAGTTAGCTAGCTTCACAACACCGCCGAGACGGCGCAAGGTCGAGGATGACGATGGCTCTGGTTTGGCACCCTTGTTACTACTCGTACTATGCTTCATGAGACGATGGGAGCCGCGCAACATGTCGTGGGCGAGCCAAGGCTCTGGAACCAGCGACATGAGTGGCTATTCGCCGGCCCCCGGTGGAGTACAATGCGGGAGCCAGAGTCCAAGACCCAAGCAAACGTGGGTTCCTCGCAAGTGTTCATGCTTGAATCTATATGCGGCCTGGGGCATTGCACCATACAGCTAGGACTGGAAGAGGATTTGGACACATGCAGCAGCGCCAGGTATCCTGAGACGGTACCGGCGGCCACTGGACGACGGAATAGGGTTTACTGCGCAGGCACCAGAAGCGGGGGAGTCACGCGAGGAAAACCAACTGCGCTTGTCGATGCAGGACGGCAAAGCACAGATCCCAAGTCGGCGCTGGGGGCGACACAGGCAGAGAGGGAATTACATCTGGAACTTCGGTTTCGGCCATCCTCTCTACGCACAGAACACCTAGCCGAGAAGCTGATCTTGCTGCAACAGCAGCAGGGCTCGGCGATACGGACCCAACCCTAAGTCTCGGGTAACACTAGAAGCGGGGGAGAGCAGGCGCCGAATGCTCACGCTGACCCCCGGCGAGCCATGACAGCAGATGAAAGAAAAGGGAGGGAACTGGAGGATGCAAGAAGAGACAAGGGTGACAGAACCAAACGGTTGAACCGGGGGAGAGCAGATTGATGCCTCAGCTACGACTATCTAGACCAGGGTTCGAGGAGAAGCGGTAAACTTTTGCTCTGGTACAGTATCTATCTATCTCACCGCCAAGTAGGAGAGACGAATGCACTACCTGGGTTAGGATTGGACCATCTACTCAATGGCTCGACGACGAAGATGACAACGACGACACCGCTGCCGAATGAGCGGGGGCAGGCGATGAGATGAGTATGCAATGAAACCAAAACCAACGGTGGGTTTGATATAACGGCATCAAGACAGCGCCGGGAAAAAGGTAAAGTCTTGCATTACTATCGATAATGACAAAGTTAGTGGCCGACCATTGACAATCGTGCGTCTCAACGTCGGTGGGGTGGAGGGGTAGATGATCCATCCATCAATCCCCTCCAAGAGACCCCATTCGAGATGCTGCCATTGCGAGTTGAGTTGAGCTAGATTGAGGGGACGACTTGCGAAGAAGCTCTCGAAATGATAACTTATCTAGACCTCTTCCGTGACAATCTAGGTACCTCCTACCTATCCGCCCAACACCTTACTTACCTACCCGCTGTACTGTATGTGCCTATTTATATGTAAGTACTATACCTAGGTATACTACATGTGTAGATATAACACTGTAGATGTATATATCTATTAGCCAGGCATGACAAAGCATCTGGACACAGGACATTTGTGTCTGATTACGCTAGCAGGAGACGACGTCTCATGTGAAAGTGGGCTTGCACACCCTTGACGAGATAGGTACAGTAGGTAGGCCTCCATTGTGGCGCCTGACAGAAGCGTGTGTATCACCACCCCCCCTCAGAGTGTGGGGGGGAGGGGATGGTCCAAGGTCAAGTGACAGCCATTGTCCGAGGAGCATGATCAGAGCACATCAAAGATGGTGTTTGAATGTCAGCACCCCCAGCTAATTTTCCAAGGCAGCGATTTGGAGTTGAGATGGGGAGATGGGTCAATCCATAGGTAGTATGGTGTACATCGTATTCAAGAAAGTAGATTGCGTCGCGCAGCCAATGCCGCACACGCCCAGCCCAGCAAATCGGACGTGCACCGGCGAAACTGGCTAGCTGAGGGAAGAACACCCAGTCTTATTGGCGACCGACTCTCTGGAGGAGACCTGGAAACAAGGTTCGCGCCGCATACCGTGGCGGATCGTCGAGATTAAGTTACCGTGGCATCTCAAGATCTCACGAGCCGGGCCTTGACGGGCGGATGTGTATGTATGGGTTCCTTGCGTTATTGCGCCTTAACCTAGGCCACGCATCTTCGATCTGGACTAAATACATACCAGGCTAGCCAAGCTTAGATTCACCTACCTACCGCACGTATGTGCCTTAACATGTAACAAAGCGGACTTTTTCCTCCTGTGAAAGTAGACCTGATCCTAGGAATAGGAAACAATGTGGAATTTCTGTATACGCCTGCCAGGTGCCTGTGTTATTGTGGCCAAGATATGCCCGTCGGCGTTTACACGAAACCAGCCTTGTTATGTAGGCACGCTCAGTTTGATAATGCCTTGGTGGACAACACTGTTTCTTGCCTGACGCTGCTGTCCAAGCGTCAAATAGGATCAACGGGAAAGACGGGTGCTGCCATTAATAGGTCGAACTGGCTAGGTAGTCTTTAGCGAGGTCATCGCTCTGGCTTCACGTCAGTTAGCATCTGATGACAGCAAGTTCGAAGCACATTGTTCAACTAGTACTACGGTGTACGGGGAGAAGATGGAGCGTGGGGAACAAATGGTTCGGTCTCCTGACCTGCGAAAACGACTGTAGCTACCGACATTGACCTTGGCCTTGACCCAACTGCAAGACTAAAGGAGCGACTCTCGTGGTTCTGTTTTCCAGTAGTATTAGCCCTCTCCGAGACAAAGTGTGTGGAACTCCTGCGGGTAATAGGCAGCTGAGAGACCGGTTGCGATAGAAGTAGGTAGAACCAGGGGGCTTTCTTCGTACAATTAGACGCTGGGTCATTGGCGACGGGCCGTCGATGTGTTCTCGGTGATACCTTATCGTGGCCATGATTGGGAGGGTAGTGTAGTTGCCGGCTATGTTGACATTCTTCTCTCCATCTACATGCTACAGTCTTGGTCACTAGCAGTAGATACCTACGTAGTACACTGCCACTAGCAAAACATGCGTAGGTGGTGCAATCGGTGAGCGCTAATGGCAGACGTCTGACAGAAATGATGATATACCCGTATCTTCCGATCTTTACCTACCTACTGTAGTTTGTTTGCTCTTCGATATGGAGGGGAGAGAGGGCCATTGAAGCCCTTGCTGACGTCTATACAACGTACTGGTATGTCGAAATCTACGCAATTGAGAAATCAATTCATCGAATGGAATCAAATGGACCTGAATTGGATATTGGATCAAGCTGACTTAGGTGTATCATTACTGATGATTGCATGTGCCTCCGAGGAAGAAGAGTAATCCCAAATCTTATCTCCATGGGCTTGCTTATCAATATCGACAGCCACGACCAGTTGCAACACCTTACCTGCCTACATTAGGTATGTAGGTACCATCTGCACCACTAGGTACTATTATTGGCACACCTAATACCTACATACGCTACAGCTAAGGCGGCCAGTGACTTCGCAGTTGACACATGACGCGCGGTAGCTTCATACCCATAAGATCTTGTATCTCTTGGAAAGATCCTGGTATCGCTACATCGTGGAGTGCATAGATACATGCCAAGGGCCAGTCCCTACTTAAGTTTGACAGTGCTACCCCTGCAGTCAGTAGGGACCTACCTACTAGGTACTGTACCTACCGCCCCCAGGCAGGATTCAGGCAGTACGGCGTATCCAGCAGCGCTTTTCCCAGTGGTGTTTCTAGCACCCTCTAGCAGTGTCCTGGATCTCTCGGCGCTGCCCAAGCTACCTGCCGAGCAGATGCCTAGATACTAAATAGGTACCTAGAACCACAAGGTCCCGAGCGCCCATCTGGCCCCCAAGGACAGCACCAGCAGCAGGGCCAGCAGCAGGGCCATGGGCTAAGTCGCAAGGGGCAGTAGCGGTTGGTCCTTGGACAGGCTACAGGCCATGACAACCAATGAGTGCTGCGAGGAATCCAGAAATGGGAAAATTGCCCAATTGCGCTTCACCACGACGAGTGTAGCGTGGATCGATTTTAATCGTCGGCCACTTTATTCGTTTGTTTCATTGTCGCCTCAGGTGCCCGTTTCAATTCCAAGATTCCGTGCGCTTCTTTGCCATCTCAGAATGACTCACAGCCCAGGAAAACGACTGGCTGCTGCGATAACCTCCTCGACGTAAACAACAAAGGACATGCCGGCATTGGATCCAACCTCACACATCTCCTCCATCGCCAGCTCTGGGCATCGGCCCAATTCCCGCCTCCCATTGGCCAATTCTATGCTGCCATTTGCATCTCTCCGAACTCCGAAAGTCCCGTCCAGTCCTGTATGGTCTAGTCTACTCTGTGTCTTGCCGTATCATACACTTTCATGCAGCTGTTCTGCGTGTTTGTAAATAGGGGGCAGGCAGGCATTTCCTTGCCAAAATGCACAAACTGTACTATGGCATTGTGTCAAGAGAGCTGGGCGGGGCTGGGCATTGAGTACGCATAGGTAGTGTATTGATCGAGAGATCCTGTCGTCGGTGCAGTATGAACCCACCGTGTTCCCGTTCCCGCCCTATCCGTCGGGTCAGAGTTCAGGTAGCGACTATACAACGCGGGGAAATGGAGAGACACGAAGAATTATAAAAGAAACCACTGCAGAATACGGGGGTAGGCTACCATGAGATGACGAGGCCAGCATCGCCACCGGCCAGTCTGGTCCAAGTCCATCCGTCTACTGAGTCCGATTCTGTCTACCAACAAGTGTACGTATAACACAGGCAATCATCAACATCAACGTCCAGTCGTACAGCACGCAGGCAATAGCATCGTGCCGCGCGCTGTGCAGGCAGACGTAACACAGCACCACGGCGATGAACTGGAGCGAGAGAGGGACTCGAAACAATGGGTACCACATAATAGATTGCCCTGCTGATTCCTGCTTGGTGGCACGGCTCGCTCTGCGCAGCCCAGATCCTGCCACTTCATTCGTGTATGTGCTTGTGCCTTGCTTCGCTGTTGTATACAAACAAACCAACACCCTGCTGTCACGACGCGCAATCTTCGTCTCCGACTTGCGTCGCAAATACCATTGGATTTTATCTTATCGTCTGGCTACCAGCTCACAAACCTACTGGGGTCCGAGCCCAAGCCCGCGCCCGGCTGATCACGTTACTCGCCGCCAGTGTCATATATCAGTCGGCCTAGTAATTACATGCATGTGTAAGTGTAATATTATTTCAGCTTCTTACTCGTTGTTTTTAGGCAACTTTGCTTTCAGGAGCTACTGTAAGTACCTATGCCAGAGCCGCCGTAGCCAGCTCGCTTTGATCCTCTAGTACGCCTCATTCTTAGTAGAATCCAATGTGTGTCCGCCAATAGCCGGTGGCCAGGCACCCCCCCTTATGCATATTTACACATGCACGCCATTTGACAGCGTACATATGTAGGTAGGTAGGTAGGTACTTGTATAAGCCCTATCCAGCCGAATCAATCAACACAGGAAGAGTGGGATAGACCAATTAACATGGCAAATTGTAATATTGACTTCTCTTGATATATAATCCGGTTTACGTGAGGGGCAGAACATGGTGCGAGCGTTCTAGCCCGCATGTCGATACCGTCCGAATGCGGCCATGACACAGCAGGTACCACCTAGAGAGAGCATGGTATGGGCTGGCATGGCATGGCATGTTTGCTGGTTGGAGCTGGCCAGGCAAAAGGAAGAAAGATCGGATAATGCTATTGAATCAAGTTCTATTCGAGATGTTGGTACCCAATGTATCCGTCGAGGCATGGAACATCTGCTCAGTAACCTGCCCCGCCGCCTCGACTGATATGTAAGTACACTGGGTATATGCCTACCGCCAGTAGTACAGCACTTACTCCATGGGCTAATAGGAGAGTACTTCTCCCATTGGCCTATGGAGACGGCGTTCCACTGGTTTAGGGTATCACAGATGCTTGACATTGTTCTTGTCCCGCCTTAGCTTGCACAGGACTAAGCCGTGACACATGCCCCGTTCGTTGTTGGGCGTCAAACATGGAACGCGAGCGACGTCTGCAATCGACAGAGATGATCCTTTCCTGCAGGCTCCGGCACTGTGCAGGCGGGCTGCGGGCTGCGGGCTGCGGACGGCAAGGGAGGCTCCAGCGCATTGGCGAGTCAGAAGCTGCAAATTGGAGAGGCATCGACGAATTGGGCAGTTTTCTGGCTGCTATCGTGTTGTCGCAAGCAAACCGGGCGCACCCAGCGTCGAGACACGCAAATCCATACTCAGACTCCGTGATACTTGGACTGCTGCGATTGGCCGGCTCGGTGCTAGATTTGCTGGGAGTTTAGTAGGTGCCGTAGCTAGATAGTCTTCGAACGAACAGCGATGCCATTGCGCTTTGACTTATACTAAATGCTTGCTCGCTCGCTCATTGAATTGAGAAGCACGGAGAATAGCCGCAGGATACATGTCCAGCCCAAGCAGGGAGAGAGATGGTGTGAAGAGAGGATGTCTGTGGTGGTGTTACGGAAAATCCGACGCATGTGGCTTGGTTAGGTACCTCCTAGCTAGAACTCTTGGGGTTTAACCCGCCGTACATACCTTAGAAAGGTGCTGAGGTAGGTACCTACTATAAAGGTATTGATTGGGCGTTCTGGTTGGCTACCTACCTATAACCTATAACGTATAGGTATGCTAGGTAGCTTTCAACGGCCGTCTTATAGTAGCAGTGTCAAGCAGGAGTCACTCGTGCAACACCAAAGTACTCTTTGGCTGGCGGTACACAGGATACATTGGCGAATGGCTCGCTCCTTGCCCCTCGGTGCCAAAATAGGACAACGATACAACAATGGCTTCCTTGTCTCCCTTGTCCTCCCTGGTCCTCCCTGCGCCCCATGCCCCACACCGCGTCTGCCCTGCGCTACCTGATGACTGATGACTGATGACTGAACCGACAGTCCACAAGGCCGTGATGATGGATGGGTGGATGGAGGGGCGGGGAGAGGAGAGAGAGGGGAGGAGGGGAAGGGAGGGAGGGAGGGAGGGGAGTGTGACTCGACAGCTGCATGTTTACGCTCACCAACTTGGAAGTACCTACCTACCTACTTATGTACATCTCCGCACACCAAAGACCACAACAACTACGGTATCTACCGGTACATGCACATGTAAAATCACCACCAGCACACAGCTACAGAGACCATATCTCATACAGAGAGACCTACAGTACCACCATCAGGAGATATCCACGTTGGCCTACCTCTACTGCGTACCGGCCTGTGTCTCACCCGCTCAGAGCATCCATCCAACATGGGCTCCTCTGTACGCCTGTGCTCGCCGTCCGCACCGCCCGCACTTACACAGATATATCTCGAAGCCCTTCAACGACGTAGGCACCAAACCAGCCGTCTGTCTCTGGGGGTGGGGGGAGACTCCAACATGATGATATTTAAGGTTGTTCAGTAGGTCCGTACGGGCATAGCCGTATAAGGTTCATATGTATGCAACAACACCAGGTTGTGTAGCATCATGAATCTACATAGTAGTATAGTATACTTTAGGTACTACTGTACCAGGGAGGTAGGGTTCGTACTTGGTAGTCGTACTTGGTAGTCGTCGTTGTTTGGGCTGGGCTGGGAGCGTGATGGATGTGTGGTGCCTTGTCTATTGTCACCGTTGCGGTTGAATGCTGCCTCCGGTCTCAAGTCTCCAATCAACCATTCCTACACCACAATCTCATACATTAGGTACCTACATCCTACATCGCGGTCATCTGGCTATTGATACGGGCTTGGTTCTTCTCCCTTCTCTTTTTTGAATCAATCGCTTTTACGCCCATGTGCGCGCGCAACTACATTTCTCTCTTCTCCATTTCCCACTCTCTCTCTCCCCTTCACATCCCACACCCATCTCGCAGTCCAGCGTCGAGCTTGCAAACCACGGTCAAGCCCCGGCTCTCCTCTGTCGTAGATTGATTCCTTCTTGTTTGCCGCCTACTGCACGTGGTGACGCTGCCTCGAAGTTAAGCCCGGGTTGAGTCACTTGCACACACACCAGTACATCGAATCCTCACAGCAGCCTGCCGAACCTACCGAGCCCACCGTGAAGTATAGATGCCGGTTTCTCAGATTCGGACTTTAGGTGTCTCGTCCGCTCAGCAATTGATTATTATCGACCAGTGAACGGCCGAGAAGCATCCATTACGTCCATTCGCCACCATTGTATGCTGTGTTCGCCCGACACCGAGTGCTCAACTGCCTCCTACCTAGACTATATATTTTATCCAGGCAGATCCAGGCAAGCCGACATTCTTTCACTTCACGTCACTTGGCTACCTACTGTAGCTACCTACTAAGACGGGAACGGATTCGCCTCAGCATTGGCACTTATTTCCTCCTGCAAGTACCTATATATATACCAGTTATACTTTATACTTTATAATTATAATTAATCCTGACAACTTGTAACAGGCGGAGCGGCTGGTGGTACTTTATGTATTGATCAACTAACTGGTCCCTCTTCGATACCTGTTGTGTGCCTAGCCAGCAATTTGTGTTACGCATTCCTCTCGCCATCCACGGCCGTCAGGTGCTATCTGATCACGCTCGCATGACCCAACAATACCAAGTTATCCTGTAGTCAACCAGGCCCCCATCGTTAACTGATTCGCCTTCCCAGACCACCTTGCATCAAGCAGGTACACAGAGCGAAACACAAGAAACACAAGAAACGCAAGACAGTTCACTACCGTCCCGCATCTAACACGGCCTACATAGCCTCGGCGACCAAACTCAATTCCAAACCCAATCCTGAACCCAATCCCCCGTCCATCCATTGCGTCTCTCGCGTCTGTTGCTTTCTAAACGTAGTTGACTTTATCTCCGAAACCCAATTGTTCTACCACTTTCCAGTGTGTTGCGTGTGTTGCCTTCGTTGATTACTATATCAATCGACACACAGCCACCCCTCTCCTCCTGCGTTCTGTTCATAGTTGCTCTTCTTCTAGCCGCCCATAGGTCATAGTTGGACGCATTCGTCCATCATCCCTCAGCTCCACGAAACCAACAACCAACAAGGGGAGCCACACCAATCAATCAACAACACACACATCAATCCCCCCCCCATACAACCCGTCACATTTACTATACAATCATACATATAAGGTCCCCATCTCTTTGGCTCTCTGTCAATTAGACCTAGCCGGTGTCAATCCATCATCCTACTATTCCAGTTCACCCACTTCCATCTTTGCTCGGTCGCATGCGTTGCCAATTGCGTCCAGCTTCATTACCGCTTTAGTATTCCTTCTTGCTCTAAGCAATTGAGTCACACCGGGTCTCGTCCTCGTGTGCGTCACCCAACTTTCGCCACCTCGCAGGCTCTTCGCGCGCAACCTACCGTGGCTTACAAACCAACGCATCACCTGCTGCCTGGGTCAACTTTCCATGGCTTCCGGTTCACCAAGGCCGACGACCAACTTCAACCCATCTCACACACCTTTCGCCTTTTCACTCAGACCATCACCCTGCATCAATCAGAATCAGCCTTCAATCATGGCGCCGACGTCTGCCGAGCTCTCAGAGCCCAGAAAGTCTTTCGACATCAGCAGCTTGATGTCGCCGCCCGAAGCCCCCAAATTAGAGTCCTTCGCGCAAAGCAGCAGCAGCGCTGCGAAGAACGCCATAAATGCGACCAAGTCGATCGACGCCATCATGTCCGATAAGCGACAACCCCAGGGTCCGTTATCCCCACCCATTTCGCCGGCTATCAAATCCGATGACAGTATCATACACGTCGTGACATCGGCGAAAGACCCTATTCTATTTCCGACACACGATATCACACATTCCACTCCCCAACAACCTCTTTTCGCACGAGAGGAGTCGGACCCCAGACAGCTTGTCAATCGCCATGTCTTGAATCGACCCGCCGAACTTTTTCAAAATGCGACCCCGCCTGCACAGGATGATTATGAGTTAGTCCTGTACTTTAGATCGCAGGTTATGAAGAAGTATTCGGAAAACCCGAAATCATGGCTACAGAGAGAGCGCGCCCTCCTCTTAGCTGATCGGAAGGCTCAGGCGCGAAACAGACAATTCAGGCTGCCTACCATCTTACCGGCAGCTAAGATGCAACCTATCCGCAAAGAGGCCCAGCGCGCGAAGCCTGTGAGAGTACCCAAAGTGGTCAAGCCTGCTGTGGCCAACCCGACGCCTACCAAGCCTCGCCCCATCCGCGCTGGACCTGGCCCTGTAATTGCTATGACCACGGCAGCCGGTCCTGCTGGGTTGACCAAGCACACGCGGGCGCCCAGTTCCACCCCGGACCCGTCACCTCGTCGCGGTACCACGCAGACTCGGGCAGATGACGACTTTGATTCCGTTCCGGACTATTGTCCGCCACTGGACTTCAACGCTCCTATTGGGATGAACAGCCTAAAGATGGAATGGAAGACGGGCACCACTGATCTCAGCAACGATCCTCATCGCCATCTTCTTCATCCAGAAGAAATCAATGTGGCCTCAAGTTTACGATTGACCGGTGCCGTCTATCTAACGAGCAAGAGACGAATCTTTGTCCGACGATTGGAGTGTCTCCGCGTCGGCAAAGAGTTTCGTAAGACGGATGCACAGCAAGCATGCAAGATTGATGTCAACAAGGCTTCGAAGCTCTGGACTGCTTTCGAGAGAATTGGCTGGCTGGACAAGTCATGGGTCGCCAAATACCTGTAGAGGGTTGGATGACATGCGCGACGATACCATTGGACATTATTCATAACTCTTTACGTCCAACACTCAAGCGATACTTGTCGCTGACGAGCTTCTTCTTTCTTTCAACCCCCTCCCTCAAATGCCATTGGCACCAGTGCCAATATTGCACTTTCATGGATCATCCTTTTCAGTTATATTTTCTTCTTTTCTTCATGTCGCCACCGGATTGGCCTCAGCGATACGCTCGATTTATTTATTTTGTTCAGCCACTCAATTTGATACCATTGGCTTTCATGTTTCGGAGAGGTAGTTCCATGATTTTATTTGTGGCGTTGGTTTCTTTCCACTCGGCTCTGGTTTTATGGCACATGACTACGTCAAGGGATTCATTCATACCTGCATTGATACCCGGAGTGCATTAATTCCCTATATTAGGGTCCCCCCCACTCCACATTCCCAAATTATCATTGTTCTTCAACATTCATCATATCATTCAGACAGGCAGGGAAGGTGGCGGTCGGTCGGGCTCAATTTTGTTTTTATTCATGATTACGGTTTGGCATCAGTTTCGGATACGGGTTGCTGTTTTCTTGAGTACTCGGAGATTGAGGAATATGTAGCCTCCGCATCATGTATTGGCGTTACTAGAGAGAGGCCCCCAGCAGAGATTGGAAGAAGAGGGGCCTGCATGTATCTGGTCGTCGGCCAATCTTTGGCTTGTTTAGTTTTTTCTTCATCCCCCCCCAATACCCTCCTCGAGTACATGGAAGATGGACATGACAAATCACGACGGCAAGGGAAATTCGATCGTTTCCATGGTTTTTTTTTTGGATCATGAGACAAGAGTCTAGGCTATTGTTTCTAGTTGCTAGAAACCACACACTAGACATCTAGTCTTCTCATGCACATTGAACCTAATGAAGCAGATTGCTCATTGTCCTCATGATATATACCGGTTGCCTACCGCTCGATCTTCGCCGTGTCCGCTGATGACTTATTGTTTATAGTACATACAAATCGTATCTCTTAGTAAGAAGCCCAACTAGATAACTTCACTTATATCAATCTAATTAGGTGCATATTACGGTGTCATGGCGTTTTATCGATGATTATGTTAACCGTGGGATGTGAAGATCACATGTAATTCAAAACATCAGGTAGCGAAAAGCTCTGCCAGCCAGGCCCCCGGTCCCTTCTACTGCATGCCACCTAACACGGCCTTACCTTACCGCACATCACCCCCCCGTCCCGTCTCTGCCCGTCCTTCAGGACCCTTGCTACCACACATTGCCACTCGCCATCCATGCGTTGTGGCGGCAGAATTACAGTGGGAAAGCCAAGGTACGGTACCTACCTACCTTGGTGTCGAGTGTCTATAGCTGCGAGTCCCGACAGGTTGGTACCACCCGCGCTATGTAGCAACCCAGCGGCAATTTAGGTACCTTCTAGCCCTAGCACTGCCCCAGGTGAGCTACCTAGCGGGCAACTACTGCGCCTAGGCACTGTAGCGTATCGCCACCAGTCTTGCTACTACCATGTAGATAGGTAGTTTCTCGATGTGATTACATCAATAAGAAAATAGCGGTTGTTCTTCTTCGCTGTTATCCCCCATGTTTGTGGCGTATCCTGTCATTTTTATAAATCTCCTTTTTCAATGAGCTCTTTACTCAATGACTTGGTGCTTTTCTGTGTCTAGCTTGTGTCAGGCTGTAAAGAGGGAGTATAGGTACTACGTGGGCAAAAGGAATTATAGGCACTCCTTGTATACTTGGGTATGTATGTACGTACGTGATGTAGCCTACAATATGTACATACCTATAGGCGCGTGGCAATTCGACGATGCTTCGATTGCGATTGCCAACGAGATGAAGCACATATGGGTATAGATATTGCTAGAAGTGGGCTCTTAGTCTTGGAACAGGAAGCTTCATAGCTATCTAATGTAGGTTTAAGATCAGACAAGACAATGATGGAATGTAAAACTACACCTATATGGCGATAGCGTGTTGAAATCAAACAATAGACGTTCCGTTTCAGGATAAGGCAAGATAATATAGAAGATTGCTTCAGACCCCGCCATACAAGGAGGGCGCACAAAAAGCGCATCTATATGAGAGAAATGAGTTGCATCAGTCTGGACGAGGCTAGACTAATAGTATCAACCATAGAAGCGAACAGGCCATTTCTTAAGAAAATAGCAATAGAAAACTCACCAGTCAGGCCCGTCAGGCCCTCCAGGTAAGATCTCCATTATATACTCGTCGAGTCGCCCAGTCCAAGGGAAACTTGCTCGCAGTGTCCCGTTCTCATAGCGTGTAATAATAGCCTGGTCACTACCAATACTGAAGTCGGTCAGGCGAGGTAAGACCTTAACTACAATAGCTGCGGCTCTTTCTGTAGCCTCCAATGCATCTCGGTACACAAGACGTTCATAGTCTCTACCCCCAGGCCCAAAATAAGCGTTGCCACACATAGGGCCACCGTCCCAGCCAAGGTCTAATGCGCTCGCATCCGGCAGTTCAAGCTGAGTCAAATTCTGTAGGGAGCCGAGAATCTGAAGAATTTCCTACTGACTGTAAGTGCCGCCTTTGCAACAGAAACAGGGCTCACGAACATTCAACATAGAGCCACTCGAGTCACCATAGTTGCTGTATCTATACTGGGAACGCAGCTCGCCCCGTAAGCCTAAACTCCTGAGGCCGGGGATGGTCGAAACCAAGGCTTTGAAGTAAGTCAGTGATTCTCTCCACTGCATCTCAATCGTTTAGCTTGGAATTGACTACCTTGAACTTTAGAATTATCAAATTCCCATTCGGCGTCCATCACAAGTCGTGTTAGATTCGGAGTAAACATCGATGCCTGGAGGAGAAGAAGTTCTGGATCCTCGCCACCGTGAATGAAATACCTTTCCCATGTTCTGCATTGATATACTAGCTCAGTGATATTGGAACACATGGGCACAAGGAAGTGATTCATCGGGCTGACTTCTAACGTCTTAGCAGTAGGAACGGCGAGGCCACGGTCAACAAAACGCTCCCCGAAATAGTGGGCATATTTCGGTGCTATATCCCATTTCAATGTTTCCAGGCTCGTGTTACCTAGTATGTCAGCGTATAAGTCCAGGAGCTCTCGTGGGGGTTGCGGCGGCTCCAGAATCCGCTTATCCCAATCACTATATTCGCTTTCGTACACGTAAATGCGCGTCTTGAACGTCTTGGCTTGTGAAAGCGCTGCTGGGCAGCGCTGGATTTCTTGTGCTCGCAATAGAGCATTGGGCCAGCCAGGGCGGCTGATGCCGAATCTGCTATTGTCGATCTCTAAATAGTCAAACAGATCAGGCGGTATAGCAAGTCCATTCCCTTCACCACCGGGTTTTCCCCGGTTTACATCGATTGTGTGCCCTTGGGATGAGAAGCACAGGTATGATTCGGCGTCTGGTAGTTTCTCGAGTTTCGCTTGGTTTTCTAAGATCCAAGGGTGGTTGGAGTCGAGCATGAATTGGGGCACGCGCGACTTCTTGTATGGGTTGCCGAAGAAATCTTGGACATTCTCTCTCCATTGCCAAGCCCTTACTTGCCACCCCAATGATAACACTGGTATGGGGAACAGCATCAATGCCAGAATTGGTTTCATGATGAATTAGCTTGATCTGGGCGTCGTGAAGTTCAAGTAAGCAGTGCTAGGGAGGTTACGTTAGATTAATTCCAAAGGCCTGAATCTTTTTAGACTTTGCCATGCCGCTATATAATGCTGAATCCATGAGAAGTTGTATACGTGTCGAGATATCAGTATTGTTTCGTTCGTCGTGCAATACCTAGACGGATGCCTAGCATGGAATGCACGCTGGCGGCACAGTTGATTATGCAATAAGGAGACCCAGGCTAGCCTTGGACCGGAAATCCGCTGGCCCAGTCACCTGGGCTGATATGCATATTACCTGTCAATTACAAAACGATGATGCACTTAGGCCTATCAGTATTTAAACAGGTAGTAAGATGCCCGTTCAATTCATAGACTCGACTATATGTAGGAGCACTGGTGACAGCTTTCGAACGAAGAGATGCTGGCGCTAAGCAGATGTTACCACCCGAAATCAGTTCAGAAATATAAGAATCCTATATGGAGGCATCTTGAATAGGCAGCGCGAGGCTGTCCAGACTCATTCCTTTCACGGAAGCATTAAGCCTGACCGCAGCATCTTGCCACATAGCAGACTTGGATCACTCAATACCGGCGCAACTCTTATTCCGAAGTCAGGATGCAGCTCTACCCACACGGCGATGATTGTGTGAACGGCCCGCTGTTTGCAGCATGCAGTCAGGCTGGCAATGCTCAGAGGCCTTGATCTGTGTCTCGGCGGCCTGTATTCTGCCAGATGCTGTAGGCTCAATGACGGACACCTTCCAAGCCCAAAGCCGTAAAGCTGGGTGCAATGAAGTCAACTGCCCGGTGCATTTGAGCGACAACAATTGTTCTACAAGGCTGGATGGATCATAGCAGTCTGGCAATCGGTCAGTTGCACTGGGTCAAATGGCGATCGACATTTTCGGGGTAGAAATGCATATAAACAATCGTCATGCCGAGGTTGCGGTGCTTGATATTAAGGACCTAAACTGCCTAGGCACTCTCGGCACTGAACAAAATCGCCCGGTTTCAAAAGCACCAACGGACAAGGCGTACGTTGCCATTGGTAAGGGGAAGATGTGAATGTACGAGTGATCGACGGCTGTTATCGAAAACAGGCAGCTAGTTGGACAGAGATGGGAACACTACCAATGACTACGGTATCTACAATATACACAGTACCTACGCCTAGGATCAGGCGTGCTGGTGGGCTTGCCGAACGATGCCTCCGAAGACCCCATCCACTTCTGAACACTGCCATTCTATTGGCGCCCTGTTTCCGCCCCGAGTCGAAAACTTCCGACTTCGGTATATGTCCAGAGCGATCTTCGTCTTGATAGATTTGGTACACTAACTACACGCTACAGTAATGTCGAAGTGTCCGATACAAGAATCACCTCATCCCGGTGCCCATCATATGATCGCGCTAACGAGGAGAAGCAAGTCCGGTGCAAGTCATTACCTGCACGATTTAAATAGAACGCATTGAGGCATCACGAACACCGCCTCAGGCTTGGTTGGTGGATTTACTCAGAATAAAGTAACAGCATTAAGATAGTATGTCTACCTGTAATGATTTTGAGCCTCACTAGCGATAGAAACTCTAGAAACTCTAGAATCACAACGTCAATGCTCTTGGCGCTGCAGCCAAGTGGCCAAGACCTGGGGGTGAAAGCTTGTCTTTGATGCCGTCGGGAGGTCTCCGTACGGGAAGTGATCTTGGTACTGAGACGCCGTATCGAACGCAGGAAGCGCAGCAAAGAGCGCGATTTAGGGGTGGGTCAAACGTCGGCAGATGAGACGACGGAACACCCTTACTTGGCCTAGAAAGGCAGGTTGTCAGCGTGGATTCTTACGCGCGTATCGACTACTCCCAGCTACAAGTTAGTAATTCTGAGGATTCAACATTTGTTGGACGACAGAGTCCATGGCCAGTTGCCACTCTCGGCAGCTTCATTTGCATTTGTGTCAGAACAAATTGTCAAATACAGGGATGCTGCTAATGCGGCTTGATCTCGAGCCCTACTGGCTGAAGTCCGCGGGTTGAACTATACGACGCTACACTACAGTACAGTCTCCTTAGCATTTAGTTATCCTTCGCTCTCCTCTGTCCGCCTATCATCACTTACTTGAGAAGGACACCCTTTGTCATTATCTGGCTCTGGTCCCCGAATTAGGCAGGCGTCTTTGCAATGTGCCAGTTTTTAGGGCCTGCTGCTGTAGATCTTAGTGCCATCATCACAGACTGACTTTAGTTTCTGATAGGTCCCAGAGGCTTCATACGAGCTGAGAATCTCCATGATGGCAGCTTGTGCTATAATAACGCAATCCAGTATAGGGAACTTGTCCGATATCATTTGAAGAGCTGTTGGTGCTGTTGCCCAATAACCGTCAAGCATCTCACATCACGCAAGCAGGAGGGCTTGCTATTCTTGAATGTTAGTGGGCTGTGCCCAGATCAAGGTGGTCAAGGGGGGGTGGTACAGCATAACGCAGGGAGAGCTGCCAACGCATAAACTCACCTAACAGCTAAACCCAACCGAAAGATCTGATTTGATAAATGCTATTCGGCATGCTTGTGATTCAAGGACCATCGCAGTCTTCCAATAAGGTACCTAAGTAGAGCATCCTCTCTGTTGGACCTGCAGTAGAGCCGTGATCGTCGGGATATCCACACACGACACCCACCACACCCACATATTGCTGGCGCCTCTCCTGTCATCACGGCCGGTATTCCAAGGAAGGCAGTTCTACTCAGCCTCTGCCAGCCTAAAAATGACAAACACCCTGTTTGCTAAAAGGATCGTCCTACTCCTTCTCTATCGGATTGCTGCGTTATCGTGTAAACATTTGGCTGCTTGCTGACTCTCGACATCTTGTATAAGACTGCCGACTTCCCGTCACTTCTCTCCAGATTGTTTCAACGCCATCACCTTCATCTTCACTCCTCTTCAGTGCCCTTGCTCGCTCTTTACCTTGTGCCTCGAAGCATCATCAATCCTCTACGGCCGTCATCATGGTTACCCAATCCGCTGTCGCACTAACTGCGGCCCTTGCCGGCCTCACAGTTGCGAACCCAATTAAGACCAAGATCGGCACCAAGTCTAGCTCTTTCACCGTCAACCAGGTTTCCAACACCGCCTTCAAGCCTCATGGTCCTTTCCAGCTTGCGAAGGCTTACAACAAGTACGGAGCTAAGATGCCTGAGGGTCTAGCTAAGACCGTTGCCAAGTATAACGCCGCCAAGAAGGCCAAGCGTGATTCCGGCAGTGCTAAGACTACCCCAGAGGAATACGATATCCAGTACCTTACTCCTGTCGACATCGGTACTCCCGCCCAGACACTCAACTTGGATTTCGACTCGGGTTCCTCCGACCTGTGGGTCTTCAGCACAGACACCCCGAGCTCCTCTATCAACGGACAGGCCCAGTATGACCCTAGCAGTTCTTCCTCGTCTGAGGAGGTTAGTGGTGCTACATGGAGCATTAGCTACGGTGATGGAAGCTCTTCTAGTGGCTCCGTCTACCACGACGTCGTCACTGTTGGTGGTGTGAGCTTCGACTCCCAGGCTGTCGAGTCTGCCTCGAAAGTCTCAGACCAATTCGCTCAGGACTCCAACAACGACGGTCTGCTCGGCCTTGCCTTCAGCACCCTGAACACCGTCTCCCCCAAGCCCGAGAAGACTTTCTTTGACAACATAGTCGACAGTCTTGATGTGGCTGCGTGGACCGCCGACCTCAAGTACCACACTGCCGGTACCTACGACTTCGGTGTCATCGATGACTCCAAGTATACCGGCTCTATTAGCTACGTCGACGTCGACGACAGCCAGGGCTTCTGGGGTTTCACCGCCGACATCGACGGCGAATCTGTTGATGGTATTGCCGACACCGGCACCACCCTTGCTCTCTTCCCTGACTCCGTCGTCGAGTCCTACTATAGCCAGGTCGATGGCGCTAAGGAGGACCAGCAACAGGGCGGTTACGTCTTCCCCTGTGACGCCGAGCTTCCTGACCTCACTTTCACCCCTGGTGATGCTGAGATCACCATTCCAGGAGAGTACATCAACTATGCCCCCGTAGACGAGTCTGGCTCCACCTGCTTCGGCGGTATCCAATCCTCCAACGGCATTGGCATCAACATCTACGGTGACATTGCCCTCAAGGCTGCTTTTGTCGTCTTTGACCAGACTACTAGCTCTCCTCGCCTTGGGTGGGCTACCAAGGACCTATAAATCCGCAGCTCCATATAGTTAAGGAACTGCTGTTGCCAGATAAGAATCTCATGCCTAGATGATGGAACGGACGAGGTGTATATTTATGAATATGTATATATGATGGCATTCTTTAAGCGGTCATTCGATTATACCCATGAAAGGAGATTTTGATCATTATTACAATAACAACTCCTTTTGCTGCTGTTACACTAGTGCATTCTTATACTTAGTCCTAGCCAGTGATTTTAGCGGTTTTGTATACCTCCAGCTAGGACTAAGATATCGAGTAGCCGATGATGAATGAAAGACTTCACTACTGCTTTACCCTTAAATAAGCAACTTGTAGAAGGAATATTTGTCAAGCTAGGCATTCATTCATATATGACTTTTGTTTAACGTGCGACTTTAAATGGTAAATTGTTCGTCATATCATTATCCTACAAAAGTGCTGCATTGCAACCGAAGTGTCCTTAGACGCTATGTTGGATAGCATCTCACTGACCATTAACACGGAGGAAAGCCGCCTTATGCTCGCGTCATTTGATCCATATAACTCCATCCAGGAGCGGTAGCAGAACAACGTCAAACTACTATGAACCTTGGTTGATGATGTGACTCTGCAGAGTAGATCATGCAACACTTAAGGTGCAGGTACAGAGTGGTGTGGGTGTACTGTGTTCCAGATATGTCTATATGTCTACATTGGGTGTGAGGAAGGTACTACTATATGTTTCGTATAGTTCGTTTATTCAGATAACTATGACCCATCTATCAAAACAAGTAATGATCATAAATAACTTCCAATTGTAGTTCGGAGGGCTTAGATATTTACCAGGACCCTTTATCTAGACAAGATAGTAATTTTTCTAATGATTATTTGATCTGTTACTACTGGATAAACAGAATAAGGGCATGCCGTCAATCATCGAACTCCCTCGTAGTTAGTTAGCCTAAAGGGTATTATCGTTGACGGCAAAGCTATGTTTTTCTAGTTGGAGTTCACTTTCTTTAGTTTAACAGTAATATCTAATCTAGCTAACTCTATTATTGACTGCTGTCTAATCATGCTTGTGCAATAAGACCAGGACCGGTTTTGTAGAGGCGAGCGGCCATCAGGACTAAGCTACCTGCAGCCACGGCATATGCCTGAGCGTGTAAATAACTCCCACCCGCCTCATCAATGAGAACACCAGCAATGTGCGGCCCGATCAACGTAGAAATAGAAATAATGGCAAAACACATACCATTACGTGTACCAAGCTTGCCAAGATCTGTCGTTAAACTCGAGAGAGCGATGGCGAACATGCTCTGTACCACTGAAGCGGCAATTCCATATACGACAGCAAAAGAAATTTGACCTCTTTGATCGTGAACACCAATCCAACCAAATAGAAGAATTCCAGACCCAAAAGCACAAGGTATGATGGCGTTCAACGCTCTAAAATATTTGTCAGCGATTATAGCAGGCAAATTACGCCCAACATATCTCACACCATTGATGATGAGAATAGGATTGATAGACTCCGTATATGTTAGGCCAATGATATCCCGGGCGAATGCCCCAATCTATATCGTCTATTAATTGCGATAACATGATGGTTGGTGAACCAACCTACGTAATAGAATGCAAAATAGAGGCCTAAGAAGATAAGGGATATTCCAATACAATATAAGACGTAGGGTGGCTTGTTAAATGCGGCCCAGTCGACTACAGACCCCGAGGGACGTGGCGGAAGCCGTGGTTTCAGTAGGCCAAAGGCCAAAGTACTAGCGAAGATCGTGATCACGCCGAAGATGCGGACTGTCTATCCAAAGACGATTACTGGCAGTAGTTTCTGAACCACGACCGGATATATGAGACTTCCAGTAGCTGACATAAGTGCCAACAAGGGAGATAGTTAGACAGAACAACAGACCGTTGCCAATGCCAACTAGAAAGCCTTGGGTAAGCAGCACATGCCAGTACTTCGAGGAAATGGATGTCAAGAATATCCCTAGAATATGGGCGATATACACGACAAAGGTCACGGGCCGGAACCGTCCCGCATCGAGCGCCCACCCGGGAGATGCGCCGATAGCAAATAGGAGGAATATCTGTACCGATCCAACCCAGGAAATATTGGATCGAGATCGCTGAAGAGCGACGGTGTAATGACTGGAAAATACTGAACGAATTCACAAAGCCCCAGGCGTTGAAGCTGACGAGGTGTCCCATTCCGACTTGTTTCCAAGCTACGACGCCGCCGTCCGGTAGTGGCGGTGGTGCTTGGTCTTCATCGCCCACGGGGACATGCCAGAGCCGGTGCCACCAACGGCGCTCCTACACCGACCTCTCTCTGCAGGAGTCTGCAACACTATTTTGCTGAGAATTGTCTGTCGTAAGCCCTTGGTTATTCCCCGCATGGAACCTTAGATATCAGGAGTTCAACTTATCGCTGACAACACCGAACCGTTGCGGAGCTGGGTTGGGCCGGGTAATTTCTTCTACGAATGGCACCCTGTAGTATACTTGGTTATGACAATGAGCAATACGACAATTTTCAATACCATTCGAAGGGTACATTCTTTTAACTATTTCGCGTATCAAGAACATAGTTGTCACATGTTTTATATCGTTTAGCAGTACTATCAGCAGTTTACTCCAGTTTTTCCCCGCCTCGCGCAAGCTTATACTTGACTGTTCCCTCAAATTCGGGTTCCCAGGCGTGCCTGTGCAGCGCAAAGCCCTCCGCCCCTGGCTCTGGAATGCGCGGAAAGATTCCCATCTTCAGAATCACTTTACCTTGATACAGAGGCGATTCGGACTTGATCGGACTGGGTAGCAGGATTATTCAGTCAGCCATTGTGATAAATATGAGTTGCTTCTTTATAGGTACATCGTGTAAAGGAAGCGAGTGTGTGTGTGTGCATATGTATGCGTATCCCAGATGGGCATGATAAATGCATGCGGGATGAACTCACTTTCCATCTACACTGCAAAACGAACGGTAAACAGGGTTTCCCGACAGTGTATCATAGTCATTGTACGTTTTCAGCGTACCCGAAGAGTCTTGGATGTCGACCTTCTCTGTCTCGATGACCAGGTTCGCTGCTACAAAGCTCCCGGCTACCTTCCTGCAATTGGAGCAGTGGCAGAGATGGCCCCGAGGGTGAGTGAAAAGGTCTGCGTCGCGGATGGTGACGCAGATGGAACCGCATAGGCAGCTACCCCTGAGCTCCTTTTCGAATTCTGTAATAGGGTGATCGTTTGGGTTGCCTTGCGGTGATTTCATTTTTACAGACTTTGTTGATCTGGGCAAGATGTTGCTCTTGGCGTATGAAAAGGCTGCCAAAACCGTCAGAAGTACTTATAATAGCTCCGACAAAGCCAGGAGCACCTAATTGGCGACTTTCATCTTGCTGCCATATCCACATCCACTGCCACATACATCATTTAACATGTGGTAGATTATTATTGTGCTATTCCCGCCCCCTCAATCATTAGAGAGGGGTCACGTAATGCTCAAGTCGCGGACCGGCCCTTCTTCCAGCCCTACTGGTAATTCGGGCAGCGAAATCGCATCGCGGGGGCGGGGGAGGGGCCGGAGACGGGCTCTAAGGCGTGGAACTTGGCGACTAGCAATAGTCGCCGATCTCTACATGGCTGAATACGGAGACATGCTCATCTAAAATCTAAGTTGTTCCGTTTGAGGTTCCCCTGTAAAGTATATTGACTAAAGGCTAATATCATCACTCTGGCCTGCGTTCAAGATTCCCTCTCCGTCGAGGCTGAGTTAAGGTGTGACTGATCGTTGCTGATCATGAATGAACATCGTCTGTGAAAGGTGGACGATCAGTTTCAGTCACCAATTTCATTGCCAAAAACCATCGTGATGGCAGCTATGATATCGTGGCGTCACGGTAACTGTATTATCACGCGAGGGTTAGGATATGACTTATTCTCGAATTTGAAGCGCGATTTTATATAATTCTGTTACGCAATGCCATTTCAATTAAGAGTTGCAATTTACTCATCATATAGTTTACAATCAATGTGCGCTTCTCCCTTGTTCCTGAAATGTCCCAATTTGACTTTGTTCGAGACGACGTTCACCCTATGTTCCAGCTAGGGCGAACGTTTACTCGGCGTCTTATCCGTCTCATACTGGACGAACTCGCCGCAGTCGTTCCCGAGCATCCCTTTTTCTCATTTCCCAAGACACAGCCCCCACGAGATGGATTTACAGATGTTTCGGCAAAATGCTTCGCAAATGCCATTAATAGGACAGCATGATGGCTAATAGATAACCTTGATAAGCCTTCCAATCTCGAGACCGTATCTTATATCGGCCCAAGTAGGTCATTAGTAGACCATTTATACCCTAACCTAGGCTCATAGTTAGATGATATCTGATATCTTATACTTATGTTTGCGGCTATCAAAGTCGGCTACAAGGTATGATAAATCCATCTTTTTGTATATTTAACTAGTCCAATTCTGGTGCATATATAGATGCTATTCACATCGCCACGGAATTATCTGGATGGGCATCTCAACCTGCTCGCCAAATCCAACTGCCATATCTTCCTATCGGCAAAGGACTGCCATACAGATATTCAACCCATCTTGAAGAACAGACCAATGCGGGCGCAGACAATCCCAGCTCTAAAAGAGCTCGTGGACTCATGCGTAGTTGAAAATTACCCCTATTCCAAGTCATTCGAGGATGCTCGCCATGATGAGTGCCTAGTACTTCACACGGCCGGCTCCACGGGCCTCCCAAAGCCCATCGTGTGGAAGAATGGGATGCTCAGTACATACGAGGAATGGCACCTGGCAACCTCGGTCAACGGTTACATGCCGACAACAGAAATATACCAACAAGCTACCTCCGCGTATACGTCTATGCCACTATTCCACACCAGTGACATCAACGCGGCCATGGGGTAAGTCAAGATAACTGTAAATCACTATCTAGCAGAGTTGACGAATTGTCTCTACCATCAGCGCCTTTACCTCACAAAGCCGGGAATATCATAACAAAGTACTCGCGCGTCATAGGGAACTTAGGCGCGACCGAGACGGCAAACTTGCTCAGGCTGGTTCTTGCGCCCGAAGACTGGGAGTACTTCTATTGGCACTTTACTCACTCGGGCATCGAGCTCAGACCAGACCCTGATAGTGACTCAGGATTACACGAGCCGTTCATCGTGTGCGGCGGGGCTGACCTCGAGCCTTTCCAAGTCGGATTCTACGCCTTCCCCGACGTCAACGAAGGGTCTATGAACGACCTGTACGACCGCCATCCTACCAAGCCGTTCTTATGGCGTTACCGCGGGCGCAAAGACGACGTCATCGTCCTCAGCAACGGCGAGAAGATCACTCCGCCGCTGATAGAAACGGTGCTCGCGAGCTGTCCATACGTCCGCGGCGCCATGGTCGCCGAACAGAGACGGTTCCAGCCTATGACACTTATAGAGTTACAAGAAGGTGTAGCGCCTCCTACTACTACCCACGAGCGAGAGGATATCCTAGAAATCCTAGGCCCGTTCATCGAGGCTGCGAATAGACATGCCCCTGCCCATGCACAACTCGATCGACATCACATTCTATTCGCTGATCCCCATAGACCGATCCAGTACCTCGGACAAGGCAAGATCCAACGACGACGCATGTATCAGGTCTACGAAGAAGATATAGCAACCGCACACAGCACCGCCGAAGACGCCGTCGCCACGAAGACGACACCGCCGGAACTCGAATCCGGGAGTCATGCCGAAACAGTAGTCTGGCTGCGCCGGTTTCTAGCAGAGATATCTCTCGTGGCCCCTCGGGCCGTCGGACGATTTCTTCCGCGCGGGCCTCGACTCGCTGCAGGTGGTGAGGCTCACGCGCGAGATCCCGGGGGTTTCGGCAACGGATATATACCAGCATCACACACTAGACTCGCTAGCAGAGTTTTTAGCTGTTCCGTGAAGCTGCTGCTACCTCAGGGCTTAGGGTATGTGGAATTGGCATGAGTATATTCCAGCAGTGAGTATTCAGGATATCCTAGTTCTGGTTTCTTGACCGTGTATTTTTGCTAATGCTCCCAGCTCATCAACTCGTCTGTTCACTTGGGATGTTTTCCTAAGTCGTTTCCCTCGCGTGATCACATCGACTGGTTACCCGTGGATAAGGCAGCTCGTGTCTCAATAGAGATCCTAGAGTCGGCGTCCTCATCGATAGCAAATTTGGGCAACGATACGCTGCCGGTATTCCACGTTGCTAATCCATACGCCATATCGTGGAGTAAAATCGTGCCGTGGGTGGCCAATGTTCTGAGGCTTCGACCAGTGTCTCGACCAGTGTCCTTTGAAGAATGGTTGAGTAAGCTCAAAAGTTGCCGTGCGCCACTAGAAGACATCGACAAGAACCCGGCTATCAAGCCTGTAGATTTCTACCGCACGGCTGGCAGGGCTCATGCTCCTAGGCGAATGATGACGTGGAGGGCTGCCCAAGTTAGTAAAACGCTTCGCGAGGTTGGTCCGGTCAACGGGCAATGGGTGGATATGTGGCTGAATCAAATGGGGTATGATTTGAAGTCAGGCAATGGATATATGTGTTGCCACGGTATGCGCGTGATAGTCGTACAAAACCTAGAACATATTATTACGCCTAGTGGCAGAACACATATTGTTAGTCACATAGCCTCTTCACCTGCGAATAAATGTGATCCAATGACACTCCATGGCCCGTAAATAAGAGATAACAGATTGTAGCGGCTACAAAGTTGGTGTGGTTATAAAGCCACTAATTTCACTGTTCGAGGCTGATGACTATCATCTGTCTGCCTCACTGCAATGAAGATCGGCTCGTGGTGAAATATCCATCACATGCTCATAAGAGCAGAGGGGCAGGAGATGGAGATTAGGACTAGGCACTTTTGTACGTCTTATGTTGTGGTATTTATTCGGCAGGGGAAACGCCTACACCCAATCAAACAACCGCCAGAATCGCGTCGTGAGTAATTCGGAGACAGTAGACAAAACCCCGTTTCCCAAGCCCATATGGATGAATTAATATTGTACATGCGTGGGATATAACGCCGCATACACATTCTATAACCAATAGAGCCCGCCTAGGCCCAATCATGTTGTATCTCGTATCTTGCACCTCTTCCTACCGCCCTTTCCTCGCACGTCTCCGTCACCCGTGTAAAGATTTAGCCCGTTTTTTATACACGCAGCAGCTTGGCGGCGTAATCTTCGATAATCTGCTCGGTAGGGAAGCTCAGTTGCTCAAGACCCTGGGCATAGGGAGTAGGCACTTCAGCACCTGTGATACGCTGAGCGGGGGCATCGAGGTAGTCAAAACCGTACTCCATCGTTGTAGCGAGAATCTCCGCGCCCATGCCGGCAAACGGGAAACCGGACTCGACTGAGATTAGGCGGCCGGTCTTCTTGACGGACTTGATGATCGATTCAACATCGAGGGGCTTAACGGATCGCAGGTTAATGACCTCGGCCTCAACACCATACTTCTTCTTGAGAGCCTCAGCAGCAACCATGCACTGACCGACAGTGCGGGATAGCGAAACCAGGGTTAGATCCTTGCCTTGGCGCTCAATCTTGGCCTTGCCGAAAGGAATGACGAAGTCGTCCTTCTGAGCGGCCTCGGACATGGGGAAAGAGACACCGTACATCAACTCGTTCTCGAGGAAGACGACGGGGTTGGGATCACGGATGGCAGCCTTGAGTAGACCCTTGGCATCTTCGGCGGACCAGGGGGAAACGACCTTCAGACCGGGGATCGAACCGTACCAGGCACTGTAATCTTGCGAGTGTTGAGCACCGACACCGGCAGCGAAGCCGTTGGGGCCACGGAAGGTGATGTTGCAGGGCTGAATGCCACCAGACATGTAGAGGGTCTTGGCGGCACTGTTGACGATCTGGTCGATGGCCTGCATAGCGAAGTTGAAGGTCATGAACTCACACTGCATGGTGTAAATACAGCAACGGGTTAGCCAATTGATTCTGGAAAGCCATTTCTTACTCTATGCGAAAATATTCATATATATATATACATATATATGTGTATATGTGTGTATGTATACGCATGTGTACAGGTGGACCGGGAACGGCGGACAAGAAAGGACTCACGATGGGAGCCAGGCCGCTCAGCGCGGCACCGACGGCCAGACCACAGAAACCACTTTCGGTGATGGGTGTGTCGATGACTCTCTTGTCGCCGAAGCGATCTAACAAGCCCTTGGTGACCTTGTAGGCACCGTTGTATTGAGCGACTTCCTCTCCCAGGATGAAGACCTTCTCGTTCTGTTCCAACTCCTCGGCCATGGCTTCGTTGAGGGCCTCACGGACGGTGTAATCCTTGGTTCCCTTGACATCGGCAAATGACCTCCGTTGCGAAATGGCATAGGAGGCAGGCGAGGTGAATCGGGGCAGGGTCCGGGGAGCAACCGTCGCGATGCGGGCAGAGGCGGCTAGCCTCGCGGCGGGACGAAGGTATCGCGACATTCTGGGCTAATGACGAAGACGGACACGAGAGACGAAGAGAGAGGCAGGAGAAGGAAAGGAAGCGGCAAAATCAGGGGGCGAGAGAAGGCAAAGAACACAATGGAGGACCGATCCGTCGACGGACACCAGAGGACTGGGAGTTGGGGGTGAAGAGGGCGGACTGGTAGGGCGGAAAGAGATGGATGCGAGGACGGGAGAGAAAAAAGTGTCGGCTCACGGATTGGGGATTGGAGAGTGATTTTTTCTGCAGTGTGGTTTAGACAGGGTACCTAGCTCTGTCAGCCTTCAAGGGTCTGGTGCCGGCTTGGGTTCGGCGGGATACTTCCACTGTAGGCGGGATGTAGGCGCTGGGACAGGTACCCCGGGCCTCTGTCGGGTACCCTGACGAAGTGCTAAAGACAGGCGCTGGTACCTCTGCCGAGACCCTGCTGTACCTCCTAAGAAAGGGCGGAGGTAGCTGCTTCGTGGGTTGCTTGACGTGAGAGAGCTAATCCTCTTGTGCACTAAAAAGCTTACCCCTTTAGGCAGTATGTCCCTACAACGGGCAGTAAACGGGCTCTCTTATCAAGCTCCCTGTCGAGCCTGTCTTGATTCTTCCTACATCGGAGCCCCGAATTAATATCACCGTACATCTATCTAGGTAGGTACTATCTAGAGTAGGTATGTCTGCTTACCTAACCGATGTAGATTCACCATATTCTCGAATCTGAAGGACACATTGATCTATCTGTCAATTTTTCTTCCTCTCCTCTATCACAACCCTCCGGCCATTGCAGGTTCCTGTGCTAGATATCGGGAGGCATCTACTACAATTACTAGGTAGGTACGAAGTAGGTATTGAACCTATTAAATCTCTCCTTACTGTACCGATTACAGGTGGGCTATCACGGAGCTGCTAGCGACAACATCGGCTTTGGGTGCCCCGCTAGCTCCGTTGGGGGTATTCCGATGGTTGGTTGGGGAGGTATTGTGTAGTACCGGTAGGTAGTAGAATGTAAGTAAACTACCTACATAGTAAACCTCCAGCAACCAGTCAAATTTGTCTACGATTTTGGTTTGTCAACAAGGACAATACAGAATCACTTCATGAACTACTATGTGTGAAGTGTGGTACCCATCATGTGACTTTTGTGATATTATCTATGTACTGAAGTAATCTAGAAGTCGATTACAATCCAATCAACACCATAACCGAAGGATGGAACGTCATATATACATACCATACCGCCTTCCATTTCTGATACGGACCTTTCACTCAGATTACTTCCCATATGGATTGTGCTCTGCCTGTTATCGGCCCGAATTGCAGCTTCTATTATATACAGCGCTCAAATTCTACTTCTAGGTATTGAACAGTAGGCATCTACCGGCATGTCGACGTAGCAACGGTCCAAGGTATAACGTAGCCCCGCAAGCCCAGGTCTTCACTCTCTCTATCCTTCTGTCTATCTTGACGGGCGCTGCACCTCGCCTTGCGTCTCGTCTCGTCCGTTGCTCTCTCTCTTGCTCTTCCCTGACCATTAGGTATTATTACGTATATCGAAGCCGGTCGCTATGCCCAATCGCGCCGGCGAACATGTCTAATATGCTAGCCCCCCTTTTTTTCTTGTCCGGTCATTATCGTCATCACTACTTGTCTCATTGCTCTGGCTTCTTCCCGACCATCAGGTACATGGGTGTGAAGAGGTGCTTCTCGGCACCCGCAACCAGGCAATCGGCCGCCTCGCCGAGACTTTCGGCCGTCTTCTTGGTACCGGTTGGCGCAAGCTTAGCCGTCTCCAAAAGACCGGCGAAGTTGTGCGCGAGGAAACGACCCCACCACGTCATTCGCGCGATTGTGAATGCGTCGAACATGGACTGCATGTACTTCCATCGGCCGGCAAGAGGCCAGTACCAGGGAATGGGGTCGGGCCGGTCAGCAAGATCTTCATGGTGGAGGAGGTCAAAACCGGCAATTTTCATCGCCTCTATCCCCTCCGAGATCTTGACCATGTTCGCGATACCATCACCCTGCTCAATACCGAGGCGAATCTTGCGGTGCTCGATGTTGTCGTTATCGTAGTCGTCCGTCATCAACCACTCATACACACCGAATACACCGCCGGGCTTGAGTACACGGAAGATTTCACTATATACACCTGCTAACTTGGGGGCATGCACGGTGGCCTCGATCGCATAGACGGCGTCGAAGCTATTATCAGGGAAGTCCATTTGCTGAAAGAGTCATGCGTTAGTGCGATTACCCACGACGTGGCGCCGAGTTTGCAACTTACCATGAAGTCTCCCTTGACGAAGGCCAGCTGGTGGGACAAGCCCTCCTTCTTAGCGTAGTGGGTGGCACGCTGGATCTGGTAGTCGTTGTTGTTGAGTCCGGTGATGTGAGCACCAGTGAATTTGGCAATCTCGCGGGCTGGGCCGCCGACACCGCAGCCGACATCAAGCACCTTCATGCCCTCTTTAATGCCAATCTGGTGTGCTAGGTAGTGCTCGTGTCGGGCAATGGCTTGGTAGAAGTTCTCTCCGATCGAATACCTGCAGAAGTGGAAGCTTTGGCCCCAGCCATACTCGTACAGGTCAGTAGCGAGGTTGTAGTATCTAATCGCCACCGTGTTAGCCAATGGAGCCTCTAGAAACCAGGGAATGTTGAGGCGCAACAACATACTGTCTCGTCAACGTAGCGTACTCGGCATTGCGGGCCTGTCAGGTGGTTTTAGTATTGTGACAAGGCGTAGCGGTCAAGGGATCGTGGGTCCAACATACAGCACGAGTCTCTTCCGTCTCAGTCTCAGCGGCCTTATTGTCCCAGTGCTTGAAGTACTCGTCAACGGCAGCTTGCTTGGCTTCGCGGCCCTTGGCGAACATGGCGCGCACACCGCCAGCAGCAGCGGCAGAGTCGCCGTGCATGGCCGTGTTAAAGGCAGCATCACGGGCTCTGTCCTGCTTCTCGAGACGGGCTTTGGAGGCCATGGTGTTGGAATAACGGCGGTCGCAAATAGGGGCTTTAGGACGTAATGAAAGGCTCGATGACAGTTTGAATGGCCAATTGGCAAGAGGGTATAAGGATATCGTTGATCAAGGGGAGAGGGAGAGAGAGAGATGGTTGCTGGCGGTGCTCGACTCGAAGATAAAAGGGGACGCGAGCAACATTTTATGCAATCGAGCTCTGGGCGTTTTTGCTATCGACAATTAAATGTGCCTTGGTCGGCGGGTACCTGATTAGAGGGGCGCTTCAGGGGGTCATCTGGGGATCTCATTGCAGAGCCAGACTCTGGGCAGACGATTGCAGGGGGTCGAGCAGGGGCTGGCAGTACCTAGGTAGTACAGTCTAACCTCTTCCATGCTAGCCTGGCTCCTCTATCCCAATCATATCCCGGCGAGCACAAGATACATGTATATTGTATATAAAGTATTGCATCTGTAATAACCAATTAAATAGCCAATTGACCGGAATCCGAATACGAAAGCGATGATAGACACAGCCACTTCGCACAACTGTGGCTAGTGATTTCATGAAAACGAACTGTCGTATTCGAGTGCTACACACATCGTATCTAATTCGCGATGCGATGCGCTCAGTTCAGCTTCTCCCTGATATGCCACGAATACGACGAAAAAGGGAGTCGGAAGGAAGAAGCATCGTCTATCGTGAACACCGTGACTTATCTTATTTCCACGAACAATATCAGATTTAGGTATAACCCGAGATTTGTAACAGATCCCCTTCACAATATCATCACTAAGGCTGCACTGGCATCTCGCCATAGTTGGCGTCATTGACGGACGTGCACGGATACCGCTTCCACCTAGGATGGAGGATTCACCTTACCAAGCACTGGCAAGCAGTCATCACCACATCACATTACCTGATTGATACCAGCAAATAGTACTTGGGGTCTAATCACTCCTAGCTCCAACAGATGCTCTCCAGAATCTACTGCAAATAACAATAGCGACGATGCAAGTAAGCATGCAACCCCCAGCACTTAGCACCTCGCTTAGCAGGAATGTCATCGTCCCTGTATTTCTGTGTATACAGGCAAGGAATTTCAACAGGTTGACGAGAGACCTACGTGCGTATGTAGCAGTAAACCGGTAAAAAGTTATGGGAAAGTCACCTCCTGTCTTCGTCACATGCACATGCATAGCAAAAAGAGAGTCACTAAGTCACTAATGAGAAGTGTTAATTAAGCAAATAAATAACTACAGGGCTCAGTATGACATTTCACTAGTTTTCGACTGATTATAACACCCAAGTTAATCGCAATGGGGGAACATGTTCGTTCGAGCCTCCTATGTCACGATATACTCTTCGGTAGACTACTCCTCAGACTTTAAAGATAGTTGCCACAGCTAGCTTTTCGAAGAATGGTTTCTGTGAAAAATGGGCTTACGGAGCCCACGCACTCTCATCACAGCTTTTCTACTAAATGGAACCCTTGTTTGATATAATATTACAGCAGTGCTACTCGCGGCGCTATAGAATGTGCTATGGAAAACAATATTACTCATCAAGTAGAGAGAGGGGAAGAGGCAAAGAGAGTAGAAAGAAAGAGATTCTGTTACCACCAACTGTCCAAATCCCTGGGTAAACCAAGTGAATTCCTAGCTGAGGTTGGTAAGCAACATATGGCGGAGCCATCCAACCTCCCGCCCTACTACGTAGCCTCTACAGGATTGCCATGGGCAAAGAAGCTCCTGTTGGTAGGTGAATTCAAATCAATTGCATCTGAAGCAATCATGTTGACCCAAATTCCGTTGTTCTCGTGACAGCTTCCAGCGTAGTATTAGGTGATCACTGACTTAGGTAGTTACGTAACAGTCCTCATATTGTATTGGCAATTCCACAATCCCATCATTCTTTATTTATCCTTTGCTTAATGGCGGAAATGTCATCGATTTTCTGGTTAGGCTCCTGGAATACAAGCAGAGACTAGTAGTAGTGCGACTCCTAGTTGATCCTCCAGCTTGACTGCCCGACACAAGATATTTCCCGGAAAGGTGGTTATAAAGACGAACCCTTTTGTGGTCAATCGTACTCAGTGTTCATGCAATCTAGGACATCCTTATCACATTTCCTCAGAGTCACGGGGTTCATAGTCGCGCCACACCAGTCCCTCGGGTACTGACTTCCACTGCAAGTCGTCGTCGAGCAGTTCCGTCATTTTTTTCCATTCCGATCTAACGATGTCCGCCTTGAGTGAGCTACGAGGCTTGATATCAGCCCTGAAAGCATTTGGGCAGACCAGCAAGCCTTCAGTCAAGTCTTCCATATCTGGTATGATCTCCTTCCCCGTAGATTTATCGATGGGCCTTCTGAAATCAAACGCCCACAGAAGCCGAGAAATGGCCAGGAAGAGATTACGGTCGGCAATGTGTATACCTTGGCAAAGGCGTCTTCCAGCACCAAAGACAAATTGGTCTCGCTTGGACACATCTGCGTTGTTAGCAGCTTCTGCGGAGGTTTGAGTGTTCTGGATCCACCGGTTGGGATCGAACCTTCGCGGGTCGGGGTGGCGGTGAGGGTCATTGTGTATCGCCCACACGTTAAGCATAACGCCAGCACCCTTAGGGATATGATAGCCCGAATACTCATCGTCTCGAGTCACAGCATGTGGAACACCAAGGATGGCCGTGGGCATCCATCGCATGCTTTCTTTGATGCAGCCCCTGATATATGGAAGGTCTGGGAGGTCGTTGAGATCCGGTATGCGGTCACCACATACCCGATCAAGCTCTTCCTGGGCCAGCACTGGCACCTCAGGGAATATAAGCAAGGCTTGTATAAATCCGATTAGCGTCGATGCGGAGGTGTCTGAGCCAGCTTCTAGCAGAGTACCGCTGAGATATCCAGCTACACCGTCAGAGAATTTGATTTCATCTTGAGCTCGAACGACATCTGCACAAATACAAGGCTTTAGAGCCAGGTAAATTAGACTCACAGATCACATCATATCAAACATTACAATGATCTCACCTTTGATTTGCCTTCTTTAAGCTTCCTCTTTGCTGTCAAATAATGTCCGACAAACAAATCGTACTCTTTCTCGTGCAATTTCCTCGCATATTTCTTCGCAGGGAGCAAGAAATCAGGAAGATGCCTCAGAATGGGAAACACGTCTAGAAGTGCCGCACTCTGACTTCCTGCGATTTCGCTCCACTTCTCGAAGCCCTGTTGTGTGTGAGTACAGCAGCACCAGAGTACAGTATATAACGTACGTGAATGAGCCGTTCTAATTTTGGGTCATGGATGTCCAGTGTCCTAAACCCAAATATCATCTGAGTCGATATGGAATTTGTATATCTACGGATATGGTTGAAGAACTGGGAAGGATTATCAAGAAAGCCTAGCAGCATGGCCTTGCTTTCGAGATCTTGGTAAGGGACATAGGTTCGCGAAGCCTTAATATTGAGACTATTGTGGACAATCCCTCGTTCGATCCTCCAACGCTCTCCATATTCCTACACTAGAAGTTAGTCATGATCAAGCTCACGATAATCTCCGTTGAGAACACAGCTGACCATCAAGACCATTCTGAATCCACCGCTTGTGATATCCTGACCAAGGTACATGTCAGGCCGTGACGAGTAGATTCCGCTTCTTTTATCCAGCAAGTCCTTCACAGCTAGATCCGATGACAGCACGATCATAATCTGTGTTCCCAAAACAAGGGAGTAAATTGGCCCATATTCCTTAGCCCACTTCTCGAATTGCAAGTGACCTTGTTTCTTCGGCATAAGGTGCAAATTTCCAATTAGTGGTAGAGTTGGTGGTCCTGGAGGGCACCCCTTTGGCCGACGGCCAACTTTGCTGAGCTGGTATAGCAATATGGCCACTAGCCCGATGGCTAAAATTGAGCTGAGACCAACTGCCATGGCGAAATGTAGATAGAAAATGGGAACGTAGATGCGAAATGGAACAGAGAAGCGTGTATGGCCCCGTTCAGGAGGTGAAGCTGTGTGCACATTTATATCACACCACACATCAGCGTGTTGAAAAAGCAATTTCTAGAGTCTAGCACATGTTCTAATACTATGAAGATGGCGAACGCCACCTCGCTTTATAACTTGCTCACTCGATCGCGCCTTGTTGACTTAGTTCCGGCCAAGAAAGATGAATACGACTGTCATGCAGCTCTCCAATTCCAGATCACAGATCGCCTCCACATCACTACACTTGGGTGAGACTTGGGGAATTGCAAAAGCAGCAACCACGTATTACCGTCTGGGGTAAGACATTAGTGCTCACTGTTTCTACAAGAATATGCGCCCGCTTAGCTTTCTGATGTAAGAAGGGTGGCGAGTATCCTCTTCTGCAGTAGCCGCCAATTGTATTGGAGCCCAGGGCTTAGGTTTGGTAAAATGTATTAGCGGTAATTAGTTGAAAAGGGCTGGGAACTGAAACACGGCAGCCAGAGACAAACGCACATGCGGGCATCATATGATTGTTTCCATCTTACTCTATGCTGTGGATGCATCAGCTCAAGCATATCTGCGACTTAGATGAGGGGTACTCATCTTATGACGCTTCTGCTTTTCCGGCCCATCCATTGCTCCGATTGAGATACCGTGTACTAGAGTCAGTCCTATTACCCGCGGATACTGCGTCTGTTACTATTTCGGAAATCAAGTCTGGTCGGCGAGTACGACCTGGATAAGGCAGAAATGCAAAGGAACGCTAAGATTGCTGATGATTTTCACGTCCGCCATAGTCAGGTTGAGATAGCAACTATTATAGAATATGGCAACGTAAAGCCTAACTTCGTTGCCGACTAAAACTACAAATGAGGATCAATTATGGTCCTCCCCTCCCCCGCACTCACCCTCGCCCACAATTACGCGTTTCACATACTGTGACCTCATGGATGTACCGAATAAGCCCATGCTCGACGCGAATGAAATTGGTGCTCGGCACTGAGCCGTTCGGCTTGGTAGCTTCCAACCACGGGAAGCCGTTGAAGACATCCACCGCCCCCAGCTCTTCATCAATCACGTATCGACGATTTGCAACCGCGAGTGGCTGCGGGAATGCCCCCATGCTGCAGGTATTTGCTGACGGATTGCTCTGCCCTGTGTAGGCCCCGCCTTCGAGACGCGCGCAAGGAGTGTTCAATGGCACGGGGAGGGTTGAGTTACCCCACTGATTGAGATAGGCATCGGCAGCTGCCTGAATGACAGCGCGGGTGTCTCGTTGGTTTTCGGGGATGGGCTCCCATTTTTCTCGCCGAGTCCAGTAGAGGTGGCCAGTGGCATTGAAGGCCCAGTCGCCGCTGTCTGTGATAACTGACTCGATCTTTGTGACTTTACTGCCGGCTTCATCTAAGAGCATACGAGTGTGGATCACGTAGGGGTGTTTCGAAGTTGCTGCCGTCAATTCCGTGAATGTTGCGCATTGAGTCGTGTCATAAATGCTGCGGTTGAAATCAATCGTGATGGGTTGAGACAGCAGACCTTTCGTGATACTCATGGGACTGTCATTTTCGGTGTAGCTGGTATTGTCGGCGCGATTGAGCAGCGCCAGTTCCCCATTTGCTTGAGCCTGAACGTACGCCGTCGCGGCATTCTGTAGCTTTGCCCGATCGCATGCTGCTGCAACTTGAGCGGCCAAGCCGGCGCAAACCAGGAAAGTGGAAGTAATCATGACCGTTGTGAGAGTTTTAGGGCTTCGTTCGAGTGTTAGTATCCCCAGGGCTGGTACTCTTTCCACGCCGTCGGGGTCATCGTCGATTCTTGTAATAAGGGCATAACGGGTGAATGTAGGACCCCTCGTTTTCCTCCAATGCAGCTTAATTTGGCCTATATGCCGGCACGAACTATGTAGTGGCAACAAATTTATGAAATGGTTTGCCGTGCCAATCCTTTCCGCTGTAGCCCATATTAGCCGCAACCATTGAGATTACTTCGCGTGTCTCTATGCCAAACTTTGGCCAGATCGAGTGCCATAGTGCTCGGCCTCCAACGTGAAGGTCTGACATAATGAGTGAAACATATTCTTGAGATGTTCATCTCCGTAATTGCAGCGTTCTACTTAGCTAATTGCGGAGATAACTGAAATCTTCATAACCTATTACATGATTTAATAGCTAACTCAACCACCTGTTGGATTGGCCCCTATTCTCTAGGAGAGTATCTGTAATTAACCCCAATGGTATCGTGTTCTGGTCGAGTACAAAATGAACATAATGTGTTAAATTACGGCCAGCCAATAATGTAGTCTAAATCGGTGAGAGGGGGCTTTAAAAAAAAAAACTATCAGCGATTCACAACATGCTGTTTGTCTATCTACCTGGATCGGTCGACAGAGCCGTCATTAAGAGTTAGCATTCAGCCACGAAGTTACTTTTTACTCCTTATTAGAAAGAAAATTGCAGACAATAACGACATGCTTCCGAAGTATATCGGGGTATCTTAGATTCGAAGATTTCTACTATTCACCTTGGTTAGCTACTACACAGCAATTTCAATCATCCCAGCGCAATAGCTACTCAATAAACAAGTCAACCAGGAGAATTCATCTAGGCCCCGTTGTTTTTCCCATTGGCATTTCTACTGAGACAACTTTCTAGCTGAATAAGGCACCTCAAAAGTTTTAATTACTAATAATCTAGCAAGCCTTGCTAATAAGGGAGCTGGTCCGGCCGTTCAATAAAATCAATATACGATCTGGGTTAGTGTGCATTATCGCTTTTGAAGCTTCAGGGAGAAGAAAGGGCCGTCGCTAGGCTTTGGAAAGGGCTATACTAACTTCTAAGGATACTATGAATGAAAACTAAAGCTACAGATCATAATTATGTGCAGGGTATCATCAGCTACTTCCCTGGAGGCGACTAGCCTGCCATCGAGACCCGGCGGGTACTCAATATAATTATCGATCTATCAACAGTATAGCCCGTTTCTACTGAAGGTCATTCATGTTACCTTAATCCAGGCTTTGGAAAATGGCTACGCACCTACTATGACCTTGTCAGCAATTACTATTAGAGGGCATTATTTTGCCGTAGGTAAGGATCGTACCCTCTGTTGCACCTCATAACTCGCTGCTGTGATGGACGTAGATAATCATGATCCGCACTACTAACATTTGAAGATGGAATGTGTTGGCACTGCTTTGTGACGAGCATGGTGTTGTCGAATGGCATTGCTGAGCGTATAAGTTATCGACCATCCGCAAGGGAGCCACTATTGCCAGTATCCCTAGCTAACCATCAATGATCTTTTACAGATGCCCTGCGGACTTCTTCATTGCTATGATAGCCGGCATGTGTCATGATACCATGCCTTGAGGCGATTATCTCAGAAGCTCTCAGCACATGACCACGTATCATCATGAGTTGGATGCCTCCATATTTTCAATCGGCAGTCGTGTCTCCTCAGACTTGAGCTTTCGTTATTGGGCATGGGATGGCCACGTTCGTCTCCGATGGTACGAACTTTAAACTGTCCGAGATACACAAACACGACGCCGGGTCATTCGATGTCGTGAGATCCACATCGCCGCACTACGTAAGCACAGTGGTAAAGATGAGCCCAATGCTGATTCTCGAGGTCCACTGGCCAAGGCTGCGACCCAGCCAGAGCGCTCGCGTCTACGCCCTACCTAGAGCTAGAAACCATTGGCGGGGAGTCCGGTGGGCTGCGATGGTAGCACGGTCGGCAAGCTCGATCCGGAATTCGCCCCGTGGATTAACTATTATCTACTTCGTCGGGCTGGCAGAGTGAACCCCATCCACCACATGCCTGCTCCCTGCTCGCCAGCAAACAACCCGATATCCCCTCGGCATAACCTAGGCCCTTACCAACTGGCCTCCCTATTTTGCCTTTCATTCTATTTTTTCCAGTCTCCGCCCTGGACTGATCCCTCAGATCCTCCAGGTGCAACATTGTGCTACGCATCTCATAAATGTGATGATAATGACAAGAAAACCATTCGTTGCTTCTTAGACCCTGACAATCCAACCAAGGCCACAGGGCAATGAAGAGCAAATCGAGGAATAGTACAATAGACGCGTGCTCGAAGCTCTCCGTTCTGATACTCAGGTCGTATTCATCCTTACTCGTATTTCGCGCTCAAGTAACAGCAAGCCAGAAACATACACTTTCATTAATATAACAAACCATCCCACTACGCCCAGCCAAATACTTGACCGCTCTCCCGCTAGATGCGGCGCCACTCCACGGTGCACCTTGACAGCCACTGACATACGGATCGCGAATCGCTCTATCAAACCTCACCCGCCTACCAGCATGTGCAAGATAATCATCACTTACGCCTGTGGCTGCAAGCCATACGAGGGCACCAAGGCCTGCGGCAAAGAAGACTGCGACAAAGTCGAGCGGATCCGAGAGTCATCTTGCGCTCTCTGCGCCAAGGAGAAGCTCGAGAGAGAACAAGAAAAGTCGCACAGACCATCGTGATGCGGAAGACCGCAGAAAAGATAGAGTAGGCGCAAGGGCAAGCACCAACATGCGCAATGAAGTTCCGTCCAGGTTGTCTGTCGGGCGAGACAGCTTGTTTCGAGAGGATAGGGCCGGGGGTTCGTGACGATCACACCATGTTTAGATATGCTGCGTCTTCAGCATGCATGCCAGCCCAGCAGGCGAGACAACCAGAGACGATGTACCAATAGTATCACAATGATTTCGGGAATTTACTTGCGAACCCCTGATTCTTGATTAGATTTGTCAACCTGCGGTCGTGTTCCCACGTGCTTGATCGCTTGCCGACCACTGACAGCTGTGCCCGCATACTCGTGCATTTGATATGATAAGCCATTTTCGGCCTGCTGGACCGGACTGGTCACCTCCCAGTGGTAACATACATAGAACTAGGTCCTGTGGGACCGCCGTTGAGGATATTGGGGGTGATTGTTCAGCCACAGCTCCTCATTGACTTGGGTCGACTTGTTGGTAAGAAAGAGAGGATCGGCACAGCCCCATGCGCGTCACGGTACATGAGATCCCTGCAAGCGTCACTATCACAATCAACTCACCACTAGCATTGCGATGGTCATTGGTTCAGTTTTCGTGATGGCCTAGAAGAGTTATGGTCACGCCTGGATCGGCTCAATCCACTTGTCGAAGGTATCGCCTATTTCTGAGCTCATCACCAGTATAAAACGGCCGTTATGAGTGTGACGGGCGTGACGAGAGGCAGTTAGCTGCTCTTCGTCGACATGGGTTAATCGGCAATGGGAATGTGACTGTGCCAAAATGGTTTGCTGGTAAGAAATTCTTACCGACATTCCACATTCTACATGGCGTTCTTCACTAATGAGAGCATCGTGACAATGCATGTTAAAGGGGTGGGCTGGAGTACAAATAGCTTCATCGCGCCACCATCCCTTCCTCCGAGACACAACATCATGGTGTGACTTCTCTCGATAGGTTGGCGTATTCCGTGCTTACCAACCGTGTTCGGAATCACATAGCTCCAGCATCGCACAACCAACTCTTATCATCGTTAAAACTATGCAACATCCTAGCCCACTCGCCATACTACTGGGTAGCCTCATCGTACTTCCCATATCTCACGCACAAAACAACTGTTATGGCAACCCGTCGATAGAGGGTTATTGTACGCCCCTGACATTCAAAGATACAACCAATGATTTCAGCGCGCCACCGATGACTTCTGATTGTGACGCCACATGCTTCGGTATCAACGAAGACGCCGGGGACTGGCTGGTCGATTTCTCTACGGACGCCAATGGCGCTCATCACAGCATGATCTTGTATCATTGCGGATTTGCCGTCTCGAGGGGTCAAGGCACGCCACGCAACGCCAAGTTTTCGCTAGCAAACCAAGATATACTAGACCTCTATGACGAGACTTTGAATCGTTTTGGGGCTTTGCATGACGGCAGCATATCAGCTCAGGGAACAATGCTGTGTGGCGATTTCCAGATCAATTGGTACATACAGGACCTGAATGCTTAGAGTGAGTGAGTTCGGGTCAAAAAAAGATTAGGAAAAGCCCCCGAGATTGAGATGATGATATAATTACGTATACCTTGGTGTGGGAGCCTTTTGGTTTAGCTGGCAGAACCCTGGAACTTCCACCCATATCTATACATACGCGCATGCAACAAAGGCTATATAGGCTTGTGGGAAAGCGGGTGGCGGGGGTAGTTCTCAATTGACTATCTTGCTTTTCATCTTGATCTAGTGACTACGAGCTCCTTTCTCTACCCTTGCCACAAACCACAAATCAAAGCCGTCATTGATTCTGCATCTGTTAGTATAATGGTAGCTGATCTTGAACACTTATTGAAGCTAGCGTTGTGAGAATAGGAATTCTTGATTGTTTCAATGATTGGTGAGGACAAAGGAGGAGCTGATGGTTTGGCTGTCTCATCGCTCGCAGGAAATTCAACCGCGCATATCATATATCTTAAATCCCAAATGCCGAGAACTTAAGTCAGTCAACTTTAAATATCCACACTTTTGACCTGCTTGTCAAAGTAAGGACATCATAAACCGCAATTAGATTGTGTAATATCAGCCCCAGTCCAGTGTTCGATCTAGACCAACGCTGTCTCGAAATCAATCCTATTAGCCAACATCTGTGCTCCAATAACACTCGTAACGAAAAGCCAGCCCTCTCGCTTTCCACCGTTTTTCGCTGGATCAATAGCCACAAGGATAGCAGTAGTCACGGATCGTATAGTGTACCCATCGTCCTTAAAGATGAGCTTAGAAAGCTTCTTGCCGTTGACATCCCTGTTCTTGCCTGCGATTGCAGGTAGGTACCAGACATGACCGGACATGGGGGCCTTGAACTCTGGGTCGCCATAGCTGCGAACGAATTGTGTAGCGTCTGCTAGCCCTGGCATGAGATACCCGCTGTAGTCCTTGCCATCAACACCGGCGTACGGATCCGCGAAGTAATTAGCATTGTCGACTACACAGTCAATGGGAATATAGTGAGAGACCGTCATCGTCCTATTCTCGGTAGAGGGCAGGCTGGCGAAGTAAACGTTGCCGCCCACTGCATCGCTGATGACAACCTGCTGATCAGGTCCCCACCCAAGACCGTTGTTCGTTGGGATGCTATCGAGCGCTACGGCTGCATCAACGCTCTGGTCGTCGAAGCGCACGTGAACTAGATCAGTCCAACTCGTATAGCGAACGAGCTCCTCGATAGATCGCATCCAACCCTCGCGGTAGTAGTGATCGTTGGTCACCAGGAACTCATTCTCGGAGATTGCGAGAAGATCGTTCGGTGTCCGGATCATGGGATGAATAATTGAGCGCAAATGCCGGGCTGTCTTGCTGCCAATAGTGTGCACGAAAAGTTCAACTTGTGAGGCCGCTCTTCCCTCTGTCTTGGAGCCCAGCGTCCATCGCGGGTTAGGCAGATGATTAATGGCATATACATATACCACGTCTGGGTTGGACGGCGGTGTGTAAAGGCTAATGCCATGCGTAGAAAAGGGCCCTTTGAAGTTTTCCAGGGTCAACTTCTGTGACTTCAATGTCTGAGGTACAGGGTTAGCTGAATCGCTATTTTCAATTACACCACATTGCTTACAAACACTTACCGTGGGGTCAATCACCACAATGGTACCAAAGGGGGGTCTATCAGGGCGCTCTAGAGCCCCGGCACTTCAACAATGAGTTAACTAGCTGCCCCTCTTTCATACCAGAGTTCAATGGAACAATTAGACAGTCATGGGCCGTGAAACATACCCAGGCATCCAAGTACGAGCACGTTCGAGATCTCCCACACAAGCAGTGTATAGCATGCCCGAGGGAGCATGGTATTCCAAGTCTTCGCAGGCTGCCGTGTCAGGGATGAAGTTAGTCTCGATGCCATGTATATTGGCTGCACTCTCGAACGGTCGAAACCCTAGAATAGTGGTGAAGTGTCTGACAGGGGTGTACAACCATGCGCCAAGTGCACCAAGAAGCGTCACGATGAAGTACAAAGAGACTGCCATCATGACTAGGTAGTATAGAGCACCCGACGAGCTGATAAAAGGATTTTCTGAGCACGAATGGCAGAAGCTGGAATCCCGAATCGTGAAGCGGCGTGTAGTGCGGGGGAGCTGGCGGAGAGAAGACGTTTTCCTGGTAGCAGTCGAGGTCTACTTAGCAGAGAAACGAGTAGTAGCTCTATGAGCTGTGGGGATACCGCGGCTTTCGGCAGTTGGTGTGATGTGACGTAACCTCTATTCGTTCTGCGAAACGCGGAGTTCCGGCCATTGACCCTCAAATTACCTGTTGGCTCATATATCGAGCCCTTACCATCGATCCTCCAGACTCCGTCCGTGAGGCTTCATCGAGGGGCTTGTTGTAGGGCTTGAAATTGGCTCGTTATATCGGCGCCAACCTTCTGTTGTGGCCGCTAAGGGCGCTGGGTGGCGGATGCGGGTCATTCCTATAAGTATAGAGAGTTAGCCTGCTTTAACCTTGTTGTTATCGACCACGAGATTCCATTGACAGAAGAACTTGCTACGTGTAATTGTTTCCTATGCGACTGGGCAAAGACGCTTGACTGTCGCGGGACTACAAATGATATGAAGGCTAAATTAGAGGATATGAGATTGTGCAGCGGCTCGGCCCGATAGAGCCCGCCTGGAGGCTTATAGTAAGCACTCGTGGCTGCATGCACCGCCTCACGCTCAGCTACTACATCTACTACATCGGGCAGACTTGGATGGATGAACAATGTAGCATCACCATCTATCGGAGTGGACATGCTCACCATCACGCTAAAAATAACGCTCACTATATTTTCGTCTTTAAGTCTCGGCTTTCGATCGCAGTACTTCGCTTTGTCTCCTGGCATCCGCTATGGCTAAGCCTGTCGATAGAACTCGCATGGCACTCAAAACCGAACTGACCAAACTTGCCAAATTATCCAACATTGAAGCAGGGCTCCCCCTCATCATCCGGGGTCTTCCTGCTATTGCTATCGTCGCTGGTGCAGCCATAGCCAGGGCCTCTGGTGACACCAATCACATAGAAGAGCGGTTGCTTGGGCCCGACGAGACCATTTTATTGAACATGCCAAGCCAGAGCCTATCTGAAAGTCACACCATAAAGAATAGGCAATGCATACACTTGGGTGTTATGATGATGTGTTATAGATGTGGCAACACGTCAACCGCATCATTCTTCGCACCCAAATTGAGCGATTGGGGCCGGAATAAAGATGAGCTAGACAACCGTGAACCGTTAGGCAAACACAGCCGTCAGAGGGGTATGATACCATGGAAACAATAACGGCTTTTCTCTTTGCGTGTTGAGATTTGAGTTGGTAGGGTTTAGCGGATGCAATGAAAAGCATAGGATCACCGTTAAGATAATGTTTATCACCTCTCCCGTTGTACATCTATGATAGGAAATCTCCACAAATCCAAAACGCTATCTCAGCTTCGTCCTTCATTTTCAGCTTTAAAACAGTCAATTACATTGCTATCTCGTTCTTGGAAACTTCTCAACATGTGTACAGAGCTAGTTTAATCTTCGTTCGACATTTGACAGATGCTGGACTACTAGATTTGCCTCTGGAAACCGGGTACTAGAATTTGATCCCGCTTGTGATAATCTCTAACATTTAACAGCCTTCTTGCGATAGTAGAATATATAGAGAAACAGATATTGAAACTATAAATAGACTTCCATTGAGAAAAAGAATGCCAGACCTTGTGAAAGTAGTTGCGGTGAGTGAGTCCATTACTTCGCAAACTCCACAGGGCAGCTTTGCTCCTCTAATCTTTACAACATGAGGTGTGAAATTTGAAGAAAGGTTCTTTGTTTAATAAATTTAACTTTTCCTGATTTATGAAAGGCAATAACTGATGAATTTATATATGAAAATATGCTTCGTTTTTGTAGCTATTGCAGGTGTAGGGGCGAAAAGTTCATGGGGGTCGTATCAAATAATACCCATAGGTCCCTTCACTTAACCAAATCCTATCGTTGCCTTTTATATATCTTCACATCTATCCAACAATGGTCTATCTGGCCGCTTGTTATACGCCCCAGTAACTTCTGGAGCGAAAAAGATAGTATGCGCCTGACCACCAAGCAACCTAGATGCCATGATACGAACAACCACCAGCCACATTACCATGACTACCGATCCAAATAGCGTGCCTAAAGCCTGGAACATAGGCGAAGGCAAGTTCAACCCCATAGTAAGAGTGGACATAGCGAAGACACCCAAGGGGAAAGTGAACGCCCACCACCCCTGGCTGAATGGGACCTTTTGTCTTGTCACTGACAGCAAAGCGAAGAACAACCACATAAGGCCAAACCCCCAAAGTGTAACTGCAGTCAGAAAGCCCATGGTGTATAGGACCTCCCCAGCATGCAGCCTTCCTTGTTCGTTTATGGCAGGTAAGGTACTAGTTAGTGGGAATATACGCAGGGCTTGTTCACCAAGTTTCTGGGCTGCGAATCCGCCTTGACCGAGAGGGCCTAGAGGCAGAAAAGTGCTGACCATGTGCTCCGTTGGTGGGAGCTTCTTGGTCGCCACCCTAATGAAATAGATGACGATGATTGAAAGGGCTGCCGGTAAGCCAGTTCCGAGGATGACGTAGCTCGTCAGAATTGTGACAAGTGCACGATCTGGGTCAAGAACTGACGCAACAACGCTCCCAGTAGCTGCCGCAACGATGGGAGCCACTATTGGGAGAAGCCAACCAGCTGTCATCTTCCCGAGGTCGGTCACTTCGTGGTGTCTGACCTGGCTATAATACACCACTCAATTAGCACAGAAATTTTAGCTAAAAGGTGAGAGTTGACTCACAGTAGCCATGGGACTCCGAGTGCTGTAGCCATACTAACAGCTACGTCGATCCACCAGAAGACCCAAGCGGCTTGAGCCCAGGAATCCCCAAATTGCGGGACCATAACGTTGACGGTCATGCTGATTATAGTCGCAAAGCCCATAGGAAAGGTACCTAAATACATTGCCTGGCCTGGGTCGCTTACCATCATGATGAACAGTCTCGGGTATAAGAAGTACCTTAATGCAGTCATCACGAAGATAGCAGAAAATAATAGTATGTTGAAAGCATAGAAGATGACACTGAGTCGAAACAGTATTGCGCTAGCCGGGGTGTAAATGTTCGAGAAGGTGAACAGCAGAATGGACACGATGCCCGTGCCCATGGTAGAGCCGTACCACTTGAAATCGAAGTTTTGAACAAGTCTCAGAAACCCAGACTCAGCAGGTTCAATGATCCATTGCCGCTGATCTAGTTCTTGTGTCGATAATAACGGCATGTATTCGTTTTGTTGCCCCCCAAATGTCGAGTAGCTGACAGTAACAGGCCGATTGCCTGCGGATTTGGAGCGTGATATTTTCTGCCGCCCTTTATCATCGTCATTGGGAGCTTGCTTCGATTGGTGCTCATTACGACGAGAGCCATAATAAATGGTGCCCTGCTCGGTCTGGTATACAGAGCCCCGTGTATTTGGCGATAACTGGGTACTCTCACTTAAAGCGCTCATTTTGTCCCGAGTTTCGTAAAAGACTATTTTGACAAAAGGGAAGTGCCAAGACTAATTTACAAGTCCAAGAGGGGGTGTTCAAGTGGCTGTCGTAGACTTGTGTCGCACCTAGAAGATCACCTGGTGCAAGATCCCTTCTTTGATATTTAATGCCCAGTTGCCTCCGAGCTCGGATGAGATGATACCGGCCATTGTGGCGAGAATTGAAGCCGTGCCATCACAGATATGGTTACATCAAGGGTCACAGCTTCGAGATTCTTGGCTATGGATCCCCGGACTCCCTTGACCCCTTCACCTGACCCTTTCCCTATAAGCAGCCACAGTTTCATACAGTATACAGACTTTCTACAAGATTTTCAAATGTTGAGTGGAAGTAGGGAACAAATTATAGCCAAGATATTTGGGCGCAGTGTGGTGTGTAGAACGGGTCGTGATGGGGTCAGGCGAGCTATGTGTGTGGGGAGGATAACTCGAACCGTGGCTACCGTGAGTTTGGACAGTGTGTTTTTGCAGTGTAAAAAGACTGTGGGAAATATCGTCACGAGATACAATCAACAGCACGGTTCGAAGATTAGGGGTCATTCTCAATGATGCACATGTAACGGACTCACGCTGATGGAGGTAATTTGCTACCAGGGGGCTGTCATGCTGGCATACTTAGGAGTCTATGAGTGTGAGGGCAAAGTTCGTCTAAGTAATTCCTCGCCTTCCAGAATATTTATATACAATAAATAACCAAGATTCATCCAGTCAAGAAGACTTAGTATCTATGACATTCTTATATGCCGTGTTCCTGTATTTGCCCCTGAACTAAGCGCCTTAAAACGCGAGTAACATTGATCTTCCATCCTTCTTTTTCCGCCTCAAATATTTTTATCCCATTATCAAAAAAGCTCAACTACAGACGTGTTCGCAAACATAATGGAAATTCACCGTTATGAACAGCCCGATTCCGGGTACGCTTCACGACGCTCCTCTTTCGAGTCATTCTCGATGCCACCAAAAGTCAAGCTCACAGAGCTTCACCTGAAGCATCTAAACGAGCAATTTGAGAAACTTTCTCCGCAGGACATCCTGCGTACCAGCAAACTCCTTTTCCCCAATCTTTACCAAACCACGGCATTCGGCCTGACTGGGCTGGTCACTCTAGACATGCTGTCCAAGTTCCATGCTGAGACTCCGGGCGCTTCGCCCGTAGAAGTCATTTTCCTGGATACGTTATATCATTTCCAGGAGACGCATCAGCTAATAGAGCGCGTGAAGGAACGCTATCCTGGCATACAAGTTCATACCTTCCTGCCCAATGGTTGCAGTACCGCCTCGGAGTTCGAAGAGCGATACGGCAACAAGTTGTGGGAGTTTAATAGCGAGCGGTATGACTATTTGGCCAAGGTTGAGCCTCAACAGCGATCTTATCATACGCTCGATGTCGCTGCAGTGCTCACAGGGCGCAGAAGGTCTCAAGGCGCAGCCCGAGGAAATATTCCCATCGTGGAGATGGATCACGAGAGGGGCGTTGTTAAGATCAATCCTCTTGCGCAATGGTCCTTTGACCAAGTGCACCAATACATCATAGACAACAATGTACCTTACAACGTGCTCTTAGACAGAGGATATAAGAGCGTTGGTGACTGGCATTCCACGCAACCTGTGGCTGATGGTGAAGATGAGCGTAATGGTCGCTGGAAGGGTCAGCAGAAGACGGAATGTGGAATTCATAACAAGCAGAGTCGTTATGCCATATACCTTATGGAACTGGCCAAGAAACAAGCTGAAGAAGAGTCAGCTGTTACTCAGGAGGACGGAACGGCCAAGTCAGGGGTGCCTACCCTATCCCTACCTAACATGGCTGTTGATGTTACCTCCCCAGCGCTGGATACAACACCCTTGATGACTGTTGAAGCTACAGCAGCAATCCCAGGTCGCCTGCGTCGTCTGCCTAGAGTCACTAGTTCGGGGAGAAGAATAGGCTTTTCTCGGCGTAGTTCCCGACCAGAATCTTCTTGCATAGTACAATAACTACAGAAGAAGGTCGCTAAATTCTTGCTTATCAATGGTCGAAAAGTTGGGTGGAAGACGGCATGGATAGACATCAGAGAGCTTGTCATGGGAGATGGTGGTATTGTGGCTTGTGTGGCTGGGGGGACTTTAGGGGTATGATGGTGTCAGCGGTAGTACCTGGGTTGTCTAGCATTTACTATAGCAAATATCTTCACTTCCTTTTTTATTTTAGATTGACTCAATAATATTAGAGCCGACCACAGTCCTTGGCTACTGATGTTCTTGATTGTAGTGCCCACTGAAAATGCCCGCTGGCAGTACCGATCATGTGTATTTGTTGAGTATAGGCCTATGGCATTTGATTCGTTCTCTATTCCTAACTAAGGATGTACATGTAAGTCATCTACTGTTATATCTTAAGCCAATTCTAAAAGCTGGGGCCAGTAAGAATAGAATGCTCACTTCTTACTTAGTAAGAGTCAACTTTGGCAATTAGTCTTAGCGTACTAATTGCCAGCTCTGTAGCTTTAACCCTCCTGGAAAACAGGGCGTGGATCACCAATGCAGTTGCTAGGAAGGGGGATACTTTCTACCCATGTAGTCTCTCGTCCATTTTGCCCTGGTTGCCTGACGAGGCCTATCCAAGCCTTGACCACACTCTAATGAAACTTCAAGTTCCTCTGAGAATTGTCCAAGCTTGTAGTGCAGTATAGCGTCCCTACGTGAGGCAGATTGGGATCGGTCCGGATATCCTGGAAGGCTTATCTCTGGGCGCCAAACTAGCCTTTCTGCTTTGTCATGTGGTTGATAACTGCCGATCGAGATTGCAACACCAGGGTTGCAGATGGCAACTGCTAAACTAGGAAAATCGGTAATCAGCGTGCAGAGGATCCGGACGTAGCATTCGCCCTACATGATGGCTACTATGGTTCGAATGTGCTGCGGCCACACTCCGGCAGCGTGCATTACTCTGGCCTTATGCACCTTTCCTTCACCTGCGATTGGTGAGAAGAACGAGAAAGCAGCGTCATAGTCTCTAAGTATTGATACATCTAAGGATGCCCTGATCTTCAGAAGACGCGGCCATAGATCCTTGCATACACTAGCGCACATTCCCCTGTCAGCGGGAAGTACTCCGTCCAACTTGTACGCCTTATCACTGTATGGAGATGGCGGGGACGGGAAGTGGTCAGCAGACCAAACTCGTCCGTCCTCGTTTACACGTCCAACTAAGCCTCTGTGTATCTCTGCTTCCTGGCTATCAACGTGGAACATTTCATAGACTCGAACGGCGATTTACAGCAAGGTACACAATGAAAACCCTAGGCTTGCTCGGCGGCATGAGCTGGGAGTCTACTACTACATACTATCAGGAGATCAACCGGCGCGTGCGCCATGTCCAGGGCGGGTTACATTCTGCTCGCTGCATAGTCTTCTCGTTTGACTTCGCCGAGATCGAGGAACTACAACATGCGGGGAAGTGGGAAGAGGCGGGCGCTCTCCTCGACACTGCCGCCACCAAGCTCAAGCTCGCTGGTGCTGATGCCATAGTCCTCTGCACCAACACCATGCACTTCGTGAGCCACGGCATCGAGGGAGCCTCGCAGTTACCCTTAATTCATATCGTCGATCCTACGGCAGACTGCATTCTTAAAGCAGGATTCAAATCTGTCGGGCTCCTAGGCACTCGTTTTACCATGGAGAAAGACTTCTATAAGGCTCGTTTGGCTGACAAGTATGGATTACGTGTTATTGTCCCGGAAGACGAAGGCCGCGAAACTGTTCATTCGATTATTTACAAAGAGCTTTGTAATGGAATCATCACGGAAGCCTCACGACAGGCCTACTACACGATCATCGGGGACTTAGCAAAAGCAGGTGCAGAATGTTTGATTCTTGGGTGTACTGAAATTGGTCTACTAGTGGAAGAAGCCGGATGCCCAATGCCCATGTTTGATACAACTAAGATTCACGCAATAGCCGCTGCTGATTGGGCCATGAAAGATTGATCGGTACAATATCTCAGGCGTGAGGAAATATAAACTGTTATAGAGCAAAGCTAAATACAGAAAAAAACAAACTTAACTGCCCCTGAAAACCTCAAATTATTTATACCTATGTGGCTAATATTAACGAATTGGCATCGCCATGAATCCTCTAGCTCGGCCATGGCTTTGCATCTTTCCCGGAAATGCCACCAACAGATCGTCCGTAGCAAAAATACTTTGGTGGACTGGCTGTAATACGCTCTCTTCAACATCCAGCAGTGTCTTTGTGAAAAATGACGATTCCTCAGTAACTAGAGCTGGCAGTTGCCGTACTTTGCGGAACAAGGCCACATTCTCAGGCCGTCTGAGCTGTTCAATGATATTCGGGTAGCTTTGCCAAAGCGCGCTCAGTACTTTGCAGAAATCTACAAAGCAGACTGGCCCGAGTCCATAATCTCGGCAGTGTTCCTGAATACTACCCATCTCTTCAGATTTGGGTACTCCGTAGTTGGAGACAAATCTTAAGAATGCAATAGTCGTAGTGCGGTTGTTACCATCGATGATGACCGGGCGCCCGTTATGGCTAGAGCAGACTGGATAGCTGCTGGCTACAGTGATAGGCGCAATCAAACATTCGTCTCGACTCGCGTTGCCGATAATGTCCTGAATCATTCCAATAACGATATCTGTACACGAAAATTCGGACCTCGCTAAGTTGTCTATATCGACATAGCTGTACACAAGCTGCTGATCATCTATGAAATGAACATAGGCAGTATCGCGGATGAGGGGCTGTGATAAGAACGACGATTCAAGAGCCAACTGCGCGACGACCTCCTGCAAGACTGTTTGGCTATGCTTAATGTCTTCAAAATCCGGCTTAAGCTTGTTGAAAAGGAGGGAATATAGTTCTCTCTGGATGACGAAGTCACTGCGTAGCCCACCAACTGGATCTTTGAGGAAAGCATGAATTTGCAGAAACGAGGTGATGCGTGCGAGAGACCATTGGCCTTTCACGGTGAAGTCCGCTAATGCTCGAAGCCAGAATGTCAGACTCAGGTTTCTATCGTGACTTTCTGGTTCATATATTGCTACTTTTTGAACGAACTTATTAGCGTCAGCTGAATACTCGTTCGGCGTTCGAGGAGCATCCATTTCAGATACCATAGCGCGGGTTAATATCTGGGCTTGATTTCGTAGAACATCTACCGAGTCGGCCCAGCTTCCAACTACGTCTTCGGCCTCAAGTAAACGAGCAATAACGGGGGCCATTAGCTTTGGAAGTCTACGTCGCTTAAAAGTACTCAGCATGTATGTGACCCTAGACAACTCTAAGTTGGCATGGGACGAACTTGCTGTGCCAGCCAGCGTCTCATTTTCTCCAGCGGTAGGATAGAGAGACACGGGGTAGGAGTTGAAAATGCCATGCATGATTCTCCGGACTCTGGACTGGGCTAGTGTTACAAGAGTCCAGACCGTCGGGTTTTCAATGTCGTCATGCGGCGTGGTTAGACAGTCAATACTGTTGACCCCGCTTTCGGCAGCGTGTCCACAGGCCGAGGCGTATTCCGTGGATGCATGCTCTTTGGTGTTTCCCCAAGCGTCTGGTTGCTTCAAGGACTTAAGTGGCCATGTGTTCAGGGTCTTTTGCACGGTAAGTCTTTCATTATGCAAGACAGAGCGGAGACAGTTGGCGAGTCGGAGATACTGATCCAAGTAATTATAAGCTTGAACAGATAATCTCATCACCCTCTTTGGATAAGCTGGCCAGGAGTAAATAGGGATTATTATCCCATGCTCTTTCCATAGAATTTGTTGGATTGGCAACATTCCCTCCTGCTCCGGCCCGGGAGAGTCGGGAAGTGGGATAGTAGCCATGGCACCAATCATGTTGTCGGGACATGGGAGGGGGATGCCTAGAGTCCTGCAAACAATTCTCCGCGCAAGAACTGTGAGGTCATGATTTCTGGATATCAAGCCATTATAGCCCCCTGGAAGGACAGTCCTGAGATAGGAGATAGACGTAGGCAAAGTTAGGAGGGCAGAAGGGCAGTAGGTTCCCATCCAGCCGAAGCTATGCTCCAGATGTGAATGCTTGGATTTATTCACGACGAATGGTGATCGAGCAATGACCACCGGTTTAATGTTCTGCACTCGATCCCGTCGAACATGAAGAAAGCCAACCCCACGTGGCACGCACATCCACTTATGGCAGTTTGCGACATAATATGCCGCGTTGATGTCGGTGACGTCGAGAGGGATCATGCCTGGTGCATGTGCGCCGTCCACTAGTGTATCAATGTTCAGACTAGCAAGTTCGCTGACTATCTCCTTTATCGGGAATATTAATCCGGATCTGCTGGGAACGTGGTCTATTATCGCAAACCGCGTTCGAGGCGTGACACTAGATAGAATCCGCTGTAGCAGAGCGTCTGGTCCAGGTACCTCCAGGGGAATATCGACAACGACAACCGTCGCGCCGAGTTTCTCGGCTATGTGGTCAAGTACAAGCCGAACAGAGCTGTAGGCATGGTTTGTAGTGATTATCTCATCACCACTATCTAGATTCAGGCTCTGAATCACCACATTCATTCCACTGTATTTTTGTCAATGAATTTGTCTCATATGCAAGCAGCGCTTTATCACCCTTACTGTGTCGCCCCAGGAGTGAACACTATGTCCGCCGCATCGGCATGCAGAAAACTGGCTAGAACTTTTCTACTGCTCTCCCACGACTTTATGTAATTTCGCTCAAAGAATTCGTGAGGATTCTCCTCAATCCACCGTCGGATATGTTGCTGCTGTTCAACCACAATCGTGGGACAAGCACCAAATGCGCCGTTGTCAAGGTAAACGATATCAGAACGGATTTGCCAATCGCCAAAGCTTTCTAACATGGCCGTAGTGGCGTCAAGAATTGAATTAGTCGGTCCGGTGTCACACTTGTCCAGTGACTTGAACGGAGACATGGGCGGGAGACAAGTTGAATTCATTGTGGTGATATTGTCAAGGGCAAATCAGCACATCATAGTTGAGATACTGGCTAAATTGATGATCAGAGATCTACTCATATGTTTAAATCAAGGACTCTCATAGAAACGTGTTAGTATTGACTCGGTAATACTTATAAGAGGTAACTACAGCTTATCGACCAAAGCACTGACCTGCCCATTCCTTAGCCATCAATCTTACAATAGCACAATAACAAAACCCCTCTCTTTGCAACAGCGTAGATGTATGGTTTAGCTCAATGCGGTTACGGCTACGGTCTGACATGCCGCAGATCAGGTTTATCTGCCGGTCACGCTGCGTTGTATGATCCCCAACATGAGGGATCACGAGGAAACTAACAACATTCACCTCAGCTGACTCGAACATCACGGTAAAGCGTTGACTCAGATCATGCAACTCATATGAGGTAAAGTGCCCTGTTGGGGGAGTGGATTTCGCATGCAAGCCTCTAACTACAGGGAATCTTGAGATGGATTTAAAGAATCGTTGTATGGTAATCCCCGGCGATACTTCTACGGCTCCAAAGATATTTAGAAGGTACTTCATTAGACCCGAATTGCCCTTTGATATTGGCACATATTTCGAGTAAGCAAGTAAATGTGGAACGAAGACACAGGAACAAATGGTTTCTAGGCAACTCTTGAAGACACTAGCTTACCCTAGACACACCCATAGATCCTAACAGCTTTCAGGGGCCTAGCCTTCGCTGAGGTAAATTTAATACCAATTAGACATTATTTGTAGACCGGCTTACCTTGAAACAAAAACGCCATAGCGATCAGAAAGTTTCGTAATAGTACCTAAGTATGTGGCTCCACTATAAGCAAGGTATTTTGCTAAAACGAGACATGCTTCAGTAGGGTTACAATCCCACACCACAATCTTCATGTGGCGTTCAAAGTGGCAGTTCAAGACACACCTACTTACTAAGTACACTATATGGATGGCTTGGGTTAGGGTTGCATGCAGTTCTTAGACCCGGCTAGTTACCCTGCCCAGGTTACATTCAACAGGGCCAAGCGACAGCAGGATTGCAGGCAACCCCTCACCCGGAGTTATTATTGCAACATCGGCTTCGTAATCACAACATGTCTGCTCAATTTAGTGATGGCAATGCCATAAGTGATTCAGCAGGCAACACCAACTTAGTAGCTAATATGCCTAAGGTATAGAAGTTAAGCAGTAAAAGTGACTGTGCTCACATGATCTGTTCGCCTGCAGCGCACTTGCACTCTGTATTGTCATGAATCTCATGACGCAGCTGGGCACTCTGGATTGTATTGGTAGTTATTACAAAGTGCAGCATCTTCTGCCCCAAGACACGATATTGGCACACCTCGTTAACAGTATCGCCGGCTTAGCACATTGGTTATTTGCTCGGCATGGCATTTGCACAGGGCCAATCTCTGTAGAACGGAACGACACGCGGCTTCTCGCCAACTTGACATAAGTTTGAGTTAGCTACAGATGCTCATGATGGCGACTGCTAGTTCAATCTAAGTAGCAAAACTAACTCGAGTTCATGATAGTGGTATCAACCCAACCTATGGTGAGCACCGTTCTCATCATAAATCAACTGAAATAAACTATATCGCTCACTTGACGACCACGATTGGCCTCAAATGCCTAGTGCCTCGCTCTACCGCTGGGCGGATATGCGGGAGTATGTTGACTTACGGTAAAGTGCCCGCTGGTGTAGAGAGACATAGTGATAACGTTGCACTCATGTAGGAGCTCGCGTCTCTCGGCAGCAAGAGCAAAAGGAGTTCGCCAAACAACGAGAACAGATTCAAGGTCGTATAGGACCCCATGCCACAGGAACAGCCGGTGAACCGCACGTAGTATTTGTGGCCAAGTCCATTATAGGTATGGTACCTGCCTATATCGTGGGATCCGTCGTTGTTGCCTGTTATGGCTAGAGATTGGGTTCTAAGTGGGCTGAGCGTAGGACTTCGGACGATCAATAGCCCGCATAACCTTCTCACCGAAACCAGTCACTGAGAGCTATTCGAAGGTTCCGGTTCTCGTGTCATAAGAAGCTGATAACGTATGCAATGCGATATCTGATAGCATCCCAGCAGATCATGTGTCGGCTACAGGACCCAATCACAATGCCCTGGTCATTGTTCTCCTTGGCAACATTTTGAATCTGCAAGTAGGTGAGGTTAGGTGTGCCTTTGACACACTGTGATCTGCACTGGCGATCAATGGCAACACCCCTTGCCCGTGGTGGTGTATTCATCTGTGATCAACTCCGGCATCGAACCGCCTAGCCTATGTTCATGACCACTTGGAAGTCACACGGTTTCACGCACCATCATCAACAGTACCCGTTCAAAGATAACAGCTCGGACAGATTTCCGCTAGATCGTGGTATGTTGTTGAGTCACAAGGTCGTTGACTAACTAAATGAGCTATTGCTCGATGTTGGCTGAGAAGACCCGAGAAGACATGAGATTGGTGAACAATGGCCATGTGAGCACCTATCGATGGCTAACCCAGTTCAGCTCAATCCTGCTATGTTGAACGATAAATATCTAAATGATTCTAGAGAACCTTCAATGTGTTCTTATGCTCGGCATGTTGTGTAAGACAGTTTTGCCTCGCCCAAAATGTCTTGGTTTACAGTCATTCTACTATCAGCTTTTGCAGTGCTAGCTAGTGCTGCCCCTATACTTCTCCCATCCACCTGGACGGATTATGATGTTATTATAGTTGGCGGTGGTCCTGCAGGGCTGGCCGCACTTAGTGCCGCTGCTCGAGTTCGCCGCAATGCATTGCTCATCGATTCCGGGGAATACCGCAACGCTCCTACACGGCTTATGCACGATGTTATTGGCTTTGATGGTATGTCTCTAACCCTGGTATTCAAGTCCATGTGCCAAGTTTACTTATAGCAGCATAGGTGTTCCGCCGGCGTACTTTCGTTATGTCGCGCAACAACAAGTTGCCCACTACAAGACCATCAAGACCACTAACGGCACTGTAACCGATATTCAGCCCGAAGCTGGAAATGCATACTTTACCGTATCCATGACCGCATTTGATGGCACATCCTCGTCACTTACTGCTCGCAAGATAGTCCTTGCCACGGGTTTGCGCGATCTTATCGCCCCGACCCCTGGTCTGCAGGAGAATTTTGGCAAGGGCATCTATTGGTGTCCTTGGTGCGATGGCAACGAGCACGCAGACCAGCCTATGGGTATCCTTGGATCCTTTTCCAAGGCCGCTAGGGCAGCGGCGGAAGTATTGACGCTGAATACAAACATCATAATCTTTGCCAATGGCACAGATACTCTCGAGAATCGCGCACATGCTGATATCATATTTGCTGAGAATTCGTCGCAATACTTGGAGAAGCGCAACATTAAAGTAGACAATCGCACCATATCCCGGATTACTCGGCTACGCGACGGGAGTGCAGACCACTCCGGTTCACATTTGCCTAGCATGCCTGAGTATGACCTGTTCCGCATCGAGTTTGAGGAGGGCCCAAGCATAGAGCGCAATACATTCTTCTACACCTTCGACGAAGAGCAACGGTCCTCTCTTGGCGAAAGAGTGGGCGTCAAATTAGTAGATGGTATGATGGCAGTAGACGACAACATGCTTACCAATGTACCTGGGATTTACGCGGTCGGAGACGCAAATTCAGATACGCGTACTAACGTCGGGCACGCACTGTACACCGGTAAGAGTGCTGTCGTGCATCTTCATAGTAAGTCCACGAAATTTGAGCATCGCAAAGGAGAGATCTACTAATATAATTCTTCCGTATAGTGGAACTTGAGAGAGAAAACAGCAGAGGCCTCAAGGCTGGAAGTCTGTCAGCTACTAAAGGGGGTCAGAAATTGGACAAAGCACGCGAGAGAATCTGGGATCATCTGCAGAGCTCTTCATCCCATCCGATATATGTTGACCAGTACCCGCTCGAGCTCTGACGGGCTAGATCGCTACTTGAAAATCATGGGCTTTGTCTAAGGGGTTGTGATCAAGTTCGTGTTAGTTGGCGACATCGACATCGTACTCACCCAATTTTAGAAGTATACTTATGCTCTCCTCCCACTGTCAGTTTTTCATAATGACATATCAATATCCTCACATACTTTCTTTCCTCTTCCTACTAAGGTAGTCACGTAGTACTTATAGCTAGATTGTCAATCGCTTATATAATTACTTGCATGTAAGCAGAGTCCGTCCTGGTCTTTTCGAAAAATGGTGCAGTAAGGTTATGATTACCAGAAGTAGCTAAAGGTAAGATTTTAGCCTGGCATACCCCTGCTTTGTTGGTAGTGGTGGCCCCTATCACCAGAAACGGATGTTACATCACTAGACTTCCTGGAAGACAAGATTTCTGTTGAATCAATCTCTATGTGTATTTCGTTATGATCACTCTGTAGCATCAAAACCTGAGAGGATCGTGGACGAGCAGACGGTTGGGAATAGTCTCAAATAATAATTTGATGGTTTTCTTAATTCCATGCGTTAAGCTAGGCCTCGCTGTTGTAGAGGGCTTGGCTGTCAAGACAGGAACGAACAAACACCTTTATCATAAACCAACACCAAGTCAATAGGAACAGCTGCTAGATGTATTATCAAAAGAACTGGCTAAAGTATCTAGGAACGTGTACACGGATCGACTTTCCTATCTAGCTTCGAACTACCGGAGGCGACTAAGGGATAAATGGCTGTCGCTCTTCATTGTGGAACTACGCCTTCAGACACGTGCATCAAAGCCACCACATAATCCAACTCAAAGGCAGTCCAAAGCTCTTCGAGCTTTTTTTTGGTCGCATTCGTAGAGATTGTCCATGTTGCGCAATCAACGCGCCACTCGCCTTGCCCGGCTGCCATTTCTTATCTCTGCCTAGTGCAATCTCAATGCGACGTATGCCCTTCTGTAGTTCTTCCTGCGGGAGCGCATACGTGATGCGGAACCATCCATGCTCGCTTTCATTGAATGCGCCTCCAATAGCCAGGGCGACGCCGCCCGATGCGAACTGCTTCCAGAGCGCGGCATCCGACTCTTTGGTCGCAGAGTTGCCACCGAGGCGCGCCCATAGGAAACAGCCTGCAGTCGGCCGATAGAACGAGATGTCATGGAACGCTAAGAAGTCGCCGACATACTCGGCCGCGTTACGAAGGTTTATCTTGTTTCGAGCAATGATAACCTCGAGGGCTAATAGATCAGAGAAGAGACCTAGCCCCATCAGGGATGAAGCGTTGGATACTCTAAACCTGTTAAGGATCGACAGCGCGTGGCGGAGCTCCGGGTTGTGCTGCGTAATGAAGAATCCCTGTTTCCCCATTCGCGTCAGTGGTTTTAAGCAATCGAAAGTGAGTCGAGGCGGTGCAAGAAAAAAGTGAGACTCAACACCTCTGTGTTCAGTGCAGAGTCCCTCAATTTTTTCTTTCACCGCCTCGTGAGTTTAAATATAATAGGATACCAGCTTACAAGTCGAAGCCCGCTGCTGCCCAAGTCCTTACTTATGCCATAAATACAATGAACCCTCGCGGGATTGACGCCCAGTTTCTCGAGGTTAAATGACATGACTGATGTGAATGTTGTCTCCGGGGACTCAAAGATTGGCTCGCTCTTCTCTGAGACTGGCAACCTCGACGATGAGGACACTGGGCCGAAAGTCGACATGCCGTAAATCTCATCGGAAATGTAATGGATGTCTTGCGTTTCGCAGAATTGCAATATGGCTTCCATCCAAGACAGGGGATATATGTGCCCGTATGGATTCTGCGGATTACAGACAATTATTCCGCGAATGCGGCACGGCGCACTTTCCATTGCCTTGGAGTAGTGCGCGATGGCCTGCCCCTTGCTTGAATATGACGGGGGCCTCGGCACGGGAATAAGGCGGTCGTCGTTCCTCAAGTTGCTGGCTAGCCCGAAGCCCTCCCACATAGGTGCGTCGATGAGCAAGCCATCATCCAAGTCACAAATAGCAAAGTCAAGGCTATCGAGAATGGCGGCCGCACCAGCACCAGCCACGATGTGTTCAGGCTTTACGGGAGAGCGAGGTGAAAAGAACTTATTGAGCATAGCCGATGTTGCCTCTAGGAGCGCGGGGTTTCCACCGTAGCTCTTCTGATAAGATAGGTGCTCGCCTTCCAAATTAGAGGCGATTGCTTCCTTCATGATAGGGAGGATATACGGCCGTACAAGCCAGTTCTCGGCTGAGTCCATCTTCACCACATCTTCGGGGTAAGGTGGTGCGGCTGGCAACGCATCATTGAGCCAGTTGAGACTTTTCTGAATACGGTCGGAAAGCATTGTGTAAGGAATAGAAGAGGTAAACGATGTTCAAGTCAATGAAGTCTGTTCATCGTATCCAGCTATTGTGAGCTCAACGGCATAGTATAAGTACTTGTATACATTGATCGACTAAGTCTTTCCCCTCAGGCAATAGGCTATGTTAAAGCCAACTGCCATCTGACCATAAACTGTTATTTTCTGAGCGGTCCCCGTGGGAACAGAAACCACACACCGTATCGCTTCTATCACACGCCAAGGGAATACGTGAGAAGGTCAGTTCTGTCTCACCGGTGCCATATGAGCCTAAGACCCATAGCTGAAGTCAGGGCTCAGGAAGATTAGACACATGATAAGAAGACCGATCGTGCTCACAGTTTACTCCTATCAAAGCACCGTCGACTGATCGAACCATGAGGTCTTGTGAGCTATGAACCGAGCACTGTATATGTTACTCGTTTCCTAAAGCCCATATTTCATACCTCCGCGCAGACTGTAAGTTGCAGCGGTCCTTGGACCACATGATACAGCAAGAGGGCACACTCATCACTACAGATATGCTTGAAATGGTGTTTGGACTTTAAGGTCAGCCGAGATCTATACGATAGCTGGCGGGATACACGACTTAGGGAAACGTGACCCAGGAGAAGGCAGTACTTGATCTTCTAGACGACATATTGGTCAGATGTATAAGGGGTCGTTACAATAGCCTTAACTACCCCTGCTCTTCTCTTGGGATGCCCAATGCATAAACAGGGTGCCCCTTAAGAATTTATTGAATTTTGAAACCTTACTCAATTTGCCACGCGGGCGTGACTAAGGTTCCTCTTCTAGTATAACATAGACATGCAACTTATGAAGTGCCAGTCAGGCATCTTATGACGCTCTAGGCACATTGGCCCCAGTCTTTAGCCTAGTAGCAGCAGGCACATAGTTCATTCAGCTGACTATGGTGGACTGGAGTGAATAGCGAGTTGAAGGTATGCGCCTAAGTTCCCTGACTGTTAAACATGAATTAGAAGTGATTAAGAATGACTATACTATCCTAGTCGAACCTGTCTATCGACTTACATGTACGGTGGAGCACTTACTTCCAACAAATGTCAGCTGCGAGTGATATCATAGACAAGGGGTCTTCCATTTACAGAATCTACCCAATAGCCTAAACAACCATGGAAACTTTTGATGTTGACTGCATAATCAACCTTAGGCTAATTACCTTAGTCAGGCAGTTACGCTTCATTGGCCCCTCGGGTTGCTAAACTTCATGGTACTAGCCTGGTCTCATCATGTGAATTTCATGTGGATCAAGGTTCCATTATCGAGATCTGAGGTCTTCAACTGCACGTAACAAGATCGCCTGGTGCGCGGCAGTGGTTTGTATGCGTGTACTGGTACATAGCAAGCGACCAGAGGTATCGGTACATCGTTTCGCACATCTCTCGCCGCAGAGAGGGGCGCAACACTGGTGCGTGTGGAGCTGCTTGGCGCGCCATCCCATGCAACGGACCGTCCCTAGCTATATCGCAGGTACTGACAAGGATAAGGTGAAGCCTGTACACTGTGTAGTCTGGGCCACACCACCATCTCAAACAATGTTGCAAGTGTATTATCCAGGCATCAGCTAGTTACGGGGCCGGCTGGAGAACGCGGCGCTTCCGGGAGTGCCCATGTCTCCTCCGACATCCATTCCACACCTCCGTGCTCCGTTAGATGCTACCCAGAGCCACCTTGCCCCAGTTAGTGCTGACCTTGGTTGATCTTGGCGTGGACAGTCATCACAGTTACTTACCAAATACTCACGTGCCGCAAGCGACGATGGTTCACAATTGCCACGAAGCGCAGAACACAAAGATCACCCCGAAGTCTGGTGAGCAACCGATCGAACCTAAACTTGCTATGAAACATACTCTCTCCGAAGCCGGTCACAGTGTAATCTCTTAACTTACGAACCTCAGTCTTGTATGACTTTCCACCGGGAACCCTAGATCACCTGCTCCTCGCTTTCACGATACATCAAACGGCGTGGGACATACCCGTGAAGTATACTCTTGCCACCATCAAAGTCAAAGTCATACGAAACCGCGTAACCACCTGATAGAGGCCTGCCAGCCGACCTCATGGGAAGTAGTATTATCGTCACAGAGTTGAGGGCAATTCATCAGCAGACGCTGTATTACACAGGAAGGTGCTCAACCTATTGGGTTACCACATACAAGCAAGCACTAACCCACACAGTGTACACCTTGATGCGCTATGGCAATACCACAGCGCAGTCTTATGGCCCTATTCAGACGAAGATTGTACCTGATTAATTTGTAGTCGTAACTCTTGGACAAGGATAAGAACATTGGTTAGATGACTGTGTGTAGAGGTCACGATATCCACCATAGAGAATGGAAAGTCACGATTAAGTGTAGAGGACACCATTATGCCCATCATGAGAGAAAGAAGACTTGGTCACGTTTGCTCAATCTTGACCTTTGGTTCTAATCTGGATTTAGGGCAACACACATAGTGAAGAACTATTAGTTTCATATAGAGAATCATAAGTCTCTTGGGATTTTTTTGACTACTCGACTGATGACAAGAAGATCAAACTCTCTATCCTCGGTGCTGAGATATTGTATCTCAAAATCTTGATTCTTCCTAATTATCATTTTCCTTTAGAAACCAATCATGTCAAAAGCTTCAGATAGCTGGCCAGGGACCACCAGAAGCCCCAGCGATCATGATTTTGCCTCTGAGCGCACACCACTTCTACATCCGGCTTCAAAATCAGATGTTGAGAGTGCCTCTTCCACGCTTGCGGGCTCTGAAGTCAGCTCGGACGAAGGAGGCGAGAGGACAATCATCTGCAAAGAGCCTTCATTTGCATGGCTGGCGCTTGTTATGAGTACCGCCTGGTTCGGCGTCTTCCTCGGCGCTGCTGATACCACTGTCATAGCCACCCTTTCTGGTCCTATATCAAGCGAGTTCAACTCTCTCAGATTACTATCGTGGCTTGCTACGGCATATCTTATATCCAATGCCGCGGCTCAGCCAATATCAGGCCGGCTGACGGATATCTTTGGCCGAGGCCCTGGCTTAGTTTTCGCCAACCTTGCCTTTACTGCTGGCAACCTCATCTGCGCACTCGCCACGAGCCAACAAGCCATGATATTTGGACGTCTCATCGCTGGTATTGGAGGGGGCGGTCTAATGAGCATTCCTACATTTTTGGCCTCGGACCTTATTCCACTACGTAAGCGGGGTGTGGTTGGAGGGATCGCAAACATCTGGTATGGGTGCGGCACCATGACTGGTGCTGTTCTCGGCGGCTATCTCAATGATCACTCCTCAATGGGCTGGAGGCTAGCTTTCTTAATTCAAGTTCCACCATCTTTCATCTCAGCCATCATCGTCTACTTCTTAGTCAAAGTACCACCAAAACAATCAGATAAAACGTACTTGAAACGTATTGATTTCGGCGGTGTCTTTCTGACCTCGTTATCTCTAACATTGCTGGTACTGGGTCTCAGTTTCGGAGGAAATGTCGTACCTTGGACACATCCTCTACCACCCACAGCCATATTACTCTCATGCGGAGTATTCGCGGCGCTGTTCCGTTGGGAACAAACTGCAGTTCAACCCATCATTCCTGTCAAACTTCTCTACAACCGTACTGTCCTCACATCTTGCTTAGCTAGTATCTTTTGCTCCGCTATTGCACTTACCAGTGTGTTTTATATACCGCTTTACCTACAAGTGCGAGGCGATTCAGCCACGACTGCTGGATTGAAGATCCTCCCAGTCTCTCTTGGGACGTCCGCCGGAGCGCTCATTACGGGCTACCTGATGAAAAGAACTGGCAAGTATGTCGGGCTGGTGATAAGCTGTGTGCTTGCCATGACATTTGGAATTGCCATGTTCACATTTCAAAACGAGTATTCCCCAGGCTGGTTGACATCCATTGCGTTCTTGATTGTCGGTGGAGGCTATACAGCAGTTTTCGGAATCACCCAAGTGGCATGTGTGGCATCTGTAGACCACACACAGCAAGCAGTTGTCACTTCTTGTACTTGTAAGTTCCTTTTCGCGAGCTTTACTAGCACCCTACTAGTCTGTTGATTTGTAGACAATCTAACGAAATGATCGCAGATCTTGCTCGAAGTCTAGGGGGCACAATTGGCATTACAATTGCTTCGGTCATCTATCAGGGTAATCTTCGAAATAATCTCTGGGAGAGGTTTGGGGATATGCCAAATGCTACCGAGAGAATTCAGAGACTTCTGGATGATATGGCAGAACTGAGAAATCTGCCGACTGATTGGTTTGAAGGGGTTATCCAATCGTTTATGGGCGCATTCTTATGTGTCTGGCTACTAATGCTCGCCTGGGGGATCCTGGCCTTGATCTTTATATCCCCGATAAAGCAGCATCAGCTCCACGCAAACCTGGACAGGAAATAAGCAGATGTCTTAATAACCAGGAGACTGAGGCGTGGCATTCCCACTGAAGACTACAATAGTTTTCGGCAACTAAAGCAACCAAACAACGCTCGTGGCACTCAATAGAGGGAAATATAGACAATGATCATAAGCTCCAAATGAATATCGAATAATAAATATGTAGGCAGGAACTTATTCTCTTTAAAGTGTAAATTAAGATATTATTGATAGATGACTTAAGAGTTGTGCCAAGTAAAATGATAAGAAGTTAGGAGAGCATAGTAGGAAGGGACAATAGAATTGAATTAACACGAAAACTGCCTCCCCTTCCTCGCTTCCTCTTGTGGCACCGCCTTCTTGCAATCGTACTACACTGAGTATCTGAATAACTTCGCGCGGAGTGAAGTATTAGACTTGCTTTTAAAAGGATTGGTGAGCGCGCTGCAGAGAACAGTGCCGTACTTGACGAGTCCATTTATCCGATCATGTAGTGCCTCAAGTCCGCCCTTAGAAGTTCGTCTCTGTCTCTCGCAATCCTCTAGTACTCGAAGAAGCACATTTTGAACCAAATGCCAAATACCGCAGGTCTGGCTCCAAGCTGAAGGGTGTGCATCGCGGCGAACCCTCAACTCTTGGGTCAGCATGGACCGGAGTGTTTCTGCAAATCTAGTCTCAAAAATATGAAACAGAGCTGCCATCGGACGTTGCCTTTCTATGGCCCTTCTCACAGTCTTGTTGAATCGGCGCTGTATTCGCGCATGGAGGATTTTGGCACGTTCTTCCGTGGTGATTTTCAGACGCCAAGACGGCTCGCATTTTGAGGCGTTCACCTCCTTTATCAGATCAACGACTTTATCGCTGAGGTACACATCGAGGCATTCAGGATAACGAACCCAACATGGAATATCACTCTTATTTGTGATACGTCCGGGGCGAATGACCGGTTCGCCATCTAATATTCGGCTGTTCATGCTCTGTGTAAGGGAACTGCCTCGAGTGTTCCGTTTCTCTATATCATCCAAGACACCAGCTAAAATTTGAATCGCGCATGCGTAATATGCCTTATGTTGACAGTATTTATAGTCACGATTGTCCTGGTCTGGATCCTGGTCGTTGGCGTACCCGTCTGCAACAAAGATATTGGCCCGTCGGTCAAATATCTTGTCCGGCCAAAAGATGCTGCTCAAGGTGAGCACAAACTCGTCGATATTTTTCGGGCTACAACTGAATAAAGACTGCAGGACCATGGTGTGGAGAATAATTTCGGCGCGCTCGGTCGTTGTGATATTTCCACCATACCACGGGCTCGTTCTAAGAGATATGCTATCAGTGAGTGCGTTCTTCCGTGTGATGTGATCCAGGGCCGAGAATAGGAGAGCAGTAGATGTGTACCATCCAGTGCCCCTATAGCAGGAATAAAAAATATAGAACTCGAGGCGAAGATGACTGACATGTCTTCATTTATATTCAGAGCTTTTACTCGCAGAATCACCTTTTCCTTGACATCACTTCGCAGCAGAGAAGTGTCCCGGGCCCAGCAGGGAAGTCGGGATAAAGCTCTACCACGGCGGGTAAATGACATGGGGGCTTCGCGGGACGATTATCGAATAATTGTTCGACAGAAGGTTGTCTAAGAGTGGCGAGCGGCTGTTCCGGCTACTAGTTTAAAGGGTGGACGAGACTTAAGAGATAGTAGAGGCTTAGAATAGGTGAGGATTATGGGAAGAGTAGTGCAGTTCCCTCACGACCTTGCCACAATCCTACACGAAATCTTAGTCAAGGATTTCACTGATTATTCTGAACCTTCTGTAGGCTCTTCGAATCTAATTCGATATTGACCTGTGTAATTGAAGTTTATCTTGTGTACTCGTTGAATAACCTATAATCAAGGCTGATAGCACGAGTCCTTGAGCAAAATTTGAAAGGTTCGAGTGAGTTTGCGCTTGAACTTAGAGAGTTCAACCTTGTTATGTATCACCTCGCGCATGGAATTGCAATGTTTGCAGCCAAGCGCTCTCTGCATCCAGTGTTACGCTCTAGCCAAGTATAGTAGAGCTATGACACGCGAGGGAACGGTGTGCACCGTGAATACCCCTTACAGTTTTAGGGATCTTGGCGCTCCAAGATGTGGCACGAGTTGTATACTTTGTGAGTTAAAATACATCGGAATAAATATTTTCACACTTGGCTAGCGTTTCTTTATTAGCATAGAAGGCTGCAATTTCACTGTAGTAGATGCGCTATTGCATGGCATCGAGCGTGCTGAGATTTCATTGTGGTCGCGATGATCGCCAACAGAAACGAGCGCTGATGCATAGTTCATGAAATTACTGGCCGTCTAATGTATTTTTTCTATAGGTTCAAAGGCACAGGGTCTCGCTTGTAGTTGGTAGATTAGGTAACCCACGTGCTCGACTAAAAAGGGTCTTCCACTAAGGATATCCGAGGTGAAAGTCCGCATGATGTAAATGTAAATATAAAATTTTTTAGTCACCCAGTTTCTCAATTCACAGCAACTTTAAGATGAACAATACCAAAAGATAGTTAGACTCTTGCTTATGCTTTTCTTATGATGTACTAATGCATTCTGTGTCTTAAGGTCACATTAAACATTCACAGAGGTTATCTACTGAAAGACACTCGACCAAACTAACCGTCACTTCGAAAGTAGGAACTCTTTGGGTGTAGCCTGTGCATAGGTTGTGGGTTTCTATTGTACAGGGCTGACTTTGCCACAGTGCAAGATAAGCTTATGACATCGAAAGCCCTGATGAATATCAATGAGGATATGATCGCACGGTTATCGCAGTCGTGTGCAAGATTTAACCACTCCAGACAGCCGGGCCGGGGCAAGTGTATGAGGTGCGCCCCCCGTTGTAGATATCAACCTGAACTTGATCAGTAATGTTCATAACTTGGTACTTGCCAGGACTCACCATGATACCAGGATCAGACTGTGGAGCATAGCCGGGAATCGATGACAGCAAGTTAGAAGGGGCAGTTGCGGTACCAGAGCCGGTAACCTCAATCTGTGCGCATTCGGGGTAAAACTGGGGGGTATTGGCTTGGTGAAGAGCCAGCAGCTCGTGCCTGATGAGATATTGGCCAGGCTTGAGGCTGGCGGGGATCTTGCTCGACCACTTCAGTGTCTTGTAAACAACTCCAGTTCCCCAGTCATTACTATTTAATGCACTCCCGTAAAGACCCATCTGGTCAATCTTGAACCATTTCTTCTGTTTACCATCACACGATTTAAAGCCATTCTCACAAGGGTACATCCAGACCATGACTGGGCCTTGCTGATGAGTCCATTGGCGCCACACAGCTGTTATGTTTGAACCTGCCGCGATCTTGGCCGACAGGGGAGCTGAAGTACCACCATTGCACGTCATTTTACCATCAGAGGCCGTCATGATCGGATTATAGTCTGGCCACTTTGCGCCCATAATTAGCAAATTTGACCCAGGAAACATCATCAAACATCATGAAAAGCATCAACGCAACGATTCGAGGAGTGAATAATCGAAAGTCGAACATACTTGTCTCTGGATGATTTGAGCATTGGCCTGCGGTGAGAACCCCTCATATCCAGGATATGTTGTGCCACCGATGATGTAGCTTGTTACAGCACCGTGAGCGGCAACCAAAGCTGGCGCGAAGATCAAGGAGAACAGCATTATGATAGTTGAGCACACTGAATGAAAGATTAATAGCTTACTATGATTAAGAGAGCCCAGCAAAGTAAATCGGGCTAGATGGCGCAACAGGTGTTATTATATCTGCACCGATATACGGAGGTGGACCTCCATTGGAGCCACGGCAACTCGTATTCACATTCCTCGAGGCAAAATCAAGCCGACTCTGCCCACGGAGTCACGGAAACTTACCTGAGAATGAAGCCCAACGACCCATTCATTGAGCAATCGTAATGCCCACTCTACCGTCTATTACTACGTGAGCCGCTATTCGACCAGCGGACCGAATTGTCTGGGATCATTTCGGCGGATAGAGGCCCGCTTACAACATATATAGATGACTTATATTCGAGATAGCAACTGCTTGAGCTACTGATTGGATAACCAAGCTGACGGTCCTGTCAGGCGTCCATTGATTTCCCCACAGTGTTCTGCATGTCTATATTGTACCCCAGGAATTGTTGGCGAGTCGATGCATAATTGTCAGACATGAAGGGGGTAACAATTGATATTACGGACCAATAATGCCATCAGATATTTCCGGGAGATGTTCTCCAGACGCCTCGTTTCTGTGCTACATATATGGAAGTGCTCGAGCTAAATAGGCTATTCAGGATAAATGCCACCCTCATTGCCGATGAACCGCGGAATAGACGTAACCCCTACCCATCTTCTAGAAGCTCGGTACTATGCAAGGATTCCATAGTCTCACTCGCTATTATAATATGGTACAATGGATTTATCGTTCAGCTAGCATAGGATGTATGTATAAATGACTTTTATACTTCACTACAATGACCTCCCCCTATAGTGATTAAACGGAACATTTTCATTCAACTGTAAGCTTAGGCTTATGCAGACCTAGTAAACAGGGCACTTTTGACAATTGGACAGAAGATAGCAATATAATAACCACGTTTATTGAGTAAAAAAGAAGGCATTCATTCCAATGAGTAGCTATGGAGAGGGCAAAAATCGAAGACCATGCCTCCACGCGGAATCGAACCGCGGATCTTGTCATTAACTCGCAAGCACAATTACATACGAGTGACACGCATTACCCCTGTGCCATAGAGGCCATGATATCTCACTGTCCAGAAAAGAACTATTGATTGGTGTCGTTACAATTGCATAATAACGATTTGGCAACAAGAAGAATGCGCATTCAGCCAAGCGCTGCCTTGTCAAGGTTGGTCCAGAGGTTGCCGAGCATACCAACATACCATTAGACGGTCTCTAGGAATTATCTCTGTACAACAGCGATTGAATTACTGTGCTATGTAGGTATTGTCTTCAGTTCGCCAACTCATAGCAATAGCTGGGCAATGTGCGCAAGGCCATCCGTACTGTATTGGATAGCACTCCTCATAGACTACAAGCCACATTGTACCAACCTTCTCACACCTCGCAACATAAATGTACATCAATGTTACTACTTCTAGTCCGCCTCTCTAAGCCAATAGTAGTGCGGAAACCTAGTTGTCTAGCTTCTGAGTAATCAGTTGCAATTGGACTTCCCTGTGGAAAGTACGCGACTTGAGAGAAGAGGTGCATGCAGCAAACGGGCGTATCCAGTCTCCATCAACAAGGCCCCGGGACGTGCGCGGCAGGAATTAGTGAGTTCTGAAGGCTTTTGAAGGAGAGTGTCATCGCATATATTGATATCAGTCGGGGACTATCTCAAGGTCTATTCCCAGCGCACGCGCGACGCAGCGCCGGCTATTTCACTTGCCTATGGTGGACGCCCCAATACCTGTTTAATGTGTCCGCTACACCATGAGAGTATGGATAGCCGTCGTTGATTCCTGGGTCGTTTACACCGCTTCACTGTATTTCGTTGAATCAGTATTCGACGACTCGCTGGAAATAATCGCAGGGGAATATCTTACAAGCGATGATTCCTGTTATCAAGCTCCCATTTATAGAAGAACAGCTGGTACGCTGTGGCGTTCATAATCGTATAAAGCCACTTGGAAGCGCCTATATATTGGCAAGTCGTTCAATATCAACAACTTTGAGTGTAAGTGCATAGAGACAACTTCTAGAAGCGAGGATTTTGAGTACGACTCTGAGATGATGATGGACGCCGAGTTGTCGGCGACTTTCTCCTATCTGAGAGGTTCGTCATCTATACTTAAGGGCTCAACCATCGTAAGCTCGCCTTCGCTCAGCTCGTCGTCATCTAGCATGGTGATGGGTCCTTCACCATATTCTTCGTCACTATCGTTGGAGCTACGCATGTCCTGGCTAGTATTGAATCGGTCAGGAGGACCTGGTTGGGGAAAGCTGACTGATCGTGTCCCCATAGTCGTAGAGTCACCCCGAGACGAAGGGCCTGCGAGAAAGTTCAGCGCGGGCCGAGAAGATGTAGACGTTGTCGGATTAGGGTCACTGCTAGTTCTGCTCATAAGCTTCAGGTCCAGTGTCCGTGCGTCGCTTTTCTGCTCCAGAATGCTCTTGACGATCGGATCGAACTTCTCGTTCGCCAAATCCTGCTTCGTCCGGCGCGGTGGCAGCAGTGGTCGCGGTCCCTTATCGGCTTCGTCATCATCAATATCGATGAGATGCCCAAGCTCGGCATAATCTTTGTCGCGCATTTCAATTCCCCCTTCGATCGTCTTTTCCTTCTCGATAGCAGCGACTCCCCCTTTGACATTCGCGAACCCGCACCGATGCAGGATCTGCGCGATCAGGCCCGGGTACCGCAGATGGCCGTGGACCTCGTCGCTGAGATCGAGATCCTCGACACCCTCGATCTCTGCCCCGACGGACTGCAGCCCCGCGATGCCCAACTGCAGACTCGTGCCGCGGTACAAGAAACCGAGGATGTAGTCATTCTCGCTATGCACGTTAAAAAGCTTGCCCGCTACCACGGTGCGCATCATCTGCCAATGCCCCGTATTAGATGGCACCGGCGCCCCGATCAGAACCACTGTATCCACGAGTCCAAAGGCCCTCCGCTCGGCCAACACACGAAGGCACGCGTAGATCACGCGCGCGCCGAGCGAGTAGCCGATCAGCGTCACTGGGCGCTCACCCTGCACCTTATTGATCAGCGCGTCGGCGAGGATCTGTCCGGCTTTCTCAGAGCGGTTCCGCGCCAGACTGAACGGGTTATCGATACTCGAGGCCGAGTTGAGGAGCAGGATAGGCCACAGGGCGCCCTGAAGGGTCACGAGAACGGTACGCTTGAGTATCTCGGCGCGCACAAGGCTCCACGTCGCGGAACCCACGAGGGCACGGAGTTGCTCGCCGAGGGACATGAGGCTGCTCATTTCATACCGCAGAGCGAACACCTCGGACTCGTCGCCCAGCACGCGCCACGGCTTCGTGACGTCGTCTTCGGTCTCGAGCCACCCGTTGATCCCGATGGTGACGCGCAGCCGGCGCGTTTCGGCGTCGCTGCTCTGTTGCTGCTTCCAGCGCTGTCCCCACTCCGCGCTCAGCGGGAGGAATTTGAAGTCTTCCACCTCCTTCGCGTACCGGTCCACCATCTCGCCCGTCATCTTAGCCCCAAAAGCGCCGAAGAGTGTACCAACGAGGGCCCCGTTCATCCAGAAGATGCCGAGAAACCCGGCAAGTCCGCCTAGGCCGACCGAACTCATCAAACCGCCTACGGTGGCTGCGACGACAGGGGCCGCCAGACCGCCTGTGACGCCAATGATAGCAGCGCCGGCCACAGAGGCGAGCCCGACTTTCCAGAGCCGCCCCGTACGCCCTTCGTCGCGCCGCTTCTGCGCTTCCGTGTCAGCGGACATCCCCGTCTTCGCTTCGGCATCAGCCTTCTGCGCTGTTTCTACCATGGTCGTGGCAATGGCCGTCTCTTCCGCGTTGAGTGTGGAGGGAGTTATCTCGAGTGCTGACGCGAGGTAGCAGATGAGCGTGCGCGAGTAGGCGCTGTAATTCCCGCTAGACAATAGGAGAAGCAACGTCGCGCTAAGCACTTCCTCACGGTCACGGAGCGGGATAGTCGTCAACCGCGTTGGGATCGGATGATAGAGGCTCTGGAAGGCCTCTAGCTCCTTCTCTCTTTTACTGTCTTTCCCATGTCCCAAGCCAGCAGACAGTGGTGATTGCGAGGTGGACGCCACGGCATCGAAACTAAGTAGATCCTCACTATCTCCCACAGGCTCCTTTTTGGGCTTAAGAGATAGAGCTTCCGTGCGCTTCCGTCGCGCATCGATGATCTTTTGGTCGTCGGCTTTTGCCACGACTTCTTTGAGCTTGCTCAGCGTTTCGGCGCGCCAGGAATCAAAATGCAGCAACGCAGCCTTCCGGAGACGTACCAGAGCCGGACTTTGCGGCGATGGCACGGATTGTCCAGGGGCAGTCTCCTGGTTTCTTCCATGCTGAGTGCCGGGGTAAGACGCTGTACTACCCGCACTGAGCGTATCGTGCGCTGAGTATGGTGGCGGGTTGACGTTCCCAGTGCCTGCGCTTCCTACATGAGACTGTAATTCTAATTGCGATCGCATATATGCCGTGATCTCAGATACCAGGCCATAGAAGACTTTTCGTCGTGCCATATTCAGCACAACGCGGATCTCGTCCGGCTCAGTACTGAGGGGCGCCATGGTGGGCCAAGGTCGGATCGAATCCGACTTGAAGCTCGCAAGCTCGCGTTTTCTCGACAATTGGGGGATGTATCCGGGACGAACGAAGAGCAAAGAGTCGATATGTGACGGTGCAGACTTTAACAGTCCCAGATCGCTATTGCTCTGGACATAAAAGGATGCCAGGCAGCCAGATTGGAGGGGAAACCTGCTTTGCCAAGCCCCGTCTAAATATAGCAGAACAACCGCCCAAAGCTTTAGCAGCAGTGGTGAGAGAGAACGTGCCGTTTCGTCCCAAATCCAAACCTCAAGCGAGTTAAGAGATTCAGCTCGTTTGGGACCGTTCAAGCATTATACAAGCAAGAAATTTGCATTCTGATATGGTTGTAGAACAGATTCTCTTGACACAGGATGCCGGCCCAAGTTACACGGCAATACCTCCGAGTTGACGCCGTCGCAGCATATCTCCATTTTCAGACGCAATCTGATTATGTGCTTACGGCATGGCCAGCGACTTATTCGAATACCTACAAGACAACAGGTACAACGTGCGAGTCGTATGTACACAGCCAAAAGGCTTTTAAAGCACTGCTAGCAATGCGGCAACATGTTGTCGCTGGCGCAATTTCTTCACAATTACATAGTAGGGACGGGGTGTGAACGAGACAAACGATAACTGTTAATTTTTTTACACTGGCAGCATCTATCTACCCTGTGGAGGCCGGTACCATTGTTTGGTCACCCAACGATCCTAGACGCCAATGCTGAATTCCTTTTGACCCGTCCGTTATAAACCAAGACAGACCCGCTTCCCACCGTTACTAACCGTATTATCACCCTTCCGTTTACCACCCACCCATAATACATTTTGGTTTGTTGATGCCTTCCCCTGAAGGACGAATGATCCGGATCGAGAACTAGGCGAGGAGGCATTGTTCGCCTCCTGGGAACGTAGTAGTTTTCGTTCTTCGACTCTAAGAGCCCACAATAGTGTGAGCAGTACCTCGCGGGACGGTAAGCTGGTGCCTTTTGGCCACATCAGCGGTCCTCGGCTCTGATCTCCCTTGATACCCGGGGATCCATTTGCCAGTTCGTCGACCCGATCATCACGTCTTTCAGACACCAACCGCAAGAACCCCATCGTCGCATCCATTAGTGGACGCGCCAGGATGGGGCTGCTGGTTAAAAGTTTCTGTAGAGACTTGATTCTCAAAGTCGAAGAAGCTGAAAGTGGACTCGGGATCTTGGACGACTGAGTCGTGGATCGCGGTCGCGCCGGATGCGCCGCTGACGTCGTCGCTGAGGAACTGATTGATGTCAAATTCCGGAAGTTCGGGGGTAGCGTCACTAGCCAAATGATTGTACTCAAAACCGACGGGGTCGGCTGAAGGGCTAAGTTGGTCTTGAGGGCCCCAGTGATCAATGTCAGAGGCCGGCAACAGGCTGAAATCAGCACCGAAGAGGCCATCAGAAACGTTTGTAGCTGCAGGAAGGGTAAGGTCTGCGCGTTGGCCAGCCACGATGGCGATGCTTCCACTGACGGACACTGCAGGTCGCACAACACCGCTGCTGGATGTTGTGTCACGTCAGAGGAAGTAGTCGCCACGGTCGATGGAGCCGTCACGGTTTCTGTCTGGGTTGTAGTAGTAGTTGATGCTGTCTTCATTTCTGAATCGGCAATGGGGTTGAGCTCGGGGGAGATGGAGGCTGGGTTTACAGTGCCATCTACAGTCCCGTCTTGTTCAGAGGGCATGAGAATAAAGTCTTCCATCACACCGGGATGAGGTTGTGTAGCGCCATCGGCGGACTGTTGGAAGAGAGGCTGGGAGAGGGTAAGGGGGGAGGGCTGGAAAGCATCAAGCGGCGTCGAGCTTCGGCTAACGACGCCGGCGCCTCTCCGTAGTTTGGCCAGCTCCTCCATCAGTGCCAGGTTTTGTTTTTGCTGGTTGAGCAGGGCGGACTCTAGAGCGGCGTTGCGCTGCTCGAGGGCCTCCACTTCCTGCCGCTTTCGTTCCCTTGAGGACTGGGCAGCACGACGGTTCCGGAGAACCCTCTCAACGCGCCGTTGCTCCTTCTCGTCTTCCGTCTTGGCTCGTTTCCTTGGGGGAAGGTTGGTCTTGGGTTCGGGTAGGACCTGGCCCCAGGACTTCCGCTTCTTGACGGGCTTCTTCTCGCCCTCGGCAGCTGGGGTAGCTGCGGGCGTCGCGACCGGCGCCGGCGAGACAGCATCAGACATGTTCTCATCGCCGCAGTTGGACTCGGGAGTCATGACGCTGTCGGAGGGGTCTATTGTGTTGAGTTGAGATGTGGCAAATAGAGACGGGTACAGTTCGCCACCAGGGGTCGACAGGAAGGACTCGGCAGGGGAAGCCTCGAACTTGACCTGTGTCGCTAACTGGGTGACTTGTTGATCTTCCCAGGTAGCCATGTTGGCTATAGTGTTAACCGAGGAGATAATAGAGTGTTTGGTATTATGTTGTTTCTAGCTTGCCAGATTGATTTGACAAGCAGCTTTGGTTTTCTTTTTTGGTGATTGTAGGTAGGTAGGAGGATGGATTGGTCAATCGACTATTGTGATGATAGTGGAAATGACGAAAGATGGCGTTCTACGTCCTCGCTACATGAAATGAAATACCATGTGGTTCATGGCTGCCTAGGCATTGCAAACAAAGGAGCTAGGAGCTATGAGTCAAGGCATTCGATCCATTTGCACTTGTTCTCCCGAGGCTGTGTCCCATGAGAGTCGTAGCGAGGCGTGTGAGTGGCCAGGGTGGAGACCAGACGACGATGGTGGTGGTTGAGGCCAGAGTGTCCTTTGTTGTCGGTGATGGGGAGTGGTGAAGAGTCGGCCTGCGAGGGGGGGCCCGACTTCTTTATGCTCAACGTGGCCACTTTGGCAACACCCCTGGGCCACCTTATGTCAGCCAGCCTGAGACAGCGCGGGTGGGGGCCCCTTGCCAAGTATTGACCCATTCCCGGCCAGGGAGCGCAGCAGGGAGCTAGTAACTCTGCCTTTCCCTGATGAGCGGGGCGGAATCAGGAGGAATGTCTTTCTAAAAGGGGGAATGGCCGCGTTGCCTTTTCTATTGGAGGGCCACTTCTCTACCTATGTATATACATAGGAGTCCAGCAGGCATTCCTACATGTAAAGTACCTACAGGCAATGGGGAGATGACCCCGAACATCCGATCATTGTATCAGGTAGGTAGGTGCTACAGTAGGCTAAGGTTAGGTTCTTAAGAAGCCGAGCTGGCAGTGTGTGTCCTGCAGTATGTAAATAAGTAGGTAGGTAGTGTAGGCCCGGTTGTAGCAGACATTGTCTAACACGCCAACACGCCGATACGCCGCCAATACGGCAAGGCAAAGCAAAGCAAAGCAAAGCAAAGCAAAGCAACCATCGCAGCATCAAAGCGCCTTTGCAGCCGGTCAGAAGACGACCAACAGCCCAGCCCAGCCCAGCCCAGCCCACCCCAACCCGGAACGAGCAATTGGACCGAATCTTCGTCGTAAGCCTCGAAACGTACTAGGTATGTCAAAACGCATGCACCTCCATTCCTATCGAGTGTACGCGCATTACTTAAATACAGTTCCAAGGTTGCTAAACCATCTCGCCAGTGTAGCAAGATTTGTAGGCAGATATTCCTATCTGCTTACCTAGGTTAGATATGCTACCGTACACTACTACACTACTATAGGTACGTGTAATACTCGACTACGTAACTCTCCAGGTTGGTTGTCAAGTACGTATGCAATGGTGTATTATGTATTATTAACGGATTATCCCTCCGCAACCCAAGCTCCGGGACATCTGTGCTGCGGTATGTACTCTAGAGCCGGCATCCGAGGCGAGAGATGTTTGCCGCACTTCCACCCCTCGTCGCGTTTGGTCGTGGCAGTTGAAACACGATATTACCGGTTTTCTCGGTGCAGAAATTAGGCCTCTCTCACACTTGGTGTGATGCAATGCCTGCAATGTCTACCAATAGTATCCAGTATCCGTACTTTCCAAGATACGAGGCATACACTACCAACTAGATTCCTAGCGTATGATAACCAAGGTCGAGAGAGTAGGTATACGGTAATATGGCTATAATTAGTACTTACCTGCGCTAGACGTAGGTACCTAGGTAAGCTTACAGTTGGGAGGCAGGGCAATGTGCTGCATAGTCGAGGCTTCAAAAACAATAAACGATATCGACCAACAACCCGCCACTCTCTTGCATCTGGATTTACCGCCGCCAGGCTTTTCTGGCCGGGAATTGGAAGGATAATAGATTCATGCATTCACACCAGCCTTCCATCCAACTTGAGGTCACTACCTACTTACATACATAGTACCTACATACACTACAGTACTCGCTTGCTGTGTTGTCGTTAGCGGCTAAGCCATCCAAGAAGTCGCGTCTCTCGCCCACCAATAAGCCATAAAAGAGTTGATATGCCAAAATGGCCGGCAATTCTCTCGTTTCGCCGTTCCCTCCGGGCTGCCGTCCTCTCCCGTTGCTTCCCTAGACGGATGAATAGCCTATCCCTCCGATTGACGCGAGACTGGCTCAGAATACCCGTATTCTTCTTCACTGGAGAACCATGGTCTGACTGACACATTGATTTATTACTTGACTCGCACACACCAGCCCATTACTGGCATAATGTATTACATATTGTCTCTGTAAGCCACCCTTGACCCCTGAGTAACACTATCGTGATTGCGTGATCCAGAGCGCTGGAAGACGAGCGAATCTCGGTCATAATGTGGCGCTCTAGTCTACAGTGCTGAGGACTGCCTATCTTGAATCTACTCGTAAATAGTACGTGCATACCTGCGGCCAGTGGTGGACCGAGGCATCTACTAAGCGTAGATGCATAGAAGCTTCTCGTAATCATCAAAATTTAGAGCTTCCAATCTGGGAATGTTATACCTACTAATTATCACTTACCTACCTACTGTGTACGCATACTCAGAGTTTACTGCCTACCAAGAAATGAGCCACAATTCCATGATTGCTTCTTACACTTTACTTAACGTTAGACTCCAAGGGAACATTATCAGACCAATCAAACAGAGCATCGAAGCCACACGCCCGTACAGGTAGGCATCGACTATTTTCCGTTCCGGAGCCATCTATACAGGCAGTATGACATCTACGGTCATTATTCCGTTTGCCGATTTTATCCATATAACAATTAGTGTTAATCCGCATGCATCAAACCTCCCCAAGCTTAGTGTATCGGTAAATGAGCTACACTAATGCGTCTTACCATCATCACAGGTCTCACTCAGCTGCCTCCTCCCTTAATTCTTAGGGAGGTTTTATGGAAATACGAGACGTGAGTCTAATTCCTTTTGCGTCGTCGTTTCGCCTCTCGTTGTCTTCGATAGTATTAAATAACAACGTGAACACTCACAGTGAGTGGGTTCCATCGTAAAGTCTCATGCAAAGGCGAAAACTTTCAGTTCCGATGGCCCAGACATTGTTAGGGAAGGCCCGAAATTCCCGTCGGACCTTTGACATCTCTCATCTTGGCCCGCCACCCTACAGTATATCCGAAGAATAACCCCAGAATTGGTATAACGCTGTAGAGGAACTGCATTGTGACCCACTGCACGCATTCTTACAGTAATGTGAATGTTGGCCGTTGACTGCATGAACATACAATGTAAAGACTCGCTTCCGAGGAACTCCCTACAATAGATCATCCCCCCTCCTACCGAGACCGTCTATCCGCCGGGCCAGGTCGTTTCCCCGGATCGACAGCCCGACCCAAACCTTTTGCTCTCCTAGTGGCGGGAAATAGTATACTACCTAAGTGCAGACACCTCGATTCCAGAGGAAGAGATTCCTTCTTTTCCAAGTTGATACGCCATACAGTAGCATGCACAATACCATTGCTACAACAATCGATTACTAGTGTATACTTAGGTAGAAAACCTACTCCTGTACTTAAGAATCCGCCGCCGGAATCTCCGTGTCGACCCCACAAGGTCGACTCCTTCAAGGTCAAACATTGAGCTCAGTATGGGTCTCACACGAACAACCCCTTGTTTCATATTCCGCCGCATTCCCATTCCCTCGTTCGAGCGCACGGCCAGCGTTCGATAATCCGAGATTCGCTACACTAGTGTATGTTGGCGGCGATGGAATGCTTGGGGCTATTTCTGACAGTAGGTACGCAAATACTTCATGTCAGCACTGCCTGCCTGCCTTAATTAAGTAATAGACGAGTCCTCAAACCAGCGTGTGGCATCTCGTATAAGAAAAGTCATCTCTCGCAACATGATACTACCTACTTACATCACATACGCTCGCTCCCATGACTACTTGAGTGACCGGTGTCATTAGCAACTGGCACCCTTCAAAGTTAATCAACCGCTTTGATCGACTACGAAGAACTCTCGTGTGCTATTTGCTAGACTAGCGAGAGGTACAGTTGACAAGACAGTAAGGCATTGTAGCGAATATATGCAATCTGAAACGATGCATCTACCAGTACCATATTGGATGACTTAAAAACCACAATGTTGGCTGACATTGTCCTGATCCGTCGTGTAATCCGTGAGGTAAACTCGATTCAAGCCGCGTCTAGGACCACAGCCTGTCAAGAGTCAATGTAGGATGCGACGACTGTGTGAAGAAACGCAACGAATATCTCTTGTACCTATAGTTACAAGTTCCGCGTTTCCACCTGGGTAGGTGTCATGTGAACACCGTGCTAGAAATCTTCCGTATTATCGAAATCACCCAGCATATTCTTTAAGCCGTAGTGCCATCTTGAGCACATTGAAAGAGTAGTTGCAGCAATTTGAGTTAGTAGTAATTAATTGATGTTTTGAAAGAGGTAAAGTAGGTAGGTAAACAACATAAAGTAGCATCAGCTCTACCGAGTCATATCTGGACATTATACCCGGTACCACGAGCACCACCAAGGATAAATGAATATTCCTCTGCTCCAACTTCTCATACAATTCTTTATATTTTTCTATAACAGGTTTTGGCCCATGAAGTGCTGTTCTTTCCATGAGATACCTAATATAGTAAATATAACACAAGACCAACCACCATAAATACGCGTATGTCTATGGTTTTGATGAGACATCATTTTGACTCGTACGGCGTGGTTTGCCACATGTTGCCAAACAATACCTAGTGAATCCATATAGGTATATGAGTGTGTCCAAGAGAGGAGATAAGACGAAGATAAAACGACTACGAAGTACCTAGTATACTTCAACAGGTACCTACCTAATTGACCTAAGCGCCACACTTGAAATGTGGCTATGCACTGAGTGGCTGGGGAAGTACACTGACGAGAAACTGATAAGGTTCTCGACTGATGAACGTTGCGTCATTTAGTGGGGTTGAGCCTACTGATGTCTGGCCAGATCCAGCACTAATTGACAGTAGGTGCTGGGGGAGGGGCACGCGCTGCCGCCAGTATCCAGCCAGTATCCAGCCAGTATCCAGCCAGTATCCAGCCAGTATCCAGCCAGTATCCAGCCAGTATCCAGCCAGTATCCAGCCAGTATCTATAGTGCCTATTTCGGTGCTTCAGCAACTCACTTATCACTCATACTACATAGTAGGTACCTTCCTTATGTAATGATAGGTACTCCAGACTGCAGCCTCGCCCCTCCTACTGTACACACCTAAAGTACACCATCGCCATTTGAGTCGCCTTCCGACCTTTCAATACCCGATTCCGTAACGAAGCCTTTCACTCCCGATTCCGCCGTCCGCTCTTTTCACCATGTCGAACCGGCAACTTGCCCGCGACATGCAAGTCGAATTCCAAGCTCGTGTACGTTCTCTCTCCATGTGGTCTTCAGAGAACATCAACGCTGACACCAGCCTATCCTCCAGTTCCAAGCGAAGCAAGCCCGCCGTGAAGCCCAGAAAGCCGCCAAACAAGATCCACTCTTGAAGAAGCAAATCCAAGATCTACTAAAGAAAGGCGACACCGCGAAGGCCTACCAGAAGGCCAAGATGCTGCTCTCGAAGCAGGCACTCGCACAACAGATGGATCAGATGGCCGACATGGCCGAGTTGAGCGTTGCCCAGATCCAGGCCAACAACAGCATGAACCGAATGACACACATGATGGGACAGTCTTCACGGACTATGAATGCCGCCCAGAGGAATATGAACCCCGAGCGGGTATGTGGTTTCGTCATCTTTCACTGACTAAAAAGCCACGGCGGCTGCTAACATGAACCCCGTACAGACCCTCTTAACTCTTGAGCAATTCAAGCAGCAGAACGAAGAATACGCCGTCAACAATGGCATATACCAAGACGCCATCTCCCAAACGACATCGCAGCAGGTATCAGAAGACGCCGTTCACGAACTGCTAGGCAAGCTTGCCGACGATGCCGGCGTCCAACTCAATACCGAGCTCAACTCGGCTCAGCCCTCCAAGGTTGACCCTACACCTGCCCAGACTAACGAGCCCACCGCTGAAGAAGAGGACGCCTTGCAGCAGCGGCTTAGAGCTCTCAGGGCTTAGAAGACGATGGAGGCATGAGACCGAGGTCATGCGGCTGGTACGCAAGAAAACTAGCAACCGTCAACACCAATATTGAGAGTTACCACAGATTTTAAAATTAGCAGTGGGAGCCATTGTACATTTTTTCGAATTATGTTCGTTCAGCGCGGGGGTCATTAGTCTGTTCCTGTATTCATTCCTTGTTCTTATTGAATTGCTGGTATAACTAGGTGACAATGCCTGGGTATTGAAGGCTGCGGTTCTAAACGATATCTATATATATATATACTAAGAATAATTCTAACTAACAAGCGCTTATCTTCAGATCATAAGGTCTAGGCGCTTAGACTCTCCAAAAATTGCGGGCTAAACGGGTAATCTACATAACCCTCAGCTGAGCTAGTGTAAAAAGTCTCGCGATGGTATGCATTAAGCTCGAGAGCTTCCTTGACCCTGTACACCAGGTCGGGGTTCGCAATGAAGTGTCTCCCAAAAACAACAACAATGTCTTTTTCGGGATACTCCTCGTCGACCAGTTTCTGTGCTTCCGCCGGTGTATACCCGCCGGCGACGAGGAGTGGTCCATTCCAGGCATTGTATGCGAAGTCCAGTCGTTCACTGGCTTCCAAGTCATCGCCGCCGAAAATGCGCGATTCGACCAAGTGAATATAAGCCAGCTTTAAGTGCTCAGCTTTTCGGATAATATCTGTAAACTGTGGGATCGGATCCGCCATTCTCATGCCACCAGCCAGGCTCCAAGGGCTGAGACGAATTCCCACACGTTCCGGGCCGATGGCGTCGACGACCGCCTTCATGAGCTCGTTCACGAAGCGGGATCTGTTCTCTATGCTTCCTCCGTACTCGTCGTCGCGTTGATTGCTGACGTCTTGGATGAATTGGTCAAGGAGGAAGCCATTCGCCGCGTGGAGTTCTACACCGTCGAAACCCGCGCTTATCGCATTCGTCGCCGCGGTAGCGAAGTCCTGGATCGATTGCTTGATCTCCTCAACGGTCATAGGGACCGGTACCAAACCATCTTTGGCAACGGGGATTGCACTTGGCCCTTTGGGAATAATCCCCCCTGCTTCGACCAGGCTGGGGAATACTTGTCGGCCGGACCCAGCAATTTGACAGTAGATGAAGCCGCCTTTGCGGTGGACTTCGTCGGTGATGGTCTTCCAGGCGGCGATCTGCTCCTGGCTCCAGATTCCAGGTGCATTGGCAAAACCTCCAGAGTCTGTTGGGGAGACAAAGGTTCCTTCGGAGATGATCAATGTGCCAGGAACAGAGGCTCGCTGGCCGTAGTACTCCTTCATTAATGGCACAGGCACGTACTCGCTTGTCGCTCGAAGGCGGGTGAGCGGAGCCATTGCTATCCGGTGCTTTACTTCGATATTGCCGATTTTCAACGGCTTGAAAAGGCGTGATTCAGCCATTGCCAAAGAAATATTTGTAGCGTTTGAAGAATGGAGATATGTGAGGTGTTTCCCGTGACTTGGATGTCTTGCCGATGAAGTCCTCATAACCGTGGTGTAGTCTCTCGGGCTTTTATAGACAATGAAGGCCTGGTTTGGCAGTCATCCGGCTACGGCCGAAGGCCTTCTCCTGATGACAGCTTACATATCTGTCGAACGATTGCAAATATAGAAGTGAAGACAAAACAACACGTTGGAGAAGAGAGTGGAAATAAACTATCCATCTGCCGCAATCAGATTGTTCCATATTAGGCAAGAAGTTACTTCCAATTCTAGGATAGAGCTTTTTCTAAAAAGAGTTACGGACTTGGTCCATCACGCCATAGACTGACTGGGTTAGGGGAACAGTCGTTAGCGTCTTGAGTTGGTATTTTGATTTATAATCTGGATACTGATGTATGTGATGTTTGACAACACCGCCTAGTTACGCCAGCCAATACGCCTTCGATTATGTTGATTAATCAGTCGAATAAGATCATATAACATATTGAGTTGATGAGCAAGAAGGCCTTCTGCTTATCACGGCGGCCTTGGTATTTCCTGGATAATGCCGTTAATTGTCGGCTTATATTCGAGATTCACATTGCTCAAGTTGTGTGGTTCTGTCACAGAGGTATTGCAATACAGTCCAAGGCTTATAATGTGCGAGATGAGTGCCTGCTAGGCTATAGACAATGAGCTAACAGGTTAATACAGTAGACAGACACCAATCGAGGCGCTCCAATAGATTTTATGATCTTCTCACAATAGCTGGTGCAGCATGTTTACTGGCGAACCACTTAATCTTGTGAGCAATGTTATCAACAAACCGCAGCTCGGCCGGGAGTATGAGTAGTCTTGACACAGGTAATTCAATTTTAGTCACAAATCCATGTAATACCGATACTTATTCTTGTCAGAGGGGCGATTCCAGTTCATCACGGTTCACGCTCCGAGCGGTCCCAGAAGTCCTGCTACGCGACGTTTGGCACGGTCACATGCTGTGAAACGAGCGCTTGAAAAGAAACGAAAGATTGAACGAGAGTCGAAGAAAAATTTTCGCATAATAACGATAAGAGATGAGATAGAGAGAACGCACGAGGATGTTGTAGCCATGTCGCCCTTCTCTCTGTCGGCTGGTACACTGGATCCATTTAGGACCCTTGCAGTAGATTCATCTAGACTGCAAGCACTTCTGAGTGATTGTAGGTTTCCCTCCCTCGCTATGTTTACTTCCTCATGGCTTACATAGATCTTTAGATAAAGCAAGACAGTCTCTTGAACCTGTATTCAATATTGTCACACTTGAGAGCTTTCGGTCTATTTTCCGTACCGGATTAGTTGACCCTGCTCTCCTGACTGCTGTTATGCACACTTTAGCTTTCGCGGAAGCTGGAGACGGCACAGACCGTGAGTGGCGATGGTATCAGGGCCAGGCCTTCAGCTATGTTCGTGAGAGAATAGGTACCCCTGACACGGCTACTTCAGAGCCGACGATTGGTGCCATATTGCTATTAGCTGGCGTGGAAGTGAGTCGGCCGTTGTCCGTCCCTCCCGCTAAGAGGCAGTTGACCGATATTCATTATATAGGCTCGCCTTGGAATGACATCCCAGGTTCAGCTGCATATGGACGCGGTGCGTCGACTGCTCAGCATCTGTAAAGCCAGGGGAATTACTCTCACTGATGGAATCAAACGGGCTATATTCTGGTAGGTACGCTTGAAATATTTGTTGATGCCCGCTTATTAGATCCAATAGGCAAGACCTGAATGCGTCGATTTTAGCAGGATCTCGCCGCATAGTTGATCACGCGACCTTCTCGGAGCTTCGATGGACGCGAAACTCGTGTCCTCCGAGCTTCTTCCGGCTGCCACCTGGATTCCAGATGCATCCAGATTTGTTCACAAAGGATTTCATTGAAGTGCTTGAAGATCTGCATGCCTTGCAATGCCTTCGAAATACTATATCTCCTCTTAAGTCCCAAGTCTCGAAGATGGAATATATCAATAATCATACAGCATACATTCAATCAAGGATCATGAACTTACCGAAACCTCATCCAGCTGTTTTCTGCTGTTATCTTGCTGCGTGTCTATGTTCAGTCATGATGTGCTGCAGAGTTTGGTGTGCTCCGGTCATTCCTGTAAGTAAAACATAGACATTGCAGTTTCATATTCATGTCTTCTCCAAGAGTAAAACTCGACGTTAATGAGCTAGATGATTCTTGATTTCTTCATGTGCGTTGTAGATGGGGGTACTGATCAAGCATTATATAGTCGCATTTCTCAACGCAGTTACTCCGTGAGCTGCAGCAGGCGAATGATGACCCTTTATGGGATTCCCGCCCTGACCTGCTTCTCTGGCTCCTATACAGTGGCGGCGCGTTCGCTCCAACAGCGACTACGCGTTCTGATTACATCGCACTGCTACGCTCGAATAACGGATCCAGGTTTAAAGACCTCTACAAGTCATGGTCAGAACTGCATGTAGTCATGAAACAATTCATTTGGTCGGATAGGGCATTTAAGTCTCCGGTGAAGAAGTTATGGGAAGAGACACTTGCTCAAACTAGCTCAATGCGTCATATCAATGATAGATCAACTACCTAGGTAATGTAGGAAATACCCCCTTTTCATTGGAAGTTGAGATTATACCGCTTCCGCCACAATGAGTAGAACATTCCAAACCTCAAAGAACAAGCCCTTCAAACTGAGTTCCTCGAAAGACTTATCACTGGCACCCAGCACAGGCTCAAGGCAATGACGAGATGCGGGTGGTGAAGCGGAAGCGGGGTAATTATCCGCGGAGAATGCCGAATCGTACGCGCCCAAAGATATTATTGGACTTTCTAGATTAAACTATGAACAACTAATAGAAACTCAATCGAAGTCGAATATTGAAGTTAGAGAGTGCGATTGTTATACACAGCCTGAGCCCGTTAGATATATGGTGGCTAGGCTAATCTTGATGCAAGCCATACATCCATTCATATTAGCTAATAGTGAGAGCATTGTCTGCTGAATCAGTGCATCTAGGACAGCTTATCTGAGCGTAGCTGAGCTGTTGGAAGCTTGTTAGATGTGTAATAGCGTCACATATATCTACATGTATATGCTAGGGAGAAAAGCGCATGTGACTAGGCTAATAGCAAACGAGATGATTCACCATTGCGACCTTGTTGGGCAGTATCTGCGAATAGCATAATAATATTGCCTGACCCGCGAGATGCGCTACCACTTGCACGATACGTTAGGTATGTTATGATATGTGTTCTGGGATGCTATTAGCACTTGTGAGTGGCACATATACTTCCCATTGTCGGTGGGTTAACTCGTATCACATGCTTTCCCTAATGGTGCTCTTTAATTGGATGATAAGGCATAATTACAGGTGCTGATGACTTTCAATTGCACAATACAAGCCTATATATTCTGCGAGTACATTTCATCGCCCGTTCAGCTTCCCATATAGCACCTGGAAATAGCACAGCTTCTTTTGGATACCTACTCTAAGTGTGTTGATACCGCCACTTTCGCAGATGTAACACATGTATGATGCTGTCTCTGCAGCCGCTGTGCTGGAGTATGGTTTTACAGCTTCCCCTATATCTTTAGTGTAGTCCGCTGAGTCGTCACAACGGTGATACCAGGAAATAACAAAATATCGTGCTGGAGCCCTGACACCAAACTTGTATTCTGATAAGTAGCCTACGAATCAGAATGTAGCACATAAAGGCAACAGATAACCGATAGGGCCTGCAAGTGCTGTTCTGTGCACGATCTCTATGACTGACTACTATCATCTTTTACTATACTATATTGATTCTAGTATGATATGGTGCCGTTTTTGTTACCTGGGTTGGATCGGTACATAAGTCATGACTTCATATGCTGCCGAGCGTCAAACTTGATAATACCCTCCAAAAATGTCACGTGAAACCACTCAATGCATGAGCTAGACATTTAAGTGACACTCTATGAGGCGAACTTTTGTATTTTGAGGCGAGCACTAGCCGGGTGCGATATAGTTGGCTGTTTGTATGACGATGGTGCATAATCACGTACATCGGTCGTAATGTGGGATAATCTTGTATTGTACTAAGACATATACCATGACAGCATGACGAAACTATAGCTTTAAAGAATATTGGGCGTTCTTACTATATAGATATAAATGTGTCCCGCAATGCATTTGCACTTGCTATTCTCCATGAATAAATCATTTTAGCACTTTGCTACGTTATAAAATACTTTCTAGTGCATTAGACAAAGAATTGCCCATCATGGACGCTGCGTCGACGGCAATCAATAAGATGTTTCATCGAGGATCCAACGAAGATGAACTAGCTTCCGGCAAGGCCGCTGGTGCCGGTCTTGGTAAGACTGACTCAGCATCAATTGACAGGACTACTGCGGACGCAGTCGAACACGAGAAGATCCATAAGAAGCACCAAGAACGTGAACAGAAGATCGTGGATAAAGAACGCCACCAGGATCACTACAAGACCACCGTTCAGCCGCTGAAGGAGCGCCAAGTGATGCCGGAGGAGCATCAGCATACGCAAGCCGACACGCAGAGACACTATGTCGATCACCGCGACAGCGAGCGTGATGCCAAGACGATGCTTGAGCGCAAGCAGAAGCAGTTCACCAATACTAGCGAAGAGTTTGGTACACAACACCAGACAGTCCAAGAGCCGACTGTGACGCGTGAACACGTCCATCACCATCTTCATGAGACGGTTCAACCAATCATTGAGAGGGGTTAGTTAGCTACTTCCTCTGCTACGCGCATTCGCAATGATCTCTCGTTCCCAGCTAACCCTCGCGTAGAAACTGTGATGCCGTCTGTGACACACAAGACTATTCCCATCAAGGAGGTGCATCAAGAACCTTCCATTGATGAGGGGATCACGAGGAATGCGGCTATGACCAAGGAGGAATTTGAGAATCGTACGCGCTAGTGGGGTTTACACATGTGTTAAAAGGGATTATGGGTGTATGATTATTCAGATGTTATCTTGTATAATAAGTTGACATGTTGTTGTTTACATAAAATATCGAGGCGTCGATGTTCTGAAATCGTACCCAAGCGGCGCTCGCGTTGTGATTGATAATTATGTGAACGGTGCCTTCAGTTGATTGTCTGAACTCTTGACCGTTGCACTTGTCCAAAATACACCGTCGCGAAGCCTGCCTGCGAAAATATGACACGGTTGCTAGACCTATAGAATAGAACTTCGTACCGTTACCAACTCATTCACGCAGGAGCTGCGGATCGCTCGACATGCATCTCATGGCATAGGAGTGAAGGTAATCTGCTGACCAATAATCGAGAAATGGTAGGCATGAGGTTTTGAATGTCCAATGCTTCGAACCAGCCCAAGTACACTATGGCGAGTTGAGATATAAGCTGTTATATGTACATGTCGAATTTGCTGCATCCAACATAGCGAGAATTCTGCTGGCATAAGTATTACCATAGTTTACTGATGTAAATGTTTCATCGGACTAAAACATGACGCTCGAACTTGCTTGTCCTCCGCAGGTGCATAAGTAGGGTTAACGAACTCGTACTTCCTTCCTCCAAGTAACCCTAATCCTCAGCAGTTCGGGCACCTGAACAATATCAGCATGTACACTTCATATTTAGTGGCATTGATTCTAAATTACGTTATAATCTGATGTAGGCAGGCTCATATCGATACCCGTCAATCCTGACCTCATATCCACCTGTCACACCAAGGGGGGATTCAAGTCTTTTAAACCCCACAATGGGCCGCCGGACATTCACTACGGTGCCATCTGGCATGATCTTGCGACTCTCAATGGTAACTTCGGGGTCGAGGATGGTGAAGACAATTAAGACCAGAATATCGATTGCCCCGATAGTAATAGCTGCCCCTGACGTGCCCTGTATGATGATCAAGGCGATCCAGGCAATGGTAAGCGGGAAAACTAAGGCAACAGAAAGCCATGTTGGCCACGGACGGCGGTACACTGTTTGAGGCATCTCGAACGAGGATTCCGATTCCTAAGAGAAGTGATGATGCCAAGTAAGAGTAGCTAGGCTAGGAGATTTATCATTATCACGGGCGCAGTGTGCCTGACACTAGCGTGGCAGAGTAGAAATGGCTAATGCCGATCAGAGGGCTGACACCTTGCATTGGTTATGTACTTAACATATACCTAATATTTGGAATCTAATATTATGTAGGATGACGGCAGCATGCCGCCGTCTTACCCTTGGGACACTGTTGAAACGATTCTAGGGCTAGATTATCCAAGCTAGACATGGAACTCTATCTCTGGGGCAATCATAAATACTCTCGCCAACGCACGTTACATATCTAGAGGTAGGTGTCAACTCTAGATATGCCGAGGGCGATATTCAATTACTACCTAAATAGCTGTGCCTTTGACACCTGTGCTCGCCAGGCTCCGATAAGTTTGGTAAGGATATTGAACTCAGCCACCTAACATATCGCGTTGTTCACCTACTCTACAGGGCTTTAATTAACGCAGATAGAGCGATTTTGGAAACTCAATATCTGAGCCTCACTGTGATCTCGGTCCCTAGCTCCCAATGCTCAGCTTTAATTTGTTGCGCATGAAAACCTCTGCGTCCTGACCCAATTGCACATTACTGTGCCGACACAGCTGCAGCACAGGCATGCCTGTCGGGTTTTCATCGTCAGCACAATCTAACCATGGAAAGACAAGAAACTCAGCGAGTAATCAAGAGTATCATACCTTTCTCTGCCTGTCGGCATTGTCTTTTCCATCGATGCACTGCAGCGTCTGCGCATTCCATCTGAACTCGTTATAGCAGGCATTGGCGTCAATCACAGCCGCGCAGTCGTCGCTAGCTATCATCTCCTGCGTACAAGTTTGCGTCTGACCGAATACTCGAGCGGCCAGGCTCAATAAAAGTATACCAGGGAGCTTCATGATACAGGTCTCGGTGCAGGATGACCGGGTGTTGTCTGCGGTGGATGGTAACGTCTGCCTGGCTGCCGAATTGAATTGATGATAATGCACAAGCGGAATTTAGATTGTCAAACACGTCGTAAGGAATGTTTGGATGACATCAAAACAATTATAATTATCGAGGTCATGAATTTGCCATGTTGGCCTACTGGAAGCGACGGGGGTCTTGCATGACGGACTCGTTTCCATTTAGCCGAATATATGAAGGCACCCAAGATCCAAAATAGTAACGAGATTCGAAATGGGGAATCGCGATAGCTTCTATTCGTCGGAAGATCTATTAGCCCTAATTAAGTATGCCTTGTTATCATGGCATGCAGGGCAAACGAGTCGCCGCTCATCAAAGTTCAGGGGCATCCCTAGCCTCATGGCATATTTACACGGCATCTTTATTGATTTGAGATCGTCTATCGTCAGTCCTAGGTCACCATCGAGGACAATGGGAGAGACAATACCTCAGACTCTCGACTATAGAAGAAGAGAGATACGCTTTGAGAGGGAAAAGGGGGTGTTCTTCATCAGAAGAGGTCCGGATCAACCATGGCATTGGCCTACAAGTCCCGAGCCAGACGTACTTCTCCACATTAACCGGTATCAATGACGATGAAGCTCACCAATTATAGATTGTTCCGATATTGACCAAGAAAGGTCTCCGAGACTGGATGTAAGGATGGCAGTCTGTAGGGGCTGGGGGCAACGGCAGTGGTTCGTGCGAGAGTATTCAGTTATTGATGGGGTTGTTGACGTGGCATGGTATGAAAACGAGCAATCTCCTGCCTAGACTTGAACTTCAGACTACAGCTTGCGCAGTCAAAGTCATTCCTGATTTCACTGTAGTTATACGCAAAATCATAGAGCTTTACGAAAATGGTACACAAGCTCGTCGCTGCCTTGGGGCTACTCGCGCCCACGTGGGCACTTCTTAGGTTCCCTTGTTCTCAGCTCACCGTCCAGCGTTTGGATCCTCTCGTCAACCCGGGGCAGAACCCTTCAGCCCATTTACACCAGGTTGTGGGAGGAGTGAGTGACTCTTTGCCCGTTGTTTAAGCTGATTGCTGAGCTCATTTGATGTAGAACTCATTCAATACCACTATGAACCCTGCAACACATGATCTTGCTAAGCTCTCGACGTGCACTACATGCCAGTTCTCAGAAGACTTCTCTAACTATTGGACTGCCGTGCTTTAGTAAGTCACCTCGTTCTTGATCCTTTTCTTTCATGGTTCAGATCTTGTATGCCTCTTCGCGAAAAACGCCTGGCCCCTTTAAATGGGTTATGACACGATATGGACGACTGCTGACCTTACACCTCGCAGCTACCGTGCGAAGAACGGAACATTTAAACGTGTGCCACAGAGAGCTCAGGATAACTCGCAGAACCAGGGCGGAATGGTATTGATACATCACTTGTCTTCTTGAAATTTTGCTAACGCTGCTTCTAGATGGTCTACTACATGACAGACGCGCTATTCGACACGGCTCAGAAATCAACCGTAACAGCTTTTAAGCCTGGCTTTCGCATGCTCGTCGGTGATGCGACGTACCGCAACCGTGAGCAGTCGCGCAAGTGGCGCCAATTGACTTACACATGCATGAAAGACGCCAGCACCCGCGCCCCCGAGACGATCAACTTCCCAACGAAAGCCTGCCCATACGGCATCATGGCCAACCACCGGTTCCCAACGTGCTGGGACGGCGTGAACCTCGACTCGCCCAATCACCAAGACCATGTCGCCTATCCGGAAAGCGGCACCTTTGAATCAGGCGGTCCATGCCCATCAACCCATCCCGTAAGACTGCCTCAGATTCTGCTGGAAACAGTCTGGGACACACGCGGCTTCAACAGCATCGACGCCTCGGATTTCGCGAACGGGAACCAGCCGTTCGTCTGGTCCAGCGGCGACGCGACCGGGTTCTCGGACCACGCCGACTACGTCTTCGGATGGAAGGATAACGCGCTCCAGAAGGCCATGGACGGACACACGTACGTATCTGCGCCGATGTTGAAGACGCAGAACGTGGCCACGCAGAACCAATGTAAGGTCGCTGATAAAGTCAACGAGCCTATTGATGGCTGTAGGTCTTCACTCTTTTCCTCTCACCCTCTCTTCGATGTTTGGATTGATGCTTACACTGCGTGTTTAGGGCTCAAGGAGCTTCCTGGCACCAACCCCGTCGTGAAGAGAGAGTTCACGGCTTGAGAAAGTAGAGATAGTCTTAAGGTCCAAAGTACCAGTTATTAGCCTGTGAGCGCACCGTATGAGGAAGGACGGAACCGGCGCCTGACATAAAGTACCTGTCGTTCAAGATAATTATTTCTCTTTCTAAGTATTGTTTGTTTGCAGTTAGAAGAATTGATGATGTCCTTCATAAATGTCAAACGATATGAGATATCATGTCTCTCATGGTTCCCTAAGCTCAAGTAATTCTCGTGACACAAATTGGTTGAGGTAAGGGCTAAGGACAGCTTTGTATAGACATCTTCCAACAACGCTATACATGGGAAAGGGTGAAGAGTAGAAGAAACTTCAAAATGAAGGACGTTTCTTAGGCTAGAGTGTGGGACGTCAACATAGGCTTAGATCTAAAGGAAGAGGTGAAACTTGTCTTTTCTTATAACCATCTTATGCATGTATTTTGACATGACGCGATTCCAACTGCAGTAGCTCATGGTACCATGATTCTATAATATAACAATGAGTCCGTCCAATCATTTATCATTCCATAAGCAAATGAGGCATGCAGCACAACGCTCGAGAGAAAACTCCAACCCAATGCACACATCATCTGTAGCCTTAGCCAACCTAGATATATCCCCTCACATGTATAAGCTAGCAACGGCCGTGATATCTCTCTTTATCATCTCCTGTGCAGTCTGCATCTTCTGATACAGATCCGGGTCACCGATGATTCTTGCCGCATTTTTGACTTCGCGACAGGTCTCGTCAAGTCGTGTAATGGTCCGCACAATGGTACCCTCTAGAACATCCGTCAGATCGGTGATATTCTTGAAACTCATACCCTGCGCCCATTCATATACAACCTCCATAAGCCCAAACCGCGGACGTGAAACAAAGTCGTTGCTGTCGTCGGCACTCTGTATGACTTGCCGTTCTGTTTGCACTGTGTTGACCTTCTCACTGATCTCGATGATCGTCTTCATACCTCGCTCGAGGTTGCCCGTGAGGTTAGGTACGGACTCAGTCTTTTCTTGAAAGACGAAAGCCGAGAGTAATGCGGCGATTTCAGCAGGCTCATAATCGGCAAGCACGTTGTCGAGAATGAGCTCGGTGAGCACTAATTCGTCGGCTGAGTGAATTTCGCAAGCCACCTTGCCTTTGAGCTGAATACGAGTGTCTGCGTCTACGAAGGACAGATCTTTCAGGACTTCAATGCGTTGTTCATAATCAGGAAGGAGCTGAAGGTTCTGGTCCGAAAGGGCTTGACGCAACGAGGAGATGTGTTCTTTAATCAGCCATTGGTCGTGACACATGGCGAACTGATAACAGGGTTAGTCATACACCGAAGCTCTAGGGAAAATGACAGTGTACTACAAAGTCTATCTGGATTGAAATTCAGACGAGTGAGGGACTTGGAGAGCTTACATGTTTTAGGAACTTGGGACACTGCACTGTGGCCGTCTGTATGATATTCGTAGCTTCTTGCTGGCGTTTCTGAATGATTTCCTGCAAGTTCAAGCTTTTGATCTTGTTAAAACTTACTTCATCCCAGATAGTCGAATCCCAGCTCCGACAAATATTCAGCATTTTATCCTTCGCTTTGGCTCGACTCTCGCCACCCTGAAAGAAGTCGGGAATGATGCCATCAACGAGGGTCGTCGTGAGGCACTCAATATCGCTCAAGGGTACGTGAAGTGTTTTAGCCACGATATTCCTCTTCTGCTGAGGTAACTGTTTGAGAAGCGGCCTGAAGTCCTTCACGAAGGGAAGTATATCCGACGAATCTCGTGTCTCGCGCCCCGTCTTGATTTCGAATACATGAACTGTCGGTTGACCACCAGACACTTTGGTGCTGACTCCCTCATTAAGTAGAATGCCGGGAGTCCGTACGCCTTCTTTATTCCAGACGATCAATCGTTTCTGAGAGAAGAGCTTCTTACCAATGGGTATGCCCATCAGACCTTTGTATAGCTCTTGTGTAAGCTGCTTGTAATTCATAGCCGCCTGGTGGCATTGATCCATAGCCACATCGCAAATAGCACAAGTCTCTCGCTTGACCTTGGCCAGATCGGCTTCGGAAAGCTTTACAGCTTTCTCGTGTTCCGGCAAGAGTTGTTGGGTGGCATGTTCGGAGAAACTGCGCTTAATCATTTCTTCTATCTTCAATGCCTCAACCCGAAGAAGGTTCAGTATCATGTTGTAGGTTAATCTGAACTGAGACCGCAGTTTACTAGGCGGGTCTAAGATCATCTTCTGAAGGTCAACTACGGGAGGCGCCTCATCGCCGCCACCGGGAGGAACAATGATGACCGATCCAACAGGGTCGAGTCCACGTCTACCAGCTCTGCCAGCCATCTGGGTATACTCTCCCGGAAGTAGGTTCCGGAAAGAATGGCCATCGTGTTTTCGATAGCCTGAAAAGACAACGGTTCTTGTTGGGAGGTTCAAGCCCATAGCGAATGTTTCCGTAGCAAAAAGAACCTTGACCAAAGTTTGAGCAAAGAGGATCTCAACGATTTCTTTGACGATAGGCAATAGACCACCGTGATGTACTGCAATTCCTCGGCTGAGAAGCTCTCGCATTCGAATAATTTGAGGCAAGACCCTGTCTTCTGGACGCAATCGTGCGATGGACTTTTGTATGATCATGTGGATATGACTCTTTTCATGGGCCGTGCAGAAATCCTGATTACTTAGGGCGTCTGCATTCTCCTCGCACCTTTTCTTGGAGAACACGAAGATGCAGGCAGGGAGAAGGCTCTGCTTCTTCAGAAACTGAACGAGGTGAACCCACAAGTTCTTGTCTTGCGCGACTGATGTGAAACCACCCGGTCGTCCTGCGCGGCCCATATGGCCAGGGGTATGGCTGGCGCGAGGAGGACCACCCCCTCTACCTCGTTGCTGACCGCCGCCGCGTTGTGCACCACCACGTTGATTGCCTCCACGTCCGGCGCCACCTCTCTGGTTGCCACGCTGCTGGTTTCCTCCGCCTCGTGCAGCGGCGGGCGCCGGGAGGACTTTGTCTTTACCGCGAATAGCCTGGTCGGCCTCTTTCCAACCTTTCTCCAAAAACTTCTTTTGGTGATCGACGATTTTGTGGATGTTCTTGCCAGCCCAGAGATAATGCTCCAGGGGCACAGGCCGCTTTGGTGTAGAGATGACGTAGATGTCCTTTTGTTTGGTTCTGCCGACCCACGAGGCAAATTCGTATGTGTTTGGAACCGTTGCCGAAAGCAGAATTAGAGTGACATGCTCGGGCAGCATGATGATGACTTCTTCCCACACGACACCTCGCTCAAAATCGTTGACATAATGGACTTCATCAAAAATGACGAATTCGACGTCACGGATCAAATCAGCACCTCTGTAGAGCATGCTACGCAGAATTTCCGTCGTCATGATTAGACAACTCGCTTCGGGGTTGATTTGGACATCACCAGTCAAAATTCCCACTTCGTCAAAAGTCTCTCGGAAATCCCTGAACTTTTGATTGCTGAGGGCCTTGATGGGTGAGGTGTAAATTGCCTTGGTCATGTGACGAGCAGCCAAAGCAATGGCGTATTCAGCTACGACAGTCTTGCCGGCCGAAGTGTGAGCGGCCACAAAGACAGAATCGCCATTCTCCAAGTGATAAACGGCCTCTTTCTGAAATGTATCGAGTTCGAAGGGCCACTCTCTTGCCATATCGGGCACCAATTCCCGAAAGTTAGGGATTTCTCTGTTGATATCCACCATGTGAGCCCATTCCCGGCCAGCCTTCCTTGCGCTCGACGCAGCTAGGCCAACATGTGGCTCCAAAGCTGGAAATTCGACAGGCAGTAAGGCATCGATGTCTTCATCCTCGTTATCTTCTTGGCTCAGCTCATCCTCGACGTCGTCGGTAGTGTTTGCATGGCCATTGACCTCGTCTTTGTCTGGGCTGTCCTCTGGTTCTTGATCTAACTCGGCCTCGATGGCTTTTGCCTCCTTCTGGTTCACCGTAGACGGCTTCTTACTGAAATCAATACCTCGAGCAAGGCCAGGGGCTACTTCGAGGAGACTGCCCTCAGCACCCAGTTTAATGACACGCTCAAGTTTATTCTTTTGATTGTCGGCACCAGAGGCAGTAGACCGTAACATCTGTTCTTCGACAGCAGCCGCGGCTTCAACACTCTCTAACCCACCGGGAGCAAAGGGGAAGAATCCAGCGGCCCCTCGCACAAAATCAGCTCGGCTTCCAGGTTTGCGCGCAAGCGATGTCGAGTTCTTGGCAGTCGCACTATTGGCGGGAACGGTGACATTCTTGTAGCCGGTGACCCTTCCCTCCAAGCCTTGCCTCAGGAAACGTGTGACGGTGCGGGTCTGAGTGGGCGCGATTCGGAAGAGCTCAGTGAGGTCTGCAGGACAATCCCATCGCTGCTGCAGACGATTAAGCCATTCAGCAGAGAATTTGTTGGAGGGCGTTAGGTACTTCTGCTCAAGGTGAGCTTTCAGGGCTCCGGAGTCTTGCTTCACACGCTTCCTCGGCCTTTGCTGGAACAAGATATCGTCGATGTTGAAGTCGTCAGCAGAGGCGTCTATAAGGCGAAGGTGCAGCATAGCTTCTACAAGGTCTGGATCGACTGTAGACGCCATGGCGGCGATGAGAATATTCGTGGCCTAACCCAAGCTTGCTCCGACTGTGGACACCTATGTCGGCTTCGAGGCGACTGTTCATTGAGACTTGGGCAAACCACAGGATTGATGATGTTTGATGTTGTAGGGACCAAGCTTTAGCGAAATAGTGGCATTCCAGTGGGTGGGGTACCTAGCAGGTAGCTATAAACTCAGATCCAGGTTACTTCTAGGGTGCAGATGCTTCCGTAGGTACAGGCAGTGGGCCCTACAATACAGTATAGCTACCCCGCTAACTCACGTCATAGCCTTACGACTATGAACCGGCGCACACCCGCTCACTACCTAGTATGAACATGAACACTATCTGTGAATAAATAGATTTGGTTCGCCATGGCAAGTAACAAGACCTCTTACAGTTATCATCCCACTTCATTTCGGAAACAAAACCTTTGCCCAATGCCATTACAATGCTGCTGACTGTCGTTTCCCGAACCAGTTACGCCAAACCATGCAATAAATGACATGCATAGCGTGGATACCCATACCCAATCATGCTTACTCAATTAGGTGCCGTATCATCATAACTACCATAACCCCTCCATCTCCGCCATGGCCGCCTCTTCATCTTCATCTACGAGGTGAGCTGAGGGAGGGCGTTCCTCTCTGTTTGCTGCTTTTGGATTATGTGATGACGGTTTTTCGGCCGTTGAACCTTCGGCCTCGGCCATAAGCGCGTCCAGATCATCCACGTCCTCATCTATTATAGCCCTTGTGGTGTGCTTATCACTCACTGGTCTCGTGGTTGTCGTGTTAGGTGGCTCGCCTGCTGCCTCTGCCATCAACGCATCCAGATCGTCTTCATCGTCATCATCTTGCCGGAGTTGTGGTAGTGATTTCTGTGTCGTCTTCCCGCTTCCGAATAGAGAAGTTGATGCTTTCTGTTGTGCCTCCTCTTCTGCCATCAGGGCGTCCAGATCATCCTCGTCAGGCTCGCCATTTCCGAACATCGACTCTGTAGTGGGCGCGGCTCCTGTCGGTTGCCGAGGGCTTGCGTCGTAAATGTCTCCGTCGAATGGGTCGTTTTCAACCGGCGTCTTAGCGCGCCTATCCGAGTTGTTCTGGAATATGGGAGCAATTCTAGCTGGATATATGGCAGGATCTCGTTCTTCGGGTTGATTCGACTCGCCAAAAGGATCGTCGTCGTCGTCGTTATTTTCTAAGCCGCCAGCTCTCGGCCGTCCCTCATCAATCCACTTTATGCGCTGCAATCGCAACCGATTCTTGTGACCCGCCTTCTCAACCATAGTAAGTGCATCGGCAAACTTAGCCTTGGGGAAGAGATCATCAAGCCAGAGCTGGTAGAAGGACAATAACCGGGCAGCGTCGGAGAACTACATATTGTTGTGTAAGTTAGCATAGAAATTTGCAGAAACTAAAGCCGCGGCGGTGTGCATACCTCGTGGCCTTTCCCTTTGAACTTGAGATTCCGGGCTTTAGTCCGCAGTTTAGGTATTCCATCGTCTGACAGGAGCCGGGTTTCGTCTAGTTTGACTCGTGGTACCCTTGGTTTCTTGCTGACGGAAACGGCTTCATCGATACCAAGGCTGCTCGCATCTTTCCGTTTCTTGGACTGTGTGTCGGGGGCTTTACTCTTACGAGCTGCGTCGTCCCCTGACTCAGCAAATGGGTCATCGTCATCGTCGACATCGTAGTTATCGATATTGTTGTTCGTAGCAGGTCTTGATGCTAATCGTGAAGCCATTGTGAAGCTTTTCGTAAAAGCGGGATTAAGGTAGCTTGTTATAAAACCATGGGTTAAAGACAATTGCGGGTTGATGGCAAATGGGAGACGCGGTCATGAAATCGTTCGAATTGTGCACGCGCCCGGAGGATGACGCCTGTAACCTGAACCGCGTCTAAGTGGAAATGGTGGGGCAGCTAAAGTAGCTACATCGATACTCGTAAGTATCTAAGTATCCGGTCTTGGCACAGCTGTCTGACCAGTGGCAGCCGAAGAAACACCGCTTACCTAAGCGTCTAACTCCCGCTGCGTTGGATTGAAGCTCCAAGGTCGTCGTCGTCAACCCGCCCAGCATCGCATTGCATCCCATATAGCCAACTGAGCCATTGGCCAGCACAATTGACTCGGAACAAGATGGCCACACCCAACCAGCAGCCCTATATCGCCAGCAAGGTCGTCAAGACCGACTACCCTGTCAGTACTCTTCCCTCTCTGCCTCAGCCCCAGCTCCCGAATGCCCTCACTTTGTTTCATAGCTAGTGGGGAGCTACTGCTACGGCTGGCATTCTGATTCGCATATGAACATGCTTACTGACGCTTCAACTTTCTGTAGCTCATCGACAATGACCCGTATGTTGATTCACCCCGACCTTGAGCTGAACATCTTTCCATCACCCAATCCAATCGCTGCCGATACTCTCATCGATCCATATATGCTTCCACCCTCTTGTTCACATGTGATGCTCATTCGTCAACAGACACTTCAAGAGAGTAGTTGGCTATGCCCGTACCTCAGACTACGTGCACGGTATCACGGCCGCCGCAGCTGGCCCGGGTCTTCTGTACGCTATGGAGCGTCTTGCTCCCTCACACGTGGGTCGCGGAGGGTTTGCCCAGGCCATGCGTCTCGGCGGTGTTATCGGTGTCATCGGTGGATTCCTATACTTCTACGAACGGTCAGCCTGTACGTAACATATAAATTCTTACGACAGACGGCCAGGCCATGCCCACAACTCCGTCGTTCACGTATCCCCACCTTACCCGTGGATCGCATCGAAGCGCTAACAATATATCGCTACTATAGTAAGGTTTTACGGCATGTCTGAAAATTCCCGGGAACTAGAGATGGACATGAAGGAAATGGTGGCCAAGGTTAAGGCCGGTGAACCCCTATATGGCGAGAGCAAGTTAACACCGCACATGCAAGGTGTTGCTGCCAGACAATCCCGTTATTCTGCTCTTTTCACCTCTGTTCTGCCCTGGTTCAATTTCGTCAACCACAATCAACACGGTGTTGATACCGCTAAATACTACCGCGCCGCCGAGCAAGAGCTAGAGGCCGAGAGGCTCGGAAAATCGGTGTCGTCATAGGATAGGATATCCAATGAATGGCGCGAAGAAGCAGAAGCTCGATAGCTGGAGGATTTAGGGCACACAGAGGGCAAGTGTGTCAATATGCCATGTACATAAAGATGCCAAATGAGGCCAGCATTTGATTGATTGGGTTCAGGTGTCGAGGAAGAGGAACGGGATAGCCACGTCTATATAGATTAGACATGTGCAGAGGGTAAATACAAATTTCCTTTATCATTATCCCGCGCTCTATGTGGTTGAGTAGCGTTTCATACCAGTTTCGCCCACTCTCCAGACTATACAGAGAATAGCAGATCAAGCCATTCTCCTATTAAGTACAAAATACAACTAATTATACAAGCCACATGACCATCGAGGCCATGGGCCTCTTTGAACCATGCTATCCCAATTATGAAGGCCATCCCATGGGATTGATTCCCGATAAATCCTCTTCAAGAAGGCCCATCATATAGTTCTTTCCCGAAAACCAATCCTCGAGCTGATTCGTCTGTGTAGCAGCCCTCATCTGCTCGTCAAGCCCTTGCACATTCCCCCCTGCATCAAGCCCCGTCTGAACCCCCATCATGCCGCCCCCATCGACATCAATCGGCATGAAGCCAAGCTGGCTCAGGTACGCATCGAACTCACTGCCCACGCCCTCGGCAGCTTTCGCCTCGACATACAGTTCCGCGACATTATACAGCACCTGGCACAGCTGATGCAGCTTCCTCACAGACGGCGAAACCTCGCAAGCGGGCTCCAGCGAGCGCACAAAATCAGCGAGACGCGTCAGATCCTCCCGATCGGAAGTCTCGATGACGAGGCAGAAGATGACGATAAACGGGATGAAGGGCGCGTATAGGATCGTCCAGTGGATGTACACGATCTTGAGCGACTGCTCGTCCATCATCGCCGTCGCCTCGAGGTGGCACCGCATCGAGGCTCGCGCGGCGTCGATGCACTCGTCCGCGAAAGTCCTACTACGCGGCCCGTTAGGCGGCAGCGCGCGATATGTCAGGGATAGGCTGGCGAGGAACGACACCTCGTCCGACTTGAGTGTCAGCGCGAACATCCGCGCTTCGCCGTCGACGGCGGTCTCAAATTCCCGGAGTAAGGACACCGTGGAGGCCATTAGACGCTGCTGCTCGGCTGCAAGGAGGTTCACCTGCTCGATGCGCACCGTGTCGGGCTGTCGCAGGGCGCCGGGCGAGTACAGGCGCTCATAGATGCGTCCGAGGACGCGCGCGTGCTGGATCCAAAGCGTCATTACTTCTTTGCCTGGGTACGCGGCCTTCGCGTCGGGTGTTACATGCGGGAGCGAGATATCGTAGTCTTGCAGTATGGATGCCCTGCCGAGACGCAGTGAGAGAGCTTTGTCCAGCATATATGTGCACCAGAATAAGAGAGATTTATCGGCTTTCGTCTGCGGCATGTCGTCTTTCATAGTGTGGATTTGATGGTAACCTAGCGTTCGGCACACTATAGCAAGGAGAGAGAGGAGTAAGCGTTGATGGACTCTTTTGCTGCAGATACAAAACGCGAGAGGCTCGATAGGGGCCTAGATGAAAGGGACTTACTATGTGCGGCTCTAGAGACGAGAATCCATGCAACCGATGCCCGCGATTCATCGATACAAAAACAGGCCTACATTTGATTAACTTAGTCTCAAAATGATATTTTCCTCCTATACTATTTATTTCAAAGGTAAAATAAAACCCATAAGGCAAATAGATCACTTACACCCATGAGCAGCGCTTCGATGTTTTCCGCTGTGGCTGGCATCATCATATTCATCTGCGCCAACGCTATCTCGAGGTTGTTTTGGGATATGGCACGGGACTCCTCGTACTGCGCCTTCTTGACCGGATCCGAAGCCTTCAGCGACGCCTCGAAGAAGATATATAGGAGGCCCGCATTGACGGTGATGAAACTTGCCTCTGACGGCGCCTCCGTCGCAAAGTAGAGTTGTCGGCAACGGTCTGTGAAGTGCTCGTAGTCGATGAATGTGTAAAGAATAGCAAGCATCACGGGCACAGGGCCGTCTAGGCAAGGCGAATCAGTCCAAAATCCAATTGTCTTACTTGCGTTTCCGCGCAATGCCATATTATGCTCATGGCATGTATAATGCTGACTAGGAAAGGAATAAACATACGACTCATCGCGCTCAGCTGCTCCCGAACGAGCGCCATAGGGGGTAATGGTAAATTCCGAAGGTTAGTCCTCGTGAAGCTTTTACGCCTCCCACGGCCGTTGCCCTCGGAATCGTCTTCCGAAACAGGATTCGTCAAACTCGGTGCTTGTGACCACACTTTGGCAGTCGACCGTTGTCGGTTCCTGTTCTGCATTTGTATGATGTGTCGCAAAGAGTTCAGCGCCGCGTCGAATTTCGGATTGATGCTTCCGCCATCGCCGAGCGTCGTCTTGCGAACCGCATCAGCCACTATGATGAAATGAGACATATCAGCTCATCTTCTTTCCCAGCTGATACGTTTGAGGATTTTGGACGTCCAGGAGTCAAACTTCCCCTCCCGGCCTCAAGCGAAACGGTTCACAGTGCCATCATATGAGCAGATAGCATTATCTCCTAGACTAGCTCATAGTGCAGCTAGTATAAACATAAAGAGGGGTGGTCATTAAGTAACTCACAAAATTCCGACGCAAAGGCAGTATGAGCCGCTAACGACGAGTTCCCTTCAAAGGTTTCTGCGTCTTCAGGATCAAAGAGGGTACTTGTGCTGTCGACATTACCTCCTTGATCTGGTGTTGGGGCATCTGTAACTCTACGACTCGATGATGCAGTCGACGGTGACCGATTAGTACTCGCAGCTAGCACCCGCAATGACCTGGTTCCTTGCCCCTGTCCTTGCTGGCTAGTACTACTGGCTGGCGTGAGTCCATCGGCACCAGAAGTTGACCGAGTAGAGACCAGTTGCTGCAAAAGACCCTCGATGCCCGCGAGACGTTCCTCTATCTGATCGATTTTACGCTCGCTGTATGATAAAGAGTTACGAATTAGTAAGCAGGTAGACAGATATTTCTCCAATACTGTAAATGAGGATGATTGTGTGCCTGGTACGGCGAAAATGCGGTCTAGAAAGAACTCGTAGACCCTGTAGGAATGCTGCACATACTACTGACTAGAAATCAGAACTCGCTGGCGTGGCTCCTTGGGTTTCTGTCCTGCGCCCGTGGAACTACATGACCGTCTGGCGCTACGGCAATTGGAGCAAGGCGTCTCCTTGTCACAGCGAATCTACAGGAGAAAGCAAACTGGCCTGTCAGCTACCTCTTTCCTGTGTCATGCAGTAGCCTCTAGGTAAGCCGTGAGACTTGAAAGATTTGGGCTCTTCACCTTCCGTAGGCGGCATTGGTCACACTATCGCGAGATCATCAGCCAAGTCCAGTAGCGCAGATTCATCTTCTCATGCTGCAGCTTCATGGTCTGTGGAAGCACGCCGGCGCGGGATCCTCGGACACCCGGTACAAGAGGCACACTTACTGCTCTCCGACTTAAGGCCGGCGGAGACCCTTCCCGGCTGTCCGCCATGGTAGTCTCCATGATACTTCTACTACTCCCGAAGATAATGCGCTGAGAAGTGTGAGTTGTCGGGATGACGGCGGATTTAAGGGACTTATTCGGTGAGCAGATGGTTGAGCTGACTCTCAATTAGTCATCACGCTGAGCTACACCTCAGCTTCGTCGTCGTCGTCGTCTTCTATTGTCTAATACACACGGTATTGTATACTTTGTCGTTGGTGGGAATGACCGTGAAGAAGAGCGGAAGCCGCGGTCCCCGAAAGAGGCTAGGCCAGGCCGCCATTTATTTATATATAGCGATTCAAGTGCCTACACAAACAGGAACACAAACACATGTCCCGTGTCCCGGACTCAGTTTCACACAGTACGAGATGAGTTCATCTGGATATCGCCTTTTCGTCTACATTGCCGGGTTCACGGCATGTTCTAATACAGCACGACCACGCGGCTCAGCTTTGGGCAGCAATAAACTGCCTATTCAGTCAAGCTTGTATCCATATTTTATTCATCTTGTCCTTCTTGTTTTACCAAGTCGCATCTATTTAACTCAGTATATATTGGGTATCTCTATGTTCATGTAAAATCGTAAACCAAAAGACTTTCTCTACCTTTAGATTCCTTCAGGACAATGACCATTTCATCGTCAAACCCGACCCAATTGCGCCGATCGTCCCACTCGGTGTTCATTTGCTCTGGAAGTATATCTTGTAATACAGCAACCTCGCCTGTAGGCTTTGTATTGGGTCGAATCTCAATGCTTCGTCCGTTGGTTCGTCCTTCTAACTCCCATACCCGAATCTCTTCACCCCGACAGCTTACACTGACTGCCTTGCCTCGTGCCGTTATTTCGGCGTCGCTTATGCCTGACGTATGACCCCAAAGCCGAATGCCTGGAGATACAGATAGTGATGATGAGCTAGATGTGCATAGGTGCAATATCAATGTGTTGTCAGGCAGGGTCGCAAGTAGGTAAGGGTGCATGTAAGAGAGGCTTATTGGCCCACTCAGTTCATCGTCCCGTTCCCGTTCTCCATCAGACGCGACACCAGAGCGTATCTGCCTAGCCGGCGATGAAGGCGGCGAAATCGTGTGTCTATATGAGCCGTTGACTGGGGTGGTGTATGCTAGCTGTGTCGTTGTGATCTCAGGACACGACTCCAGCCCCGACTTTGCAGGACGTATATGTAATTCTTGAATGCCCAACGACCAACCCCCGAGGGTGGAAAAAGTGTATGCTATCGATGCGACTGTACTCCCAGTCATTTCCCTTAGAGATAATGCAAGAGGTGTATGAGAGGTGTGTGAATTCAGCGACGTGAGTAGATATGGCGCAGACATTTCCGTCTTGGAATTATTGTTCTTTTCGCCTTGTGTATTGTTTGTGTTGGTGCCAGTTGTTACATTCATTTCCGCGCGCGATTCTCGCATGATCTCGCTCTGCGGGCCCCTCTCTATCGGGCCATGTGTCTTAACACCATGCCGCGGTTGATTCGGAAGATTCGACACTTCAAATGTGTATAGAGATATTAGGATAGACCTAGTCGCAGTTAGGAGATAGGGGTACATGTATGCGACCTCAATGATTTCGCCATTGCTCGAAGCCTCATGTCTATATCTCTGGAGAATAGACCTTTGTTCAAGATGTAATCGCCATGTACCAAAGCTACCGTCCGCGAATCCAACGGCGATATCCAATCTCTTGTGCTGCAGGAACCGGCCATCTAGCGCCATGCAATTTGGCAACCCGCAGCAGTTGTCCCCATCGAGATGAGTCTGAGCTATGAGCTGTTTCGTCTTCAAATCCCATGCGCGAAGACCGGTAATTGCATCCCCTGTCACCGCAATCCCCTCCAGCACTTTGACAAGTACTTTGGGGGATTCGCTCATATCTCGACTCCCAGGTTCATCTCCAAGTGGCAGCTCTTCCACAGCGCACTGCCCTTTGGCCCAGTTGTGACGCAGCTTGTACTGGCTCTTCCAGTTGCGACTGTCCTTGCCAGGACCGTCGGTAGAGTGCATGTCAACCCAGCCTCCTCTCCGGCCATCCGCCCATATGGCCCGACGTGAAGAGTAATGTAGCTTGCCATCTCTAGCCGAGCCGTTGCGAAAGCCGGGGAGACGAAGGGCGCGGGGTAGGACGAATCGCGAGTAATACAAGCGCTTCCAGATCTGAGAGTCGCCTGATAAATGGTAAAAGCGATCTGATACAGGGGCGAGGTTCAAGAGGTCGTGGAGCGGCAGAAACGACAGGATGCGCACAAGCAGCTCGTCGGACAAAGGCGACAGGAGATCGGGAGCGGCGGTGTGGCGGGATCTCTTCAGTGCTCGCGATCGCGAAGCATTATCTGTGGGAGCACGTTTACGTTTATCGGGCATCGCGTGTTCGGCCACGTAGGTTCTTAAAGCCGCGTTGACAGCGATTCCTGCCGTCAACCAAAAGGATGTCGGTCACTCAAGTTGATGATGAAGATGATGGAATCGCCATCTGATGTCGCCGTAGCAGGTTGGCGGACCCCAAGTACCGATTCGGCGATATCGGAGTTAAACCTTGGTTAAGTGCACACTGGCAGCAGGTTGTCGATGCAAGATGCAATACGGAGCTCGTTCTCACGCTCAAGTTCAAGTTTCTGTCAGGCTATGTGTAAGGTGCACATTATTCGCATTGATCCTACCTGGCAACTCCATACACTGTTAATTCTAGGTGCCTTGAAGGAAGCAAAAGGAAGCCAGTGAAGACCGTCGCTACAAACCATCGACAACCAATGTGCAGTACCTATCGACAAAATAGTGTGTGACATATTGACTTGACTGATTTGACACTTGAGTTAATACCTAGAGGGAGTTATCATAATAATAGCAACAATACATGCCGAACGAGCAAAGCCCAGAGGTGTTTTACGTATATTTCGGAGAATGCAGGTACGCTTAGCCACATGCATAATATAAGTCGGGTATCATTAGCCCTGTTGCATATCGTTGTTGAGATCTTCATTACGATGATGCTCGCCCTAGTAGTAATACCCTAGGATCCCCGCATGGAGGCGCATGGATGTGTTGCGGGGAAATGCTATCTCATGAGGATGCAATTTAGTCCTGGGCGGCGGATGCTCAATCGAAAAAACACACAGCCGCTTTACATTTTCTCGTGTGTATGTTGTCTTCAACAATGCCTATCTTTAAGAGCAAACACCCTAATATCTCATGTAAGTTCAGCCAGGATCTACCTCGGTTCCGGAATCTAATGAACACTTAGTTCCTGACGATGTCACGATCTGGGAATGGCTGCTCGAGGAGAGCTCAGAATACTGTCCCTTAACGAAGTATCCGGAGAATAAACTTGCTGGTTTTGTTGATGCGATTACCAAAGAGAGGGTATCGTGGAAAGACGTCAAAGCGGCAGCAACGTTTATTTCGACCTCCCTCACTCGAGACTACGGCTTGCAAGAGGGCGACACGGTGTCTCTATTCAGTCGAAATACAATATGGTACCCCGTAATGCTATTTGCGGCTATGCGTGTCGGTATGTGCGCTGTCGTCTTGCAGCTTGCGAAATTGGAGGCTTGGGTAACTGACGACGAGGGTAGGTGGTGTGGTATCCGGTGCATCACCGGCCTATAACGTCGACGAAATGACATATGCGCTTCGCACTGCCAATGCTAAGTTCATAGCGACACATCCTACATCTATCGACATTGCGCTCCAATCCGCTAAGAATGTTGGTATCCCAAAGAAGCATATCTTCCTCCTGGAAGGTCAATTGGAAGGATATACCACAATCAAGGAGCTTATCGCAAGGGGGGAAAGATACGGGGACCATGACCAAGCTCCATATGCTAAGTTACCACGGGGCAAGAAGAACGGCAGTGTATGCGCACTTCTCAGCTTCTCGTCTGGCACGACGGGGCTGCCGAAAGCTGTAAGTCCCGCTGTACTTATTGCGTTATAAAGCAATCCTAACTTCAGAAGGTCATGATATCCCATCAAAATGTCATTGCACAAGCTCTACAAATCATACCTATCACGCCGGCGGATCATAAAAAGGTATTGGGCGTATTGCCCATGTTTCACATCACTGGCCTCGTTCATAGCATGCACTTACCATTAGTGATCAACGCCGAGGTTATCATGGTTCCTGCTTTCAGCATGGAGACGATGCTGAAAACGATTGTCGAATACCAGATTCCCGAGATCCTCGTCGTACCGCCCATTCTCATACGCCTTGCTCGAGATCCCCTTGTTGATAAGTATGACCTACGCTGCGTGAAGAGATTATCAAGTGGCGCCGCGCCAGTCTCTGAGGAGATACTACAACTTTTGCAAAAGAAGCTCCCGCGCAGCGGATTCAAGCAGGGCTATGGTATGACAGAGTCCTGCTCCTGCATCACAGCTCACCCTCTTTGGGCATACGATTACCGCCATGCCCATAAAGTGGGCACGATTGTGGCGAGCACTGAGGTTAAGGTCATTAAAGAGGATGGGACCGAGGCTGGTGTGGGGGAGTCCGGCGAGATATTGGCGCGGGGCCCTCAAATAACTATTGGGTATTTGAATAATGAGAAGGCAACATGTGAGACGTTTGATACTGATGGATTCTTACACACGGGCGACCAGGGCTTCGTCGATACTGAAGGGTTTATCACCATTACCGATCGTATCAAGGAGCTAATCAAGGTAAAGGGGATCGGTGTTGCCCCAGCCGAACTTGAGGATCTGCTACTTGGCCATCCAACAGTGGAGGATTGTGCTGTTCTGGCAATCCTAGATGATCGCACAGGCGAACGGCCGAAGGCATTCGTGGTAGTCAAGAAAGGTCATAGAGCTGACCACGCTACCGGACTCGAACTCATCGCTTACGTAGAGAAGCACAAGACGCGACATAAGTGAGTTAAGGAGATTGAGTTCATAGGGGAGATACCGAAAAGTCCAAGTGGCAAGATTCTACGGCGAGTATTGCGGGAAAGAACAAAACGAGGCGTGAAGGGTGTTGTCGTAAAGGCACAAACCACACAAGCGAGGCTATAAGGCTTCATGTTACCCAGATATGCGTTTAATGGGTATAATATAATTCAATGCAACTTATCCCTTCATGTTCCTAACATTGCTATTCTTATATGTGATAATTCGCCACAACGACCAGCTTACCCATCAAGGTACTCGTGCTTCTCATGCACTGTACTGCAAAACATTAGGCGAAGCTGGAGTTGAATGGATCTGATAGTAGGAGTTGTCGCAGCATGCTCTAAACAATGATAAAGTCAAACTAGAGCTCTTCTGTTCCCGATACAATGACTCCGCAACTCTGCACGTGATGTGGTAATTAGAGAATTATTTTCAGGAAAGTGAATAAGATGAATACTAAGTTAAATGAAATACAAGCGTTTTTGAACTCCGCTCTTCTCACTTAGGTTTACCTGCTTCCCTAGACTCGGTAGCGGACTACCCATCCTCCCCCTCCCCCTTTTCTTCTTCGGTTTCCCTATAGACTTATGCCAAAGACGTGATATACTCCTGAAACTTATCTGACTTTGCAGCAGCCAAATCCACAGTGAAAGTAGCATGTATAGTATGTTTCGTAATGGAACTGGCGTTATTGGCGGGTTGTGAGGGCGGGGTAGGAGACAATGCGTATGCAAATTTAGCCGCCTTGTCATTTGGGTTCAGTGCCGACTTCACATTATCAGCCGTCCAGGTTGCACATTGGCTACATAGCGCCGTCAAGGTCCAGTGAGTGGCATTGCTCGTAGAGCCTCTTAGTACGGTGTATGTTGCGGTCGGATAGGCTACTGGCGGCGTCCGAGTACTTTGCGGCGTTATATTAGCAAGGTGTAATAGTTCTGAACAGGCAATCCTAAAGGGAGTGAAGATAATAATAGTTTTGAGGCAAAGATTTAAGCAAAGATTTTAGATAGGAAGAGAAAGAAAGAGAAAAGTGTTCATACTTAGCCCATCTAGAAGAGACGACTGTCTTATTGCCGTTCGCCCATGCTACCGTAATCGGGTTCTTGGTCATCTTACCACCCCAAGCGATCGCAGCCCATCCTGCAGTTTGTTTCGGTGCCACTAGCTGCAGCAGTATGTCAAATGGACCATTGTCGGCCATAGGAATCGCTACTCGTACGTAGAGGTCGCCAGCCTTGGTCTCCGAGTAGCAAACACTCGTTACAGGATCACAATACTGCGCTGCGTTGACAGCTCCCACCCACAGGAGGGTCACGGCGTAGAGAAATGACTTGAGAATCATCGTTGATCGAGGTCAGCTAGCAGTATCGAGTGCTTTGTAGTAGAAGCAGATAACCAGCACGATAGCTACATATAAGAATGAATCTCGACCTGGGGCTGCAGCATATCTCATATATAATGTACCGGATGCCCTTATTACTAAACCATGAGAGCTTATTCGCTCATGTCCCGCCCTCAATTTCTTTTATCGCGATGGAGTGGTCAAGTATTTCGGCTGATATAGGTAGACTGAAGTGAGCTTGGTTAAGCTCATTTCCATCAAATCAGCCAGATCTATATTAAGGTGCCAATCTCGGCACTCGTATTAATCCGACCTACTGAGGAGAAGGCATGAATAGTAATTATAGTGCTCTTTACTTGAATCCTCAATGGCGGCACAGCGAGAACCCAGTACTCCAGGCTAAATGTGGATTATGAGTTACGTCACCCTACATTTTAGCATTCGTCTACCTTGATCGGGAGACTTATGTGATTCAGTAATGCGAGTGGCAAATCTACGGAGATGTTGGAATCCGCTGTGAGAAATCCACCGTCGAGGCAATCTCTCTCTCGCCTAAGCTGGAGATTGAGCTTCTCCCAGTCGTGAGACCGGTAATAATATAGACCAGCTTCCTTTCTTAGCCCGAATTCTAACATTCCAACAGACAGCGTGAGATGCTGTCTTGATGTGGCTGCCAACCAGAAATCGATGACAGAAAAAAGATCTACGTCACGGAGAGGTGGCTGGTAGTTCCGTATCAAGCTTTAAGATCACGACCCCACGTGGACGACCCGGCAGCAGTCACTACATTAAGAGCGTTACTATTGAAACCCCTACATTTCAAATTTACTCTTCGCCTTTGGAGTGCTAAAGACAGTATGCTCCACGGAGCATTGACGGTAGATTGTTAGATGAATAACTCGTTAGACCCTGTCTCAGGCGTATTAGTGAACCTCCTACTGTTACGTAGTCATTATTACAGACACCAGTACTGAATTATATAAATTGTAAACTCGAGGGAAGTGGTTTCGAGCCATTTGAGAGTTCTGTTGCTTCTTGCATAGTAATTCCGATTTTGTTTACATATTCCACTGGCCATGTATACATGATTTTGGGGTTGATCAAAGCTTGATAAATCTTGAGTATTCAGTTGGGAGGCTGTTCGCTCAGGGCTACAAAGCTACATTCACCAAAATACATCTACCACTATCTAGGATAAATGTAAAGATTCTCGTTATGGCTGGAAGCCTGTGTTTATAACCAATCTCAATTTCAATATCATTTGTCCATGAGGAAGATAAACCACCCACGTACTATTCCCTTGTCCCAAGTTTCACCAAGCCAACCACAAGCATCTGAAAGGGGTAGATGTCCTCTTTTAGTAGTCGCTAGGGAAAACTCGGCTGCTAAGCTTTGCTAGAGGTGTCTCGCCAGTAGGAATTTTGTCATTAGGAAGGGCCGAGAGAGGACCGTTCAGTCCAATATCTTCAGCCGGGGCAGGGTATTCAGGGATCTGGTTTGAAGCATGCCCAGCGGATCCGTCGGCGCCGACATTGAGAGAGCATGTTGGCGCATCAACACGTTGGGGCCCTGTGCAGGTGCGGTGGGCGTTGCCAAGCCTTTCGAGGTCTGTCCATCCGTTAATGAAATCGCCATGGAACCCATACCCTGTCTTGTCTCCCTGGGCGAAGACAAAGTTGCGGTCAGTGTACTTCCTAGTATCGAATCCGAATTCGTAGAACAACTGGATAAGAGCGATAGGGTGTGACTCGGGACAGACACCACCGTTGTAATCACCAATTGCGGGGAAGGCCATCTGTTCCTTGTGTTAGATTAGTTGGAAGAAAATGAGTGAAGGGAGGACTTACATGACTCTTGTGATCAGCCGAGTCGATGTTGACACCGTCCCAGCATGGTGGGAATGTAACTTGAGATCGAATAGTATCACAATGAACGACGGGAAGGCTGTTGGTTTCCTGGTCGATGGGCCCCAAGCAGTGGTGATTGATGGCACGCTGCGTTATGTCGCTCTTGTTGAACATCCGGAGGTCCTTATTTCCTGAAATCATCCTCAGGCCTTTCGGAAACGCCTTCGCGAAATTTTCCTTAATGCTCGGGCATCTGGTCCGGCCCTTTTGGTAGTCACACGCGCGGTTTTGATAATAAACAGCCTACAAATGTTGAGTAACCCTAAACTTGCGGAAATCTCATGGCAGGTTGACTTACGCTTCCCGTGAATTTAACAAGCTCGTACCTACCATCATTATTGATGTGGTATAGAGTAGGGACCCAATAGATAGAGTGGTCTAGGATCTTGTCACAGGTGGTGGCATTCGAGTTGAGGGCATCCTCGTTTGTGGTATCGCCCTTGAATGCGGTGCCACCGATTACCGCATGTACATGATCGGATGTGTCTTTGCCAAAACTGATAATAGGGTCACGGCGTTGGGTGGTTAGTGGCCTGCAGTTCACGGTGAAGGTATCGCCAATGTCTTGAGCATAGGAAGATGAGGCTGACAGCAATACGGCTGCCACGTGGGCTTTTGAGAAAAGCATTTTGAAGTTGAGGAGTATGCTAAGTGAGTTGAACAATTTTTGAGCGCGACTGGAACGAAACCTGGGCCAGTTTTATCTAGGTGGCTGAGGAACAGTGAATCAAGCACTTAAGGCAGGATTAACTTAAGCTATTTAAACTTTTCAGCTATATACAAGAGATATGAGTGCCCCTATCGTTGCATGTGTCCGGAATCAAGTTACTAGACACACCTGCCGCTTCATATCCTGAACATCATCACAAGACTACTGTAGACTAAGCGGTTGCCCTTGTCGTGGAGGTCTCATTAAGCAACTTGAAATAGTAAGTGGTATGGGCAGTTGCGTGGTTCCACGCCCACGGCGTATATCTCGGTCATACCCTTTAGTTTACTGACTGTTGCATGAACTTCCTGCATGAGTATAGACTTTGTTCTAAAGCAACCAAAGCAATCCTAGGATAGCAGTAGGATCAGGAGTTCTACGTGGCACGTGTTGGATGTAACCTTTACTTCTGTACTAAAGGAGCAAGTTTCGAAAGATGTTGGATAGGGGGTCTGCCTCCACTCAAGATACTACTTACTTTGAAAATGAAGTGGTTGACATATAAGGATCAATGATGAAGGGGGGCACAATCGTAGAGAATTTTCCATCTGATTTTTTGGTATAGAAAGTTTTCTCCCTCATCCTCATCCAACAGCCCGCGGTTCTTAGCCCAACGAGCTCAACAGTTTTAACTAGAATGATATATTATCCCTCCTTGCCTACTGCTCGGCTAGTTGGCTACTAGATGAAAAATACCGGTATTCATGAAACTACACTTACTTTGCTCATGGTAGCAGTCCAGCATGGCTAAGTAGTCTCGGTCTTTTCAAGAAACGCAGGGCAAGACTCTACGCTTTGACCAGTCCATACCTTCCCAACCAGGTACAAGTTTGCTAGGCTTTCAAGTCGCTAGTAAGCAATCGGCACCCAAGAGACTCAAAGCAACCTACTCTCAGTCAGACGTTACACGTTCTTATACACCAGTGTCAGCAAAATCTGGGGTAACCAAATGCTTAAGCGCTAGAAGGGAGACTTGGGAATGACACACGAATTTGCGAAAATGCAACTAAGTGAACAGGTCACATCATTGTTGGTTGAGCTGTCAGAAGCTGATTGGCTTGTTGGCCTGGGGTAAGTGAAGTTTGACCAATATAAGATTGGTTTGCGGACGGTTGGGACAGGATTCCTGGAAAGCAAGCGTTCAATTTGACATTTCTTCTTCCTTCATATGATATCTGGGAGCTTTAGTCCGGCCTACGCATGGATAATGCAGCTTGGCGTGCTTGTCACTTCATTTATCACCTAAAGCAAGAAAAAGCATGGGATGGTACAACGTGGATCCAGCATATTCCATTCTATCGGTTGGCTGACAGGAGCAGACTGGTATAAGCGGTCAAGAATAGCTAATACAGAACTTGATTCTTTATCCTCTATCTCTAGTCAACGGACTTATATCAATGGGTACGCAGCTAGGTATATGCGATGACAAAACTTGTTGTAGAGCCTGGGCTTTATATCGCTTAGCAAGCTAATGGTTTTAATTGGTCGGTCCAACATGAACGCACTAAACGTACAGGACCAAACCATAATTGCGGCCGAAGATGGAAGGAAGGAAACAACAGTGTCAGTGCTTCTTCTGATGGACCTTCAATGTTCTCTCTCTCTCATTGCCGTCGGGTAACGGTACTCAAAATGGCCGTTTCCATCCCCTTCGGCATGAGACCAGGGTTATTCTAGTGGATTGGTACGCAAATGAACCTCTGTCATCCGGAAACCGCGCTTGGGATTTGAAGGAATACGGGCAGTTTTTGAGACCACTCTTAATGTAGCTTGAGCTATCCGAAGCGAAACTAACAGAGTCATCTGCTAACAACTCGAATGATTGTCTTCTGTATAAAAAGGGTAGTAAAACAGTTTCTGTAAAAATTGCATTGAGATGGCATTTGCGGCGCGGACCCCAGTCGCATTAACCTTCGAGAAGTTACCATATGTTAGTGTATTGAGTGAATGAATTCATAAAATAACTCGTCTTGTTTCTATATTGCAAGTCTGCATTACTGGAACAGCATATCAATGTCTGATGCTTTATCTGGACAGTGCCCTTAGTAAGCTACGACTCACAACTTACCCATCCCGGAAACAAGCTTAATGCAGCTGTTGTCCTATTAGTCTAACGAGTGTCGCATTTGCATAACATCTAAACAACGTACTCTTGGGACTAATACAACCAGCATATATCAAGGCAGGTCTTTATTTTACTGCAGGTACTTTTGAATATCCTGCATATGATAATAAGAATAGGGGGCATCATGTAAATACACAGTCGGATTCGGGACGCACGCTGCAGCCTCAGTGAAACGCTGCTCGGCAAGAACCAAGCAAATTACGTCTGAACCTGTATATCTTCAGGAAAGACGCAGCTTCCGGAATTGACGGAATTCGTCAGCAGCCACTCGGACCCCTCGATATCTGACCATTGGCTTCCTCATCTGTAATTCTAGGCTTGTCGCTACCAATATCCTCGACGACTGCAGCCGGGTTTTTCCCCCGATCCTTATTAATATTTGAATTGTCTATTCTATGTCGGTATGTTCCCCGACCACCGCGACTCATATCAACAATTCGGATTGTTTTAACTACCGAAAGGCCATGATATAAATGAATATCAGTAGCTATGATAGGACTCTACTTGCTAAAACTTTTCTGATTCAGTGTAACTGCGTTCTATCGGTTATAGGTGTGAATAGGGTGAGCTCGTCTCCCTTCGTTGGTGACGCTTGATGGCCAAACAGCCCTACAGTAATTGGCCACGGACTATTTGAGCGTGGCAAACGTGATACAACAAAGACTAGAGTGCTAAATCCTTGCTGGCGATCATCACTGTCCGATCGGCATGCCACAATGCATGTCAAGCGGGAGAGGATCCTCTCTCCTTCGTAGCGGTTCCATTACACTTCCCAGGGCGGAGACATAGAGATCTATTGGCTACAAGGGTAGAGTTGAGGGGCGTAGATTTGGGACTATTCGCTGATTCATTCTCAAGGACATATCAAGATCTTGGATTTTTCCCTTCTTTGGCGGACGGATACCGGAACAGCGTGTCCTGAAAGGCCCTCAGTACCATATATGACTTGCTTCCTGGTTCCTTCTCCCGCTGGTACCGATTCGTTGTCACTATGTCATGTTGCATTTGAGGTGAGGCCCTCGTGATCTCGCCAAATTGGATTAACTACTGTTTACCTGCTTCGAACATCCAATTCTTGGTATCTGCCAAATTCGGTGTCTCTCGAAGCACTGATCAAAAAGGCACCGCAACGTTGTCTGCGTCCTTTGACCCGGTTTTGGCACGTCCGAGGCGATGGGTTACCCAAAAACCTGATTCATACTTCTCCCCGCAGTACAGAAACAAGCGCGTACGAATGGGCATACAGATCAAAAGCCCTGCATGAACCTTCATGATACTCCATAAAATATGCAGTATCATATTCGGAATCGAGGCACATAGGCTTCGTTGACTATGAGATGTCTTAGGCTGTGAAAATTAGCAGAAGCCTAAGCAAAGCTCTCACCAATGTATGTGGCATTCAATTCAGCTGTCAGGGCTGAGCAGAGAAGTGGTGTTCATGGACCTTTGCAACCCTAGCAGGTTGTTATACTGTGAATAGCTTTATAGTTTCAAGTATTGACCTAATACCATCGTTATATTATAAGATTGCTATTACTTATAGTTCGCCTTCTTCATTCCGCAAAATATCAATGTGATCAATGAGGTACCATGTTCTAATTTCCCGGTGTGAAGGCCCGGCACCTCTACCCTAAAAGCATCTGTCAGGTTCAACAAAGGCGATATCTGGAACACATGTAAGTACTTCAACACGGCACTGAGAAACTTTCGATGCCGTGATGCATCTGAGTAATTACATGTGGATAGACGACTTGTCAGAGTGGTTGGTCCCAGAGTGGGTAGAAGGTCAGTCACAGTTAAGTAGGTAGGTAGAAGGGGGTAGTATAGGCGTCAATATTCATTGAATACTGAACCCTCTAACCCTGGAAGGGGGTCCAACACCCTTTTATATAGCCAGTAGGTCTAATACAGCCATCCCTAGGGTCTATGTGACTATATCACCTGACACGACTTCTGCATCACAACATCGCCGACACTCACCTTTTATGAATACTTCAGATGTCATTATCCGCTCAGCCGGCATCACCAGGCAAGATCTTATCAATGGCCTTGTCTTGCCTGTTTTGCTTTCATATCTCACACAATTCCTTCTTAGCTTGAGTCTTTGGCACCTGGTGGATGAGCTCTTTAGGTCCAGCGTAACTAGACGAAAAGGGAGAAAAGGAACCCTGAGCACATAGCAAATTCTCATAGTCCTCTTCGTAGAGAGCTGATAGACAGGGCAACAGGCATCTGAGGTGGAACTAACACGCCTATTACGTCAAATAAGCTCTTAAGGAAGGAAAATTGGTAGAGTACAAGTGGAACGTATGGGGGTTAAATAATTCTTTAACCAAGAAATTAATAAATTTCCAAACATATTTCACACCCATCCACATACAATACATCAAAATATAAAATCATCCATAACACAGCAGAACCTAGCAATGATGTTATAAGTTTAATAACAAGCTTTAATGAAAGTAAAATAGGTAGGGCCACAACGCCACTACAGTAACTTATCCAAAAATTTATTCATAGACGTTTGATATTACAGACATCGAACTTCAGACGTGTTATAAAAAGGTATTAAACTCACATGCAATCTCAGCACGATCAAGTCCTAGAAGCGCTGCTTTGAGTTGCTTCATGGTCTGAACTGTCAGACGCGTTTGCGACAGGAGCAAGTTACACGGTACCAGCTTTTCTTCATTGTTGCTGAACTTTTCAACTCACAACCACGGTATAGTCAATCTACCTATCCCATGTATGTACTAAGCATTGTGTTGTTACAGGCAAACGAGGCCTTAATCACTGTGCACATGTCTGTTGATAACTTTAAACGCATCGCCAATGTCATCAAATTCTCAGGGAGTAAAAGGATACGCATGACCACATTCGGAAATCACCCACCAATTTTAATAAATGTGCGAGTATTAAAACTAATATCAGTAAAGTAGGGCTCTGATATGAACTATACAACAACTTTCTTGTTAAGACATAAATGAGTAGAGGCTGTAATGAAGTATTTGACAAGAGAATGAAGGCAGAACGAAATGCACATGATCTAACTATATTGATATATTCCTACTATATAAATTTTCTTGTTAAGTAAGATACGAAAAGAAGCAACATCGGCAGTAAACAACTGCTTTTATTGCATGTCGTGAAAGATGAACTTGATTATGATAATGTCTAAGAGGGGATATAAGCCTTTTAACAAGACTCTACAGTTATTCTGGTAATCCCACGTTACATCTATGCGTCACTAGTCAACAGAATAGAGCGCTATTCGATAAGAGGATGGTAATGGTAACAGCATATTATCCCTTATTAGGACAGGATTGCCCGGGAGACAGCCCCTCTAGAAAACGATGAAAGCTCCGTGGTCTGAAGATCCGTCGTCGTAGATATGCACTGCGCAACTTCAGCCCTCTTCTGTTACCAATTTTCAACAACATACTTCTATTTGTTACCAGCCGATCATAAGCCGCCAGCCCCCAAAGCACTGACCTCTAGAATCTGACCACCTACTACACGAACCCTAAAGTGGACGATCGCAGCTCATACTGTATGTAGTTCTGGTACATACGAAGTAGAGAATGCAGGTTCCGTCTGATGGTTACAGTAGCGGACTCGCCACAATGCCCAAACTCGTACAGTAGAGTCTACGCCTCGCAGGTGGCGATTCACTAACATACATACAGCACATCCCTCTTAACACACCATCCCAACTAACCTACCGTATGCACAATGCACTACATCGGATTTCATCTTTGTACCTCCAAGTACCGACTTATGCATGATGTGCTAATGTTCCATTGGTATTATATGTATAGTTCTATAGGAACATAGGGAGGGTATTGATCGAACCATTAAAGTCCAGTCCGGCCGTACGGGTCAATTTGGAGTTATTCAACCCCTCTCCCCCGGGGCTGACTGACGATGGGCATGCGTATGCGGAGGGGGTGAGAAATGGGGAAAAAGAGAAAAGACGTAATGCATGACGATCTCGTTCATGCCAATCTTTCTCGAACAAGGCTTGATTTTCTTTCAACTGCGCCGCCCTTTTTTTTTTTTTTTTTTTTTTTTTTTTTTTTTTTTTTGCCCAGCAATGCGGCTCTCGCCAAGCCCGCGGGCCAAGACGGTTCGATCAGGCACAGATGCGGACTCATTTTCTGTCCCCCGATCTACAACGTGCACTTTTGGTTTTTCTTCTAACGCGCAAGGATATATATTTACACACGCCTAGGTTTATAGTCGTTGTTTTATGACTGTGAATGGTGTTAAAAAGGCGATTAGAGTCTTCGGTCTTTTCCGATAGTTATGTTGAGCTATTTAATTGCACCACCGGCTGATGTTGACTCTGCCGATCGCTGCGATCAAGACGAGTTGAGAGCGTACGGCGGCGCCCTTCGCGATGAGCTGGCTGACCAAGGAATGGCTTCTGCAGGGACAGAGCCACAACTTTCCATCGGCTCACATAGCCCGTTCCAGCCCAGTCCGGCCCAGCCCAACGACACGGGTGCTCAGGGGAGCGGGGTTTATGGTATATGTCTCTTAGGCAACTATATCAGCATATTCGGCGGGGGACTAGAATGCGACAATGAGGGATTGATGGGGATGCATCACCAACCGGGTCTAAATCCTTCGTAGATGAAAGCATGTCGCATAATGCGTGGCTGATTCCAACACCATATATCGCAAAACCCTACCTACTACAAGTGAGACTATACCGACCGGCCATAATCTTGGGGTAGGAATAGACGGGCGGTGATGGTGTGAGTGATATTCCACATCGAATCTTGTACGGTTCGGATCCTGCTCTGGCCCAATTGCAATCTAGGCCCGCGTAGTATACATAAAGTGGCTGACCCGGTCCCAGGACCGACATAGTATCGAGCATCATGTAGGTAGGAATTTCCTCGTCATCCTCCTTCAGCCACCCCCGGAAAATCCAACCTGGCATAGCATTCTGTCGTAGTTAGATAGACAGCTGTTATATTGGTAGGTAGTTGGGAAATCCGCCTCGGCTGTCAGAAAGACGCAGCTGTCAGAATAAGGAAAGCCGCGAACCACTACCCAAGCGCCGACTAAATCACGTCCCTCATGCCGGTTCAACGCAAATTCGAACCCCCAGCGTCAAGCATCCCTACATAATACATACATCTGCACTACTGTATCAGTCTACCTATGACTATCCATGCTACTGTTAGGTACTCCCCCACGTGTACGCACGCAGGTTCTGCCCCTCATTGGTCTGCGGGTTTGACAAGGTCTCCTGCCTCCTGGTTACAAGAGAGCCCATCTTCTTCCTACTCTGGCAAGCCGGCGCAGAAGCGTGGGAACGATGCCCTGGCGTTGGTTAAAGAGGGGAATATCAAGTAGGCGCCGTTGGAAGTGCTGCAAGTGAAGCCTAAGGGGGATATGAAGCGCGGGTTGATGGGAGTCATCTCGAACTTTCTTTTCCAATCGTGACAATGGAGTGAGGAGTGAGTGCTCATTCATGGCTGGGATCATGCCATGATTCCCGCGACGATTTTACTCATGCGTGTCTTGTCCTCCTCATCCCACCGCTTCCCCCAAGTGCGTATTCGTATGGTATTCGTACGAACAATTCTCGCTTCTCACTGAGAAGATGCATAACTTGACGGCTCTGCGCAGATACGGTGTCGGTTGCAGGTGGGTAGGACTGATGTCTGCCATTTTCCCTGGGAGTCCCCTCGTCCCCACACCAGGCTCGGAGCCGAAGCGGGTGTGTGTGCCAGATCTAGTTTTTCTGCGCGCGCATCTGACACTGCAAGCACTTGAAAATAGGGGGCAAATTAGGATAGCATTTGTAAGTAAGAACTGGGTCCCCTAGGTAAGATTTATGTACATTAGCCTTTGATGCCTCAGGTGACCTGTCCATGCTGGTCCTTCAACTTATGTTCCGCTTTCCCTAGCTGCTGCTGGGACTGTCGTAACAGTATGGTAACATCCTACTTTATGTATGTATACTGACTTATATGTAAGTAGAGAACAAAGGGTATTCAGGGCCGTGGAAGTGAATAACGGTGTGGGCTGTCAAGGGTCCGCATGACGAGGAGCCGAGCCGGGGTCAAGGGATTGTCGAGAAGCGGGGAGTTACTGTTTAAGCAGATTTCCCTCTGTCTCTTGGATCTCTCGTGCAGCATATACCAATGGCTTCTATATTTGTGGATAGATGGAGACAAAAGGGAGAAAGCGAAAGGCTGCGATATACCGCAATAAACACACAATACACATGTAGTGTAATTGGCGTCGATGCCACGAAGCGTCCGAAGCTCCGCGAAGGAAAACCCAAGTACCTATCCAGACCAACGCTTACCTACTCTGCTATAACATACGCACGCAGGAGGAAGAGAGATACTTACATAGTAAAGGCGATGCAGCCAATCTGATTGCATGCAGGCAGCATGTCGACTGTACAGCAGAAAGGGTGCAATGCAATGCAACGATGCGCTACAACAACCACGCCTAGAGACTAAGTACATGTTCTCTTCCCCCGCTCTTGTCGATGGGTATTTTTTTCTTTGGTATGGGATGCAGGTCGAACATCTGTGCCCACCGCCAATCCATATTCAAGCTTACCTGTTGGTTATGTGATGTAAGTGAGTTACATAGTAGTGTGTAGACAGGACACACACATCGAACCCCCCACGACAACCTCATATGCCTTGTGCACCTGACAACACCACAGACGTTATACCTACAGTAGGTAGTCTGCATGCATGGGCCGACTTACCTAGTATACTACCAAGTATGTCCATGCGGGTAGGGTTCCGCAGAATCTAAGGAGTTGCGGATTAAAACGCGGCTACAGGAGAAGACAGAAAGAAACAAAGAAGGCCGGCCACGGGCAAATGTGTCTACAATTACTTACTTACATCCTTCCTTAGGTAAATAGAAGACCAGGTATGACGCTGATCCCACACCCGCCCATAAAACCGGTTACCAGGTGATCATCCACTCCCCATCCATCCATTCCCCAATAAGCAGAGTAATGACCTAACCTAGGGTTACTTGGTATGTTTGCATCATGCAGGAGTTCCTTGAAGAGGGATAAGATAAAAAATAAAAAAAGCTTGTCCCCCCCCCCCTTTTACATAGGCATGGTAGGTAGGTATGTAAGTAATCCTGGGGGAAGCAAGGAGGAATGAATCTCTCGGGTTACATAGGTAGGTACGAGATGCGCATACTAGGTACCTACATCTGTAAGTAAGTAAAGCGGGACAGATCAGTCGGCAATCCGAGGGCCAAATTGACCGAACATGAACATGGAATCACTTTCATTCCATCTCCGAAATGTACCTACACCAACCAACCAACCAGCCAGCCAGCGCCCAATCAGCCGTCGTCGATAGACACGCCCATTACCCAGACACTACCCACACATTACTTAGACCGGGCGCTTGGACATGAAGCCATACCCGTTGTATCGGTAGTGTGTCGGCGCATCGGACGATAGGAATTGAAACCAACCCTCTTTACCTAGGTATCCTCATTGACTAATCCTTCTAGATAGCTATCGTATGGAGCGGGTATGGATGGTAGATTTGTCCGTCCGGTGGACCACCTCGGCTTTCGGCACTCGCTCAACTCTTTGTCGGGTCAGCTTGGTCAGGTCGGTAGGTTTATCAGGCCGGCGACATTAACGTCGGGCGAGTGTCGGAAATCAGAAATAGTGTATGGACTATAGTACACAATTCTACATAGGTAGGTTAGGGTGTTCAACTATTCGCTACCTATGACAAAGAGGTCATACTTAAGTACCGTACTACGTAGGTACGTGCTGGGAGGGCCACAGCGGGTCAATCGCCCATGACGTCGTCACCCAGAATAAAGACGGTGGTACATTCTTGCTTGATTGCCTGCCTGCCTGCCTGCTCGCTTAATCGCTTTGGTACCCAGTTCCACTACCTTAGGCTAGACCAAACTGTCGGAATGGAATGGTCGCTGTCGCTTTCTGCGTGCTCATTCATTCCAGGGGCAAAGACGTCAAGTCAACACTAGAAGCGTGATTATGGGCGTTGGACCAAAATTCAAACAGATATCGCTTTGTATCATTTTGCCATCTATCATGGAACTCTGCCACTGGTTTCAGTTCACAGGGCGAGAATCTTCTACATAGTACAACAACAACAGGCAAACAGCCAAAAGGTTGGTGTGACCATAACCACCCCTGAAGTTTGAGGCCTGGGCTCGACAGAGCCCCATTTTGTGTGCAAACTACCCTCAACAGCTCAGCCGAAACACGTCGACCTCTGATAGTGGGTACGAACTTAAAATTATGTACGTGTGGTGAATCAGGCGCATAATTACCAATCCAACAAATTCTATATACCCCCCCCCCCCCCCCCCCCCCGGGTCCGCCTAGAAATGCAATGGGATATACCCGCCCTAACGCCGTTATATGAATGTAATCGTGATCCCAACAACGCGAGTCCCCCTACGCTAAGAGTAGGTTAACACCGCTTCGAGTTGTGACAAAAACCTAATAGCCTGGTTTACCGGGCATTGGTGGTAAGCCGTGGCCTGTGCTCATCGGTGGTAGATGGTTGTGGCAGAAAATCTTGCCGCTACTGCTCTTCATGCAATCCTTCTTGGAGACGTCGATATATTTGACCGGGTCGTCGTAACTCTCAAGTTGACAGCATTCCGCATTCTTCATCCAGCGGTTGGTGATAACATCGTTCATCGTGATACGCTTCTTGGGATCTGGATGTAGCATTTGCAATAGCAGCCGACGGAGTGGAAGCGGCTTGACAAAATACTCAAATGGTAACAACTTGGGATAGGCATCCTTTGCAACATCGGGTTTCGCGAGCTTCTTCGCCTCGGTTTTCTCCCAGCCCAAGACCAAATCGTTGTAATTTTTATGCGCTGGAGTAGCCTCGGCTTTCTCCCAAATGTTGGCACCAAAAACGAGGTAGATCATGACAATGGCGGAGCTCCACACATCTAGTGGCCGAGGATCATACTCCTCCTTTTTGCTGAGGACTTCAGGCGCGATATAAGGCAGACTGCCACAGATGCCTGGCTTGCAGAGTCGCACCTCGCCCATAGCAACGCCGCATTGCCCCCCTGACTCCCTCAACCCAGGATGTATCCCTGAGAAGACCTCCGAGACACCAAAATCGGTTATCTTCAATTTGCTCTCTTTTGTAATCAGAAGATTTTCCAACTTGATGTCACGGTGTGCGATGCCATTGTTATGAAGGTAGTTGATACCTTGGCAAAGTTGCTTGAATAAGCAGATCCGATCGATATCCCGACCTTCTTCTTTCAAGTACTTTTTCGACACCAGGCTAAAGAGATCTCCCTCCGAACAGTACTCCATGACGTGATTCCAGCGCCCGTGGTCAGTACATAAACGAACCGTTTCGATAACATTGGGATGATGTAAACTCTTGGCTATGCTGTACTCGGACTTGATCTTCTTCTCGTATTCCTCTGCCGACTCAGACGCGGTCTTGGATCGGAACTCTTTAACAGCATACAGTTCACCGGGACAGCCCTTGCGTGCCATAAGGGTAACCTTTGAAGTTGCGCCCTTACCTAAATGCTTGCCATGTCGCCCCAGGAATTTGTGCAGATACTCGTACTCTTTCAGCAGGTCAGCAATGTCGAGGGTAAAGTCGTCAGGAAGGCTCAGGCTAAGTCGTCTAGCTTTCATGCCGGTTCCGGCATCTGGTGGAATAGCCCATGGTTGACGTGTTAAATGATTTTCCTCGGTATTCCTCTTGCGTTCCAGACTTCTCGCTCGTCGAGGTGGGTGGTTCTTAGCATTGCCTGCGAAATTGACCTTTTGACGAAGCGAAAACCCCGTGAGAGCCCTATTCTTTTTCGCATTATTATCCAGAAAATCACTAGAGGTAGGCATGTTGGAGGCATTGCCCTTGTCATGCGAGACAAGAGCCATCTCCAGAGGAGAGCCGGGAGACGGCGGTGTGTTAGATCTCGTTGTTGCAACTGATCGGTGGTAAGAGAAACGACGGCGACTAGTCTGACCAGGCAATTTCCCCATAGCTGCAAGACTAGTTTCCGATGTACCAGTGCTGTAATTAGAATCCTTCGGTGGCGACGTCGCAGCACTGGCAGTAGCTGCGCCGTTTTCATCTGTAAAATGATTGCTACGCCTAAATAATGACGACATGGCGCGCGACAAAGTAGACGATTGACGTCTCGAAGGAGGTCGTCCTGCGGCCGGGGTTGAAGGAGCTTGATCTGGATATGTTACGGCGGTCTGTTTGTTTGGTGTTGCAGAGTCCTCTGATACTAGCGCCACTGACGTAGGTTGCAATGCAGGTTGTACATCTGGTTGCTTTGAAGTACTTAAAGTTGCTCCAACAAAGCTACTGGGGACTGACGAGTCACGATGATACAGGTCGTGACTGTCACAGAAACGGAAATCCCGCGATTGGCGGCCGCTGACGGGCGTTACAGGGTCGTTGGGGAGAGATTCACTGCACGTTTCCTCGTCGCATTCTTCGGGAATCGGGGTGGACAAATCTGTAGGGTACCGACGCAGTGAGTCTAGTGGGACTTGAAGAGAGCTGCAATACGACGACGAGGTGGTTGTGGGGGAATCTGAGGAGGGAGTGGATAATTCTGGAGGAGGGATGATTAAACCAATGGTGAAGTCGAAAATAGAACGATTAAGATCGGATATACCTGAAATAAGCGTCTTGGACGAAGATGACGGAATAGGCCGCGGGGCAGAGGTGGCAGAGGTGAGAACGGAAGCCGTGGGCCTGGGTGCAGGAGTGGCCGGCGTAAGAGGCTTAGGAGTTGCAGAGACAACGGCGACCGCGGTGGAAGAAGACGGTCTTGTAGGTGGTGTAGGTGTAGGTGAGCCAAGCGGGAGACTGGGATTATTAAGAGTAGGAGTAGGAGTAGGAGTAAGATTAGAATTGAGATTGCGATTGGCGTCCGTGTGAAAAGAAGAATGGATAGAAGAATGAAAAGAAGGAGGATTTGGCTGGGCGGTGCTAGAACTGCTACGGCGAGCAAAGGCCGAGGACGAGGACGAGGAGGAGGGCGACTGTGAGTAATAAGAGGCCGCGGAGTGTGTCGCCGAGTCTGTCGTGGGTGTTGATGATGACATGGCTAAGGCCGGCCTGGTCGCAAGCACCTGGGCCTGTGGGGCCATGATGATGGTGATGAGGGTTAGGGAGGTTGCAAGCGGTGGTCTTAGTGGTTTTAGTGGGTTTGGCGGTTTGGCGAAAGGATCGTGGGCGGGCTGGGGGCGCTGGCTGGGCTTGGCCTTGGCCTCGGGCTAGGCTTTGCTCGTATAATTCCTCTCTGAACGAGGATTGCTGCTACGTAGGGCGTGCTGGTCCCTGTTTCCCTGCTGCCTTGCTTCCCTCTGCCGCTGCTGCTTGCTTGCTTGCGTGCTTGTTAGGACCGGGTTGCCCCAAAATTTAGTGAAGCGAGTGCCTGTGACGACACTGGCTCCAGTCAGCTTTGGGGGGTGAAGACCTAGAGTAGTAGGGGAATTGGCCCTCTGTCGTAGCAGGCAGTGTTGCTGGAACAAAGAGCGAACCGGGGCACACCCCGACGTCCCGATGTACCTAGGTGTAGAGGTATGGATGTATGAAGGCAAGAGAGGCTGAACAGATGAACGGACGGGCTGAAGGAAAGATGGGAAGCAGGATTCCTCCAAAAACCCGCAACCGCAAGAGAGAGAGTTCAAAAGAACGGGAAAAGGACGTGTTATGAGCAGCGGGCTCTGTTGGCCGTCTAGTTACTGATATAGGTGCAAGCAGGAGCCCGTCTACTTGACTTGGTCGGTAGGTAGTCGGTAGGTTGGAAACGGCGTCCCCTTGAGGCCCTAATGCACGCTACAGAGCTGCAGGGAACAGCGCTTGTAGCGTAGAGCGGGGCGAGGGGGGGCGATGGGCGATGCTGGTAAAGAGATAACGAGGTGTTGGTAGCGGGCTAATAGTGGCACACATACACCACACGGCAAGCCTTACAAGTCACGTAGCATGCGCTAGGTTAGGTACCTACTGTAGGTAACAACTGCCCCCCTGGCACACTGACTGGGGCGTTGTGTAAGTGTGTAAGTAGGCGAGGTAGGCACCTATAGGTAGGTCCTGCAGAGTACCACTGCGAGAAACCAGCCACTGCGTATGTACTTAAGTATAAGTAGGCGACCCTGGCTAACTCAGGCAAGGCGAGGCACCGCCCTGGAGGGATGAGGGATGAGGAAATGAGGGAATGGTGGATGGTGTCTGGAGACAATATGGGATAGGTGCGTATAGTGGATTTGTAGAGCCCCCGGTCTAGCGCCTTGTGACGCTGTACTATACGTATGAGGAGGCCCTGCGAGGAGTAGACGAGCGACCTATGGGACGAGACACGCTGGATATCACCAAACTTCACAAATTCCCGCAAAACCCCATGTCCGTTGCTCCATGAGGGGGTCCTGGATCGGGGGTCCCAGGTAGTGTACACTAGCCCGTTAGGCGTAGCTTCGGTGGACGACGGGCTTTGTTTGTCGGTCAAGTATGGGGAAAAGGATAGCGGTAGCCGGAGTGAGAGCGTCGAGGGACAACAAAGTTGATATTCTGGAGAGGATATATATATATACACTTGCGTGGCTGTGGATGTGTGTGTATGTTTTATATATTCCGGCGACCTAGGTTGTCGTTGAGTTGGTGAGCGTAGCGGCAGCCAGCCTTGAAAGCGAGTGGCACGTACTTAAGTTGAATGCAAGATGAGCGAATATCGGCTCAATCACTTCAATCACGACTCAGATGCGGTTTGCTATGTAGGGTCTGAGTCGAAGTAGGCTTCAACTACAAGATGAGAGGGAGAATTGAACAAGAAGAGGAGAAATAGAAGACTGTTCAACATGTTTCCATTCGGACTGAGGAGGGAGCACCGAGAACTTAAAAAGAATGCCAAACTGTCTTGGCTAATTCTTCTTCGAAGATTCGACGCAGCCAAGTATTGTGACTCCCCTGGCTAAGCAAGTATTCATTACATACCACATTCGCTCATGGAGTGTTGCACAGCTGACGGTACCGAGAAGAGGCCCAAGTGATAGACCTCTGGAGATCTACATTGCCTAGATGCCAAGTCAGAAGAGCACGGGAGTAGGTATATTAGATTTGACGGCTGCTGTAAAACACACACCCGCACACGCACACACACACACACACACCACTCGAATCACAGACAAAGGAGAAGCGTAGAGGCTCGGCATACCTAGTTGCTGACTTGTACATGTCTTCTACCTACTTACCTAAGTACTACAGGTACTCATACCGGTAGGTCACATACGTACTCTAGGCCAAGGCTACGGCAACGCCTTCAATGTCCAGAAAGTAAATGAGGTTCTCAGGCTGTCTTGGCTCATACAAGTACCGACGGCTTGTGCAAGGTATAACCAAGTACGAGCAGCATTACCGGCGTAGCAAATATGCACTGTATCGCGAGAGTTTGTTTCATTGTCTCTCTCCTACCTACACTAGGTATGTGAATGTAATCGGAAAGAATAAACGATCCCTCTCCACAGACTCTCGACCTCTACTTAGGTAGGTAGGTATCTATCCATCTCCCAGTGAGGCCTGTAATAGAAGTCGTGGTAACATGATAGCTACCTGTGCCTACTGCTGGCTGGACGTGTCGATACCTGGACCCGATCTTGGGATCTGTAGAGTTGTCCAGGATGCAAATGCTTGGTATTTCTTTCCATAGCACATCTGCTTCCAGAAATGGCCTAGAGAGCCGCAATAAAAGCTTGGCCTCCTCCACTTGGGAGATCAATGACAAAGATGGATACCAACTTGGGAATGTATCGCTGACTGCTGTAATTACCTCTTTGAGAGGTCCATGATATATATATATTTAGGTATTTTCTATAGCTATTCTCTATATACTGTATGTATATAGCTCGAGACGACTAAGTACAAGGCAATGAATAGGCATGTATGTAGGTAGTGAGATCACATGATATCCAGGGGATGATTTGATTCGGCCTGAACAACAGGCTGGGGCTGCCAAGGCTGGCCAGAGACTGGCCAAGGGTTGAAACATTTGCTGGGGTAGGATTGGCTACCTACCTACTCAAGAGGTACGGTACGGTAGTGTACACGGTTCGTTCAGTGAAACTTCTGTCTCCGAGCATATGAGCATGGGATACGGTATCCTATCAACAACAGGAGCCGGGGCTCCCGTTTCGAGGGATATCATATCTGGCTACGAAGTTTGTGTCTGCTCTGTTTCCCACATTCCACCCCGCTACAGGACCCTAATGCAAGATTGCATCTTCATGTGTTTCGGCAGGTGCTGAAGCGGGATTGTACCACTTGAAAGCCAAGCAAGCATCATTTCCAGCAGTCATGTATACACATCCTACTACTACTTGTACGTGGCTGCTCGGGGAACCGTGGTATTACCACTCGCCAAGGATAAGGATTCTGTATCCCAAAGCGAAGGCTGTTTGATAATCTCAGCACGAGTGCGTGCGTGTGTGCCTCCACGGTGGTGTCGATCCAGCCTGTGCCAGTCTCTTGTTGGGTATCTATGCTGCGCGATATTGGTATTATCGTTCTACTATCGATCTACGAGTGTGAGAATTCATTCTACTTGCATATAGTATAAACAAAAAAAACTACAGTTGACTACTACATAGTATCATACCAGCAGTGAGCGGTTGCGGTGCTGTATCGTTAAATGCCGCAATCCACAGTTGAGGCACCAAACACACCAGTCAACTTGCGCGCTAGAGGATCGGTTGTGGGGTCTCCAACTTCGTCATGCTTAGACCGTTATAGACTGTTATCCCATCCCTACGTAGTATTCACAAAAGTGAGTACCCATTCGGCCGGATCTGACACGATAAAACCGGCCGAGCGTGATTCGTCGTCTCACAGCGGGCTCGTGGCCACACATACATACGGCATGCTGAATAAAGGATGTTCATAAACCAGAAGATGACTGGCAGAGAGCAATGGCAGCATCTGGTCAGTGTCGCTTTGGTGGCGTCGAGGAACACATGTGTCCCAGGCCAAGGAATAAGTTTCTACCACCTGCTCAGTATCTCGTCCTCGGTGACATTTATACTAGAGACACGGAGAGCAGACTCCCTTCCAAGTGTCACTACCAGTCCTCGCCAGTTTGCCGCAGACGTGATGGTCTGGTTGGTTGCCAATTCGACAAGTCCTGGGCATCTCGGCGCTGACTCGTACATGTACCTTTTTGAGCCTGCGTACTATGTAAATCAATGGCGGATTGCAAACACTTAGTCAGTGCACAATAACTACGAGATGCCACCACGTACTTGTCAATCACCGACCGTTCGAGAATGAAAACCTGACTAAGACATGAATAGAGCAAACATGTGTCATTTACGTTCCTTTAAGTCTCTCTCTCCCTACTCATGTACATTGAGTATATGTCGTCTGAGAAACAACATGCAATATAATTGTGTTAGTAGCCCCATCCTACGTACTCATCGCATCGTGGGGGGCTCCGGGAACACGCTAATTGACAGTGGTTAATTAACACACCAAGACTCTGGCTCTTCAACAAAGACTTGGCCATACAAGATATTTGTCAATAGCTATGATCCTAAACTTTCTTGGCGAGAGTCTTTTACACAGCATCTCATTGGCACCACTACTAAACACCTGTGACAGTCAGTGTATACAATATACATATAGTATCAGGCGTCCACTGATCTTTACTCAACTGGGTCTAGAATCTTTTGAGACGAAGGAAGCGTGATAGTGTTCTATTTTCAATGGTTTGAGGCGACCTAAATCTCCATCGCTCATTACTCAAGTGTAACCGCATATAGAAGCATCGATCGGTACTATAGTAAGGAGTAAAAGAACATCCCTACAGTATCCATCCCTTCTCCCGCAAAACACCTAACAAGGTGAATGATGCTTTCTATTCAGCGAGTCACCGGTATCGCCAAGAATGGCAATCCGCTGCAGTTCGTTCGAGATTGGTTAGCATATCAAATGCGAGAAGGTCGAAAAATGGGAAGCACCATCTTTACCTAGCTATACCAGGTAACGCGACACCGTGGTGTGAACTGCTCCATCCGACCTGATCGTGCAATTGCCCAGACACTATGCAGAGAACACTGCAAGACGCCCTGCTGTATGACCCGAACAAAATCATACACCACACTACCTTAGGTAGGTAGTCATCATAGTGCTTTGCCCCGTTGTGACCTACATGTGGGCATCACCATCCATACTTGCCTTTACCATGGCGATTGCGGCTAGTATTTAACTGAACTATTTGGTCGAAAGACCCCAGATTACTCGAAACAGAAACGTGCCGGCTTGATAGCCAACCTGTTGCTGACATCTATTACATGGGGATCAGCAAATAGGTTATCCGTCCTCTCAGATGATTCTTTCGCTCGTATCAACGCGAGGTTATATTTGGAAGTAATTCCAAATCGGGAGACTTAACCTATACTACCTAATCACATGCCGTCATCGTGAATGCCCCAAATAAGAACCGCATTATCCCAAGTCGACATAGCACAGGAGGCATACCTAGTCGCGGTGAAGCACCATCCTGCTAGATATCTAGATATTAGGGCGACGACGCCTTGTTACTAAGGTCTCTTATTCGAGCATGGTGTACGAAGTAGGTAGGCTACTGCAGTTCGTAGGTAAATCCATCTGTCGCCAGCCTGCACGTCAGCCCTGAATACATCCAGCCCAAGTGGCGGTGTACAGATATAGTGTAGTGAGTGTATAAGTTTCTAGAAACAAGGCCTACGAAGTAGAGCACAAGGCTATAGTATAACTCGACGGCCATGCACCTCACTCGTGGGGCGTGCAGAGTCACGAGACGCATTGTCTTGTTTCTGGTGAGTGACCGACACAGCCAGCCCATCTGTTTCGTCTGAATCTGAAGGAGCGGTGCCGTCGCTGTCGAGGCCGATCGATGGCAAGCATATTTGCGATGGAACACACAGACACACACGCACCATCATTCTTACCGCTCAACCCACCTCCGGATTTTCTTCCCCACGTTCATCCCCAGAGAAAACCTGGCCCCTGCCCTCGGCGTCGTGTGCCCCCTTACCACGTCTGTCCCATTGATACCCCTTACCAGGCTCGTTGGATCACTTTGCATCTTCCGCACTGGATGTACATTTAGGTACAGAGTATTTCAACGCGGCTGATGTTTCACGCCATCTAGTGTCCTACACAGTAGCCAAGGCCAAGGATTCTCCCGCATCATCCCGCGACGCCCGCAGTTAGCCATGTCAGGCCAGCCCCCAAGTAGTCAGAAAAGATTCGTGTCGCCGCTGCATCAGGGCACAACAGTTTGTCCCATTGACCAGATAGATGCCAACGTTGGTATTTCGAACAGGTACAGATCAAAGTAGCTCTTCCAAGAAAAAGAAAAAGAAAAGACAAGGCTCTCACATAGCTAGATAGGTAACGCGGCCGCGCCTAGACAAGAGAAAGAAGGCAATCCCGCAAAGCTAGAAAGAGACCGCTTCAATGATTATGGCTGCCGATCACCCTGGCAAGCTGTTACGGCTGTGGCTTCGTTGAACCCTTGCCAGAAAATGCCTCAATTGAATGCTATACCTGCCTACTACATCTGCCTTGAATGTCGTGCGGCGTACACACTGTACACGTCACATTCTCAAAAGCGAAAGGATTTGGATCGTCTAGGAACAAGGGACGTTGACTCGCTGCGAAACTCGGTCAATACCAGTACGGTATCCTACGTCGTATGTGTTACCAATTTTGTCGCCAATGGGCTCTGCCTAGTACACCGCAAGTACGAGGTAAGGTATGTTCTAAACCCAACACTACAAGTTTCGCTGCCGTCCCTGCCAAGTCGATGGGCAGCGGGGGCCGATCTCTTGGTATTGCAAAGCATGCCTATTACGAGTACACGTCGGACCGACACACACTTGGCAATTCTGATAGATAATGAGAAAGACGGACACACAGCTCTTGGCGTACTCAATTGCGAGACACAAGAAGCATTTACATGCTCTGACCCGTCTCGGAGGGAACAGTACCGGCAGCGGCAGATACCAATTGTTCGTCTAGACGGCGTTCGTCTGACCCGATCACTCCTTGGCCGGCTTCACTTCAGGTATCGAGTACGAATACAAGTTGTACACATCTCATGAATTTGAACCCGAGATTGCCGCCATAAGGTGTCTCACAGCACGCTTGGCCGTTAAGTCGGGAAGACTCATTTCCAATTGATGCCTTCGATGAGCGAGCTTCGCGAGAGTCCAGTGTAAAGTACGGCCCATACTGTAACGTTTCCCACGCCCTGTCTCGGTTCCTCCTACGGCAACAAACCTGCTGTTCAAATTATGGAAGGAGATGTCACAGGATGGGTACATACCTTACCTGCGCCGAGCCGGCTACTCAGTTTGCCAAGAGGGTGGCGGTTGCGCGAAAAGCAGTACCGACGTGTGGAATGCTGCCAAGCTGCGACGAGTTTGGCCGAGTTGCATGACACCATCAGAACATGATCGGCCTCGAGAACAGAGTACAAGCGCAACTCAGTGTCTGTCCAGTTCATTGATTCCCCAATGATACAGGATTTCATGTTGTAACCCTCCTTCGGCGATTTCTCTACTGCGATGAATTTCGAAACTTTCAATGCCAATTAGAGCTTTGATTGACGCCCTAGAATCCTACAGACGCAGGCAGTATGAGGCAGTGACGCATTCTTTACGTCTTGACAATAGCCACTCAATGAGTCGAAGTGGTTTACTTGGCTTCCATAGACCGGCGGCCTTGTGAGTAAGCTGACAACAGATAAATTGTATTTAAGAATCCCAAGCTGTACAGCTAGGGGTGATTTTAAGATGCCGATGATACCAATGCCCTCTGTACATGCGAACAATACGCCGATCTTGTCCAATGCCGACTACGGGAGGCTGTATGAATCGCTGTCCGAAACAAGTACGGTTCTTTCACAGTTTATGGTGTCTGATGTAGCTTACAGCAGCCACCTTGCCGCCTGAGGCTCTCTAGCCGCGAAAAAGCTCCTCTTGCGATGCGGCCTGCTACAAGCACCCGCCACTGAACAAGTCAATCTGCGTGAGAAGCTCAGTGATATGCACGTTTGAAAAGTACCAACAAACCAGGTTAGTACCCAAACTCGTCCCTGACCCGGCGCTTCTCATGAACAACTACTGATACTAGGATTACGTAACCTATGGTAGGTGCAAGTTGCATGATCTACATTAGCACGGCCATTCTCCCACTGATCAGTGTGTCGTACCTCTGTTTGATTTGCGGATGGCGCATGGAAACTTGTATGTATGAGGACCAATATTGTCTGTCGTCTGTTGTACTATCATCTAACGGTATGGCAGCATTTTGGCCCAACCGCGAGCGCAAGAGATCATTCTTCCGGCAACCTTGGGATGTAACACATTCTCCATGCCAAGTGTCAACCTCGGATGCTGCTACTCGGTTTTCATCAAGCCACCAATGAGATCAACCGACCAATGAGCCCCAAAGTAGCAGCAACATGCTATCTCCCAAGATATAAAGTTTAGTCATTTCACTTACTACTTAGATTCCACGCGTACACCAACGAATCTCAATATTCAAAGTTAGTAGACGCCCGGTGATAATCCACATTTCAAGGCCCAATTGGCATCTCACAGTACTGTACTTAAAACCGGACGCCATACTAACACTTCATGGATATGCCATCCTACCTATATAAGCTTTTGAGACGACCCGGAACCACTCGGAACCAGTCTCTTGTTGCTTACATCCCCGAGGATAGCTTATTTAACACAAGGATCCCCGGTTAGCCAAGCCTCTCTCTATTCTTAAACACGGACCGCCAAGGCTCTATCCCGCCGTGATCGACTTTTAGCGCGTGGATGACAGGCTGGTCAGTTTCTTGGAAAAGCTTGGAAGACGTACGTGGAGGTCGGATGACTTCTTCAATGGTCTTCGCCTTCGTATCTCCGACCCTCCTCCATATTCCAGATTGTTTTGTTTATAGTAGGTAGGCTCTTAACTCAAAGGATACCGGCGCCAGTAATGCTTCGAATAGCGTAGCCCCTCTTGTTCCTACCGCATTGGGGAAAAGATATAATGGTCGTGGATACTCGGTTGATGTTGATGTCGATGCAAATATAGTACTAGCGCTTGGGAAATATCCGAAAGACATTAGGCCACAGTGAAAAAAGCATATGAGTGTAGGCAACGTAGTTAACGAGCGCATCGAAAAATCTTCAAAGGTCAGATGTACTACCGAGACCTACTCACTATGAAGGAGCCATTAAACTGATATCCCATCGAGGCTTTCACTGACCATGTAATAGCGCACTATAAACTTGCTGTTTAAGTTCAAAAGAGAGAAGACTGCAAACGCAAGTAAACTCCACCTGTACACTCTACGCTCATCTTCCACTTATGTATGTCGAAGTCATGATGAATATGTGGGAACGCCAAGGCCTTTGTGATTGCTCTCCCCCACGTTTCGCCGAGAAAGACTGAAGCAGGTTTGATATAAGAGGCTTCGGCATATGTTCAATATGGGACATGCGCTAGAACACGCCACACATAAGTGCCGAAGAGCTTATCCTTGTTAGAACTGAACATGCCATTAGAGAAAATGTGTTGATTACACATAATTATAGCAGCAATGTTTTACCGGACCCTGGTGAACTAGCCCTTGAAAGAACTGGTATATCATACTTGAGATGGGAAAACTACGCTGGGCATTCAAGAGTGTATGGGAGAGTAAGGCTAGGCGGCTAGCCACGTTGAGTGTGGTTTAGGTACCATTCACAGTCGTCCATATTCAAACGTGCCCAACATCTGGGTAGATACGTGCTGGTACTGAAGGGAAACAATGGTCTTCGACGAGAAATTGACCATTTCAATAAAGAATGAAATATAAATGAATGGGGACTCCAAATTGCTTTCTAAATTAACTAGGAAATAAACATAGCAGATGATGAGAAAGGAAGGGGCAGTCAAGCATGAAAAAGGAGTTCATGTTGAGAAAAAAAAAACTAAAGGCATATAGTTAAGAAGAGTCTAACTACCTTTACCCCAGACCAAGACATCACTCAACAATGGAAACTTCAATGTTTGATTATGGCATAATTTAATCCACGGCTGATATATCTTATTATCGGAGACCTGTAAGGTAACTAAGTTGAGAACCCATACAACTTCTCAGGACGAGTCACCACATATACCCGATTAGCTTGAAGCGTAAAATGGAATCATCATTATCCTAGAAGCTGGCTGCATAACCGCCTGTCCGAGCTGTGTTGCTTTGTGTCGTAGACCATCAGTAGAAAATGGGCTGCTCTGGGGGTTCCACAGAACAATCTTCGCCGCCACGGACGACAACACTATTTGAAGATACAGAGTTAGTATTTCCCATGACAAATAAAATGACTGACAAATATTTCTACTCGATATAAATCAGAGAATCTGGGACGATAGTGGGTGCTAGGGTGCGTATAAGAGACTGAAAATTACTGACCTCCATTCCTCAGAGGTAAAGACCTGTGAATATTCATACGTTAGCCCATGCTAATATGATATACGGATTATAAACCCCAAATAAACAACAAGGGGAGGAGAGCCTGGTAGTTGAACTGAAAGCAACATTATAAAAACATCCTTATCCTTGGTATACAACTCGTAAACAAAGTCACCAAGAACTTGAAAACTATAGACATAACGGAACTCACCATTCCTTGGACCTTGGTCTTGTCTCCCTTGTCAAGACACCCATTGTCTCCGTCCAAGAGTCCGTTCATCTCATCGGCAATTCTCACGCTATTCGGTTTCTGGAAACCCAGGGAATCGGCGCAGAGCCAGACCGCTGACGTGCCAAAGCACGCGATCCGGCGACAATGCTGGGCGTCAGCTTCAAGCGGGGCCCAGAGCTGGTAGAACCAGCTGTAGGCCTGCTTGATCGAATCCACGGATGCGGAAGGCCAGCCATGGATGTGGCAGTTTATGGGATACTACGCAATGTTTCGCACAGGTTAGTATGTAAGGGCTAAGATTTGGGGAATGCATGATGGGTTGATGAATAGAGCTCTATGATATGATCCTTTGTTTGCGATCGTGATAATTCTGAGTTTCATGGAGCAAAAGTAGGGACGGGTGCTTGGGGAGGTACGGGAACACAGAAGTACCTACTGTATCACGGCGACTGACTTGGCCACGGGCTAGCTGTGATCGATGGCCCGATGGCTCCGGCAAGTCTCGTGGAGCCGGCGACGGGATTTCTTTGATATGATGGCCCACATCAACGCCAATGTGTTGTTTCTGGCATAAGTTAGCATGGTGTTTAATTAGTGAGAGAAGTGTTTTCATGTCTCTTACGTTGCTAGCCCACGCGCCAGTACCGCAAACGAGTCCAAAAAGAATGGTTTGGAACCGCATGATGATAGTTTAGTCTCTGCTGTAATGATTATGGTGCGAATTCTGTTTGTGATTCAGTTTGGCAAGACGGCTCTATCGTTCCCGCGGGGACTATTATGTTTTATAGAAGCCTGCTTCGTCTCCCTTGCAATGTACCGAGCTTGCGGAACCATGTTTGCTGGCGGTTAGGGAGTCACAAGGATAGAATAAATATAGATACTGAGCCAACAGCAAGGTGGATGAAACCAACAGGCCAAAAGGCGTAGAAAGCCCACAGACCAGAGGAGCATAAATTACATACACTGCCAATGAATTTGACTGGCAATCATTCCAATCTACGTCATAATAAGTTTTGTCCGATGTAGCTTGTTGCAAAAGTGAGTTTTGTCCTCCCTTTCGCTTGGTATGTATGGTCCAGCTAGGGAACAAGTGTTACCGGCATCTCGGAAACGGAGGAAATCACCCTATGTGTAGGCACAATCGTATTTCAGCATCTCTAAATAAAACCCGTCTTAAAAGCTGGTAGGGAAGCCATGCCAGTCTTCGTCAGTAGCGAGAAGTGGCATAGACGGCCTGTAATCCCCAAACTCTGTCATTCCCTTGAGCATAGCCACCAAACAGTTTTTGAGCTGAATTTGGACCCAAAACAATCGTGCCACTTCTCTCGGTACGTATCTGCTACGGAAATGTCTGTTTCGGGACCTTTGCTGTCTGATGATAAGCAGTGCATAGTTTGGTGAGACTACATAATCAAAGAACAAGACATTCATCAGCCATGGTATCTGCCAGAGACATACACTGCGCGCTTCTACGCCGGCTCGAACTCGTCATTCTGTCACCACCACGATGCCCTCTACATCATCAACGTGGGCCCGGAAACAAGACTATAAAGACGTTCATTGGTCTTTTCATAGCGGCGAATATGTGTCGTACGGTCGGCAGCCTGCCACATGGGGGATGGCAGAGGGCCAGCTGATCTAATCAGGGGCATCATTTTAAAGTATCGCTTAGGGGAACCGGTCGAAATATAGAAAATGATGAAATAAATCCTGAAACGGCGGTGAATTAGCGTTACGCCATGATGCTAAGCAGTTACTACGATCATCCATAGCTCACTTTAATCCCTCAAGCTACGATCCCCCGTGGGCGACAAGCATGGTCCATGGCGCCCCTAGAACTGAGCTTTCTAGTCTGTCTTCGTATCCTCCATCTACTTTCGTTTTTAGATGAATTTCATTGTTACGAGATTCATGTATATCACTTCAAGATTCCCTATTTCGATCGTCTGAGTCTCTGTTAGCGTCAACATGCATGTCATAAGGGTTTCCTTGGTGTGAGGATAAAGTTGGTAGTTTACTAGTGTTACATTAGATTAGGGCCCCCGATGTTATTACATGTCGAGCTCAATAAATTGGGTCCCAAGACAAGTAATCTACATTTTATATTGGAAACGTTTATCCGACTAGTTCTTTGGCCTCCATGTGCTCTAAGTAAGCACAATTACCCCGTGGGGAACTACTTGCCGTCCGGTGACTTTAGCGTCTAACAAGACCGGATTTTGATGTCTGCCCCAAGCGTGACTGCAAAACATACATTAGAGTGTAAGGTTATAGCCGATCTCATCGTGACTTTGATGTGACTGATGGCATACAGTAGCTGAAGTCGATTTTGGAGACAGCGCTACAGAGGCCCCTCTTGAATCGACGTATTTGGTACCTTGCCAGTGCTAGACGTAGATGGATACAATGACATGAGGGTTCAGCAGAGTGATTCGTGATTCAATGACTGTCCCTTATTACGGACTGTTGTGTGATATGAACTACCGGCGCCTTTTCGGTCTTTCGAATTAGCGCACACTATGAATATAAATTAGCCTCACGCTGGAAATTTAAGCGTAGAACTTATGCCGGAAATTGAGCTTCTAGAATGAGTGGATAACTGTTTACTACATGGACATAACGAGACACATCTGGACGTAAGTGTGTTATGTTAAATGCGGCGCTCTGACCCTCTAGCCCGACTATCTCAGGCCTACCTTTGCCTGGGAGAGGAGCCATTCCTTCGCTCAGCTTAGATAACCCATACCCATTAGTCTCACATGAAAACACTGCTTCTGGGTTGGGAGCATGACTTGGGCCAATTACAATTCTTGCAACAATCGTGCAAGTTGCATGTGTCTATCTGCCATTATATGCATACAGCTCCATGCCTCGCCGTGCTTCTCGCTTACGACCATTAGCCTATGATTGTCCAGTTTGACTGTGCTTTCCCTATTCCATATGAATTACAGTAGGTTCAATGCACATCTGTTGCAAACAAGTGTCAAAAGTCGAGGCTATGTTTCAACACGTACATAGGATTCTCGCTTACACGTATCTGTGAAGGGGCATTTTTGCGCCTCAATCCAGACCAAGATGGACAAATACTTACATTAGTAAGTATAGCAACAGTTGAACGAAAGTGAGAGCTCCTGACTGACCTCCCTAGTCTACCGGTATTGGGAGTGCCTGGACGAACAGACTTGAACTGGCCTTTAGTCACGCTTCTATCCTACCTGCCTGACACGGCCAGTGAAGGCCATCGGGGGAAATGTTAGCGGCATATATGCAGTATCGCGAGGTCGGCGGCAATGTCGACCAATTACCAGTACATATGCACGGTTTCAATGTATCGCGTGAGCAAAAAAAACAGCGCAAGTAGAAGGGAACACCTGCATCGTGGGAAATTTGCGCCGAAGTACTTGAAGGGTCCTGGGGTAAAGTATTGGATCTTGGTCCCCCACTACTTCGCACGTGAGACTGGTGAGGGGTTTCCCCAATCTGCCCTGCACCGAACTTGAGTCGTGCCGCATACAATATTCCTAAAGGAGACTTACATTAGGTAGTGCGAGCTAGAGAATGTGACCTCGGGAAAATGGGAAGGATGGAATAACCTAGAATGAAAAGAAGCGCGGCCTTGCAGTCATGCTAGGTAGTTATTTTCGAATGCACGGGAAGCTCGAGTCAAGTAAGTTTTCACGCTGTTACTTATGGAAAAATCAGGGTCCAAGCGCTCCATGCCAATCAAGGGCGCCAGCGCAGGGCACTCGACAAGGGTCGTGTTCGCAGCTGGCCTACAGTCCCACACGTGTCGCTGTTCAGTTGACATGAAATCGAGGATTGGGGTAGATCCCTAGCCTGGGACAGCCAGATCCATTGCGTTTGGCGGTGAGTCAGGGTCGTAAGCTGCACTCCATACCAATGCGCATGCGTTTCTTTGGCGTAAGTGTGAGTGGAGGAGAAGGTCCCTGCAGATTTGGTCAGCTGGTTTGCTGGAAATCTATTCTAGATGAAAACGAGACAAAGAAAGCGGCCTTCGCCTGCAAAATAGCTACAATAGCACGACATGAAGCTGAATCAATGGATCTGAGCTTTGCTTTAGAACGATGCGATGAATGCGCGAATTATCATGCGCCTGGGACCTTGTTTCTTCTGGGGTTCAAAAATCATTCGCAACGATAGGCAAATCCGCTGTTTTGCAGAGAACACAGGTCCTGGTGGGCAACCCCCGCAAGCCAAGCTGGCGGAATAACGGGGAGAGTCCCTTTTCCCAAACAAGGTTCTCGTTTGTCCACCACAAAAGCGATCCTGTATTGCGCGCGGGGATGCCTTTACTGTGTAGTAGTGACTGGAAGAGAAGGCTCGGATAAGTAGATGAGAGAGCGACATTCTCTTTGCATCTGGTCCCAGCTTGATATTAGTAATATTCATCCACTGGAGAAACAAAGTGTGTCTCAAATCCTAGTCATGGCTCCGCGGGCCGTTCCTCTGGGCTCTGTTCTGGCACTTGGAGTCACACTCCTCGACACTCACGTTACGCTCGCGTAATCGGTACAGATCCGTAGTGGACAAATACACATGTCAATCATGAACAGAACCGGATGCAGTATGGTACTTCACAGGCCAGTAGGATCGGGAGCCGCTGAGTGAGCTCTGAAATGACAGAGTAAATGTCAGAGTCATTCGCCACGTTGGCATGCCATGGAGATGTGGTGTTGGTGGTTGGGGTCGAAAAATAGGCGGTCGATTGGTCAGCTGGAAGTCGGGCTGCATGATTGGCTCAACACAGGCTGGCTGAATGAATATTAGTGTTTCCGTAGATGTTGTCGGAAGCCATCTCGATGCATCTGGATGTAAACGGGACCCAACAGAACGAATCTAGATGTTGGATAAGCCATATCTCTTCCAGTGGCCAGCTGAGCAACCACCAAAGCACCACCAGACACCACCAAAGCTATTTGACAGCTGAGACGCCATGACGGCATCCAAAAGTCTCTTCCTAACTGGAGAGATTGAACAACTCCCAGCAGTACTGTCCCAGCACCCGAGCACCCACGAGAGATGTATGAACATGTCGCATAAGGAAAAAGAAAACTAAAACGATAAGACATCAACCTATTACCAGGTACATCTTTTACTGTACATGTACTGTAGCTCTGACAATCGATGCGGCCCAACTGTGGTGGTTTTTTCAGCACTAACGTTGTCCACGTATGCCACTATGGGGCGCTTCGGCGCTTCTGATGGACAAATTGCTGGCACTTACCAGGTCAGACCAGGTATGCGTATTCTTCCAACAACAAAGAGCGGATGGGAGAAGCGGTAGATGATGTAGTCGGTTCGGTTTGGTGTCTTTCTACATTGTCGAGTCTGCTTGAGCAAGGTGTCTGTACTACAATATGAGATGTTGATGATGGAGTTGATGATGGAGTGCGATGGGAGTGTGATGGCGTTTGCCTTTGGAGAAGAGGTTACTTGCAGCAGGTACTGTGGTACTATGTAGACTAGCACCTCCTCCACGGTACTGTAGTACATGGATGTACAACATTCCCTACACCCTATTCGAGTCTATTAGAGTCGATTAGAGTCGTGTTTTAGGTATTTGCCGTGCTATGATTGGCCTGCATCTCCAAATCTCGCCGTGTGGAGGCGCCGTGCTCAGGTACACACTTTAAGTACATGTGTACATAGTAAGTACTGACTGCACTTAGATACCTGTGTAGGTACTGTACTATGTATGTACGTATCTACATGTAACAGCACCAAAAAGACCCCTAATTAAGGCTGCTCCCGGTTGGGGACTATACAACATGTACAATTGGCCAATCCCTACCTACAACATATAGGTACCTACCTACCTATTTACCTCAGTATGTAGGTACCTGTAGATATCGCCTATGGGACAGTGCTAGGCTCACTACCAGGTTCCCTGAAATGCATGATCTGCTTCCCTCACATCCCTCGTCAACCCCCATCGTCTCTCCCTTTCCCATTTATCCCCCACATCTTATCGACTCACCTCCCACATTCCATACATCGTATATATATCTTTTACACGTGAACGACCACAGCTATTTTATCATTCATCACGTATAACTTGACGAGGTCCGGGCATATTCCTCGCGTAGTCGTTGACGTTGCTGCTCGATAGGGTCACTCTGCACTCTCTGGCCGGGTACATCACACACACCTAAATGAATTAGCTCAACAAATACGTCACTGGCTTCCTGTCGCCCGTCCGTCGCTGCCACCCGCCCGTTCATGCCTCACCACCACATCGCCTACCCCCATAAACCTACCAATTTCCGAGAAACAAAGTGCCGTCTTGCCTGTACCAGTGTTACGACGACGACACCGACGACGTGACTTTGGATTATCAACTCATGTCTCCTGACGGGTCAATTCAATCGAGCCGACTTGAATGATCAAGACTACCAATAAAACTATCCGCACCCAAGTGACGCCATTCTTCTCGACCGCAAACTTTGTGTAAAACCATATTCTGGATCGACGCTGCCATTACACCGAGAAGATTCGTCGCAGCCCTTTGTCAACTAGGTCTATTTCTCGTGGAAAGCCCTGGATGCGTGAAGCGGAAGAAAACCTTATTCACCATTATTCTGAACTAACCTCGGCTCTTGTGGCTGCGTTCATAACTTCAATTCGAAGACACTCGCACCTTGCCTGCCCTCGACTTCGGGCGTGACTTTCCTGAAAAGATGCTCACCATGAAAAGGTTACCAAACGATTCATTTCTGCCCTCGGGCGGCATTGACTCGTTCGACCGTTCAATATCACAATTCCCTCACTTGAATGGCCATTCAAACTCTACGATATCGCCTTTATCGTTAGCACAGTCCATAAGCCAGCCTTATTTCGATATACCGCGATCAAACCACGCCTCTCCGTCCTCTCCACCTGCAACACAAGGTCCCCGGCAATATCTCTCCCCGGACTACAACTCTTTGTCGACACCAACCAGAGGAAGCCCCGGTGCTATTATCGCTTCCCCATTAATAGAACCTATCAATTCTGGGACAATGTCGCCCTTCGAACACCTGAGCCCCCAAGCTGCTGCGACCCTACTCCAGCGTAGAGACGATCACAACCGGAGGCTACGAGAATGCTGGGAGGCCGAACGTACACATTTAGAAGCTAGTCGAGCTCGAGCCGAGGAGATGTTCCGGGAAGAACGCACTCTCATGGACGAAGAGCGATTGATTTGGGCAGAACAAAAGGCTGAATTGGAGAATGAGATTTTGAAGTGGAAACAAAACAAAGAAGCCGCCGAAGCTGAGGTACTCAAACTGACGGAGCTCCTGAAAAGCAAAAGCACGTCTAATGGGCACGCCAAATTCGGTAGGGCCCTTGATGGAGCTGCCGATGATGTTTTAGGAAGCCAGGGACATGGTAATACTGCAGGTCCTAAGCTCGGTGGTACATCGTCTTCTACGTTTCAAACCCCTTCTGATGGGATTTCACCCAGTAGTTTACCACCTGGGCGATCATCTACCATACCCAAGTCAAACCCGTTTGAGCCACTTGATCCACGAATGCAAAGCGCATCGCCCACAAATCCCCCTACTAGCAAAGAGAAAGAGCGAGTTCCGTCGATTGAAATTAATGAGATTATGCCCGGCCTTGAAGGCGTTCGATTAAAAGCTCCAGCAGTCCAGAAATCTACGTTTGATGACAGGAATCAGCGATCGTCTACATCTGCAACTAGCAGAATTTTCTCACCTGACACCAAGAAATGCGTGTTCGAAGTGCAGTCTTACGTTTCACCTGCCGTGATGACTCAAGAAACTCTGAAGGCTCCTGAGCACCATAGACTTACGATGCACGCTGGACATACGCCCAACCATTCCATGTCCTTTTCCAATCTGCCGACAATCGAGTCTACTGCCGGCAACACAGCTGGGAGTACCGGGACGTGCACGCCGACAACTTCTAGTGACCCACAGAGAGTACATGGCAATGACACACTTGGCCAAGGCAGGGTAGAGACCATTGCTGGCGCTGACCAAGATGAGACTGCCATATCAGGAGCAGTTATATACGAACCTAGTGACGATCCGGCGCTGAAGGGGCCCTTGTGCCTTAAAAACCGACCAGCTGCTGATGAAGTGTTTCTAAGGAGGCTTTCGGATAAGCTCGAAGAAGTCAAGGCTACTGAAGCCACACCATCTGTCCTTAATGAGTTGATAACTAGGGCTCCAACAGAGGACCAGGCGGACCTCAAGGCTGGTCGCCTCACTGAGGACGAAATCATTGATCGGGAATCAGAAGACACGCTCGAGGAAGTGGAAGAAGATGTTCCCCTCAAGTTAAAAGCGAGCAGTAATTTCGGCCAGCCTCTAGGTCAAGTGCGGCGTACGTCCGGCTTTTGAAAGGGATTCGCGAAACCGATGCCGGTGAATACTACGCATCCTACTCACGCGCACAGTCATCCCTCATACCACTAATCCTCCACGATTATTCCATTTGTTCTACCCTTTTATCATTTCCGGTTGGCATTAGTATCATTTCATCTAAAGCGGCGATTGGGATATTCATCATTTGATTTCCGGCATTGCATCACCCTCAATACCCCATTTTTATTTCTTGACTTCTGTAAATGAGAGCATTGGCTAGTTTTATTGCCTTTCCCTGAATCACACGACAGCTCACGCTGACCAGGCCTCACACGCTTCCTTTTCTATCAAAGGACTTCGAATCTTCTAAAATGATGCATTGGGCTGGCTGCTATGGAGCTAAAAAGAGCAAAACTATTGGAGCGCAGTTCATACAAATGGCATAATATGTCACTGTACTTGATCAATGGATATACCCAAGCGATGTATACTATAGCATGTATAGTGTTTTCAAGGGAGAACATAACGAACAAAACATCAACAGCCATTATCAGTTGCTGTTGAATCCATTACCAAAGGCTTTTAGTGCGTCCTGATTAGACTCAGCAAGCTCGGTTCGCTCGAGCAGTGACGTGATGGCAAAATTGTGATGTATCGATTTACTTAGGCTTCAACTTACTAAAGGCTATCCCGATGTCGTAGGTGACAACCCTCGGCTTCTAGGAAGATGTAAGCTTCCGTCGGTGTTTTAACCTATTAATCGTATGGATCGTATCTGCAACAACGATTGGCCGCAACTGTACACTACTAGCGGGGTTGGTGTTGAAAATAGGGTGGCTGAATATACAGATGAACATCGGCCGTTGAATTAGCTAGGAGAATGTAAGACCTTCTACATAGAAGGTGCTAACGAATATCCCGCCTGAAAACGGTATTATACACGAGCAACACTTGTCTTGGCTTTCACTAAGACCTCGCTTGAAACATACTTACATCCGGTTGTCTCAACTGCTTAATAGAAGGAGCGCGAGGCGGCATGTCTCAGATATAGCTACTTCAGCCGACGACTCCGACAAGACAACGATATCATCTAGCCGAAACCATGAGGCTCATCAACGTAGAATCCGTGACTCTAGAGGACTTCATTGTCGTGACCCCAGGCACTCTCGACTATGCCATCCTGTCTCACACTTGGGAGGATGAAGAGGTCACTTTCCAGGACTTCACTAGCGATAGCTCGCACTTGAACCTCAAGAAAGGATTCAGGAAGATCTTGACAACGTGCGAATTCGCAAAGAGGGATGGCATTAAGTATGCATGGGTAGATACATGCTGTATCGACAAGACTAGCAGCGCGGAGCTAACTGAAGCTATTAACTGTATGTTGGAGAAACATGACCTCGCCTTGGTGTTTGAGGAAGACCAATGCTAAGCGGATGTCGCCGATTGTATAGCAATGTTCAATTGGTACCGAGATGCTAAAGTCTGCTACGCCTGGTTGGCGGATCTGCCAGGGCCGTCGGAACAGCCTATTGAGTCTTCCCTCGGGAATTGTCGGTGGTTCACGCGCGGGTGGACATTACAAGAGGTAATTCTACACCACACTTACTCATAGATTCAAATTATATGAAGTTGAATCAACTGAAGCCCCTTTTCTAGCTCATAGCGCCGCGCCGCGTCGAGTTCTACGATCGCCACTGGAATTTCCGCGGAACCAAAGACGAATTGAAGGGGTTGATCGCGGATGTTTCACATATTGGGAAAGCCGTATTAGCTGACCCCGATGATATTTATAGAGTGTCCATCGCACAGCGGATGTCGTGGGCCGCGAACCGGCAGACCACGCGTCCAGAGGACGTAGCCTACTGCCTCATCGGCATATTCGGCGTGAACATGCCAATGCTATACGGCGAAGGGCAGCGCGCATTTCTCAGGCTTCAGGAGGAAATAGTCAAAGAGACTAACGACTTGAGTTTATTCGCATGGAAAGCCACATCAGCGGACCAACGATACCGCGGTATCTTTGCGAGAAGCCCATCCGAGTTTCACGACTGTGGCGCTGTGACGCTGATTGATGATACGATGCTCAGTCCTGAGTTCTCCCTAGGGAACAAGGGTTTGCGCATCCACACGAACCTAGTCACAGGGACAAGCGGAACCTATCTCCTCAAACTGAATTGCAACAAGGGCCCGTGGATGCCACCGCTGAGTATCTGGATCTACCACCACGGTAACGAAGTATACAGTCGGTGCCGAGCCCATGAATACGGCGATAACAGGAAAGTCGATGAAAGACCATTGCATAGAAAGAATATGGTCATCTTGAAGCAGCTCGACGCGCTGCGCTCAGCAGATCTGGAAGCCAGCCATCGCCACGCGTTCGTCTTCCGGAAGAATTTCAACACGATACTTGCTACGCGCTTTCCCGAATTCCCGTTCGCGGCGTCACCCATCGAACCCCATTGGAGGTGGGATGCGGACAGATGCATGTTGAATACGCGTGGTGTGGATGAGTTCAACGGCCTTGCGTATTTCTGGGCTAGACCTGATGCTACCGCTGACGTTACGCTGAATGAGTTCACCATGGCGGGAGAGTGGTTCATCATCGCGTTCGGAAAGGTAGGATACGAGCCGTGGATCACAGTTCACGGTAAAGATAGCAAATACGGACTGAAGTTGCTGGAGGTTGGCGGCACCAATCTCGAACGCATGGGGCGTATGGCACGCGAGAGCCTCTCGAATCCGCTGAGCATCACGCTGAAGAACTTTGCGGGAGAACCGTTGAAAATCATGACTGTATCGCTTAATGAGGGCATGCTGGACGGACAGGAAGTGTATTTCATCGATATAGACATTGAAGACGCGCCGGCGCCGCTATCCGTCACGGACGAAGCCTTGCGCGCTTAGAAGAGTCCAGATATCGATTATAGCAAGTCTATCGGCTTTAAAGCTAATGAGCAGAGCTCAGGAGACGAAGTTAAGGGCGGTGATATCGCGGGTTTGTTCGGATGACCGTATGGGTTCGCTCTGAAGCATGCCTGATTCTTGCAAACAGGACCGATGCGTGTTCTGCCGGACGAAGACGGTGTAGTACATCAGGATACAGGGTTCCATGTCAACAGACACCCGGGCACGAAGTTTGCAGGTGATAGTATATCTCACTTCAAACTGGCTCAGGAACTCGGGCCATCAAGCTGAAACAGTACTGGTTTCCTGTCTCGTTGGATAATTCAGGAGTTTCATGTATTTCGATACTATAGTCGTTCAGCGCCTAGATTTTTCATGCAAGTATCTGATAGTCCTAGTTGGTTTAGATCTTCGACTAGTGTTGAAGCATTCAATAGACTGATATGACCTCGATGTAGTGTTGACATTGCCGGAACTGAGAGATTCAGAATCACACTGATCAGGGGCTCCCGATACATTGAGCTCATATCCGCCATCTCTACGAAGTATCATGCACATATTTTCAGTGCTTGTATTTAAATCATTGTGTCAGCTTCTCAAGGATCTTGTAGACGATAATTCTATTACAGTGATGATTGCCAAGCGCTTTGGAGACTGCGCTGAGTTGTATGCACACATCATTGACATGACAAGTTTTAAAAGATCAAGTTCACACACTATCATCTGCCCCATTAGCTTCAGCATCGAAATCGTAGTAACATGCCGATCGGAACTCTCTATTTTTATTTGATACTCTAGGAATTAGTTCAAGTACATGAGCCGAATCTCTGTTTCGGCGTTTGATGTGCGGACATGCGGTGTAGATATATTGTCATTTACGAGAAGGTCACCCTTCTCCCATGTGAAGCGCAAACACGTACGAGGGTCGCGTGCTAATTTCTCCACGATATTCACAAGAGTTTGCTCCTCGTTCTCGATTTGTACTCGATGAGTAGTATCGTTATTGAAAGAGCGCCATCGTAGACAAGGCGCATTGGTGACGGGGTGGCGCACCACGAGGGGAAGACCTTTATTTGCACTTGACGGGGAACTGTCGCTGGTTACTTTCCAGGTGATAGGTTCCAGCTTCTCGAGAGGCCACGACAAAGGTAGATAGCGGAAGAACAGTCTCGAATTGCAGAAAAGACTGTAGTCGCCTCCCTTGCGCGCTGTGGCCAAGTAGGCGGAGTACTGGTAGCCTGGTGGATTGTGTAGTGCAGGGTCTGTCACAGGCTTACCCAGTTCATGGCCCTTATTGAGCCATACCTCCTCATCGAGGGTTTCGCCAAATCCACGCAGAATAACTGGCGAGAAATTGGTTGCGAGCTGTCGGACCTTCTGCATGGGTATCTGGCGCACTGAAGGCGAGCCTTCGACAGGGCGGATGATGGTGCCGCAAGGATAAAGGGGTTCAAAAGTAACTTCAATGCCTGAACTGCTCCAGTCGAATAGCTCTGATTTTTCACGGAAGAAGTACGGCTGCCCATTTCGATAGATGAGTTCGTGTGTATCCTTGATTTGATCGGGGAAGACGGTGCGGTATGATCCATCGGAGTCAATGGCGACAACGGAGCGCCACGGCATCAGTCCCACAGATGCCCTTTCGTGAGGGGGAGGGACCATTGCCAGGGAGAGCTTATCCTTGCCGGCTGAGTCGTGGATAGATAAGCGCAAGTAGTCGGGAAGCACGGCATTCAATCCTCTAGCATACGCCTTTCCGCGCACCATCATCTGCTTAGCGATGTTGTCTGGATTCTCCGTGGCCTTCTTAGAGAGGACGCCGACGTAGGAGGCGTGAGTAGTCGCCCAGGCCTTGTCTGTCGCTAAGGCCACCGTCGCATCAAAGTCTACATCACTAAAGCGGTAGAGAAGCTCTCGGCGAATGCACGCGCCGTGCTCCAGGTAATAAGCCTTGGCCTTCTCTGGGCTCTCTTGATGGAGGTGGCGGCTAGGGTGATCAAGCAAGTCCCAGAGGCGGATGAACTTGATACTGTGAGCTTCAATTCTCGTAGCCATGGCCCTCAGGGCTTCGCCAAACTCCCAGGCAGCATCCACGGAAACGCCCATAAGGTCTATGAAGTTATAGATCAATATCTGAGCTATTCGTTGGAATGTGAGCTTGCTTACCATGATAAACCAAGCCATCTGAGCAGATGAGCACTTCCGCGCCAGTTTCGTAGACGGTTGAAATGTCGTCGCAAAGGCCTTGCAGGCGTGCAAGCGCAAGCTCTTCTCCCAAGTCAGGCAGAGGCCCGAGGACCACGCTGTCAGAGTCCTGCTTGAATGGAAACGCGGGAAGAAGTATGCGAACAGGGATGCCGGCGGCGACCTGCTTTGTCACCGTCGGCAGGTACACATCGAAGGCATCCCATGATCCGGGCTCCCTTTCGCAGTGGACGCCATAGCTAGCAATGATATTAAGAATATCAACAGCTGTAGCCTCATGAGTTGGGGCTGCCATGTTTTCTGTGTATATTAGTGATGCGACGAGTCCTTGGGGTTGGTTTCACTTTGTATACAGGGCTTTTGCTTTTCTTGATAATTCAACAATTATTGCCGCCGGCTACTTAGCTGAGGGGTTGGTCAATAATACAAACTGAATTCACTGACATCGAATAAATTGTACAGAGTGCTTTTATTTCGAACAGTAAGTATGTATCTACATTTTTCTTGCTTATAAGAGGGCATTTTGACACGTACCCTATGAGATAGACAGACTATATCGGACGATAATGTTGATGAAAACGGTGCGGGGCATGGGCCGACTCCAATCCTCACAACCAACACCTATCTAAACTTCGTGTATTCTTAGACAGGCAGCATTGATTACGAATGTCTACCAACACATCAGCCAGAAAACTATGGGAATAACGTCCATAGTAACATGGCCAAGTTCGTGCCAGCTGTAGCGCACGCATTCCGACGACTACCCCCCCTCAACTTAGTCCCTTCAAGCTCTACCGTCACACGACTGTGATCTCAGTTTTCTTTCTAGATCGCTTCATAGTAATCACAGCCACGCTGACCAAGATTCGAATTCGCCGCAATAAGCAACCTCGCGCAAATCCGCTTAGCGTCTAGAGCAAGAGGCCCATGTACCTCTATGTTCCTTAGGACCGCTCCCACCAAGACTAATGTACATGTTGGTAGACAGTTGGTAGACAGACAATCCCAAGACTAAACGGGAACTAACAAGCTACCCCACAGGAGCCGGGTCAGCCTGGTGGGACGAGCTCTCTTAGTAGAAAATGCCGAAGATCATTTGGAATGTTCGAATTCCGTCGGTGGCCGTACGACTCACTACGTTTGCCTGAATTCCGCCTAGAGCCAGCACTGGCTTGGTGCTAGTCGGTATGACTTCGCATGGAAGCCCTGCCGAGCCTGCCTCGATTTGAAGGGGCTTGCTTCTACACGTGTATCTACCATAGCGTCAGAAATGCACATGGGTATCATTCAGAGGATCCTCTTGCATGCCGTGTCTCCACCGCGCGACCCCCGTCCTCGGTAGTCGAATCGTATATGAACTGGTCTGGTGTGTGTTTAAGGGTAGGACGTGCCAAGATAAGTATTTGCGGGCCTGGGTGAACATACACGTAGGCGGCGTAAAATCAGGCGCGGTAACGCTTGAGCCAAATGGAGAGCAGTTTGGTGTAAGTACCTTTAGCCGAGATACCTTTCGTCCAGGGGAGCGTCAGCCTTGACACATTTTACCAGACACATACCACAGTATTAGTCTAGTTCTCAGTCTCTGCTGGGCCGCAGATAAACGCTTCCCTGGCCCGCTCGCCTGGTCCGCACCCGTGCTCATTGGTAGATTTACTGGTGCTGCTCCTCTTCACCAGGATTCTCAGCCGCCAAGCGCCAAGAATCCGAATCTTAAGTACTATTACGTGGATTCCATCTCACGCAGCATTTCCACGTACTAAAGATAGCGTCATGTTGTGATATGATAGCCACGTCGCAGATAGTTGATAAATTGTTATATGCAACATGAATGGCGAGATGAGCTAGTCTTGTCTATTCCTTGCTGAGATCTAGAAACAGTTTCCATCAAACGTTGCATTGCTATTTTTACTAATCACCACACTTACAGAGCATCATAGGACGCTATCGTGACCTGGTATTCTTACTGGGTAAGCAATTAACCTCTAGTGGCGAAATAAGATTAGCAGATTAGTAGATGATTATTAGTATTAACTGTGTTGATGGTATATGGTGCTAGCATACACGGCTCTGATCCTACATCACGCGACCTTGTGAGCTCTGAGAGAGGAATAACAGGACCCAAACGCATCTTGAGTCCCAGCGCAAGGTCCTGGTACAGTTATGCCAGTACATGTCGAATTTGCTTGCTCAGTCAACTCTGCCCCGAAATGGCCTTTCACTGGTTACTAGCGAGCGTCCTGCTCCTTGTCATTTGGTGCGTCTATCAGGTGATAGCCAAGATTGTACTGCCGCCAGCACATTTCCCCAAGAATATCCCTACTATCCCGTTCTATTATACCCTTCTGTCTCTGGTTAAAGAGGTCGACCAAGAGCAACTCTATCGTAAATATCTTGAGAAACCATTGACAGAATGGGGCGCCGTGAAGATATTCTTTGGGGGGCATTGGAACGTTCTCATCACCCGCCCAAGCTACATGGCACAGGTCCTCAAATATGATGAAGATTTCCCCAAGACAGGAAACCAGGTAAAGAACCCCCACTCTGTTCTAGCCCTCTATACGGGCGAGAATATCATTAGTGCAGCGGGCGAGAATTGGAAGCTATTCGCGGATGTGATGAAGCCGGCACTACAAGCCAATATTGATGCTTCAGTCATTGTGAGGAATGCACACAAGTTGATCGATCAATTCCTTCAAGAACAACGGCGCAAGAGCAGTGTCGATGTGTCAGAGAATATCCAAGCATACGCCATAGCGAACATAAGCGAGTCTCTACTAGGCTCTAGCTTTGAAGTATGTTGCCAATGTACGTCCTAAGGTGTCCAAAGTTGATTCTAACAGCTCGGTTATAGGCACTGGGAAATCCCAACCATCCTTTACTGAAACTCCAGCGAGAAATAAAGCCAAAGATATTTAACCCATTTCACCTGAATTTCCCTGGGTTGGATCGGTTTCCTATCCCGAGTCGGGAGGCGGCCAAGAAGCTGGTCAGAAGATTCCAAGCTGAGCTTGCATCTCATGTTATGGATGGCCACAAACACCGGTGTCAATCTGATAGCACCAACTTAGGATGCCGACTCCTCTCGGCGTACGAGAACGGACAGCTGTAAGTGAGGAAACAAATGCTTCTATGTTATCTCACAGTTCAACTAACAAACCCTGAAGCTCCGAGTATCACTACCAGCAAAACATCCTTATAACTTTCGTTGCTGGCCATGAGAACCCGATGATTTTGCTACTTACCAACCTCTTCGTTCTCGCTGACAAGCCGGAGCTGCAGCAGCAGGTCAGAAATGAAGTCATGAACCTCTCGCCTGCTGACCGGGTCAATCCCGACGTGCTCGCTACACTTCCTCTTCTGACATCAATAATATTTGAGACATTGAGGATGTATCCTCCCCTATCGCAGATCATGAATAAGCGCACAGCCACAGACGTAATGCTGGGTGAAGACATCCTCTTACAGGCCGGCACTTACACTGGCTACAATGGCTACAGCACCAACAGGAACAGAGAATTCTGGGGTGCAGACGCGCATGAGTTCCGCCCCGCCCGGTGGGGGAATACTATCGATGACATGAATGCGCTCTACAGACGAGCCACTAGCAAAGCCACATTCATCACTTTCCATGGCGGAAAACGCACGTGTCTGGGCCAGAGGTGGGCGATGGCGGCGCACCGTGTGACCATGTCTATCTTCCTGGCCTCGGTAAGGTGGCAACTAGACCCGACGTGGCCACGAAAGATGACGCCGGTAAGTTGTAACATTTCCTCAGCCCCATGTAAGAGAGATCATTTACTTATTCGCTATTATCAGGCTGGCCCTTTAATGCCCAAGAGGCTAAGGCTACAAGTGGAAGAAATAAAGGATTCGGTATGATTTGAGCAGGTTGTAGATCATTGTAATGGACTGATACTATGCCAATACGGCTGGGAGGAACACAAGAATACTTAGGAGAAGATAAAAAATAGATAAGATGATATGCTTGGCTTCCACCAATGTCCGTCAGTTTATAGTCGTACCATTAAGGACTTTTAGTTAGATGCAGAACGGAGGGGTAAGCATAATCACGAGTTAGCCAATGTACGAAGGATCAATATTTTTGGCACAGACCAGAGCGTTGAGATGGTAATATGTCCTCCCAGGAGACGAAAACCCCCCCAAAAAACCCTTGCATGAGTAACTCATGTAGGTAGGAGCTGTGGTACGATGGTAGGACATTGAAGGCGAAGGCTCCCTTGATTGACGATCCCTTCTATATACAGAATGCCTTCTCTGTACTTAAGCATTACATGTATGCGATGACTGCTGATCCCCTCTCTAGGCTAGTTGAGTTCGGAGATATGTACGATCCTTCGTCTATCGCCCTAATACAGAAGCGACAGCGATGGATCCTGCATATAGGAATGGATGCTGGGTCTCATCTTATTATGATCTGTTGGCTCTTTTTGAGAAAGTAGATGCAGCACCGACAGGGTGGGACTGACATAGTGCGATGAAAAGCAGATTCAAGCGCTTGGCGTAGGACAAACAGACGCAAACTTGCTCACCTCGGGACCATCAGCGTAAGATCACACGAAAATGCTGTGAGAGTTTCCGAACCCTTTACTGGTATAAGCCTATTTGTTAGTTCTAGACACAGAAATAGAAGAAATCGCTTGAACTTGCTCTAATTTGCTCTATCATGGTCCGAGTTGAAAGGCGTGTTTTGCCCTTGAATTATGGTCAATATCAAAAGCACATATGTACACTAAGAGCACCTTGTAAGCTCCGGCGCCTTTATAGTAGATCTGATATCACTACTACACATCTCATCCAATCCTGGATCTCCGCTAGTAAATAGTGATCATCAAACACTTCCAGTATGGTCGATTCTCCTACCGTCGCCGAGGGCGACCCGAAGGTTGAGTATGGTACCATCGTCAGGCAGACTGCAACACCGAGCAATACATCCGAGGACCTGGAAAGTTCTCGCCCGAACAACGCCAACTCATTGAAATCAAAGAGAGCATTCTGGGCGTGGTTATTGGTGTGCTTCTCTGTAAGTTTCCTTCACAATAACCTAGCCCTCATTCCCTAACTCGTGGTGGGAGCATTGCTGACCATATGTATAGACGGGGCCAACAAATGGCGTGGCTAATAGATACATTCCCGCTGTATTGCAGTCTGTCGCGAACGCTGTCGGCCATGTGCCCGGTACGAATGAGCGATGCGCGACACGCGGCAAGATTGTCTGCGTGGTCCCCTTTGGCACCGGCGTAGTCGACTATAACAGTTATATCCTCTACCTCCAGGCCATCAGCAGGTCGATCGAGGGCGTACTCACAATTTTGATTGCTGGGATAGCCGACTATGGTCGTGAGTAGCCCGAAGGTCTCCGACCTGTTGCACCGAGTAGCTTACCTTTGATTTCTCAAGATTACCGAAAGAACCTTATGATTGTTAGCATTATTCTATTTGGAACGTTCGCATTACCCTTCGCGTCCTTCAACGAGAAGTCGTACGAGAATCTAGTCACGTACTCCGCGCTGTGGCTTACGCTAGCGGCTGTTTCCGCTGCCTACGGCACGATTGAATCCTCCTACATACCGCTGTTCATGCGCGAGTCTGGTTGGTTTGACAGGAAAACCACGACGACTTCGGACTCTACCACGTCGGCAGGGAATGAACTGCGGCACAAGGCGCAGATCAACATCGGCACGAGGGCAAGTGTTCTTTCTCTCGTCGCTGGGAATCTGGGGTCTATCCTCTCCCTCCTGATCGGGGTGATCATCGCCAACACCAGCCGGTCGGGACCGACGGATGGCTATCGCTCATTCCTGATTGCAATCACCGTCGGTGGTGCCTTGACGGTTGCACTCGGAGCCATCGGGTGGTTCTTTGTGCCCTCTGTTAGAGGCGCTAAGCCGCCTTCTAGAAACTTGGCGTTCTTGGCTCTCAAAAACCGTATGTGGATTCCGACAATTGTCACGAACTTACATTGACTCACGATGTTGCAGAATTATCGCTCTTGAAATCCTTCCGTCGATATCCAGAACCCTTCAAGCTCTGCATCGGCTGGGTTCTCTGGAACACGGCCAACAGCAATTTCCAGTCGGTCCTGGGCTTGGCGTTCCGAGAGGTCAGCGGACTGGGCACGGGTGACCGTCTCTACACTGTATACTCCTTTTTGGGCATCGTTCTCGCAAGCATCGGCTCTCTTTCCTGGATGTTCTTATACCCCGTGCTGCCCTACAAGATGAAGACTTATGCCTACTTCTTCCTCACCCTCCACGTGCTGTGGTGCCTTTGGGGGACCTTTGGTATTAGTGATAATGTTCCCATCGGATTTAAGCACACAGGCGAGTTCTGGGGCGAAATCGCACTCCTTAACCCAGCGACAAGCGCCCTTCGCGCCTGCAACAGGGTCATGTATGCGGCCATGATCCCTAGGGGCAAGGAGGCGCATTTTACCGGACTCGAGCTCACGCTTGATCTCGCAACGGGCTGGATCAACCCATTGGTACAGTCCGTGATCCAGGACGCAACACATAATCTGCGATATCCTATGTTGCCCAACTTATTTCTCTTCTTAGTTTCCAGCGGCTTCTATTTCTGGTTCGATATGGACAAGGGTATCGAAGACTCAATGAAGCCTTGGGACGAGGATGTAGCTGAAGAGCAGAGTTAGAAGACACTGAGTTAGCACTCATACTTCTGTACTACATATTAATGTCAAAAAGGATTAATTACGTTCTCCTCGCAGGGGACTGCAACATGGTGAAGTGTGAAATTCATTGAACTGTTTGCTCAATCTTGATGCCCATTACCAACTCCTCTATGCATTGTTAAGATACATGAAAGAAATCACGCAGAGTGGCCTCGAGGCAAGTCTTTGTTACCTTCGCGCCAACATCAATCAATTAGACTGAACTTCTCGTCGGCGGACTTTTCTGGCAGCTCCGAGCTAGCCTTACGGAGGAGGAAATATCCACCCTTATCCTCATTGTCTACCCACCCCCCTGTATATTTCCCGCTGGCGACGGCTTGGCGCGCGACTGATGCCTTCGTCAAATAGGCAAGTCCATCCCCCTCCACCTTCACAATGCTATTGTGCCAAGGTGTGGGGATCTGGAAATCATATAACGGCACTGGCTCGTGACGACCATCGACGTCGTCAATCGCGCGCACCTTGTCCCTGGGGAACAGGCGAATACCAAACTTAGGCCCCCGGTTGTTATGAGCATGGATAGAGAGACGGACATAATTAGGGTATAAGAGCTCAAGAAGATTTGAATAGGCTTGGTTGCGCACCATCATTTCCGATGCGACGGCTGCAGCCGTCTTCTTCTTCCGCGAGGTCGACTGGCCCGCAAACATAGGCCCCTCCAAATCCTGTAGCATGAAGCGCGATAGCCCGCGATATGATCTGAGTATATCAGGATCTTGAGCTAGTATGAGTTTCCTGAGATGTGCTCGACTGATGCCGCAACTCGCCATCACCAGTTTACGAGCAATTTCGGCTGTGTCAGAGAGCTTAGTCTGTATGGGGTCTTGCACGAGCTCAGGGTCCGCGACCCATGAGGGGCTAAAGGTCTGCGTGCTGTCTGAGTCATCGAAGAGATCAGTTAGTGGGCAAAATCTGACAGCTTGCCGGTCCGCCGGGGTGTTGAACATGGATCGATACAGCTCTTGTAGATTCGATTCATATTCTGATATTGCATCGTCATCAACGCCAACTATTAGTTCCCTTGTTAGTCTCTGTTCGGTTCACCAGCGTCGATCTGACTTACTGCAGCTGGACAGCAAATGGCCATCGTGGATGATCCAGACGGTTGCTCCAGGGGGATATATCTCTTCTAAGCGCTTGGTAAAGGCCCAGAGGGTTTCCAGAGCTATGCGCTCTGCCATATCTGGTTTGGACCCGCCGACTTTCTGATCATTTGGAGACTTGCATGGGAAAGCAGGGAGCACCATTTGGCATCGCTCATTCCGGTTCACGAAGTCCCGTATTCGACGAGTGAAGTACTCGCGGCCGGAACTGTTCCACTCGTCATTTGCCGATGTATTTCGCAGCATTTGCTCAAAGAGCACTGTGATTTTCTCAGTGACCAGCTCACCATGAAGATGAAGTGACGATTTTGATATCTCGTCCAGCTGCATCTTCGTGGATGTGCTTGGTAGGAAGAGCGTTTTAATCCATTGCCAGATTCTCTCTACTGTGGATAGCGAGTCACTATGTGTGAGAGCTGGCAGCTCCTGGCTTAGAGGAGGTTGTAGTGTTGTCTTCAAGATGAATAAGGTCTCTATCCATCCCAGAAAGGCTTCGTCGTAGCTATCCTGAGATTGGTTGGCAATATAGCCGACATAGCATTTATATGTCTCACGATATATCTCGCGTACACGGATTCTAGTGTGGCTATCATCGAATGAGTGACCGAGCAGGTGGGATGCTATATCAAAACTTGTCGTTTCAACTAGCAGGCCTGATGGCAGGGTCTCGAAGGTGGTGTTGTTGATTCTGAGCTGTTCGAAGATGGTTGGCCACTGACTGGTGATTGCTTCAGCGTTTTTGCCTTCCACATTCAGCAGTCGACCATCGGGGCTGCGGCAAAAAAGACCCAGCGACTGATGAAACGGCGAGGAGCCGTAGTTAAGATTCGACGGTGCCATAGATAAGAGATGAAGGTAATGTAAACGTCGATCAACACTTAATCTTCCATCAAGAATCCACGAGTGGGTGAGTTAATGGTAGATTTCATTAGATTTGGGTATAGTAAAGTCCAGCAGCCGCTCCACGGCGAATATAATGTCGGTAAGCGACGGTATCTATGTATCCCATGACGACAATAAATCCTCGAAGAGCAGGTAGCATTTCCGCACTTACCCACCACTTCTAAGCCTCCTTCCCAAGTCCTTTCCAAGCCCATCTCACTTGGTGTGACCCGGATCCATTCCACCCCACGGGTAAAGGTCTAGCTATACTCGGAAAGAGAAAGTTGATATTTGCAAGGATACCGCGCCGTCGCCTTGCCTCGCCGGCTCACTAGCCGGGCTGACTGTTGGCGGAGGACTTTACCTGAATTCTATATTCGGCCAACGAAAGACATTAGTTCATCTCATTACTCCGTACTTACTAGTTTATCACGTACTGGCGGCACAAGGACATGTGGAGCTGGAGTGAAAGAAAAAAGAGAGCCTACACTAAACCAAATCCAAAGCCCGCTACTTGTTAGGGTTGCCGAGGATGCTTGCAAATTTAATGCCAATTTTCACGAGGGTCTGTGACTTCAAGGTTACATACGAAGTATTTAACTGGTTATTTGGCAGTTGGATGGCTGTCTGAATGGCTTCATAACTGGCCGTCAAAAAGCCACTTAATCTTACAAGTACCTCTGTTGGCAAAAGAAACTATCGTCATACTAAATAGTACAGCACACACAATCAACATGGCGGGTCCGAATGAAATAGCAGCTAACCAGAGGTATAGTAGGTAACCAAGGCTAAGAGTTGATACATAAGGATTATGGGAGGTTGGGTGTCATACTTTCACGTGCACCTTGTTCTGCACACCACGAGCCTATACGATAATACGGCCATCCCAGGTGGACGGGTAGAACTTAGGTAATACAGTGGATATGTATATCCAAGTACCATTGATCATTTGACTTCCATACGACAGGAATCATGAAGTATATATTTGTACCTTGGCTTACACATTGAAACAGTTCCACAATCTCTGCATGGCCTGAGATTCTAGATTACAGAATGACTGCCCCACATACTTGATTTGCCCTATTGTGCAGATAGCTGAAGAAAGAAACTGGAATCAAGCTTGTTTACTTGACTCTGATGAGTAGACTATGATATAATTTCTCGCCTCCTATCCGGCACTCGTCGGCCTGGTGGCTGTCAGAGGATTCATACTAACAAAGATACATTCGGCCTATAAGTGCGCGGGTCTACATGTGCATCGGAAGTAACTGCTACATATAAATATACAAAACTACTTATGATTAACCAATTCCACCTTACCATCCACCCCAATAATTATTACTATTTTTAATAGCTACTTCAAGCTCAAGAAACTGTGTTAGTGAGGCTTCTGCCGATCGGGTTAAGCCCCGATTGGTAGAAGTTTTACTTTGTTGGTTGCCAAGGCCGACGTTTTATTCGGCCGAGTACGGAGCCCCTGAGGCAACGGGAAGGCCTATGTAGGTAGGCGAGTAGGCATCTCGTATGCCGCAGCCGCAGGCCCTCGTTATTGCAGCGGTTCATGGTGAATTCTATCGTGAAGCACAGTTTGAACAAGCTTATTGTACCCTGGACTAAAGCAAAGGGTCATGCCCCACAGGACTAAGCAGCAGCTACATCCACGGTCAGCTCCGAGCCCGATCCTTGCCGTTAGGATCTTGGCCGTTCTCACGGTAATCTTGCGTGACAATTAGCGCAAAACTTCGCGCTCACTAAGCCGGGAGTCACACTGCCTTGGCCTTACCAAAATGAACGGTGGCGTCGAGATGTATGCTGAGGTCCGCATTAGTCTAAGTGCTGCATGTAGGTATACCAACCAACCCATCCTCTACCCAGTTTCCCTTCTTTTGTCACTTATGTGTTCATAGAACAGACGTGTTTTTCCCATTCATCCATCGTTTCTACTGTTTTGAAACTTTCCCAAGTTTTCCAGACGTAACAATCAATGGCTGCCGAAGGGAAAGCGCCCAGTATGGGCGAGAGTGACGACAGTTCGTCGTCTTCGATGCCATCTGCTCTTGATGCTGGAAAGCCTGTCGAAGAGGGTGATGGCAAGGCAGTAGAGAGCTTGGCGGTCGGTGTCGAACCAGTGCGTGACGTCGAGAAAGCCGTTACGCCACCAGCGCAGCCCAAGGAACCATATACGACATTCTCTCCTTCTCGCCAGATGTTCATTGTCATTATTGTCACCTTGGTTGGTTTCTTTGCACCTCTTTGCGGCGCCGTATACCTTCCTAGTCTCATTCTCTTCGAAGATGTCTTTCACTCTTCTTCTAAAGTCATCAATGCCACCATCAGTGTCTACTCGGCCATCTTCGCCGTAACACCGTTATTCGGCGCTCCAGCAAGCGATTACCTCGGCAGGAAAGGTGTCTACCTGGTCACTATGGTTATCTTCCTCGTCGCCAACACCCTCTTGGCGGCACTCCCTCCTACTATTGGAGGGCTGTTCGCCCTCAGAATTTTCCAAGCACTAGGTGCTTCTGTCGCAACATCTGTCGGCGCCGGTACTGTAGCGGACGTAACGCCGCCAGCCATGCGAGCTTCGAGAATGGGAATTTTCCTTCTTGGGCCGAACCTGGGCCCTGTTCTCGGGCCTCTGATTGGTGGGCAATTTTCGACACCTGGTCTCTGGAGATGGGTCTTTGGATTTCTGTGTAAGAGCTTCACCATTGTCATTAACTTGCGAATATAATGTATCGTGCTAACTTGCCTGGAAAGCCATTGCTGCATTCCCCGTCTTCCTACTGGTACTATTTTTCCTCCCAGAAACGGTACGTATCAAAACCTGCCGTGCCGGTTCTGAGATCTGGACTCGGTAGAATGATCTATTGTCTTCCAGCGCTAACTGTTACCGCAGTATGTGAACTTTTAACTCCGAAACACGATCACTGTTATCTGCGTAATTCTAGAAAGTATGTAATAAGGAACTGAACTAACACGTTTTGATAATGACAGTCTTCGCTCTTTGGTCGGGAACGGGAGTTACTTTACCAGCTCCCCCGGATGGCTAGTAAAGCCACGTCTGCGCCAAAAGCGGATCGTACCCGAGGGGGCTTACCCGAAGCCGCCCCGGCTGACCCCTAAGAGGTTGGTAGAATTGCTTTTCTTCGTTCCGAACCTCATCGTCAGCGTCGGGTCCGGCTTACAATTCTCGGGCCTGTACTGCATCTACATCACTTTCCCTCGCGTCTGGCAACAGCGATATGGATGGAGCGGAAGCGAGACAGGGTATGCGTTTCTCGTGCCAGCCGTTTTCCTCCTCATTTCGTCATTGTTAGTCGGGCGGGTATCAGATATGATGTACCGTCGCTACAAATCTCAGAACGATGGAAAAGCCCCCCCGCCAGAGAAGCGAATCGACATACAGATTTGGGGTTACCTATTTGGGGCTGCTGGAAAGGCCATGTTTGGGTGGTTCGTCTTCAAAAGCTATCATCCAGTAGCACCCTTGGCGGCGAGTGCTGTTGCCTCGGTCGGGACTGGGCTGGTCATGGTGACTAGCACGGCGTACCAGTCAGAATGCCAACCCAGCGCCACGGCGTCACTAGTAGCCATCGCCGGCTTGCTGCGGAATATAGGCTCCGCAATTGCGGCCGCTATCATTGACAGTCTGCTAAGAAGCTTGGGGCTTGGTTGGCTATTCACTGGTTTGGCTCTGCTTGACGCCGTTTGGATTGGTGCGATAGCTTATATTCGCGTGCGGGGACATACTTATCGCAAGTCATAGACGTATAAAATCATTCGAACAGTTAATAGAGATGTAGCAGAAAATTACTAGAAAACAAGATTGAAGTCCGTCCAGTCAGGACGTAAACATTGCTGTTATTGGCGTCTAACTATGGTGGACCGAACGGAATAAGTGATTGAATAACGCGGCTCAACATACTGTTGTCTCGTCGCTCTGAATAGGCTTCTCCAGGTCTTATGAACTAATTCTGGCTAAACTCGTTCGTTTATGCTACTCTATAATCTCTCTATGCTGCAGCATAGTAGGTCCTACTTCTTACCGCCCCTTCTCCAAGTCCATATTTAGGAGAGAGAATAGACGTCGTGTATCCATTGCTCTCTAGACGCTGCATGGTCCTCGATAATAATCACTAAACACATCGTTCTACGCATCGTTCTACGCTTTTTTTCTTGGTGGGGGGTTGTAACCGCTGTTGAGAGGTGGTTACATGCATTCAAGTATCCCCTTCATCCCGTAGATATTATAGAGCAGAGTTGGTGCCTGGACCCCTATGTACGCTAACGCTTTTGGTTCTCCCTTGCGTTTTCCTGTGACCAGGGGTCACCCCATAACAGTTTGTAGCCTCTATGCAAACTTATGTTCGAGTGAACTACTTACGATCTTCCCTTCATGAATGCGATATACATTAAAATAGAAACTCATCTACGTCGATCAAACAGCCTCATTAACATACACGAATATACATCTGAAGACATTCATGTCTCTGGCATGTACACATGTAGTACCTAAAACAATAATGTTGTAGATTACTACGCATAATAACCCTTACCCATGCTCTCTTTGCAGACCCCCCAAACTCATCGAACATTTACACAAAGCGAAAAGTTTAGATCGAAGCTCGGGGCATCACAGGAAGTCATGTTATGCTTGCTTTACCGATGACAAAACAAAACCGGTATTCCAGCCCAAGTCTTGTAGACTAGGTATTATGCATGCAATCAACACTGGGACTTCTCGGATAACTTTGGACATCATATGCGAGGACTTGATAAGCGTCCTTACATATAGGTAACCTCCACTAATATTATGAAACATTACCACGTGTCGGAGCCCTACGAATGGGTGCATCTTAGACGCTTATTGTTACGCAAAGGCCTAGACCTCTTCACTGTCGATCTATCCTATATCTAGGACAGGTTATGTATCCTTGTCAGGCCCGGTATTCATATCTTCCAAGCATCCTCAACCCTAGTGCTGAGCTTGACTAACACCCTACGAGGTCAATGCCACCGAGGGCCAAGACGCAAAGGCGAAAGCGCCAAGACTGATGGGGATTACATTAAGAGGATATTGAAACGATGGAATATACGTGAGCCTCGGTACTCACTACGCTCACATGTCCTAATCGGCCAAGAGCCTGTGGATTACATCAGATCAGAATCAGAATCAGAATCAGATTAACGCCAGGTCCCTTGATCGGCAATTCCGCCTACACTTAAATGCACCATATACGACATAGATGTATGCAACGGCCTGCCTCACCGCCGAGGAGGCGCAGATGGCGTGATGTGCATGTTGGTATGTTTTGCAGTTGCTGACCATAACCTCAGGCATTGGACTCTTCCGCGCCTCTTTGGAATCCTTCGTTATTAGAGCTTTGGTACTACGTCTGGGCAGGGATGAAGGACGCTAATGTAGTGTAAACACTCATCCTGCAGAATATGCAGCCTCAGGAAGACGGGACGCCGCGAGGCTCTAGGAGGATTTATGGCTAAAGGTCTTTAAACCTATGAAGCCACAGTCCGTCAGTGGCCAAGCCAAAGGCTGGAGCTTGGAGAAACATGAGATGTATAGTATGACTGAGTGAGGTCTTGTTCCAAGACGCAAAGCATAGATATGGCTTAGATCTAGGGTCATTGACACACTCCAGTATCTCTATCCCAGTGATTTTTCAGGTATTAACTCATGATTTCGAATGACACAGCACTTTAACAATATTTAGTCTAGGGACCTATCTAGTGTATTCAATATTGACATATACTTGTCGTGTCTTTTTGAAGACATAGGGCAATAAAGTAGGGAAGGTGCTGACATCGTCGAAATTCTTCTTTCGTCTCGCAATTAGAATCGACTCTATAGTTGCATTGACATAATTGGAAATTCTGAATTAAGTTGATTATTATTGACTCATATTTTGGTTCAGGCTTCATATGCCAATCTCCAATACTCAAGAACTGTTTTTGTCCATCATGTCAGCTTCGTGTAGCATATACAACCATCAGAATCTTTACACTATTGATCTAATGAAATCGCACAGGACCTTATTGAGTCCCGCACACAACTAAGCAGACCACAGCTATATTCACCCTCGTGCTCTGTCTGCTGCTAATATGTATTCTTCTTGTGTAAGTTAGTAGATATCATTGTACATCAGTTTGGCATGCGCAAAACGGTCTTTATATCACACTAGGGTAGCTCAATATGTAGTAGCTCATCCTAGGGAAGTCAGGAGTTCATTTATTACTCTACAATCTAGTATACGTAGCTCGCTCGACTTTCCAATTAACCTGTACAGTGTACTAGACAAACATACTACTTGGAAACCCTCTTGTGCACCTTCCAGTGTGCTTTCTGACACTCGGGAGAGCAGTATTTCTGGTCCTTGCACTGCCCACAAGTCAAAAGCGCCTTGCCATTCTCATCCTTTGGTTTCCCACAGCTCCCACATCCATTGAGAATTTTACTGATATCAGGGATATACATCTCGTCCACGAAGGGTGCCCAGAAGGGAGGCGAGATAGCAGCACGTACAGTATACTTCGACGCTATCTTCCAAATCGGAATGTCAGGTAAGAAGTCATCCGGGAAATTCCCGTTGCCGTAGGTGCACATAAACTTCTTGCCTTACTCGAGTGATAGGGGCAACCGGCCTGCCGTGGCATACTTGCAATTTTTATTATGCTGCCACTGCCTGCATCTCTCAGCGTATGCAGGTAGAGCGTTGTCAGGGAACATTATAGCACTAGGGTAGAAGTTACCCCGAAGGGTGGAGACAGCGTAGAAGTTGACTATATAAAGGTGTCCAGGCTCCCTCTTCATGTTCAGGGAGCCAGGAATCAATAATATTGAGCCCTTACCCATACCTTCAACCTATCTACTTCCTACGTACTACCTACTGGTGATCTAGCCTCACTCCGGGACAAACCTCCATGACAAGCGTGCTTCCAGAGCTGCATCCCTTCGTCATCGACCGGTCCACTAGCAAGACGATGCGACGTCAGAGGACCGAGGAAGTCGGCCAGCTCATTGTATAGAGGAAGGGCGGCGCGATCTAGGACGACAGCGCGATTCGAGAGGTCAATACACATCTTGGAAGAGACAATGATACGTGAATTTCACCGTTTTTCGGGCTATCTAAGCCAAAAAATCCATATTTGTTGACTCCATCAAAACCACAAAAGTGTTCCAGAATTGATGATATGGCTTGCTTGAAGTCAAGCCGAACCTTCTGACCAGGTGATCGAGATAAGTTCGCATCCTGGCACATTTGCCTATCATTTTGAGACATCGAGCCGGACAAGTGGGAGTTGAGCCATGTCAGCTTGCTTGGTTCTTTGATGTCAATAATGGGGCATTTTTGTAAGTCGAGATAAGTCATATGCAGGTTGACTGGCTCTCCTTTATGCATTTGGGCCGGATACATAAAGTCCTGGTATTGCATCCAGGAGGAACTGGTTCCTACCGCGGCGACAACCTCTACCCAATGAGACTTCCGCGCAATTCTCGTCTTCAGTGATGTGTCCACCAGTGCAACGGGGTAGGCTATGGTTAATGGACTCTCCCCTCCGATCTTGACTTCGACCTGGCAAGCGGATAATAAGTTTGTCTGAACTTTGCAATTATAATAATGCGCCTCGCCAATCCCAACGCGGAGGGCATGAGCCCCGAAACCCGGGTCGAAAATGAAGTGGCCATGATCAGCCTTGCCGCCGCGGCACTCAAATCCTTTCAGCCGTCCGTCGTCCCTTCAGTTTATGCCTGGGGAAGCCCCGCTAATTTACCGAGGCTTCGCAGGGTTGGATCATCCAGCAGCTGATGCGTGGCAAGTCTATGGATGAGTCATTCGGCTCCATGACCCTGGAGCAAAAGAAGGTGGTTCTTTCGCAAAAGGCCGCACTTCTCAAAGCACTGCAGGATTATCAACTCCCTGATAGCATTACCGGGTATGGAGGCGTCACCTATGACGAAGGCGGCCGAATGATCAGCGCGGCCATGACCAGTGTTGGCGCTGGGCCATGGCCGACCTACGAGTCTTCGTTCAAAAGTCGACTGGAGGTAGCACTCCGGAGAGCAGATGCAAATCCCTACATACAAGGATCGCATGCCAATGGTATCAGAGAGCGCCTGGATAACTTTGTGGAGCATGGCCTCCCCAGCCAGTTTCAATTTCTGCAGGCTCAGGATAAGTCTATTGTTTATGCTGATTTCAGTACATAACCCTCCCTTGAGTTATACTATATCCCCGAAGCTAACTGTTCCCCAATGTGTAGCTACTAACAACCTTCTTTTTGGCCCCGCCAGTCTACGTATTACGGCGTTGATTGACTACGACTTCTCGTGTATCACGCACCACTCTTACGAGTTCCTACGCTCATTCGACGGTGCCGGCGGTCAATTCAGGGGTTGGTCCGGCGATGAAACTAGTGAACAAGCGGTACTAAGAAATGCCAAATTGCACGGGTTTCCGTCGCCGCTGCCACTTACGACCGGAGTAGATTGGGAAGTAGCGAAAGCCTGGGAAGACGAACTGGAGAGACAGTGTGTCAAGAGACCCAGGACGATAGAAGGAATCGACAAGGTAACAGACGTCGATACTGTATTGCGCACTATCTTACCTTGGAGGGTGAGCAATTCTGACATTCTGCGGCTCCAATCTGAAAAGGTGATCATGCAATACAAGGAGGAAAATGAGCAGCAGCTCATTGGCCTACTCGAACGCCTAGGGTTTTAATCCGCCTATTGTATCGCCCTCTGCCTGCCTGACGATCGAAGATATGTAACTCAGCAATAGAAAAATTGAATATCTCAAAGTCGTTTTGATCAACACAATTCGAGCGTGGTGATTGCCAATACGGTCCAAGTAGCTCGTTAAAAGGATATTTCGCACATCGCCACACCCAAGAAGGAGTATATTCACGGGTTTTTGTGGTGGAATTGTCTGGGTAAGCGATATGGCTAGTGTATTCCCAATGGGATAGAAGTAGGAAATGATGTTAACGATTGCCGGAGTCAACATTTCGCTTCACGATGGTGCTCGGGAGTACTAAAGACGACGATTAAAAGGCCAACTGAGTTCTCTGGCTTTTTTCGTAGAAATAGTCGGGATGGAGGAGGTCCAACGAACCTGGTAGCTGGTGCCTAAAGGTTGCCACAGAGACGGTGCCAGTTTTTTCAGGTTGTCTAGATACGTAAAACTGTCATGAATGAGTATATGTGCACATTAAGCTACGCGTCAATCAACGAGATGCTCTGGTTATCACTGAATTTCATCATTTGTTTGCTAAGAATTCAGGTTGGTACCCAGGCAACTCGTTTCCTCTGTTGCAACCTCGCATACATCCCGCAAGCAAGTCGGTGTGGTGTTGCTACACACCAATAGCAACCAAAACAAAGTCCAGCTTTCCATTTATTTCGGTCATAAGCTTGTATAAGGATTTCAAGTAGGGGGCTGACATCCTGGAGCAATTTCCTTGTTGTTATTGTTGTACTATTTAACGCCAGGGGAATGCCAGCAAGCCAGCAATTCCACAGAACCTCCCGAGGGGTATAGGGGCGTGCCGAGTCTATCTAATATTCAATTGAATACAGCGTTGTCCGAAAAATCTAGCACCAGGGCAGCCTCGTAAATGAAGTTATTCACATTGAACTCATTTCCTGGAGCAACTTCCTGAAGATACCAAAAGAGATATTAAAGATTACTTTCCGCTCACTTCATTGTCTCAATGAAAACATAAAGACTAGGTCTCCTCTTAACACTAAAGCTATTAACTAGCATCCTCTAATGACTCTCACCTAGCATGTAAAGCATCGCGAGACATAGCACGAATGATCCCAGATGTCTCTTTGTCGAATAAATTATTCGTTCGACAAACAATAAGCGCTTGCTTCTATGCAAATCTGTGGAAATTCTTTTGTGTGATTACTCAGATTTCCATAACTTTGCTACCCCTGAATTACATGATACGGCTCCTTCAATCACTAGGTATAAATTCACACACATGATCATGATTAACAACATTATAGTAGTGCTCCTTCCGATCACTTACTTTGAACGCACTTCCTTATAAATATATCTATCTCCAATTTGTTTTCATTGAATATGAAGAGCCACAACATAACAGGTCTTCAAACAAAAGTTAGTAGAGAAAAGGCCCCTTGTATGTCCTCATTCATGTTTGACCAACGCCACGTAACAGCATCTGTTTTCATTTGACTAGTAAACGCCTTATTGGCGTGGGTAGTTTTAAACAGCTCTTTTCAACAAGACAAAAAAGAGTGTTCATGATCTACGAACTATTATTTAATGAGAGCTTATGTTGAGTATGTTGTTATTTGGCTCACTTTAGACCTCCCCTTATCAGTTAACAGTCGTATTTGTAACTTCAAACACAAAATCCAACCCTATCACACCGAAGTGATAGCCCACTATTGAGCAATACAACTTATTGTTCCCACAGTACTTCAATCATTTCCTTCAGTGCCTCTAAAGAGGCTTTTCATAGCTAGATTCACGATGTCTTTCTCAGCCCTGGACTACCAACTTGGCGGCTTGGCGGGCTTGACAGGAGACGAAGTTCAAGGTGAAGCCACCGGCCTTCTCAATACGAGCGCAGCGATCTCATCCATGGTAAATGAGCTTTCGGAGCTGCTAACCACCCCGCCTTCACTGTATCTTGACCTTGAAGGAGTTAACCTATCACGTCATGGAACTATATCGATCCTGCAAATCCATGTCCGCACCACGGGCCAGAGCTACCTTGTCGATGTGAAGACGCTCGGCGAAATGGTATTCTCGACTCCAGGAATACGTACACCCAACACACTGAACGAGATTTTGGAGTCACCCTCTATTGCGAAGGTTTTGTTTGATGTACGTAACGATTCTGATGCGTTGTATAGCCATTAAGGCATAAAGCTCAAGGGAGTTCAAGACCTTCAGTTGATGGAGCTTGCTACTCGTCCAGAAGGCCGCAGACAGTTTGTCAGCGGGTTGAAGAGCTGCATCAGTAGAGATTTACCCGTGACACCCATGGAGAAGTCCGAGTGGATGAAAACCAAGGATGATGGAAAGAAGCTTTTCGCTCCTGAGCAGGGCGGGAGCTACGAGTTGTTCAACCAATGGCCACTCCCGGAGAGAATCCGGGCATACTGTGTTCAGGACGTACATTATCTGCCTCGCCTGTGGGATCTGTATGATCACAAACTCACCGAGGCTTGGAGAGCGAAGGTACTAGAAGCCACAGAAGCCCGTGTAGCACAGTCTCAAGCTCCTGATTACATCGGGCAGGGGAAACACAAGATGCTAGCTCCAGCGGGATGGGCATCTTGTTGAAGAGCTAGTAAATGTTCAAGTAGTATATAATTAAAGCTATAACTATACGAATTGTCTCATCTGTTTGTCTGTCGCTCTTCTTAATACTTGCTAGTCGTTGCTCGTATTATCGTTGGTCTGCTGGATTGAGCCGGAACTGAATTCACGCCGGTACCATCACCTCCTTGGTGCTCTCGGCTGATGTTGACTGTTAAGTAGGTAATTTGATAATCTGCCATTTTTAGTAGTCGACCATGGGCGTTTGAGCTTTCCTCAAACTAAACCCTTTATTAGAAGTTGTATTCTGCTAGTGATCAAGCTTAGGTAATCAACCCCCAAGAAATCTCCATTTCGGATCCCTCCATTAGCCTGTGCTAGCTTGGCAAAACAAGCAGAGAGATTTCAATGCAAACCGAGGATTGTGTCAGTATACCTATCTACTTTGTAAGTCGTGATGTGATGATGCAATGCAACGGCCCAGGACTGTACTTGTTAGTGTAGGTAAGCTCACATGTTGTTTGCCCACTCCCATTCACGGCATTCACGGGGATGCACGCCCAGCTGCCGACGACTTGGCCTACCTCGGCCTACCTACTCGATCGCCTTGTCGTAGACAATACTAGGATTCCAGATAGGGTGACATCATACTGACCGCAGCTGAACGTGGCTCGCATGGTTTATTACCTTGGGAATGAGGGGTAAGATGCAGTCGATCTGAGATGTTGGAGATGCTTGAACGTGCTCTGAACGTGCTACTACCTATGTTGTAAGTATGTGAGTTGGCGTAACTCCGCGTCCGTAGGGAGTCTTCACAGCAACCACCATCACGACTCCCACTGGTTATAGCTACCTACTTATATTATTGGATGTTTTTAGATTCGGCCAGGTCGTGACATGAAGTCTAAGTACATAGGTATAGAGTCAAACGGGGAAATCCCCGGCGGTCGCCGGCGCATCTCCGAAAGAGCCGTCAACAGGCGCGATGTGGTTTACGCTATCGCTGAACAGTCGTAGCGCATCTATAGGCGCGTCTGCGGCGGCTCCAGCGTGCTGGTGCAGGCCCGAGGGCGGGGTTCTTAGGGGTTCTTAGGGGGGCTCTTATGGGGATTCTTGGGTTCTTATGGCGGTCTAGGCTGGCTGTCTCAGGGGCCGTCACCCGCTAGCCATCACGACCCAAGCTTAAGACGAGTCCGACTCCCATCAAGGGGACCGACGTCGTACCCAATCCCATCCAAGCAAGACTCATTTCATTCCAACTCTCCTCCGACCGCCATTGCGTCTCCTCGTCCTCAATTCAATCTCCTTTGGCAGCATTGTAAGGCCTTACTATATAGTATATCGAAAAGGAAGCTCCTTGCTCTCTTACTTCTACACTTATTCAATCCACTCAAAGCCCCAACCTTCACTAGCCGGCCATCATGACCACGCGATATAGAGTAGAATGTGAGTCTCTCGTAGCTCCCTGGCTCTCATGGCCGTCATCGCCATCGGCCCGTACCTCCTGTTCATGTCCTAAACTAACATGCTGCCATTTGAAGATGCCCTCAAAACCCACAGGAGAGATCAATTCATTGGTAACCCAGCCTCCCCAACTCACCACCTCCCTCACATGCATGTGAGCCATCCTATTCTGAAGATGGTGGCCATGCCTAACGACCTAACCCACCTGGTGGCGCGTTTAAGCTCTGGGCTTTATGGCGTCAGCATGTGGCAGCACTCCAGCCTGGGGCAATTAGGCCTACGAATCATGTCGCATCTGTGCTCCATCACAATATATGCGGGCTGAGATCAGTACCATCTTCCAGGGGCCCCTTCTCTTCCCGATTCCCCGGTTACAGATGGCGTTTTGTTACTAACACATCAGTAGAGTGGATCAAGGGATTGCTGGCCGTCCCTTTCGTGCTTTACTCGCAGCCAACAGGCGTATTTGAGACCAATGGTGCCAGTGTCACCCAGATGTCCGAGGAGGCGCACAGACGCTATGCCGAGATTATGAGAGACGTCGAGGTTATGATTGATGACCATAGTATGCCTTCTATTCTCCCTCTTTATTCGACGAACTGAGGGGCTTACCATCTCCGCAGTCGCCCACCAAGCACAGATCAATGTGATCCCTTCCAAGTTGAAGCTTCTGGTTCCCCCGATAGGCAATTTCTTCACGAGACTTCCATTGGAAGCAGCGTTCAAATTTCAAGACCGCAAACGTTTTATCTCGTCGCGGCGCTTCGTCTCGCCATCGTTTAACGATGTGCGTCTGATTCTTAACACGGCGCAGCTGATGGCGGTTACCACGCAGGGTACCCTCAAGCTCGCGACCTTCGATGGAGATGTCACACTTTACGATGATGGCCAGAGTCTAGAACCAGCCAGCCCCATCATATCCCGTATGATCGATCTGATGCACAAGAACGTCAAGATCGGCATCGTCACTGCCGCAGGTTACACCACGGCAGATCGGTACTACGCGCGTCTGCACGGGCTATTAGATGCGATTGCCCAGTCGACTGTTCTCACACCGCAACAGAGACAGAACATCGTCATCATGGGTGGAGAGGCTAATTACATGTTTGAGTTCAGTCCTACATCCCCTCACCTGCTGGCCCCTGTACCTCAGGAACGCTGGCTTACGGCCGAGATGTCTACTTGGTCCGACGCAAGCATCAAAGGTCTGTTAGACGTAGCCGAGGCTGCACTACGCGACTGCATCAAGACTATGAGTTTGCCAGCCACTCTCATGCGCAAGGATCGCGCTGTTGGGATCATCCCTAGCGATCCGAACGTGCGCATTCCGCGAGAATCGCTTGAAGAGACAGTGCTCGTGGTACAAAAGATCCTGGAACTCAGTGTTGGTGGCACCGACCGCAACAACAAAGTCGTGCCATTCTGTGCGTTCAACGGAGGCCGAGACGTGTTCGTCGATATCGGCGACAAGAGCTGGGGTGTATCTGTTTGCCAGGAGTGGTTTGGCGGAAGGGCTGGCAATCGATCAATCAAACCCGAGGAGACCTTGCATGTCGGAGACCAATTCCTGAGCGCTGGAAGTAATGATTTCAAAGCACGGAGTGTAGCAACCACCGCGTGGATTGCTAGCCCTACAGAGACTGTGGACCTCTTAGATGAGCTCGCGGACTTCATGACTAAAAAGTTGAGTTAGTTTGCCGTCAAATGACGCTTTGTTTGTCTCTACTTTCTGCATTTTGAGGACAGGATCTTGCTAGCGATTAGTATCATATACCATATAGTTCGAATATTTTGGAAGAGACGAGTTCAGAAAGAGAAGCTATTATTTACCAATAATGAACGCCTAAGGCTCCTGTGTTCAAATGAGAGATTGGATGTTGAGCTCTGCTATAGTCTAGGGGGTGAAAAGTGAGAGCCCCTGGTTCAGAGCATCCGGCGGTTATCAAATCACATCCCCGCCCCCCCACACCACGAACAATATCTTGGTGAACTTCCTCATCATAAATATTGAATATTGAATGTTATTATACGCAAAGTGAAATGAAATGCAGTTCAGAGTACCGCAAAAATCATGAGCATATAAGTCTGGGGAAGGGCAGAGGAGGCCGCCCCATCACCAACTGTGTACAGATAACTACCGCTCTAGTCAGATGAAGAGACATGTAATAGTATAAAGGCTGTCGGTGGCATCTGCCTGCGCAAAAATAATCTTGGCACAAAATCAAGCAATAGACTTAACAAATTCCATATAAAGATCTTATCTTCCCTAGCTATCCCCCCTCCAAGACTATAATTAAGCGAACTATAACATGTAAGGTACACATACCAACTCCGAAGTTCATCTATAAATAAACACATCGTAGATTGGTACCGTTGGAATATATAGCGGCACTACTAGGTAGCTGAGTACCCGGTGAACCAGGGTTTGCGCATAGGTACTACTAACGATGTTTGCTATGTTCCACTCCCCGGCGTCCGAGTCTGTATGTAATGGGGCAGAGATGAATATTACTTCGCCTTACAATGTACTCTATGCGTTTTCTAACAACCAAGGTCTAGTATTATCTATCAAGTCGAAGGTGTGAACCGTATTCGCTAAAGATTAAATATCTATTGCGTACCTCACGTCGACAGGTGGGAAAATGAAGAGGGTAATCTCAGTGGTGTGTAGGTGGTAATGGAATGTTTAAGGAGATATATGTCTATGAAGGAAATGTAATATAGCCGACTGAATAAAGAAAATCAGGGTCGCAGCACAAGGCAATTTGGACTTGGGTCATCGGAGTCTTCCTTTAACTCTCCCATCCAAACCGCGTTATTCGTCAGCCCACTGACTATCCTGAGCGGCTGGATCATGGACAAAAACATGGCATTGTATCTAGGCAGGTCCGAGACGATACGCGATAATATCCAAGATCAGTCATGCAAACTCCTGCAATATTATGATTCAATATATGAGAATCGTATGTTGTCGTTGTGCAGCGGTCGAAAGGGGGGCGGAGGGGTGGTAGCAATGCATATATTAAAACTGATGCTCTGCTTCATTAGTGATCTCACACCTACTCTCCGTGACTCACTACACGAGGTTTGCATCCCTCTTCCAAACCCCTTGCTGAAAAGGCAAAATGGGAAATTGGGAGTTTCCTTGATATTCCACCAGTGATACGTGCACCAGCTGGTCTAAAGACCTGGCTGAGTAGGAAATGGTTAAGCTACACGGTGAGCGAAACTTCCCGAGTACCTTAAAGTATTACAGATAAGATCTTACCATTATCATCATTCTTGCACCGGAGACGGCGTGCAGCGACAGAACGCTCAAAATGACCCCTGAAAGCAAGAAGTAGATCAAGTGCTTGCCTTGCGCATTGCTCAGCATGGCAGCATCAGTTGTGATGAGTTGTGGCAGCGGGCCTACGTTCCTAACCACGTCTCGCATTGAAGGCGCCAAGGAAGGGACTTGGCTATATATCGATACTGCGTCGAGATGAAGTTATATGAAAACCCGGCCTTATCAAATATCGAGGGCGGCTCAGGCTAAAGAGGCTCAATTAACGATAGCCTTGCTTTCGGGGACGCGATTAGATTGGAGAGACCAGGCCCTGCCGCCAATGGCGAACCGCCGTTGCGCTTGGCGGCTCCGGAAAGGGCAACTGCTGGACGGCCCCTGTCGCTCGCCAGGGGGTTGTTGTATGCAGATTAACCGTCGCCACAATATATCGTCGACGCTGATATAGTGGCCGTTCTTGGCCAGAACACAACCAGCACGCAACCAGAGCGCAGGCAGAACCGCCGTGTGATATGTCCTGCTCCTTATACCCTCCGTCGCGTTCGGCTGGTCTTCCTACCGTCGTGTCAACTACGACGGCACAGTCCTCGCTCGTGAGATTAGGTCGGCCACGGGACAGGGTCCGACTGTACCCGTGCGAATCTGCACTTCGATGTCGACTTGGACTTATTCTTGTCGGCATCCAGAGGGGGCCCGAACTCACCAACGCCCTCAGCTGCACTGGTAACGTCTATGCCAGCCGTGCTATTTAGGGCCATGTTAATGTTATCAACACGGGATGCCTCAACATCTCATTAGCCTGCTTCCAACGTGACTCTAAACAGGGGTGCGGTTTCTCTCGGATGGACTGGTGATGAGATAGGTAAGGGTGTATGCCAGATCTCTTGATCTTGGGGAGTCGAAATGTGGTCGATCCAATTATATCTAAAAATATCTAGCATGATCCCTTGAATCTGTAAGCTAGGAGTTGTCAGATATCATCCGGACCTACTACATCGCAAGTCTCCGAGGGGGTAAGCGGGTTGCAACATGCAAACGGGCCTTTGAACTTCGAAGTAGCATGACCTTGACTGAAAGAGGGACGCCATAAACGGAGCTTCATCATCCTACTCTACGAACGTTCCTGACCGCGCCTGAGGGCAGCTGGATATAGCTCCTACATGCCTACATACTCACACACGGATATATAAACACGAGTCTTGCGTCTCTAGGAATCTCGATACTCTGCTCCTCATCTCGCAGATCGCCTCATCTACTCTGTTGACAATCCTGTTCAAATCAAAGACTTGTAAGCACTATAACAACCACATCCCAATTCATTAATAGCTCGTACTAAAGGGCTATAGGAACCTGTTGGGCATCCCTTCAGCAACAATGAAGTTCTTCATTACCATGACGGCGGCGCTAGCCAGGTACGGACCTCCCATGTTATACCTCGATCTATTGAGCAGGAATTAAGATTATTCATAGCCTTGCCTTGGCCGCTCCCGTCACCGAGTCCGACGCCGAAGTCGTCGAGCTTCCGCCACCACCCCCACCGCGAACCACGGAGACAGCAACGCCAACCCTTCTTCCGCTCCCACCGCCACCGCCGCCGACCACGACGGCAAGCGTTGCTCCTCCTCCTCCTCCTCCACCTCCAACTACTAAGACAACCTCATCTCTGGCTCCTCCTCCGCCTCCGCCTCCTCCAACTACCAAGACGACGGCAAGCGTTGCTCCCCCTCCTCCACCACCACCACCAGGAACCACCAAGTCGCCGCGAGGCATCCCTCCCCCTCCCCCACCGCGAACCACGAAGACAACGCCCACCTTCACCATCACAGTGACCCAGCTACCTCCCACCACTACCAGCGCCCCAGGCAAGCCGCCCGTCCCTCCTCTATCGTGCCCCACCGTGACCCTGACGACGCGGCCCTCGAACTGCCAGCCCATCCGCTGCCCCATTCCGGGCTGCACTTACGAGCAGGACATGGTGATCCCCTGCGGCTGCAACGTCCAGACCTTGCTGTGGGTAGACGGGTGCCAGACAGCCTGTCCCGCGGGCTGTGCCACGAGGACGTCGACGCTGAGCCAGCTCTGCGCCACGGCCACCGAAGGCTTGGCTCTGCCCACTGCTGTTTAAGGAGACTTGCGCGAAACGAGAGTTGGGATAGCTAGATATAGGTATTATGGCCTGGTTATGATAAGCTCAAAGAATAGGCAGTTAACTAGTTGATTTCGAATATATATTGGAGGGTTTAAGCTTTGACTTTTTTTCGTCGCGTGTTGTTCGTGCTCACGTACTCCTAGTGACCACTCTGCGCACAGCATCTATATGGCCTTTTTCTACTGTTACCTAAGTAATCTCCTCTAGATCTCTTGACAGGCTCATATCGCTGAGGATGTACTCTGTCGGGATCTATGATGTCTATAAATGTTGCATGAAGTTATATGAAGCCTCGGCCGTCCACGCGTGAGCCATTCCTGCATACAACCTTGACCTTGATAAGGAAATTTTCTAGAACACTTGCACTATGAGCCTCTATGAAATGAAATATTCTCGTATGTATGATGGTTGGCGGCTGTTAAGCCTTGAAGGAGACTGCTCAGGATAATCATTTCACATTTTAATCTTCATTCGAATTCATGAGGCGTTAATAGTAAATTGATTTCTTCAAGTTGAGCTCGACAGTTGCTGGTCTTATGTTATCTAGAACCCATCTCGCCGCATACTGGAGATATCATGAGCCTGGATGCGTTCTCCAACGTGCCCGCAAGAGACTGCATGTCTTGAGAAGGAGCGGTACAGAGGTTAAGGTAAGCCGGCACCTAGCCGACGATACATGCTATTAGCATAAGGACGCTCTTCTGAAGTATAGCAACAGAGTATCATGTTTACCCTTTTACGCCCGGGGCGAAGCGAAGCGATGCTAACAGCAGAAACTATCATACCACCACAGCACACTCGTAAATTCCATCTCAGAACATAGAAGCACCAGTACCGACTATTTGAATATGATAAAGATAAGAAACGGTGTTAAGAGAGCCACCTGTTTCACAACTCGCTGGCCCCGTTTCCGCCCAGCACCGTGCCCGCAAAGGCAACAAGACAACGAAGCAAGGCACATCATGGAACAGGCGCCATTTCCCTCCAATCGGTAGTTACTGGTCGCCAATCATAAGCTTAGCCTTCAGAAAGACCGCCATCTCCAAAAAAAATCCGAGACCGGTCCCTCTCTGCCCACACCCCAAACCTACAAGTCATTCGCGCTTCACGATAAGCACGAAAGCCCATTCAACCATACCCCTCCCAACTTCACAGAATACAAAGGCTCTTTAACAATTTCAAAAAATTCACTCACAGAAACAAGTCGAAGTAGAATCCTCACTTTCAAGAACGGCGTATATCCGCAGCCCCTGAACGACACACACACACACACACGGGATAAAGCAACACCACACCCCCGATGATCCCGCGACGTCCAAGGGACCTAATCTTCTTCCTCCCTATCTATCACCAACATCCTTTCTCTCTACCGACGTTTTCAAATCAGATAGATCCACGATCGCCCGCCGTCATCTCATCGAATTAAATCCCCTATCTGCCAAGAATAATTACCTATACACTTAGATATACTCCTCCCCCTCTCCCCCGTCCTCATCCTTACTTAACGCGAGGAAGCACGCGTAGTACAAACAAACCACTGTAGGTTAACCTCCTCGGAGAGGATGGTTTCGGGCTATATGTCCTTTCTTTTCCTTCCTTCCCTTACTATCTTGTCTATAATCCCCCCCAGCAATCTCTTCGCGTAACGCAGCGTCGCTTCGATACTAGCACATACCTACCTATATAGTATGTCCCTCATATGAACAGATCAGTAATGACGAACACTAACCATGCAACCCATGCTTAATTACGAGCGCCTCCCCTGAATGCATACATATCTGAACTACAAATAAGGACGGCAGGACTTCAAGAATTAAGGATCACAGTGCAAAACTTGCCAAAAGGGAGGGTAAAATAATATTTAACGTGTTTTTTTTTTGTGAGGGATGTTTGCACGGTCTAGAATCTTGTTACCCCCTCCTCCCTCCCGCACCATCGCACGTTTGAAACTTCGCTTGCAGTATCCTATGTGCTTCATCATCGTAATATCTCGTATCTGAACCTTCCCTGACTACCTAAGGTAGGTATGCAATATGGGATGGCAGAAGACCTAAGTACCGCTTGTGCAAACTCCATCAAAGGGCATGCCTACCTACCTATCTAAGCTACCCCATGCTATGTAGAGATACTGACATAACTTTCATTCGCTGATCCTCGAGTCGAGCACATGGCAGTGCCCAAATGATTATAACTTGGTTCAATTGCATGTGATTTCGTGCCAAGCTCTCATGCATCATATTGAATAGGCCGCCAATCGATCACGACAGCATGAGTCTAGTCTATACCTCGCCCGCCCATGGGTTCAGGAATAGCCAAAAGACTTTTTTTCTGGATAGCCATTGGGTTTTAAAAGATACGCCCTTGAACTGCAGCCGCTGCGCTTTCTCCTAACTGACACCACCGTTTGACGCAGCTGATTGTGGTATCTGATTATTCCCAACAGCGTCGGCAGCCAATTGCACAGCAGCCTGAGCATTGGCCTGTGCTTGGTTATAGGCAGCTTGTATGACAGCTTGTTCATCTGTGGAGAGATGGGAGGTGAGTCCCGAATAAAACTGCGGGTTTTCGTGTTGCATTTCTGTTGATGGTCAGATTAGCAATGGCACCAGATCGCTTCCAAATCACCTAAACTTACTCATAAGGGCACCACGCAATAGCTGATAGGGCTCGATTTTGTCGAGGGGTGACTCCAAAAGCACACTGTCCTCGCCTAACTCTTCGTCTGAGTCATCATGGTACTGATTTTCGATCTGACTGAACTTTTGGGCTTCTTCGTTGAGAAACTCGAGGTATGCGGTGCTCTCGTCCCGGCCATCATTCTGATCTTCGGGACCATCGGCGGTCCAATTAGCATCTTCTTCACCCCACTCCTCATCATCCTCAACGTCATAGCTATTAGGATCGAAAGTAAAGTCGTCTTTCAGTGCATCCTCGCGGTTCTTCATCGCAGCAGGCAGAGTTTTGAAGAGAGAAACTATGCCTTGTAGCAGTCTCGGCCACCCTGTCGATACGCTAGCGGGAATTTGATCCGGATTAATGCTGAGTAATGATACTATAGCCACAATGCATAGCTTCTTATCGTGAACACGGCTGAAATGTTCCATGTTTCCAAACCAGAGACTGAAGAACTTGTTTGTCCAGCCCTTGGCCTCCAGAACCGCCAGAGTCAACACTGGATTGTAATAGATGGCATTGATCACCATTTCCATCAGGTGGATTTTGTATGACTTGACTTTCACCTCGTGACTGTTGAGGACTGTCATAGCCATTGTAATAAAGCCGGTGACGGACGTATCGATGCTACCCTTTAGGCTGAGCATCATAGCCTCGGCAAGCTTGCAAGCACATATCCGGTCGACACCACCTACCTTCTGATCTTGGAACATGTCTGACACCATGGAATATAAGGCCGTTACGTATTCGGGTTTCTGAACAAGTTGCGATGCGCCGTATTGAACAAAGTTATCAAGAGCAGGCAGCATATCTTCTAGATAAAGCTCGGCACCCGACTTGAAAGTTGCATGTATAAGTTCGAATGCTTGCCACATGGTGGGTGATATTCCCTTAGCGGCAAAAGTGCAGCTGTCGATGATTTCAAACACTTCGTTGTACAAATCTATGGAATGAAAATCATCAGTACACCACGTCAAGTCGATGTCATTCACGCTAGGGTGCAAGCTTACCGTAAAGTTTATTCTGGAGGGTGATCTGAATCACAGGCATTAGGACGGCCTCGATGTGCAAGAGTACATCTGGTGTGCTCTCCAGAGTGAGTATTAGGGTGCCAATGGTCTGAAGGACACCCAAAGCTGTAATACTCTTGTCATCCAGGTAATCCCCATATTCTCCATCATCGTCATTGCGGTTTTCGTTCTTATCTAATAGTTCGCGGACAATCCTCAAATATGTGTCTCTTAGCTGCTCACTCAGAGCTACAGCAAATGGTGTTAACTCAGTTGCGAATACCTCAACAAAGTCTTCCATAACATTAGCGAGTGCATCGATATCGCATTCGTTAGCCAATTTGAGTAGCTGCTGCATAATCGTAGGAATGCTTTGTTGCATGCTGATGCGAATGGCATCGTGCCTGATCAAGGGCTGCAGAGCCAACGCGGCTGTGACTCTGACCGGCAGGTCTGTATCCGCCATGCAGTCGAGAATATGACGGTAGATGATGAGAAGGTTATTTTGATCCTTGAAATTAAGCTGTTCAAATTTTTCGATGGTGTCACAGGCCCGAGCACGCAAGTAGCCTTGGGGGCTTTTGAAATCGGGGAAGACGTATCGTACAAGGAAATATTCAACTTGGTCAGCAATGGGACTCTTCTTACCAAGGAGAACAGGAGCTAGAGTGCCGATCATCCTTAGGGCGCCTTCCTTCGCGATGTGATTTTTGTTTTCGACAGGTGCTTGCTCGTATTCACTCACGACACTGTTAATGAATTGGAGCAACTCAAAGGTTTGTTTTCTTCTGACTTTCGTGAGGGTAACGAGGAAGTTGGTAGCTGCGACGTCAGGCGCGGATACTTCCTCGTAAAAGTTGAGTTTTCGGTGCAGGTACTCCTCTGGTTCATCCTCAAACTTCTCAACATCCTCTTGGCTGAGACACAACACCGGGAAGACCAAGTGTGTGACCAGATTGTTCAAGTGTGGCTTCATTAAATTCCAAGTCGATTTGGGGCGACAGCATTCGTCGAGGAAGACAAGAGTATAGGAGAGGCAAGGCTTGCTTAACCAGGTGGTCTTCGAAACCCATTTCTCAATTTCTGATAGGTAGTGCTTCAAAATTTCTGGTGCGATCGTAGACTCGAAGTCCTTAGCAAATTTTGTCGTCTCGTCAGTCTTCGTGGATAGACCTTGAGCATTGCCGTGTCTAGTGGATGTTAGGGATAGGGAAAGAGACAATGGGGGCCCTGGGGACTAAGCGACTGACCTAATCCAAAGTCTGTTGAGATTAAAGTATGCCCATTTCTTCGCCTTCCACCAGTGATGACGTTCCCTCTCATCAACATCATCGGGCATAGCAGAAGCCGGTATAGCTTTCGAGATAGTCTGTAGGAAAATGGTACACCATCCAATATTGACTTCGTGTTGTCTTAGGAAGCTAGAAAGTTCGAGCTGTAACCAGTCAGTCCCTGAAGTAGCCACACCCACCACCATACCGCAATTCATGCTTCTCGCCACTCCAGAAGACTTACCCAAGTTGCATGTTTGTAGGCCTTAAGAGCGATATGAAGCATCTCACCAGCCTCATCACTCTCTTGGTTTACCAATTCGTTGCAGACTTGCTGAAGACGTGGAAAACTAGCCTCAATTATCTTGTCAAATTCCACCCTCCCAACATCCTGGTTTCCTTTGAACCTATATGCGCGACAAGTGACGAGCAAGCACTGCAGACCTGCGAGGACGGATGGGGGATCGTTGGCATGGAGAAGTTGAAGGGTCACATCCATGAAGGTGGGCCATTTCCCGGGGAAATCGAAATGTAGGATACGTTGAATTAGCTGCAACAACTGCTGTCGCACTGGACCACGCGAGGCGGCGAGAATGGGGAGGATGCGGTCGCGGAAGCGTTGCTTTTCATCTTCAGCGATCAGAGGCTCATCGGGATAGTGGTCGCTCCTGGACCAGCCCCGATTTGTCCTATTTTTTAGGTAGATGACGGCTACAAAGCAGTTAGACCGGAGCGTGGGTTGGGTTCATCAAGACTCGACAAATAGATGGAGCATACTCGACAGTCGAACGGAGTCTTCGGACTCGGCGCTCAGAATTTCGAGGAGAACATCGGTGAAGCCTGCATGCCCCTCGGCCTGGGGTGGGTGATGAGGTGTTAGTAAACATAACATACAGCAGGGGCAGGGGCAGTGGCAGTGGCAGTGGGAGCGGTATGGTGTTTGTCCAACGCATGTGTGCGCATGATTACGGAATAGGGGAAGGAAGAGGGAGAAACTGAGGCAGACGGGCATACCTGCTTGAGCTCGAGCTCAGCAGCCCGGCGCACGTTGGCATCAGGGCTCAGGGTTGCCAGGACGCGACTCCTGACGACGTTGGCATCCATGGCGGTTGGAGCAACGGGGGGCTAGTAGAAGAATGACAATGGTAAATTGGACAGTGGGAGGACAGAAGCAAATGGACGAAAGATGAACAGGCGTCAGGCGGCACCCATCGACAGCATCGAGTGGGGGGGGCAGAGCTGGACAGGCTGTCGATGTGGTATTTGATTTTTGATCTTGGGGATTGAACGGCGATGGTTGGCAAAATGATTGACCGAGTTGAGTGTTGTGGATGTGGATTGGAAGTGGGTAGGCAGATTAGTGAGACTGGACTGGTGGTGGTGGCACGCTTGGAAGGATTCACGAGGGTTGAGGGTTCGTTCAGCTAGGTAGGTACCTAAGGTAGCAAAATGCGTGCAGTGCAAATGCCTAGGTACGGTACCTGTGTGGTAGGCAGGTAGGTACCTAGGGTAGGTAGCCTACAGTATAGGGGATAGAAGTAGTTGGTGTGCAGGAGGTACTTGGGTGCCAAAGTCTGCCAGTACTCAATGCAGGTGCCGGCTTAGGGAGGCAGATACCTAATCCTGGGCAGGAAAGTCCACTACATGGGCCTGGGAGTGGTGAAAACAAAAATTATCAATCAAGATAGTCGACAATCATCGACAATCATCGACAATGGGTGAGTGACGTGACATCGTAGGGGACCATTGTGAGCAAGAATGGAGGGGCACGTTAGGTAGACTGCGCATAGAAAGCCTGCTATGAGGGTACTTGGACCATACATCCATCCCACTTGGGTACTTCTCTAACCTGAATAGGAGCTAAGTCGGTCAGAGGGGCACAATGCATACCGCCTATGATCAAGCACCTTCGTACGTACATACAGCATTTTCACAAGCACTTCAACATCGTTTTCACCCTATCTATCTATACCTGGGTAGATAGTAGTCCAGGATTTAATGGTTTATCATTAGGTACCGACCTTGCAAGTGATGTTGGTTTGCGTCGTGGTGGGATGTGGGAGGTCAGATTAAAAAAAAAAAAAAAAAAAAAAAAAAAAAGAGAGAGAGAACAACCCCTCGCTAGAGTTTGGCAGGTAAAGAGGGGGAGGGGACTTACTTGCCCTTCCAAGGGCCTCCCTCGCTCTGCCCTAGGTCCCCCTCTGCTACGGTGGCCCACAACTATCGTAGATATCAAGTACCTAGGGCTCGGTAGGTGGTAGGTAAATCTACTTGTGCTAAGTTCTTAGTTGGCCGCCCAATGTCCTTTAGGCTTTGCATCGTGGGCGCTACCGGACCAGCACAGCCTATCAATCCGCTCCCAGCAGCACACAACTGCTTCAAGCCAGGTACCCTACGCTACCCTCGGAGAAATTGCGCCAGAGCACTGAATTTGGCTAGATCTGACTCCCCCCCCCCCCCTTGTGCCTACCTAAGTCAGCTTTCACGTGTAGGCACTTATGCCACTTACTTACTTATTTTGCCTACCTATTACTTACCTACATACGTACCTACTAAAATGCTAAGGAATTACCATCCGTCCTCCGCCTTTCAGGGTCCGCTAACTTTTGACTCATTCAGGCATTCCAGGGCTTTGCCGCGCACAATTGCACAAGACCGTCGAGATCACTCAACTACCTACCTAGCCTCCCCCACTAAAATTTTCCAAAACTTGCGCATGGCCTTGTGTTGTTAGGCCATCTGTTAGAGATTGAAAACCTTCGCCTCTCCGCTACATCCATCCATCCATATATACTGTATGTTCCCAACATGATTCAAAGGTCGCCGTAAGTCTACTTTTCACTGGGCCCCCCCAAGGCGCGAAAGCCGTAAAGGGTGCTTTGCCGCTACTCCTTGGCTTCACTTGAATGTGGCAGGGATCCGTAAGCCAGAGACGTGCCGCTTCTATCTTTTCTAATCCTGCAACCATTCGTTCCTAAGTATGCATAGATGCTGCAGGTAGCTACCGTAAGGGTATATACATACTGAATAGATAGATGGGGGGTGGATAGGTAATCAGTACCTACGTCTGTACTACATAGGTAGGCTACCTGATAGAAAGGGACGGCGAAACGCTCCTCAAGCAATCAGCCCTTCAGCCCTCCAAAACAATACACACACGGCTACAGACCGCGTAGTTAGAAATCGACCGAGGGTCTACACTCAAGTACAGAAGGGTGCTTATTATTTGTTATTCTACGAAGTCGATTATCATGCAGGCCTTCCTCCGGGGTAAGCGGGCGATAGCAACGTGGCCAACCCCAGCAAGTTCTTGCGTGCCGTTTCATCGACGCTACCGTGTTCGCAGCCCGCCTGTCAGTGGCAGGATTTCAACTGTGAGAGCCTATCTATCTGCCTGGTCAGTACCTAGGATAAGTGGTTAAAACCCTCCCTTTGCCGACATCCTGCCATGTATAACCACTCACACCAAACGCGACGAGTCTGCCATGAAACCATTGTTAGCACAGGGACCATCGCGTACGCAACATACTGGCTATTGTGTTTCACCGCCTGCAACTATTGACATGGCCGAGACGTGGGATATCACGATAGGTGTTACTGTAAATGTCAAATCAAGAGCAACATGAGTCAAATGGTCATTTCCCATTAATCCAACGTAAATTCGGCACAGCTGATGTCCAAAAAGCTGCAAAAAAACAAACACAAAACCAGCGCAATGTAAACATCTCCAAACCCCCACCCAACTACCTAGCACACTGTCAAACCCAATTCTAGACCCATCCCAACTTGATAGAACATCCTCAACTCCTCATGTAATCCTTAGATACATTAATCACCGCGATTTCTTACATGGCTGGCCAGCCATCACCCCGATATCTGTACAACCTCCGTACAACCCTAAAAATGTGGTTGTTGCTGAGACTTTAAGCAGCGCTGCTGATGCTTCTCAGTCTGAACCCGATTGTTTAGCCTGCCAATTCTGTCGTTAGGTCCCGCTGTGTACATTGTCCCAAGTAACCAGTAAGAGCTCCAGTCCAATGCGAAGGGTACAACGCAAAGGCTTGACATGCGTATGGATGGATAGATGAATTGTTAAGAAACTGAAAATGCACAAACATGGATCAATGCAACGCGTCTATGGACGTAGAAAATCCATGGCTATGGTTCAGCGGCATCATTGAACCTTAGACTAACCAGCTGAGAGTTTGGAATACCGGCCAACAATGCAACTTATTCGGCTGAGCCAGGTTGCAAGAATTAACCGAACGTAACTAGCTAAACATGGGTATGAAGGTTTCCGGTCTTGTAGTCCGTGCAAAGTCGACAGCGCAATATTCTCCTTGGAGCCACGAATGATGTGGGGTAGAACTCTCACGAAAGCGGAGGATTTGATGACTAGGCTCATAACAGACCCGACATCCACCTGGAGGGCGTTCCATGTAGTATTTGAGTAGCAATACACTAAGGCCCATTGAGTGAACCTGCTCCTGTTCATTCATAAAAAATGAAGAATGAAGAATGAAATGAGGATATTTGATAAAACGGGGTGGGAGGATACGCCTCTGAGTTTGAGTAAGATTACAAACTCCGTTGTCACACAGGTTGTGTCAAGAATTTTGCACGAAATGTCCAAAACCCGGCTGGGTCTTTTAGAGGCAGGCCGTAAAGGTATCCATGGTGATCCGGAAATGACTGTGCAGAGTCCATGTATTGTGGCTTGATCCAGGGGTTGTCTCCTCGGCAGTATTCGTAACGTCCAGTAATATCAATCAGCCCTAGGGTAGTTGGTCGCTCCGATATCCAGTGACCCTGCTTGTCAGTGAGGTGGTCGGTGAGAATAGATAAAAGGAAAAAAAAATGACATCCACGGATAAAATATAAGATACCAGGGAAAAGCATGTGTAATATGGGAAACTCCTTCACAGAGGTTGGCATATATATACAAGCCGTCGTCCAGTGTTACCTCGCTGTCCGGATCGCACGCCCTGTCTATTAGCATAACATCATACCAAAAAATCCCACCAACTGTTCATCCGTGGACGGTAATGGATCCAGAAACTTCCTAGGTATCCTAGGTATGTAAAGAACCCCCCAGTTTTGGGCCGGATCCGGACAGCAGAGGGATCGCGGCATCAATCCACGCTAATCATGAAACAGATATTCTTTTCCCTGCAGATTGGCCGGCAGCCCGGTACCAGTATCCAACCTTCGCATGAGAACCACCATGAATTACGATGACAAGTTGAAAGGCCAGTCAAATGCACATGTCGTAGGAGGCCCGTTCCAGATAGTGCGCCGTATCCAATGTGGAGAAAAGAAAATTCATGTGCGGTAAATCGTCAATCAGATGGCCCAATGGTGAAAAGTAGTTGTTTCCAGTATCACAATGCCCAATAGCATCGTTCAATTAAGGTTGCAACTTGCAACTCTGAAAGATTAGGTAATCTCTCTACTGAATTCCAGGTCTATCCTTTGGGCAATAGATAACTCCGGTGGCGACCATGATTGGTTTTTGGATCCTTTCCTTGGGGTATGAAACAAGTAATAATCTCACAGGGCAGGCAAAGATCCGATCCGGAACTCCATGGCTATGATTCTGGTATCAATTACCGGCCGGGGCGGTGGGTTCTGCGTTCAACATGACGCTCAACGCTTTCCCGGTCGCTACGGTGTCGCGATGATCCACTAGGAGGCAGTTGAGCATTCTGTGCTGATCCTGTACGTTTATGGGCGGGGGTGCTCTCATACTGTTGATCTGGCGCGGCACTGTACGAGGACGTGCCTGCTGGAGATGCTAAATAATCAGAACGAGCTGTTGGGAGTTAAAAACCTCTGGTGTACGCACCACGTCCGTAGAATGGGTCCCCAGGCTGCACTGCTGGGGAGTAGGGTGCACTGGTTGATGGTGCACTTTGAGGGTAATAACTCGTGTTTTGTCCGGTGCCAAATGCTTGGTTAGATGGGGGCCCTGCTGTTGGATAAGTAGTCCTGGCGGGTGCCATAGTACTAGTCACGGGTATTCTTTGGTCCCTGGGATCACCTCTTGGGTCTCTGGGCCCTCCATAAGGATCATTGACATAAGGATCTGCCTGGGTTTGTGTACCTGCACGAAGATTTGCTCCGACGATATTGTACGGGGGATCCTGGGCGGTCTGTACGTATCCTGGAGATGCTGTGTAGGGAGCCACGTTTCCTGGTGGCGCCTGAAACTGAGCCGTATTGGCAGTGTAGCCTTGTTGAGTATACCCACCCTGTGTTGCTGCATATTGCGGATATGAACTGGCGGCTCCATTATAAGGGCCGGTACCACTTCCTGGATACCTAGGACCATTGTCATACGGGTCGCTACCAGGATTTCCAGAATAAGAATTGTCCGTTGGGCCATAGTGCTGTCTCAACTGATGTATATCTGAATTGCGATACTGGACTGGAGGTGTGTTAGAGGATCTGATATACACGCCGTTCGAGGCAATAGTACCTCCGCCGGCATTACTGCGATTTGCCGACTGCTGCCGCCTTTCTTGATCCCACCGGGCGGAATCCGCCTTTAAATCTTGGATCATTGCCTACGAATGCAGTTGTGTCAGTAAATGTCCGGCGCATTACTTTGATCCGGTAGGGGATAGCAACTCACTGATGTCAGATTACGGTATGCGTTGATGAAGTACCCTTGTATAATCTGTCCATTCTCGGGGTTCTACAGAAAGTCCAAGTCAGAATAAGTAGAAAGAATAGAAAGAAATATTCTCCCCGGGTGTGTTATAACATGCCTCGTAGTTTCCCGGTCGTACTAGCGCATCGTTACCGAGATAGCGGCAGATGTCGGCGGTGATGACCTCGCGGTCTATGCCGTCTCTAGGTACGAAGTATTCGTTCTGACGAGTCTGTTGGGGCAGAACGCTACTGCCGGAGGCGGGAGGTCTGCGAGCCATGTCGTAGTGGGGAATCGTGAGCTGTCCGACGTCGACCGGTATTAGAGAAGAAGAATAAAAGCAAAGAGATTAAGAAAGATCCGGGTCGACAGAGGGTACAGCGCTAGAGGACGAAATGAAGAAATGAAGAGAGGGAGAGGAGACCTGAGAGCCACGAGGGAGAGTGGGCGGCGGAGGGGAGAAAAGGGCTTGGGGGTTGGGCTGGGACCAGGCTTGCTGGCTGACTGATTGGTTAGGTGGCAGTTGGTAGTGGTGTACAGTAGAGAGGGTACGGTGCTGTAGCGGTGGTGGTGGTGACAGGCCGCCTGGATTGGCAGAGGCGGTGGGCAGTTGGATGATGTGGGTCGGTCAAGCTGGGGTCCACAGCAAGAGAGAGAGAGGCAGGCAGGCAGAGTCAGAGTCAGAGTCGCACCCACTCCTGGACAGTTCTAGCACACTGTCTAGAAACAGGCTGGCAGGCTGGTATGTGTAAAAACAGTGTGAATATACAGAGGTATACTATATGAGGGTGCCTAGCTAAGTAGACGCCGAGGTAGGTAATGACCAGCGGTAGTAGCGAGCGCAAGAACGGCAGACAAGGCAGAGAGTTACGCCACCCAGAGGGTCGGACTGGGATCGAGGATCGTCGCGTGCTGGCAGATAGGAGGGGCGTTTATCGTTATAAGCGAGCGAGTGGCAACAGTGACAGAGTGTTTTGTCGCACGACCAGACAAACGCCAGCCGACAAGTGGTATCGTCCTGCTGGGTGATGGTGATACGATGTCGGTACGCAGGAGGGTAGTGATATTGGTGGTGTCGGTTCAGTTGTCTCGCTGTTCTGTATCTCGTCCTCTGTCCTCTGAGACACAAGGAAAGAGTGGCCACGGGTGCAGTCCAGCCCCTTCTCTCACAGTCAGGTGAGATTCCAAGGCTTCTTCTCTCTTCGAGGCCAGAAGTCCAATGACGAGGGGACAGTGTGCGCCAAGATGGTGGGGCAGTAGTATCACTCTAACAGATGTGTGCGTGGGACTATTTGACTGGCTGGAGGACATGCGAGGGGCAATTCGAGATGGCGGCCGATCGAACTGACCCCTGACAGACGACCAGGAGACAAAAGCAGAACGAAGAGAAGCAGCAGCAGCAGCAGCAGCAGAAGAAGAAGAAGTGGTGTCCGGCAGAGATGAACACAGAACAAAGCCTGTACGATGCTGAATACTGGCTTAAATTGGGTAGACACAGTTGCTTGATGGGTCAAGATGGAAGACAAAGCAGCGGTGGTGGGCAGCACCAGCGATGGCAGTGGTACCTGAACAGGGCCTAGGTATCTGGTCAGGCTGCTATGTAGAGCCGGAATTTGGAAATAAGCTGCGAGTTGGCTCGTACTGTACTCAGCGTACTGTACGTACTGTACGTAGGTGCCCTTATAGTACAGACCTAGTACCTAGAGGTGGCCTCTCGGTGCCTTGGACAGGGCCGTCTGAGTGCTGCAGGCACTTCCTTGCAGCAATCTAAGAGGAAGAGACTGAAGATAAATAGACCCACACAGTTTATCGGTCGTGTCAGGAATCAACGACACTCCAAAAAGGCGATATTTTCAGCTGTATTGGACAGTGCTCTATGTAGGAGAAACGAGGGTTGGGCAAAAAAGGGAAGCGATCTCTGGTGGCGGCTTAGGTACCTAATCCACGTGAGATTGTGGCTGGAGAGAGACTTTCACAGTACGAAAAACGGGTAGCCGGGACTGTGGCTGGTAAAGCGCTGCAGCAATAGAAGTGAATGTTCCCCTTCTCGGAGGCGCACCGACGTCGTCTCCCAATCTTAAGTCTTGCTTTTCTGCTTGGAAATCGAGCACACAGATGCCTCTTACGAGCATGACCTGTCTCTGTTGGAGATGGAATACACACAGCCCAGTTGAATGATCTGGGCCCTTTTGCTTCAAGGGGAAGTCGATGAGAGTACTTCGTCATATATGACTGGAAACTTGGTTCGTTTTATTTGAGTGTGGTGTGCCCGTCGGTGAAGGAAGTGGAAAGCAGAACGACTACGCTTCGTAGTCTAGGTCTAGGTTGGCACCTCACTCTTCGATACTGGTTAGCTTTTGGTTTCTTGGACTGTTGCGCTAGCTGAGAATAGATGAGAATGTGTCAAGCGAGAGCGACAAGAATGCGCTTGAAGACCTGGGTGCGACAAGAGGAAGCAAAGGGCTTCTTATACGACAAATCCGACCATCTCCTGCCAGTCTGCTCACAACGTCTCACATTTGCAAGATCCCCCAGTTATCTGATAGCCACCGGTCCACTAGATGAGAAGTTTACAAGCGGCATTGCTTCACTGGCAAGTTCATTGCTCCACTTGCTTGTCATTTGCTGTTCGATCACCTGTGACTGAGCGTGAACATGGACTGGGCCTGGGACTGTCCCGAAAGGCCCTAACATGTTGTTCAGTCTGCTTTATTGAAAAGCGACTTGCATAGGCGGCACATAGGGCGAGCGAATAGGGAGTGCAATCACATATTGACATTTCCTCAAGACGCAAATTCTAGGCTTATGACGTTTTTTACTTTGGCAGCGATGGAGAGCGCGACGTGGTCCCAGCCTCGTGGTCCCAGAATGAGCAGAATAGGAATATCACTAGGTGAGGCCATACAAGGGGTAGAAATATAGCCAACTAGGCGCATTGTATCTGACGCACACTCACTCTGCCTTAGGAGGATAGATAGAGTCACGACGGGGACGGAGTATGGGAACTTTGGCTTCGAGTCCCGATGTGGATGGCACTATGGGAAACGCAAGCCGGTAGAGGATACAGAATGATGTTGGTTGCTGGCAAGGCGGAACGGTGGATTGCCTGCTTCACAGAGGTCGGTCAGTAGGCAGGTAAGCATTGGGTTGGGTATCAATGCGCTAGGGCCTAACATCTTCACGCTTGAAGCTGGATTCCACTTTTGGATGCCCAAGGCTGCGGAGCCAATCAATCCTCGGCAAGCTTGCCCATTGCCTCTGCAACCTGGCATATGCTATTACAGCAGGAGATATATCTCGTGCTTACATACCTACCTACCTCTAAACGAGGCGGTAAGGAGGTGCCTACGCCTACGAAAGACGTTGTTGTGTATAGGCCTCACATAGCAGCCAGCGTCCAATTGTATAGGACTTGTAGGAGTTGCAGGAGTTGCTGCACACGTTACCTAACCAACGACAAGAGATGAGCGGGCCATCGCATACAGGACAAGGCCATTTTCGAGTAGCTCATCTCGGCTCCATCTACATTAGGTGGTATCTTGGAAGATGAGGAGGCGACCTCATACGGCACAGGCATATGTACGCAACCCATTATTTATTCATGGCTTACTGTAGAACCTCCCTGCAAGGGATAGGGTACGTGTGAGGCATCTCGCCATGCACCTCAGACATGTAACAACTCCCTATCTATGCCGTGTCTGCTTCCGGTCTTTCGCTACTCTGGTTGTATGTGCGAACGACTCCTCGCTGTAGGTGCCGCTCCATCTTATTGGCTGGGTCTGTGCAGAGTAACCCATCGGAGAGAACTCCTTGGTGCTGCGATCACGGACCGAACATAATGCTGATAATCCCGCGACCCGGACTTCATACAGATTGTCACCGAAGGTTTCCTGGCGAGCACTATAAGACTAGATGTGGCATCAGTCGCATCATCTGAGCGGCCACAACCACTCGCAGCGCCGGCTCTAGGCTACCTTCAGGCTTCGTTGGGTCACATTCGAATACAGGCTTGACCTTGTACCGATTCTGTAATTTGCGAGGACGAAACCGGCGCTGTTGCGCCACAGCCTTGCCCACTCCCCAAATACTGTAGATGTCCTCGTGTTTCAGCGGAAGTGACTCCCGAGCGAGTCGAGCGAATGCGCGTGGGCCGGCCTACCGAGTGAATGGTTGTGCATGTGAACCAACTCAAGTGTACTGCTATCCGAACTTCAACTTACTCTGCCCCTGCTCCAATCTCTTACCGCCGGCGCCGCCCCCGGAGTGTTTCTTACGAGGCGCCTGAGTGGCATTCTTTTCACTGCGTGGGACAATACGCTTACTGCTAGCGAATGTTGACCTGCCACGTTCTTCGTCATGGAGGTCCTTGGCCAGATGCCAATCATTATGGCTCTGCAATGCTTCGGCGCTTTCGAATACTGCATTGCATCGCGAGCACATGTAATCGGTGATTGATAGTTGACGGCTGCGCGAGCCACTCACCCGACGTTCCACATCTCCATGTGTATAGTCCAACTCCGTAGAGTCCGTTTGGTCCTCCCCAGCCGATAGGTCCTTCTTAGGGAAGAAGCGTTGTATTCCAGGACTTTCGAGGCGTCGTTTCTTCTCTTGCGGTTCATGCGAAGATAGATCAAGTGGAGAATCACACGATGTTACCTTCGATATCCGTGCTTCATCGCCCTTGAGCAGAAAACTACCGATTCCCATATTTCCAGTAATGCCATCTTCGAAGCCACCAACGCTTAGGCTGAGATTTGTGCAGGGCCATACCCTGCCCTCGCTAGCGATTTGGCTCATCATATTTTTAGCAAGGTCAAACAGAATGGCTTCTTCGAGGGCTTTGCCCTGTGGAATGCCGCTCGACTTTGAGCGGGTCTGGCCTGCAGACCGGTGATGCAAGTGGATTGTCTTCGGTCGGCGTCTATTCTCGAGAACCCCCTCCTCGATTAGGCGGGAGAATATGTCGGCTGCAAATATCCGGAGCCACTTGGATGCCTGTTCCATTTTATTGATACTCGGCTGAAACGACTTGGCGGATAGCATAGACTTAATCTGCGTTCGTGAAGTTACTTCACTCAAGTCAATCCCCCGGATCGTATCGTAAAACCAGAGACCTGTGTCGTCACCAAGCTTGAGCTTGAGCTGGTCAACTGGGACTTCAAGCATGTCTTTGATAGACTCAGTATTGAACGTCGACTTGACCTGATCGCCAAGCTTTCCACCAAGGTTCCGAATCTTAGTAAACTTCATGTCTGATAGGAACCGCTGGATAGCCCTATTGCGGATAACGGTTTGTTGGTTGGGCTTCCTGTGGCCAGAGCCCAACTTACTTAACATTTTATTACCCGCTACTCCAGCAGAGCAAGTGTAGTGCAATCTTTTTCGGATTTCAGCTCGGATGTCCCTAATGATTTCAGATCCGATCAGGATGGCCACGTCATCCCAATCAGGATCATCAACTTCGGCCTCGGCATCATCAAGGTCCACCAATACGTCGGCTTTCCAGTCCAGGGCAGTAATTGGGGGAAGTGGTAGTTTCTCGGTTGGATCGTCGTAAGGGGGTGGGCCGGTCAGCTCAGGGAACCTCTGAAGTAGTATGGAATGGACCTGAGCAGACAAATCGATGAAAACCTCGTCTATGCTTGCTTTCTCAACTTTTTGTTTGTTGGCCGGCAGACATTGCTTGATCAAGGCTAGGATCTGCCTCGACTGAAGTCTGTATGGGTCTAACGAGACTTTGTGAGTCGCAATATGAGATGCAGCATCGTCATGATATGCCCAGGTTTCTTCCCCTTCCTTCCACGTAGCAACATGCTGAGCTACTAGATTTGGGCAAAGCTTCTTCGCCTCCGTCACGGTGCAATGACGACCAATACCAAACTTACGCGCTGAATAGTTGATGGCTATTAATCCTTGCCTAAAAGAGTTGCCTTGATTAGTAGGGCTACATCGTATTGGATCAAAGCATGAAGTGGATAGCAGGTCTGACACGGGAAGATCGGGAACGGGGGTGTGTGAGGGTTGGGCTTTGGCCAGTACCATTGCTGAACCGCTAAGGGCTGTTCCTCATCAATGCCTAGACGCACCATCTCTGCAGCCATAGAGATCATGTTAGCTGAATGGTACTCATGTCGAGCCGGACAACATGCTAAAACGTAACCCAAGCTGATGATACTGGGCGGACAGCCGAGTGGGAAAAGCACGAATATAAGAAGAGTTCAATACATACCACACTGGGCATAGAACGCATCAAGGTCAACATGAGCAATAACGCGTAGAGGTGACGACGGCGAGAACGAAGCCAGGAGACTAAGTTGACGATGGGTAAACTGCGATTTGCGGCGTCCAATCCCGTGCTCGGGAGAGGAGACTTGGAAGCCAGGAGATGGTGAAGACATGTTGACAGTCAAACTGCCCACGACTGATTGGATAGCGCAGAAACAGTCATGTGATTGACATAACAAGTGCAATCAGGCGGTTATTGCGGTGGATAGAATGCAAGTCATCCAAGGTGCAGTAAGGCTGGCTGGTGAAATCCAAGCCTTCGCTTTTAAGCCTTCATGATGAAATATGACTCGCAGCATTCAAAAGACGGGAGAGCGGCGTAGCGATCCACGAGAAGAGGTAATAGCAGGTATTTCGTAAGATGGCAGTTGATTAAAGCATTGCTGGGTTAAGGTTAAGAGGGAATTATCTCTACGCCGGCCTACCAGAAGATATGAAAGTGCCAGGTGAGGTGAGAAAGGGAACTTGGAGGGCCGCTTCATTGCTTGAGATGGCCGTGGTACACAGTGCCCCTAGACGGGTTGTTACGTTGCATGGTACTTCCAATCTACCGGTACATAGGTACATGCCTAGGTAGTAGGTGTCTTCAATGTTAATTGGAGGCCGACTATTAATCACTTTCAGTAAATACATAAGCTCAACAGCCTATCAGGCAGCTGGCGCTTATCCGCAATATACACTAATCGGAGCGAAGAGACGCATTAGGTACCTAGGTACTGTACCTAGGCCGAAACATTGTGCATTGTCCACTGCATGATGATGATAGCTTACTTAAGACGACTGGTCAGGCAAGACCTCACTCAATACCTACCCATGAAGAACAAAGCTGCAAATGATGGATTTGAGTAGTTACGTCCGCTCGTCGTTCGAGCTCTATAGGGATGTTATCGGGCGACTATCCTCATTCGTCTTCTGCACCACTTCCTCATTACTACGTCTCTGCCTGACAGATAGATACTATGTACATACATACATAGCCTCTCCGGTACTTAGCTATCTACATACTATCCCGTACAATGCTGTGTCGTCATCTTTGGCATTCCAAGTAGAAACCAGGTTCAGACGTTGTGTCGGTCAAGAAGCATGTCAGCTTTGACCAGCATGCCATGCCAACTATCCGGCCAGTAAATGATAAGCGTTGCCAGCACGGATCGACAGGAAACAATCAAACCCCCCTCGAAAGTGTAACGCCATGCTGATGATACGGAATCCGTAGGTTCGGATTGACCAGTAGCATCTGCCGAAGGATAGAAGTACCCTGCGTCTGAGCTGCAAAGATTATCCCTCGGTCCGATGAACTATTGAGTCTGTGCTCGTGTGCCTCCTACGACCAGCAGATGTACGAAGTAGGCAGCACCACCAGCATGAGAGCCTTGTTTCAGCCCCCAATAGCAACGCTGAGTGTACCACGAACTAGACATCGTAACTCCTGTGAAGGTAGGTCCCACCAAGATTAGCCTCGCCTCGTGTGCCTACAACCCGTTTCTCGTCCCTTGATCCAGGTGACTGAAGCCTCTCGAACCAGTAAATTATGCTAGATTATACATACGGTTGCACATATATTAATTGCTTACTTCGAGTCAGCTAGTCGGAATCCAAACGCACCTGCAGACTCGGCTTGTCCGTTCTGCATCGTTCATCCACTCTCACTCAGCGGTTCCCTCAGAGAAAACATGATTACCACTGCTTCTGGCGAATCCAAGAACTGTGCTACCCTCACAGTGGGCTTGAGGCTCAAAATTAAACCCTGTTAGGAGAAATTAGTACCCGTCGCACGAGGTTTCGTCTCGACTGTACCGTTTCGATGTAATTGTGTTGAGTATATGCTTAGATTACCACGGAAAAGAAACACTAAAATGTAGCCTGCAGTAGCAGAGAATACTTTGGCGCAGACGAACGAAAGCCACCAATAAACAGGAAGTTTTCCGTTTCTTCTCTTCACTGAAATCAAGCTCAATTCTTCTACTGTACTTCTTACCAGCCTTGATTTCATACTAAAACTGACAAATATCTCATAGTGATGTTCAAAACGAGAGATGTCTCTAGGTCTGGATTCACTCAATGGCTACCGAGAGTGCGTTTTCGACGATTTGGGTGTTCGCAAAGGTTTTGGCTAATCCTTCTAGCTCACGGTGTATGCACTCAAGCCTGCATAGTCAAGAGCGTTGCCAAGAAAGTGAGACTACTTGATAATGTACACATAGATTTCTAGAATGCCCTCCAGTTTGCCTATTCTGGCAGTGGCTTCCGGAAATAATCAAAGGGGCATGTTGGTTCAGTGTCAGGGAGAGAAGCTGCCATCATCATTCTCGGTTCCCCCGTAAGCTCCGGGATGAAATTCTAAAAGCGATATTTCTTTAGGGCTCCGCCTAATCAAAGGAATCCCTTTCTGTCAGGTTTGAGACATATCCGGGAGTTGAGTTAGGGGCACTTTTCCAGCTTGATCACTGGATTACCTGATTTTAAGTGACCTTGTTCTAAACAATAGGCTACATTAATGCCTCTGTTCCAATGTCTTGTTGAGACAATGAAATCAAGCCATAATATGATTCAAAATATCTCTGGTAGCTCGTAGCTGTGAGAACTTTTGCTGAATTCTCGATGTGGTGCTTTTGCGCATATTTAGCAAGTAAGTCCTAGCTACCATCTTGACTTCGGTCTACCTATTTTAGATCTGGCCGTGCGCCGGTTACCATCAATTACTGCACCCAGTAGGTCAGCACTACGTTACGAGCCGCATCTCGTGGCGGATATAGCGCCAGGTTCTAGCTGATCTCTTTTTGAGCGGGACTAGGTTGATGGATTGCAGAATCCAAGATGTACTTACCCTTTGTGTCTATGGGATTGAATAAACAACTGTATGAGCAGAGAAATTGGGCGTATTATTCTCTTTACAAGATAATATGAGTTGTTCTCATTATCACCAACGAGCGGCTCACGTCCATGTCATCTCCACCTTTGGGGTTAACACTATGAGTCTCGAGTACAGGGTTCCGATTGTATGTCTGTTTGAAGGCTCGAGGATTCCATCTAACTCGGCTCTCCGCCTTTTCTACTTACTCAAAGCTCTGGCACAGAGTGATGATTTGTCGTTAGAGCGGTGTAACTCGGCCAACCGTTTGTAGTGTAACTCTGGAGTTGGGCATGACGATACCTTCCTTGGATTCGCCCCTTTCATGCACGTTAACTGAATTTTTGCAACGGCCTTCCTCTTGTGTCAAAGTTCGATCCCGATAGAAAGGGACGCTAGTTTTCCTCTCTGAGATAATTGGCCGCCATTGACGGCATCACAATGCATTCTAGAAAATGAGACACGGTATGGTCGTATCTTTTGCTAATCTACGGGCTGCCCGTGTCGAAGTCTTTCAGAACTCGGTCCCGGCCATGGTGAATCCATGTAATAGAATTGTCCAGTAATCGATCTGCTACTACGGCCTATCATTTATGGCAATTTATGGCAAAACGTCCTTGAAATGCCGCCTATCATCTTATGTTGGCTGCAAGAACAAGTCTAAGATGGATGTTGAGGCCCCAAGGCTACCACCGTAGTGACATTCCCCCTTTTGACCCCCGTAATCCGGATTATTCGTGGTTGAAGGCTCGGTTCAGACCGGGCCATGGATTGTGCTTAGGATGCGGCTCTGCAGCAAGAGAGTGTTGGCACTAGTAGGCATGACCGATCAAGAGGCTTGATGACTATGAGATTCTCATAGCGGCGTTTCCGACTTATGCAGTGATTGCCTTGGGTGGTATATGGAAAAAGGAGAGATGAAGCTCCAAGTATATAAAGATAAAGAAATTTGGAAGGCCTCTTGAAGATTCTGGATTATTATACTGCAGTTTCAGGTATTGTTCACCATCAGAAACCTACGATCACAACAACAAAAGTACTGCTCCCCTTGCTATAACAATTGTTTGATTTTCAACTCGAGAAGCCGTTGAGTACCTGTTCTCTTGCTCAACTTATCTTTATAATGTAAGGCACTACCCTGGTAAATGGGCCCAATCCTAATTTAGGGGCTAGGCCTGATCGAACACCTTCTCCGTCTCCCGAACCCGACAATGTTATAGAAGACGACGAGGTTTACCACACAGACGTCGAGTACACTTGTTCAGAATGTCACGAGAAGGGGAAATTCGCGTATACGAATACGACAGGTGAAGACGGAGCATGTTGCACAAATTGCCAACACCCGAAATGTAGCGATTGCGAAGCCGACAGTTCCTGAGCAAATTGGGATCAAATCCAATACTTCTGACTTATAATCGAAACATGTTATCCATCACTCCAATAGGACTCTCATACGACAGATATTTTCATGAAACCACATATGGCTTAGCCCCCGTGTCGTGATATATGCTCCAGAGGTCGTTAAATGGGATGTTTACTACATTTGGGTGCTGATCGCTTGGATATCTGTATATAAGGATCCGACAGTCAATTGATTATTTCTTAAGCCAGTGACTTCAATAAGCCGATCGCTCGTTCTTACTTATACCCCTGACACTCAACTTTCTATGACAGTCATAGTAATTTCAACCAACATGGATAGAAATTTCTGCTTCGTCAGTGATAAGGGTATTTCTGAAGCTCCTAGCAGTACAAAAGATGACTTTGAATCAGTAAGGTGGCCAAGACAAATTAACCATGATATCGACTAGTATAAACATGCATTCCAAACGGAGAATAAATAAAAGTATATAAGTTAGGTATATGTACAGTACTTAAAATGTTCCTAAGCACTCTGATTGGTCACAACACCAAATATAGGGGTATCATTGGCGCCACTACTATGCACCCGCAATTAACTCCGCAAATTTCTCATCTCTACAAGCGTACTCTCGTCAGACGGGGGGCCAGCAGGAAGACCGTACCGGGCCCGAAGCTTATTGAGGATGCGGTCCATACTATAAAGGCTTTCAGGATTTTCGTGATTGGCGCAAGGCGAATGGCGAATGGGGAGCACCCAATCCAAGGGATTCGTACCCATTACCGCTTGCCAATTCCTCCAAGGTCCCAGGTCCCATGGGTTTTCGCCAGGTCTTGTCTCAAGGATTGCAAAGGTCCGTGTTGCTAGATCATCCCGAGAACTTGCGTGAGGGGTGTCTCCTCGGTCTTCAGGTACACGACCGTTGGGCTTCAAACGTCGATTCGCTTCTTTCCTGTAGGTCGGGCCATTGTCTAGTTTCCTCAAGGGATACTCGATCGTGCCGAATTGATCCGACCTCGTCCCACGAGGAACGCGTACAGCCAATTGATAGACTTTATGGCGGTATGACAGAATATCGACATTCGTCATGTTTTGGAGAAGATATCGGATCGAGGTCACAGTCATGAGGAAGGCAAATAGCCCAAAGAAGGCGGCTATCACTATAGCAGCTAGAAGAAAAGGATCGGGAGATGCACCCTGCTGGACCTGCCGACGAAGCGCGTAGGCGGTTGCGCCCAAGACCACAGCGCAAAATAGCGATGTATATGTAGTAAACTGTACAAAGAATTTGAACGCTATACATAGGATACACAGTCAGCGATGTGAAGGCCAGCGAACAGCAATGGCAAACCTACAACTTTCCGCAATCATGCCACCAGCCCAGGGGCAGTAGTGGTCCATGCGATAAACGCATCGACCAATTTCGCGGCTATGATGGACACGATCTTGTTTCCAATTACAGCATTCAGAGCACCATTTCGGGCGACCGTCATTCTCGCATACAAACGCGTCCCGAGAATAGAAGCGCTCAAGTCCAGGGCTGTCGGGATCTTCATCAGGCCCGGCCTCATAGGCCCGTCCCTCGATATCGTGTGCTCCATACGGCCGTCTCACCCACCTTCCGTCTTTAGTCCCTTGCTGACTGGCAGCCCGTGGGCCGAGAGGGACGACACCTGGGTTGAAGTTCGCACTATAGAGGGTTCGGGCATAGGTAGCGATCATCAATACGAAGAAGACGAAGTAAAGGACGAGAAGAGCGACGGCGGTCCCATCCTCGTGGAGAGAGCGAAGGAGGTAATTCACTGTGAGTAGAGCACCTAGTTAGTACCGCGCTACAATGGCTACCCGGAATCGCCATGGTGTCTGCGGATCTTACGTGTAGTATCACGCGCGGATGGTTATATCAATGGGCGACTGAATGGGGGTAAGTGCTTACAACAGACGCGAGCGACGACTACGTATGTCGCATAGGCAACGGCAGCAGCAAGGAAGACGGGGACTATGCGGGTAGTCCACCGCGAGGCGGCTCTCGTGCTTTCAATAGCTGGCATTCCAGACACATCATGGAGAAGAATAGCACAAGGGGAAGCAGTGTCGAGACGGGAGCCGGCGTCAAAGTTGGAGTCGTGGCGATAAGTACTGGAGCAACATCCGGTGCGCTACAGCACGAGCCTCTGCCGAAGGAACCGAGAACTCCTCCACTAGGCCGGCGCAGACATGCGTCGTTGGGGCTGTTGGATCGAGTCTGGGTTGAAGAAATCGAAGAGGATTGGGCTGCAACTGACAGCTCAGCCAGCATTGACTGACGCAATTCACCTGGGCATCTGATCAATGCTACAGGTACATTTGGAATTGCTAGCATGCCTCGAGGTACGGCCAGGTACTGCCGGGTACTTATTCCCAAGTGTCTCAAGCGCCGGTACATGCTTCAGTGGTCCGAGCACTCTCTGCACCCCATTGTGTCGCACCTAGCCATTGTGCTATCCTTTCAACTCACAGTACCCACATGCATATGTCGGTACCGGGGTACCTCTCGCTGCTCATCACTTAGGTATTCTTATGTCGCTTTCGGTACCGACGTCCGCGAGTTGCCGTAATCCGGCCCTTTCCCTTAATTCTTCCACTTCCAACACTTGAAACTATTCGACAACGAGCAATGCTGCAATTTCTTCGTCCTAGCCAACCAATTCACCGACTGTCTTCTTGAAATTGACACACAGTCCAGATTTGCAGAAATGCCCACTCGGATTCAAATATGCTCTCCAATCCCTATCCCAGGTGTTATGCCCAGGTGGGTATATTGGGCTATGTTATGAGTGTGCGTTGTCACAGTACTTATGTACGTATATTGAGAGATCTTCGTCTTAATCACTACAGGATACCGAACTTCTTTCGAAAGATGAAAGATACTGGACCAATGACTCTATATAGGCCATTTTGATCGACAGGATTAGTATATAGCGCTGTGAAAGTATTGACCTCATCACTTCCAAAGCTTCACACCAAAGGTCCGTGATACGGAAAATCAACATGTGCATACATTATTCTTTCTCCCAACCTATATAGTGTGTTTGAGCCAAAAATGTTATCGAGGAAGGCTGTATCATAGTCTGGACATCATAGCGCTCTACCAAGGTGTTAAGACATGCGCCGTAGTCACGCATAATTTGGAACCTCTTCACCGAACCCCGGTTGGCCAGTTGTGGTGTGCTATTAGTCGTTATACCAACATATTCACGATCCACCCTCTCGGCTCGAGATATTAATCTGTAACGTGCTATATAGGCAACGTAAGCCTATCAACGAGCTACAAAACACAAAACAGAAAGGTCCCTTTTTGTTCAAAGTTACCGGATACCGTTAAAATGTTATTGCGCAGTGGATTTTACCCTATGCTAATGTTGAACACTATGAAATGAGAAATAAAATAAACTACCACGAGAGTTAAAATTACGGAAGGAAGGCAAAGTGAGAAACATAGGGAATTGTCAAAATCCTAGTTCATGAATTACCGTACTATTCGAAATTGACGAGTTATGGTCAAGTGGCGAATCGTCTTCAGGGTTCCATGCCGGGATCATCAACAGTCTTCCAATAGCAAAGCTGTTGCTCGTGCAATTTCGCAATGCTGATATGGCCCTTCGTAATATTACATCCTTAACTATTATCGTAGGAACAGCCGATACCTAAGAAATAGTTTTCTAGCGAATGGTAGTCTCTCCATCAAATCCTTTGAGCTTGAGAGAGAAGCACCAACAAAAAAAAAGGCGCTTGATCCCGGGTTGCAAGGATAGCTGTAATATCTCACCCTTTCGATGCTGGCTTAAGTTCTAGCTGAGAAGCACTAGGGATCTGTTTCGCCTTGGAGGCTCAACGTGCACAAACCTACGAAGTCAATTTTGGCTTTCAAGGCTTTGAGGCTCAATTAGAGTCCTGGATGAAGACGGTACCTATAAGAGGAACTATTTCCCACGGCAAACTAACCGCAATCAAAGTCGCAGACCCGCTAACAATACCGCTATATTTCGATTTACAAATACGGCCCCATACATAATACGGCAGGTCTACAACTTCGACTTACAAGTAGCAGTCCAGACGGCAGCGATTTATCTTATAGCATGAATTCTTTGGGGGAAGGCCGGTCCAGATGGCTCATTTACTCAACTCGGTCAAGGATCCTCGATGCATCCCCGCCATCAAGCTCAGCAAGACCGATGGATGGGTTGTTATTAATTTTGGTTTTGGCCCCCAAGCCGAATGCTACTGAATTTTTTTCGGCTCGTAAACTGACAGTGTGTCGTTATGAACGAAGCAGGGAGGTTTCCGAGAATGGAGACATCGTCGTCCGCGAACCAATGCTGGGGTACTGGCGCCAGGCAGCATCACTCTTCTCTCTCTATCCATGAATCCCCGGCAGCCTCCTTTTCTTGCACTTTTAATTTCGGCAGGCGCCGAAATCTTCGGTCTTCTTCGTTTGAGAACCCTCGCCCTGTACGATGTGTCATCGAACCCTGTTGTGGTACACGTGCGAGCTCTGTTTGGATCCAGGGTTTCGGATTGGATGATGAACTATTATCAACCATCCACAGCGAAAAAGGCATCATGTTTGACCCTTTAAACATTCTATAACTAGTGCAAACCCCGAGGTAGAGCAAGACGGATGACAAGAGTACTGCGTCCGCTTATGGGGCTATATGCATCGGAGCATGGCTATGTATGCGGCTAGCATGAGGCTTCAATTCTAAGCATAGCCATCCCATTGTTTTTACACCAGTACTGTCCAAAAACAGGCAACCCAAAAGCTTAGATTGCATTTTAATGATGCAGACTTGTTGCATTCGATGATTGTTCTAGACCGAAACGTGACAGGTAATAGGGCGACATCCCGAGGTCTTGCGGTTATTAGCCAAACAGACTACACCCTGTCATATGAAAATTGAGTCATTCACCAGTGGAATATGTGCATTCTACTATTTCATTGGTATCCAGATGCTCGGTATCTGTGCTAATCTCGATAAAGTCAACTCGGCTATATTCTTCAGTTCCTGTGGTGTACAATCTCCGCCCACTGTCACAGCTGTCAGTGCAACTTCGTCCGTAGCTTATATACATTGAGCTGCCACCAACTAAGTTTCATTAGCTTGTGACTTATGATCCGAAGACAAAACTTCGTAAAAAGACCAGTAGATTCTCTTGGGGTTTGTCCGCTTGCGGTCAGTCTCACGAATCTCACGCACAAGAAACCGGTTTTCGCTTAATACAGGCCATTTCCCAGACCAAGGCCACAAAAATGAGAAATGCATCTGGATATGATGGCTGTGTTTCAAATCCAGTCAGAGAGAATGTCACCTCGATGGGAGCACTGGTATACCCAAGAGAAGAGGAATCCTATACACATGTTCGCGCCTACGAATGCCTAAATTACAACAGTACCAGTTTTAGGATTTCGCCATATTCATAGACCGGAGAGTTACACGGAATTCTAGTATATAAAGTCTATGTTCTTGACTTCATTATAAATGAACTGTTTGACTTTCTCTACCCACGCGCTCATAGCACACCAAACACCCTCTTGCCGAAATTCATCTACCTGCCACAGCATAGTTGGTTAATACTTGCCAACTCTTTACTACTTACTACGACATGAACTTCTTCTGTGTAAGGGTAAATCCTAAATAACGAACTCGTTACCTATACTGATTCATGAAAAGTGCGAATGTGGCCACGGCCCGTGGAGTTGCACGACCGATGCTGACTGTCACATCTGTCAACATAGACGGTGCAATCGATGTCCTATTGCCGCTCCCGAAAAATAGCAACAGAGTCAAAAGTGCCGTGAGTCTCTTGACAAAATCGAAACCGCAACCTATACATTCGGCACTAAAATGTAAACCAGACTAATACACGATGGCTCGGGCGCGTAAAGGAAGAAGGGGGGGGGGGAACTGGTTGATAAACTTGAAAGTTGGCGCTCATTGGGAATTGTCTTTCTAAGATGTCTATTTTGCTCCTGATGACGTATGATACGGGAAGCTGAAGGTTAGATTGTCATTGTCTTATACTCATCATCACTGGGTGAGATTACCTAAAGTCAATATCGAGACATAGCATTTAGAGAGCCGGAAAAGAGCAATGGTCATAATTGTTATCTAGAATTTAACTTGATCCTGTGAATGACTTGGAAGTGAAGGTCGGTCTCTATAATACACACCCCTGTCTGAGTCGTATGCCCTTGCGAAGGATCAGAGCTTAGATCGCCTGCAGATATATTCAGCTGGTTGAAAGCGGTAATTATTTTTGCATTGCCGTGCACATGGCATTCAGACTATATTATAAATTATACCGGCAGTGTAAAGTATAGGATTAGCATGATGTAATCCTTTGCCTATGTGAGTGCTATTACTCAATCCTTCACTGCGCCACACGTCACAATTTGCCAACCCTACTCAGATGTTTTTGAGCTGTAAATTCCATGTGAAGTAAAGGTCTCGGTAGCATCACATCTCAGAGAAGAAGAAAACGAGGCAATATACTAGGTATTGTGGATTATGTAATAACTTACAGCTCCATTCCATGGTCGGGCATATGTCAGGTGGCACTCCTGCGCCGCAAGTGGGCAATTAGCTCCTATGTGGAATATAGGACAATGTTCGCGCGCATCTCCGAGATCGCACTTGCACGTGAAGAAAAACTACGCGGACAAAAAGTAGGTAGAGTATTGAAAGAAAGTAAGGCAAAGTATAGCAATTGCCCATTTAGTAGCTCGGTATTCAGAAGGGCCGCAAGAAAGAAAATGGGGTGCGGGACCTAGAATCCCTATAGAAACAGGCAAACCAAGCTGGCACAGCCGAGGGCGACCCATAATCAAATCACTTCAATCGGGCATTTAGTAGTTATTCAGCCACTCTATCCTGGCACTGAGGGGTTTCAAAATACCTGTCCCTCTATAGCCCATCTGAGATACGATGCGATTCCGTGACTCTTGCCGGAATCAGGTCTCAGACTAAAAGATTTGTGGCTACGTCATGGCAACTGAAGCAAGCTTGTTCGAAACTGACAGCTTCACTCTGATATTCAGGCGAATAACAACGCTCTCGGCCGAGATGGCTGTGTATGATGAATTTGTGTATACTGCTTCGATGGTCCGTCTATCATGTCGCTCCTGATCCAGTTAAATTTGTGTCGACCGAAATCCAAGGGTGCGGCGAAGCGTTTTCATCACCAATGATGTCCGCTTCGACTATCTCTCTGGCGATTCATAGTCACGGTACGCCGGTCTCGCACATTCGACGACGCTCATTGTGTTCCGCATTATCGTTGCCGTTCTGCCGTGGCCAATAGATTAGCTGGGGCCATCTCCGTTAATTGCCTCGTAAGAGGAGAAAGCTCTCTTCTTGGTATTGTTGATAGGAATGGAACAACATAGCTATCCCGTCATTCGAACTTTGATGGCAGTGCTTGAACTTTAGGGCGAGCCATTAATCTTAACGCCTTGAAACTTGACCGGAGTTTCAGTAATCCGACTTTACCTTTTACTGCTTTTCACAGCACGTCGAGTCAACGACGAAAAGCCCACAAATGCATTTCCAAAGATTTTCCATCATTTACCACGCATGGCCTCCTAATTCTCTGTATAAATGGTGTGTTCCTCCCAGTCGTTCCTATCGATGATTGTGCCATCCACGGGCTTCTACTTGACGATAAGTCTGATATCAGTTCAGACAAGACCAGAAAACAATCTTGAAACCAACTTTGCCCGTTGCTAAACACCTCGGAAAATGGCATATAGAACAGTATACTACTGCGTAAGGTCATCAAACCCGAAGAATCTCAAGATGATGCTAACAGGGTCAGTGCTATTGCGGCCAAGGGCCGTGGAATCTCGCTGTGACCTTGCACTGCCAGCAGTGTGGGCACGAATTGTGTGGCCACTGCCGCCCTGAAACGATCAAAGTCAGGAGACGGTGAGCTATATGCGTTCTATGCCAGTCCAATTCTTCGAATGAAATGCTAGCAGCTCATATGAGAATGGAGTACCACATCATTTCTCTGACCCCTACCTGTTGGAGCAAACACATTCGAAATTGAGAAAGGGAAACTTTCTGCCCTTTCCCGAGCGATTCTGTACAGGAAAACACATTTTCTTCCATCATCGGCGGCTATTTGCTATACCCCTTAAAATTTCTCCTCCATCCCAGTTCATAGACATCAGTCCGGGCACTCTCAAAATTACTGGACAAAAATGGGAGATAGATTATCGACAGAACAACAAGACGGGGCAACGGCACGTCGCTCAAATTCCTCCAGATCTACGATGGCGGCTTATTTCCTTTTTGACACATGGCACGAAGCTAGATGTTTGGATTGTACATGGTCTTTAGCCCATGGATGAAGAGCAAGGAATCATTTCCCTTTTTCCTTTTTCATATTTTGTCATTTCGTTCATTTTGGCTTAAACGGGCTGGATGCGTGTGCTTTATTACCCCTTTCCCATATCAAATATCGTACAAGTTAAAAAGATGTCACTGGCTGGCAAATCAATTGAATCAACATTTCCCCTGCACATCAGGAAAATAGGTTCCGTCTTTCTTAATTGTAAACACTTGCTTTTCCGTAACTTCGCATATAATCAAGCATGAACTGTGTAATCAACGGTGGAAGTCAAGGATCACGTGGCATCTAGGCAATGCCAAACATATTGGCGAACCAGTCAAACCACACAGGGGGGACGAACGATGTCGCCTCACCCAATCCAAACGGATGACCGAAATCTTTCCCACCCATCCCTCATGTTGTCATATGCTGGGGTTATGATGCGGCGTTATTCTCGCATACGATTTGCTCAAGATCCGTTGTCGCACGGCATCTCGCTAGGCGCAGCCAGCATCTATGAAACAATAGTCTATCTCGATGGATGCAATGCAGACGCATCTACCCTTTTTCTCGCGTGGCAGCCACTTAAAACCTACGTCGGATACAATTAGTGGGTTAGGCAACTTTTGCCTAGTCACAGGTATTGGCCCTGCGCAGTAATAGGGAGAGCGCGTGGCGGTGTCTTCTAGTTGCGCCTTTGTTGGGGTCATTGAGTATTGGCCCCATGTTCTTTCGTTAGGATATTTGGCTTGGGTGTTTTACTCCTCATGGCTTCTGCCCATGGTATCATCGTCTATTTTACAGCATAATGCAGATCATTTCCAGCCAGAGTATCTAGGCAGCACCACTTTCGCCCTACAGCCCATGTGGTATTATCCAGCCATGCTTCGAGAACTACATAACACAGCCGCAACGCAGCATCGTCATTCTTACTTACTTTACCACATATTATCCAGAGGGGTTACCGTTGAACGCTAGGGCAGTGGTGGTGCCTTCTCCCACACCACTAATTTTGCCTTGTGTTGAGAGCTCCTTGATGCGGTCGCAAAGCGCCACGGGGTCTCGTGAACCCTCGAAAGCGAGCAAGTAAGCACCGAGGCCTGCAACAATGGGGCTAGCTGCCGACGTGCCTGAGGCTGTAGTCTGGATGCAGATGACTCGTTAGTATGAATCGCACCGAAGCGAGTCTTGTTTTTCTCATTCGTAGAGCACCCTTCGCACAGTCACAAAAGGGGGCAATCAACTTACTGATCCACCTTGGTACGAGGTGCTCTCGATATCGTTACCCGGCGCCCAGATGTCAACCACAGCACCGTAGTTGCTATAACTTGCCTTCGCGTCATTCTCGTCGCTTGCGGAGACAGTGCAGACAGACGGCTCGGAGGCGGGCGAGGTGTTCTCAGCATCTGCATTGTCGTTGCCTGACGCGACCGCGACGAATGCTACAGAACCTTTGGGTCAGCTACGGTCACCATGTTTTGGCACCAACTGAAAGGCCTCGAACATTATCCCGTCGGCAACTCCTGCAGAGCACTCAAAATTAGGACCAACGTGCGGATATTACTTACTGCCTGCATTCACGAGAGCAGCTACGGCATCGTTGCTGGCTTGATTCCTCCCACCACCAAGCGACAGGTTGGCGACGGTGCCCTTAGGACAGCCCCTGCTCGGTGCATCTTGCGCAACCCAGTCGATCGCTGCAATGATGCTGTTGCCATCTGTTGTACCGTCATTCTTGAATACTTTGACGGCAAGCAGTTGCGTCTTCTTGGCCACACCGTAGGAGTTTGAGCCCACGATGCCTGCGACGAAGGTTCCACTATAACCTCTGGAGTTAGTGATTACTCTTTCGGAGAAAAGCTTTGGAAGTTCTGCATACTCCCGAGACACACTTGTGTCCCTAGTAGTCAACTATGACCGCCAGGAGTAACCAAAAACAGAAAGAAAATGACTCCAGTGGTTACATACTGACCTGCGCCGTCGATATTCTCATCGTCGGCGAAATTGGCCCCCCAAGATGCTCGACCGCCAAAATCTGGGTGGTCAACATTGATTCCAGTGTCGATCACGTAAACGCAGGTCCCTTCGCCGTCTGACGAGTCGCGAACGTAGTTATTGTCTCCATTATTGCGATGAGATATCCGGGCAATGCCGTAGGGCGCATTCTCCTAATTGAACGCACTGCAGTCAGTAATTGCCAGATGGAGAAGGGATTCAGCTCATGTTTCGAGAGTTATGCAGGAGCAATGTGACCCGAAACATGCCTAAAGTGGAAATAAATGACTCCAGAGAACTAACCTGAGTGGTATAATCATACAGGTGAACCTTCGAGTCTTCTTGCACATATTCGACCTATACCACTTATCAGTGTCGCACTGGAACCATGACTCCTCGGCTATCATACATGAGGGTTGGCCCTTAATGATTCAAGCGCTGCGTCGTCGAGTGCACTAGCGAAACCTTTGAAGCTCGTTGCGCCATACATGTGCTTGGCACTGCTCATATGAGTAGTCAATGTACGGTCTGCATCTGCCGCGACGAAACCGTCCTTCATCTTGACAATATACATCCCCGGAACTCGATGTTCGTCGCTTGCCCGCATAAGCGGTGCTGGCCCATTCCTCTTAGGCACTGACCTCGCCGCAGCAAGGGAGGCTAGAGCACTCCAATACAGGAGCGACTTTAGATACATGGTGATAGTATCACGAGGGTTTCGATTGATGGCTTGATGGGAGGCGAGGTAAATGGTCAAGTGCGCCTTTCAACTCCGATCTGATGGGTTGGCCGTAGGCATTCATTCTTATAACTATTTCTCTTTCCACGTGTACTATGGCCATGATGACAACGTGCTCAGGATTTTGTGCTACAGGTGATATGTCTTGAAGCCTCACGAGATTCAATATGCGGTGCAGATCACTACCTTTTCACCCGTCTTCGCGCATTTGCTCGTCCTTCGTAGATCCCTTCGAATCCACCTCCTTCCTATATAGGCAATTTCAATCCTGCTCATCGGGGCATTAGATAAAACAAGTTTTGACTTGGCAGGCACACAGCCACGGCTTGTTTATGTGAAATCTCACATCAGTTTATTTATATATGATCCATTCGTGGCTTTGTTATTTAATTATCTTGTAGCATTATTTGATCCCATGAGGAGGACGAACGCCACGATCATGATGAGCATAATATTACGATCCTGCTTCGGGTTCATGTCGGCACCAGCCCGGAAGCTAAGATGAATACCTTTCAACTACAAGAGATTACACGTGAATTGTGTCACCTTCAGTCTTATTATAGCGTAGTAACGTTGCTATATACTGAAAACACATTGAAAAGTCCAAGCCGATGCTAGATGCGGTTTGCATATCTAGACGGAAGGATTTTCTACTTCTGGATGGTGTTACGATAAAACCAGAACTACTTACGCGGAAGCTATCTCATTTGGCTATGGAGATCCTATTCTACCCCTTTCACTACCTATCAAGTGATTACACACGAATTGAACTTGTCAATCTCTCTCTATCAGCCGGGATACGTAGTATGCCACAACGTGTTGCACATGGGTTTAAGACATGAAGTAGAAAGTTAAAGTTTTCTGATCAAGCAGGGGGTTATTGCATGATTAAGATAGCGATATTATTTAGTTGGGAAGTGGAATATTTTGGATCAGAAACGCTACTGTTTTTGGTTGACGGGGGTTGGAGCGAAGCTGCAAAGACTGGGCTATTAAAGACCTTGGTGAGCGCCAAATCAGTGACCGTCATGATATACCGCTGAAATTATCACGGGGAGGAATACTCCAGATAGTGGCGGTCGTTCTATAGGCATGGGTGCAGGATCGCCACCCTCAAGATTGTGACAGTCCGCCATTGGGATTACGATCTTAAATTCGAGCTTGTCTCACTACAGCAGAACTACGTTAACGACGTCGGAAAAATGGATATGTCTCAGGGCTCTCCAGGGTGATAGTAGGTCAGGTCTCGTTTTCAAATAGAAGATGATCTTTGCACTATTACTAGCCATGAAGCTGAGTGACAATTAAGTTATTCAAGAATTTAGCATTTGGATAAGCAGCATACTTTCATGATATTTCAAGTAAACGGTTTTGCCTTTGCTGGGATACCCAGTGATCACAATTTCCTCATAACACTTACCAAGAGAGGTAAGAGTCTTGTGAATTCTAAACGAAACAACTAGGCTGGATGCGAGGGGTTCTTTAGTTGATGCGTTTGTAATTTGGGACTGATGAGAGTAAGCGATCTTAGGGGAAAATGTGGGAGCTCAACGTGCTGAACTGGAGCGACGAGTGATATACGAGATTGTGCCACATGAAGGTACTCAGCTCTCGCAAACATGAGACATATTGGCATTATAAGATTGACAGATAATTAATGATTGCACGACGTGTCTCCAAGGCCTCAAATCCATGCTACGGCTTTATTCTGGGAGCCTCTATGCTGTAGTTCTCATTACAACAAATAGAAGTACAAGGTGATGCGAGCCGTGCAACTGAATAATTATAGACTACCTCAAGGCTATTGTCATATGGACTATGAAGTATCTATGTCTGGGCTAGACGAACTCAAGCTTACCTGCTCATAGTTGCACATCAGTTCACAGGGGTTGCCGGAATAGACCTTGTATAAAATAGTAAGAGAACACGCTGAGGATGATATGATTACGGTAACATAGATAGATTTGATCAAAAACAACTGTGTCTCAAAATAATAATCATCAGCAATATGTACATAGTTGTTTGACACCGGAACATTCTTCTCTTTGAACCGCGAACTATGTGAATCACTGTTCTGCTCCTGGAAGGGCCTGCCACGACTTGCATGTAACTATACGTTTAAGATGGGCTTTGAACTCTCTCTCCATTCATGATCGGAGCTACTAAATACTATATGCGATTGGCATAACACTCTAATGGCTCATGCGGGTAGAGTTCATTTGATTAGTCTTTATAAAAGAAGTAGAAGGACTACGTAAAATGCTCACACGTAGCTAGGACAGTCATGATAGCGTCTCTCACATACTTGGCCCAACTAGGTAGACCATTCCAACCTAGCCTGAGGTTGACCTGTCGAAGTGGTATCAGAACATGCTCAACTACCAGATAGTTTCACCATATCAATCAAATTGAAGGAAAGCAATAAGGACCAACAAAATTTGCCGGTGGAATGTAGACAATCCGGGGTAAGACCATGTCGTTGGTGAGGTGGAGGTTAGAGCAATCCTTGCTGCTTGATCCGTTTGTTCGGTCCCCCATGTTCTACGGGCGGATACCAAATTAAGAGTCTAGGTCAGGGGCCCAGTAACTGTAACCATAGTCCTGGAGTCACCAGGTTTCGAAGGGTCTATGATTGCTAATCTGTAATGATGATTCTTGTCAAGGTATTATATTGTAAGGACTGGGAGAGCTTGTCCTAGTTTCTTGTCTGACAGACACACATGTACGTATATTGATGTCGTCCCAAGTAGCGACCCGGATTTGCCTTCACCTTCGGAACGCCAAGTTCAATAGATTTCTTCCCGATAATAGGATGAACCTAAGCTTCAAGGGGTAAGATTACAGCTTGCAATTCTCTGACGTGCGCAGTCGTCAAATTTCATTGTAATCTTAAGGCTTCTCAGCGTTTACGTCAAAAGATGTTTCGTGGAATACTGGAGCTGCGCTAGATGCCATCACAGCACGCAAGCCCGCGTGGGATGTTACTGTTCCGGCATTATAGTACGCCGGTAGTTCTCACTAGTGGCGTGCCTTGCAAATCTTGGCTCTCTGGGCACGTCCAGCTTTCCTTTGTTGGAAAACCGCCAACCATACCTAGTAAGCACTTGGGGGTTTCGCGTAAGTTATTTGGACGCTAGAATAGTGGATTGTCTACTTAAGTATAGAAATACTCTTGGGAACTGTACTAGCAACACCTCAACTAAGTGGTTTCAAGCAGCTGGGACTTGCCATGCACTTATCTGTAACATGTAATGACCTTAGGCTATCTCTCGTGGGGAGTTGTGCAGTTACGACACCAACTGCTGAAGTAGCGCCCTAGTCCCTTGTCAGCCATCGAATCGTTTCAGTCGCGACAGCTTGCTTCAAATGATGGTTGTTGCTTCCATCGTTTAATAGTTAAGCATACCGCTGGAGATTGCTATCAAAGGGCACAAGGCTTGAACGCGATAAAGCAGATATATACATTGAAGCGCAGCTTGAGTTTAGTATACTTGCCGTCGAGGTAGTTTTGGGTAATGTGATTTAAAGCCCGAGAGAGCTGTTTGTAAGTAAAGTTTTCGGCAACAGCGGCTAGATTAATGGCTTTAGCTCTATTTAAGATCTTCGTAGGTAAGGCAAAAATCCCTGCTTCCCTTCCCTTTGCGTACTTAAGCCAAGTATCATTAAGTACATTTGTAATATTTGTCGCAAATAAGCAGCGCTGTCTTAAATTGAGTTATACTACTGTGAGTCGCCAGCTTCTTAGTAAGATCGTAAAACGCTCGACTCGGGGAAGGAAATGTTTTCGTAGATTTTCAAATACTAAAGATCTTTGAATATTGTTCGTAGAGTCCTTTTCTGCATATAAGGTTGCTAATTATCTGCAACTCATGGGCTATCGAAAGAAGCTAGTTAGGTAATCAACTGCTCGGGACTTCAATGTCTCGACTGTTGCCCACTATCGTACTGCATATCTTATACATAGATGGCAATATTACTATCATAATATGCGTGTACAGCTGTTAGGCATCTTAAGGTCGCGCTAACACTGATCATCTTTGCGTGCGAATCTACAGGCTGTAGACTTTCTTCATTGAGAGCGCGCCCGGAAATTTAAGATAACGAAATCGCCCGAAGGAATGCATTCCAACAGGGATGGTTAGTGCTGACCCCAATCGTGCATTAGTTGGTCTCTAGACTAATGTATCACCATACACGTACGTAGGTTTGGGTTGCAAATATACATCAGGCTGGGCATGGCAGGCTAATATTAAGGGTGATGGACATATATGACCTCGACCTCGACCTCCGTACTAGTAGTGTAGGTACCAAATTTGGGCTTCTCACTACGCCCTGTCGAATTTGTAGTGTAAGTTGTTGATGTTAAAGAACAGACACCTTTGTGTCACTGGCCAGTGAGCTGAGCTGAGCTTACCATACATGGCATGTAGCATTATTATGGTACGTATGATAGCATGGGGGGATCTGAGTGGTGCAAGGGTAGTGGCCAGCATGAAGCATAAATCTCAAACTACGTAGTTAAGATGCGAGTCGGGGACGCTCGAGTGGTATCCCGCCCTCCCGCTATTGCATACGAACCGGCCTATATGATATAGAGATCCTTGTCGTGGATATTCAACGAGTCACACACCAGAGGTACCTTGATCTACATCGCAGAGGAAAGAGTCAACCCTCTGCCCTGCTTAAGGAGATGATCGTGGGCTTTAGTAGGTGGGTTCTACGGACCCCGAAAACTCACGCACGTGGGCGCGTATATAGACAGACATGGTAGTGTGAATGGCCATCAGTAGCGCACGCACACACCGAGGCATTGAAGATCGGATCCTTACCATTCTAGTCGATCTATCCTCTGTCTAGAGGACAGTACATTGTTGTAGACAGCCGCTATGGTCTCTCCCCATGTACGCCTTCTGCAAGTGACTTGGCACCGCCCATGCTGTCTGTGGCGTCTAGGCCGCCAGGGCGTTCATGTCTTAGTGTAGTGCTTTGGAACATATGTAGTCAGCAGTCCCCGACCGCCAGAGGCGCCCAAGGTCTCATATTTCATTTCATTACTTCGACATTGTTGGTCTTGTTCTCTCATACTGTCTGTGCGAAGGGGGGGGAACAGTGCCGCCAAGAACGTCAAGCTGTCAATCGATGGGAACGTAGGCTTGCCTCCCCGTTGGAGTAGTCAGGATCCGGCTTCCTCCTCACGATGCTCCCCGCTACCGCCCTCCCCACCGAGTCGCCGTTGCCGCGACCGCCGCCGGGGCCGACGTACGTGACCGTTGAGCCAGTTGAGTTATCATTCAGACTGTTTGTTGCAAGCGTTATCATCGCATTCCTCGTGCTGGTCACACTCGTGCTGCGTGTAGTATCACGCTTCTGGATTGCTTTGAAACTTGGCTGGGACGATACATTTGTTTTCGCTGCCTCGGTCTTCTCATTTGGACAAACGGTCTTGTTTGCACTTTGTACGTCTACCATGATTTTGAGCCAACCACCACCGGACCAGTCGATGTTCTAACGCTTGATGTGAAGTGGTATTTGGTGGCCTGGGACATCACGCGCCAACGGTCCCTGCGCCAAATCAGTTTTCGATACCCAAGGTGCGTCATTCCCGGCTCGCCAGCGTTAAATGTGGCCGCTCTCCGCAGTGCACAAACAGAACTTATGAAGCTCATTCCGGTGCTAGATTCTCTTTAGCTTCGAGCTCTTTCACATCATTAGCTTGAACCTGGGCAAAATCAGTGCTCTATTCTTTTATTTGAAGCTATTCAGCCAAAAATCCGTCGCTAAAATAACGAAATGGTGTTTACTCGCAGTGTCGTTGGGAACTATTGGCTTGATTCTATGGCAGTTTCTGTTCTGCCGACCCCTTAGTAAAATGTGGGAATGGGACGGACTTGAAACTTGTGGTGACCGCGTACGTGCACGTCTGGCTGCTTCAATCCTCTCACGACAGCTCTCCAATCTTGCATAGCCTTCTTGCAAACTCTTTCTGATGATCGACGTATAGCAACCATTATATGTAGCCGTTTGCGTCTGGTCAATCTTCACCGATCTGCTGGTGCTAGTTGTGCCTTTACCTGTCATCTGGAGATTGAAGATGGAACGTACTCAAAAGCTCCGACTTTCTTGGTTATTTGCGGCAGGTTTAAGGTACGTATCTATGAAAGAGATTCCTCATACTAACCCCTGAGTTCTTGACTGATGGTATCGAAGTGTGACAGCAGCCTCAGTGGTCCGTCTCGCGTATATCGTCACGATCAACTATCACAACGACTTCTCATTTCACAGCGTTCCGTCTACGTTTCTCGCATTCTTGGAACCTCCTTTGACAATCATCTGCGTCAGCCTTCCGATGCTCTACTCATTCCTCTCTAAAGTATGGCCTGGCAGTAAAGGCCGCAATGCCTCTACCCCTCACGGCGGACCACATCGTTCGCACACCTACGCCTCAAGTTTCGCACGCCGCGTGGATCCAGGAAAGCGTAATTTCACCCCGCTAGAAACGACCAAAGCAGACCCGTTTGAATTAAACGATATCCCTCACGGAACCGAGCGCCGGGTGCAGGTTTCAACTAAGAATAGTCGAGGAGATCGGATGCTGGGGAAGAGTATAGATCGAGACAGTGAGTCGACTAGCGGCTCAGAGCATGCGTTAGTTGAGCCCGTGCCATACGATACTAGTCAGCAAATGGGTGGCATAATGGTCTCAAAGAACTTCACGGTCTCTGTCACGCAGCGGGAATAAGAATTAGCTAAATGATTGTATATAAAAGCGTTTGAAATTGGGCATATTAGATACCACTAGATGTATGATAAGACTTGGCTCGCGTAGTAATGATATAATGTATATTTAACGCGAGAATCTACGACAATATATCGCACATTTTATATGTGATACTCTATTTATCGTCTGTCTCGTTCGATTTTGCAAAATTCAATGGCGTTCTAAACCTAGCCAGGAGATGAACCCCAAGGAGCTCTACAATTGTCTCAACGTAATGGGCCGCCTTTTGTTGGTTGTTAAACTCAAAAGTATCAACTGTAGAGGCTGCAACAAAGGGATCACACATACACAATCATCATTCAAACTCTTTTACCTACTTAAACAATGTGCTTGTTTGTAGGTTGTACATGGGTCAAAGGACATAGTTTGGTTTTTCTCGGCCTATTAATACGAAGAAAGGAGAAACTGGGCAGTTTTTGCTTAACCATTTCCCTCCACCTCCCACTCCGAATTGATAAGCATACCGGTGTCAGCTGTCACTAAAAGAAAAGGAAGATGCCGCAAGCCAGAAACTCTCCCAAACCCAAAAGAGCCATTCGAGAGGCAGTGCTTAGACTTTCTAACACCTTTGTGTTCCGCGATGCAGCCGCAGGAAATGCGACGGTAAGAAAAACAGCCAAAAAGCGCGATACACCAGGTAAGCATACCACCAAGCCAGTCGCTGGTCATAAAAAAAGAGGCTCGAACCCCTCAACTGCGGAGAAGCTCTCAAAACGTCCTCGGCTGAACAAGAAAAACAGCAGCGACGCATATAAGTCAAGCTTGAAGGCCACGGTTGAATCATACTCGTTGCCGAGAAGATCAGCTCGTATTCAAGAGCTGTCAGTGCAGAATTTAGACTTATCTGTGCCCGTGTCATCTCCTACAGCGGTAACTGAAGATGAGAATGTTCTCCAACATCTTGCTTTCGAAAGTCTGAGTCTCGCCTCATCGATGATCAGTAAGAACGAGATAGTCCAAGGATCTACAGGGGCTATTCCTACGATCGTGGTGACCGAAGCAGATGAAGATGTATCTCGGGAAGTGTCGGCGCCGGTATACCAGCAGAGCGAAGCTTTGAGAACCCGCAATGCGCAGAGTAAACCTTTGGAGCGATCATTCAAGTCGCCAACGTATTTGGCGCCACCATCGATCCCCTCATTCACATTCTCTTGTAAGCCGACTGCCCCTTTCACCGCGTTCAAACGCTGCCCACCACCTCCTTCCGCTCTCCCATCGTTTTCAATGTTTCGAGAATTCTCAACTCTAGCCCTGCCGCGTGATTCCGCTGTAAGCACTCCCATTCTTCCCGGTCCCCCATTGCCCGTACCGCCTACCCTACCTTCGTTCAACGAGCTAGTAGAATCAATAGAGCGTGCTCCAAGTCGCCGCACATTTGTGGTCACATAGTAAGCAGTTCTCTCAATTACCTTCTCTCCGGTAGCAGGCTCTAAAGGCTTATTTTTAAAATGGGGTTCTACTCATCGCGACGAGTTATAGCATTGTTCGATATAGAAGAAGCAGTGGAGAAAATCTGTTTGAATTAGATATCTACGCAGACAGCATAGTTATTGTTTGCTTAGTCATTACACTTATATACAAAATAGCAATAACCATAATTCGAATCTGATAGCGTATTTAGTGATTGCCTCCAATTCCATACCTTTGTATTGTATCTCTACCTTGCGCAAGCCAAGCCATTCCGTACCCAAGTAATGAAATACTCAATGTGTATACGCAATATGGTTTAAAAGACAACTGTAAAACCCCCTGCATCTGCCCCTCCTACCCCGCGCCGTTCGGGCCCTAGATCCGCTCGGACACAGCACTCTACCCCGCGATGAGTTTCCCCTCAGTCATCGCATGAGGATCATCAGATTTATAATTGCAGTGCTCACAGTGATCGGAGAGGCAGGTCTGCTGCGTGATGATAAGAATGGGTACAATTGGCCTGGTCTGGTATGGTGCTCGAGCACTCAGCTTGCATTGATGGCACGAAGAGGTCCAGACAGTACTTTCACAGGGCCCTATTATCTCGAGGAGCCTAGATTTACAAGATGACATGAATAGATCCTGTACTAACCTTCTTACGTGTCGTTCAAGGTCTCGACAGCACCCGTAGTGAGGAAGGACTGGGGGCAGCTACGTTTTCTTTTTTTCTCATCATCGTGTCTCGATATAACCTCCCAGTGTCCTCTTCATAGGATGATGGCCTTGAAGCCTCGGCGCCTACGTGTCTCGGAGTTATCATGTATACAATCACGTTCTTGCTCGCGGCTGAATTGGCGCCACCAATGTCATATCTGTAACATAGTAAAAGCAGTATCACCTGACGGAGAATGCGTAACATATAATTCCGAACACCGTATGCGCAGAACCACGGGGATGGACAGTTGGTTATTGGTTCGCATCGCAACAACGAATATAGATCAGAATAGGGTACAGCTTTCCGGTAAGCCATCACAGACCGTCTCTCATATCACAGGTATGCACAACAAACCCGACCCGGAATAACCTTCTCCCCTGCAGCAGACGAGCTGGTGTGGTTCGTACTGTATTCACCTGGAGACTTGAGTCTATTTCCTTAATTCCTGAGAACAACTGCCGATTCCGAGGAGAGCCCCCAAATCGGCGCTAATTTGATGACCGAGAAATTACCTAAAGGGAGCTCAATTCGTAAGGGGTGGGTAACAAGGCTCAAGTTCGAAGAGTCAGAAGTCGTCCGAATGCTACAAGATGGGTAGAGAAAGGAGAGAGGGGGCATAAGAAGCAATTACTACCTCCTAATAAAAAACCCCCTCGTTTTCGCGTCTGCAATCCCTCGTCCCATCCATCTCAGTGTACACGTCGTACTAGATCGGTTTTTATTTGCTCTCGCCCACACCCGCTCCAATCTGTCCCAACTCGGTTCCTACGTCATACACCACATCGGCAATTCAGGTCGTGCCAGATCACATCGCAGAAAAGTGCAACATGGCTGCAGACAAGGTATCGGTACCAGCTTTGCTGGACTTGACCATCGACAATATCACGCCAAACACAATTAAAATCAATTCGCAATGTAAAGACAGGCGCTTGACGTATGTGATGGAGCGCTTGGTCACACATCTCCACGACTTTGCCAGGGAGACGCGCATTAGCACGGACGAGTGGATGGCCGGGCTCAATTTCTTGGTACAGTGCGGTCAGATTAGCAGTGATGTCCGCCATGTAAGTTGCAATAGGCAGTGCTATCAATGCCCAGGTTGGATCCGACGCGCGTAACGTGCGCAATGGGAAGAGACTAACAAGGCCACTCCGAGTAGGAATTCATTCTTCTGTCCGACATCCTTGGTCTCTCTCTCCTGGTAGACAGTATCAACCACCCGAAACCACAGAACACGACAGAGGGGTCCGTGCTAGGCCCGTTCCACACGCACGACGCCCCGACATTAGAGAATGGCGCGAACATGTCATCGGATCCCCAAGGAGAACCGCTCCTGTGCGTCTGCACGGTAAAAGACACGGAAGGAAAGCCGATAGAAGGTGTAAAGATTGATATATGGGAGACTGACAGTACAGGTCACTATGATGTTCAGCACTCGGACCGGAGCGAACCGACTGAGCGCTGTGTCATGATCAGTGACGCTAACGGAGATTTCTGGTTCAAGTGTATTCTGCCAGTCAGCTACCCCATCCCACATGATGGACCAGTCGGTAAGCTTCTGCTCAAACTGGGTCGACACCCTTGGAGACCAGCGCATCTGCACTTCATGATGGAGAAGACGGGCTGTGATCATTTGATTACGTGAGTTGGCCACCTAATATCGAAGGCCTCGGCCTCGTGCGACACCCTAGGATTGACTTTCTATGCCATCTAGCTCACTCTACATGCGCGGCGATCCCTACGAGACATCCGATGCCGTGTTCGGCGTGAAGAAGAGTCTCATCGTAGAGCCGCAGAAGATAGATAGCGCCACGGCGAAGAAGTACGGCGTGCCCGAGAACAGCTGGATTTTGAAGCATGACTTCGTATTGACGACTGATCAAGAGACGGCAAACTTGAGGGATAAGCTTGCCAAAGAGGCCCTTGAGAAACAGGGACTCAACTTGAAGCTCGTCGATCATCTACCTGTTCCTGACCTTGATTAAAGTACGATGAGCCAAACAACCTTGGATCCGATTGGTGTTATGGGGTCGCATTATAGAATGCCAGGGCCTGGTAGCATACATATTTATATATATCAATGGTAAAGTAGTCCACGCATAGTAGCAATGCTGTGTAAATCAAATCCCTCATATTGGCAAGATAGGCTGCATTCACAGTTTTTGGGTTGGAGGGAGCTAGATCAAAATGCAATTTGCAGCCAGAATAATCCTGGTATGCGATGACTCTGAACGAGACGTTCCACTTGCGTGAACGTGTTAGCATTCATTGCCACAAGCTAAGTCGCGTATATGATTAGTTGCGAGAGCATCCTGGGCTTGCCGTGCTTCCAGAATGGTCGCCTCGAGTATGGCTGGAAGTGGTAAGTAGGGGCACAAGTGACGATAAGAGGCGGCGCACGATGTACAGCGGCAGAATGTTGCTATTGTTGTTGCTCAAGGCATGAAGGATTCCGACGAACGTGTTCCTGATTTCGTCAGAAGTCCTGTACACCCGTCTCGCCCGTGAGCGGTCTCTCAATACTCTTCTTCCCTTCACCCTTTGATTCTACCTCGTCATCATAATCACTCTCTCCGACCCAACCGGGTTCCTCAATGTCAAACCACGCATCTTCCTGCTCTCGACGTTCGAGGGCGTCAAATTCATCGTCCTCATCGACAGAACGATAATCAAAATCCTCGTCTCCGCCGGCAATAAACCGGAGCCGAAGAAATTCATCCCAGCGCATACGGCCTTCTTCGGCGGTTTTCGGGGCAGACCTCTTTTCAAGGTCATGTGCCTCTAGTATATCTAGCTCCTCCCAGTTCATGTCCGTCACAGCTTCCGTCTCTGGCGGCCGACATGATGCCTGTGGATAAGATAGTTGTGTGAGGTGATTACTCGTAGAGTCTGCTCCTGATACCAAACTATCGCTGTTAAAGCTTTCACCAATGGTATCATTGGTCCTGCTTCGCGTCTGGTCGGCCAACCTCGACAGCCGCGCCTCGCCTCTCAATATATCAACCTCGAGCACGCGTCCAAAACCTTTAGCGCGACCTTCCTTCTCACGCTCTTCGTGAGATTGAAAACGCCGTATTAGGACGTCGTAGAGCGGCGGGTCAGCAAGCTCATGCTCAAGGGAGCGGAAGTACGACGGGTGCCGAGATAGCCACTCGCGCCGCCGGTTGCGCACTCGGATCTGAGCTGCGTGTGCTGGTGTCTTGGGCGGGCGAGGCTGTGGCCTCTCGTACGAGTTCGACGCTGATGACTCAGGTGAGGATATCAGAGGCGCCATTGGCTTCGAACGCAATGAGAGAATGGACATCGCAAGCTAGTACATATACCTGATCAGCTTCAGAGGACGATATCCTTCGGATCACAAGGCTCCAAGAACTATTCATTACCTTCGTAAAGCATAAACATAGATCAAACGACGGGATACCTTGCTGAATGCAGCAGGATGGAGGCAAATGTACCTAACCTACATATACAGATGGCTATTCGCCCATTACTAATCGAGACACCGTCTTATCTCGACTACCTGGACAGGTCTGCAATGTACAATTAGAAGAATGGATTTACTCTTCGCTTTCCTTGTTATAAGTGATGGAACATATAATGATTATTTCCAAGGCTCTGAAATAGGGAATAGCAGCACGGAATTCCCTTGATTGATGGGTACTGAAAACGCTGGTGAGGTTAGTTGAGTACACATATTGCTGTCATGGTGTTGGTTTGTTAATTCATGACATGTTAGTACTGGGCATCTAGGTATCTAGATACCTACCTAGGTACATAGACCAGAAGTACCTTTCTCCCCTGAATGGCTCAATTACGTTAGAGAAAGCACACCCATAAAAACCCAGGCTATAATAAGTACCTACCTCTGAGTTCTCTATGAGTACAGTGATCTATCCAAGGTACCTGGCTGGGGTACATCTTTAGTACCTATTGCCTAGGTAGGTATGCTGTGCTAAGGTTTAGTGGACAAGGCCCACTAAAAGACGCCGGTAACAGGGACACATAAAAGAAGCAATCGTGGAACAATAAATCTTAGTGCTAGAACTCAGCAAGGCCATTTTATTTTGACAAAGCGAGCTCCTCTCTCAAAGGCTGATACTATGCATACCAGATATTTCTCAGGTGGAAGCCATAGTCCAGCCCTCACAATTGTGTCTGAGGCTGAGGCGACAAAGCCTTGGGACGTCCTTCTGCAACAAACAAACCACCAGCATTGGTGCAAGGCCAAGCTCCAAGCCCATTATCTCACCCATGCCAAAATACTTTTGTATAAAGTCGCCTTCTCTATCGTCCCATGATACGGCATGGGACCAACTCTTCATATGTAGCGAAAAGGCGACTAAAACAACCCAAAAGGCACGAATCGAGCGTTCCGAGTCGCTTATACATACTGAAAACCGGGAATCTTACCCAAGCACCACGGCACAGCTGTCTCTCGATCACACATAAACAAGGTCTCACAAGCTATACAGGCCGCAGACGGTCACTGCTGCAAAAAGCTTCGGTGTGAGACACACGACTCAGCGCGCCATCGAAGCAGAGCTGCTGGCAGTAGTGAAATGGCGACGCAGGTCTCACAAGGCCCATTGGCAATGATGGCCATCGCAACTAATGAACCTGTTGTTTGTCATACATCACCTATGCCCAAGGGATACAGTTTCGTCCGTAAGGGTAACACTTATGTGACCCGCAACTGTCGACGTCAGACACAGGAGTCAGATCAGATTGTTTATGCTGTTGTCAACCCAAAGAAGCAGAAGGTTGGGATTCGGGTTCCAACCCCAATATATGAAGCTGTCTTGGAATCAGAACATGCTACACGGCTGGACCGAGAAGCTAAGGTCAAGAAACGCGACGAGAGCATTGAAGAGCACTTCCGAGAAACTAGTAAGTATTCGAACAAACACCTCCCCCCACCTACATGGCTGGGCATCTGTCACTTTTCATGCATTATCAATAATTCATTTTCCCATTTTCTTTACCATTGACCAAGTCACTAAACCTAGCACTGCAGTCTTAAAGAATTTCCCTCACATACCTCATGAAGCGCTCTGCGCCATTTTGCGCCACGCAACAGCGAAAGGATCAGGCCGCGTAGGACGTGCCGGGAAGCTAGAAGATGCGGTAAAAGCTATCCTCGCGGTCCAAGCTCACATACGCCATAATAAAACGGACTATGAAGCCTTGCTGAAAAGTGGCACTAGCCGTGAAAGCGCGAGAGCTAAGACATCTCAGAAAATATCCGAAGTCGCAAAAACATGGGGTCTTGTGCGCCCGAAAAGACAGTCCCCGAAGAAGTCTTCGTCCAAGCCTCGGACAAGAGCCACGGCGACTGCCGGCAGGGTTCAGAAACGACGTCAAAAGATTCAGCGTCGTGTGAGACGATCCTAGATAGCGCTGCAATGATCACCAGCTATGTTTGAGGAGTAATGGCGCTACCATTCATTCGATCACATGTTACAGCATGTCTGCATAGGCTTGGAGCTGGAATCCACGCGCGCCATTCGCAGCCACTAGATGACATTATGTCGTTATCAGTACATTCTTTGGTGCCAGTGCTACGATAAATTGTAAGAAAAGTCGATATTGATTAATCCGCAGCCGATGATCTGGGTGTCGGACCAACTGCATGTTGAATACCTAGATTTACGCACCTCTATCGCAAGATAATGCATTAAAATGGAGACAGAGAAACGGAGGGAGTATCATCGGTTGTTAGAAAATAGATTTTCCATAGGGGAGACAGTCGAGATATTCATGTCACCGTTTCTGACAAATGGTTTATGTGAGACTGTATTCTACTTGGGCACCGTTAGAACATTTAGTCTTAATTATCAAGATAACTTTCATCGTCCCTACGAACACCTCATTTCATCATGTGAAAGATCTCATGTCATAGTCATTTAATTCGATGAAATAGTAGATGCGCACGGCCGTCTTTGTGGTTGAAAATAGGCAATACACAGGGTACCACAGTGCTTCCCCTCGCATAGCCATGTAAAGACATTGCCACGAGTCATAAATATGAATGCGTATGAATGTGATGCATGTCCATGTCGCATAATATGTCATAGAGTCTCATATCGGGACCTATCATCCGAGTCACGTCTTAAACCCGCAGCCGATGTGCCTCGGTGTCAGGCAAGAGAGCAGGTATTCGTCTTCGCGAAATGGATCAGTTAATCAGGCTTCGTCCGTCCGGTTATTAGATTTCTGGCTCTGTTATATAAACTCTAAGCATTGTTCAATGTATTTGTCAGGCAGCTTCTACAAATTTTCTTGTCACTGCTCAAGAACCCCAACTTCGCGTGTGTCCATACTTTTCATATCACTAGACAACTAGACCTCACGGGTGTCATATATAATGATTAATCATACTAAATTGGGTCGCATTCAACAATTTTGAATCAGTCTACTCTGTAAGGAGTTTCGATGATCTCGGGATATGCTCAGTCGGGTTTCACGCGGTGATAATTCGATTTCCTTGGAAATTATAAATTCAGTATTCTACAAGTGACTCATTTTATATAAGACGCCATTAGAACAGACCCACGCGGATCATATTTTCCACGAGAAAGGATTCTCGCGCGGTTTTAGGAACTAGCCCGTTGGGAGTGGTCAATAGCTATATGTTCTGAAGTGTGAGGTGATTCAGCTCGTACTAGCTGCCGAGCTCGGAGCTTATAACAACCAGTATGAAGATGAAGGTTTCCGAAGAGACCTAGAAGGTGTATATAAGAAAAGACAGTATCCCCAGGCAGGCCGACAATACATATTCCATGCCAGAGTATAAAGTATACTCAAGAATATATCCAGTGACTTATACATAAAACCCACCCAAGACATTTCACAGGACTCCGATCTCATCCCCAAGATGCCATTCCTCGAAATCGCTCAGCCAAAACTTAAGAAAGACTCAACGCTCGTGAAACACGTCGAAGAACATCTCGCGCCACAACTCTCCGCAAAGCTGCAACACAGCGGCGTCCTAAACGGAACGCGCGGGTTCCTCGTGACTGAAAACGGTCGAGATGTAAGAGATGAGTACAGAGATATTGTCTTCTTAGGTCCGTAGCTCCATCGATTCTTCTAGGATATGATAAAGTATCTCATCACTCAGAATACAGAATGGCCAAGCCGTCAGCATCTCCGCGACTTCGCCGCGTCCCCCGAGCTCGCGGAGCACAAAGAAAAGATGAAACCATACATCGACGGACCGACTAACGTGAAGCTCTTCGAGATCGACAACGACGATATATCATCGTTTTTCGGCGCGGACGCAGTCGTCGAGTACCTCGCTATCAAGCCCAACGATACTTCAGAGGCAGGAGTGCAGAGTGTATTGCAGTACCTACAGTCCGGACTCTCACAACTCGGCTCAGCTAAGGCGTTGGTCGGAGGTAGTTGCAACCTCGAGACTCGTGAGATCGCCGTCGTAAGCATATACGCGAGTGATGCTGTAAGTTTTCACTTTTATGCATACATCATTTCGACCAAGAAGAGGACGAAGGGGAATACTGTGACACGGCGCTCCTTCGCTAACGGAGTATATCCCAGGATCTCAACGCTGCCAAAGCAGCAGCAGCTCGACAGCAACTCCTCGCCGAGCTCGCGAAGACAGTTAGTACGACGAGCCTAGTTGCTCATGTCAAGAAGGTAATCCCTCTAGGAGAGAAGTAATCGGTATCACGATGCGCCGAAGATATCGAAGGGGATGCATCTATCTGGATTGTTCGCGTCTATATCCTTGATTTATCAGACTACATACTTGCGATGTGATACCACTTAATGTCTCTGAACAAGAGACGCGCGAAATATAAATAGAATTATCGATGTAGAGTCCAACAGTCCCTAGTACTGAAGAATGCGCATCCCCAACCACGTGACGCTATAGTCTCCGCACGGCACGCCCTTCGATGTGCATACCTACATCTATGCACGGGGAGTCATTAGCACTCCAATATTCTGAATAACTAATCAGCACCTGGGTATCCGAGTAAATAGAGAATTCGTAACTCGATCGAATTGGGGGGCAAGACTTCAGTCATCGTGTTCTTCAACCTTTGCACTAACATCTAGATTTTCGAGCTTTTCATCTAGGTCAATATTCTCATATTCCCGATCGTCAGCGTCTTAATCCCTTGTGCGAAGATCAGCCCACAGTCTTGATCTGCAATATGGCACGACAATTCCAGCCGCAAGAGCTCAAAGGCTTCGAGAGCCTAAGTCCGGGTACATATTCTACACCAGGTGGGAGTACCCTCTCCTACTCGCATACACCAGCATCACAACACAAGCCTGGCACCCCTATCCTAGTCTTACTCCATGGATGGCCGCAGACAAGATACATTTGGCGGTATGCCGTACCAGTGCTTTCGGAGAGGGGCTACACACTATTCGCACCTGACTTGCCCGGGTACGGATATAGCACCATGTCCACGGTCTCTGCATCGGAATTAGGCTCGAAATCGGAGCATGACCGGGTAAGCGTCGGATTTGGGATACTATCAGCTGTGCGCGCCGTGTACGGCGATGACAACTCCTCTCCTGCCAACAATGAAGATGAGCTTCAAGTCGTGCTGATAGGACATGATCGTGGAGGTCGTGTGGCGCAACGTTTAGTCACAGCCCCTTTTGGGTCCTCTCCCCCAGTTCCAAAATCTCTTAATATTCGTATCCTCGGCGCGATGCTCTTGGATATAGTTCCCTATAGTGCGCAGTGGAGTGCACATGCAAACCCACGAGCATCCACAAAATATTGGCACTGGACGTTTCTACCTTCGGCATTTAGCGTACCAATGGTTCAAGCATACGGTGGAGGTCGCTTCTGCCGGGAAATAATAGCCGCAGTTGCGGGGAACAATGAAGCTGGCCGCAAAAGTTTGTATGCAGATGGTGCCGTTGAGCACTATGTGAAGTGCTACGAGCAAGACGAGGTGATCCGTGGCGCCGTAGCGGACTATAGTGCCGGCGCTGCTGAAGATTGGGACGCGCAACAAGATGACATTAGAAATGAGCAGAAAATCCAAACCCCTACCGTTGTGCTTTATTGCGAAGGCCTGGGCACAATGCATAGGGACGTCGAGGCGGTCTGGAAACAGTGGGTAGATCCTAGTGCTAAGCTTGCTGTCCATGCTTTGCAAGGTGGTGTTGGCCATTATCTGCCGGAGGAAGCGCCAGAGGAGACTAATAAGCACATCATGGAATTCCTTGAGGCGCTTGGGCTATAGATCCTCTCGGCTGGTAATGGAGGGTTGGGACGGGATAGTAGAGACACGTTTCGGGAGCTCAACTTGTTGGAAACACCTGGCAATGAGTGCCTCACAAACATTTTCTTCCTTGGAAAGATCAGCTAAAGTAGATTCATCTTAGCTTCATTTGACATTTCAGAACACGAAAATGACGGGCATTCATAAGATACCTGCTTAATACTGGTATAATACAGCAAACTGTGACTTCGACCGACTCTTGTCAGATCTGTCTCGTCTTTATGGAGTAATTATCCGACGCCTACACCGGCTTCGACGTTACTGGAAGAGACGGCAACGAGTGACTACTTTAGCTTCAGCGCTGTGCTCAGCTTGTCTTGCAAAATCGCTCGGTGGTTGTAGCTAGTCCGTGGTTGGGATGTAATAGGGAAATCTCAACGGCTCTCGAGTTGCTTGTTGACCTCCTCGACACGAACAGCCCCGCCAAGAAATTGCCGTACAGTGCCGCGGTCTTGCCCGTTATTCCCTTGTACAATCATTTTCACTACCTCTCCATCGTCATTCATAACCAAACGACCGGAACGTCCGTCGCGCCACTGCAAGCTGATTTGTTTGGCTTCAGCGTCAGCCGCACTAATGTCGACAAGTTCTGTGTTGGGCTCTTGGTCCAAAGCTTTCTTAGAGCTTAGACCTGCTGCCTTCTTCATGTCTCCAATCAGCGCGGCGCGATTATGGTAGCGAACTAGTTCCCTTCGCAGAGCGCGAGCAAAGCGCGATAGGTCCTGTTCTTTAGGAATGTCGTCGTCCTTGGTGGCAGGTAGGGGTAAATATCGAGCAGTCAGGCCGGAAAGCGGTATGCATTGAGGTACAGTATGGCGATGGACACGAAGATGACGACGATTCGCGTATGGCCGGTTCAGCATGACATAGTAGGGCCGAATAAACTTTCCCTTAACCATGACCTCGAAACGAAGGCCGAGGACGTTCCCACCATCGACAGCGTTGGGATCGGGATCTTTGACCTTGAACGTCGTGATAGTTGCGCAGGCGCGATATAGGCATTGCTGCTTGTGGGCAGTTTGCTCTTGGAAACGCGCAAGGAGCTTCTGCTTCGCGGCGGCACTGGTTGTTGATGGTGGGTTGGTCGATACTTGAGATTGGAGAAGCTCACGCGTCGAATTTGCTGTCATCAGCGTTGCTGTTTGCAGCTTGACGTCGTTCTTTAGGGATTCGACTGCACATTGTCAGTACACGATGGCGAAACGCAAACGTAAACAAGCCCGCATCCTCTAACCAAATCAACAAATAAACTGAGCACAGCGACGGATGCCATACCTTGTGCCCTTAACTTCGCAATTTCATCGTGCAATCTATCCGCCACGGAAAGCTCTGGCGACGTGGATATACGAGAAGAGTCCATGGTGATAAAATAGTATGCTCGGAGGGTTTAATATGTCTTTGAAAGTTGGTTGATGTTTATATACAATGCGGTGACGCTAACGGCGTGCCATGTGAACTTGAATTCTTAGCATGCAGATCTGGGGTACCTAGCTTCTCGGAACCGCCCAGTGTCAGGCCCCTGTAGCTCTGCCTATCAAGATTGTGTGGGGGCTCTGTATCTCTCGCATGGTAGTGGCTCGCAGCATCCTCCCAGGCGCCAACTGTACCATGGCTACAGGGGGCGACAGTGGGGTCTTAGCACCAAGGGAGATAAGGTACCTAGGTACCTAAGGTAAGCTTCAAAACCTAACGGGCACACTAGGTCGCGAGAGAACACTTTTCGGTCTCTCGTTGGTTTGGGGGAGAAAGAGTTCACGCCGGGCAAACATTTTTTGTCTGATATCATGGCCTGAAAGGCTTCTCCCTCACCTACACGGACACGTGTATTCATCTTCATCGGATACTTTCCCTACCTAGCCACCTTGTCCTACCTCCCAATCAAAAGACCAGGACCCCTCTCTGTCTACTGAGGTTGTTTCATACTTACTATCGTCAACTTGATCCTGCACCCAACATTCCCATACAAATCACCATCCACGCCTACGCCACCATTGCCTACAGTCCTTTACTTACCTACTCCCAAATGATATGCGAACTGCAATCTAGTCATCAATCTACTAAAATATAGCTTCCTATCACTCGAGTTCTAGTGTCTTTTCTACCCGTGCGAGATCGCATCAGTTGCGCAGGGACATACTTTACCATTCCTGACATCTACTTAGACAATAATCCCTACAAGCTTTGACGGTTCCTACCTAACCTGCCTACTTAGTAGATTATAATCTATTTCAGGTACTGTAGTAAGACCCATTTGAAAACTCTTGGCGATCCAGACGCTTCTGCTCTGCGAAGTTCTTTCTGTCTGCTCGGCCCCAACCTCACCATCGACTTTTCTCTCTTCGCCCACTACTACAAGTACGAATGGCCCAAACGCGGCGGTCAAAGTCATCCCAAAGAGACAAGCTCTCCGTCTCGACTAGCGGCTCTTCGGCCAGCCTCTCCAACGGCAGCATGGCTAATGTCGAGCTCCGGCGCAAGAACGCCGCGCCCCAAGACTCTAGCCAAGTCACCGCGAATCTCATCGCCCGCGAGTCCTTCTCTTTAGACGACAAGATTCCGAAGACACCCATTGCGAACAATCATGGATTTTGGGAATTACCTGTAGTAGACCAGCGGAATTTCCTGCTGTTAGTTCTATTATACTTCCTTCAAGGCGTTCCCATGGGTCTGGCGAGTGGCTCTGTGCCCTTCCTATTGAAAGAACACCTATCATTCGGCGAAATCGGCGTGTTCAGTTTGGCCGCTTACCCATACTCGCTGAAGTTGTTTTGGAGTCCCATTGTCGACGCCGTGTGGAGCCCTAGATTTGGCAGGAGAAAGAGCTGGATTCTTCCCATTCAGTTGATTTCGGGCTTGAGTATGTTGTGGCTGGGTTCCAAGATTGATGTTCTCATGGCGACCACCGGAAAACCAGGCGGACCAAGCGTTTGGAACTTCACGGGTTGGTGGTTCTTTCTCGTCTTCATGTGCGCCACTCAGGATATTGCTGTGGATGGTTGGGCTTTGACCCTGTTGACACCCGGCAACGTGTCTTACGCTTCGACGGCGCAGACCGTTGGTCTTACGGCTGGTCACTTCTTGTCATACACTGTATTCCTGGCGTTCAACTCGGAGGATTTTGCCAACAAGTATTTCCGCTCGGTACCTGCGGAAGGGGGTCTCATGGATCTAGGCGGTTATCTGACCTTCTGGGGCTGGGCGTACATCGCCATCACTGCCGGTCTTGCGCTGCTCAAAAAAGAGGAGAAGACACAGAATGAGGATGGCATCTGGGATGTCTATAAGATCATGTGGGATGTTCTTAAGCTTAAAAACATTCAAACAATCATTATTGTTCATCTGATCTCCAAAATTGGATTCCAGGCCAATGATGGCGTAACAAATCTCAAACTTCTAGAGAAGGGATTCGGTAAGGAAAACATGGCTTTGACGGTTCTAATCGACTTCCCATTTGAGATTGGTCTGGGATACTACGCGGGCAAATGGTCCCAGGAGTACACCCCGATGCGCCTGTGGTGCTGGGGCTTCATTGGCCGGCTTGTAGCGGCAGTCATTGGGCAGATTACGGTCAGCATCTTTCCAGCAAATGGCGTAAATGCCTGGTACCTCCTCCTCGTCATTGGCGAACATGTCTTCTCGACCTTCACGCAGACTGTAATGTTCGTGGCTGTGTCGGCCTTCCATGCCAAGGTTGCGGATCCCGTCATCGGCGGCACTTACATGACCTTGCTCGCGACGTAAGTTTTCACTCATTGAATTTTTGCCTAGTCATTCATACTAACTTAGCTTCAGGGTATCCAATCTTGGTGGCACCTTCCCCAGATACTTCGTCCTCGGATTAGTAGACTCGTTCACACAAGCAACATGCCAGCCTCCCTCGGAGAAGCTGGACACCTCATTGTTGAAGGGACCCTTAGTGACTGAAGCATTCTCCTGCGCTGTCCAGGCTGAAAAAGAGCGATGTACACATGGGGGTGGCTCGTGTGAGATTATCCATGACGGCTACTACATCGTCAACATACTGTGCGTCATTGTCGGCGTTCTCACATTTACAATGTATATCCAGAAAAAGGTTATGGCCCTCCAGAGCCTCCCGTTGCGAGCTTGGAGGCTAAATTCGCAGAAGGCATGATCAAATGGGATTGCATGTTGTAGATTACTACATGTACACTATATAGACGAAAAAAATGATTTCAGTCATGAACATCGTGTCTCTGCTCTGAGCAACTACTATTCAAGGAGCCCCTATGGATTACAAGTCACTCATTTCGTCTAATAATATTGGCTGGCGGTGAAGCCCAAGTCACAGACTTTACAATGCCGCTGCTTTCTCGGGGCAGAGAACCGGGAAATCAATGCAACTTCTTCCGTCGAGGTCAAGTCAGCCCCATCAATAATACCCAACATCGTCAGTCTGGAGTCTAGAATCGCTAAGTGATTATTAATATGCTGTGAATGCTATCTGTGTATTCCCTTCGATATCCGGTTGCGTTGCTCTGTGTGAATAAAAGATCAACCGTGTAATGTCAAAGCAAAAGCTGCCATTTCTGTGTCAAGTTCCTCATGTAATAATGCCCCCGTCTTACCAGTGTACGTACTTGCGTGTGCTGGTAGGTATGCAAATCAACCGAACCAGGCATAGAAAACCAAATTCCAACATGCAGAATGATTTACTCAAGAACAAAATCGCCACAGTCACGAAAGGAGGATAGGGAAAGAGAATGTTTTACAAATCAGCCGTCTCGACACTCCATTCTTTCCAGCCCTTCTTCTCGCCAGGCAGCGAGACCTTCTCCCACTCCTCGCGCGTGACACTCTTCCACTCCTCAGGCGAGATCCAGCCGATGAAGGCCCTGTCGCCAAATCCCCCCACCCAGTAGATTTGCGTGACGACGAGCCGGACGAACTCCGACTCGTGGATCCGGTTCCCGGGAAGCCAGTACTTGGCGTCGGGATGCTTCTTCACGAAACACTCGGCGAGCGTCGCGGCGGACATGTCGTTGATCTTCTCGATGTAGCCGAGCAGGCTGAAGCGCGGGAGATTGGCCGCGCTGTACGGGACCATGTCTTTGGGTGGCGAATTCTCATCTTCGTTGCCGTCAGAACCGAGCCCGAGCCAGTTAAGAAGCTGGGACAATAAGCCCGAGGGAGAAGCAGTGGAAGCGGACTTGATCCGCTTATCAGGCGGATAAGGCGGCGTCCATTGCTGCGCTAGACTGACGTTGGATCCATCGCGCACATTCTTGAAGGTGGTCTCGATGTTGATGGCTAAGAAGGTCGGGTTTCCGTCGTCCTCACAGTCCGCGACGTAGTCCATCAGCGAGTGAGGCATGCCGCCGAGTCCTGCAGGGCGGTTTTCCTCTACACCGTACTGGTCACCTGCATTGTCCGCTGGGAAGGTGGTTGCGAGGTTCCCCAGAGGTGTCAATGCTAAGATCCGTCGACCCAGCACCGCTGACTCGTCTACAAGCCTTCATGTCAGTAAATGCGAGCTTAAGCACGATCTCGGGGGTTTCAAACGGCGGGAAGCTACACAATGTTTGATTTCACGAGCAGATATCCCTTCTATTTCGGACTGGGCAAGATACGAAGTGTAACCTTGAAAAAGACTCACACGAAGTTGGAATCCGGTGTCCAGACGATGATGGCGGGTTGCTGAAGATGTGTTGTGGTGGCGAGAGCGTGCCGGCCTCGGCAACGGCGGCCAGCGAGATGAGCGGGATGCTTCTAGATAGCTTCATGGTGACGAGTAAGGATGAAATGCTAGAGAAAGCAAAACATGAAATAGTTCAATAGCTTGAGCCGTGCGTCGAAATAATGTTCGAGTCAACAATAATCACGACCAACATGAGCGTCCGTCATTTCACCCTCAGCAGGATCGTATCTGAACAGGCTCCAGGTCGTGTAAGTAAGTATCAGATGATCCCGATAGCTCCCTTGTCAAACGCCGGGGGAGCTCGGCACGATTCCTTATCAGGAAAGGACGTTGAAACGGCGGTCCGGTGCCACCAACTGTGAACTGACTCTCTTACAGTGCCAATAGTATTCTGACACGGTGAATGTTTACACTGTATTACTTACGAGAACATTGGCTTTCTCAGATACCTACACCTCCAATACTGTGACCTGAGCATCAGGAGCGATCGTGAGCAACTTCTAGATAATTATATATAGCCATATAATTAATTATGCGTATTCGCTGAGCTACCTAGATACCACGTGGGATGTGCTGTTGACGTTGGAATTTGGCAGATTTTAGGCCGAAAAGCTAAACCCCCCTAAGCAACCAACTATGGCTAAGTGCAAGTGGTGAATAAATTGTGGCTATTCCAATATATGTGTTATTAAGTATTTTATCAACTACCGGGACTCTCGGTGTGATTCATCTACGTTTGCCACCAAATATAACCAAGCCGAAGTCACATGACCTAGCCGGGGCTTTCAACCCACCAAATCAGTCTGACCCAAGCCTGTCCAAACTTCCTCCCGCAAAACCTCGTCCGCGAAACAAAGCCCTACGACAACACATACCAACAAATCCCGACCTCTCAAATCCGCCATCATGGGTAAAGGTACTCATAACCTCAACCACGTCCTATCAGGCTCCCTTGCCGAAATTACCACATACTAACATGGAGTGCAGTTCACGGTTCTTTGGCGCGTGCCGGAAAGGTCCGGTAAGTTGATTCGTCCCTGATGCCGCGAAAATCAAGAAATGCTCCGAGACTGACCTTCACATTCATTAGATCTCAGACTCCTAAGGTCGAGCCTCAAGAGAAGCCCAAGGTCCCCAAGGGCCGCGCTAAGAAGAGACTCCAGTAAGCGATCCAGTCCTATATGTTCTCTCAACAAATTCAGCCGTCGCCGGTACACCCCCAAACCTGAGGACAATCATGTTCAATTCGATGCAAAACGGGGATGAGTTCCACGCGCACATCAGAGAGGCAACGATGGGTTTCCGAACCAAGTCCACACAGCTATATCGCGCCTTAGCCATATCGCCCTTCAATCACTCCCTCTTCAGCCGCGATGAATCATCGTCTATTACCATCCTTCTGTTTCTAACCTAGCCTGAATAGATACACCCGACGATTCGTAAACGTTACCTTGACTGGTGGAAAGCGCAAGGTAAGAAGAGGAGAATCTGAACAGCTAAAATCATAGCTAATCATCTGACAGATGAACCCCAACCCTGGCTCATAAACGCCCTGCTTCCTTCAACGATACGTGGGAACAGTCGAAACGATGCTCTAAAGTGAGAAGATGAAGGACGAACGGTTTCCGAGGTGAATCTCGGAGCGCCGAGATTTCTGCTACAAAGAAATGTCTACCCGCTCGGTTCCGTGCTGGGCAAAGATTCGATAATGAGATCATGGTGGTGGACACGTTCGCAACTTTCTTTAGGAGTCAAACGGTTGCATTACTCAGCTTGGTATTTACCAAGCATACCTGGTCTGTACCTTCGCGCATTGTGCCTGACAGGGCAATCATAGCAAACAAGCATCATATTGTCTGGCACTTGATATCGCGATCTTTATTGTGATATGAATAATTTGGTTCTGTCTGTAAACCAAGCACCATGGCCAGGCTGCCGTGTCATCTTGCCTCTAGGTTCTCTAAGTCCCTCGTTTCTGCTTCTTGTTCGAGTTACAAAACCGAACCAGGTGGTTACGTTTCATCAGTCACTTCCGAAGGTACAGGTAGCGATATAATCGTAGTTCTTAGTATAACCAACAGGTAGTAGTGCCCTATATATGCATCGAGACAGCTTTCGGGATTGGATCAACCGCAATTATTCGATGTGCTCTTTTCTTCTTCGACACTCATATACGTCTCGTTCTCCCAAGCGGTGAATAACTTTATCAATAACTAATCGTTTTACTCGCAGCGGAACATATCGACAGTCAGTCATAACCACTTCCCAATACAGTGTGCCTTGATATACCAATCGCGACAGATTTCATAGTCATCTCTCAGACCGTCTTCGCATAGTTGGGGGAACACACCTTGTAAAAAAGGCTGCGGTCTACGCAGGTGTCGAACGGAATCGTCTAAAGTCTCACGGTCAGTATAACGTTCGTTCCACGGATGTGTCACTGTTTCCTTATGTATACGCTTTGTACTCCGTAAGGCTACCTCGACATGCCACTCACTCAACGACGGCCAGCAATTCGCATACTGATGAGGAGGCCTATCCAACAAGTCAACCGACTATGCTGATTCAACGTGAACTAGCAAGCTATTGTACGATAGCTAGATGAGCGTAATAAAGGTTTGATTTACTAAATGGTCTGCTTCTTACGGTGGTATTGACTAAGACATAAGAACTGCGCGGGGAAGGCTCAGGGTTGAACAACGACACGGGCACCTCAGTTGTCAAGACCTATCCTTGGCCTATGGCCCTCCGACCTTATTTCCTAGAAACTCGCTCTGTGTGATTCCTGACTATACCGGCACACTGATTAGTGTAAGCTATATAGACTTAGAGGCTGAGTAATGGCGCACGAGGTGAACAGCAGAGACACTTGGGAACCATTGCTAGATACGTAGCTACAGTGGAGCAAGCTGCCTCTATACCATTTCGAAGCAAGAGATTTTATTGAGAGACTGTATATATGACTGACAAGCTCCTTGAGCAAACCCAATATCTCAAGCCCCTAACTGCCAGGGCAGTCTGAGCAAGAAATTGTGTTCACACCGCCTAAGCTGGCGCCGTTAGGGCGTAGACTGAGCAGCCAGATAAGGCCAAGCTAAACACACAAAGCCATAATCATGTTTCCTCGTCATTTTCCCTTGTTATCCCTTGGCCCTCCCCCAGTCAGCAGAACACTTCCTGTGTTCTTATAGTTACACAACAATACTATGCTTGAGCCCTCTCCAAACAATGCCGATGTAAACTTTAAGTCATATCGATACTAACACAATGTTATTGTATTCGAGCGTACTGCATCTTTCATAATAGAATGTCTTGGTTAGCTGAAAACCTCAGAAAGGGGGGGTGAATGCGGCTGTTTCGAACATCAAGGTCAAGCGTTCCTGGACAACATTTGTTGTACTGTTATTTTCATAGCTCCTCACGAAGTATAAATTTGCAGAAAATTTCCCGACAATCGCTTCTTCTTCTCTCTCAGAATCATCAACACAATCGTGCAAATAACACACAGACAGACAAGCAATTCCTTCCAGCAACTCCAAACGCTATCACAACCTCAATCAACAAACCAACTTGCCAACCAAACCAACTAACCAACGCTAAGATGTCTATTCTAAGCTGGGCCATGTCCATTTTTACTGGCAACCAAACCCGTGGAAGTTATGACACAACAGGAATACAGCCAAAGCCTAACCCACCCAAGCCCAAGCAGAACGAGTAAGCTCAGGCTTGTCATAACTACTCGCAGCCTCAATCTCTAGGTCTCTCTGCTAGTCAAGCAAAGACCTAACCTCCTTTCCTTTTAGCACAAACCCCCTTAACAGATAGAACTTTTTTTTTATCACAAGATGTACCAATAATAGACTATTACCCAAATACACGAGCAGTCCCTATCTATTCTTAAGCATAATCCCCTGTGAACCGAAATCATAAAAAAGTTAATTGACAGTGAATTAAAAATACTACATGAAAGAAATCTCTCATTGTATATGAAGACGTAAGGCGAAAAGTTATAGCTCGGGGTATCAAAATAACCACGCTATATCGTAGACTTTAATCGGGAGGTATAACTGTGCTAATGTTTTAACAAAGAAAGGCGCCAACAGCAAAAGTGTTGAGTAACAATAGGAAAACTGTTAATAATGTAATTGACTGGTCTCTAGATTAGTTGTCCAGAGCGTCGTGAAGTATATATGACACAGACAGAGAAACCTAGGTTCAGCTCCCTAGCCTTGTTGTTTAATGATGTTAGGCGCATGCGTCTCCGGAGAGAAGCTGGGACATAGGTAGGCAGCACCTGGGATAGGAGAGACCGAATACCGAAGCAAGATATTCCTAGCTATCTTAAACACTTTCGAGAGACCTCTGCCCATTGTATACCTAACTTCTAAGCTGACTCTCCTCAATCGGGTTAACCTCTACTTCAGTGCTACTTTATCCCCTGACAACTAAGTTACCAGTCCAATGTCTTCGCCGTCTTCCAGTGGCCTATTTCAGCACGCATTGATGCTGTTATAAGCTCCAGATTAGAGCTGTTATACGCGTATAAGCTGTACCAGCTGAATATGTAGAGTCGAGTCAAGCCACCAACAGCCGAGAAGGAGTTAGTTGGTCAGGTACTCGTGCAACCCTAGTCGGTCATTATATTGTGAATAGCATCAAGCTCCAAGCCCAGATCTCAGCCTTGTTATAAGAGCCGATAAATAGCGCGTCTACGATTTCCATCTTCTCCATCTGACCAATCCCATATCAAGCAGAGCCTGGACTCCAATGTCAAGCCTAAGGCGCGCTACTTATCTACATGAGCTCAGCAAATGAAGGCGAATAGCGCGCTGTATGAGCCGCTGGTGAAATTGAAACTATCTGCAAGGCCATACGCGGAGCTTGCATATTGCTTCAGGGGTTGCTATACACCCCAAGGTACCAGACAACGCAGAGGGTTATGTGAATAGCCACAAGTCAGTCGCAAAGGGCATTGACCCAGATTAAAGCAGCACATTCCCAGTGAAGATTATTATAGGAAGAATATCCCATATATAGTAAGATTGACTTGATCGCAGTAGTCTCCTCGAGGCCTAGATAAATGAAGGGAAATCGACTTGGCTTCACGAACCATCGTAGTCACATCATTCTATTCTACGTGTTGCCCAGAGTACCTTCAAAGGTTCAATATATCTAGTTAAGATGGCTGGAAAGTAGAGGATAGGCCTTATAAGTCAAACAGCTATTCTATTTCCGGGGTTGGTAATTGGGGCCCGGTATCTCTGTGTTCTGTACGAGTCTCTTACAAGTAGTGACGGATACGGTGTGGACCTCTAAACCTTCTTACAGTCAATTAATGTAGTGATACTAATGTATCGTAGCTATAGATACAGATCGCATAGCGCACGTTTCTTTTGCTTCTGTGCAATCTCCGCATGCTTCCGAAGTGCTTCAATAACATCGACATACGCTCTGGGTTTCGTATGTCCTCTATCCTTTGTGCTATTCTAGTCAGCAGCGAGTAAAGTCTATATAGATGAGCGGCGATGGCTTTAAAGCAGTCAAGAAGCCCTCACAGCTTGCTCGTGCTACATACATCTCGCATTATGTCGTGAAGAAGGATGTTGCCTCGCTTCTCTGAAACTCGTCATCGCGGCATCTAAATAATAGCTATATGAACGGTATCAAGCTCGTAGTCTTAATGTTTCTATCAATAGCATAAGATACAGAAGAGATTCCGTGTGCTTTGGTCATATCAAAGCTATTGTTGGGGTACGGGGCTATATGTGTCGTCGGTCTCAGAATCATCGGTAGCGTGAGTACGAACTTTGACATTCATATCTTAATTTCCAGAGATAATCACATCTTTTGCTTTCTTTTTAGTAGCAACTAAGGCCTATCATCCAAGATTCAATCTCGGTGCTGCGACCATTCTGTCCCTAACCTGGCTTCCGCAAAATCATGATACTGCCATATACCTACTCAATTATAGATCTATATAGATAGGCAGAAGTAGATGGACTTATCTCAGCTCTTCATATCGGCGGAAGACGCCCGCATTACCTTCACAATATATAGCCTTTCAGTTGTCCCAGTCTCCCTGAGACCATATTTACCCCCTAACGAGAAACAAGATACCTAGTCTCACCACCTACTTCCGAAATGCTTCCAAAAGCGATTATATAAGAGCCGAAAGAAATTGATCAGAGCCTAGCTCTCTAGTCCTAGACAATTCCGTACCTCTGCACCGACCTCATGCTAATATCTAAAGCCCGAGTCTTCGTACGGCAGTGAAAGCTTACTCTGACAGGAACATCAGGAGACATACCGAAGTTTCTCGGTTACTCGATGATCAGGAGGCGGGGGAAGAGAATGAATACTCGGTGTTCCAATGAGAGTAGGAGTTTCCATAACGACCTTAATGCTTAATATACCCTTCTATACCTCAGCGTGCGTCTGACTTTTATCAAATCAATAAATGCAGAACTCTGCAATATACCATGTGGCCATTACGTTTTTCACTCTTTGTGTGAACACGTAAGTTAGTAAGTTACCACGCACCTTTCCGCGATACCGTTGCTATCAACGAACTTACTCATCCACCCTACCTCTATGGACTTGTGCGCGACGCGAATATCGATCCCAGCATCATATCACATCATATCAAATCAGGTACACCTAAAAGTCTTCAATATCTGCGCAAACCATTGCCGATCCGCTTGTGGATCAGTTATTAGCTATTCATATCCCATGTCTCAAGTCGACCGTGAATGTCTTGGATCTCGTCTCAGAGGGGTTTTTTCTTCTTCATCGTAGTTCCTATTAAAATAGGTGAGTGACACCTTGTCGAAGGCAGCTCCATATCTATCCGGGTTTATACTTAAAACAGACAAGTAAATATGTAGTTCCACCGACATTCAAGTCCTGTCTCACTGGCATAAGACATGTGGCTGCATAGAGAGAGATCGGTAATCGATCATCTATGATTTTCATGTAGTTTACGTCCGATTCAGAACTTAACTACTGGATCTACAGATCTACCATGGTTATCTACGAAACGCGCACTTACGTTCAAGTCCAATGCTTTTCCTAGACAGCTTTATTGATACCATCCATCTATTCATGTCACCTTGTGTGTGCGCACCGAGGAAGCAATATTGCAAGTGAACTCACTGCTATTACAATTATCGTCGTCGTACAGAGTATACTACGCTAATCCCTACTACTCGTCCCACGAGACATCTGCTCATGCTATTGCGGTAGTGATTGCACAAGCAACCGTCTTCTGACCCTGAGGACTGTGGGGTAAAATGCAAGACACATAGACCAAGTTGTACGAGAAAATTGCTCATCGCTCCGATGCTGTAGCCCGTTTCACAAATGCTATATCAAAGGGCTGCCACCCAAGATAACCCCAATATTCCAACCTGCCCCTATAAGTGCCCATGAAGTGCGTTATCCAGAAGTGATCGTATAACGCTCGTTGGGGCTCATGTTTCTTGATGCTTAATGTGGACACCACAAATCGTATAATGCGCATTTTAAAAGTTTACGACAGACTGCGTAGACCTGAATGCGCCGCGCGTTGTGACAACGATTTCACCAACACATGCAGCGGCTAGGGGTAAATAATGATGTCCCCATGATGAAAAAGGCGTTCAACGTGTCTAAAAACTGTTATATTTCAACTGCATCATCCCATGCAGATCTTCTGCTTCAAGAAGAGGGGGGCGACACCTGGTGGAGAACGACAAGGTAGAAATTTACCGGGGAATAGCGTAGGCGTCGAAGTGCGGTTATGAATTTAGGTAGCTGAAGGAGATGATGACCAGAAAAAGCATGCGTAAATGTTCCGTTCCCGAGGTGGGATTGGTCCAAGAATTCAATCCAGTGAACTTCGCGAAAACAGCTGCCCCATCTATTGGTTTAAATAGGAAAAGATAAACTCGGGTATTGATTTCCCTCTGCATAAATCTGGTGCACCAAGTTGACCTGGAGAGGCGGGGCGTTGCGTTTATCGTAGGCCAAACCGAAGGACGTATATAAAAGACGAAAACCTGCAATGCGCGGCAAGATATGGTATCAAAAGAATAAGAAAAATCGTCATCCAAGGGTAAGTTAATATGCCAACACCGTAACGCCGAGTCGTGTGCGATGCCGTCGTGAATCATCCGTCCATCCCATTGCCTAGTGAAACGTGTATGTATCGTACTGAGTCGCCGACCGGGTAGAATAGAAATCGGGCGTCTGCTCTGATAGGCAGGGTACGGAACATCGCCAAGAGACACCATTGCAGATTTAGTGACTTCTCCTGCACTGCGCCCAAGACCACAATGCGTATTTCCTTCTTCTATTCTATCCAAACCTAAAGGCTCATTGTGAGCCACTCCCATTCCTGAGGTCCAGTTCCGGCGCCCGAGGTCATCATCCCATTGGGATGGTTACTGGGCATTCCCACCATGCCGGAGCTCATCATAGGCCGTTGCGTTATACCAAAGCTGCTGCCGATACCACCAACATTTCCGCCAGAGGTCTGCATGGGCACAAACCCACTCGACGAGCCTACAGATCGGGCGGTCTCATTCGAACCAGTAGAATTTTCGGGGCTGTCGATATCCATACCGCCAGCTGATTCGTTCGTGCCAGCGCTCTTACTACTCCGGCGCTGCCGCTTTGAAGAGCCTGCGGCAGCAATGTTACGGGGTAAGGATGCGGCACCAGGCCCTGGCGTGTTCTTAGGAGGGGCCGCCGCGATCGGAACGACACCCTTGCCTCCGACAGCGCCAGTTGTTGAGCCTGCATAACTGGCCGGCGTGCTTCCTGCAGTGTTACCACCAGAGCCGCCACCACTGGCTGGACTCTCGCCCTCGTTCACGCTACCGGCCCTGGTTATGGAGGGAGGCGTTGTTGCTTGTGCTGTAGTGGTTGACGTGGATATAGCAAGCGTGGAGTTTTTGCGCGATGCGGGTCCTGATGTCGTACCGGATGCACCACTGGCAGTCTTCTTGGACCGAGTGCTGGTGCCGCCTACAGGTAGGCTTGCTCCTGATCCGCGGTTGCGCTTCTTAATGACATCAGTCTTCAAGCTGAGCGGCCTCACGACGCCGTGCAGTTTCAGGAACAAACCACACGCATTGCACAAGGGTTGCCCTTCGGGATTGCGTCGCCAAAGAGGCGTAGTCTGCGTAAAGCAGTTTGTACAGGTCGTTGGTGTATTCCCATCGCCTTGATTACCGTTAGATGATTGTAGGTTAGTAGTGGATCCATGCTTAGAACCAAGTGGTGAGGCGGGCCGGCTTGGTGCGACGGATGAGTAACCTGAGACAGTACCTGCTCCGTCTGGAGGCGGCGAGTTCGGGTTCGACTGTGCTAGGCGGTCGAAAGGATTGCCATGATTGCCCATTGGAGTTGAAACGTTACGGGGAATCTTTTGGCGCTTGTCACCCATGTTGCGGAATGATTGCGTGCGTGGTAGACTATGGCTAGCCCACTCGCTAGGATCAACGAACTCCGTTGTCGTGCCGCCAATCGTCACCTGCTTCCGGGGTGGACCACCGGGATAGCGAGCAGCGTGCGTACTGAATTGGCCAGGCAATGAGGCATCCCATCCGAGAGGGTTTGGGCCACCCATGTCCATCCCAGAGTCTTCGCTAGGTGAAATGTCTTGATGCATGCTCATATTACGGTCAGCAAATGCACCGCCATCGTCATCTTCGTTATCAGAGTCACCCCCAAACGAGAACATATTCTCATGCATCATGCCCATGCCGGGTGAACGAGCGGTTTGATCATGCTGAAACACTTGGCTGGGGTTAACATGACCGAAGCTAGGCCCAGCTGTGAAGGCTGAAGATACGTCGGGACCAGTAGACGTAGGAAATACCGAGTTGTTGTTTGAAGGGTACATGAACTGTTGATTCATTTGAGTACCAATAGAGCCGGGAATCTGGCGGAAACTCTGATTTCGTTGGTGGCGCATATCCATAGAGCTGAAGTACATGTTCTCGTTTTCAGCTAGGGGATGTGGAGTTGATACTGCCGAGGGATAGGCAGAGCCTGGAGGAGAATAATAGTCGGTGCCATTGATAGACGCGGGATGTTGCCCATAGACATTGGAAAAGGGGCCATGAGTAACCATAGGCGATGTTGATGGTGAAAACATGAAGCTTTGCTGAAATGGCCCTGCGGATGTAAGGATGGGGTCGCTCTCCATTTGAAAGGTATCAATAGAAAAGGGAGTGGCATTTTGATGAGTTAAATGCGAAGAGCTTGCTTGATTCGGTATATCTAGACTGTAGTCCTGGAGATCGGAGTCGGCGTCCATTTCGCTGCCGTTGATGGCATTGTTGCTGAGGGCAGACACATGTGGGGAGAAATTGGCAGGACGCTTTAAATTCCGGGCCTAGACAATGGTTAGTTAGCTCTAGAAGAGGACATGTCGGTTAAGTATGGTGAGAGGGAATGAAAGTCTAGGCTAAGCCAAACTTCTAATCACTACAGATATTATCAACAAGATGTGCAGGGAATACGTCAGTACTTACACGTCGCTCATCGATACTAGTTTTCCGGTGATGTCGGGTTACATAGCCGAACTCATCCTGCGTCCTCTGGTGAGGAGGCGCCGGCACCGACTGAGGCACAAAATGCTGTCCCGACGCTTTACGAGACTTGATAGGAATCGCGGCAGCGGCGGCGCGAGTTGCCGACTTTTCTTTCTCCTGTTTCCCGCTGTCAAGTGGCGATGTGAAACCGGCTGACGGAGCCACATTGTCGGGAAAGATGAAGTCGTCCAGATTCATGGGCTCTGGCTGCGACGCATTTTGGTCCGTCGCCTTCCTCAGTTGTGCGATGCCGCTGGGTGCGTTGCTAGTGCCCGCAATGCTATTAAGACGAGCAGAAGTTGAGGAGTCGGCAATGACTGTCGTAGCGGTCGAACTAGTAGAAATGGGGGGCCGGCAAGATTCGCCATGCACAGGGATGCGCTCGTCATGCTTAGCTTGCTGTTCCCGCCCTTTTTGAAGAACCGCGTGCATCATCCGCCATGTTAAATTCTCCAGGCGCTCCTGTTTCGGTAGGCTCTGCTTCGTCTTGCTAAAGAACTTCCACACTTGCATGGCCAACGGATCATGTTCTTGCATCTCAGCCACCGTCTGCTCCGAACCAGACATGTCGTTCTCGAGGTGAGAGAATAGAGATGTCTGGAGAAAATCGTGTCGCGCGACACTGGAAGTATCCATCGCCGCCATGTTCAGATTCAGCTCCCGGATGCGCAGGTCACCAGGACTCCCCTCATCTTTGATCTCTTCCCCGGCGGCTGTAGAATCGAAGGGCCGCCTGGGAAAGCGGAAGTCGTGCTCTGTTATTGTGGGATTTTTCGCCATTGCACAGTCCGCGGTCGTGGTCAATGATGTCGCGGCCGTGGCTGTGTTCTATACTGGAGGAAAACAAAAGGGAAAAGGAAACCCCCCTCCTGTTCCTCTAACGCCTGTGCACGGGTGGACGGGGAGCTTTTCTCTTGCGTCTTGCGTATGACAGGTCAACTTGGTTTCCCCACGTCCTAGGGGGGGTATTAAGTTCGGCTGACGCCGTTTCTCGGCCGGTGAATGAATCAGATTGGTTGTCTAGAGTTTACAGTACCACTCGAGCTTCTAATGATGCCGCTAACCTATCCAGAAGGAAAAAAAGAAAAAGACAATGGTGCGCATTGAGGTGAGTATAGAAAGTATAGAGGAGAGCTAGAGCCGTCGAGGTCTCGCTGAACCAGCTTCGCTAGCAGAGTCGGGATCGGAAGTGGGCGAGATGTATCTAGTAGGTAGGTAGTTTGCTATGTCGTATTCTTCTCCGTCTACCCTCGGTCGAGCCTGAGGTGTGGTAGGTGGAGGTGGAGGAGGAGCGGCAAGCAAGCAGCAAGCAGTGAGCAGCCAGCAGTGGGCGGAAGCAACAGTATGTAGTAGAAGCAGAACCAGCAGATGGCTACCTTGTCGCAGAAACAGTGCTGGCCCTGGCTGGCTCTGGCTGGCTCTGATGTACCTAGCAGCAGCAACAGCAGTACTGGCGCGGCGGGTGCTGCTAGCCTGCACTAACTAGCCCTAGCGACGTACATAGTATGTGCGAGCGCGAGGGCTTGGAGTGGTGTGAGTGGGCGGGAGTGACGAGATGCTGGTGGATGACATGGGGGTGTTTGTCGAAGTGGTGGGTGTGCCGCTGAGCAGGGAACATGGGATGAGAGGAGTAGGTACCTGTACACCACACAATTTTTACATACTTACATCCTAACTCAAGCTCCATGTACATCCACACTACACTCTGCACTCTCTGGTGATCCTGTCCCATAACATAACCGAACCGAGTTGACTGTGCTGTAAGTGAAAGTCGATACGCAGTGGTTGGTAGGAAGATAGGATAGGATAGGATAGGAAAGGGCCTCACCTAGACTACTTACATAGGTAGGTAGGTAGGTAGGCAGGTTGTATGTAAGTATTTTGCGCGAAGGGGGATGTCGGGGCGGGTAGCGAAGCAACTGAGGCAACGTTGGCCAGCGTCGTGTTGGTATATACAGGTGTGATGCCGTCTGTTGGTCAACACCACTTTCTGCGCTGGAGTGTCCGGTAGGTATTGTGAATACGTGTAGATTTACCTGGACAAGAGAGAAACAGGTGTTACCCTTCCCCCGCCCTCAGATCATCGCTTTCTTCCTCTGTCCCCATCACCACCATCATCCTCGTCATCTGTTCTTTTCCCCTTCCTCCTTGATGGTTTGCTCCCCCCGCCGCAGATTTCTGCCATCATCACTTTTCAATGGGGACTGATTGACGTCTGTTCTGCTCTGTTCTGGGTCCTGGGCGGCGGCCGGTGTGGTGGATTTGCATTTTCCTAGCTCGGCCCAGACAGGCAATCCGCCAATCCGGTTGCGACATCGATGTCTACCTCGAGACAGCGCTCGAAAAAGTAGTTCGAGCGTCGAGCGTCACTGGGTCTGCTTGGGGGGCACCGTTCTCCTCCCAGATCCTCTCCAGTCTCTCTGTCCAGCGTTCGGCTCAGCATGGGTCCTCCAAACGCACATCCCAGCACTCCACAGAGACATGGAAGCGCCTCCGCCCCTCCCCCTGCTGCTGCGTTCGAAGCGAGAAGGACTTGCGCCTGCCCTGCCTGCCTGCCAGTGTAGTGCACTAGGGTATGCGTATACCTACCTGAGCACGTCTATGTTGGTTTCCATCGATCCGGTTATACTTAAGACTTACCTACCGTATTTACCTCCACGTACTACGTAGTACATTATACAGACATTTATTTATTTGTATACTCATATGAGAGTAATGCGTCGGTGTACTAGGTATGTATTATAGCAGCACACCGGGTAGGTAGTATTGGATGTGTACACATAGGGTCGTCCTCCTCAGTGGATACACTTCTATACTAGGTATGTACCTACTACCTAGGTACTGTATGTATAGTACAGAAGGTACAGTGGCTACTTGGGACAAGTAAAGCTTGTATCATCGCGGGATTCAAAAAGTGGACCGGCAGCAAATTATTTCGGCCGTGATGCTGAATATACATGGCGCTACACCAGTTCTATGTACTCGTTCACTAGAGCTCAGACCAGACTCAGACCTAGGTAGGAGCCTGGAGGTTTTTACTACGGTATGTGTAGCACAGCACCGCGCGCCTGGTGCTGTTACAGGGGAGGGGCATGGGCAACGGCGTGAGTTCGGCGGCACCGCTTCAGCCCAACTGCTAGAATCATGGATGCAATGCCCTTCATTATGCTGCTCTGTGTTCGTACGGCTTTGGCCAGTGGTGCGAAACCGGGTTCTTGGCTTCATATTTCCAGATATATGCCTCAGACGCCGCCCTCGGCTGCTTTCCGTCACCACTGCTATGTGTCTCTACAGCGGGGATGTCGTCCGGTTACGGGACGATGATCGGAAAGGGTCGGAGGAGAGCCTCTGAAGTTCACTGACGGGGCTCTTCAGACCAAAAAAACACCGGTATGGCGAGCCATCTAGTGTAGAGCTACCGACAGCTATACTTACCTACTTCGTACATGTGTAGGTACTTAACTAGGTATGTACTTCGGTAGTGCTGCGAATAAGAAGTACCTGTACTTACAAAGTTAGGTAGGCACCTCGTGAGAGTCACCCGTGGGCCTTTTTCATGCGTTCTCCATGTACGATAGCCTCAATGAATACCTACCGGGTCGTACTATACTATACATAGTAGTACAATAGGTGCTAAACGACTACCTACTACATGTAAGTACATGAAAATGCACCTTTCACGCCCACTTAGGACCTCGATAAATTCGAAGCCTTCAAGTTAACATGCATACTAATTATGCGAAGGGCAAGGGCCTCCATTAAGACACGGCTTGAATGGTTCTTCCATAGTATTATCACTTCCAATATTCATCAATGATGGTAATGAAGCTTAGCTCTACCAGGATTCAGACGTTTTACTTGCGAAATCACTCCATGTTCAATGAATTCGGTCCGTGCGCTAAAGAAATACATACTTAGTACTATACGTCTCTATAAATACTTTTGAAAATCGAGCCGTTTCTTTACATACCTAGGTAGCGTGCCACATATTTCTTAGACCTGGAACTCCTCTTCAGCCATAGCGCGTCTTCGTAGCTTTGGGTCATCGAACTTCCAATAATGCCCGCCACTACCTGTTACCTAGTTCTGTATCGGCATTTCTAAATTCCAGAACGACTGTGGATGTATATACCCATCGTGTGGCGTCAGGCGGAGATGCTTCAACACGTGTGTTATTACGCTCTTGGTATAGTCAGAACGGAAGCCTCGAACAACGGTCGTGTGCTTTTTTTCTCTCCCACGTCACGAGATCCATCTATGCCGAGCCTCCCCCAATTTTTGGCGCTTTCTCCCATCTCTAATACGGAATACCCGTACGGCGCGCGGCGTGGGATGGGCATTCCTAACCCGCCGCCACTTCTCACTTGTGAGGTCAGAATGGAGAATACCTACGGCCCATGCCGACAAGAGCCTAGGCTTCATGGATTGTCGACCTCTGGCGGTTGAATGTACTCAAGGACACGGCCAGTTTTTTCACTGCCATTACAGCGTAGGCCGTAAATGTCACTAGTTCGTGGAGCTGAGTCCAGGTGGATTTAGGAATCTCTGCACGCGGCATTGTACCTACCTATGTACAAAGAAGTAAGTTGAGCCTCGTTATCGGTCCTATTGGCTCCGGGCAAAAGAAGGCCTCAATCTGAATAGGCGTTCTAGAAGCTTTCCCTTAGATGGTCAAAATGCAACTCTACCCTCTTTCGTCCTCACTGTTGGTTGGCCATCCGTCTCCAATGCGGTCCTATATTATCCTTGGAGGTGGAATACAGCTACTTGCGTAATACAGTAGTAGACCGCGGCTATACATGCAATAGGTTAGGTGCTTGAGGCGGAAGAGCTCGCCAGTCAAATCAGATGCTTCGCATTGCATCCCGCAGCCCGTGAGAGGCAGGATTTGAGATGCACTGCATAAGTTCGACATCGACTGCGGGATGATTAATCAAACAAAGCTCTCCGTTACGAGGCTCCCTCCTGGAACTTCTTATTCCCTGCATTTATGCCTACATACCTACTGTATGTACGGCTGTGCCTTTTTATACCAGACTCCATTGATCGTCAACTGGTCGCGTGCTTGTCCTAAGGTCAGCTCCATTGCTCCGGTTTTCTTGCGTCCTAACTTGAAGTAGCGTTCTCTTGTCGGTACACCATGCCCTCCCGAGCGAATTGAAGGAAATCCTTCTTGAACAAAGACGTCATGTTCCAATGGAATGGAAGCTCTTCCTTCCAACCCATGCAAATACACAATAGGTACCTAGTAAGTATATGTAAGCGTATGGTCATCTGGCTACGATCCGCCATACACAGTACTACATCACACGTACAGTACATATACAAAGGTCCCTTTTACATGTACTTGGTATGCGGTATGCATGCTGGGCCGTAAAAGTCAGGGATCAAAGATTCACCCCCACGACCGTACTTAATGAGCAAGCATTCGGTGATGAGGTTCGAAGCATAGTTTCTCCTCCCATACTTCAATGAACCCACATCGCCATGTTCTGTATAGTACGGCCAGAGGTATTCAACCCGATTATAACCGTCTCAAAAAGACTACAATAACCGAGCCTCACCACGTTAATCCCACCAGTCATTAAAATCCCAAAGACCTACTATGTATGTGTGTGTATAAAGCTGTACGCTATAGAGCCTGGGCTGCTGCAATGCATTTCCATACGTAGATGCATACATGTATAATAACGAGGGCCTGGGATCTAGTGTATTCATCCCACATGGGCTCAGAGGCTCGAGGCTCACGCTGCCACATTCAACTTGCAGGGGGGAGGAAAAGAAGTCTGCCGCCCCACGGCTTGTGAACGGCTATAGTAGTGTGAACCAGCCACCCGGCGGGCCGGTATGATCTTGAACAGCCTTTGTCACATGCCAGGCTTAGGTGGCCTTGGAAACGAAGGCATCCCAGGACACATAGGTACGTACTACTATATAAGTACACTACTATATAATGAGTAAGTGAGACCTTGTATATAGGTATAGGTACACACTGTTACTGGCGACTCGCACGAGGTTGAAACCGTTTAAACCTGCAGGTAATCTCATCTCATCTATCCTAGTCCCTGTTGACCTACCTAGCTTAAGGAAGTTCTTTTGCTCGCTAGTTTCCGATTCTCCAGCGCCAGTTCGGAGAACCCTGGATGTTGGTACCGCAGACATACCCCATAAGCCTAGAACCACTGTGCTTGGCTCAAGACGGCCTGGAATCCGAGAGCCAATGGCTGGCTCATTGTTCGACAACTTGCATTTGCGCTGAACGACTCGACGACGAGGTGATTGGCGGCGCATGATTCGGTAAAACCAAGATGTCTACTTAACTCCTTACCTAGCGTTCGCAGAATCGTTGAAGAGGGGCGGTAGGTAGCCTAAACTCGAAGCTTACCACTAGAGGCACGACAAAGAACCGGAATGAGCTCGACTGCTGGGACGAGCGAGTCATTCACCATGAGTCTACATAGTACGCTTTGGAGGCTGACATGAGGATCATGCCAGTCTCAAACCCTCGACCTTGGCCGACTTCGGTATAGGTCGTGTAACTATACAGCCAAACCCCACTGGCTAAATTCGCAGCATGCGTCCCGTGAAGTAGCGCTGCGACACCAGCATCTAGCAGAAGACTACTTCCTCACATATAGATGCATATTAATTTCCAGACATGAGGCTTTTCCCCTAGACTACATTTACAATTCTTACGATGAGTTCAGACGGGGGCTATACCCTAGGTTGTCCACAACATTGCAAGTAACTTGCCTACTGCACATACTTAAAGCCATGCTGTTAGATGCTAGTAGGTATTATAAGTATGTCTTGCATACCTACGTGGAGGCACGGCGAAGCCTACACTAGCGGTCGTAGTGTGCGGATGCTCGGTGGCGAGATTTAGTGTACAAGATTTCATCTTGAGAAGTATCTGCAAGGCCGTCCCCATCGGCTGAATACCTGACGACGACTAGCCTCGCGAATAACCCTTTTTTTTCTTCCTATCTCCTTTAACATACCTCAAGCAAATCCTTCCCACAAACTGAAGCGGCGATGGCCGACGACTTATCTCTCCTTCGTTTAGCGGATCTTGGAACCCCAGGCACGACAAAGACAAAAACAACAACGACAGGAAGAAAGAAAGGAACAAAAGAAAAAAGTCAGGCACAGCTTGCTAACACCATAGTATCGGCGCACGCATTTACCTACCCAGTACTTACAATGTAGTGGTATAAACAAACGGACGGACAGACAGACGATGACGGGCATTAGACGCAGTTGCATTCTCCCCTGCCGCGTGTACCATCCGCATCACCAAGAGGGCAAGCCGGCGAGCGGGATGGGCCAGCGTGGGAGGTCTGCTCGACCGCTCGGTGGTAATTTCCAGTTATAGATGTCTGCAGCTGAGAGGCAACGCGCTCCAATACACGGAGATGAAATTGGCGCGTGGGGGGCCATCCCTGCCTCTCTTCGCCGTCGTCCAAGCGTCCCGCCGCCGCGTGTGGGGGCACCACCGTAGGTACTGAAGGAAAAGTCCTTTGACATGGCTATTCCTGCTCCTCCTCTTCAGCGTAACCCTTTTCGCATCGTTTTTCCCGCCACGGGTAGCTGATCCAGGCGCGACCATGCTGTTTACTCATGCAGCCGGTGGTAAGGTAGGTAAGTACGCATGCATCATCCGAGTCATGCTGTTCGGGTTCTTGTGGGGGGTTCCTGGAGCGTGTTCATTTGCGATGAACTACCCTACTGTGGATGAGTTGCGTAGTTCGTTTGATGGCTCAAACCACGTGAGACGAGCTGATGCTGTCTGACACTGCTATGGTCCGTTGTGATGTTCTCATCTATTATTAGTCAGCGTATCGAAGGGCGATGTGACGTTCGTGCACCGTGGCGATCTCATTCCTTTCGTCATTGAAGCTTCGCAGAATACACGTATAGTGAGTGGAGTTATAGAAGAAAGAAAAGATGGCCGTGATATATAATTCAACATGTTCGTGACCGCCTCGCTGTTCGCCGTCTTCTTATCCCCAGATCTTGGCCCCTGGCACTAAAACGGCAGGTCGAATTGAGGCTGAGCGATGGCAATCGTGATAAAGCTTTCACCGCTGATAACACCAAGGATAAGTTCGCAGATAAAGACACTGAACGCATCACGGGACTTTTCTTGGAGGACAAGACATCTTAAATAATAAATGAGAAACGTCTGCTTGCGTAATCTCATATAGGGGGCAGAACACTGCATTGAAATGTGGGCGTCTCGTAGCCATCATCCATTGATAGGGATACACGAAACTGATCCTCTATCTGGAGATAGGCACATGTAGCCTTGCTATCTAGCCCTTGGTAGGGTTGCTATCAGTAGAATACCGTTATCAATGTGCACTCTTTTTGTCTGTCATGAAAATACCAGAAATAGCACACAAGCCCTTATCAGTCCTCAGTTCCTAGACATATTCTCATCTGCTTTGTTCCTGAGTTGGCTTGTAATCTAGAATTGAACCGGCGATCCAGTCAGCCTCGTGATTTCCAGAACTCTTGCTCTTTTTTCTTTAGAAATTGAGTGGCAATTGTAATTACTGGCCAGCCATGGCTCTCTTAGCTGGTCAAATTCGGCCGTTAAGGTCTGGGGGCATTGCCTTTGTTTGGACGATGAGGAAGACACCTCCTTTGTATGGGCATGACCGAACACGATGATGGGAACAAAAACACCAACGCATGCTCTACGGAGCGACGCGATTGGCATTCCACGATGGCTAGACATGCCTTACAAACCTCGCCAATGCGACGACACGAGCCATGTCTCTGTTAGAGTTCAGTGCAAGGCGGCTCTGCCTCTGGGTTTTGATATGGGTTGGGCTCCCTGTCCAGGGAAAGGCAGAAATACTGGTAATAGGAACGCCGGCTATTCCGGGCACCTCGATCTTGACCTCGACGATTACTCTCACAACTACGGTGGAGTACAGGCCGTCGCTGGTTCCAGGAAACTCTCAGTACACGTTGGTGGGATGTTATAGCCCACCGTCTAAAGATGGGGAACATATATTCGGACCTGAGGACTATGATGCGATCTCGGAAGACAAACCTCTACGAGGCAATCTTACGATAGATAGCTGTCTACAAGGCTGCGGCTCGGCAATGCCGCCGAAGAAAGAAGCACAAACTTACATATACGCCGGGCTACGGAATGGGAGGTATGTATAGCTCTTGAATCATCAACGTCCATACAACATCACACGCCACCGCCCCGTATCGCAACTGACACACATATATGTAGTGAATGTAGATGCGGTAATGATCTGTCTACAGACCTCCATAAACTTCAAGATAACAATTGCATGGCACCTTGCTCGGGAGACCCCAGGCTATCATGCGGAGGACGGGTCAACATCGCCGTTTATAGCCTTAAGTCAGCGAACAGCCAAACGAAGCATCCTGCTACTACTACCACTGCCAACCCGTCGACATCAGCGTCGTCTACTGCCGAGACCAAGAGCACAACTTCGCAAGAAACATTTCCTTCTTCCGTGCTACCTGGCAAACCCGCATCGACGCCAACAGTCGCCGCCATAACGGGCAGCCTTTCGGGCGCAGTTCTCGTAACCGCCGGCGTATTCCTCTGCTACCGCGCGCACATACGCAAGAAGCGAATCCAAGATGCACACGTGAAGTCGATGCTAGACCGCCATGGGCGACGATCTATACAAACCCCAATATTCACCCAGGCCGAGGTCCACAACCAAGCAGCCCAATTCGTTGCGCCGAGGCACGAGCAAGGTGGCACCGGGAAAAGCAAGCATACTGAGTACAGCGGCGTTGTCCCGAGCACGCCCGCCCTGGAGTCAGGCGGCAGGTCCTCAGCAGGCCTGCATCCATGGCGAGGCTCGCGGACAGCAGCGACATGGGAAGAGCGGGACAGCATCGAAATGATGGGACAAGGGCGGCGTTCTCCGCCAACGACACCGCGTATCAGCGCTCAGGCACAAGCTCACGCACATGTAGAAGACGCTACTAGTTCAGCCGTGCATTGGCGACGACCAAGCAACCCCAACGACGGCTCTTCCTCACCCCAGTCATCGACGACACACAAACGCACGAGATCATCGCAGATCATCGCGCCGCCGCCGCTGTCAGCGAGGGTCGACGGTCTGGGCGAACGCGCATGGCATCGGCGGAAGCTTTCCACGCCGTACCAACCGCCGGTGGGCGTAGGAAGTATTGCCCGCGCTGGCGCCCCAAGTGGTCCGCCCGCCGGGCCTTTGCCTCCCGTGCCCCAAGCGCAGCCACACCCAAGACAGGAAGCTGTAAAAGAGACGAGTGCGCCACCACCGCGTCCCAGACGGTCCTTCGACACGATGGAATTCGAGCCCGAACTAGAGGATTTCGACGCGTCGGGCTGGGGAGCGGATGTTACGAAGGAATGGAGTCCCCTCGGGACGTCCCTGAACAAGAGCACGCCGTCTCTGGGGCGGTACGGCTCGCTGTCGAGGTCCCGACGGGCGAACACGGAGTCTCCGGTCCTAGGGTGGCGGACGCCCCCTGGTCGCAGCGAACTTGATGCGGGTGGGATGTCGGGGGTGAATAGCACGCCGGTTCTTCCGCCTGTGGCGCCAGGGGAGCGGTTCGACCACAGGCGATGGAGGGGCACGTCGTACGCGGAGCCGCACGAGCATGAAAGGGAAACGCAAGGGGGCAGGTCGCAGCGTGGCGAAGGGGATGATAGATCTCCTCTGTCGGCGTCGTCTACGGGTACGAGTATCCTGTTCGGTCTTGAGGAGTTCAATCGTCGATTATAAGGGATGTGAATTTACAGAATGATGGAATAAGGCTGGTTTTTTTTAAATCTTTTTTTTAATTTTTTCTTTCTTTTTCAAGGAATGAGATTTTAGTTGTGCGAATATTAGTGTACATACAAACATCTATATGATACCCAAAGATAAAAGTCATGATCCTATCCTTTCCCCCTTAATTACATCACGCCGCCTGTGGAGAACCCTCGGCTCCCAAAACGTGCTGACCATATTATATAAGATTCGAGCTCACACAAGACAGGAAGCGATTATGAGCGATATTAATGCAATTATTTCAACAGTGTAAAGGATCAAAATAGACATGTTGGGGCTATATCCCGGCATGAATGGAGCGCGATGATAACGCACTCTTATCTGATTTATAACATACCGGCAACAGCGAGGACTGTTCCGAGCCCAACGCCCAGGAAAACAGTAACAATCGAGCCCTCGGGCCCAGCACCTCCCAAGCGGTGCGCAGCGTTGTGCTGAGAGCTGTCAGAGCTGTCAGAGCTGCCCGTCTCCTCAGCGATCTTGCCAACAATCGAGGAGGTGGTGAGCGTGCCACTGATGGCGACGGCGACCGTGCCAACGCCCGTCTCGGTGGTCGTCTTGCCGTCGGCGTCAGTTGTAGTGACAGTGACAGTCCCAGTCTGCGTGGGACCCCAGCTCCAGCCGGAACCCCAACCCACGAAGCCGTTGAAGCCGCCGAGGCCGTTCCAGCCACAGTTAGGTCCCACGAACCAGGGCGACCCATCGAAGGCACAGCCAGTGACGGTGACGACACCACCCGACCACGTCTTCGACCCACTGTATGCGGACGCCCAGTCGGACCAGTAGTGGCTGTAGTCGGAGCCGTTCGGACCGCCCCATTGGGGTGCGCCGGGATGTCCGCCGGGGTTGAACTTGCCTCCCCAGCCGCCAGCAGGAGCCCACGTCACGGGGCCACCGGGGTAGGTGATGGTTTGCACGCCGGTGCTGCCAGCGCTGGTGCACGATGCGTATCGAGAGCAGAGCGAGGAGGAGAGGGAGCTGTATGAGGTGTACGCGGTCGACGTGGCGCTGCAGGCGCTGTCAATGCAGTCCCCGATGGACTTGCCCTTGTCCTCATTACAATACTCGGACTGTTGCGGCCACCAGCTCGTGGTGGTGTCTGAGGGTCCAGCCCATGCGGAAGATAGGCAGGATTGCTATTGCGGGGGGATATAGTCAGTTCGTGTTAGGCTGGAGAGCAGGAAGCGAGGATTCGAGGCAGTAAATATGACAAGAAAGAGAAGTGGTTTACTAACAGCGCATTCAGGAGCCCCGTACCACCACTGTCCTGCGACGACAGCGGGATATGCGATGGGGAGGAAGGTCGAGTACTTCATCTTAGAGATTGACTGTATGTCTTCGAGATAGTGAAGTGAAGTGATATGAATCGAGATGCAGAATGTAAACACCCAAAGCTGCAATGCAAGCGTGAAAGTTGGCGACGAAGATTGTAGTGAGCAGAAAGAAGCCTTATGTGGTAATGAGCAGACGCCATATCTATGGACGTCTTGACTTTATTTATATCCCTCACTGGCTACGGCAAGGCCCATGCAACTTCAGCAAAGAAAGGCTTGAAATGGCCTGCGTAGCCAATTCGTCATCACAGACAGATACATGTATCATGGGGCCGTCTTACCGAGCCAAATTCTGGATGAAGAAACGGCACGTCTTTGCATACACAGATTCGTAGGCAGATAGACGTAAGACATGGCTGTGATGCTGCCGGCCGCGTAGGGGTAAGCGAGCGGCTGGCGTGGAAACCGCCCTCAGCCTAGGCTAAAGGGTCTTAATAGAGTTTTGATAGGGTTGAAATTGACGACACCCTACAGGTAGACGTGTGGCTACCGCCCTCGTCAGATGAGGGCCGTACAAGGAACGAGGTTGTTCAGTGTGGCGTGCGGGAAACATCTGGTTGCTTCGTCCTTTGGTTGAGAGCCGCGCGTCCTTAGGACAACAAAAGCGTCTGTTAATATCGAGACGTGTGTCTTGTGAGTTGTTCGGCGCACAACCAGGGAAGGGAACAGAGTTTGAAGGCTGACCAGCTACGAAGTAAAGCCGGACTTCATGATCGCTTTCACTAGGTGGATGACAGCAGTCCTAATCCCGAGCTACGCGTTATCCACCTCGGTATAATCAGGCAGATCCTCGCGTTGCACAGCAGATCTATCCCATGAACTAGAAACCCAGAGCGAGGGCGCTGCTGGAGTGAGTGAGATTCATAGCACTGGCAACCACCAACCATCCTAGTATTTTTAGAAGCTCAATATATAGCTCAAGAAACACTCCATCGAAAGAGGAAGTATTTTTATCCCCCGGGGAGCATTTTTGCTAGTGGAGCGGCTCGAATTGATCAAACACCATCCATGACGCCGTTGTGCGAGGTTGAAGCATGATGCTTTGCGGGGGTTTGTGTTGGGGAGTTCCGAGGGCTGACTTACACATGCCACGGAACCAATCAATGCAGAGTAGGAAATCCATATGACCCCGAAATGGAAAAATTAAGCACTGTCCGGGACCGAGATGTTGATTTAGCTGCACCATCTACATCGCAGCACACGCGTCGTGGGCGGACTGCCTCATGCGGTGAATCCTGGGCGTTCGGCAGTGAGTAGGCTAGATGGACACAATCATCTAGCTTCGTCATAGCGATGAGTAAAAAGATCTAACTCAGCGGCGGTATACAGGTCACACCGTATACCTGAGCCTCCTTAACAAAAACGCCGGCGACGGCTGATGACGTCCTTCTCAATGCTACATTTTTGAGTAAAGGAACTAGATCTAGTGACATCACACTAATAATCGATTTCCATGTGAGGGCAGATTCGAGATTTTCAGGCTTCGGGAGCACTAATCAAGAGCCTTGCCTAATATTTTGGTGTCTGGCGTTTTCAAAGCGGTAGAATTTCCCTGCAGTCCATTTGCAAGAATCAAATTTGCCTTGTTATTGACCGAAGCATGAGCTTCCCTACATGAAATACAACACTGTTATACAATGTCTATCACCCTATGCATTCACCAACAGCTAGGCTTGTATCCCTCTTGTCAAGCTAGCATTCCCAGGCCGCCTAAACTCCCAAACACTATGCGGAAATTATCAAAATATTGCCCACGGAGGCTGTACACTTCTCCATTGCGCGTGATGTGCAGTTACCAACAATGAAAAACTTACGCCATTATCGTGGCGTGGATGCTGGCTACATTGTGGTATGTCTGGCAGAAAAAAGAGGCATTAGGAACTCTGGGTGCCAGAGAATACCACCCAAGAAATGAATATAACAATTCATGCTCAGAAAACAAACTAACATCTCCCAGCGAAAGCAATAAGTCTTTATTTCAGAAAGCTCTCGCATTAGAGCATTGTACCGAAACTGCCATCGGTCTGGATTCGTTTACGCGGGCTACCATCTTCAGTATTCTTGCGATGACGAAAGGTGAAGCCAACGAAAAGACCCTTGCCCATCTCTTCTTCCCGATCAGCCATGCTCTCCAAGGCCTGTTGTTTGTCGTGGACCTCTTTATACTTTGCCATGTCAGCCTCGTTACTGAAGTCGTCAAAATATCCCGCGTCGGTTTCAGAGTCAAGCTCAGGGACAAATGGCGCTTTTGATTGTCGCAGAGTTTCCCAATCGACTTCAGAGAAGTACGGATGCTCGTAAATATCTTTGATGGCTGAGAAGCGCTTTGACCGTGAATTGATACAGCTAAAGCCCGGTTAATTTCGCCAATGCGTGACAATCAACAGACGTTTCGACTTACGTAGTAATGAAGCTCCATGTGCGATTGCTGAGGAAGTAATTTGGATCTTCCCAGACTGGACGCTTCAACACTTCTCGCCAATGCTTCAAATTTCTCCAGGTTTCATCAGCCGAGGAGCCAGCAAATGGCGGGAAGCCAGTAAGAGCTTCGAATAACATGCAGCCCAAACTCCAATAGTCAACAGTGAAGTCATATTCCTCCCCCCGGAGGACTTCGGGTGCCATGTAGTCAGGAGACCCTACTATGGACTTGGCATAATTCACATCGTTTTCACGCATCGTCTGATAGCCCTCACGACGTTCGGCTATCGTTCTTTGATCCATAGCCTTGCCAAAGGGGACCTGTGTTTCGGATGCCTTTTCCAGCCTAATACGCATCGAGTTGATCTTGGATGAAGCAACATTGCCAGCAGCTAGACCAAAATCCGTCAGCTTGACATGGCCAGTGGAATCCACGAGGAAATTCTCAGGTTTCAAATCGCGGTGGATATAGCCCAGCTTGTGAAGAGCATCAACGGAACAAAACATTTCTGCGATGTAGAAGCGAGCATGGCGGTTGGAAAGCACCCCAGTGTTGTTGAGAAGTGTCCTGAAGTCTCCGCCAGGGACATATTCCATGGCAAGATAAATACTCTTGTCGTCCTGGAAAGAGTAAAGTAGCCGAACCAACCACTCGCTGTTAGCAGTGGTTAGGATATCGCGTTCGGTTAGGACGTGCCGGATCTCGTCCAGCTTGAAAAGAAGCTTCTTGTTCATGACCTTCAACGCGCACACTTCCCTAGTATCCTTTTTCTGGGCAAGGAACACTTGCCCATAGCCTCCTTGACCAACCTGCGTAAGGATCTGAAAGTCACCGTGCCGGAGCCGCACCCGACGTTTGCGAAGGGCTGCACGTTCTCTCCCTGCGTACTTTTGCCACATCTTATCATATTCTTCTTGATCTGTCTCCGGTGGAGGCGGAATCTCGGCTTTGAATGCATTCAGCCGGTTTTGTCGAGAGCCCACGTAAGTGAGCAAATCGAAGTAGTAGTCTAGGAAGTCTGACATGGGGGGTTAGCCGTGCATACAAGGGAAGCGGGAGCGGCAATTCCTAACAGAGCTGAGTGACGTTCACTAGACGACGGACAGAAGGCTTTTTCAAGATTTCCAATTCCTCTGGGGTCAAGCCACGGGCAGTGTTGAACTTCTTGGTAGTTGGCGTGTGGGGTCTACTATCTCGGGGCTGGTACATTTCATGGCGAGATAGGGCGGCTTGGTTGTGATTCAGCATAGGGATGCGCGACGACCGTGTAGGCGGTGTGTTTTCTTGCCCCTGTCTTTTAGTGGGAGCGTCAGGCGACTGTCCGGTTTTGTGGATGATACTGTTGTCGACGCTAGGGGTAGCGGAGATGAAGGGATCATCGGCGGGTTGGATGTTGCTCTTGGTGGGCAATAATGGAGTGCCAATACCCTGGGGCTTGAGCTTGACTGGGCTTTCGAGGGCGGGGGGGTTAAGTTTGAGGGCATTGTCAAAAGCAGCAGGGAGCTCATGGGCGCCGGGAGGAATTGTCTTCTTGCTTGGGCTACCTTGTGGCGTTGAGACGGGCTCTATGAAAGTGTTTTTGGTGGGAGTGCCTGGACGATGCTCGTCCGAAGGTCGGATGTCTCTTGCGCCCTGAGACGAGGGAAACATATTGGAGATAAAGCTGGCCATCGTAAGTGTTGTTAATTGCCGTGCTGTAGAGAAGTTGTTTGGGATCAAAAGTGAATATCACAGCTCGAATCGTGGTAATGATGTAGGTAGAATTGACAGAGGGCCAACACCATGCCGCAGATGCAGGCTGATAAGGGCCTACCTAGGTACGCGTTCGAGCACTGTAGCCAGCCGGTCAATGGCTGCAAGCGCGCAGAGATAGAGAAATATATATATAGAGATAGACGAGGAAGGCACGGCTGGTGGGATGATACGAAGCGGAGGAGTGATCAGGCGGGATTGGGCAATGTCGAATCTATCAAGGCATTAATTGTTCGGGACTGACATTCCACGGCGTCGGCATTTGGCGGGGTAGATGGAGCTTTGTCAACACAGTCGTCCCAGCAGCCAGCAGCCAGCAGCCAGCAGCAGCCACTATCGGCCTTGGGCACGCCTGGACACGCCTGATCCACTCAGCGCATCGAGCTTTGAAACAAAACGCGGGTCGCGCAAGGGTACCTACCAGTGCCCCGGATCCCTCACAGTGCCCGCTTGGCTTGAACTTTTGACCTGTTACCTACCTGATACTTACTTACTGCCTGATGATACCGTGCTCTGGGCTGTAATACTGTGTCTATGTAGGTACGGAGTATGGTAGGTAGGTACATGTAATGTACCAACTGCAGGTAGGCGCGTACATGGGGTTACCCTAATACAGTGTGAACTATTATGATTACTGTATAGAGCATATCAGCCCATCTATTCTACCTACTGCAAGTAAGTATTGTTGCTCTCCTGTACTGTGACGCAAGATTTAAAGCATTCAATTACCAGCAACCACATAAATCTCGGTAAGGCATCGAAAGTACCCTCTGAGCGCAACCGACAAACTGAGTGCTCAGCTTCTCTCACTGCCTACCTACCTACATATATCACTTATCGTCTCTTTGTGCACCTGGTTCCCAATCATGGCCAAGGAGCGCAATTTCAACCCCGTTCAGGCTCAGCGCAAAGCCGACAAAGCCAAGGCCATCAAGAAAGGTACCATGACTCCCTAAATACATTGTACTTTACCCCCAGAGCGCTTATCACTTTTTCCATAGGGAAGGCTGAGGTCGCCGCACGCCGGAACGAAAAACTCGCACAACGAAATCCCGAGAGACTCCAAAAGCAGATTGACGATCTAAAGCAAATAACATCTAGTGGAGGGAAACTCACTGCACACGAGCAATCCGTACTTGAGGGGCTAGAGCGAGACCATAAAGCTGTGCTCAAGGCGAGGGAAGCATTAGGCGATAAAGCCCCTTCCTTTGGCCGTGGCGGACCAAGACCTGATGGACAAGACTCTAGAGTACTCGGCAAGCGGAGAAGAGGCCGCGAAGACGCTTCAAGTGACGACGATGATGTGCCTGACGATGTAAAGTCCATACCGATGCCGCGGGACACACCGCCCCCTATACCGAAGGAGATCTTGGATGAGTGGTATGCAAAGCGTAGGGCAGCGAAGAACGCAAACGACACGCCGTTGGGTGACCGAGCTGGACGACCCTCGCACCAGCAAGAATCAGCGCCGCCTGTTGCAGTTGAAGCAAAGACTGTATACGAGGCCAAGCCTGCGATTCGCAATCTCCAACAGGAGGCCGTCAGCGCATTCGTGCCCAGCGCTGTTCGCATGAAGCTAGACAAGAGCAAGGGTAAAGGCGGCCTGATGGAGCCAGAAGAAGCAGACCGTCTAGAAAGAGAAGGCTATTTGAAAGACGACCGAGAGAGAGATGCTGCGACACCACCTACAGCCCGGCCTCACCAGGTCACCATGGAAGAAGTAGCAGATGAAGACGACTAATCCTCAACGATACGGTGGCCTCGCATTCTCATATCGCCTGTAACACTTTGTACATTCATAATTCCCAATGGTGACTAGCAATGGACGTCTTTCACTGAGACAAGAAGTTATCTCTCGGGCAAGTCCTCGTCTCTGTTGGCATGCACAGCGTTCACTGATTTCGATGGACATCTCTCAATATTTCTCGGAAGCAACAACTTACAAATAGGCGGCGAGTACATATGTATACACACTAACATATTGTAACATAGAATGCCGGGATTGAAGCCGTTTCGCTCGTCACGCTAAGCTCTAGACAACTCTCTAGCTCGGATGGTCCATCGAAAGCAGGCGGTTTACGGCGGTTCGAGCAACCCCCACTACTGTTCTTGAGCTCCAGTTTTACTGGGCGAATCTGATATCTTGTTTACCCCATACAGTACGGGGTTATCGCTTTGAATCCATCTACGAAGCTTTGTTGATTGGTGATTATTCACCGCCCCTCGTCCGGCATCTGCCGGCCATGTATGTGCTTCACTCACGTAATACTTATAAAAAGAGTGTGCAACGTTTATAACGACTCTACCTCAAAGGGAAACAAGCTCACTCTGCCTAGACATTCTCTACATAGTAAGTGGGTTATGGCGGGGCGAACATCGGGAATTAGTCTTGCCACCAGAGACCCAATGCCGACTGCGGGCAGGCCTAACGGTCACTCTTGATGATCTGATGCCGGCCAATATAAGGCGATAATGACCCTTAACTAGCCAAGAGTTGCAATTCTCTAGCGAACAAAGTCGATTGGGTCAAATTGTGCTATGCGTTGGAGCATCTCATAAGCGATTTTGAGTTCTAGATGTCTTTTCAAGGGTAAACCTTCAATTTGGCAATAATTGAATCGTGTTTTGTTCTCCCAGTACAGAATAAAAATTTTCACATCAGTCCAACAAACCGAGATGGGAGAACCAGAAAGAGCCATAGGTTCCAGGCAAAATGAGATACCAGCATCGCCTAGTCCCGTTCACGACGCAAGCTTCTCAGAGAAGCAGGATGTCGACTTTAATGCCAATCCGAGCCCCGAGATGTTTGTCGTCCCAACTGATGATCCCCTGCCCGAGCATGAAAGGGGTGGTGATGAGGAGTCCGGCCGTGCAGTGACCCTCTTAGAAGATGATACATACCCAGAAGGAGGGCTAGAGGCATGGCTCGTAGTGCTTGGCTCATGGTGCGGCCTCGTTGCCGCTTTAGGGATCCTGAACACTATCGGAACCTTTCAGACATATGTATCGACGCACCAGCTTTCAGATTATAGTGAAGGCACAGTGGGTTGGATCTTTAGTCTATACACGGCCTTGACCTTCTTCTGCGGCATCTATATTGGGCCGCTGTTCGATAAATACGGCCCTCGATGGCTCATCGGCCCCGGCAGCGTCGCCGTCGTAGCGAGTATAATGATCACGAGCGTGTGTACCGGTAAGCAACATTAATCCTAAAAGTAAATGGCACCCGTTAACATATGTCATATCAGAGTACTGGCATTTCATCCTTACCTTCGGTCTTCTGAATGGAATAGGAACCTCGCTGCTCTTTACTCCTAGCATTGCGGCTATAGGGCATTTCTTCCGCGCCCGCCGCGGATTTGCCTCCGGCATAGCCAGCACCGGAGGCGGCCTCGGCGGCGTTGTATTCCCATTGATGTTACAAATCCTGTTTGACCGCTTGGGATGGGGTTGGTCTATCCGGATCCTTGGCTTTATCTGTCTAGGGCTCCTCATCATTTCAAACGTCTTGTTGAAGAAGCGACTCCCCGCGCCGAAAAATATCAGTCCCCATCCTGATTTCCGTATCTTCAAGGACAAGGCCTTTCTACTTCTAACTATCGGGATATTCTTTCTTGAGTTTGGGCTCTTTATTCCAGTTACGTCAGTCCTCCCCTCCTGTCCAGTATCGGGTGACTGATCCGTTTGCTAAATATTTCCCTAGATATATCTCGAGTTACGCCCTTGCCAGTGGCTTCGACGAAGCGTTCGCTTTCCAGTTATTGCCGATATTGAACGGGGCCTCCGTAGTCGGTCGGGCCATTCCCGGATACTACAGTGACAAGATCGGTCCGTTCAACTCGAACATGCTCTCCGTCGGCATCACCATATTTGCTTGCTACGTCGTGTGGCTACCATTTGGCAAGACGACGCCAGGCATTGTGATATTCGCCGCCCTCTTCGGCTTCTCCACGGGTAACAACATCTCCATTACCCCCGTTTGTGTGAGCAAGCTTTGTCACATCCAGAACTACGGCAGGTACTACGCTACGTGCTATACCATCGTGTCCGTGGCTTGTCTTATAGGGATTCCGATTGCGGGCAGCATCGTCGCGGCCACGAACGGCGAATACTGGTCCTTGATCATTCTAACGGGACTTACCCAGGTCTTGGCGTTTATCGCCATCTACGCAGCCAAGGTTGTAAGTATCGGCTGGAATCCTTGGACTATATTCTAGTCGCGGAAGTAGTCTTCCGATGGAACTGGTTCAATTATCTCCTAATGGCGAATTTCCGAGACCCATGGAATATATTTCGTTGATATAAAAGAATGGCGTTCAGCGAACTTTGGTGAGACAGTGAGCCGAGTTAAAAAAAAAAAAAAGCAATGATGTCTCGGGTCAAAGAAGGAGCTTAGTATTTAGAAAGGCCATGTATATACATTCAATACCTACTTATATATACATATGTATATCTCGATCGCATTATAGATATTAGACTTCGCGGATACAATATTTAATATACATGACTCCCTAGGTAATGAATCAAGACTGTGTTTAAATTGTCAATTCAATGAAATGCCACTAGGTTCGTAAATAGACGAAGACGGAGCTGAGACCCGAGGTACAGTAAGGCAGTCGCGGGGATTCGGTGGTGCTTTGAGATATCGGGATAAGTGTGGTGGATCTACCTGCAAATCATCAGCCAAGTCTGATCTATTCTTATCAACCTGGCAGAGGCTCGATTTGCCATTTGAATATAAGTACTGTGCACTATGTACTTCGGCAACCCTGACGCTTCAACGGTGAGCAGTCTGTAGGTATCTAGCCTACCAATCTGGTGGATGTGTGGTGTGGTGTTGGTTGGTACGACGTGTCCGTTCACCCGACACCCGATTGTCACGGCGATTTACTGTTTGAGGAGGTAGGCAAAATACCCCTAAATAGGTACCTACTGACCTTACCTACCTCCTAGGTACCTAACTTTAGGTAGGTTAAATACCTAGGTAATAGGTGAGTAAGTACCTAGGTAGGTAGGTACCTGGTGTAGGTAGGTGGGGGTTCAGGAGCTAGAATACCTGTAGAAGGAGAGATAGCATCAGACTACAGCGGGCTAAGGCCCTACGCATGCACTGAACTAGGTACCCAGTTTTGTGGCACCGCGGCTACCAGAGACAGGCCGAGAGACATGCCCGGAGAACCCAACCAACCACTGCCATGATCCATCGTAAATGATTGCAAGGCGAGGGGAAAAGCAACGGCTTCGATCAACCTCTCTTCTGCTTACGTACGATTGTACATGAGCGACTTTCTGCGTCACTCTTCAACCCAGGCCAGCATCGATCTACTCTTATCCGAACACGAATACAGTAAGTGGCTGCCTTCATTCCTTGCCGAATTCTAAATCGAGCATAACTGGCACCCGAAGATGAGGATGAGAATGAGGTTGCCGTAATCCATCCCGCACCTGGAGACCGTTCGGCGAGTTACTAGTGTAGGCCTTTCCACTAGGCTGCCCATCCCATCCCTCCAAAATCTAAAATCACCAAAACTGGAAGTCCGGAGGACCGAGGTCGATTTGCCTCAGGTTGCCGGAAGTACCTTTGAGTCTCAGCCCGACAAGTCGCTTTCACCGTGCCTTATCCTCATACTCAAGTTCAAAGTTACCCTTATAAGCCGGTAATTCCCGTCATATCACGTATTAGGTATACATACTATATAATTGGCACGAACAAGGTTATTCGTCCTGCATATCAAGCTATCTGTCTATGAAGTTTGTTTTAAACACCTTGCCATAATCCCTACCTTGTACTTGTAGTCTGTCTCCTTTCTTCGCCTTTAAAATATCACCATAACCCACCATCTGTCTGCTCGCATATGGTACCATCTCACTGAGAATAACATGGCGTCACAGTCAGAACCAGCGAGGACAGAAAAAGCCTCGACCGCTCTCAGTCTGTCCTTTAATATTGCCGAAAATCGTCCGGCTTCAAGATCATCTTCCATATCATCCACATCATCACAAGATAGTATGGCTAGCGACTCAACCAGGACATCCTCTTCTTCGTTTGAGGTTGAGAACGCTTACTTCAGCTCTAATCCGCCACCCAAGACACTGCCCCAACATGTCGCGGCTGCGAAGGAGTTTATCAGTCAGCACGCTGCTGCAAATCGACGAGTGGTTCTGGTAACATCAGGAGGTACGACTGTCCCGTTGGAAAAGCAGACAGTGCGTTTCATCGACAACTTCAGTGCTGGAACACGCGGTGCCACGTCGGCCGAGTATTTCCTGGAGTCTGGATATGCCGTCATATTCTTGCATCGGCAGTTCAGTTTACTACCGTACAGTCGACATTATAGTCACTCAACAGATTGTTTCCTGGATTTCTTGCATGAATCAGATGATGGTAGCGTCATAGCGAACCCGGCCCACCAGCAAAAGATGTTGCGCGTTTTACGCAAGTACAATGCCGCTAAGCGGCAGAACATGCTGCTCATGCTGCCCTTCGTTACCATTACCGACTATTTGCATGAGTTGCGAGCAGTGGCCCAATTGATGCGCCCTCTCGGACCGAACGGGCTCTTGTACCTCGCCGCCGCCGTGAGCGACTTTTTTGTCCCGCCAGAGCGTATGTCCGAGCACAAGATTCAGAGCACAACCGCAACAGATAAATTCCAGCCAAAAACGCAGCAAGGTCCGACCACGATCACAACAGAGAGGCGAAGGCCGGAGAAAGAAAATGAAGATGATGAGGCATTCGATAACTTCGACTCGTCGCCCGCGGTTCCCCGTAGCAAGCGATTGATAGTAGACTTGGATCCGGTGCCCAAGTTTCTCAAGAACCTCGTTGATGGATGGGCCCCTGAAGGAATGATCGTATCATTCAAGCTCGAAACAGACCCCGCTATACTCGTCCACAAGGCTAAGTACTCGCTAAACCGGTACCAGCACCACCTTGTGATCGGCAACTTACTCACGACTCGTAAATGGGAGGTCGTATTCGTCAGCCCGGGCCGCGAAGATCAGTGGATCCGCGTCCCTATTGCTCGTCGCAAGAAGACGCTCAGCGGTAGCGGAGTCGAGGATTTGATCGGCGCCGCAGAGCGGGAAGGCAGTGGCAAGGAGAATACTAGTAATGAGCCTATGGACCCAGCCAGCCTGCCTGAAGGCGAACCAGAGATGGAGATCGAGAGCCTCATTATTCCTGCAGTTCAGGCATTGCATGACAAGCATGTTGAGTCAGTCGCTGCAAAAAAATCTTAAAAATGGTGAGCTTTGGATGATTAAGACATTGTGAGAATGGTGAACACATCTTGATCAGATTATGGGATATGGGATACGGTCTATGGGCTTTTCTTTTTCTTATTTTTCTCAGATACCATGAACTGTATATATGCCCTGAGCCATAATATAACCATATTGCTAAATAGCGAGAATGCGAAATAGCACATTTTTCTCAACTTTGATCTCAGCGTGTCATGGCGTTTTGAAGCTTCTCTACGTGTGATGAAAGCTGCTTCAAGTCTCTTGAGTGCTGAGGAACATATAAGTGTATTGTTAGATTAGTTACTCAATGAACCCAAGTATCGATAATCCTTAGCTCTGACTGATTGATTTAACTAGATTTTACAATCCCAAAATCTATGCACATTGTTAGGAGATGGCTAGAAAAGGAATTCTAACTTAAGTTCACGAATACCCACATACTTAGGGATAACCAATTAAACTAATCTCACCTTACAACATTAACTCGTATCACAGCCCCCTATAAATGTATGAACCTCACTGTTCAAATCGCAAGTATTATCCCGACATGGCCTCTTGTCAAACTGTCGCTACCTAGTTTAGAAGCTTATCCCAGGACTCTAGAATCCCAAGGTGGGCAAGGTGAACAATGCAACATATTCCATAAAGCGTTGGCCAATTCTCTTCCACTTCACCTTTGTTCCAAATGCACATTCATTCCCGCTAATGACGAGGAGCGTCTACTTACAATGAGACGGCTTTCACACCCCCTTAACAATGAGTTGAATGAAGACAATTACCATTGAACAAGACAATGGCAAAACTGCAAGGAAAGAGTTCACATCTCCACTTCCACAATGTCTTTAAGCAACAATAGGCCTCTGTCTAATATCTTATAAAATGTGATCTTGACGAAGGCATGAAGTAACACCTTTAGATTTGAATTTATATTTTCTCGCTGAATTCTTATGATTTGTTGTATGTACGATCATATAAACTTCAATCACAGGCTAGGCCTAGGACAATAATCATACTCGATTACCCGCAATGACACCAAGACATAACTGCGGTTGCGAAGCAACAAATGACGCCCTCCCAAAACTCGTCGCGTTCTTCCGCAGCCACGGCCACGAAGCACAGTCCTACAGCAACGAGACACCTATCCCCGAGGGCCTCGGTCTAGAATCGGCGTGCTGGAAATGCCAGCTGAACACAGAGACGGGCGTGGAGACAGCCATCACAGCTCTACACTGCGGACCGGATATATTGATCACCCACGATGTCGTCGAGGTGCTATTCCTCTCTCTGATCCGTCTAAGACTTCAAGAAGGCGACGACGACAGCAGCGCGTCAGGCGAAAGTGAAGAATCAGACGCCCAAGACGAAGTAGCTAGTCTCGCCTGGGACTGGGACAACATCTGGCACGAGTTTGCCAAAGCCTTCGAACTCCGCCGCAATAGTATCGACGTAGCCAAGCTCCTGCACAATCTCTCCGAGCTGGAATCGCCGAGACACCAGAAGTGGTGGGTCTCTGTGTTAAGGGGCCTTGGGGCGGAGGCCCTGCTGACGTATGAAGACTACATATCCTCCAGATTAACCAAAAACCCTGGGGCGAGCGTGCTGTCGGTGATGAGGAGGGATGCTAAGATCGTTCAGTCGGTTGATGATCTGTTCGATCTCTACGTGGCTATCGATACTAAGGTACACGGGTATGTACACGCGCATAAAATGTTGCGGGTTAAATGCCTCTGTTGCCGTTAATGGTGAGATAGTAGCCACCGACTGAGTGTCGGAATAAGTCGGTATATTATTATTAATGGCCGTGGGGTATTGAGACTTTCCCCCTGAGGGGAGTGTTGTTTGGGACTTGAGGCAATTCTCGTGTGTTCAGTAGTAACATGATAGCCAACAATGAAGAATAGATATATACATTTATATCCATTTTTTTTGAGCGAGAGTTATTTAAAGCTGACATTGAACAGATGAGGAAACTGTGACGAATGATATCATTTGAGATACCGGTTTTACCCTTTGCGGGGTAGCCAATAACTCCACGATGCCCCCTCGGATGTTAGACTACCCCTTGGAATCTCTAACTATTCATTATACAGACTTTTTCATAACAAGGGATTCAATATGGAAACAAGCTGGAGCGGATCGATAGAGAAGCTGCCGCCTATGAAATTACCGGCCGGCATCACGGAGGACTACATCGGGTGCGAAGACTCATGCGGCCTCACTTGGCACGTTTTGAAGGCCGGCAAGTCCGGGAACCCGCTAGTACTATTCTGCCACGGATACCCGGAGCTCGCGTACTCATGGCGAAAAGTGCTGCCAGCAGTCGCCGCGGCCGGGTATTATTGCGTGGCCATGGACCAGCGAGGATACGGTCGCACAACGGGATGGCCGCGGCGTTCGTTCCATGAGGTCGAGCTAAACGACTACGTCTTCACGAACCTGGTGCGCGATCTGGTTTGCCTCGTCTATCGGCTGGGATACACGGAGGTCTTCAGCATCGTAGGGCACGACTTTGGTGGTGTTAGCTCGGCCATGGCGGCGCTCATGCGCCCGGACGTTTTTAAATCGACGGTACAGCTATCGCATCCCCATCACGCGGTCCCAATACCACGGCTCGGGGACCGACCTGGGAGGACCAAGCTTGACATCCAGGCTGAATTAGCTAAGCTGAACCCGCCGCGGAAACATTACAAGTGGTATAATTCAACTCCCGAGGGGGCGGCGGAGTGGGACAGTCCACCCCAGGGACTGGAGAAGTTCCTGCGTGGCTACTTCCACTTGAAGTCTGCAGCATGGGCTAAGAATGATCCGCATCCGCTTGAGGAGTGGAGCGCGGAGGCAATAGCGGTAATGCCTGAGTATTATGTTATGCAGAAAGACCAGTCGATGCCGGACGCAGTTGCGCAGAATATGGTCGGCGAAGATTATTCTAAGACCGAGGAGTGGTTGTCCCTAGATGATCTGCAAGTGTATTGCGAGGAGTGGGAACGTACGGGGTTCCAAGGCGCACTTAACGTGAGTAACTCTAATCGTCTCTTTCTACGGCTAGAAAACCGGCGATATAAACTCGAGGCCTATGTGTTCCGAGCTCACTTACAGGGATGGCTAACTCAGACTTGCTGTAGTGGTATCGTGCACAAACAGCCTCGACGCCGCAGTCAGCCCGGGACATGCTTCTTTATGCTGGCAAGAAAATCGAGGTTCCATGCACATTTATCAGCGGGAAGCAGGACTGGGGAAACTTTCAGCAGCCCGGGGCTCTCGAGGGTTACGAAGATGCGAAAGCGGTCAAAGCAGGGTGCTTTAGGGGTACGACGCTGGTGGATGGTGCTGGACACTGGGTGCAACAGGAGAAGCCAGAAGTGGTGATCGAAGCGATCCTGGCTTTTTTCAAGACGCTGTAATCTAAAGTCACTCCACTTCGTCTTTTGATAATACCGCTTAATAAATAGAGTCTTGCTTTGTGTCGTTTTGACTAGTCTTAACCTATATGTGTGTCTTCAGACAGGTCCTCGGTCTACAGAGTGGGAAATGGAAATGTGTGTCACTAGTGATTAGGTGAAATTGGCAAAGGGTCAGAGAAAGAATTAGGTACTGGTAGGTCAGCGGCGTATGTTCAATATCACAGCCATGTGTGTCTACATATGTAGGTGCCATATGTATTCACCTACGAGTAGTGTATACCTATGTAGGTTGGTAGGTTGATACCTACATACATTGATCCTCATTTGAGTACCTAGTAGGCGTGTATGTGTCTTGGGGAGGCTGACCCAGGTATAGGTGCTATGGTAGTGGCCCGGGGAATCAATATAAGCTGCTTCTCAGTCTGTATGTAGCGGTGTAGGTGTAGGTGTAGGTGGGTAGAGTGAGCGGATGAGTGCAGGCTTCTCTCGTCACTTCTCATATTCAGCAAACGCTTTGGCAACTGAGATGCTGTCGGGACAGCCAACCAAGGCCAATGGATTCGTTCGTCGCACAGGCAAGGAGGATACACGGCGGCTAGCTCTCCGGTGCTATGAGAGGGAGAGAGGGAGAGATGACCAATCGTCTTTGTCTCTCTTTGCCTCTCGGCGTAGAGTCCTCACCGCATCTTATATATGACAATAGCAGCATGATTCACCACCTAACCAACCACCAGCCGTACTAGAGAAATGGGCAAGTCACAGAATCAGCCCCCGTGCCCGAATGGAACGAAGTTGCTAACGCCAACTCACAGTTAACTCGTCGGCCTCCTAAGCCGAAGATTCTCGGTTCGAGTCCGAGGTGCGGTGTCCCTTTTTTTTAAACCTTTGCGCTGTCTTCTGCCTTGTTCCTTCTCCTTCCACCTGTGTTACGCTCTCCGAAGGCCCTCAACACCTGAGGCAGGTACCCGGATATACTGAATGCTCCGATGCAACAGGGAAGTATGTAGGTACTTACCTCCTAGGTCATGGACTGAAGCATGAAGCCCTTAAGGTTCGGACCGCTGCGTTTGCTGCGGCCTCTCTCTCGGGGAGAGAATCGCGATGGAGAATGTTAGCATTGTATTATTACCGTCGCGAGATATCAGGGATCCCACGGAACACAACTCACGACCTCGATGGGAATCTAGCACCATATCTGCGGAACCTTAGGTGGCACTGGGAGATACGGCTGGACTGCAAGAAAGGCACGAGTGGCAAACTGACCAATATATAGGCCCTGACTACCGATAATTGGCGCTACTGGCTCACTTTGTGCACACAATCTGACCATGAAGCATCGAATAGAAGCCGTCCTCTGCCTCCGCCCACTCCCTCCAGGCCGCCGGCATACGCGTCGCCTCCTCTTCAGTCACGAACCCGAGTTCCACCCCTTTCCTCAAGTCCGCCGCTGCATCAAATCTAAATGCCATATTCTGTCCCGCCCAGGCACGATCAGCCGAATTCGTGTACGTGACACAAGCAGCAGAAGCCGTGATTGCCTCGGGACTGAATCCCGCCCTGCGAGCAAACTCCCTCCCTCGACCACCAGCAATGATCTTTCCAGAATGGTCTGCGAGCCTCGACAGGACATCGAGACTTTCTTTCACACCATGTATACGCGGGTATATCACGATAGAGGACCATTCCGCTTCTCGCGCACAGACGAATCCTCCGGGCTTGCATACTCGCCGCATCTCTTTGAGCCCCCAGACTGGGCCAGGTTCGCCGTGTTGGCCCGGTAAATGGATGAGAACTTGGTGCGCATGAACGATGTCGAAGGAATCATCATTGAATGGCAGCTTGGCTATATCCCCCACTACAAACGTTGCGTTCGCGATCCCACGCTGTTTGCATAACGCCTGTGCGTTCTCGATGGCGCTGTCGCTGGCGTCGATGCCGTCCACGCTCCCTTCCGGTACAAGAGCCGCAAGATCTAGCGTGATGGTACCTGGTCCGCAGCCCACATCTAGTATGCGCATGTGCGGCTGGATAAGAGGCAGCATGTACGCCGAGCTCTCCACCGCCGTCCGACGGGAATATGTGGCAATCATGGCCTGATTATAATTTTTCATATCCATGGCGTCCTGGTATCTGTAGTTTTATCATACAACGCGAAACGGGAATCGAGCAAAGACACTGAAAAATACAGGAAAGGCAAAGTCCAGAAAGCAAATTGCTCGCAGCGGGAATAACGACGCAGATGGAGACTAATGCCGGAGATCCGAGGGCGGAGCCGATGACGGTACCGACCCGGCACCGAGGATAACGAGTATACCCATGGACAACGAGCCTCCATGATTAATACCCTCAATCATCGTAAGAGCTTAGGATTTCTCAGAAATTGGACACATGGGAGTATATATAATGTTTCTTTGGCTAGCCGCGGTATATGCGCATGAATACGTAGATGGTATTCACAGCGTGTGGAAGTCAAGGGCGGGTTGTTGTGCTGAACATTCGGTTTAAACTTCAAATCACTCACCGGGCGCAATTAATTATTCTCATCTTTGCTTCGTCTAAAAACACTTAATCAATGATGGTTGGCATAAATCATAACGAAAATGAATTTCATATTGTATTGTTCATTGATCTCTCTTCTTGACGTATTCTGTACGAAAGTCAAGTCCTGAATCCTGTCGCACAACACCGTATAATGATGAAGAATCCAGAGGGCGTTGCCCATTCTCGTCCGAGTACGCTTTAGCTCTCTTCAAATGCTCCAATACCGTGTTGCCGACTTTCAAGCTTACACCAACTTGTTTCGCGCTGTCGACTCCATGTCCGACATCCTTAAGCGCAAGGTTCAGGTCAGACCAAGGTGCCTCTCCCTTTCCCGGCATATAGACGCCAGTCGTCATCCTGACCGAGTCGGAGTGCGCGACTGTGCCAAAGTTGAGCTCTAGAAGCCTCTCTAGTACATCAGCACCAAGGCCTGTCTTCTCAGCGAACACGTGGGCTTCTGCGATAATTTCCATGAGGCCGGCCATCATGAAGTTCCTAAAACGAGGTTAGAATATTGGTCTCTAAGGGCCTTCCCTCACTTGGGCTGATGTGCAACGACATACCCTGTTGTCTTCAGTAGCGTGGCCTTCTCAGGTTCCTTTCCTACTTGAAGTACTTCCCGGGCAATCACACCTTTAAGGAACGGCGCAATTGTCTGGTACACACTTTCTGGCCCTGCAAACGCCACAAGAAGCCTGCCCTGCTCCGCCACTGGTGTCGCGCCGAAAACAGGCGTTGCTGCAAACTGCGCTCCCTGAGCTGCTAGACTTTCTGTGATTTGCCTGGTTGTGTTAGGATGGATGGTTGTGGTGTCAACAATGATCTTTGTGGCTAGTTCTGAACCGCATGAGATTATCTGCTCGACGATTGACTGCACGGCCGCGTCATCGCTTGCGGAGATGAATATTACGTCGCTGCGAGCGGCTAGTTCTGGCACAGACGCGCAGCGTTCGCCGCCGAGAGCTTCCAGTGCGTCTCCACGAGATGGGGTACGGTTGTAGAAGCAAAGAGATGTGCCACGGCGTGACTGTAAGTAGGTATGGATATTCTTCGCCATGGCATTGCCCATGCTACCTAGCCCAATCCAGCCGAGTCGTAGCGATGGAGTAGCCATGTTGCACGTCCAACAGGATGGGAATCCGTCTCTGGCTTGATTAGTGCTTTGAAGGTATTGCCTGTAGGTAATTGGCGAGACTGGTCCCCGAGTTATAGAGCCCTGTCCTAGATTGAAATTCGATCACTTGAATTCTCAATGGTCTAGATATAAGTACTCATGATTCGGACTGTGTTTCTACTCTTACATTAGGTAATAAGGGGTTGCTGCACTCGGGCACGCTCGGGACTCCACTCCGACTGCTCCTCGATGTAGTGAGTCACTTCACTGCGAGTCGCAATTCGGACGATGATCCGGGGCCGAGCGACGCAACTTCACCAAAACTTACCATATAACGATAGATTCTCAATTCTAACGATGACTGAAAATTGCACTTCGATTTGTGGTGTATATCTCACCTATCAATTGAGCATGCGCCCTAAGGGCAAGGATGGGCAGCTGTGCCGACTGTGCCGCATGTAGCTCGCCTAAATCAGTCCAACTGCATCGGAATAGAGGATATGGCTGCTGACTGTGAATTAGTGTCCTCCACGTCTCTCGTCGAAGACCCTTGATTACATCTTAAGAATCCTGACGTTATACACTTCGTGCGTTCCGTCATACGCTCTCAATCTAGCGCTATTCGCCATGGAGATGATGACTACGCGTGAGGAGGCACTAGCAAGGCGTCGTGTCCAGAATCGAAACGCACAGCGCCGCTTCCGATGTAGGTCGCAACTATCCTAGCTATTTAACGGCCTCGTGAAATCTCTCGGCTGCTTGGTTGACTAGACTGACTTCTTGGTCCTTTTTTATCTCCCAGGGAAACAAAATCAGCTGAACAAGAACGCCGCAGTTCCCTCCGTAGTGGGGGATGGCAACGGCGCTGGTTCCGACCCCTCGCCGGGGATAGAGACACAGACACAGACACATGCACAAATCCCATCACAAGAGACTACATCATCTAAGAGAACGGGCGAATGCTTCTTTTCTTCCAAGCTGAGCCTGTTTGGCGGCTACACCATGCTCGATGTTGATATAAAATACGACGAGGAATTGTTGAGCGTTAATGATTCGTTATTGGCTGTCGCCAACTTGCCTAGAGTTGCCGGGTCATCGCCTGGTCAGGATCGGATTGCTGCGACCTACAGCGCCTCGACAACCCGAACAGTGTCCCATCATCAAGCATTACCCGAACATGGTATTTCCGAGACGCCTGCTCCGTTTCACAGATCAACATCGACTCGCTCGTCAAACCTTCAATCTTCAGGGCCAAGGCCACAAGACCTACCTGTAAATGGTACCAAAAGTAGCTTCGCGAGCCTAGGTACCCACACACAGACGCCAGTAGCGTCCTTGCTACCTAACCCATCTACAGCCAAAGAGATAGAAGATGATGTACGCTGGCAGAAACCCTTGCACCTTGCAGCACAGAAAGGGTACGATCGCATTGTCCATGTCTTACTGCAGCATCAGAGCGACTGCAACGAGCGAGATAGCGACGGCCTCACGCCGCTACTCCACGCAACTATCGGTGGGCATGAGCACGTTGTGCACATGCTCCTGCAACATGGGGCTCGCATAGGCGAGCAAGACCACCAGGGCCGCACTTCTCTACACCTCGCCGTTGCACACCGCCGCGAAGCCGTGTTGAAATGTCTGCTCCAGCACTACATGGGCGATCAAGCTCTGGTAGACGGATACGATGACGATCACAACACTCCGCTGCATACGGCTGTCGATATAGACTTCGAGGCCGGTGTTCGGTTGCTGCTAGAGCATGGGGCAAGCCTAAACTGTATAACCTGGAAAAACTAACGCGACTTTATGGTGGTGGTCTACGCGCTTAATCGAATTATCACGAACGAAGGCTCTAGTTAGCAGAGAGACTAAGGGTTCTACCTTAATGTATGTTAGGTATTCATTGAGCACGACGTGATTGTTTAGCGTTCTACTTTTGAGTCTAACCAAAATCTGAGAACGTCACTATCGAGTTGTGTCACATAGAGGCGGAACTTGGATGAGTATTTATAAGCTTATGGGGCATCACGAGTTATAGCATGCGTCATTACATGTGCTAAACACCTTGATATATTCACATGCGAGTCGGCCACGGGTTCAGGCTCATTCTTCCCAAACGATCCCTTATTAGACTTGTATTTCGTACTAAAAGTGAATTATGTAAATTTCTTTTATATGTAACATATACAGAAGCGTCGAAGGTTAGGAAGGTAGTCTAATTGTATGTCAAGGTCGGCCACCAAGATCAGGAAGGGGCCTGACTAGAGGACTTCATTGCTTTTGCAGCTATAGCAGATTATTGTAAGTAGCTTCCACTCTACGTCCTACCGCAAGCTTTTATTATTTTCGTTGACCTCATTGTTCTCTACTGCCGGTATGTAGAATTTATCTCACCTACGGTGAATGTGATCATGTAGGACCTCGAAACCTACCATTCTCCTACGAGATTATTCATAGAAGGCCCAGGGTTTATTGCTGCCGTATGTTAAGGTCACGGACTCGGCGTGATTATTCCGGATATGGTGTATGAGCGGAAAGGAGTCGAGCCGCAGATGCAAGATCGATGACCTTGCATTAGTGGCTTGGCCCACGCAGCAACGCTTACAGTAACGGAATCGGGGGAACTTGGATGATATACGCTAGGATAATTGAGCCTCTGGGTGAGCGCTGGGGCACTACCTATGGGTTGAGGTTCATTTTTTGCCTATTATTGAAATACAACAAACAAGTACTTCTGAATTTCTAATATTTTGAAATAGGACTAATGTATCGGAGCCTTTATTACACCGCGAACACGATGTCCGTCATTCCATAAGAGTCCCGCTGTGGTCTGAATGCGCTCTGCTGATACTACACTTGCTTCGGAATCCCATGTGTGCAGTAATTTTATTCTATTTCCTCTAGGCAGACATTGTACAATCGACCAATTGCCTCAATCATAGAATTCAACGGTCCCCGCGGACACTCACCATGGCCAAGAAGACAGTCCTCATCACCGGGTGTAGCGATGGCAGCATTGGATCAACACTAGCAAAGCAATTCGTTACAAAAGGCTATCATGTTTTCGCAACTCTTCGAAACACGAGTAAAGCCGCCTCGCTCGCAGGTATGAACGACATCGAAGTCTTGGAGCTCGAGGTTACTTCTCGTGATTCTATTACCGCTTGTATTGCTGAGGTTCACAAACGCAACTACGGCGCCCTCGACATCTTGATCAACAGCGCCGGCGCAGATTTCGTATGCCCATTTCTCGACGTCGATATCGATGAAGCTAAACGTCTTTACGACGTCAACGTGTGGAGCATTATGCTTGTGACGCAAGCCTTCGCCCCTTTGTTGATAAAAGCACAAGGTTGCGTGGCCAATCTCGGTTCTATCGCCGGTGAAATGCCGTTATGTTGGTCCAGTCAGTCGCACTCCCCATATCATTCTTACACAGTCAATGTTTCGAAAGACAAGGATGAATCCGTATAGAGAGTAACCCCTAACTCAATTATGTTCGCTATGTAGGCGTCTACGTCAGCTCCAAAGCAGCCGCTAAGCAAATGTCGGAAGTTATGCGCACTGAGCTAGCACCTCTAGGTGTGCGCGTCATCACGGCCATCGTGGGTGCTGTGAATACGCCTATTCACCAGCGTGCTGGGGAACTGGACTTGCCTGTGGGCTCGTATTACACGAACATACGCAGCCAGGTCAACGAAGTTAGGAAAGGCACGCACAAGCCCGGCGCGGTTGAGACCGATGTCGTAGCCCGTGAACTGATCGACGACATAATAGGTGGCAAAAATGGCGTCACCTGGCGTGGCGGTACGGCAACTGTTGTGAAATATCTTAGTTGGTTGTTGCCGAGAGGTTTGTGGGAGTCGGTGGTGAACAAGGGGAGAGGTCTCGAGGAAGTGGTTAAGCAAGATGGCAAGGGGGAAAATCTATAATTTACGTCGAGTTTAGTGTTTCTATCGCTCTGTGCACTATACTATTCATAATCGACGTCGTAGTCTGAATGATCATACATTTACACTGAACAAGACGTCTTTTACCGTAAGCTGTCCTTCAGTACCTCCGTTTTCCATTTCACAATCTCCGGGACCACCAAACTAGGACTTTTATACATCTAAAATTTGAGTTTAAGTAATAATGAACAGCAGGATACATATAGCTAATTTGGTATACGTTGATTGCTTTGCAATGAATACAAATATGCTCGTTCTTTGAAGATGATAGCAGCTGAATATCCAGTTCGCCTTGCACTTCGGCCGTACGAAATGCCAATGCAGGCTGTTCATGATCATTCAAAGACATGCAGGCAATATTGGAAAGTGACGCTATACAGACTTCGCTTCTTGAAACAGACCCTAGAGACCCAGTCGGTCTGGGCTAGCAGACCAATTGTATATAGAGTCGAGTCAAGCCACCAACGGTTAAGAAGGAGTTAGTTGGTCAAGAACTCATGCAGCCCTAGTTGATCATTGTAATCTGAATAGCTCTAAGTTCCAAGCCCAGATCTCTGCTCTTGTTATATGTACAGTAAGTTACTTCAGCCTAGAAGTTTATCATTTGACATTCTTCAAACCTGCTGGGCAATAATTAATATGCCACTTACCAAGGGAATGAGCCTTCATACCCATATTCGACATATCTGCCCGCATCTACATCTCGCTTCCCTTGTACCATCTCGACAATTGGCTTGGCCCCTTCACTGGTCGGCTTCATTCCAGGACCGGGAGCATTGCTCGGCGACAAACTTGAGACAGTCGGTCCGGGCCCGTACAGAAAAACCTTGAAGCCATCGCCCTCGAAACCCCGGTACTGACCAGCAAAGACCATGTTCATAGCAGACTTGCTCACTCGGTATGGGATCACTGGGAATTAATTTCCAAACCCGTTAGGATCCATTCGGTTACCTATGGACCCGGCACCGCTTGTAACATTGACGAGCCGGGGAGTCCCCACTGACTTCTTGAGCAGAGGGGCGAAGTAATCACCCATCATCTGGGTTCCTACTGCGGCCACGCGAAAGCACTCGACCATTTGCTCGGCAATGGTCCCCTGGGAACCAGCAATACCTGCGTTATTCACCAATGCATCGAGTCTTGAAGCTGTTAGTAAAATCCTAAGAAAATGGATAGAACAGAGTATTCATAATAGGCATATAGGATAGAGGGAAAAGAAAGACATAAGTAACATACCTTCCGTATTCTGCTTCGACCAGTTTTGCAGCCGCAATGACTGAGTTCTCATCTGCGACATCGAGCTTCAGCAACTCTACAGTGCCTGGCAAGTTACGAGACTTGAGCTCTGCAACAGCTGCCTGGCCTTTCTCGGCTGACCGTGCACCAAGTAAAACGTGGAAAGAGCCGTCGGCTAGGAGCTGGTTTACTACTTCAAAGCCGATCCCACTGTTGGCTGTACTTTCCGGTATCAGCGGATGTTGCAAAGAGGAAAGGGTAGAGGTGGGGTATAATATAGAGCGCCATACCTCCGGTGACGAGGGCTATCAACTTTTGGCTAGCCATTGTATGGGTTTTGAAGTAGTCTTTGGTACTTGCCTTGTGTTCAACTCAGTCAAGAAAGGTCGAAGTTGCTGATTAAATGCCGAATTCGAAAAGATCGATGTGCAGTAACTATTCACGTCCAAGGATAGTTCTGCAGAAGAAATCTGAAGTAGATTGGACTTAGAGCTGACCGGTACACCGTCTATTTATGTTATTTTGGAACATCATCTACTCTACTTCGATAGAGAGCCTTAGGATCTTATCGTGGTAAGAATGTATGCATAGGTGATATGTAGCCATGTCATCGATGTTCTCAACCTTGCCATACCTGGGCTAGATCAGTCCACCGAAGCGTTAACTCGGTGTCACCAGGTTAGGACGCTACAGACTGCAATTCAATTAATCGCCATGTCACTGCATATTACAGGGATCCTGCCCCACGTTTCGCTATTTTGGGTTGTAAAGAGGTCGAAGATTGGCCGGCCGAATGTCCGCCAAGACTCTGGGGATACGCGTATTAGAGTTGCATGGAGATAGGAGATATAAACACCGGGAATCATGCACCAGAATGGTGAAGGGACATTACAGGTTTCCTTCTTCACTTGCAGAACTACACCTCTAGGCAATCTTGTTTTGCCCTTGCCGACATATCGTCGGGCTCGAATTGAAACCCGTTCTCCGTGCTCACAAATGGCGAATCCGGATGTAGCGGAGTTATCATCTAATGACAGGCGCCAAGAGATGGCATGTTACACGTGTAACCTCTGTACCGGTTGAAGAATGCAGTTCGCCTTGCACTTCGGCCGTACGAAGGACCATTGCAGGCTGTTCATGACCTTCCAAGACATGCAGGCAATATTGGAAAGTGAGGTTATACAGACTTCGCTTCTTGAAACAGACCCTAGAGACCCAGGCGGTCTGGGCTGGCAGATCATTTGTATATAAAGTCTTCTCAAGCCACCAACAGCCGAGAAGGAGTTGGTTGGTCAAGGACTACTGCAGCCCTAGTAGATCATTGTAATCAGAATCCTCAGTTCCAAGCCCAGTTTATCTGCCCTTGTTATATGGCATCAGTGGCCCATAGATTAAACTCGTATGTCGATACAACAACAGCGTTCAAGGGGTTGCAAATATGTGCTCTATGCATTGGTTGACTGAGCATTATTATTTTACGTGCTTATGAACCTATCCGAGTCCCCGCTTCGAATGCTTAAACCATGAACTCCTAATATCAATATCCTCATCACTATTTTGAAACACTTGCCCTCGTGGGTTGATATTCCTTTCAGGCGACTGACATGATTTGTATTTCTGTCTACCGCGTTGTTTTTTGTGTTGATGTGACTCGGTGCTGCTGCTGCGCAACTTGCGCTTTGACGCATTAGAGTGAACCGATGCAGCTGTGTGGGGTACTATCTCTGAACTTTCAGAGCTCGGTCCGACCAAGCCAGTTAGAAGGTTATTGCAGAGAGATGCTATGGGCGTAGAGGGTGAGTGGCTATTTGTATTCTGTGAGAGCGAACTTGAACGCGACAGGCTAGGTTCGGCCTCATGCGCGATATCGTGAGCTGGAATAGTCGGCTTATCCGAGAGAATCGAGAGTTCTGATGATGGTGGACGCGGTTCTTGATAATTATCGCGAAGTTTGTTGCTTCCAGTTATGGTCTGAGTATCTGGTACCGTCAGGTGGTCGTCCTCTTGAACGTGAGGAAATTCCAACAATAATGGCCGACAAATACTCGCGTCCGACTGTTCATTTATTTCTTTAATCAATATTGCCCATCTTTGCAATGCACCTATCAATGACGTTAACCCCTGATCATCGAATCTCGGTTGGAAAGGTGATTCTAGTAGTACCAGTTGGCCTCCCTCATCAATGGGTATGTGCGGTAGTAATTCGGTTTCTTCCTCGCCCATGCCATGTTCAGACAAGTCGGAAACGCTCTTATTCTCGTCAAAAAGTTGGTCCTCGCCGCGAACCGTCTCGTTCTCCACTGGGAGGGGGGATGTGACCTTTCCTTGTCCCTGTTGTCCGATAACATGGAGGAACTCGGAATTCGAATTTTGAATATGTTCAAAACCCATTGGCGTACCAGATTTCGGTGAAATATCAAGCTGATCTTTGTCAAGTGACAGGACCAGATCAGCCTGAATAGGACTCGGCGGCGTCAAAAAGGGGGATTCAGACTGAGACTGAGAGGGTCGTTCCGAAGTTTCTGGTTGTTTTAGGACATTGGCAGAGCTGCCATCGCTTGGTTGGGTCTGTTCAGGGAAATACGAAACTGCTGGCTGTCTGAATTCCATCTGATTGTGTGGCCGGTTTTCTTGCCCTGATTTTCGCTTGTCAGGTGCAGTTGATAGCCTTTGGGGCTGAATTGTCGACCTTGGGTCTTCAGAGTTCGAGTTAGCGTCTATGTACGACTAGGTTCTAGAATATTGATGAAATACCGACACTTTGACAATCTGTCTTCGCGGATTCGCTTGCTGCGCGATTTTTGATGGGTGATCTCTCTGGTGTTTTGGGACTTGCACCGCCTCCAGCAGTTCTACTCGATTGTTTGGAGTCTGTCTTGTGTCTGGCAGGCGTATGGGGTTGGCCTATCGGCCTTTGGTTCTCTTCTCTTTTCGTAGAATCTTCCACATTCGGGACGGGCACGTTACTATTTTCAGTTGAAACAGATTGAGAGCCCGATGTGATTTTCTCGGGGGTCTGTTCTTCTTGCAGCTTTGGTTGCTCAGCTGATTTAGGTATATAATAAGTATTAGATAGCCCATCGTTGGATTCGGCGGACTTAGATGATGGTGGGCATCGACGTGACACCTCTTTGTCACTCTTCTCTTCACTTTTACAGGGTATAGATTTTTTGTCAGGTAATGAATTGGGTTTTTCAGTGATTCTCCAACCTCGTGTATTATCGTTCATTTCGCTTTCTGTATCCTCACACCTCCGTGACTCTGTCGCTTCATATGTGTTAATACAATGTCTGTTTCACTTAACTCATAATGACTTACCTGGTTGAATAGTTGGTACTATGCTAGCAAGATCTGCGATATTAAATCAGTCTTAGGTGCAATTCGGCAGGCTATATCACCTATACTATCATACAGGTATGCACCTACCACCAGGGATATCTTGCTTCTGTGCCACGTGGCTTGCATTACTTTCTCCGTGTTCTGGATTGTCCTTTAATCCATTAGACATATTACTCTTCAAAGCATCTGCGAAGGACCGTGGCTCGTTCTTAGCGGGATTCTTTGCTGCCTGCGGAGAACTAATGGTCCTATCGACTTGGGAGGGCAGCTCACCGTCTTTCTTAGACTCGGAAGACCTTTCCGGCGAGCTCGGAACAGGTGGTCGGGATTTAGAAGGCGTGGCGGACCTGCTATCGGACTTTTTCGATTTAGGGCTTGAATCCTTCTTCGGCTTAGGACTCAAATCATCATTTTGCTGGCCGTCAGAAGTGGGGACGCCGTTGGTGCTATCTTTTTGACGCTCATCTTCTCGTTTCTTGGACTTCTTTGATGAATCGCCCTCTTGCTTCTTCGATTTTTCTTTTGGTTGCTCTTCTTCTCGGCTACCAGCTTGATCTTTTGGATGCCCATTTTGTTGCTTTCCAGATGTGTCCTGTGAGAGTTCATCTTCGTGTTTCTTTGACTTGTTCTTCGGGGACTCGTTTTCTTGCTGCTTCGATCCCTCTTTCGGGCGCTCGTCCCCTTGGTCAGTGGGCTTGTCCTTCGAGGGCCCATTCTTTTGCTTCTTCGACTCATCCTGTGAAAACCCATCTACTTGCTTGGTTGACTTGTCCTTCGCAAGCTCATTCTCTTGCTTTTTAGACTTTTCAGATTTCTCAGACTTTTGCCCATCTTGAATTCCCTCCTCTGGGCTCATCGACTTGTCTTCTGGTAGCTTGTCTTCCTGTTTGATTGACTTATCCTTTTGGAAATCATTATCCTGATTTTTTGACTTCTCATCAGTTAGAGCCTCATCTTGTTGGCTCGTCGATTTGTCATCTTGAAGTTTGTCGTCTTGCTTCTTCGAATTGTCAATTGGAAGATTATCATCCCGCTTCATCGATGAATCTTTCGGGAGTCCATTCTCTTGGTCGTTCGGTTTGTCTTTCGGCACTCCATCTTCGTGCTTGCGCGACTTGTCTTCGGGGAGCCCGTTTTCCTGAACTTTTGAGCTATCCCTTGACAACTCGCCTGCTTCTTTCTTCGAACGGTCTTTCGATCTTTTCCTTCGCGGAGGAGAGGCAGGCAAAGACTGTGTCAATTGATCATCAATGCGGCGATTGAGTTCCTAAATCATTCCTTAGTATTTGAACCGACATCAATGGAGTACGGGGTTCGCCACCTTTCGTTTCTCATCAAGATCGTGCAACTTCTTCTTGCCCTCTTCGATCTTCTTCTCTGCGGTTTGCTCGACCTCATCCATCTTCCGCTCCGTCTCGTCTTCAATAGATCCCACCTCATTGTCGTACTTCTGTTGCCGATTGTTGTCCTCTGTGCTTGTGGCTTTCTTGAGTTCTTCGTCCTCGCGTCGGCGCCGTGCAGCGCGCTCCTCGTCTTCCTGCTGTCGTTTCTTTTTTATATCCTCCAATTCTTTTTCGCGTTTCGCCTCGAGCTCTTCCTTCTCTTTTTGAAATGATGCTTGTAGATCCGCCAATAGCTGGTCTCGGTGCTGCTCCAATCGGTCAAGCTCATCATTTTGCGCAGTTGATGATAGCTCGCTAAATGTGGATTTTATCTGTGCCAGGGTATCCTGCAGCTGTGGTAGAAGAGTTTCGACCTCCATATTTGACAAGATATTTTCAGGGATATGCCAAGGGTGGTGGCAAGGAAGAGTCGGCGAATATGCAAGGAAGGGGGCAACAGTTGGGGATCGGTTGTTTGGATAATTAGCGAGCCTTGACCACGGCACTGGATCAATTGAAAAGACAAGAAAGGAATCCGCTGAGATGGAGATGAGAGAGAGAAGACATGCTTATTAACTCATGGCAATGCATAACAAAAGCTACGTTTATGACGTCTGAAATACACCTGCAAGCCCCTCACTCATACGCAGCGGCACGTAATGGTAGGGCCGTCTGGGGAATTCCGGATTCTGGACACATCAACTAGACGTCACAGTCCAGACGCCACACATGAACACCGTTGAAGCTACTCGGCCGTTCGCATTTTAGCGCAACGGGATCCTTGATTTTAGTGATCCAGCTGATCCACTGACCTTTGACCTAGCCCAACGGTTTTCTCACGTTGACAAGCCAACCTTGGGCTCGCTTGGCTATTGCTTGGCCTCACGACCGTAATACATTGCGTCAACCCTACGTTGGAGTCCAATCCCACCAGTTGCCAGTATATAAACCGTAAAGAAGTTGATACAAGAGTACCATATACACTAGAGGGTCTACGTCTTCAGCCAGCGGGGGCTATTTAGCGTAGAAGCTGGTATTCGGAGTGACTCAGTACATATGAAAACTATATACTTATCCCTTCTTTTCCAGCTTAGAGGATTCGCAAAGAGAGGGAGAGAGAAAGAGAAAGAGAGTCGTCTTGGGCTGCAGCACACACCTACGTTCTACGCATAGTTTGATACGAACTCATGTGCGTCATTGCTAATCTAGAAAACCCACACGCGTAGAATACCAGCTAGCATGCGACTGGTGCCCCATCGCGGGAACTAAGCAGCGATCATGGATGCCATGCAATCTAGGTCTAATACGTCAACGTGCATAAGCCCAGAGGTTGTACAAGAGGGATCGAGGGATGAGCATCATGCTGATTGGGAACCAGACCGTTATGACTGCCTCTGCCAAGGACCTACAATTAGAAAATAATGCTGACCTAGTAGCTGAACCCTTCGCACGCAATGGACTACAAAGTAGAGTCGACCCCATCACGCTGCAAAGTCTCCGTCGAGCGATCCATGTGCGGAGATGTTGCCACGATAGATTGACCCAAACACGTGGGTGTGTACAAGAAGGCCCCTCTCTTCTAAACAGAGCCACCAAAGCTGTTGATGAAATCCAGTAGTTATGTGTACTGGAGATCTCATTTAAAATGAGAATGATAATTGAATAACTATAGATAGATATAATATTATAATATAGTCATTGGTACCTCACGAGTAGCAGTATAAAACGCGACCAGCACATAATCAGGAAAGGATTAAAGATAAGTGACCGTTTTATACACCGAACTAGGTAGATTTATTCGTCTTTGGCAATTTTGAGTACCACTCTTCCAGACACTTCACCTTTCTCTAGCTCTTGGTAAATCTTTGGCAGATCTTCAAAAGGCCGGATTGAGACCTTGGGCTTAACAACTCCTCTCCTGACCAAGTCCACTGCCTCTAGACACTCCTTAAGCGATCCAACGAGGTTACCGGTAATATGCAGTCCCTTGATGACAATAGCGCTGATGGGCGTCAAGAGGTGCCCCTTTTCAGACGGAATGCCCACACAACTGAGCGTGCCACCCACCTTCAACATGTCAGCAGCCCGTTCAAATGCTTTGACACTAGCAGCCGTGACAATGACGGCGGTGGCACCTCCCCCAGTAAGCTCGTGCACTTTCTTTATTACATCGGGGGTCGCCGTGAAGTCGATGTACTCGCTTGCACCGATCTCCTTGACGAAGTTGCCCTTGGTGGCGCCACCATCTATGCCGATGACGATAGCTCCTTGGGCACGGGCGTATTGGACTAGAGTGGAACGGAATCAGTCAGTCATACAATTCTGGAAAGTCAAACGCATATGCCTAGTATCAAACTGCATACCGGCAAAGTGACCCAGACCACCACCTGCGCCGACAACCACAACCCAGTCTCCAGCCTTGACATTCGCGTTTTTAACAGCCTGTGCTGGGTGTCAGCATCTTCTTTTACGATCCTAACGCCGAGCGCCGCACCTTGTACGTTGTAAGTCCCGCGCATAGCACGGGCCCGATAACTGCTGGATCGATATCATCAGGAAGGATTGTCAGGTATCCGGCATCGAGGGCGATATACTCCTGGAAGCTGCCGTCTTCGTGATGCAAGTGATTTGTGCTCTTGATACAGTGCTGCTCTTTACCTGCAAGGCAGAACTCGCACCTTCTGCAGATCCGGCTCGCAAATCGAATCCCAACGAACATGCCTAGCCGGATGTCATCGCCACAACCCGGCCCAATGGCAACAATGCGGCCGACACCCTCATGACCGCCAACGTGCGGGAGCTTGACCTTGGTGATGGGATTTCCGCGGGAGTCTGACGCAACTCCTGCTTGAGTGTGAAGATCTGAAAGCCTGTGAGTCCCGCCATCTACACCGCACCTACGTAGAGTCGGAATCACTCACCGCTCTGGCAAACGCCCGAGTAAAGGACTTTGGCCAGAACTTCATTATGCCCTGGCTTAGGGACGGGGTAATCATGGACGAACTTCACACCCCCTCCTAGTTCGGGGACTGTAGCTGCAGTCTGAGTGGTAGGAATGCTCGACATGGTCACACTGAGTCAGAATATTGATCGAACAGCACCAGTACGACTTTAAGATCATATATCTAGCTTGATTATGGAATCTATTACTTTTATGTATTCATTTCACGGATAGCCGCTCTCACAGTGCGCTCCATTCGATTATCATGGTGCAACATACGCTTTTCGGTAGGCTATCCCTTGATTCGACACCCCGCAGAGTAAGAGGTCACAAGCATACTTTCCCCAACATCTCTCTATCTTCCCCGCAATGTCATCTAGTATTAATGGAAGCAGAAAGCCACGTAGAAAATGCAGGCGACCCCACAGCGTCGGGTATTAATGGATCCCAGGAATCTGGGCCTCTGGTCCATTGAGTCAGATATGGCTCGCCTCTGCATCTCCGACGTGGCCATAGATACCACGTGATAAAACTATGTATGCTAAATAGGCTTAACCTGTTGGTACCGTGAGGACACAGCTGGATTAGGTGTGTCAGACTTTGAGAGTTCACATGACTGACTTCGAAAGACTATAGCACTATAGCCAGTTGCAACACATATTCAAGTCTAGGTACAGAATGTAATGGACGTATTCACATGTAGCCCGCACCAAGTTGAATTCTCGGTATTGATACGTATCGGCTACGCTCGTCGAATATACACCCTACGATACCCCCTAGAGTCGGTTTCTAGGCGACCATTCATACCTGCTCCAGAATATTTTAAGTACTTAGCAGAATGCACCAAGAGGGTAGCTAGAGCTCAGCCAATTGCGGCTCGATAGAGATGAGGGGCATCTGTCTTATCGTGAGACATAGATACAGCGCGAATCTGATTAGCAGAACTATATATTTCGGTGAGTTACTATACATCTCACACCTGTGGATTGATGTTGCTACCCAGTATCTGATGACTAATAGTTAAACCTACGCATGTTTTCTAGTATAAAGAGGACAAGGCGCTGGCACGGTATGCTTCTAGCATTGGGCAATTTACAAGATACGAGAGCTACTTTCGGCATCTAACGACTAATTAGCGGGGGCTAGATAGCCGATTCCGAAATTTGATATACATCAAGAAGTCTAGCATTTGGAGTTCAAGAGCCTTATTGCTCTTAGAATGCCACAGACACAATATTTCTAGCACCGGACATCAAATATAATAGCGGACTACACTCAGGAGTGCAACGAACCTGTTGAAAAAATGACTGTATTTTATACAAAATAACCTAGTAGGTAGCGGTCGCTCTTCGTACATATACAGGTATCAAATAAATCTTCCACTCGCCAGTAGTGGAAACAGTGTAATTCCTACTAAGCACGCTATCATAATCATATCCATCCTATCGCCCCTAGCCATCCGCCGACCTGCGGACGAATTCCTCGCTCCTTTATTGACCCCCCAGCTTCTCAAGCGCGAAGGAGGCACCCATTCTCTGGGTGGAAGAGTCTCTGGGGTACTGGAGGTGCTGGGCATTGATACCATTGCCGTTTGTGGTATCGCAGACACCGTCACCCTTTTTGATTGTATATTGTCAGTAATCATTCAAAAGCGGAGTTTAGACTTTATGAGACTGGGCCACCAGTGACTTACTAAGATACAGACGTCAGCAGTCTTGCTGACCCAATTGTCAGGAATACCCCGAGTCAAGGTAGCCGACAATCCACTGACGTTCTGGGTGGTGGTGCCGCCGTTGTTGTCGATGTTGCAGGCGAGGCCACTCTTGTGGTGCGGGTCTCCAATAAGGAAAACGCCCTTGACGGCGTCGAAGGCGTTGCCGGTGATGGACGACATGGCGTTGACCGTGGCGGCCGCACCCTGTGAGTATCCCTGCAGGATAAAACACTCGTTGGGAGATGATTGGAGCGTGGTCGTGATCTTGTCGATAATGTCCCGGGTTCCGGAGGCAGAGTTCTGGGAGAAGCCGGCCGGGTAGACGGTGTTGTAGATCTTGCCGCCCGAGAGCTGAGAGGTGATCTGGGAGTTCATTGTTCGGAAGCCAGAAGACTGGCCCTGGCGCTCACCTGTTCCTCGCGTGTTGATGATGGTGTATGATGGGCAGGTACTCGAGACAGCACGCTTGATCGTCATGTCTTCAGCTGGGGCGGCCGAGGACAAGGCGAACAAGGAAAGAAGAGAGACGGTGATCTTAGTAATAGAAGGCATCATATCTTTAAAGAGAGGTGGGAAGCTCTTGTTGGCTTTAGATCGGATGATCAATGAACGTCGTACTTGACTGCTGCTTGTGCTTGTTTGAAGAAAACTACACGGAAGGAATCACCGGTGCCTTTATATGGTATTTTCGTCTGATCTCGAAAGTGAGTGGAAGTGGGATAAATTAATATCAGCGTCATCACATTAAGTATAAGGATCTCGGTGAGGTTAGTGTACGTTCATTGTTTGCTGTGAGCCAGTAGGTGAACGATGGAAGCGCATCTAGCTTGCTATACCAAATGCAGAAGTTGTCGCGAAGACAACTGGAAGTTCTGTGGTGGAGAAAAGATTCCAGTCGTCGCGCCATAATTGAAACTCAAACCTCCATCCTACAACTTATCTAAGGCTAGACGTTTTGAGAACTCGGGAATGTAGGGTGGCATGTAAGTCAGTTCTCAGAATCTGCATGGACTGCCAGTAGGGCTAGACTGGCGCCTTGACAAATTAACTCCACGTTCTGTCAAGTTGAAACCGATAGTTGAAAGGAATAACTGCCGCATAGCCTGACTAGGGGCTAAAGCAAACTTTTATAATATGATGGTTTTCCCATATCAGACACACACGAGACAAGCCAGCGTTGACAACATAATCCTCAATTGGTTCGCATTATGTGCTCAAAAAGGTTAGGCGACAGGCTAATGTCTCAGATTGTCTCCCATGCGCAAGTGTGCCTGACTATGTAGCCAGACAGCCAAGACAGTCCGGGGAAACGATAGAACGACGAGACCGCGATCGAAATAGGAAAACATTAATTAGGCAAGCGGTAACTGACTGGTGCCTTAAAGAGAGGTGACCAGTGAACCAACTTACCTAAGCACGACAACTTCTGTTCTTCAGCCAACCCACGATAGGCGGAATTTGAGAACACCTATAGCACGTAGCCTTGGACTTGAGACTAGATGAGGAAATGTTCCGATGAAGTGACCTGACGTCAACCGATCCTACAGATGAATAGACATTTCCGAAGAATTACAACTAACACTCATTCCCTTAACGTCGTGCAGTCCCGATATTGAACCTTGCGAAACACCAACTCACAACTCAGAAATGAGCAACGCCAAACCCAAGCATTCCTCCTCGCGGACATAATCTAAACCCAAGAACCAAGCGCTTTACACTCCCGTTCACAATGCCGCGCATCAAAAGAACCCATAACCATGCTCTACCCCATCCTGCCGTACTGGTCAATAGTCGCGGAGTCTCCAGCACCTAGAAAAAAGCTGCAGTTCAACTATATTAGCTCACGTTCAAAGAACCGGGAAACGCAATTTGTCGAATGAACTTACTAAGTGGTGCGATGATCGTTCTCGCGATCGAAGCCCCCATCAGCAGCCCAGAGGGTCTCCATAGTCAACCGATGCGCAGTTTTGGGCTTACCCTGCGCGACGCGCAGCTTCTCGAAGTAACAGTAGGCAGCGTAGAAGACGGAGCTCTTGGCGCCCGCGTTGGCGCCCTTCAGGGCGCGGAAGTCGGCCAATTGCTTCGACTGGATGCCCTTGCACTTGGGCGCGCGCAGTTGCGCGTAGATGTCCCGGCAGAACTGCGTCTGCGTGAGCCCGGGCGTCTTCAGATGCGCGTTGATCTTCTTCCGGATGTCGTCGCAGGTGTCGTAGACGGGGACGTCGTCCGTTTCCTCGCCCTCGAGATGGATCCCGCTGATATCGGGTAGTCCTGCGACAGAGGACGCAATCATCTTCGCTGTCGAGCTGGGGTTCCCGTTGGACGATGATGTTGTTGTTGTTGTTGTTGTTGTTGTTGTTGTATTTGACGGCCCAGCGGCGGCAGTGGCAGCGTCGACTTCGAGCTTCTGCCGCTTCTTGACGTCCGGCATCTTGATCTTGGCGTACTCGCGCTGCTTGAACCACACCCACGCATTGTAGTACATGCTACTCCCGGAGCCTCCCATTGGGCCAGTTGCATGTAAGAATCTGTTCAGCGTATTCGCGTTAGTAGACCCGAGGACCTTGGCGAACTCCGCCTTGTTCATAATGCCCGAGTCGAGGAGCTTGTTGATCTTCCCGCGCACGGCGTTACAGCTGGGCATGGGGTCATCTTCGAAGGCATGGGGACTGATGATGTGATCCAGGTTCTGCTTGTAAGCCGCGATATCCTCTTCTAACGTAGTCTCAGCTTTGCGCTTCTTACTAGCGACAGCCGCAGTTTTCGGGGCGTTGCCCGCGACACTAGGTATCGGTGCTGCTGCCGGCTTGGCTGCGGGCCCCGACGGCTTGGGCGCTGGCCGATTTGCGCCGGTTACGGCCATCAATTGTGCGGAACTGGGCATAGGAGTAACTATAGAGCTGTTGGCTGGTGTCTTGTAGACAGTAACGGGCGGTACAATTGAAATATTGGCGCGGTTACTAGCATCGGCCAGGACCGTGGATTGCTGCTCAAGAGCTCAGTTTTGTACAAGTGCTTGTCTACTTGCAATGATGAACAAATGGCAACCTACTCTGTGTTTCCCCGACATCGTGATGGTTATATAGTATATCTCGACACGCGAAGACGCTCACAACTTCGATGCAGTTCACACAACCGGGAACAACAATATGAAGTTGGTTTGCTGTTTGTTGATGATGCAGCGAAATAAAGTCGCATAACGCGTTCTTACGCGCAATATCATCAGCTGGGGTTCTCACCCCTGAAGTTGCCACTCGGCCGGGGTTGAGAATTACCCTAGTCAAGAGTCGCTCTCGGGAAGCTTCCCCGTCTTACATTTATTAAGAGCACAAGCCTTATCAGGCACCGTGCTCTCGTCAACAGTTGCTTCTCCAGCACTTAGGATTGTGACTCGTTAGTCTTGGAGGCTGCAGCTGATGATAGGTAGATGAATAAGCTATAAACGACAGACGAGACTTACGACTAGGATTCTACTATATCTTCTTTTGCTTTTTCTCGCACTCTCCAGCTGAGAATACGATGAAGAAATTTTCATTGGCAGTTACCATCTCTCTGCAAGTTGTAAGTAAACCAATACTTCTAGAATGCTATCTGTTGCGCCTCCACGGCATTGTGATATGTCAGTTGCCAACTGGCACAGGAAAACGTTATAGGCTCTGAACTACAGTTGCCGATTGTGAAGACGTCCAAATGAAATACCCGGTACACCTAACGCGCCTCATCCCAGTGCGGAATGGGGGCTGGCGAAACGAAGGATTTCAGTGCATGTCTTCTGTGGCGTCGTTATAGGTAGGGCGTAGGATCAGTCAATGCTGGCTGTTCTTGATGTTCAACTCGATCAAACAGATTCCGAGCAACTTGTCAAAGCAATACACTTCTTTTGCTAAGAAATTAATTCGAAAGACAGACATTCATCTTGACAAACCATGCAGTTATCTACTACCCTCTTCCAGTTTTCAAGCACCTACAGATGTCAATCTCAACATGGCTGCAACTTTAAGTAATTATGCATGTACAGCAAGTCTTGAGTTTATTGATATATCGAACGTTCAAAATATTATAATGTACATCATCCAACAGCACCAAAACTCCAATGTTACAGATCCTTTTTGTTCGAACCCACGCTCCTTTTCGTAGAGCCGGGAGGCGCTTTGAGTCCCGCGAAGACCAGTATTGACACAACCAATAGCCCGATAGAGCCCATGGTATATGCCAATTCCCTTCCAGCCCACCAATACACGCTAGTAAACAAAATCGGTCCTAAGCCCCGGCCCAGTTGACCCCAGCTTCGCAGAATTCCCAGCTTTCCACCACGTTCGCTAGCAGCCGCCTCAAAACTAGCCAGTGCATTCAGGCCGCTTACAACTGTGGCCGACGTCGTCGCTAGACATGTCGCGGCTACATAGAGGGACCGGACTGTAGACGTACGTGTAAGAATCGCGAATGCGATTAAGCATGCGCCCACTCCAATACGCACGGTGGAAAGCGGCGGCAAGCGACGTGTCACACCTCCTTGCAAAATCGACGCCACAAGACCAATATAGCCGAGCAGTCGTCCGTTCTTGGCGGATGTATATTGGAAGAGATCGTAAGTCATGAATGGCAGAGAAAACTCCATGCCGGAGAAAAAGAGTAGAAATAAGAAGTGTACACCGTTGAGCAAAGTATGGGAATTTGTTCGAGTCGACGGAGGCGCTGATGCAGCAGTCTGTTTCGCCGCACCAGTCTTCTCTGTCTTTGCCGGTAGGGTTTCCGGGAGAGTAAAATACAAGTAGAGTGTCTCGGTAACAATGAGCGACAGCGATACCGCGGCAGCTGTAGCGAAGGGGTTTGCCGCAACCATTTCGATAGAGCTTAGGTATGCGCCAAGAGCTGGTCCGAATGTGAACGCGATAGAGAAGCATGCGCCAATCAGAGCCATGGTCGAACCGCGGCTATTCTCGTCTGATATGTCGGCTGCAATGGCGGTCGCTAGCTGTACGTTGCCCTCGGACAATCCACCAACAATGCGCGATGCCAAGAAGGTCCTGAAGTCGACAGCCATGACCCAGAGAAGTACGGACAAGATGTTTCCGGCCATGCTGGCGAGGAGCGCCGTGCGCCTTCCATATTTGTCGGAGAGGTGTCCAATGACAGGAGACGCAATGGCCTGTAATAGGGAAAAAAGACTGCCGAGGGCGCCACCTAACAACACGATGTCATACCTCGAGTCGATTGGCCGGGAGAAAGAGGACTTGTAGGCATTCAGGCCGTCGAGAATGCGAGCAAGAACGGTAGTGCGCGAGCCAGGACCGGCTTCGCTGTTGCGGTAGAATTCGAGGAGCTTCGGGAAGAGTGGCAGAATGAAGGTGAAAGAGATCTGCGAAAAACCAGAGGCGCATCATCCAATTAGCACAGGTACAGCGTCGCCAGTAACAATGGACATGTCCAGAATAATACTTACCAGATCCAAGAGCAAGGACACGAAAATGACCTTCAATACCTTCTTCCGCAGCGTAGCGTCTACAGCGGCCATTGCGAATGCGGGCTTCGATGCGCCTCTGCTTCTGCTCGGCAAGGGCTATTCTTCGCAGCAATCTCGTGAGCGAGGGAATTCCGATGTCCCGCCAGTCTGGCTTCTGGTCTGGCACGCAAAGACTCAACAGATACAAGAGAACCTCGAGCTTGAAGCAGGCAGGTAGTTACCGATGTGACGGGGTTTTTAAGGATGAAACAAATGACAGCCCATCAGCACAAGGTATGACACAGCTGGATGGTAGCCACCGCAATTGTGGACACAAATACGTTTCAGCTGTCACGTCAGCCCATTCCACAGAATGTCTACACAAAGAACGAAGAGGAACTGCGGGAGAAACAGAAAGTAAGAAGAGTACCAAGGTAGGCCAGGTAGGTAGCTATCACCGTCCATTTGGACAGCTATCCTCACAGACGAGCCACATTTTACGAATGACGCATGACGACGCGCGATAGCCCCGCCACCGCAGCGCAAAAAAGGGCCTAGGTACTCGCTACTGTCGGTACCTATTCGGCGGGTGCTGGGGCGGTGCTAGGGGCGCTAGGGGTACCTATATAATGCCAGCAACAGAACCCTGAAGCTACCCAGACAATTCAATTGGCCTTATACTACCTAGGTATGTACATATGTAGGTAGGTATACTACCTATTCCATCGTAGGTACCGATCTAGATAAATACCTCTCTCGGTATCCGATCAAAACAGAAATCCCTGCCAAGGTCACCTGGAAAAGCCCTGGATGGGTTTGGGTCGCAATGCAGCCTACTTCGTAGGTATGTGATTGCGCGTCTGGGATGGCTCAGTGGTTCGGGGTCGCTAGCAGCCTCGCTATCGGCATCGCTTCCCACAGAACGGGATCATGACCCGAAGTTTTAACGAGACACGAAGAAACTCATCTTCATCAACTTCATCGGCTTATTGTTCCAGCCCCAATCAGTACCTATCAATCAATCAATTCTGGTACATCAGTTCAACTACACCAGTCGACGGTGCCATCTCAGGTTTATCACCCAGGACATCTAGTTGACAAGAATTTGGACAAGATCATAGTACCAGTACGTGCAAAAGATCCAGTTGACTTACTAGGAGCATAGGTAGCTCGTCTCGCTCGTGAATACAATCAACTTTGCACTCATTGGTCATTAAACCCCCCCTGTCCAGTATCCGGTAGTGTGGATAGTTCAACTGCGGGACGGGAGAGATGACATGGGGAAAGGATCCAACAACCAGCCGCAGCACGAAGTCCGAACTGCGGCCATCGTTGCTGAATGCGCGTCAACAGCCTCACCTATGCCAAAGAAAACTCGGCCATGTCGTGAGCGACCCTTACATCTAAGTGAATTACATATCATGATACATATACAGCCAGGCAACTACATTTACACCACCCAAAGTACCTAGGAAGAAAGGAGAGGTCAGTGTGTTCCTGTTCCATGTATATATATGTCTCCACACACAGAGTCACTCATAGTAGTATATCGAGGCTTGGTCAGCCAATGTGTATGCATACATGTGCCGTTTATAAGGTAAGTCCCGCTGTTATTGCTACACTGTGTCTACGGAGCAAAGTATACTACCAGTTTCTTACTGGATGTGGGATTTGTGTAGACTTCAAGACATTCAGCATGATGAAAATCTTGTTATGCCTACTGCCCACGACGATTGATAACGCTCTGCAAGACTAACAAGACTTAAGCTACATGACAACCCCCATAGCCGAGCTCTCTCGGCCTCATTCGGCGCCGACAATGTAGGGTAGAGGACGCTCGCCCGGCAAATTGTTGCCGTGATACTGCTTCACTGCGTACGAATATTCTAGCAACGGGTCAATTTCCGATAGACGTCGGAGGGGAGGTTCCTGCATGGGCGCATCGGCCATCAGCTCATAGTACTGCCTTCATTCATAGCTTAGCCACGAAATCAAGATAATGTTGAAGTATAGACCCAATGTGGCCAGGGAATACTCGATGTGGTTTGATTATAGATGCAACTATTGGTCAGCCGTCGAGGCAGGTAACCTTGAACGAGTAGGCCCCATCCTGGCGTATGTGTAAAGAGCCGAGCACAGGTCTACGTCAGACTGCTTGAATTAGCTGAGGCGAGCAAATTACGGTTTCTCACCTAATGCAAGATGCAGACCAAGAACATACTGGACCTACCGTATCAGTGATGATGATATAAACACAGCCTCTCATTGGACACGTGAAACAGAGTCAGGACAGGGAACGGGATGATTTGGTTACCGGGGAGTGGGATCCCCATTGTTTCGGTATTAGGTTTTGATGTTGCCTAGAATTAAGCACGGCTCATAATTAGTATATTTCTGTAGTATACATGGTTTTGAGACTACTGGTATGCAGCAATTTACCAGGAGTCGTTGTTTAAGCTGACCGATCTAAGAGCGGGTTTCGCCCGATGGGGCCGGATTTCGCACCCTACTCCCCACAGCCTCAACACCACGGCTGCTAGTTAGTAGGCATCTAGTCTATAGGCCACAGCAGTATTCCAAATTCAGGGTTATGATGCTGTCGTCGTTATTGAACTCCAGGGAAAATTGCGGCCGGGAATGCTGGACACAATTCCGAGTCCGTTCCTCATCAATGGCCAATAGGGGGCGGGCTATATCGGTGTGAGATGGTAGCGCGCATAGAAGGAAGTATAAGAGTTCAGATATCTGCCAGCTTTATTCTAGAATTCTCCAGAGTCGCCACTCACTCAGGATTCATCAACAACATCAATTCATTGAATATTGAGTTAGGACCGCCAAGCGTTCTCGTTACAATGAAGTTCACTGCTCTCCTGTTTCCTGTCGCTGTGCTGGGCGCTGCTTGCCCATATGGCCCCGGATCCTTCGAGCCAGAGAAAGAAACTGATAGTAGGTTAAGCAATATGTGTTTCATTTGAATCAGAGTTCTGACTCATTTCGTCGTTAGCTCGTGGTGTCTGTCCTATGCTTAACGCCCTCGCAAACCACGGCTTCTTACCTCGTAACGGCAGAAACATCAACGAGAATCAGACAGTTAATGCTCTAAACACGGCTTTGAACTTGACGCCTGACTTTGGCCAATTTCTCTTCACCGCTGCTCGTCTCTCGAACCCGAAGCCCAACTCAACGTGGTTTAACTTAGACCATCTCGACCGCCACAACTTGTTTGAGCACGATGGAAGTCTAAGGTATGTTGAACTACAGAACAACGTGTATCTGTGTGAAGCCTCGTCTAATATTATACATCAAATCTAGCCGACAAGATGCCCATTTCGGTCAGTGGAGTAGGTTTAACGAAACCGTCTGGAACTGGACCATGGACTACTGGACCGGCGACGTATTGGACGTCCAAATTATTGCTAACGGGCGTGCTCAACGCTCGATGCGCTCAAACCTGACGAACCCAGAGTTTGCGATGTCTGAGCTGGGCAACGCATTCAGCTATGGCGAAAATGCTGCCATCCTTTCTATCCTCGGTGACAAAGTTACAGAAACTTGCCCCAAGATATTCGCCGACTACCTGTTCAGTAAGGGCACCTTGGTCTTATTTCGTCTCTTGAATGAATATGAACTAATGCATTGGCGCCCGTAACAGGAAACGAGCGACTCCCTTATGCTGTCGGTTGGCAAAAATCGAAGATTCCCATCGAGATGGATGACCTCAGGAACACCATCCAGTGCGTTTCTCCTAAGAAAAAAATCCCTGGCTACTATAGAGTTATTACTTACTAGTATATCTTAACAGTTCACTTCGCAATGCAACTGCATTCCCTCCTCGACCTCCCCCAGACAACAGCATGGATGTCTTCAACTAGGAAACGAACACCCAAGCACAAAGCGTGTATATTTGGCTTCTGAGTACTAGTTAGCCAATATTCGTCTTCCGGAGTCAGCAGCATTCCTGAGTCAATCATGCTCGTAGCGAAAGCCCTTTGCTTACCAAGTTCTTGGCTGAATGATTAGCACGTCCTTCATTCCTTTCTTTCTACCTCTGTAATTTTAGCAATTTAGTAACATAGACAAATCAAACGCTCATTACCAAACTCGAATTGATTTTTGTTGAACGCAGATTTGACCTGAACATTGGTATGGAGGATTTGATGGAAGCAACTCTGTCTCTAATTATTGGTCTGGAACGATAATACAACAGAAGCAGAAAAGTATTGTATTGTGAGGCCCGGTGTTTATAAGATATCGAACAGCAGCATGAGATCTGAATACCGACGAACAACCTATCAATACCGGGCTAACTTACAACTCACGTGTTTTGATGAATCTGGATAGTTAGAGGTCAAGCCAGAGAGACGTAAAGGAGTTCAATTTCCCCTGATATAATTAATCGAGTTGCAAGAATTCTGTGGCAATTAATATGGCACATTGATTGCGCTTCTTTATATTTGCTTCCTAAATTATATTCTAATAATTGTGTGATCAGGAACGTAATTTTAATATTATATACAAAAGGTCCATAGAATATTGATGGCATTACCCCTAACCGCAAACCGCTTCAAGCTGATGACCGGATGGATATACGTGTGACTGGTTTGATTGCAATAAACAACAACACATAATTAGCCCGCATCTTTGCATTTATTCATTGAATTCTAGGAAAATCCGGGTTTCACCAAATTTAGATCTGGCTCATCAGTATTATAAAGGCGTCGATTACGTTTCGCTATGGATGTTCCGTGGTATAGTTCCCGCCTGCAGGGCGGGCGCAGCTGGGCCTTGCTAACTTGAATACTCTGTGTAGAGACGGCATGTGGTATAGAATGATAAGATCGATGTGGACGAAATTTGAGAAATGCAAGTTATCCGCAACTTATAACTATGAGAGCAATTTCCTGAGCACCTTCTGATCGCTCAACGAGAGGATCAGACCGCAGCACAAATTCCGAGTCTAGCCTGTATCTCCTTTTTTTTTTTTTTTTGAGTAACCAGAAACTCCCTACATAGCGTGTAGTACCCTCCTCGCGACGAGAGATGTGGCGACCCAAGCAGCGACTGCGAAACTGACTTCTCGCTCTCATCCTCGCTCGTCAGACCAACTATAACAAGGGCAGAAGATACTGGGCTCGGGAACTGAGAATTCGGATTACAATGAACAACTAGGGCTGCATGAGTCCTTGACCAACCAACTCCTTCTAGGCTGCTGGTGGCTTGACTCGACTCTATATACAACTGATCTGCCAGCCCAGGTCTCTGGGGTCTGTTTCAAGAAGCGAAGTCTGTATAACCTCACTTTCCAATATTGCCCAATATTGCCTGCATGTCTTGAAAGATCATGAACAGCCTGCAATAGCCCTTCGTACGGCTGAAGTGCAAGGCGAACTGCATATTTAGCTGGTACGGAGGTTGCACGTGGAACACCAACGCACAAGATCCTGGGTCCAACGTATATAATCTCTTTTGGATGAATTTCATGGGCTGTATGGAGTCATATACGAGATGCTCACATGAAATTTGATGAGCAAATTACATGTGCGATTTTCGGCCGAGGTAAGCGAATTCTTCGTTTGCAGCCGGTATGTAGCCGCAATTATCCGTATACCTCCGGATTTTGCGCTAAACAAGCCCGAGACGATTCTCTCCATGCTATTTCCATATCTTATGGCTGAAAGCACACGAGGATTGAGAATTTTTTGATTGTCGCTGTGTAGCTAAAGGCACTTTACCCAGGCACATACGCACCAAGCAAGACATCAAGGGGTTCTGCCCATCACGATCGGCTATATCTGGTTCCGAATACCATCGCATGAAGTTACTTCAATCTTGGGCGTGAGGACTTGGGGTACCAAATGCTTCAAGCTCAAGTAACTTTCGTTTCCTATAGCAACTACGTTGCTAATCTTGGTCAATGGCTAAGGAGTACTAAATTCTCATATTTGAGTAGGGACTCGCCCTAGACAACACGAAGTCAGAGACGGTCAACTACAGCTACTGCTCCGAAGCACTGTCCTTGACGCATACCACAAGCTATAGAAGCTAGCATACTACGAGCATGTCCGACATAGGAGTTGATGGCTCGATTTGATGAGTGAAGGACGATCATGAAAGAGTGGCCCCGTCAAGCTTCTCTCTCAGAGCTCAGGCAATCAAGAGCCTGTGCAATGGCCTCACGGAGGGAGAATAACGAGATTGCGTGCGACCAGAGACATTGAGGAAAATCCTTGTCATTATGGCGTGCTTGAGCTAGCAACGAGAATCAGCCTTTGGCAGTTGGATGTAAGCGACCTAGCGGCAGATAAGGCTTATATTCTCTTCTTCAACGATTTGTGCTATTCCATCGCGGAGTGACTGATACATAGTTCTCGGTAGGGCAATCAAAAATCACGGGCCGGAATACTACGTACAGTCTATAGATTAATCAACCTCGACAACTAATCGCGAACATGGTCGCATTCATCAGCAGGTCGCAGGCAGCTATGCAGCCAGCCGGGCCACAAATTCGAAGTATCATTATGGACCAAACGGCTGAGCCTTTCTCTTAGAGCTAGGATGAACATGTTTACAATATTATAGCGCGGCGTACAGTACTGTAATTAGTTGAATCATCTCAATTTCATGAGAACTTTCTTCAGCCGCTAAAGCTGGAAGAGGCTGGCGAGAGGGTGTCTCCCGTAGCACCATCAATTGAAGAGCCGGTTGAGATCGATTCGAAATTGCGCTTTTAGGAGAATTCACATAGCCAAAGACATTTCGATGCTAATCTAGAGAGACTTAGTGTAGATATACTGGTAGGTAGGCAGGCTTACTTAATCCAATGCACACAGACCAGGCTAGGTACGACCTTTAGTACTGGTAGCAGAAGCTGTGGGACTGAAGAAAAAAGTACACTACGGAGTAGATAGTATGTTGTTTCTGCGTTGGGAAATTTTTGATGCGATCCTCATCTCATGTCTGCTCTATTTAGAGAAAGTTAGGACTCTCCTATCAGTATCTACACTAAAAGACTAAGCTTATCACACCGTAGAAGCGCGAATGCCATACGCATAACAGATACCTGCATAGTCATATTACGTACTATCTCTACATGAACAGTAACAGGAAGGTCACGAAAGTCTTGGGTCTCACTCTCACTCGGCTGCGGCAGATGCTTTAAACTCGATGAAGGAAATGATAGTCCTGGCGGAGACGCGCCGTCCATGGGCAGACATGGGGTATTCCAAAACGCGCCATGTTCGTCAAAAGCCTGATCCATGATCCCCACCCTCTTTCGTCCAAACTTCGCTGGGTTAGACTGGTCAGGCTAGAGGCTGAGCGTCGCTGGAGGTGATTGGTCCCATGCCGCTGGAGCTGAAAATGCAGGGGTCCTCTGCCGTTTGAAAGGGGTTATGGCGTTCTGGGGACAGCGTAGTTTCATCCGTCTTTAAAATAAGATTTGCATGGCGAGATGGGTCTGTCTGTTCAGTGTTGACACAAGTATCGTAGTGTACTGAAGATCATTACAGAATAAGTCCTACCAATGTGGTATGACTATGTCACCTTTCGTATTTCGAAACCGTTTTCTGTTTCTTTCCTACTTTCTCTTATGATGCCTTTTCATTCAAGCGACTACCTTCAATACTGAGGTAGTCTTGGGCTCGAAGAGCATCTGCGAACGACACCGAGGAGCGGTCGACTATCAAGAGGGGGATACCGAATCTTGAAGCCGGACATCAATCTTGCTATGAGCCCCATGTTCCGTCTGTTAGTGCGTATTGCCGAGAGCGGGCGGGAGAGTCGGGACATCAATTACCACCACAACGAGTACAGAGATAGTGATGGTGATAGTAATGGGGACGACGGACTTCCATGGTACGCCGTGTTGCTCATCGTCTACTTTTCAATACTATTCCTGGTGGTCTGGTCATCGTTAGTCTACTTCTATACGCGCGGTACGTCGTTTCGCCCCGTTCATCTGCTAGCAAAGAAGCACATAGCGACAAAATAATCTCGCCCTCAACACTCATCTGGCAATTAGAAAAGCTTACTAACGCTGGCCTCCTATTATAGATAGGGAACGAAGAAACGGCCAACCCGTCCGCGTGGGTCACATTGTCTTGAAAGCCTTGACCGTAGCATCGGGTGTAGGCGTTTGGATCTGGGTTTTCAAGAAGCGAGGATGGTACGGCTCGGATCGGGAGCAAGAGGAGACCACAGGAGTCGGCCCTTACAAGCAGATCAAGACTCGAAAAACTCCAGCTCCCATTGGAGTTTCCACACCTTTCGGCAGCCCTTCCGGCAGCAGCACACTACCCGCGAGCCCTAATGCGCCCTCTGTCTGGCCTCCCAGCCCGAATACACCTACTACCTGGTACGGCACTCAGACGAGTCAGACCACGACGTACGCGTCGTACGAACAATCAAGCGACATGTACAAGTCCCCTGGTCATAATCCGACTCCCAATGCCTTTGCGCAGCACGAGTCTATTCCGATGATCACTCTCACTCCGAGTCCAAGCACCAGCCCTGCTCCCCAGTCGAGCCCTACCCCAAATCCGAGCTACGCTCCTCCACCGCCATACGTGACAACTCCGCCACCGGCGGCGCTATACGGCCAAAAATTCCCATCTTAACATAGCCGCCCTCCATATTGAGTATTTGTATAACGATAGGATGAAGGGAAATGAAACTTGGTGCATGGGACTGGCAACAGAATACGCATAATTGGTACGGCGCTCGGGTAGGTTTTTTTTTTGCATGAATGGAGAGGTCTTCTCTTTGTATCTCTATTAGGAGTTGGGCTAGGCATGGTGGCATTTTCCTAATCTCTCATTTTCCTTTGTAAGAGAGTAGGGCACGAAGATTTCTGTCATCATTGCAAATATTCCCTGCTACTATCATTATGATACCCGGTTTCATATATTTATCCAATTCGATGACGACTTCCATTGTCTCACTACCTCGGAAGCCTAGGTCATTCATTTAAGACGATTCCTTAGGAAATGTGATCAAGACTTGAAATTGGTGATCCGATCACGTTACTCCTACCCCTGACGATATCGAAAAACGTCAGTATACAAAGAGCTGAAACCAGAAGTTGCGTATGCGCACTGATATACCATATCATTCCTTTTCCTTGATTTCATCATTCTGGTCATAAGCATGAGGGGTATAATCCTGAAACCAATACCCATTTATATGCTGTTTAAACATACCATAACGTTTTCCATGCCGTTTTATCAATTCTTCCGTTTTTCATCACCCTTCTCGGAGCTTGGCACTCTCGACGCAATCATGCCATCTCAGAAATTTCATATAGCAGCATTCAATGGCAGCAATGACCACCATACCACTACCAAGACCAATCCAAACGCCATTCAGTTCTAGACCAGACGGACCCAGCTCCAACCAGATAGCAACCGGGACCGCAGCAGAGTAATTGACAGCAATAACTACCCACGCAGCGAAAGACTGACGCCCGAGGCCACGAATGGTCCCGTTCGTGAAACAGATGAAGGCATCTATCACTTGGAACACACTGACCGCTAACATTGTCTTGGTAGCCATCGTGCAAACGGTGGGATCCTCTGAGAAGAATCGCGGCAGGTGGTTCCGCAGGGCAAAGATGATAAGGCCATCAACAGAACCGATCAAAGCAAAAATGCACCCGTATAGCGCAGCTGCTCGTCGCGCTGTAGACACTAGTCCTGCACCAATGAGGTGGCCAATCCGTGTGCTTATCGCAACGCTCATGGAGAATGGGATGTGCCACGAGACGACAGATATTGTCGTGAGCACTGTCTGAGCCGCAAGATGCTTTGTGCTCAAGTACGACGTACTAAAGGCCACAATCTCAAAGGCGGCCCATTCCGCCAAATTCACGGCCGAGCCTGCAACAGAAAGCTTGACCATTGGTCCCCATTTGGAGATTGATAACGCAGCACGAGAAAAACCTCCCCAGCACTTGTGTGACCATCGACCAGCAGGACTTATGATGTATAACAACAGCAACGTCGGGCGAAGGTTGTTTGTGAGCGCAGAGCCTAGAGCGGCACCCTTAAGACCCATGCCTAACTTGAAAGCAAACAGCCAGCTAAGGAATGCGTTGACCGGCGTACACACGACAAGAATACACACTGCGAGATTTGGAGTCAGTGCTTGTTGTCCTAAGTGAGATCTACAAATCGTCCGAGAGCAATGGTGAACCTATTTTGCCGTTCACGACGACCAGAAACGGCAAGGAGAAGAAAGGAAAGAAAACGAAAGGAGACATTATCACAATTTACTTACTGGCAGCTTTGAAGTTCCCCTGTGCTTGTAGAAAGCGCTTCAACGCCTCAAATGACGCGTAACCCGGCATACCGATGATACTTACGCGCAGGAAAGACCCTGCCATAACTGCCAGGTGTTGTTGCTTAATGAACAGCGCTAATATCCACGGCGAGGCTGTCCAGACGGCAGCGATGCCCACAGCGGTGAACGCCATTAGAATCAGCATACGCTGAACATGTAAACCGACACCGGTCAGGTTCCCAGACCCATAAGCCTGGGCGCACAGGGTGTCTAGGGCCGTTGCCATGCCCTCAAAGACGGCAAATCCAAAGATATTCATCGTAGTCATCCCAACGCTTGCGGCGGCGAGGTCATCGGCACTTAGATGGCCGGCAAGGAATGTGATGATAACACACCATCCATACTGCAGAAGATATGTCGCGATGAGCGGCAACGAGTACCGCATTAGAAGCCATAGTTCCGACCACCAGTCATCTTTGGGCGATGAGACTAGAGCCTGCGATGATGAATCGCCGGCCAGAAGCGGTGTGGACTCGGACGGTGGGAGCTGGCGTTCGGCCACCTGCTCATCATTGCGCAACACCTCACCCGATGCCATGGGATATTATGTCTCGTTTTTATTTATTTATGGATGTTCGATATCAATAACAATAAAATGACCCAAATAAGATTGCCAGATTAAAAACACAAAAGAGTATTCCTCATAAATGCTGACATAGATGTCACACAGAAGACGGGACGCTTGGAGCTCTACCCTCCGGTGAACGGTCCGGGAATGAGAAAATCGAGGCCCCCACCACACTAACGACATCACAATTGCCACAAGCCATTTTTAGTAGCGCCGCAGTAGTTCCAACCTTACCAGGGCCGGGTAGATCCAAAAGCAACTACGCTGTTGCATAAGGTTAGACTAGCTCTCGGAAAATCCTCTAATGGGATATACCATTGTGTAAGTCGGTATTGAACAAGTTAAAGTGGTGGTCTTGGTTGAATGCGTCCTCGAAGTGAAATAGCAAGGCTCACTACAAAGACAGGAAGAAAGAGGGAAGCACGAATCAACTCATCATACATTTGAGAGATCTATCTATGCATGGCGTGTGTAGGTAGCCGATCCTGTGCAACATGTCTCCCCCCGAAGTCGGTCATGAAGCCTGCAAGTTTCAGCTCTTGCTATATAGTTGGCCTTGGTATGGCGATGACTGCTCACAGACTTTCTAGAAGCAGGAATCGGCGACCAAACTCTTGATGTCTTGATAGACTGCATGTTGCTTCGCATAAGTTTTGACGCACGCAAGATTCACTTGCGTGAAGGCTGTAGCGCATGAGCATCAATGGTGTTGAAGATTAGACTCAAGAGAGTATAGCTTATAGCACGGAATCATGCCTCCATATAACACACACGTAGATATGCTCAAGCCAACCGACCTCAAAATTCATTGAGACCTCTCCTATGTGAGAAGTTGGATGTCTAAGGCTGAAGCCAGTACTAGCTGAAAACCGTGACACTAAGACATAGAAAGCTTACCCATACACAAGACTGAGACATAGTTGATTGATCGCGTAGTCGAATGATATAATAATACTACGTCGTTAAGGGACTAACTTATCATCGTGGCTCGAATTCATACCGATGGGCAGAATTCGTAATTCTACAGAACATAGAATGATTACGATGACTTTATCCGTTTCAGGCACTCTAACACTTAGCTCTCGGCTCAAGTATCCTTAAAGCAAACTTCGCAGCCAGGATCCCTCAGTAGCATGAAGAGTATGAGCAATACTTGAACCGGGTAGTCCACATGTCGTCACGGCCAAGTCGCGATCCTAGCTACGCTCAATCGACGGCAGAACCTCTTCCCAATCATGGCCCTGTAGCGCCCTTCTGACCTCTGCGCCCCTCGTTTTGTGGTACATGTCTTGGCTCAGGAGGAGCCGGTCACGAAGCTCTCGGGCTACCCCAAGGGTATTAGGCAAGAGGGCTTTAGCTTTCGCCAGCTCCTGCAGACGCCACATATACCTACTCCAGTGCTCATACGGCTCCATGAACTCGTCGATAGCTTTCCCTGTTTTTGGCTCGTCGACTCCGAGTCCTCTTTGGACGCGATGCAGGGCCGCTAGCAGCCCTTCGTGGACGAATCTATTGCTTGTGGCTGTCTGCGAACTGGTTCTACGATGTGGCATGTCGATATCAGGCAAGAAGAGCGTGTGTTGGCTGAGGCACAGGAGTCAGAGTCTGATGGTCCAGAGTTATGGCAGTGGTGGTATAACGCTCTCCGTGTAAACGACAAGTGATATCAATGTATGCCAGAGGTGTTCTTGGAAGTTTAGGGTCTTTGTCTTTATGGTCATCATTGATGTTGGTAGTGGCCGAACTAACCATTTTGTTATTACTATAAATAGGGAAATAGGGAGTCAAAACTTCGAGGGTTGGGACTTTTTATCCTCCCTATATACTTCTTTGATTGCGTTTGGCCCATGAAGGGCAGAGTGCCTCCTCCTTACGCCTTACATCCACTTATATATAAGTGAAGGACTGAAAATTGATTAAAACAAAACACCGTGTAACAAGCATACGAATCCTTCTACTGGGCGGCTGAGCGCCAACGCATAGAGGTACGTTGTTTGTCCTTATCTCAGGGGGTTTCACCTAGGTCCTCGAAAGGTGACACTCCCTTACTGATGCCAACGGCTTATGTCATAAATTCCAGCTCGAATTGTAGTCTACAGGACGAGGACGCGTCTGCGAATGCCTTCGCATGAGTGCCACGATCACCATACTTGAATACTAGACATAAGGTCAAGCGCTTAGTAAAATGCATAATTCTCACTGCAATTTTTTTCAGTTGGATTTAATCTTAAGCAGCCTCTCCTTATAATCTATACCATATGACACGGCTCGATTGAAGCGCTCAAGCTGTGGCAGACACCGTCATTGGCTTGACATTCAATATCCGGCATAGGCGATGCTCACTGACACACACTTTAAGATGGAATAATATAAAAAACTTATTGTACTTGGTTTACATAGCAATTGTTGACTGAAGTCCGAATGGTCAATGCACTATCTCATCACATTTCTCATAGTTGTAGTTTTTGGGAAGCCTCGCGCCCAAATTCTAGCATGCTACAAGCGTTAGGTGCTGTCAGGGGTACTCAAGTGCTTATTTCAGTAGTCACAGTAGTGACAAGTCAGCCGATTCGTAGTCAAAAACGATGCTGTATTCAATTCATGCGTGTAATTTGGACCTTGAAACTGTTATCCATGAGTTCGGCTCATAATAAGTAACATAGACAGGGTGGACATGTTAGCATTATGAGATAAGCACAACCTGCTAAGTTAGCGCTGAGTTGAGTGGCATGCCAGGCTCCGAGATTCTCAAACACAACATCAATTCAGCAGCAGCAGCGCGCGCGCTGTAATGCCTGCCCATGCCAAGTTCCTGCGGTTACACTGACGATGGCAGGGATCTTGCATCTGCCCATTATGGCCGTTTTGATGGCTGGGCCCCAAAGACTGAACTGACCACACACTGATGTCATGCCGACTCAACTCATCATCCCCGAGCGGATACACGCAATACATCTCTTCTCGCTGTTGTGATACCAGGTTCGAGTCTTTTCTTCACGGACTGTATTCAAAATGAAGCTCGCTGTCTTTTCCGCCAAGCCTTATGATAAAGTCTACCTTGCTCAGGCCCAAGCCGCCGCCGGGCTCGACGTAGAGGCTGTGTACCACGATTTTCCGCTAAATCCTGAGACTGCCTCCCTCGCGTCCGGGGCTATAGCTGTTTGCGTCTTTGTGAACGACACGTTGAACAAGGAGGTTCTAGCATCACTGCACTCGCTTGGCGTGCGCGCCATCTTATTGCGCTGCGCCGGGTACAACAACGTGGACTTGAAGACGGCCTCTGACCTGGGCATGTTCGTCGCCAACGTGCCCGCGTACAGCCCCGAAGCAGTGGCCGAGTTCGCCGTCGCGCTCGTGCAGACCTTGAACCGCAACACCCATCGCGCCTACAACCGCGTGCGCGAGGCCAATTTCGCCCTTGATGGCCTTCTCGGTCGCACGCTACATGGAAAGACCGTAGGCATCATTGGGACGGGCAAGATTGGGGTCGCATTCGCACGCATTATGCAGGGATTCGGATGCGAGCTGCTCGCATACGATCCCTTCCAAAACCCAGAATTCGAAAAGTACGGCAAGTATACAACGCTGTCGGATCTCCTCTCGCGCGCCGACGTGATCAGTCTGCACTGTCCTCTTCTGCCATCCACACGCCACATCATCAACGAGACGACGCTAGGCGAGACGAAGAAGGGTGCAATGCTAGTGAATACTTCTCGTGGCGGGCTGATCGACACAAAGGCCGTCATCGCAGCGCTGAAGAAGGGACAACTCGGCGGGTTGGCGCTCGATGTGTATGAGCACGAGAGCAAGCTGTTCTACAACGACCATTCCGGCAAGATCATCGAGGACGACGACCTGATGCGGCTCACGACATTCCATAACGTTCTCATCTGCGGCCATCAGGCATTCTTCACGGAAGAGGCTCTCGGCGAGATTGCTGGCGCGACGTTCCGGAATCTAGCGGATTTCGTGCATGCGCGCGAATGCAAGAATGCGCTGGTTGAGTCGAGCCAGGAAAAGGGCGCGCCGCTCACAATGCGTGCTAGGAGCGACACCATTCCCATTCGGATTTAGACAGACTCCTGGTCTGCAGGCGTTACTAGGAAGTGGTATAAGATGCGGGATATCCATATCTCGTTCTATGGGTAGTTTTGGCTGATGGGCGACCATGCATATGATCATGATGACTTATGAATAGATGATACTTGCCCGTTGAAATATGACTACCCACTTCATAATTCATTTTCATTATGCATTACAGCTGTGATCTTATCATCTAAAGACAGTAGGTATGCGCACAATGGGCAACGCGGATTATCAAATCGCAGCTTCTTGCCTCCAACCTCCGACTCAAGCCTGTACCAGAGACCCCCGTTCACATCACTACTAACATTCTACGAAACCGTGTATCTCTCCTTCTGCACCGTAACACCACCCTTATCAACTCTAATCTGATCCGACGTGAACCTAACCTCGACGCCAAACTCCCTCACATCGGGCGCAAATGTCGCCGTCGTCTGATTCGTCCACTGGTCCAGGACAGTCTTCCCATCAGCGCCGTACCAAAGTATCGTATATGCCTCCTGGTGCGGAATCGGGATCTCTCTAAACTGTGCCAACGGCAGCAAGGTAAGGCTAGCCTGCGTCGAGCCGTCGGGAATCGTGGTCTGGGTGATGTTATCGATGAGTGAGAGGGGCTTGAGCAGCGCGAGCCACATCCCTTCGAGGCAGACGTAGCAATAGTTTGGCGAGTAGATGCTGCGCATGGTGCAGTAGTCGTTGGTGGGGCGGTAAGAGGTTACATTTTTATCAGAGAATCTAAAGTAGAAAGAGAGAAGTAGTTGTGAGGTTGTTGGCCGGTTTACGATGACGACTTGATTTGGGGTGGTACTTACGTGGGATATAAACCGTGATATGTCAGGTTGAAATTGAATCTAATGAGTAAGATGCGTTAGACATAAGCAGTCCTAACTTCGAAGAAGGGGGGGGGGGGGGAAAGCAGGCAATGAGGTCGATTACTCACTCTTCTTCCGCGACACCATACTCGAGTATTTCGAGGTTACATAGCTGTGCGGTCCCTTGTATTTCTTCATTCAACAACGTGAAGGATAGCTCGTGAGCACCGGGGCTGAGTGATGAGTTTATCTTCATGTTGTAGATGTACCGGTCTACTCCTACTTCCGGGTTGATCTCCCAACCTACATCCTCCCCATCCACTTCGACACGCAAGTCGCTGCTCGCTGTCATGCCGCTATATTGCCTAGTCAGCGAACTATGGTTGCTCTAACGCTATCAATGAGTTCTCGCACGAGTAAAAGAAGCACCAGCACCTCATCTCATGCTCTCAGGCGCATTGGATGGAATAATGGTGATCGAGAATACTCACCTCACCGAAAATTGGAGTAGGTAGGTATCGTATGTACCGGCAGACGTGAAGGTCGCGCTCCACTTGTCCGTCGTGTTCAACAGGGTCCATGGATACGCTTGTATCGGCATATTCGTGCGTTCGATCTTGGGCTGAATGCTCGGGTCCGTGTACCACTGCGTCCACGGCACGGACCTAGTATTCTTGGCCGTGTTGACGCCAAAGTAGGTGTATCCTCCCTCATATTCCTCACCGACGTCGATAATGGAATGGCCTAGCTCGTGGCGGAGGACAGCTGGCCCGTTGACGGGAGAGGCGGTTACAACGCTGCCGACTATTTAGTGGTCATAGCCCGAAGTGATTAAAACAAAGGGCAAGAGGAGAGAGTGCAATCGAGTAGATGGAGTCATATGAGACTTACGTGAATTCGCCACCCAATCCGCCATATAGCGGATTATTTCCTAGGAGAATTGGGTAGTCGCATGCGTCCGTCGAGTCGCAAGCCGCGTGAGCCACGTCCGGCTTATCATAATACACGCCTCGCAGCTCAGTGCCATCGCGGTAGAGCCCATAGACGGTACTATTAAGTTTTTAACACACGCAGTCAGAAAATCTAGCACACGATGGTAGTTTTGAATGAAAGTGTTGATATCACTCACTCCAACGGTTGTCCACCGACACCAACGCCACTCTTTTTATGATAAGTTAGACCTCATCTAACGTATATATCGCAATCATTGCCTACATACCTCGGCACTTGGGGAGAACCCAGCCCAGAAGTTCATCAAAGGAACTACATCCGCGAACGTCTGCCCATTCGTAACGTTCATGGCAAGGGCCATAGCGTCAGCGAAGAACTTGTCTTTCTCATCCTCAGTATCTGCACATTAGATTAACACATGCATTCATTTCATATCTGAGCCATCATCACTGTGTATTCTTGCACTTACATCCGTCGCCGAAGAAGATGAGGTCGATTCGGTTCTCAGAGGGGCCATTGATAATGAGGGGCTGAATATCGAGAGGGGGCGGATCGACCTGTTGTCTCACCCGGACCTCGCCGGCCTTTGGCGCTGCAAAACGGCCTTCCCATTGATGTTCGCAGAACTGCGCCGACGCGAGGCGCGTAGCCGCAGCTAGTAGACAAAAGCTCTTCATGGCGGCGGCGATTAATGGTTTTACCGAGAGAAATAGGTAGCAATCTCGCTGGCCGGTCTTTGATTGATCATAAACCATCCATATCACGATAAGTCCTCGTTTTCGGCACCTTACATGAACGACGGTTATGGCTCTTGGCTTACCCCAAGACTGGTTGTATACCTTCCGGAAGAGGCAATCACTGATATGGGCGGCTAGCTAAAAGATGGGATCACAATACGACTCTGCCTATGTACTTACTTATCGACTATCCGTAAACTGACCGCCTATCTAGTCTAGGCGAGAAATATTATTTTCGTTTGTTATAGCCCAGGGAACGGAAAAGCACATTTTTACTATTCTCGTAGGCACGTTTTCTATTTTATTAATTTACATCCCAATCCACAGAGTCAGCCATCGTGCTCAATTCGACACCAATGTCTCACACCAAGATAGTGTAGTCAAGCTTGCTGTCATGGGAGCGTCAAGGTAATGTTTCGGGAGACTTCTGAATTACGCAGCATTTCTCTATCTTCGTCCCATTTGTCCTAGTTGGCAAATCACAAGCGCCTCATGTACTCAAGTCAAACATCGTATGCGAAGCGCTCTCTCAGATTATTACATAGTAGTCATTATCGTATCCTTTTTAAATCGCAGATGCTAAACGCTAATTCCAATCCAACGTATCGCCCAACAATTATCTCCCTCTCATCTTCACACTATAGGCCACATTGGTTGACAGCAACCTGCGTAGCAGTGGCGTCGACCCGGCCCAGTGCTACAGCCTGGCCGTTGGTGAGGGTGTTCATAGCGCCCAGTGCAATGTTGAAGCCTGCGCCGGCGTGGTCGATAGCAAGCACGTTGACGCTGCGGCCCTTGTATGTGAGCTTCCAGCAAGTGCCGCATTGGGCCGAGTTCCAGCCCGCAACGGCGGCAGCGGCACCGATGTTGGGGAACCTCGGGATCTGGCCTTGTGTGTTCCAGCCGTAGCGCGTTATCAAGCCGTTAGGGCCGTCAGAGCAAGAGACGGCTGTCATGCTTCGGCTTGCGATATCATAGCCTTGGTCGTAGGCCACTAAAATATCATTAGAATATGTGAAGCAGTGTGGAAAAGTAAATATGTTGAAAATAGGGTGCGCGTAGATGTTATAGGTAAACAACTGTGCAACATTTGGGAGAAAGGGAAGGGGGTGTGGGGAAAGGGATCGTTATGTGAATAAGGAAGACTCGATAGTGTAATTCTAAAGAGGAGCTGTCTTATGAAAAGAAAATTGGAGAAAAGGAAGAAAAGAGAATATAACGCTTACCTGTCACAGCCGAGGCCATGGCAGTAAGAGAGAGGAAGCTCAATAGGTTGCTGATTTGCATCTTTGCCGGGTTTAATTTGACGTCGGGTGACGACAGCGATGGTGATGATATAGGAGTTGAACGTGAGACTATGAACCTGGCAGAGGGTCGTACCGAAAAGAGGAATTAGTTGAATTATCGTTCTTTAGAAGACCGGTTATGAAAGTCTGGTGTTCGATATTCAGAATCGACGAGAGGGCAATATCAGCGCTCATCGCCGCTCTTATATACTCATACTCACATACACCACGCTACACCACGCCATCTTCCCGAGGCTCATCGGCGCAGCGTCAGCCAAGACCCAGTCAGAGTGGCAGGCAATGTACAAAGAGGGTATAGAGCACGGATCTTTGTTCTCGCTCCGCTTCCCGTATATTCAACACGGGACTGTCTTGTTCTGTCTTAGACCAGACCGCCCCGTTTCCTCGTATTTACACCGCAGCGCAGCCTAGGTATTGAGGCCATAGTCAGGGATATGTAGAAAGTTGTGACCTAACCTTGGTATGTATCCTTGCGAATCGCGATTAGAGGAGCCCAACGAATGGCCAGGCCCATATACCGACCATCATACTACATCACAGTACCCCATCTAAGCAGCTAGTCTACTTAACCTGTGGAGCCAGGCTATGATCCCCAGCTTCTCACTTGTACGTTGGGTGTACAAGGAAGAAGAAATACGAATGAATGTAGGGCTGCACAACGCATATTGGCGTGCGTGGATGTCTCGCACATACAGTATGTAGTGCTTACCTAAAACCTATGGCACAAGCTCTATTTTCTCTCTCATCCCAACTGTTTAGCGCCTTGATTTCGGGTAGCAAGATAAAAGCAGCCTGTACCTATGATATGTAAGAATGTCTCGCTAAGCGCTAAGCACATAGTAAACACATCATAGCAGGTTGTAAGACAACACTCAGATTCTAGACCCTCCCTCTTCTCCAGGGACAACCAAAAAAAACCCCCAACCTCTTCCCCAACTGCCATGATCCACAGGCGTGTAAATAGAGAGCCAAGTCCGGAGCGGACCCGGAGCAAAGGCATCACGTAGCACTAGAAACCTCGTGTTGGTCTGTGGGGTTTGGGTCTTGCCTGTTGCTGATCTTTGGTGGAGGGCTTCGTATCTGCCGTCATGCCCCATGACCCTGAACAAGAGCCCAAGCGCTCAGCTTCTCTGATTGACTAGTGCATCCATCATGGGTTCAGAAGTCCCACTACTACGGAATAATGCCGAATGTTGTATGGCAGCTTGGTCGACTTTAATGTATATGTAACACACCGAAATAGATGGTCTGACTACACACGTCAACCCTCTTATTCACAACAAGACTCTTCTTCTCACTAAATGAGAAGGTTTTTACAGACACAGAAAAAGTGTGACTGAAATGCGTTAATTATTACTATGTGTATTCTTCTCTTGATCTCCCACTGGTTTTTCCTCTCCTCTTGACAAATCCTCCTTTTGCTAATATGTGCACGATGAATGGTCTCAGCTTTCGTTATAGAAGCATGCCCTCCCCAATACCCAGGCTATGCAAAGAACAAAGGAAATAAATTGCTCAATCTCCCGAATCAATCTTGAGATTTTGCTTTGGTGATCTGTCAAGGATCAAATATGTAGGCATCATTAAGTTCCCGTGTGACAAGCACGGAAACATATAGGGTTATGGGTATCAATCTAGCGTGATGTAAGGAAATAGCAAACAATATCAAAGCAGATTCAACAGATGGCCGTCCCGAACATTGCATCTTCTCGCTTGGCAATCCTGATTTAATCGTCAAAGAAAGATGCATCGTCGAATTCTTCCATTTGAGCATCGTCATCATACGAATGAGACTGCATCATAGGCGGCGTACGAGGCTCTTGATGATCCTGTCGAGGTGGTGTGCTTGCAAGTGGAGTTTTATCAACTGCCCGAGGTGTTATTGATGGCCCTCGAGCCCTATTAGCAAACTGCTCAGCAGTATATCGGCGACCGGTGTTCCCAAATGCCGTTGGTTGCGGCGGGTTTGGTTGTGCTTGGGGGGTGTTGCGAATTCCCGAAGCTGGTGGAGTCATTAAGCCAGAGAGGAGCCCATTTTGTGAGCTTACTGAATTGGATTTGGAAGGAGTCGCGTTTCTACCAGTTGCGGGAGAAGACCTAGCACCAGATAGATTGAGTGAGGATTGATTTGATTTGCGCCAGCTACCCCAAGCAGCAGCGAGAGGTCCTACCGCTTGGGCAACCCGGGGAGTTGCGGCTTTCGATATTGTTGCGGCGATGTTTGGCAGATTCAAAGCGGAGCCGCCGTTCATGGCTCGCTCACGCTCCTGCTCTTCCATCTGGAGATTTGCCTTCAGACGGATAGAAGCGTCCTTGACTGCTTCTCTGTCATATTTGTCTGCTGATAGCGCTGCAATGATGTCTTGCAGATCGCCGTGTCTGACGGCGAGAAGCTCGCGCAACCATGTAATTTCATCATCCCGCTTAGAAATTTTAGTGGCAGCATCAGGATCCAGGTCAGCAACTGTCTGCTCAAGCTCTTCAATTCGCTGTTCACGGGCTTGTAATTGCTCTTGTAGAACCATGATTGACTCGCGAAGGGCCTGCGGCGAAATCTTTTCGGGAAGCTGCATCGCCTGCGCTAATTGCTTGGTCTGGCCAGCGGGACCAGGGTGACTCGATAGTTCAGGCATTACAATACCCTTGGAAGCCTGGGCGGCGGCTTGAGCTGCTGCTTTGGCTGCCTCCTGTGCTATTTGCACCTTGTCCTCCAGGTGTGCAACGCGGTCTTGCAGGTGCTCCGTCTTCGATGTAGAGAGGCTTAGTCGTTCCAAGAGATTCTGCTCACTGCGCTGGGCATCCTCAGCAGCATTGCTAATCTGGCGCTCATATCGAGCTTGCAGATCTTCAAGCTCGTTCTGGTGCCTGCGAGACAGCTCTTCAAGCTCAGTAGCTTTGCCAGCCTTGACAGCTTGAAGCTCGGTTTCTTTACTATATTGCGCTTCTTCCAGCATCATTTCGTGATGTGCGCTCGCTGTGTCGGCGTCCATTCTCACCTGGTCTAATTCAGACCTCAACCGGGCGATTTCCTCTTCATAATCGGCCTTGGCTATTTGCACTTGGTCACGAGCAGCTCCCAGTTCGGCTGAAATGGATTCACGAGCTTGCTGAACTTCGATAGCTGCCGTATGCTTAGCCTCAATAACTTCCTGTTGAGCCCGGCCAACTTCGACGGCTGCTGACTCCTTGGCTTCATTGATCTCAAGTTGAGCACATTGCTTCTCGGTTGTTGCAGCCTCCTGAGCTTCTTGGGCTTCCCGCTGAGCGGCAAGTACTTGCAGGTGAAGGCTGTGATTATCATTGCGGAGTTCGACGAGCAAACCTTCGAGGCGCTTGCACTCGCTTACTGCTCTCATACCAGCGCGTTCTCCACTTTCTAGTCTCTCAACTTCTACTTCGAGTCGTTCACGAGTTCGAGCTTCTGCCTGGAGTCGAGCATCAAGAACCTCTTGACGAGCGATGAGAGCTTCTTCTTTCTTAGACCGTCGTGAATTCTCTTCGGTGATTTCCTGAGCTGCATGTGCCATATCATCTTGCAGGGAAACAAATTTGGCTCTCCAGTTGTCCCTGATCCGTTCATTCTCCTCGAGTTGAACACTAAGAGTATCAATCAGCTTGTGGAAATGCTTGTTCTCGTTGACAGCCTGAACAAAGTCATCAGCTTGTCGAGCCGCTGAATCCCTTGCCTGTTCGGCTTCAGAGCGCCAATGGCGGGCTTCTTCTCTTGATTCTCGCAGCTCGTTGTCCGCAATATTCAAACGGTTCTTCAGTTCCGCTTGAGTCTGTTCGGCATTTGACTGGGCTGCTTCAAGTAGAGTAAGACGCATAGATATCTTTCCAGAGGCTTGCTCGATGCCCTTGATCTTCTGATCACGTTCATCAACTACAGTCCTCAATCTATCCTCCTCTTCGGAAGCGATCCGAAGCAGTCGTTGAACTTCCGAAAGTCTGTCTTCCGCTGCACGACGTGAAGAAAGTTCCACTTCTGTTTTGCTTTCCTGAGTCTTCAGCCTGTCTTCCAAATCATGTATCCTCTGATCAAATATGCTGCGGTTCATAATCTCAACTTCAACCTTCGTTTCAGCCTGCTCAAGTTGTCGGCGGAGTTCAGCTGTGCGGTCTTCCGCAGCACGCCGACTAGCTGCCTCAGCTTCAACTTTCGTTTCGCCAACGCGGAGCCTTTCTTCCAATTCTTGAGACCGTAAGCGTTCCGCATCAATTCTTGATTCTTCGGTGTGCAACCGTGCCTCAAGAACCTCTATCTTTAATTGCATCTCAACAAGCTTCTGGTCCACTTTCTCGTCATCATCAGGGATCGGTGTTGAGATTGGAGGTACGTGATTCTTTACTGCATCTTCAACGATACTTCGAATATCATCGCTTTGAATATTGGGGATACTATTGGTAATCTGAAGCTTCATGTCTTCGAGTGCCTTGATGATAGCAGAGTCGTCTTTCGTTTGGTGGTCCTCGGCTGTTGCGAACTGGGCGGATTCAAGACTACGAGCAGTTTGATGCTGGCTCATAGCATCCATGACGGCAATACGAATTTGCTCTAGCCTTCGATCTCTCTTTGGACTCATGGATCGACGGACGGGAAGCTCCTCATCCTCGTCATCAGCATCGCTTTCTTGAATCTCAGCGGAGAAGCTGCGTCTATCGCGCTGAACAGATGACCCTCTTTGAGATAGTTTGCCCAAAACTTGTTGTATTGTGCCTAATGTGTTCTCAAGAGGATCAAGCCGTGAAGCCAGCAAGTTGCCCACCAATTCATTAACATGACCGTCAAAATAGTGAACACGTTGTTCGAGCTTTCCTTGCTCACTTGCACTGAAAGCATCATCCCATTCACTTTCTGGAAGGTCATCCCCCGTATTCAAGCGTTGGACAGGCGCGTCAAAGGAGCGGGAAACGGCGCTAGGAGTTGGATCAAGGAAGGGATCTTCAAGCTCTGTCGAGGGCTTAGGTGGCATATGTTCTTGAGGAAGTGATCGGTATTGCCGAGGGCTTGGACTTAGGCCCTCGCTTCGGAAAGGTAGTTGTGGCTGGAAGTGAGCTAAGGGTGAGTCGACAGTCGCGTTTGCTGATATTTTCCGTACAGCACTAGGCTGATGCCACTGCGGTGACTGGACGGTTCGTTTGACTCCCATATTTGGATCATTCTCGTTAATATCCTGCATTACTGCATCAATTTGTTCAAATGTGAGTTCCTGCAATCCATCATCCTCGGGCGCAGCACCAGCATCAGATGGTGGGCTAACGGGGAGTGGTTCATATTTGTGCGTGTCAGACGCCACTTCAGCCCCCATAATCGGAGCCAAGAGCTGTTCTTCAGAAACGGGAGATGGAGAAATAGCATGACGAGCATCTGCTTCTTCGACAGATACTGGAGATTCTGGAGGACTAGCAGCGAACCGTGATGCCTTCAGACCCTTTGGTTGTGGTGGAGACGCAAAGCGTGAAGAAAGCAAGCCTCTGCCTGAAACAAGTGCGGGCTCTGGAGACATTTTACCTTCGTCTTCTACATTTTGTGTCTTGGCTGCAATGATAGTAGAGGGGAAATCGGGCCCAGGTGTGGGTGAACCAGCACGGTCTTCTTCTGACTCGCCAGGAGCCTCAACCATACGATCTGGTTGAGTGGTGAAGTCAGGTTCGAACGGTGTGTTAACCGTATCGGCCGTTCCAAACGTAAAGCCGCCAGGGACGAAAGGCTTTGCAGTGGCAGAAAAGTGTGCTTTTGGTGGCTCGTAGAAACTTGGCTCTTGATCACCGAATGGTCTAGCATTATTGAAATCGTGTATATCCGTCTCATTAGTAAACTCAATCGGTCTCCAATTAACTTTATCTGGATCAGGAGACGCTGCTGACGGACTGGTAGTAGCTTTCGTGCCATTCGACTCGGATGGGAGCTTGCCGTCTGTTGATTCGGAAACAACGGTAGATGCTAACGTGACATCAGCAACGTTTACAGTTTCATCTTCTTCATCTCTCGTATCCACAGGACCATCAACAGCATCAGCTTCAGTGCTAAAATCAAGCTGAGATTCATCCAGGACAGAGGTCTCAGGCTCAGGAGTAGGCTCTGCGAACTGAGGAACATCATCACCGTCTTCGTCATCCTCATTTCGAAATTGCTTCTTAGTCCGACCGGCACCACCATCGCGACGTTCTTCCCTCGTAGATGCCACATCAGCGGCAGAAGCATCAGCTGAACGTTGCGAATGACCGCTAGCAGGCCTCACAATAGGGATCGCCTTCGACTTCTTCACTGGTTTAGAGAAATCGGTGCTGTTGAGGTCAATGTTACCGAAGATAGTCCTGGGCCGAGTCTCAGTGCTTTCATTGCCAGAGGCACCACCACTGACAATCGAAGAAGCGAACGAGCCCATAGGCTGAAACGCCTTGGCATCTGGGTTGAACTTCGGGCCAGTTGTAGAAAAGCTGAAGTCGCTTCTGTGAGGTGAGAATACAGGGGCAGAAGGATTGATTTTGGCGATCGTAGATGATGTGTTTGATGGCAGGCTGAAGTGGCTCGACGTTGCTGACTGAGGGAGACCATGTACAAAAGATGGACCTTGAGATGACGCGGGGGTAAAAGAGGGCGCCTGGGGTTTTGTACTTCCAAACACGAACTGGCCGGGGGTAAAATTGTTTTGGGGATTAAATTTGAATTCAGCTGCGTTGGCATTCAGTTTCGAGAGAGATGGTTTGCTGCTGTGACTGCCTTGGCGCGAGTGTAATTTGCTGGCAGGGTAAGACTCCAGTTCAGCCCAAGGATTGCTGGCCATTGACACCGACCGCTGGTGGAGTTGATTCGCAAAATCGAAGCTCTGCGCTGGCGATCCGAGGTTGCTTGGATTTGTATCAACCTCGAAGGCGCTATCAGTCTTCTCAGGAAGAATGTTATTGGACTGGGGCTTATGGATACTGCCTTCGTCTGTGCTATCTCGCACTTCATCATTTTCAAAGAACGGTTTCTGAGAAAGTGAGTGGCCTCGACTATGTGGTTGCGGGTGATGCAGCTTAGGCTCCTCATCAGACTCTGCACCAATACCACTGAAGTGTACAGAAGGGCCCCTGGCATGCAATGGCTCGCCCTCCGCGAAGTTTTGGGGTGACATATCAACTTCGGCAGGCTCAACCTCGTTGTGCGGACTGTAATCCTCATGCTCCAATTGTGACCTGAACTGCTCTTCCAAATGATACTCAGCCTCGTCGATTTCTTTCTGCAAGCTATTGCTAGCGTTGTGTTGGATAAATGATGCCGGTTCTGGCGTTTTAGATGGGCTCTTTTCGTAGGGATTCGTCTGCGTCTCCTCTTCATCATCTTCACGTACTTCTTGGAGACGTGGTGATGCCCTCGCCGAGTCTTGCCTTTGTAGAAACTGGTGGGGTAGCATTGGGTATTGTAGGGATTGATGTCTCTGATGAAGACCCATTGACGGCGACATCCCATCAGGCGAGAAAGGAGATACAGGCGACATCCCAGGGATCAAGGAAGGCGAGCCACTACGAGCCAACTGTTGCTGTTGAAGTAGCAGTTGCTGAGACCATCCCAATGGTGACGGCTGACCAGACATATGGAAAGAAAGCTCATGGGGCGATACAGAGATCGATGCGCGAGAGCTAAATCTTCCAATGGGGGGATTGAAACCAACTGGTGATGCCACTGCAGGAATCGCTGGACTCTGCGGCCCAGAGGGTCCACCAGGGATGAAAGGTGGCGGGAATGGGAAACCCTGATGGCTGTTGCTCCCAGCAGACGCCGTAGGCAATGGCGGTGAAAATGGGAAAGACTGAAACTGATTCGAAGTTTGTCTACTCATGTTAGACCCAACAGGAGATATCGATGGTGGAGGTGCTGGCTCTTCCTCAGCGAAGGTCACACCAAGCGCCCTAAGCTTAGCTTCTGCGAGTTCGTTGACGTAGTCCTTCCATGCTACAGAATCATCAGCTCATCATTCCATGTTGAGGTGCGATAATAACTCACCATTGAGGTCGGGCAGTGTAACGCGATACTGTCTAAGCGATCGCTCCCTCGCTATATCATCAAGTTGGGGCCATTCGTTTCGACTCTGAGAATTATAATCTAACGCGCCTTCTGATTGATGAGCATCAAGATCAAACCCTCTAATGTTGTACCCAAGTTCCTCCCAAGACCGAAACATAGACTCGGTACTAGTAGGATCGAGAGGCATAGGAGCCTTGCCAGGCTGACCACGTTCTTCATCACGAGGAATCAACACTAGAATATTCTTCCCCTTCCATGGCACCTTCTTTTTTAACCTAGGCGTCTGCGACAGAGCCTGTTTGGTAGGTTTCGCAGGTGTTATAGGAAGCGCAGATTGTGTGCCATGAGTTGAGCCGTTCATACTAATGGACTCAGATTTTGTCGGAGTCAATGGTCTAGGTGTCGAATCTGAATTAGACTCAATAGTGTGAATACTTGCGGCATCCTGAGATGAACTTTGTTCTATGCCCGAAGTATCCATTTTGCTGGGCGTCTCAGCGATATGGCGATTTAAAAGGGCCTGTCGCAAGGTTTCGTTACTGGAACGGTTGCGCAGTCGTCGAGGCACTGATTCTGAGCCCCGAGCAGAATGTAGAGTAGGACGAGGTGTGCGAGGATCGGCTTCTTCAAACCAACCAGCCTCGTTACTTGAAATGGAGCCGCTCAGCGAAGAGTGCTCACTATCATCCGTCCCGTCACTTAACCAATGACGGTGTTCAGAGCTCGGGTCGTTGGTGGTATGCTGTCGAATCCACTCTTCTGTAATACCACCAAGCGGTCGTCTAGCACGATTCGCAAGCACGGCAGCGCTGCCGGATAGCGAAGGGTTCGATAGTAAAGGCACCGGCGGAGTCTCAGAAATGGACGGGACCGGGCGCAGGAACGGGGTATCAATCTCAAGCTGATGCAAGGGCGACTCGTCAGATGTCCCACTGCTGAAACTTAGTCTTCGAAGGTGGTGGCTGTCGGCTTCGGGATATGGCGAGCCCCAGCTTGCGGTCACGTATTCACCTTCTCCGGCGCCACGATTCGATCGAGGGGGGGTCCTTAAGTAGCCCAGCGCTCTCTCGGGCAGTCGTGGCGCTTGTAGCGGCGGAAGTATGGGAGAAGATGATTCCCCGTCGTCAATCGTCGAAGCACTGGACAGAGGCGAAGATGGCAGTGATAAGGCCTGACGAGGAGCAGGGGCCTTGATGCCTTCCTGTACCAACGCACGAGGCGAGAAAACCGGTGACCTTGGGGAAGACGTTTTTAGTTAAGCTTTACGTCGAAAACAGAAGCCCATGTTAGCCTTTGACTAATCGTTGCATAATGTGGTGGTGTTTATTGAATTGGGAGTGCGTACAGAAAAAGGACCAAAATAGCAGACGAAAGGTAAATCGCCTGCCACTCTGATCTCACGATGTCTCGCTGTCTGACTATTTCGCGTGCTTCTTCTATATTATCAACGATGCGAACTCGTCGTTGCAGGCCTTCAAGAACTCGAACCGCGGTGAATAGAAGGAAGGTATGTACAAACACGCGACTCTCGCAGTCGTGGCACTGACAGCAACTGAGAGGTGCCAAAATCGGCCTCACTAATTGATGGACAAACAGGAAAAAGAATTAAAAAGGAGAGGACTTGATGCATGCATCGGGTACTATGCTATTGTTGGCGAATGCCTTGCAGAAAAATGGAGCAAGCAAGCATAGGTGGACTCGAGGGGGACAGGAGAGGAGGTTCAACGGACGACGACGGGGAGGAGGAGGAGGAGGAGGAGAGGCGCGTCGTTGAAGCAGGAGGTCGTGAAGGAGAAGAGAACTAAAGTATTGGCCCAGCTTTCCCCAGGCCAGCATCGAAGAAAAAGGGTCAATCTGTCGAAGAAAACGAGCACTACTATCGCCAGGATGCGTCCTGTAGTTCGGAAAGTGGCCAGGTCGAGGCGGCTACGGGAGGATAGAAGATACATGGCTGGTCGCGGGCGCAGGGCGAGATTACTGTGGCATCGCGGCGTCGCAGAGGTAGCTTCCATCTGCTCATCTCAGGAGTGACGCGGCCCCACCGATCCAAATTGGCAGCAGTGGGTCAGCCGGCAGCCGACTAGGCTCGTCGCGGGCGTCATACCTACCAAATTTCCTGCCGCTCTAGCAGTTGCCTCTTACTTTTAGATTACCTACCTCGCCTACCTAGGTAGGGACTTGACTAGCTCGAGTAGGCAGATTTAGGGCCCCTCGAAACCCCTACTCGCGTCTGTCCCAAGTGCCTGACGGGGTCTTGGCTAGGTGAGCAGCCACCAAGTAGGTTAGATAGGAACGATTTAAGTGGTTTCTGTTCTACCTATATGTACCGAGTAGGTAAGTAAGCTCTCTCTCATCTCTCTTGGTAAGTGCACATAAGCTTGCTTGCAATCTTGCAACGCGGTCAGCACAATTCGATCCTTTCTCTGTTGATGATTCGCTGTCAACTTTTTTTTTTCTGGTGACTGATACCTACTCCTTTGTTCGGCCACCAAGAAAAGACACGAGAAAAAAAAAACATGAAAAAAAACAACTCACTCCAATCAATCAGTAGGCAGTAGCATTGACCACGTGTAGTGCGGTGACTGCAGCACTGATTGGCCACACCCAGCTTTGGAGCTCTCTTGACAACGACAACACACGCGCGCGAGAACGAATATCTAGTGGCTGACAAACTGGCACACTTGCAGCGGGGACGCAGGAACCGCTTGCAGTCTGCAGCACACCCGAAGGCCTCAGGCTACATGTACGAAGTACGTTATATACTTTATGTACTGAGCAGATACTGAGGTAACAGCTGATGGGTACAGTCACATGTTCCATGGTGCGCTCAAGATACCTACCACATAGTATCTAAGTATAGTAAGTCGTGCACTATTACTTATGTATGTACTTACTCAACTAGGTAAGGTAATAGTCGAGGAACCAATATGTATAATAAGAACAGAAATCTGCAAATTCATGCACGGTACCTACAGTGATAACTGCCCAACTCTAGCCATTTACTCCAAGCTAAACACTTCAAGAACGAAATCTACCAGCTATTGAGGTAATGAACATGTACAATTACCTCTCATGACATCTCTCTTCCAAGTTCATTTACGAAATGGGTCAAGTCCTCCTCCAGTAAGACATTACAGCAACAGCCACGAACTATAATAAAATGATTGCATGAATTGAATCAGTATGACATCTAGTTCTCCGCCAGTTCGTTCAAGCACCGGTCCCCATCCATAAACCTGAACCAAAGCCTGGACCGTCCGAACCTAGTAGCTATAGCCAAACTCCTTTGCTACCTATACTCTGTAAATTAATCTAACAATTTCCTACCAAGACGCCGCAAACAAGAAAACATTGAGTATATACTAGAACGGCTCGGGAATATCGATATCGCAGATGGAATCGTTCTCGTTGTCATTTTCCATACTCATCCGTACGCGATATGTTCGCGGAGTTGGTGGATTGTTGAGGAAGTCCTGACATTCGTCTATACTCTCATCAGTCCTCGCCGTATGTCAACAAGTCCCAAGCAACAACCTAGACGTTTGAACAAAAGGAGAATATCTGGAAGAAAGCACAGTACCACAAACCCTGAGTGGGCTGAAAATGGAATAGATGCCCTTAAAATGCAAGTGTGGTGCGAAGCAATGGAACGAAATAATTGTATAATGACTCACCTTTTTGACGGTCACAGTCACTCTTGTCAGACCCAGCTACTTGATCAGCCGCCCTTTTGCACTCCTGATTCTGGAATCTATCACACGCTATATTGACGGCGGTGCGATAATCCCCCTGCCACACCTCAGTTAACCATGCTATTCCTGAGTCTGGACATTGAGCGTGTCCCCTCTGCCTCCAATATTCAAAAGATATACGGGGAAAACTTACCAGATTTTCTGTCCCAACCCGGAATGGCTGCTGAACAACGCCTGAAAATGTGATCTGTGGACACCACAACACTCGCATTAATACTGGCTAACATGTCTCTTAGTTTACGGATAGCCACACGTACCGGTGTTGTAGGGGCTCCAAATAAGTTCCCATCAAAATTCTATAGAACGGTTCACACGGAAAAGTTAGTGAATGCGCAAAGACCAAATGATAACTGCCAGTTAGGCATGTACTCATACATTCAGGTTGGTGTCCAAAGCGGCTGTCTCATCCTGGAGTGCGGATACGCCCACATTAAAGCCCCGTTGAACTATCTGGGCATCAATCTCGCCTCCCCGAACGCCTCGCAGAAGTATCGCTGCGACAGCAGCTATCAATGTGATTCTCATATATGGCATGGTTCTCGACATAGGCCGTGGCGGAGAGTAAAATCGTTGGAAATAGTGCTTCAGATGGGAAGTCGGTTGCCGTCAGGAACTTGGAGGGAGGGAGGGCTCGTTCGCTGGTCCTTTCGAACTCGATCTGTTCCTGCCGTAAATATGTGGCTCATAAGCCGTGGAATTTCGTAACTTGTATACCAGTTCTTTTCGTTCGTTCGACCCAGATTCCTTTGGTGTGAGCAATATCAAAGTAACGCCAGGGGGGAGATCGGGATATCTACAGTAGTTGACACCTGAGCATCAGATATCAGAAAGGGCGTGGAGAAAAAAGAAAAAGAGGGATTTCAAGACACTGATCAAGATCTTAAACCCCACGTTTCAATTTCAATCCATGCGTGCATTCGGGTTTCCAATCCGGATCATCGCGTGGCGGGAGGACGCAGGGACGGGACAGGAGTAGAGGTGGGTGTTCCTGAAACCATTCTGAGACACGACATCGCCCACCACCACTATTCATTGCAACAACATTAATATCCATATCACTGAACGCGATATCTGATTAATCGACAAAATTACCTGTTATGTAGGTACTGTAGGTATGTAAGCATTCTATTCTGGTGAACAGAAACATACATAATATACGTCAACTGCATGACTAAGTACTTCAACGCCAGCACGTTTATCCTACCTTATGTTTCACAGACTGACACTTGATGTGTACTGTATGAGCATACCAGCATAGATAGCGTCACACGTTATTGAAAGACTACAATCAAGAGCCATATATACACGGGCCTGCAGCGATGTGAACAAGGTCATCGACAATTCAACATATACACATATATGATCTTCAGAATTATGAGCTCACTAGAACGGTCCGCGACAATCGTACTACGTTATAAAAGTAGCCAGATATTATGAAGATCAAAGGTATATTATTAGAAGGGCTTTATACAAAGTTTTCTTTCGTGCTACTGGCAAATTTTGCAAACAGAATGTTGTTGGGTTTTGAACCTGATGTGACGTTTTTCGAGTCCGAAATAGTCAAATACACAGATTGAACTAGCGAGATCGAATGCTTCGGCCGCGACATAGTTCCTCAACCCCTCCTTCTCATCCTTCATTTCAGGCCATGTCACACATAACCTGTGAACAACATCGCATCTAGCACTATGGTGGCATTATAACCATGAGCTAGCCCAATGGGGTGCCATCCAAATAACATAACTGGCATAGAACGTGCCATACAAGTCCTTCCAACTCCAACGCCGGTTGAGTAAGTCACCGCTACGAAATGCGGAATCAACAAATGCACCACTTTTACAAACAGCTGAGAGAGCGCGTTTAGAAATTGGAGGCAGCGTTTGTCTGCGTAGGAGCGTGATAGGTTTCCAGCGTGCTCTGGAAAGGGCTGCGAGCGCCGGCGGAGGGTCCGCTTCCTTCGGGTTTCTCGGCTGTTCCAGGGCCACCAAAGCCAGCACCGTAGCTAATGAGTTCCTCATTCTCCTCCTGGTTGCGTCTCTTGTTGCGAAGTCTCCAATATAGAATACCAGCGGCGGCGAGGATGATGGCACCACCAACACCAACCGTCACGCCAATAATAATGTTTCTTTGCATAGGACTAATACCTGAGTTTTGACTTTTAGATCCACTGTCGCCGGAGAAGCCGGGCGTTGAGACAACGACAGCCTCCGAGCTTCCAACGTGTGTTGCTCCACTGTCATCGGTACTTGTGTAGTAAACCGTGGAAGTCTTGGTAACGGGTTTCGCAGTGGTTTTGGGCGTTGTTTTAGAATCAGAAGTCTCAGTCTCGGTATCGGTATTGGTATCATCGTCAGAAGATGTGTTTGGGACGGACGATGTAGGTTCTGAAGTGGGTGGCGTGGTAATAGGGCCAGTGCTGGTTTGACTTGTAGTTGTTGAAGAGTCGGACGTTGGCGAAGACGAGGGAGTCGGAGTAGGCGTGTCCGAGGTCGTGGGTTCATCAGAAGTTGTGGGCTCGTCGGACGTGGTAGTTGATGGAGGCTCCTCAGTCGAGGTAGTCATCGTTGACGAGTCATCAGTAGGCGAAGCTACGCTGGTGTCGTCACTTGATGTTACGTCGGAAGAATCATTGTTATCTGTACCGCTGGAGACTTGGCGGGCCTCAACATTATTTTGATGAAACCACGATGCCCTTGTTGCGATCAAGATAGACAAGACCACGAATAGAACTTGCACTAAGCGCCTGGAATACATTGTATCGAATTACGAGGGCGGAGGACCACACCGTTTGTTCGGGATGAGAGGGTTGATGTGCCCAATATCAAATCGAGAGATGCGTGTTTGCGCTAGGCTGCTCGTTGAGTCGAGTGTTGCGTGGTATAACCTGTCGAGAGAATCGGTTGCACTGATTTTTCCTCGAAACAGGGGTGAATGAGCGCAAGAGAGTAAGTAAGTAGGCTGGATTCCGCAGCTAAGCGGAACTGATGGCAGAGGAGATGTAGAAGCAAAAGAAACGAAGGGAGGGAAACAAGTTGATGGAAACGAGCGAATAACAGGCTTATGCCCTATGAACGGCGACGGGTTGTTGGGGATGGGCGAGGATGGGTTGGGGGGAACGAGACAGGATGGGATGACAAGAAACCAGGCCACGGTCAGTGGATGAATGACCTGCTGAGAGAGGAGAGAGAGAGACAGCGAGATGGGGGCATTGACTTTCACGAATTAGGGAAGTGGAGCAGGACTGGGAGGCCCAGTGGGACGACAGCGTGCCTCGTATTATTTTTGCCTTGGTACCTACATTACGCTGCCATGTACCTACCGTGCCCTACTGTAGTCTAATAGTACTGTGACATAGGTACATACTTTGTAATACTGTCCAATTATGATGCTGAAAATGGTTGGCCGTTGCACAGCCTTCGGTAACGTTTCTCTCCAAGAGTAGGTAAGTACTATGTAGAGTAATGCCAACGCAGATTAATCACTCTGGGCTTGTCTGATTACTACCTGGTGTCCCAGTTATCTGTTTCAAAAATAATAGGTAAATGGAAGAGAGGAAACACCGAAAATTACTTGGTATACCCATTGTATTAATGTACTATATTTGCTCAATATGTAGCGTTATTAATGAAACGTTGGTGAAGGTACTTATACAGTACACGCTACAGTGTTTGCTTTTCAATTCTCCATACATGTATTTGTCAATTGCGCACAGCTGCCAGCATCCTCGGATCGGAGGGTGCGCAAGCTTCCATGTTACTATCATACCTATGTGTACACATTATCAATCCTAAAGTTGTCGATCGGTCAACGGCTGATGGCAGCTGCAAGCTACCTGAGTACTGATCCCTCACATCGGCCCCTGAGCGCTCCCAGGCAACAGCAATCTTTGATTTAGCATGAACCTAGCAGCACACTAATGTTCCAAAGGGGCAGCATAAATGTAGATGGAGGGAGCCCAATCGGTTTCATACATACATGACTACATCGGCATTTGTATGTAGTTCGAGTGCTTAGTTATTTTTTCCAGGTAAGCAATTAGAGAGAGTGCCGCGAGAGTGCGTATGTGAAAGGAATGGTGATGGCAATACTCTTTATTTTCTGTATTGGTACGTACAGTATGGACGTACTGTATCGGGGTACTTCAAGAATCCCAAGAGCACGGATAGGCTACCTAGAAACTCGCAGAAGCCAATCTGTCAGTACAAACTAGTGCACAATAGTTGATGCAAGCTAAATGAGGGCTAAATAAGGGTTCAATTCCAGACCGGCGCTCAGGCCATCAGTATGCAAACCTCGAACACTTGCGTGTTTAGTGACATATGAGTTGGCCAGCAACGATTTGACAGCAGCCATTTTGTCCTCGAGGCATCCAAGTTAGAAAGGTACGCAACAGGTTCTTGTGCAACGGTGGCGAATATCTCGGCACAAACAGGCAATGAGGGAGGATTAAAAAGGGATCGCCAAAAGAAGTCCTATGCTGACAATGACATAATCCCACAGGCCCACGGCAGGTAACCTTGGAACTTGATGCTTGGATTCACTGATGCAAGGTTGCATACATAATGCCAACACCCGACAGGTATCTGCCCATTGCTTCGAAAAAATTTGACTGGAGTTAGCCTGACTCCTTTCTAGCTATCCTCAAGCGCAAAAATACAGGCGTTTTTCAAGTGAAGTAGGTAGACAGACTTAAAAGGCAAATACCCTATCAAGAGCGCGATTAAAGTGAGGCGCAGTACTTAATATCAAACTTCAAAGAAGCAAAGCATGGCTCTAAGCCTCTTCATCACCGTTTTGGTGACACGACGCTAATTGTATCATTATGTACTTACCTACTGAATGGGGAAAGAAATGAGGCACTCTGAAAACACTCTTGCCCTAAACAAGAACGTTAGGTGTCATGTAACGGGAATATCCTTCGCCATGTGGAGATTGATACTATAAGCCCCCTATGTCTTACGTGCAGAATCTAGTGAAATGGAAATTCATGCTTCAAGGTTCTTCTTCCATTGTCAGCTGCCTTACAATCAGTGCGTAGTAAGTTTCAGCTGCACAAATCCCCAGACATATATGCAATTTATAGTTTGCCAGGCGACTTGATATAAAGAGACGCGGAGAGAAAGATGTATTTGATCGTCTTAAGAACCACACCTGTCTACATATAAGGGCGAGCGTGCATCACAACTTGCCATTATATATACAGCGTTAGCTGCATAATCCAGGACTTCATTTCAGAATATTTCGCTGAGACTAAGATACATATGAACTTGTATCAACGCTACACAGAAGCACAAAAACACAGGCAAACCCAGCAGGTTATGAAGATTATTGTTTTTAAAACCGTCGTGCAGCCCAATTTTCGTAGAACATACAGAGAAGGCAACAACCCCCAGGCCACCATCCGCGTTCGAACTCCAGATTAGATCTTCAAGTGTGCGAGAAGAGAGAGGGGAAATAGACCTCGGCGACGCCAACCGTAGAACTTGAAACACAAAGCCCGGTGATGCTAACGCAGTAGTAATAATAACCCTCTAAGACACCACCCCCTCAAGAAACGCCTTCATCGTGACATCCCTTTCCCATACACCGCGAAAAGTAAATATTTCCATGAACAAAATCCGACACGAAAACAATGACTCTATCGCCGATGTCAATGCATGTGCTTGTAACGCCTAAGTTAATCAAAAGTCATTCAAGCCCCCATTTCTGCGACCTCCCCAGGGGTCCATTTCGTTTCACCCCGCTGATACAAAGGAAAATAAATATGTTAGTTAGGCATGACGTATTCATTCACTCAGTTCCCTGCCACCACCATCATCAGCTCACGTGCAACGAAGGCGTTTTCCGAGGTGACATTCTTTGATGTCTTGCCTATTCATGCCCGAGACAGAGGGCGTTGGCGAATTAAAAAGGGGCTTGGCATTTCATCTCGCTCAGGATCCCACACGGGCGCAGGCTCAAGGAACCGGTCGACCACTCGCTCCTTGTTGGCGCGTTTAGGGCTGCTGTTGACGTTCTCGACGGAGCGACCGCCAGCCCGGGCCTGCTGCAGTTCGACAAGGGTCCGGCCCCGAACGTTGTTCTTAACCGCCACTTTGGTCAGAGACGGCGCGTCGGCATCCTTCTTTGCCAGTGACGGTTTACGCTGCAGCCCATTCTCGCCCGCTGGTGCGCCAAGGTTCGCGGCCGACGGGATCTTGCTTAGCCTTCGGTTAGGGGCATTGCCTTTCTCCCGAAGGGCCCCATTGCTGGGTTGAGGTCGTACCTGCAAGCTTGGCGCAGACGCGCCACTCGGCAATGGTGGCATGGGCTTGTTGAGACCTGATGAAGGGAAGGCAATTGGAGCTTTCAACTGTTCGGGTACTGGTGCCGTCTTTGTGGCAGTCAGCACAGGCCGTTGAAGGAACGGATTCTGTCGTGGGCCCCGTGTTGGGGAGGGAATGATGGGGGTATCATCATCATCATCGGAGTCAGATAGGACAGGGTCTGAGTCGCGAGCTTTCTTCCACCGAGCTTCGTCATCTGTTTCATCGAAGATGGTGGGCTGGTGTGCTGTTCGGGTTTTAGTAGAGTTGGCTCGCCTCGGCGATAGGGACAGGGATGCAATGGCGATTGGTGATGGAGAGGCAGTATCAATATCCATAGGTGTACCAAGATGGCGCTCGAACATGGTCTGGGCTCGTCCGAACGGGCCACGACCCTTCTTAAGGGGGACCTCTTCGGGCTCGTCGACCGAAAATTCGGTGATATCAGTGGTAGAGGGGAACTCTCCATCAGTGCTGGCGTCAGTAAGAGATTGCGGATACTCGGACTTCGCCAAGGACGAGCTGGGCTCTACGGCTTCCTCACTACTTGTGGTAGCTGACTTCTTCTGGAGTTCTTCGTGGACGCGTGCTTGCACTTCACCCTCGAAGCGTCTTTGGAGTTCTTGAAGCTCGATTTTAACAAGTCGATCAATCTCAAGTCGTGCTTTGACTTCCCATTCCCTTCGCAGTGAAGATTCAATCTCCTGGCGGGCTAAGGATTTATTGGATTCAATACTTGCCAGTTGTCTTTCCGCTTCCTTTAACTTCACCGCCAGAGCCGCTTCCTTCACCTGTAGTTTGCTCTTCAAATCTACTGCCTCACGCTGCATGCGCATGAGTCGCACGACGGGAAGATTCAGCAAGGTTGCTGTGTCTGGACGCGAATCGGGGTTAACCTTGAGACAGTCTCTGATGACGGCCATGAGCTCGGCGGAATAAATCCTAGGTAATGTAGCAACCTTTCCTTCCTTGATCTTCTGTACCAGTTGAAAATGCGACTTGGCGTTAAATGGAGGTTCCCTCGCGCAGAGCTCATATATAACGCAACCTAAAGACCAGATGTCTGATTTGAGGGTATATCTTTCTGCTGCACAGATCTCAGGAGACATGTAGAATGGAGTGCCGACATATGTCGAAGCAAAATCATGCGACTGGATCATCTTGGACAGGCCAAAATCTCCAAGCTTGACCGAATTGTTCTCGCCGAGGAAAACTGTTATCCTATTAGCAGAGGCAACATACCGCTTTAGAGAATGGCTTACCGTTTTCGGGTTTTAAATCACGATGCAAAATTGTGACAGCTCCCGGTGGGATCTTGGGTTTCGTCCTCGGGGCCACCAGAACGGTGTTACCCACGTCGGGAGGGTCGATACCATAATGACAACGATACAAGGCCGTGACCAGTTGTGAGAAAACAACCCATACAAATTCCTCATCGGCGTACTTGTCGGCACGCGCGAGGTCTCTAATGACACGCCCTAAGTCACCATTGCCGCAGTATTCCATGTACAAGTGAAGGTCTTGGGTCTGTTTGAGGTGTTCGCGGTGGAAGTAGCCGACGATGTTGGGATGTCGGAGAGAGGAAAGGATCTGAAACTCGGCATGAAGCTGCTCTCGCTCCTTCTGGGACATTTTCAGGTAGCTGATCTCTTTCCGGCAGAGGACCATGCCATCGACCCTTCGTTTCACTTTTCTGATAATGCCAAAGGAGCCATGGCCTAGATTCCAGCGTGGGCATGCGTTAGTAGCTAGCATCTCGTTGATTATATTGCAGGAAGAATAGCTGGAAACAGACTGAAGGAACATACCTATCTTCTCCAGCACCTCATACTTGTCGGACTCTGACATGGTGGGCTGGACGCACTGTAGCTAAGAGAAGCAATTCAAGGACGCTGCCATAAGTTGGAGGTAGAGGGAAAGCTTGCAAGTACTGTATGCGCTGAAGGAGACTTGGAGTAAGCTGGGGTATAAGATTGTAAACTGTAAGATGGGCAGATGGTGATGGATTGAAGAAACAAGGTAGTAAAGATAGTAAAGATACAATCTCGAAAAGTTCACAACAACCTTGAAATGTGTGCAGAATGAGTGGTGTTGTGTTTGTACTTGCTTGCACGCTATGCTCTGGCAGTCGAAACCCACCTCATCCTGGTTTCGCCATGAGTCAACAAACTGCTCCCTTGCTGGTGGGCACGGCAACTGATGGAGATGTGGGTCACTGCCACCAAGTCGAAGGTAGGGCAGGCAGGGGTGGGGGGCCTGACTGACACCTGAGACGCGCTTGCTTAATTGACTTCCAACTGTCTGTGGCCCAAGCGTCGACTCGTCCCATCTACACTGCGCCCCACCTATTCTTATCGATTAATCCCAGACATGCTTACCTAAGGTTAGAACCCTTTGGTATGCCACCAACATGCCTGCTCGCCTGGTGAGAACAGGTGCTTACGGAATCTAGCGCCGTGGACTGGGTATCGAAGTACATTCGCCATCGAATCCGATAACTCCGATGAGTTGATTGAATGAACGATCAGAATGTGTTCAGCTTCTGGTCTTTCATTCCCTCCTGTTGTTTCTCTCTCTCCTTAATCTATCACCCTGTAAATAGACACAATTTCCTTAGCTTTACAAAACTTGGTTCTGGCAACTTCGTTGATTGTGTTGAACAACAGCTTCCCAAACATGGTTATCCATGGATCTGGGTTGGGAGCAGAGACCGAAAATGACGTAGAGCTACCCCAGGGTCGCGTGTTGAGGGTGCCGAAAGTGTCGAGAGCTGAGAATCCCCTGGACTCAAGCGAAGCTTTTAATGAGCTACTAGAAGCCTGTCGGAAAGGAGATCTGAAGCGGACGCAGGAGCTTATATCAGCGGGTGTCAATCTGAACGCCGTGGACAAATTTGACTACACACCCTTGATTCTTGTAAGCCTGTGTTCGCGGATATCTCATCATCGTCTGGTAACTTGCAGAGCCTCGAACTCGCTAACCTCGGTGGCGGCAGGCAAGCCTTTGCGGGCACTTCGAGCTGGTCGAGTTGTTACTTGAATCTGGGGCATTAGCGGAGCGTGACACGTTCCAAGGAGAAAGATGCATTCACAATGCATTAAATGATAAGATTCGGAACCTGCTAATAGAGTACGACTATTCGAAGTCGACAGACCCTCTACAGCCATGGGCCGCTCACATCACCTCACTGTTTACAAGGCAAACGCCTAAAACTTCAGATATTGTGCTGACAGAGGGCACTACAAAATTTGAGCTTCACAAGTTCGTCCTTTCTGCTAGATCCCCATACTTCCGAAACAAGTTGAAAGACGCACCGGAAACGACTACGTGGAAGCTCCCGCTCTCACACCCCGTCGAATCTTTCCGGGTTGTGCTACGTTATCTTTACCTAGGCGACATCCCGAGAGATGTCGTGGACTCCCGTAGCGAACATACAGAGGAAGAGGTTCTCATTGGCATTGATAAGATTTGCAAGCAACTGGAGATACCAGAGTTGTGGGAGGCCATATTATCTGGGCATGATCGACGGCTAGTAAGGCAGCGCCATCTAGACGAAGTTAATCGAGCCCAACAGCAAATCGGAGACTTCTTCAATCGGAAGATCATTGACCTCAAAATGACTGTCGACACACGGAGGGTATCCGAAGTGAAGTGGTCTTCTGGTAACTCCATATATGCGGACTGTCTGTTACGGGTAGATGAAGAAGGAGTCGATGACACCGACTCGGAAGAGGATCGAGGGTTGTGTGCTATCCCAATTGGCGCGGGAGCCCATTCGAAATCACAAAACAGCACAGCACATCATCGAAAATCTTTTATCTATCCAGTACACAAGGCAATGCTAATCCGAAGCCCTTACTTTGCAACAATGTTTTCTAGCGCGTTCCTAGAAGCTCAAGAGTCTGAACATCTTCATGTCATCAAGGTCGATTGCTCGCCAAGAGTTCTTGAAATCATACTTAAATTCCTCTACATGGAGGAAGTGGAATGTCCCTTGGAGTTGGCACTCGACCTGCTATACGCATCGGATATGCTCTTTTTAGAGAAACTGAAGGGCAAAGCTGCCGTTCTGATCAGCTCGCTTGGTAGTGGGAACAGTAATCTATTGATTGATCGGACGCACGGTGGGGCCAACGAGGCTGGAGTTGAAGTCGAACCCATAAATGTTTACGACGTAATTCATGCAGCATGGGACCTACGAGTACAACGCCTCGAAACCTTTGCAGCTAGATACCTCGCCTATCGGCTTGAAGACTACATTGACGAAGAGGAGTTTGCCGAACTAATACAAGAAAGTGCCTCGAGAGTCAAGAACAGAGAAGAAACAGATACAATCGAACTGCTTGACGACATTCGATATTATCTTGGCGAACGGTTCAGATTGAGATTTGAAGACGCCGACCTAGAGGGGATATTGAATGAAAACGACGAGACAGATGCTTCAATTGCCGAAGCATTGTCCTCGCAGCTTCAGATTGTAGGCGACAGTACAGAGGTTCCAGCGCCTCGAGAATCTGAAAAGACCCCAAACGTTAGCCCCCAGCAAATCCTGGCGGCTAATCAAGCAGCAGGCAATGGTGTCCGAACACTGGACGGGGAGGTGGCTGAAGACGAATTCGCATCTGATGCCATCAATTACCGGGTATTGTTGGAAAAAATCGACATTATGCTACAGAAGCTCAAACTAGATGCATAGATGACTAGGCTAGACATAGAGACTCGGCTGGCGATATAAATTGGCTTGCTTTACCAGTGGACAATGTTGGAAACCGTTGGATATATATTAACGTGGAGACACATGTACCACGCCAGAATAGAACATAGCCTACCTACATAGTACAGTACTTACTTGACACTAACGCACTTGGCAGAATACTCAGGGCAGGTCTGTCTGTACTTTACCTCTTCCCTTTTTATTTATAACATGTACATGTTTGAAACACATTGGCTTCTACCAAAGAGTCTGCTTTCGGTAGGTTGTTGGGTATGTAGATTCGCGGGCATTGGGTCAGTAATGACTGGGTATCTACCTTCTTGATACGTAGGTAGCCAGAGGGATTACGTGAGGATCGCCCATCACAATGTCTCTATGGTAAATGATGTGCCAATGATGGCGTTAGCAGTCCCCTATTTCGTAACTGTTTCGTTCTTGGCGGTCGCAGAAAACGCTCCTTCAGGGATTCAGGAGGAGAGCCTCGTGGGAATATACTGTTTACTATCATTGTGAATCCCCTGAATATCTTTATAACCGGCACGCTCACGCACTTCAAATCCAAGGTTCTGCTTCTGTGACGCGGTAGTTATTTAGTACCTAGTATGTTCCTAGGTACATACGTAGGTACGTACGTAGCAGTGAAGGATAGGCCGCGTAAGACACCATGTCGGCCCCCGCTTCGGTACCGTTCCAGCGCCCCGCCAAGCTGACCACCAGGCGGCCTACTACATCAGGGCTACATCCAAGGTGCGGCGCGGCCACCAATGCAACTGCGACAGCACTGCTGCGACATGCCGTCAGTGCCGGTCGCCAAGGAATTGTTGGATTCTCTAAGTTTAGCACTGAATGTGCAGATCACGTCGTTGCGTCTGGGCATGGACCCGACAATGAAGCTCTTTGATTCTCTTGATCCAACCTGAACCCTCCTATTGCAGGCAATGCGACGGTGTCTGGCAAGATGAAGATGCTCTCGGTGCTTGGCCGCTGCTCGCAGCTTCCCCTCCTCTACAAGATCACCATAGCCGGTGTCTTTACCTTGATCCTGATCGGTACGTCAATCAATCTACACGCATGCCTACTGAGCAGGCAGACCACGCGACACGTTGGACACGTCGTAGTGCTATTCCCGAGTCTGGGAGGCTTGCGAGGTTAAAACAGGTATGGGCACAAGCTAACGACGCCCCGTAGCCACACTTCACACTGGCCCGGTCGACTTTCGAGAACGTTGGGATAAGCTCCGGCATCCGAAGAAGAATGGCCTCGCCGATGGCGTTCCCCTCCGTGTCATGTTCATCGGTGCCTCGATGACGCTCGGCGAGCACTCCACCGGCGAAAGGGGCTACCGGAAACAGATTCGGGACTGGTTGGTATCACAAGGAAACGAGGTCAACTATGTCGGTCAGGTATGTTCCGAACTCTGACTTATCGTCGTCCGTCCATGTCCCGCATATACAGATACTGAGACCCTCTTTCGCAGAACCGATATGGCGACTTTCTTGACAACGATGTTCAAGCCTTCGGTGCTCAGCCGATCAAGCCGACTCTAGACCGTTGCAAGGAGATTGTGCCCCAGACCCAGCCGAACCTAATCCTGATAAACGCCGGGTCCAGCGACTGTTTCCAGCAACAACACTGGGGCCCAGCCTTTGTCCTACAGAAGATGCGCGCGCTCGTGGACTATCTATTCGAAGCCTCCCCCCGTGCGACAATTATCATGTCGACTATCATCACCAGCCCTTGGGAGAATGTGGAGGATTGTGTCACGTCGGCAAACGCGCAAATTCGACAGGTCGCCCACGATCTGATCCGCGAGGGCAAGCCCGTCGTGCTTGCCGAGATGCATCACGATCAGGGTCTGCCGCACCGAGTTGAGGTGAAGCATATTGGCAAAGACAAGATGCATCCTATCGACGAGGGCTACTTCCTGATGGGCGACATATTTATCGAGAGCATCCAGGATGTTGACGAGAAAGGGTGGATCAAAGCCCCCGTCAACAATGGTGTCCCCTTTGATGGTGAGGCCGAGCGCCATGCCGAAGAGCTCAAGAGCGAGGAACAGGTCAAGGAAAAACCGGATGAACAGGCCACGGGCGAAGCAAAGAAGGACGAAGAGAAGCCCAAGGCCCGTAGAAGACGTGCTATGTGAAAACGTCATCGGACTCGGAAAGATAGAGGCGTGGGGGGGTTGCATTTGATACCATCGAGGAAACGATGGTTATATGGATTAGAGCATAAACATGGCGATTACGGATTTGGGCGGTCAAAAGAAGAAGCAGGTCTTTCTGTTAATATTGTAGGGACGTCGCTGAAACCAACTGTACCATTATTCCGGTATTAGTTCTTGTATATTGTATAGAACAAACCTATTTCAAAGATCATAACCTCGATTGTCGACTCTGGCCCCATCATTATGGTTCTCTCGCTTTGCCTTGGATTCTTACAACATCGTCACGATGTTCTGTTCGAAGCGGTCGTGTTAACCTATTTCATTCAATTCGTGAAGCCTATAACTTGTAGGCATAATATAATATATCTAATTCCACCCCCAGCCTTTTCCTCCCTTGCTCTCAAGCTAATGAATAGTAGAGAAAAATAACATATCGATAAAAACACAAAAGAAGGATATGATTGCAATCAATCTATCATGAAACCCATTAAGCACAGCCACCACTAATCATCCCTCCATTATCGAACCCATACACTATGTTGAAGACATTAAATTTTCTAAGACGAGAAAGCTTTTTTTGCTGTGAGGACCGGAGACAGCTTCAGGAAGGGAGAGGCGACGCAAGCAGCCGTTTACGCTTCGAAAGGGAAGGGTACGGCGTCCCTCTTGACGATGGCATCCGCGCCGTATTTGACGCCGCGGGAGCAGCTTTGCGCGCAGTGGCTCTCGCCCGTGTAGGTGTTGGGCGTGGCCTGGGTGCCCTGCCACTTCTTTTTGCAGGCCTTGACACATGACTCGAAGGCCGCGCTTCCGGCGAAGACGCTGGGGCCGGTAGGGGGGTTGTTCTTGACCTTCCGTGGCATGAGCGCGTCGGTCTTCGCCTCGACCTCGGCCTCGATCCCCTCGCGCTTCTTGTCGACGATATCCTCGACGTCTATGTCTCGCTTCACTGATGCCTCGGCGCCATCTAAGAATTTCCTGGCACAGCCACTGGCGCAGCTGCTCTCGCCTGTGATGGTGTTCGGGACGGCATCGGTGCCCTGCCATTTGCCGTTGCAAGCCTTGACGCACTGTTCATAGGCAGAGGTTCCAGCAATGATCTCGGACTGGGCTGGCTTGGGAGCAACCTTCTTAGCTTCTCTTTCAACAATGTTTTCGACATCTCGCTTCACTGATGCTTCGGCGCCATCTAGAAATTTCCTGGCACAGCCACTAGCACAGCTGCTCTCGCCCGTGATGGTATTCGGGACGGCATCGGTGCCCTGCCATTTACCGCTGCAAGCCTTAACGCACTGTTCATAGGCGGCGGTTCCGGCAGTGATCTTGGGCTCGGCAGGGGGGCTCTTGACCTTTCTCTCAGCAATGGCCTCGACTTCCCTCTTCTCGTAAAGCTCTGCTCCTGACCTGCGGTAGGCAGCACATTGCTTGACACACTTCTGGTTGCCATTGTATGTAGGTCCGGTAACTTCAGTGTACTGGAATTGGGTGTCGCAAGCTTCCATGCAAGACTCCCACGTCAACTCGCCAGCACCAATAGCAGGAGTGGTGACTCCGTGGTCTGGAATGGCAGGGTTTTTGGCGGTAGTCTTGTCTTTGCTGCTGGCGGTGTCTGAAGGGCCGTTTACTTTGCAGTCCGTGATACACAGGGCTTTGCATTCTGCGAAGTGGTGCTTCTTATCTTCACATCTTTCGGCTATGCAACCTTGGGCGCATACGTCCTTCGCAGAAGGTGCAACAGTATCGGGTTGCCACTCCGAAGGAGACGCGGCAGATGAGGCCACACCATATGGAGCTGATACGGCAGACGAGGCACGATATGGCGTGGCCGCTGCGGATAAGGCTGATACGGCAGGTGAGCTTGCAGCATAGGCAATAGCAGGCGATGATGCAGCGTACGGAACAGCGACAACTGCGGATGCAGGTGAGCTTGCGGCGTACGGAACAGCTGCTACTGATGATGCGGCATAGGCAATAGCAGGCGATGATGCGGCATATGGAACAGCGACAACTGCAGATGCAGGTGAGCTTGCGGCATACGGAACAGCTGCAACCGCAGATACAGGTGAGCTGGCAGCGTACGGAACAGCCGCAACTACAGATACAGGTGAGCTTGCGGCGTATGGGACAGCAGACTTGACACCGTATGGCAGTTCCGCGGCCGCGTTTGAAGCGACCGGGTACGACTGTACAGGAACTTGAACTGCTGGGGTCTTGATGGTATACGGAAGCTGGACTAGAGTTGTAGGGGCCACACTTCGCGTCGAAACTGGAACCTGGACTGGTGGCGACTTGATGCTGTAAGGCAGTTCGCGTAGGGAGGAAGTCGAAACGGCCAGACTGGGTTGCACGACTGGAGTCTTGACGACATAAACCTCTTGAACTGGGAATGATTGGACGGTAGCCACGGGTGCTGATACCGGTGCGACCGGGTAGGATGCAACGGACAGCACAGGCACGACAGGAGCGTCCTCAACGGCCAGAGATGACGGTAAGACGACTGTTGAGATAGACGATACCGCTGATGATACGGATGTTACCGCCGATGACAGTGGTACGGCTGCGTATGGAACGGCCGCCACTGGATAACCTGTTGAGGTGTCGTTAGTATTCAGGTGCGTCAAAGAGTACAAGGTTCTGCCGCTATTGTTCCTCGGTTATAGGGAGAATAGTGATGATATGTTCATCAAGGCTCACTTACTTCCATCAAGACCTTTGTTTTGGTTGGCCGGAACCTTGGGCTTCTCAGCTGCAGCCGTTGAGAAAGGGATCTTGGCCGAGGAAGAGGATCTAGGAGTATCAGTTAGTCCGTCGTGCCGTAGTTTGGATGCAGATGGGAGAGTCTTACAACGCAACGGGCTTCGCCATCACGCCGGGGATAAGCCCGGCGAGGAGGATCTTGGTCAACATGATGAGGGAGATGACCAGGGATGGCTTGCGTGTAACTTCAAATAACGTCCCAACTGTAAATCCAAAAACAAAATGAGTGTGGTTATTCCTAGGTTAGTAGGATCCTGTTTGCTGCTATCGTTAGTACTGATGCTCTGCGGGTTCAGATCTCGATTTCACACGTTCCAATCCACCATACTTTATACAAAATCCGACTTGACAGCAATACTGGGCAAAAATAACAACACGGACCCGATGTCGTGGTTGAGCCAAGAACATGCCGTAACTGTATTGCTTGTGGAAATTAAACACAGACCTTTGAGGCGCGCATGCTTCTCGGATTGGCTTGTCCACATGCTGTCTTAGACAGTGACATTCTGCTGCAACATTTTTTTCGACATTCAAGACCTCCTATGACCATTGACTCATTCCAGTGGCGTGGATGGGCTTGCTAAAAAGCTTGTTGTCTTTCATACCTACCATGTACTCTACAATCCAGAACGACCGCTGATTCAACCGCCTGATGAATGCCCACGTTAAAATGCATTCTTGGGTGAAGGGACCTCATGAATGTTAATAAAGAATGGAATTCGCCGACTCGTAATTCATGAGCACGCACAAGCCAGCGGAGCTTTGAAGTGTGAAAGATCAAATTGAATTCTGTGCCGTTTCTTCTGGCTTTGATCGTACTGGACAGACTTTCATTTCAATATTAATGTGACAGTACCTTTAGCTCGGATTGATAGTCGCCGACGGCTTCACATGACGTTGCAACGCCCTTGCGGGATGGCGGCTCTCGTCCACGATTACCGCGCCTTGTCTCGCGCATATATTAGACCGCAAGACATATGGCAGATGGAAAATCAGTCATTAGCCAGACTCATGAGCTATATTTCGAGGGTGTGTTAAGGTCCAGAATACGCTGTACACTTTTGCAAAGAAACATAAATGCACTTATCGCTATGTCCACTTCTATGTACCGATACATGACTAAGTTGTCTGTATCCCTTGCCTCGAGCTTTCCTCTTCTGTGGTTAGCACTGCCATGACTAAGGTAGGGATGTGTTGTCGCTGATCACGGCTCATTGACCGAAATTTAGCACATCTAAATCGATTAGAGATGACCAACATACATATATGTTATGATGCGTGAATGGTCGAAAATCCCCTCGTAGCTTCCATAATTGAAAAAGATTTCTACATAATCTGGAATCAGTTAGCTAGATCCCACTCTATTAAAGTGGCGTGTTGTTGGCAAATAAAGAACTATATTATGTCATCAAATACTTCTATTCTTACTCAAACCGCTAAGTTACCGAATTTCTGCAGCAGGTTTATTTCGAGATCCGTCCGAGTGTCTGGAAGAATCCAGTTCTATCTTGAGGCTAATGTAGTTCCATTCATGGCCGCTTATGATCAGCCGAGAAACCATCTAGATAATATTTTATGCCAGAAATTTCAAGTATTGTGATTAGTATTTGTAGGAGTAATCTTTTATCTCCTGGCCCAGATGTTTCTAAGCTGATATATAATTATCAACAAATCATCAGCCATATATATAAGGATAGGCGTACTGCATGTAGATTGCTCGAGAAAGCTCCCTAGACGTGTAATTATATTGATGATATTAATATATTCATTTGCTTTCGAGACTCGAAATTACCTTTCTTTCTTAGTCATTCGCTATATATCATGATTTTCTGTAAGCCGGCAGCTGACAGAGTCACCTCGAAGTCGCACCAGAGTGGAACTTTCCGAACTTCAGTCCCTTGCTTCTCAGGCCGAGTCGTACCAATACTACCAACAAAACAAACAAAGGAGCTAGAGGGCAGCCAATCTGCGGGTCCATCAGTCGCCAAACCCTAGACGCCTGTGGCAAGTTCTGTACTCCCAATTGGGCGGCTATAGAATAAAAAGGGGCGAGTCTACTTCTCAAGTTTTCGATAAATAAATTATTCATTCAACTTTGGTTTGCTCTCGAGAAACGAACACAGCGCTATACTGACAAGACCTGGCGTTGGAATACATAAATTCATTATTCAGTCTAGTAGTTACTTGAAACCACAGTAACGACTACGATTAGGACCATATTTCCAACAGCTATAGTTGGACTTCTTGGCAGGAAACCCCTACTATCCTGATGGCGTCTAGTGCTTCCTCACGGATCTATCTGCAACGCTTTCCGAAGGGGCATGTTGAAGACAGGACAAACAAATTCGGCGTCTCTTTTCAAAACGTATGGACCATTACATGCCATGTTCAACTCAGAATATGAAATAACGAGGTTACAGGGCGCCAACCATTCGATTGACCACTTAAAGCAGCTATTTCTATCTAAGTTTAACCTAATAGCTGATACACCGGATTCATTCCAGATGTGGAATCAAACATTTGGCAGCGGAAACACTCTCACATTCATTATGGTCGATATGGATAAAATAAAAGCTCAAAACTTAGTGGCCGCTGCAAATGATCTATTGGGTGAGTAGGGACTTTCCGACTCTACAATAGAATGCTAAATAAAGGAACAGGAGTCATCATGTTGGAGGACGGGCTTACACTGCGGCAAAATAATAGAGACCACTGGATGGCTATTGCGTTGCCTTGTGGTTGTGATCAGGTTAGTTTACTCCATGAAACCTCACCAAAACATGGTTTGAGCCTCCTTCCTTTCTGGCAATAACTGAATTAAGCGTCTGCAATAGGAGCATTCGCCATTCCCTTCCCTCCAGCAGATTCCGAAGTCGTCAAAGTATATCCCGATCCCGGGTGAGTGGCACGATCCTAACAAATGCACCAAGCAGCGGCCACCTTCCCCTATAGTTCCACCTAGCAACTCAGGGCCAAATACTGTGGCCACTTTGGGTTATATGCCTATGCCTGTGTCCTCACTATCTGGAGGCGATATCCCGATGTCAGGAGTTTCAGCGATGGCCTCGTATCCTCCTTCTAATCCAGTCAAAGCAGAACCTGGCACTGGATACGCAGGTGAAAATGATACTACCATATCACCAACGGGGAGTGCCGTATACTCCTCGCCTGTGTTCGGCAGCGTCGGGTATAATCTCGTTGCAGGCCAAGGTGCATACACCGCACTACCGTGTATATCCTCTGGCAATGTAGGTGTCACCGCTCCTACAGACCAACCATTTATGGATACTTCGGCCTCGACGGAACATGAGATGAATAGAACCTACAGCGCTTCATTTCTAGAATGGTATAGGGAATACCACCGAAATGCAACCCAGCCAGGCAACGAGCAAGGTGGAGATAAGTAACCGAAATACCGGTTAGATGACTAGTCTCTATATTGAAAGATTTGGAGGGTGGAGTCTGATATAGGTTTAAGCAATGGCTATTGTAGCTTGGGAAGGATGTTACGACTTTGGAATGATTATGAATTTGGCTTCAAAGTATGGATATTGGAGTACGGGCGTTGTTACTACCTCCATTGTAATGAGGTGCTAGAGTGCGCAGTCAACGAGAGTTTCTTGTTGAAATAGAAAAAAAAAAACAAGAAAAAGAAAAAACCGAATACCATCGAGATTACTTGGAAATTGATCAGGCAAGCATTGAGTAATGGCCTCGTGATATTGGACTATCTAATTACCTCTAACTTGCCTGACGGACTAAGCCTGCATACAAAAATAGGGGAGAGGGGCTACCCGGCAACTGGATAATTCGACAGGGGTGGTGGAGCACTTGGACACTTCTGACTCAGTAGCAGCATGCTTTGGGTTTCCTAAAGCAATCGTTTGCATCAAAGCTTTCACCTACAGTCACGATTCTACATAAAAAACTACTACTGTTGGAGCATATGTATATTTCTGTGGAGTCCTCAGTATCTCGGATAAAATGGCCCCATCCCCAGGGTTTGATCTTCAGATGTTTAACACCATATCAAGTTTCACCTAACGTTTTGACGTATCAACACAATCTGTAACATCAACACCACACTGGCTATGGAGCCGGACTGGCCTTCAAATAGAGCGCCCAGTCGCCAATTCGCCTTATCCCTACCTAGGCAGAGATATCAGCTAGCACTGGAGGCTAGATGTACTCAATAATGGCAAGCTACTACTCCCTTCTTTCTTTTCTTGTGATGGCCGCCACGCTAGTGGTGTCTCAGCAATGTGATCTTCAATTCGATGGCCGGGTGCCATCTGATTTCAGTGCTGCTACTTTGAATACTGACAATGGCGTCTTTGACCCTAACAATGTCTTCGGTCAAGGTTAAACACCCATCTCCGAAGTCGTACGTGTGAGGATATTTACTAATGTAAATAGGGTTGGACCTTGGTTCGGTAGTCCAAATTCAAGATTCGCTATCGTCACTCGTACTCAGGCCCCTAGACTTGAATGTCTTAAACTTCCCCACTTACATGATTGTAGTTTGACGTTGGCACCATCCCAATAGAAGTCACCATTAGGCACGAGCACATTCAAACTATGATAGAGCACGTAAAATGTATACTAACACAAGACTAGCGACGACTCGATCTTCGCGCCAAGCGCCGACAACGTGCAGACAGGCTTTCGTAGAGCAGAGCTGCTTATAGCCAGCAACGACGGGACTGATGCGTCGACGACAGGAGTGAAAACGCTTCATTTCAGCGTCATGAAAGATGCGAATCGCCCGCTAAATCTTACTCATGAGTACCAGCTTGTCTTCCTAGAGAGCAACGATTTCAGCACCAACCAATTTGTCTTGAAGACGGGGACAATCCTCGGCACGGATACCGCCGACCCAGATACCTTGCAACTGTTCGGCAACGTGAACGCCAATCCGGCGCAAATTCTGTTCTCCACGCCTTTCACTGAGGATGTGTTCCACAACTTTGCTGTTACATTGGACTTTGATGCATTGTAGGTGTCGTGAAACTCGTATCCCTGCGGTGGGTGGATGGTACGACTGACAAGCTCGGCTGATCTAGGACGACTCAAGTGTTCTACTCTCAGGACACCGACGCCCTCGTTGCACAGACTGAGACACTGGCCAACGATGTCAGTGGTCAAGGACAGTTCCACTTCGGTGTCTTGAAAAAGGGTCTCAACGGTGGCGATGATATTGTCAAGAACGGTGAACAGGAGCAGGGCATCGACGAAGGCATCGTTTTCGGCGGTATCTTTGAAGAGGATAGCTCGAGTGGGTGCATTAGCTTGTCGGTATGAATAAGGCTCGCCGCATAGGGCTATGCTCTGCGTGAGATAGGTAGAAAGGACTATTTACCTATCCGAAGGAAGATTGTTGGATATAGATGCTTCTCTAGACCATGGAAACTCGGCTCGGCCAGCAATACCTAGAACTAATCTCGTCGCATCTGATTACCTGCAGCTTCTTGAAGGTAGCGCAAGTCTAAGTAAGAAGACAGGATGTGTAGACTACATAGTACTGATAGAGGCTAAACTACACTCGCACACTGGTATGACCCATTTCCTAGTGCGTACTTATCAAATGATGCGATGCTAGGATGTATGATACCTCTGATATCAACCTGTAGGCGAATGATGAGACACGGCCTTTCTTTATTTCCAGGGTCCAAGTTTCTGACTGCCCATCTCCCACCTTCCATCTCATATCCCCCGCCGCCTCAATTCTAGGTAGGACCTTGTACGTGGTACTACTACTACCTATGTACCTTGAAGGTTGCTTATCCAGGCGAGTGGAAACAAATGTTAGGGAACAAGCTTAGTGGCTAAAGACGTGGTGGACAGGGGACCCTGCATCCGTGCAAAGCGCTAACAGCTCACTAATATCCTTGCTTAGTGCGCCCGGAGCCAAGCTAGAAGAAGCTTAGCTCGGGTCGGCTGGTCCCTAAAGGCCGTTGCAGAAGCTGCTCCCCTGTCTACAGCAGCGATGAAGGTGTTCTTTCTCATCATCGAGCAGCGCCGTGTTTGTTGCAGACAAGAGTAGGCAGGTGCATACATGTAGTTATAGCATCTTCAGTTGATAAAGAGTATACAACACCACCATCACCGTCATTACTTCTCTATCATGACATTTTCTGATTTCTCGTTGTCCTGTTTCTCAACACCCCTGTTCTCCCACGCGGTTCTAAACGAACCTTCTCGTCGCATTGTGTTGGCGGTGGCTGGCAGAGACCCTGCTGATACCCAACCACCCCTCATCACAGCTGCCACACTAAGATGGACAACCCGCCTCGCATATTCAGATGCCATTGGCCTTAAAAGCCTCTCGGCGCCTGATGCGCTGCTATCATGCATCTGGACCTGCATGTTTTGTAGACAATATTCTGTTTATCTGTAATTTTTGCGTGCTGTTAATTGGTCGAGTGTCCGACGTGGAGGAGTTGCCGTTTAATTCCATAGTGTGTACAACACATCCAACATGAGTCTCGGCTTTGACGATGTTGATCCCGAACCAAACCGTATGTTGAGCTCTTTCAGCGGTGATGCAACAAGAGAAGAACCGGACAAGGCTAACTTTCACTTTTTTTTCTCGCTCGTCCAGGCGCAAATAGCAGTTACAAACCCAGTCCCTCGACGAGTGAACCGCAGCCGACAGCCTCACAGGTGACTGTTGTTCACCATCCTCATTCCGAGCCCAACGGTCGAGAGCACAACCCTCCAATGGAGGACTCGCCTGTACCTTACGCCCCGTCACCGCCAGAGCCCCCGACCCTTGTTTCAGTCCCCTCAGACGAAGAGATCTACGGACATGAGAGATATGCCGGCTACCGCGCTGACTATCCTGAATATGCCTCCTCGACACCAGGGCTGACGCCTTCAGTGCGTTTCGATCCAACGCCGTTCGTGATGGGAGGCATGCAAACGGATCCCTTGGTGCAAAGGGACTTCAAAGACGATCTCGTGAGGGCGGCCGGCGTTGTTACCCCAGGAGTTAGTGATGTGCCGTACATTCGATATGCTCTCGAAGCTATCACGGGCCAAAGCGGCGAGAGCTCTAGAGTCCTGCCTGGGAACAACAGACCTGCCGCTAGCAATTCAGCCTATCTTCCACGACCTCAGACAACTCCTCAATTCAATGCCGAGGTCTCTCAACCACCCCCTATTCGCCAATCCCTAGTTGCTATTCATGACCGTGATGATCCCGTGTCGCGCGGTTGGCAGACACCTTTCCATGCTCCTGTTACGCCGAGGATAGAGCAACAAACGCCTACTGACGAGCAACAACCACTCGATCAGCCAGCTAGGCAAGTGGTGAGACAACCGGAGCGATCTCGCATGAACGATATGGCCGATACCTTTTACCGTGCCAAAACGTTAGTTGAGCAGAGCTATGTTCCCCAGCCTCCAAACCAGAGTCCTCCACGAACAGTTGATCTCTGGCGAGCCCAACCAGACTCAACCCCCAATCACGACCTGGAAGCAATGGGGTACGATCGTCCCGTACCGCCTCCACTTACACATAAGCCTTGGATTTTACGAGCGCCATCCCTACTGCTGCTTGCCGTGCTCTGTATACTCATCATAATAGCGCTTATATTCTCCGCTGTATATTCAATTGGTCATAATGGCTTCACGAGCTACGCTGGTACGATCTATGGTGGTCAATACTTTCTCTTTCGCGTGCTCCCGCAGTTGGTCGGCGCTGTCCTCCTCATCTATGCGCAGTGTGTCATTGCGGCGGTATTCCGGGTATTCCCCTTCTCTGCTATGGCGTCCGATAACCGTACCGAGCGGCGCAACGCTGTCTTCCTACCTCTTTACCCCAAGTCGTTTCTGTGGCCGCAACTATTCGGTCCCTGGCACGTCTGGGTACCTACGATTATTGTATGGCTGATGAACTTCACGATCCCTCTATTGAGTAGTTTGTATACCGTGGTGCTCGTTGATGGCGTCTGGAGGTGGTCTACTGTCCAGGGTGTGGCTTGGACTTTAGTGGCCTTGTATGTGTCGTTGCTTGTGTCAACGATTGTCTTGTTCGTCTTCTGGCGACATCGAAGGACCGGCATGATTGAGACGTGGGACGTTCGAAGCATCGCAGACGTTGTCTTCCTCCTAGCACCAAGCAACTCATTACCCCAGTACCGCGGTCTCGAGACGGCGGCCACACGTGGAAAGATGAGGAAGATACTCGGTGGCACAGCGGAGAGACTTGGCTACTGGACGACACCCGAGGTTCCCGAAAACAAGATCTTCTGGGGTATTGGGGTTCCTACGACTAAGGAGGATCTCGAGCTGGAGAAAGCGGATAACAAGAACTGGGCTGCGGTACGAGACGAGTCTCGTCCTCTGACGCTACCGGATGTCGAGGACCCAAAGCAGCCATGGACGGCGCGTTTCCGTTATCTTCCTTGGTGCTTCCGTGATAGCCAGATCATCTTTCTGGTCGTTGCGGTGACAGCTTTATTGCTCGTCCTCTTCGTTGTTTCGTTTCTCCCCTCCACCGACCTGCGGGATGGTTTCCTTCCTCTCTTGAGCGCGGCTCCTTTGGCGGGCGCGTTTTCCCCAGCCGACTTCCTCTATTCGTTTCTCCCTTCTCTCATTGGGCTCGCTCTATTCCTTGTATTCCAGTCTCTCGAATCCACGTTGCGCATCCTAGCGCCGTGGGGCGAGTTAGCACGCGAGGAAGGATCTCGCGCAGAGAAGTCCCTCCTCCTGGATTACGCAACATCCCTACCGTGGCAATCAACACTCAAGGCTATCAGGCTGAAGCATTGGCGTGTGGCTGCAGTTACTTTTCTAGCACCCTTATTCGTGCTAATTCCCGTTCTCAGTGGTGGGCTCTTCATGGCGTTGACACCACCATCTGGTGTCGTACACGTATATCCCAACGTGCCGATATTTGCGCTTATCCTTGCCCTCTTGCTCCTGTACCTTGTCGCCTTGATCTCGCTCGTTCCCAGTCGAAAACAGTTTCGGCTCCCCCACGCTGTCACTTGTTTGGCCGAGATAATTAGCTTCTGCTGCAACGAGCAGTTGCGCACGGACGATGCCTTTGACCAGGTTAAAATAAGTACACGGACTGATTTGAGAGCTGCACTCGACTGCGGAAAGGACTGGCATCGCCAAGGTCGCTGGACTTTCGGTACTGGCAAGAATGGCGAAGAGAGGCTGGGTATCAAGCGCTACAGCAAATTTACCGTTAATCCGACGAAACTGCGACAGTACGACAAGTATATCAGAGAAAAGTCTATATCGGCACCTTTGTTTAACGACAGCGGGGAGTTGTATGGGCATTATTAGATTCATTGTCACTCTTCAATTCGAGGCGCTTTTGGCGCCACCATGTATAAACTTAGAAAGAAAGCGATTTGGTGCATTTTAGGGTAATCGGTTGGCATAATTGGATTTACGGCGAGTACGGATTTATGAAATATCTGGGTTTATGAACGGATGAGGCATGAGTGTCACGGCGTTATGAGATACGGGCTGATGATTTATCATGAGATTGGGATTACATATCACACAACGATAACTTGGGCGAAAGGAATCATAATTGAACTTGGATTATTGAGGGGGATGTTGGCATACAAATTTCTTTTCTTAGTTTTGCCGTTGTGCTGCGTGATATTGCTTGACTTTGTATCCTCCTACCCTAATCAATAACCTCCATGTTAAGGGACGTTGGATCTATATGTTCGGTTGTGACCCTTCCTACTCCTTTTACTCATCCCGCTAGGTCACGCAAAGTATTATCTGTTCTGAGAGTGTATAGGATCTCTTGTGGGTGCATCAGTCACTCCGAAAGCGTTCCCTAGGTGAACTACTTTTGAGACTAGGGCAGCAACGACGAGGACATATGTCGGAAAGGGGAGACCACTGCCTTGTATCGCTTACGCCAAAGTCTAAGGAGCTCCTAGTGCAAACTTAATCGCCTATGAAAGATGGAAGAGGGCTACATATCTGAAATTACATCTCCCTATCCTAAGTCAGTACCTACATATGAAGGGTGCATGGCCGAGTTGGTACGGTCTAGCGAAGCATATTATGTTATCCAGCGTTACTCAGCGTTAGTATTATCTACTCTGCATCGTTAGGCGCCGCGGGTTCGATTCCCGCGTTGGCCGAGTTTCACTTTTTGGTCCTATATCCTATGTCCTCCTTTTCCAACTACCTTACTATTTATTACTTACAAAATCTCTCATGTATATTACTGCACGGGTAAGATGATGTCAACGTAAGGTATAATAACTTCCTTGGAGGGGACGGACTCTTGATGATTGTGTTTTCAGCTGGCTATTCTGATAAGATGTGTTGTAGTATCCTCTGTTACAATCCAAATAGGAGTTCAATCAAGGTGCGGAGTGCTTTCCGGCGACGAATGTACAGGTGAGTAGTACATGAACCCTTTCAAGAGGCCTAACCATCAACTTGCAAGGTGTCTTAGTTTATGAACATGATCTCCACCCAGCGTTGTCTATAATGTTGACTACCTTAACCTATGTACCCAGGTAGATAGAGAGGGAGGTATGGAGAGTCGTCAGGAGCGACGTCCTGCATTACCTAAGCAATAGAAGACTTGCCATCGTGTAGTAGGTATGTGTCATCAGCACTTGTCACGAGGCCATCTACACGACTCCGGCTCCCAGCCAAGAATGCAACGACGTTGGAATCAACGAAATAGAAATAGCAACGGACAAGCCGTACCTCCATTCAACATTGCGGGGAAGAATCTTGATTCCCACGTTGCGTGCCTGGCCTACGAAGCGAATCGCGAGCGTCTAATTAATTGAAGAAACATTTCTTAAATAGAGCCGAGACAGCACCGTAAGTAGAAATGCCAACCAACTTATGCTTTACTATTGGCCCCGAATACCTCCCTCCCATGCATTTTTCATTTCACGTTCTAGTTGCCAAATAACGAATAATAATGCAACGCGAGTAGAAATGAAGAAGTGTCGCATCATATTCCAGCAGTAGGTAGTATTCCATTCCAAAAAAAGGTTGTCTCGAGCCCCCCGCGCAAAGCTCAACGGGTGGACAAAACACTGTTTCGCTAGGTCGAAATTTTGTTTTGAACATCACAATGTTTTCTCTGTGGGAAAGGATCCAGAGCTGAACCGTTCGAGACTTCGCGGATCTGCGACTGCCGCATGCACACTGCAGGGGGAAGGGCGATTAATCCAGTGTTCCCACTTCCTAGGTAGATAGGTATGTCTGTCTGTCTTGTTGAGGTGCGAGAGAGACGGTTGAGATGCATGTCTGAGGAATGGCTCAAGTAACCTTCCTAGCTTCGGACCGGCTTAGGGACATAGTGAGACTAGTGCCGTCAACATGTATAGTGAAGCGAAATGTTTGCTAGACATTACCTGATCACGATCTCGAGGATCTGCTGAGGATAAGGCGGCTACATGGTATTCAAGGTGAACAAGATCATTAGGGATGAATGTTTATGAGAAGTGTACACCTGGGAGACTCGCTACCATTGCGTAGATACAACATGAAAAAAAGCCCATCTGAAATATGCTAAAAGTAGAAGAGAACAAGATAGACACAGGAAAGTCCTGCTCACCATCGATGCTAATATTCGTTACAATAAAATAAAACATAACAACATACAACCCAAAACTTCGTTTTTTCTCGTTTCATGTCTTGCAACTCTTCGCCTCTCTAATCCCAGTACTCATATGCCTAAGAACCTTAGAAGTGCAAGTTTTCTCGCCTTTCTCATGAAATCCTGCCACCCTTTTTATGTATGTGTTCGTATTCCCAGTTAAAACATCCCCCGATGCGCCGTAGAGGTAAAAAAAAAAAAAAAAAAGGAAAAGGAAAAGAACAAAGGAGATACCCCGAGATCGTTCGGGTGGTTGGTTAGTCGTAAAAGAGCGTAATGCGTAGATGCGTAAAGCATACTGGGCAGGTTGGTAACAAGATTCATACACAGTGTCGTTTACTTCTTTGATTCATTCAACGTGTTCAGACCGCTCCCTGGGCGGTGAGGAAAAGTTCGCGTCATGGAGAGACTTCAGGCGTGGTAAAACGTAGAAAAAGAATTGAGGGGGTGAAGGAAGAGAAATTTTCTTTTAGCAAAAAGAAAAAGGAAACTGGCGTAGCGACTCAGCCCTGTGGGCGTGTTGGCGTACTCGCAAATGAGCTGACCAGTTAGCAGTGCGCCATCGACGAGGCTGCAGGAAATAGTGTTGGCCGGGTGGGGAGCAGGCGGTGGCAACTGCTTCAACAGCAAGTGGCTGTCCTGGCTTCACCGGCCTATGAATCCGAATATTCGACCTAGGCTGCCCCCGCGCTTGCGGCTGAGACTGCCACCATCCCTTAACCTCTCGTCGCCATCCTTGTCGCCAGAATCAGCGCCTGATGTTGAAACTGGCCCGCCACCATATCCACGAGCACTGCTGCTAACCTTTCGCTCAGCGGCGGCGCCTCGCTTTTCAACCGTGCTTCTCTTGTGCAAGCCCCTGGCCCACCGTCTGGCGAAGCTGCGACTCTCCTCTGCTGCTGCGTCGGTCTCGGAGTCAGAGTCAGAGTCTAGCTCGAAGACGGAGACAAATTGAGGGCGCGTGGGCATGGGCTCCGGCAGCGGAGAGGGGAGAAGTTGTGGTGGCGGTGCTGTTACATGATCCCGCGATGATGAACCCCTGGTGTTGCTGCGCATCCGAACCTTGTCTCGGAGGTTAAATGCCGATGTACTGGGGCGGAGAGTCCTGGGTGTGGGCGGTGGCGGATATACTGGGGATACTGGCACTGATGCTGCCGTGTTCATTGCCGCTGATGAACGCTGCTGTGATGAGGCTGCCTTGTTAGATTGTGTGGTTGTTGGTGCGATAAAAAGGGAATGCATGTTATGTGTCGATTTGCTGGCTCTCAAAGCTGCGCTTGATCTGCTACCCCTGAGAAACGAAGGTCGTCGTGGTGGCGAGGGTGGTTCGAAACTTAGCGATGAAGTCCGTGGAGGGTGTGGTAGTCTTGGTATGTTGAACACTGGTGGCTTGGGGTAGACAGAGTACGTCACGGGGCTTCTCTTAGGTGCCGGTCGTGGTGGTGTAGTCAACAGTGGCGTAGGTTGTGATGGTGGTGGTTGGGTTATAGTTCGGGGTGAAGGAGGTTCCTCTTCCTGCCACCCGTACCCTCTAATAGTAGCCTTGATTGCTTCGTCATCTACAACACCAGACTGGTGGCACATCGGATCAATATCCAAGTAGCCTTTGTGTTGTCTAGGTTGTAGCAGAGAAACCCGGCTTTCTTGGGAGAATCGGTAACTTGATGACGTTTCTGTATTCTCAGGCCAAAAGCTATCCCATAGCTCGCCTGCCGATGTATTGTAGCTCCCGTCATCATCAAAGGATATGTCGGAGTCTGAAGCATCCGTCATGCCTGGTACTGAGCCATTTGATGATCGGCTCTCATTTGACTCATGACGACTAAGTCTAGGATATGAGAAATTGGCTCTCGAAGCCGGCCGTCTTGACGACATGTTCCCATGCCCTGTTGTGAAGTGGGCAGCCATTGTAGTTTCTATTATGGAGTCACTCTGTCGACAAGATAAGGAGATGCTGGGTCGCTCCATATTCCGGAGATATTCTTTGAGGAAGTTGACCAAGGTAGAAGAAGCCAAAGCGTAAATCTCTCTGATGGGATACAGGGGTTTATACGATAACCATGTAAAAGCCGCACGAAGGAACTCTTTTGTGCAGAACAAGATAGCTTGATACAGGAAGACTGAGTTGCCCTGTCGGACCTATTGATCCTCAAGGGCCGGCTAGGGTTCCCTAGTTGGTACAGAGAAGGAGTAAAGACTGGAGAAGCGGTTCAGAAGGTGGTACAGAAAAGCTCCTTGAGTGGAGGGGTCAGAGAGGGATAATAAAGTAGCAATAGTGAGGGTGTCCCTTCGAGTCGCACTTGAGTCGAGGGCGTCTAATGTTTATGCATATGTAGGTGCATAAACAGCAAGGGAGATTCCAGTGCAAGAGCTATCAACTCCCCAGTGGGGTGTGCTGTGTGAGATCTCACATCCCACATTTTCGAACCGTGCTTGGTCATTATAACACCACGGGATGCGGCAACGGAATGGCACCCCCCCAAACACTGGCCGCAGAAACTAGTGTAGAATATCAGAGAAGCGGACAAACGAAACCCGAGAATCTGTCAGATATGACATCACGGTATACTAAACCCTGTTTCTTGTTGGTATACGCGGCACAAAAGCAATAGACAGGCATATGCGGTCTCGCTGTGGAGGAAGCCATAAGATGGCGACTCCCTTTTGCCTCTTTCCCATCTTCACGTGGTGGCTGTTCATTCATCTAGACCGGTACCTGGTTCGAGCCCATACCGTGGATGGTGGGCTCTAAACAGCAAACAGGGCGAGAAATCGGGCTCAGTAACACGACGGAAAGAATGTCACGGGAAATCGATTTTTTGTCCCCCCATTCCAGCCACACATGATATAACTCGGCCCTGTTTGAGCTAGCAGAGATCGACTCCTAGAAGTGATCAATCGAAAGGAGATACAAAGAAACAATTAGACGCAGGGGAAGTACAGGGAGTTGTGTCTTTTTCCACCTGCCGCGCTCTTACCAGCAACCCTAGAGTGTCCTTTACTAGGGATCGAGCACCATGATACATCGATCGCTGAAGACCAGGCGGTGCGTCGAATTTGGTAAAGACTAGGAAGGCTGGTCTCGAAACGGTCTGTTGGACAACCAATACTGATAGGTCGGTATACCGGAGAACCGACAAGGTGGCTGCCAGGTGCTCAAAGTCATGTCTAGTGATACCTCCGAGACATCGTAGGGCCCCAAGATCAATATGAAATGTCTGAGTTCCGTGTACATGTGAGAAAAAATTAAAATAAAATAAAAAACGGAGCACGGATCACCGCTCTCATGTAAGCGAGGCATACCTATTAGAAACCCGTTGTGCCTGGGAGATCCAGCAGGACGGGTGATCGGCGTTATGTGGCTTCCATAGCTGTCTTAGATGCAGGTCCAGGTACACGATTCGCAGCTCTAGATGGCGCCCATCTTGTGATAGGCCAGCTTTCCCACGCTTACGTTAGCAGAGGTGGGCTAGGACTGGTTTGCTCTACCTACTCGTTTGCCCGGACGAGCCGAGAACAGTATGGTCGGCTAATCATGACAATCAAAGTTGACATCAACCGGATACGTAGCGCAAAATGTTCCAGAAGACGCGTAAATACCAATGGAGGCTGGGAAGAGCATTGCTTACTGGAAAAGCATTTTGGCGAAGCGGAAATTGGTCGGTGTAGCGTGGGAAGGTGGCTTTGATCCCTCTGTGGCAGCTTCAGCCCTGGATGCTCGGTGAGAATTCTTCTTCTTTTCCGCTTCAGAAGCGATTACGTAGTAGATACCTGCTGCAAGTACATACCTACCTGCGAACTAATAGTTGAGAACTTAGAAGCAAGAATGATCCGTGGGCGCGGCGCTCCAATGTTGGGTGGATTGCTACAATCAGTTGTGCATGTTGGTAGCCCGTACTTAGGTAGATACATACATACCTTGTATGTATGTAGGTATCCAACTGCGATCTTTCGGGTTTAGCTACCTACATATGTAGACCCTGCCTCAAATCGTACCTAGTTGGATATAAGCTACATTAGGTACATACTATAACTAAGATTTTCAGACCGCAAGACAGACATCCTTGCAGCTCTAAAAGGGGTTTTGTGATAGGTACCATGGGTGTTGCTCCCTTGCGTAAGTAGCGAGAGTAGGTAGCTGAGGTTCCTTGAGATAAAAGGGTGGTTATGTGTGGGTAGTACGTTCTTATGTCACACGCGATATAACTTCGAGCACCAGGGTTATTGATAAGATTGGTGACACGGGATGAGTAACACGAGAAGCCGTATATGAAGCGTCACATTCCAGCTTAGCAATTGTGTCATTATCTGGCATAAATACGCCTTGTACAGGCCAAAGACACTGCTCATCGTCCTTGAAGTCCCCAATGGTACCCGGAGGCATAAAAAGAATGTGACACATATATATGGCTCAATGTGCGACAAGAGGGAATTTAACCGCGTGTTACCGCAACCTGCGTAGCTAGGGATAGCAACATTGAGAACGATGATATGTCATGTCCAGACAGACCCAGACGAGTGTTTGACAAGGTGCGCTTGGAGGTGTTCGGCATTATTCCGCCATTTGTTTGCGAGATGCTTTTACTTGTGTGTGTGTGCTCCCGAGTAATGGGTTGCTTTTGCTTCCTTGTCCTCCCACCACCCAAGATAATGAATGAATGGGTTACCAGTTCCAGCTGTTTTACTTACTACCTAGGGGGCCTTGCGTCGTCTCAGCATTCTATCTACTTACTGAGTAGATAGGTACCTAGACCGAAGGGTTGAAGCTTGCTCGCTTAGCTGTCCCAGTCCCAAGACTGTCGTTGCTGCCCCGCACTGGTGCTTGAGTTGAGTTTCCATCTAGGGACATTTGATGGGAATTTGAGAACTTTCATTGGTCAATGGCCTCGTCCCTAGATGGGAGCTTGGGGATGATGGTAGCTCGGAGCCTCGGAGCTTTGGGGGACGAGCCGTCCCTTAACTGTGGCAGATAGAGTTGGGGTGGAGAGATACACAGGTAAGCTTACTGGAGCGTTGACTTTAGAAACGCAGTGTCTGTCTGCATGCATTACGAGCGATTTCACAAAGCCATCGAACATAAGGAAGGATACAGTTGATGTCATCTACTTCTAGTAAGTGACGGTCATGGGCTGTGGAGATCCCTTACCGTAGGTCCCTCAAGACACGCATCATAAGTACGTAGGAGTAGGTTGGAGACTCAAAACGGCGGTAGCTTGAACGGTCTGCCGTTGTTGATACCAAGGTGCAAGGTGCAAGGTGACAGTTGGCAGCATCTAGAAAATTCCGTTGTATCGGTGTAGGCATTATAGGCCGTACATATAGCCTGGTCTCGCCTGGCTTTTGATACCTAGTGCACCTAGTGCACCTCGGGCTGCAAGCGATGATGAAATCAATGCACGAACAAAGCTCGCGACGATCCAGAGGGTTGGGTTGGGTCGTCGCCTCGTGGGGGCAGCAGCCGGTTCGCGCATGAGGCTAGGCTGTGTTAGGGACTGGGCGGGCTGCGTCGCTGGCCAGCAGTTTGCCAACGCATTTTCGGCGCCGTGGATCCCGGACGACTAGCCGCTCGCGATGTTGCTTGCGCAATCCCACATGCACCTCCAAATCCTCCTTCCCGTGGGCAGGACAGTCAGTCATGATGAGGCGAGGTCGGGTAGGGATTCATTGGCGGTCAGGCAAAAATCGGGACAGTTGGCGTACATTTTTAATCTCCAAGAGCCCTGCCAGGTCCATTGAAGTAGCATCCAAAGAGGCCGCCTTGAACCAACATCAGCCAACTTCAACTATTGCTAACAGGCTTAGGGGCCTTGCTAGTACACTACTCAGAGTAATACTGGCTACGTGTACATACAATGACGCAGTCCCAAATATGCAATCAATTAAACAAAATATGGAGAAGAGGAGAAGAAGAAGAAGAGGAAGAGGAAGAAAGAGAAGAAGTTGGATGGGAGCGAACTTGAAATCGTCATAAAGGTCCATACAGCAGTGCCTAACCTGACCTTAGCGTGCTACTTACTTACTATCTGGGGCATCAGGACTTAAGGTGCTACTTACTTAGTATACCTAATCCCTATTCAAATCTATAATGCAAGTACCTACCTATATCTTGAATGCCTTAGGTACCCTGCCTAGGTAAGTGGAAGTGGAAGTAATCAATCATGCATTGGGTGGTTTATTCGCAGTGGGTCGTTGCTCCAGACTCTTAGCTGCTGGTTCCTTGACCCTTATATGCGGCGCTGCATCATCTGGTTTCCTGTTAAGGTGCTGTCTCATTTCGCAAACCGGGGGAAGCCTGACTAAGTGCTACCATCTAATTGAAAGAGAGTAGGCAGAGAGAGACACACAAACACAGAGTGAGAAGGAAGGAGGTGTGCTTACTCTACCGAATTACTTACTATAGGTATTCACTTGCTTTCTCCCTCATAGTGCCCGTAGCTGTGAGCTGTGAGCTGTGAGTTCTGAGTTGTGAGCCATAAGCTCCGGCGTCACATTGCCCATGGTGCACTAGGTACGAATGACATTCTCCCTGAGCCAAAGGCTTCATGACACGCATTTTCGGGGGCCCGAACTTGGTATTGGACCATCAGGAAGCCTGGCAGTACAGCAAGAGCGCGCAGACCGACGAGGAAACGTGGTGGTGGGTTGGACGTCGAATACCGGCCAGCATACAGACAAGACAGTACACCAGTGGCCCTGCTTGGAAGTGGTACGAACAGAGAGAGGCAGACGACCTGACACCACACCTGCAGTGAATGAACGGCACAATACAGCAAAGCATTACACGACAATACTGGTGCGGCGCACCCAAGAATAAGAAGGAGGAGGAGGGGGAGGAGTATAACAACAACAACGACAACAACAACAATAATAATAATTCCAGATCATTTTCTGTTCTGTTAGTCACCCCAATCCTTTTCTTCCTTTTTCTCCAATTCTTTCTTCGGGGTCGCGTCGCGGGTTCGCTGCCATGTACAAGCGCTCATCTACACTTACCCACCTGCGCCACCGAATATTTTACAGCTTGTCGCATCCCCAACCTCCCCAAAGTGCGACCCCAGCTATCGCGCCCACCCATTTCCCTGCAGCCTCGGAAAAAGTGTGCGCTTGCTTTTGGCTGCAACCCTTTTTTCTACCATTCGAATCTCCCTCCACTCTGTTCAATTCTGCTTGTTTTGCTAGCAATTAACAGGCGGTTCCTTGTAGTTCGTTGCTGTTTCCACAGAGCTCGTTGCCCACCTTGTCTTCCCTAGCCTCTCATCCAGCTAGACGAGGCCCAGCCGCCAAGTTGACGACAGCTACCTCTACCAACCCTTTTCACGACCGTAACGACATTGACGAATTCTCCCCCATAACTACACCAGACCAGCGCCAGCAGCGCCCCCTTCTCTCCAAGCTTTCTGGAGCGCCTGCACCCCCAGCTGCTGCAAGATCTACCACGCCAGCTTCTCACCGCCGACTTCGTCGCACTCCTAACTTCTCGGCCACTCCTAGCCCTCGTCCCCAACAGCAACACAGTCCCCAGTCTCCGGGCCGTGTTGTCGTCACTCTTGGGCCAACTGGACACTATATCCTTGCTGACGAAGCTGTTGGGCGCAAACCACATCCCACCCACCCAAAGGCCACCCGACAGCTCTCACAGGGCAATCTTAGTTCAAGTTCCATAGCAACCTCAGCACCATTCACTCACCGTGTTGCGGACTCGAACCCCGAAACCGACGAGCCGAAGTCCCATCCTGTTCTTCGCATCTCCAAGAATACCCATAACGCCGTCCTGTATGCGTTAGAAGCAACTTTGCGGGGCCCTCACACCATCTCTATTGATCCGGTCGAGTGCTATTCTCAAATGGCAGACTTAATGGGCGGCAGGGGTCCTGTCACCTCCAATGGCAATGGCACACCACCCGTTCGTGTCACTGCCGGAAGGCCCGCCGTTGGTTCGCCTTCCGGGATCAGAAGTCCTAAGGTGATTATGCAGCAACGCGCAGAACGCGAAAAAGAACGCGAGAGACAACGCGAGGCCAAGCAACGAGAAGAGCAGGAACAGTTACAACGAGAGCAAGAGGCCCGGTTGCAAGAAGAAGCAGCAAGGGCAGCGGAGCAGAGAGCTGCCGATAAGGCTGCAGAAATGCGAAGAGCTACTGCTGGCGCAGGTTCTACCACTGGTGGAGATCATTCTGCCTCACGACAAGCAGCCCAGCCAACATCCAACCGTCCCAATGCTGATAATGGAGGTCGTACGGCAAGAACGACGGGTATACCCACCAACGTTCAGGCACAGGCATCTCAATCAGCGCGTAACGAAGTTCCGTTGAGAGGCCCATTAAGAACTTCGGTTCCTCCCGCAACTGGGGCCACGGCTGCCGGACCATCTGGGTCCCAATCACAACCCGGAGATTATACGCTCGGACGGGGCAGAAACTCTTTCCCACACGCGTTTGAGCGTTGGGAGACACTATCCGCCCACTGGGAGGGATTGACAAGCTTCTGGATTCGCCGATTAGAACAGAATGCTTTAGAGATACAAGGAGATACCATTGCGCAGCAGTTGTCACGACAAGTGACCGATCTCTCGTCTGCAGGCGCCAATCTATTCCATGCTGTAGTAGAACTCCAACGATTACGCGCTTCCTCAGAGCGGAAGTTCCAGCGTTGGTTTTATGAGACCCGCAGCGATCTTGAGCGCAACCAGGAAGTGACGGCGATGCTAGAAGCCGCGCTCGAGGAAGAGCGAAGAAATAGGAGTGATGCTATTCGGAAAGCTGTGGAACAAGAACAAGGCTCCTCCTCTAAGCTGCATAAGCAATTGGCGGAAATGCGTAAGGAGCTTACCATCTCGAAGGAGGAGGCACGCCGTGCTTGGGAAGAGCTTGGCCGACGCGAGAAGGAGGAACGGGATCGCACCAAGTCTCTGCAACAAGGTCGGCCCACGATTGTTGGAGGCGTACAGGTAGTTCCCATGACGCAAGGCGTTAGTCGAGGGAACACCCAACGTGAGCCCCGATATACGCAGCCTGAGATGCCTGAATACGCACAATCGCCAACGCCACGTACTGCCCATCCGGAGTATACGCAGGCGCCTGCGGTTCAGCCCGTACCAGCCTCCAGTGGACCCAACCCTGTCTTTCAAACTCCCTCGTCCGTTCACCACCAGCAAAGCTATGCCTCGGAGGGAACGATGAGCGAAGGTGAGTACATCCGCGACGCCGCGGGAAATTTTGTCCGCGATAACCGAGGCCAGAAGATTCCTTATCATATTCCTCCTTCGGAAGGATCTGACATATAACTAGAAGAATTCGAGACACCGGCAACACAACCCAGTGCCTATCATGCGCCCATCTCCGTCCCCCAGCAACCCCAATACTCTTCCGCACCAGATTATACAGGTAGCGGCTACTCATCCACCGGATGGGAAGAGATGCCGCAGCATCATCATCCCACACGTCTAAGTGATGTGCTCGAAGAAGAGGAAGAAAGAAGCCGCACTAGCGCGAGCCAGATAAGCCGACACTAAAAGTGTGCGACAAGGAGAGACCCATTCTAGAGCCTCGAATGGTTCATGAAAGACGCGCACATTCCAGGACCTAGGCTCGCAAAATGGTACTCGATCGTTTGATTTCATGAAACTCTTGACGCCAATCCTCGAACGGCCTCTCGAACTACCACGATTTTGAGTTTCTCAGCATATTGCAATTCTTGTTGGAGGCAGTGTTTTTGTTTCATCTATTCTACTCAAATAGCAGCGGTGCAAAGGCGTACTAAGGACATGGCGACTGATAGATTAAAAAAAAAAAGGCATTGCGTTTGTTTTCGAGTCTAGCCACCCATTTATTTGGAGAGCAGCTGGGACTTGTTGACGCGGCGAGCTTGGTGGCGAGCATGGGGTTGCATTCGTAAGACAGCAGAGGCCACGGCGCATCTCTTGCCCTTTCCTACCTCTACTTTTCTTTTAGTTTTCTCTCTTGACTGCGATCAGGGCAGGGCAAGAAACACGGATCAGCCTCTCGATCCAAGGGGGGTAATGATGTTCGGCCCTAAGCTTGAGAAGAAGAGGCTTTGCGGGTAATGAATAATCTGGGGAGGGAACTAACATCGCCGACACAGCGAGCACCACATCCAGAACTAGACCCCCAAATGAGATGGGCAACGTGTATTTATAGTGATAATAACCTGCGAGGACGGGCAGGAAAAACGATGAACCCCAATCATAATGAATGAAACCATTACACAAGAATCCGTTCTGACTCTTCTATACTAAGCTTTATGATGGTGATAGTCCCCATAGCGTTGACCGAAGAAAAACACCTTTAGCATGATTCATCTATATTGTACCACCTAAATGCTAATTACAGGTCACGCTTCCAGCCCAAGTCACCTGTCTACCTGAGATGGTGTGCAGCTCCAGAGCATTGGTACGTCATTGGCTTCCACGATAGTGACCAGCCAGGCGCTGCACTGTACATGGGCACTGTGTTTATCAGATAAACGTCAAAGGCCTTGGCGCCAAGGAAGAAGTACCTACTGTAGAGCACTACTGAGAAGCTGTTGCTACGATAGATTGGCCATAGCATTGCGAGGGGATCTGGAAACGTCTCTCATGCAATTGATAATGAAGATGTCACATTCAATGGCGCCGTCCAGATCACTTCTCCGAACTTGTTCACGGGCCCAGTCGCAGACACAGACGTGCCAGCGACTCGCCTTCTCGACACGACATGCCTTCCCCTCTTCTACCACAACGCCTACAACGGCCGATAGACCCGCCCTCATAACGCCGACAATTCAAAGTGCACGATTTACTCGCTTGCGAAATGAGCTTCCCCCTTCCATCGCTGGTGGAAAGCAGCAACGTCGCTACAAGGCAAAAACGGTCGAAGAAGCGCGCAGTCGATACCGGACTGGGCCGTTCTCATGGAAGGCTGGTGTGTTGTTTGTTCTAGCCGGCTGCGGCCTCGTGTGGTATTTCGAGTCGGAGAAGAAGCGCATGCAGAGGAGGCGCATAGCGGAGGCCACGAAAGGCGTTGGCAAACCCAAGGTCGGCGGTGATTTCAACCTTATAGATCATGAGGGCAAGCCATTCTCTAGTGCCAACTTGAAGGGGCGTTACTCATTGGTGAGCCTTCACTCTTCATTTGTTCTAAATCTAAGACATGCCATACGGTTAGGGAGACGTTTGTATATAGCCTTCGGTAGTGGGAGAGATTGTCATCGCCTCAAAGGAAGGCAGTTGCTAACTTGCGCGCTTTACACTGTAGGTTTACTTCGGCTTCACACACTGCCCCGATATCTGTCCCGAGGAACTCGACAAGATGGCGCAAATGTTCGATCTAGTTGAAGCCCAAGCACCAGGTGCCGTGGCACCTGTATTTATCACCTGCGACCCGGCACGCGACGATCCCAAAGTTCTAAAGTCATACCTTGCAGAGTTCCATCCCAAATTCATTGGCCTCACCGGCACTTACGACGAAATTAAGGATGTCTGCAAGGCATATCGCGTGTACTTCAGCACGCCCAAAGATGTGAAACCGGGCCAAGACTACCTGGTCGACCACAGCATCTATTTCTATCTCATGGATCCCGAAGGTGACTTTGTCGAGGCGTTGGGGAGACAACATAGTCCTCAACAGGCTGCCAGTGTTATCCTAGATCACGTCAAGGACTGGAAGAAATAGGTATGGAAACGGAGAGGGCCGTAATGGTGAGATATTGAGAATGGCTCCGTAAAGAGAGATGCTGGAGGAAATCTGTATCATACAAATTGTGCTGATGGCACCCCTCTCACCTGTGATATTAATGTATATAAACAATATCTATCAAAAGGCCATTTCTAATGACTCCGAACATGCGCAGGGGTTTGTGAATCGGCTGCCTTCTCGTGGTACGCCGCCTATCCATACTACATTATTACCGAAAACTGCTGTACTAGTTAGTAGATGTTGTCTATGCCGACCTTATATTCACTTCGGAAAAGGACAGTATAACGGCTTTGATGCCTTCTCGCAGCTAACGATAAGAGCAACTTTGTCTTGACAACTATGCCCTTTAATCTAGTAACTAGTAGCCTGCGGAACATTGAGCGCAAGGTACTCGGGGGTATTTGCGGTCCATTCACACGAAATAGGCCATTTGGCATAATTAAGTTTCCCCACCTAAACAATGAGGACAATTACCTACTAACCACTATTCCCGCTCGCATTCTCCTGCTCTTCGCTGTTAATAATCTGCCGACAACTCGACCACTTCTCATCCACGTAGTTAATTTTCGCAGATAGCCGGCGGTATGATTCCACGGATACATTGATTGTCTTCCCCATTTCATCTTCCATGATGTTTGCGACGAGAGTTGCGCCTCGGAGCGCTCCGATACGAACGTTGGCCCTGCCCCACACATCACTCCGTAGCTACACTTTCATAGCTCGTGCGAGAACTCAGGCTCGGTGTCTAAATCGGAGCAGCACGCCGCTTCAGGTATCTCACGTGCCAGCTCGTACATTCATTCGTGATGGGAAGGGTTTGGATGCGGCCTCTCGGAAAGCGCCGCGGTTTGCTTTCGCTTTTGAGTAGGTTGAATTTCACTCATCTCTTACAAGCATTGATCTGTGATAGTCATGATGATCATCTACCCGTCTCATGGCTTTAGGTCTTACCTTTGAAGAACAGTGATGGCAGTGCTTGGATCATAATAAAGATCCTGATATGTCAAGGAGAGCGCTAACACTTCTTTCACAGCATTGATGGCGTCTTACTACATGTCGCGAAGCCTATCCCAGGCGCGACAGAGACGCTGGAGTACCTACAACGTCACGACATTCCCTTCATTCTGTTGACAAATGGAGGTGGTAAGCATGAGCACGAGCGCGTCGAAGAGCTGAGCGCGCGTCTCGGCGTGCCGCTGTCGACAGAAAACTTCGTGCAGTCTCACACGCCCTTCCAGGAGCTTGTCAGCACGTCTTGGAGCCATGACAACCTCGATAGGCACATCCAAAAGGAACTTCTTGAGGGCGACTTGAAGTCTGGTTTGGCCGACAAGAACATCCTCATCACGGGATCCGACCCGGCGAAGTCGCGCCTCATAGCCGAGGCCTACGGCTTCCGGTCCGTCATCACACCGGCTGACATCGCAGTCGCGCACCCGACCGTATTTCCCTTCGAGTTGCAGCTCAAAGACTACTACGCGGCCACCGCGCGGCCCTTACCGTCCCCAAATCCCAAGATAGACGCCATTTTCGTGTTCAACGACCCGCGGGACTGGGCCGTCGACATCCAAGTCATTGTCGACCTGCTCTTGTCGCAGAACGGGGTCCTGGGGACATACTCGCCCAAGAACGGGCGTGCCGAGCACGAGAACCACGGCTGGCAGACAGACGGGCAGCCGCACCTATACTTCAGCAACCACGACCTCTTCTGGAGCGCTGCGTACCACCTCCCGCGGTTCGGGCAGGGCGCCTTCCAGGCCGCGCTCGCGGGCATCTGGAGGCAGATCACGGGCGGTAAGGCCGAGATGAGGCGCACGACGATCGGCAAGCCTTATCCGAGAACGTACGAGTTCGCCGAGACGGTGCTGGCGCAGTGGCGGGCGGCGTTGCTGAAGAAGAGCGGGCGCGCGGACGCCGCGGACGAAGCGGCGCCTTTAGCGCGCGTGTATATGGTGGGGGATAACCCCGAGAGCGATATCCGCGGCGCCAACGAGTACGATAGTCCGCATGGCACCGAGTGGTCTTCGATCCTCGTGCGCACGGGCGTCTGGAGCCAAGCGCGCGATGGCGAGCCAAAGTATCGGCCTACGGCCATAGCGGACGATGCGAAGGCCGCGGTGCAGTGGGCGCTGGAGCGCGAGGGATGGCGGTGAGGAGGGTTTGTATGGGGGTGGTTTAGGGGGATAATGGATACCAAAGTTCTTAGGTGTTATGTGGGCTACGATAGAAATAGCGAAGCTGAGAGAAGAGCGATGTCCTCTTTATGATTAGTGTCGGTCAGTTCGGAGTATATATACATACCCGGGAATAGATGCCATTCCATGTTGTTTATGAGATACCTACTTTGCTTATGATAGCTACCTCGTAGGTGTGCAGGTATATTTTCCCTCGCCTACACTAATCAAGAACATACCTCTTGGCAATGACGCCGTGGCAACAGCCAGGTTGCGGTCTTGCGACTCGACTTGAATAAGAAAGTTTTGTCCGGTAAGGTACCAACCACCCACTGCCTAGGTATTTGGAAAACATTGAACTCGTGATTTGTCGAGTAGTTTCTTCAACGAATCTATTCACTTGAAAAGAAAAGAAACGATGGCCGCAGTGTAATCGATGAAAGCCGTCTATTTCATTGTCGACGATGATTAAAGACTCCAATCAGCCCTGACCAACAATCTAAGAACTATGGAAGCGGTTGTCTATGGAACCTATCTGCCGCATATTCTGGTTCGCAACCCTAAGTGATGTTTTCAAAATGCGAGTACCTCATAATAATAATCGGGTCTTTAATAGCAGATTGCAAAGTAGTAGCTGGTTGATCTACCTACAACATCTCCATGTATATACAAGCCTCTGTACATGTTACTATTACTAGGTAGTAATAAGTCCTAACCTAGTAAGATGCCCAACCCAGTAGACAAGTACCCAAGTAAAGATGCGGGGAGCTTGCAACGCAACGCTACGTCATTAGCAGATCCATGATTGACCAGATTGGAGAAAGGCACTGCATGGGGACCCAGGCACGTGCTCTCCCTTGTACACGTGAAAGGCCAGACAGACAAGCATTTTTGGACGGGAATGCAGCTAGGATTTCCTAAAAGCATCTACATGCGACTAGGTAGGTAATGGTATTAGACATACATATGATGTATGTAGATTAGGTAGGTAGGTAGATAGATAGACAGACAGATATGTAGATATGTAGATAGAGGGGAACCTGTCGCAGACGAAACTTACTTATTTGCTTAGGCACTTACCTAACTAACCATGTCGACTCGACACAAAACACACGCAAATACACATACCTACGTAATTAATTCGCCACGAAAATATATATCGGAATTCCCCTTCTTTGATCACCCATGACCTGGATATACCTAGCCTAGGTAGTCTGGAAGGCACATCTTCGTCAGGGTCCTTGAGCCGCCTTATGTAAATTCCACACTGCCTACTAGCACTGCAGGCAAAAACCTGTCTACCTTGGACACTAATTGAACTTGACTGCTGCTACTAAAGGTAAGTCTAGTCAGTCAGCCCCTTTCATAGCCGCCCATAGCCATCTATCTAGGTATCTCATAGCTCCCTTACTGATCCTGGCTGGCGGGCTGGCGGGCTTATCTGCGCTCTTCCCATCGTCACAAATCACAGGCCCGAAATTCGACGAGGGACCTTGTCAGCCTATCACCGCTCCTGTTGGCCGTCAGCAATCGACACACCGTCTCGCCAGGCATCAGCCCATACAATCCTCGCACACGCTCGCACACAAACAATCACACACGCATGCCAGCCCAGCCTCGTGGGAGTACGCACCCCGGCCTACCGAGTAATATCTATCTGTCTTTGGCGCCCTAGCTCTGGTCCAAGATGTCTACCTCCACACCAAATCCCACCCCCAGTGAACCGCAATCCCTCCGATCAGCCATGAAGCACGACGACGAGGGAGAACGGCTCCCGGATGCAAGCACCGCCTCAAGTAGCAAAGGTATGTTCAGCATCGTGTTCCAGCTATGACGCATGTCTCAACTCGGGTCACTCGCCATCCCTTCACGCATTCACCTCAGGCTATGTCCAGCACAGGGGTGACTCATCTGATTTGGGGAGTGTCTTTGTTTTCACATTCAATGCTGCCATTAAATCCGGCTATGATATCCACGCAATTCAAGTCCAAATCTGCCCATGATTTACTCAGTCGTAATTGAGAGCTATCCGGATGAAAGTCTACGTTGTGACTGATGAACAATCACGTGCAAATTGAACCCTGCATTATTACCATAGTACTGTTGAGACCAGCATGCTCACCCGCCTTTAGCTGTACAAATCGCCGAACCAGAACCAGACCCAGATAGTCCTGAGGAAACTCCGCCAAAAAAACAATTCTCCGTGGGCCTCGCTAAACGTCTTAGTGGCCGCCCTCCCATACCCGGCGCCAACTCATCCAGGTCCTCTCTGATCAGTCAGACTAGTTTGGAAGCGCTCAATAGTCTGGCAAGGACCATTTCACCTCAACAAGTTCCTCAGGACTCTGCGTCGCCACAGCGTCCCCATAGACATCGAATTGATGTTGTGGGCGAGAGGCTCATCGCCCAAGTTACCGAGTGGCTTGAACACGAGCGGACCAAACGGCACAATAGGAGAGAAAGGAGAGCCCATGGAAGCCGAAGAAAACACCGTAAAGACGATGCTGAGGGGCCCGGATCTCAATCCACTGGGCAGTCGAGGCGCTTCTCAATGAGCTCTCAATCTAGCGCGGCCTCTCTAGACAGACTTCAGAGGATCATCGATAATAGTATGAGCTCGCTGGGCTTGAATGCTACTCCTCACTATAGCCCTAAACTAGGTAGGAAGTCCCAACGTCGGCGGTCTATACCACTAAACAGAGCCGCATCATCCGACACAGAATTCTTCGACGGAGATGTGCTAGTCCCAAGTTGTGATGGGGTACTAGACAATTCAAAGACACTCAGCTACACGGGTGGACAGACGGCGGAAGGGGAAGAAGCTCTATCACCATCTGGCCAGAGAGAGGAGAAGGAACGCAGAGCGTGGATCACGTTCAAAAGTGAGATCATACGTTTGACACATACGCTTAGACTTAAGGGCTGGAGACGAGTGTCCCTCGAAAGTGGTGATAAAATATGGGTGGAACGCCTCAGTGGCGCCTTGACAAATGCAGTCTACGTAGTCACTCCCCCGGAAGATATCGGGGCAGAGACTGGCAAGAAGACACCGACGAAACTACTACTGCGAGTATATGGCCCCAATGTCGAACACATGATCGACAGAAAAAATGAGCTAAACGTCTTGCGACGGCTTGCGCGGAAGAGGATTGGTCCGCGGTTATTAGGAACATTCGCTAATGGGCGCTTCGAACAATATCTCAATGCCATCACGCTCACTTCCGAGGACATTAGGGACCCAGACACGTCAAAACAAATTGCTAAGAGAGTGAGGGAGCTCCATGACGGCATGGAGGTGCTGGAAGAGGAAAGGGATGGCGGACCGGCAGTTTTGAAGAATTGGGACCATTGGCTTCCCAGAGTTACGGAAATCATGAACTTTTTGGATGCTAAAATTACGGCGGGGAATCTTGGGCCGGTAAGAAGTCCGGTAGATGCTTGGAAGGAACGCGGCCTTGTCTGCGGGACCGATTGGCCAACGTTCAAAGCCACCTTTGACAGATACCGGAAGCATCTTTTTGACCGATACGGAGGCTCAAAAGTTGTCCGGGAGCACCTTGTGTTCGCTCATAACGATGTAAGTTTGAGCAGGATAGAACATTAAAGATGATTGCTGACCTTTTTTCTAGACTCAGTACGGCAATATTCTTCGTGTTCGGCCCGACGACAAGAAATCACCTTTGCTACAACCCAACTACGAGCATAAACAGTTGGTAGTCATTGATTTCGAATATTGTGGTGCGAACGTGAGGGGCTACGAATTCGCGAACCATTTCACAGAGTGGTGCTATGATTACCATGACGAGTCAGCGTCTTTTGTCTGCAATGTAGCCAAATACCCAACACCCGAAGAACAGCATCGATGGGTCAAAGCGTACGTTACTCACCGACCGGATCACCCGCATCCAGGGTTATCAACGCCAATAGTGAGCCCCATCTCCACGCCAGTCATGGACCCGACCACACCATCGCTTGAGCCAACCAACGTCGGATCAAGCAGCTCCATCGTGGAATTTATGTTGGATGCTCGAGTCCCACCAGGTGGCTGGAAAGAAGAAGAGAAGCGTCAAGAAGACAAACTCGAGGAACAAATTAAGTCATTGATGGAAGAGACCCGGTTGTGGCGTCCTATATGTAGCGCAATGTGGATTGCATGGGGTATCATGCAAGCAAAGATTCCTGGCCTCGACCCGGAAGAAAACTCCGAAGAAGAGGAAGGAGATCCTCATGCTTTCGATTATCTGGGCTATACGCAAGAAAGAGCGATGTTCTTTTGGGGTGACTGCGTTGCCTTGGGGTTAGTAAAGCTGGAAGACTTACCGGAGAGGGTCAAGAAGAATAGTAAGTCAAACTTCATTACCTTTCTCATTTTGCCATTAATCCCAAGCTCGATAATCTCCATCAGTCAACGTCATATTTCCATCTTCTCATGTGCCCACACTACTTCTTCTATTCAACATGGCGTTAAGTTGGTTGACTAACCTCATCTTCTAGTCAAAATACCCAAGTACTAGGCAATATGCGATCGGGGTTTAAGGAGATTTGTGAGCGACGATAGCTTGGGTAGCTGGTAAGCTTTCTTCTTTGGCGATGTCAATCGAAAAAAAATGTACTCATCAAGAGCTCGGCGATTAATCGGCGACTATTTTGAAAGAAGTGAGTTGATGATATAATGGCCTAATCTGTTGACCTAATAAAGAGGCTTCGAGCTCCGTACTCCGCAGCTTAGAATACAGAAAGAAGCATCGGAGTTAAAAGCTAGCACCAAAGATGACTAATGATTGAACTAAATCCCGTGGTTACATTTCTAATTACATCGGCGATATTGGAGCCGTCGGGGAAACTCTACCCGCTGGTCATGCGTGATGTGCGTATGGGGTAATTCCATCTCGCCACTACGCCTTTTAGATTGCAGAATATCAAGTCGACTCGATTACCATTTATAGCAGCTCTATCCTCTCCATGCAAGTCCCAGAGCCTAAGCTTAACCATAGCTAACAGCATCAAAGAGTTTTATTGCATTTCCTTTGTTCCGTAAGACGTAAAAAATCGGGGCGTGCCGCAGTACAAACACAGGAGGTTCTCGTCAACCCCTCATTTCCAAATCCACTAGATTGATGGCGCCATTCCGATATACAATCCATCATTAAGTAATCAACCATCATCAACAACAAACAATAAAGACGACGTCGCAGGGATCACACCAGACCAGATTCTCACGGAAACATAAAATAGAGGAAAGAGAGAGACAAAGTCAATAAGATGGCCACTACAGCGGTATTCAACCACATCGACGTCTTGTCGCCCCTCGTCAAGACCCCGAAGCACTGGACCAAGGTCGACGGGGGCGGCATGTCGTACAAGCACAGCCAGGTGAAGCGCCCAGTGCACGACCTGCGCGCCGAGTCGCCCTCGGAATTCAACACGGACATCTCGGGTTTCGGACTGCAGCACTGGCCATCAGGCGAGAAGGCCTTCGTCGACGACGCCGCGGTGCGCGGGGCGTACTACGCCGACGTCGAGGCCGTGCTGCGGGCCAACTGCGACGCGCTGCCGAGCAACATCGGGACGGGCCCCAACGGCGCCAACAACAAAGTGCGAAAAGTCGTCATCTTCGACCACACGATCCGTCGGCGTTCTCCAGAGTCGGCCCGCGGCCCCGTGCAGCAGGTCCACGTTGACCAGACCCCCGCGGCGGCAGCAGCGCGTGTCAGGAGACATTTGCCCGCGGACGAAGCGGAGGAACTGCTCAAGCACCGCTTCCAGCTGATCAACGTGTGGCGACCCATCAGTCATATCGCTGCCGACTACCCGCTTGCCGTCATCGACTGGAGGAGCACGATGCCGGGTGACTTCTTCGGCGTCGACCTGCTGTATCCGAAGAGGGAGGATGGCGACGACGACGATGACAGGGGCAAGGAGAAGAAGGCGGTGGCTGTGAATGCGAATCTGGACGGGTACGAAGTCCGCGGGGAGACGAGTAAGTCCTATCTATCTATCCCGTATCACGTAAACCCAGTTCCAAATTTCCGCAGCGCAGTAGACGGGGAAAGAAAACAAGCTCTCTATCCCCCTTTTTATATATTCTCAATCTTGAGCTCTGCAAAACCCATTGATCTAGCAATTTTACTAACCGGGATACGACGCAGTGGGCGTTGCGGCGAGCGACGAGCACCGCTTCTACTACATCAAGGACATGTCGCCCGACGAGGTCCTCATGCTCAAGTGCTACGACTCGTGGGGCGAGGGCGAGCCCGGCGGGAAGAAGGGGCTCGCGGTCCGGACGCCGCATACGGCGTTCGAAGACCCGGCTACGCCTGCCGATGCGAAGCCCAGGGAGAGCATCGAGGTGAGGGCGTTGGTTTTCTATGAGGAGTAGAAATTGCATTTAACTTGCTCCGTTTTTTTTTTTTTTTTTTTTTTTTTTTTTTTTTTTTTTTTTTTTATTTTTTTTTTTTTTTTTTTGGTTTTTTTTTTTTTTTTTTTTGTGT